GGGTCATGGACAGACAGTGCGGCTCCAAAGGACTGGAAAGTTTGAGACAGACGCCGCTGCACGCTTGACGATGGTTGACCATTGATGATCATCCCTGAAGGGAGAGAGTCATGGACCACGCTATCAGGCGCGGCGACCCAAGAAACTGTGCTCAGTTACCTCCTAGCGGTGTGAGTAGTGGTTGCATCTGTCATGGAGCTGTAGCTATAGCTGTAGCTGCTGCGAGCACGTGGAGTAGTACAGTATGGATACAGCTAATGATACATCTATCTACGCTACTAAGAAGTCGCACAATTGTGGAATACACATACACGTACAAAGTGGCTAAACAAGCGCCGATTGTCCTGCAATGGCTGCTTGGTAGCATGGGGAAGTCTTGCTCTTTCTAGTGTCTTGACCGCTGATCGCTGTTCACTGTCCGGCCACACAGTGTGCTGACGAGGCTGTGTGACTGACACCAAGTACGCGGCTGTCTCAAGCTGCGCAATGCCTCATCCAAAACCCCGGATAGCCCGTGCTACTGGGGTTCTCGGAGTGCTAACGTGTTTGATAAGCATGTGCATCAGATAGGCATGTGCATCAACCCAAAATGCAGCTAAAATGAGCGTTTTTGAAATGCGATTTCTCGACAACGCAAAGAGATATAGCCTTAGTACCTTTACTATAGCTTTTAGAGCGTCCGATTATAGGAATATCTAAGTCTAGGACTTGCTATAGTACTACAGCGTTCAGAAACTAGATATTAGCCTTAAGAAAGTCGTAGGACTACGATCTCTAGATAACTACGGATGCGAGCTATACATTTGACCTGCAATTCTAATTCTAGGACTCCTTTTAACTTCCTCGGACCAGAGGATAAGTCTGTATCTCTTTGCGTTGTCGAGAAATCGCATTTCAAAAACGCTTATTTTGGCTGCATTTTGGGTTGATGCACATGCCTATCTGATGCACATGCTTATCAAACACGTTAGCACTCCGAGAACCCCAGTAGCACGGGCTATCCGGGGTTTTGGATGAGGCATTGCGCAGCTTGAGACAGCCGCGTACTTGGTGTCAGTCACACAGCCTCGTCAGCACACTGTGTGGCCGGACAGTGAACAGCGATCAGCGGTCAAGACACTAGAAAGAGCAAGACTTCCCCATGCTACCAAGCAGCCATTGCAGGACAATCGGCGCTTGTTTAGCCACTTTGTACGTGTATGTGTATTCCACAATTGTGCGACTTCTTAGTAGCGTAGATAGATGTATCATTAGCTGTATCCATACTGTACTACTCCACGTGCTCGCAGCAGCTACAGCTATAGCTACAGCTCCATGACAGATGCAACCACTACTCACACCGCTAGGAGGTAACTGAGCACAGTTTCTTGGGTCGCCGCGCCTGATAGCGTGGTCCATGACTCTCTCCCTTCAGGGATGATCATCAATGGTCAACCATCGTCAAGCGTGCAGCGGCGTCTGTCTCAAACTTTCCAGTCCTTTGGAGCCGCACTGTCTGTCCATGACCCGCTCAAGCGCTTATGTGATACCAAGGTACTTTTCAGCGCGACATGCATTACTTCGCTGCACAGTCTGCACACCAAGAGTCATGTCTCACAGCTCTTGGGTACGCACGACCGGTCCAAACGCAAAGTCGGTACCTCAGGATTCCGTGCTCGGCAGTGAGCTACAGTACACCACGCTTTCGGCATGTGTGGGAACATTCTGTCGGTAACTTTTATACTGGATACTTTTCTGACCATCATGGCATCGTAGTGTGGCACATTGCCCTCGTGCATCGTCATTAATTCGTATACTGTGATCTACTCGTCTTTGGCGTAGAAGATCTCGTGGTAGCGGTGCGTGGCATCGACTACGGCATCTATGGCGTTGAAGTCTGGTGTTTTACAAGTCAACTCTCCAGCGCTTTAACAGTGACATTGTGTGCGAGAATACGAACCTATGCTGCCTTCTGGACCGAGATCTGTAGAGGCGAGAACGCGAACACTCAGATCTTGTTGGACTTTGCCGATGAACTCGAAGGCGTGGTTATTCTGGAGGTGGCAGTCCTGTGATTGTCTTGTCAGTAATTTGACAGGATTTTGCTTGATGGAAGCAGAAAGAATAGTCTACCTTGTTCAAGTGCAAGTCGATCTTGCCGCCTGCTTCAATGGTGGCCATTTCGCCGCGGATTTGGCGGACTTTGCCTAGGATGCGGACTGTGCGGTGCGAGAATTGCTCAAGGTAGGGAGCGGTGATGCGGGGAGTTGCTTCGGACATGTTGAGGCTTCGGTCGTGATGTGATGCGATGCACTTTTGATGGTGAGTCGAGGTTGATTGGCGTGGCAAGGCAGTGAGGTTTGGGGAGACGCGTTCTGGACGCGTAAAGTGTTTTCGGACGGGAAGTGGAAGTGGGGGTAGTTCTCAGCACTACGCCAATTCTTTTCCTTCTACTCCACCTAACATCCAAGACAATGTGATAACCAAACAAACAAAAACACTGCAGAGCCGACAATCCATCACATCATACTCCCGACATCCGATCAAAACCTCCAATACCCCCAGCCTTCCGCAAAACCACTCCAGATCGTCCTTTCCATCAACACCCACACTTGCACTCACACCCAACAGCCTTCAACTTCACCACTTTCCTCGTACACCTCTCAAAAGTCCAGCCCTTCCTCTTTCCCTTCCTATCCCACCCCTCAATATCCACCCACCCGCCATCAAACCGCATATAGCTCACACGGTTCCCATCTCTCTGCAACACGTCTCGAATGCACTCCATGTCGTGGCGCAACTTGTCAATCTCAGATTTGGAGAGTGAGCTGGATGAGTGCCATCTCTTTGTTGTCTTGGACCAGGTCGAGCCGGACCAGGTGTAGCCTTTGGACTTGTCGAATTTGGCGGTGATGACTGTTCTCGATGACGTGGGTCGGTGCAGGAAGCAGCCGATTTTGGCGGAGATCTCGCACATGAGTGGCATGGTTTTGTGGTTTGTGCTTGGTGATTGTTCTCCGCGGTGCTCTGTAGTGGGCTTGAGCGGTGATGAATTTCTTTTCGTCGTTCACGGACTTTTGTGCCATCTCGTCGTTTGCTGGATGAGCGTGATTGAACGAGAAGTGTCTCGTGAATGTGTCTCGCGTAAGGTGTTTGGTCAGGTTGACTGCATTCACAGGTGAGACTTTACAAAGAAAACTACATTGTATGATGCGAATCGATGCTGCAGGTCTTGCTTCGGAAGCTACTTTACTTGGAAGTTACTCCGGGAGTAGGACAACAGATCAAGATCCTAGGCATTGCATTGCTACGGCAAAGACAGGTAGTCTGAGATATACCGCTGCGTCAAAGGAGGAGCAATGCGCTCTCCTGACGAATAGACCAATAATAATCCGCCATCTCACTCCCCTCTCATCACCACCTTGCCGCCCTTCTTCTGCTTCAATCCCCAGTATCGCTCCTTCCCATCAGTCGAAGTCTTGGCCCTCATGCTATTTCCCACGGCCTTCATCGCCGATACTCCATGACCTTTACCTTCGAGCTTCGTCTTTGCAGTTTTCATGAGACCCTGCATAGCTTCCGTCTGCTTAGAAGTGCTCGAAGAAGTGTGTTTGGTATTCCATTTCTCGCAGGAACTGGACCAGCCATCGCCAGAGGAAGATTTGAAGGAAGCTTTGATTGTGGGTTTGGGTTTTGGTGAGTCGTAGCGGACCTCGACGATATACTTGGAAGGCATTGTTGGTTGCGGTGGCTGTGCTGTCGTTGCGTGGTCGAGTTGTGAGAAGTCGTGCGGTGAGTAGGATGATGTTCTTGTGCAACCATCGAACGCTGTCTTATATGTTTTCGGGTTCTCATTGAACCATACAGTATTCGTCGCGAGACCTGGATGTCGTGAACAGACTCTTGCGTTCTGGCGATATGTAAGACAGGTCGTGGCAGACTTCAGATGGTTCTTGCGGTCTGCCATGCTGTGGTATGCGGTTGCCAATGCCTCGCTTTCGTACTTGCCAAATTCCACACGAACAGCGGCGATTGTGGCAAGAACCCTGCAGCGAAGATGCGCTGATTAGTCCGAATTGGTGTTGCATCGGAACTCATAGAGACTACTAGATCGGACTGGTATCATTGGGCTTCCCCGGTCTTTCAGGACGCATCTTCCGGCATGTCGTTTATGGCTGCTGAACCCCGTGGTGATTCGCTCTTTGCAACGTCATCTAAGCGAGATGTGAAGGAGCAGGGACACCAGTCTGAAGGATTCAGCAGGTTGCGAATATGATTCAGACATGGTGCAAGGGCATATGCCCACCAGAACGTCCTCGAACGACGACGAACTTCTCGAGAAGGCATGAGCGAGACCGCCTTCCACTTCAGTCAGCCCTACCACGAATTGCGAGAGTTCCGAGAGTCCATATCCATGGCATAACAATCAGAAGTCCAGCATCATCCCCACACCCACCTTCTCGAGATCCTCCAACTCCAACCACCCGACATCACTCTCCTCCACCTCTCCCCGCTCCGCAGCTTCCTTCTTCTCGGCCACACACCTCGCAATCGTCTCCCGCACGAAAACGTCTAGATACGTCTGCACAATCTGCAAAGCTTGCGTGTCAATCTGCGTGTCCTGGTGCGTGAATCCAGAGTGTAAGAGGCGGAGAAGCAGAGGTTGTGGAATACTGGGTATGCCATCGGAAGACGAGAGGGCAGGGGGGAAATCGTCATTAGTTGAAGTAGTGGCTCTTGCCGTCGTTGTCGAAGGCTGAGGCTGATCGACATCGTTGGTGGAGTCGATTGATATAGCTGAAGCTTTGCGCTTGGCTGTAGTCTTGTTCAAATTTGTAGCAGTGGTGGAAAGGGACGGTAGGCTCTCGTCGTCTTCATCGGTATCATTGGCGGCGCCGCCTTTGGCGGAACCGTTCACGTTTTCGTCATCGTCGTCTTCGCTATCAGGCAGTACCGTGATTTTCGGTCTTGCTTTCGAAGCTGGGTTAGGTCTTGATGTAGACGGTCCTGCTTTCTTCGCCGTTGGTTTCGGTTTGGGAACGGCACTTTCAGATTCTGTGGTCGAGGTGCGGCCTATCTTTGTTGGCCGCAAAGGTTTGAAGGCAGGTGTCTTCGCCTTTGATGAGGGATACACGACTTGCTCCTTGGGTTCTTTTCTCGGTGGCATGATGTCGTACGTGATTATGGAGATGAGAAGGGTGAAGTCGCGTAAAGTGGAAACGCGACTGCCCCGCGTTGGCGTCGCGAAGACGCGTGACCGCGCGAGACACAGTTCGATCTTCTCCTTTTCCATTGATCACAACTTTTTGACCGCACAGTACAGGTTTCTCATCGATTTCAACATTACGAAATAACAGAAAACTACAAGCTCTTCTCTAGGTTTAATGCTCAGAATTCTCGCCAGAAGCAGCTAGGTGGCACGCTCACAACCACCACTGCAAATTTCAAAAAGCCCTTCTGAAAGTGGGCAGCTGGAGCACGACCCTCCTACTGATTGACATCGCACAGGATTCAGCATGCTAATTTCACTGACCTCCCCTCGGTAGTGCCGAAGACCCATCGGTTGGACCATTCAACGCAAGCTGCACCAACTGTCGGAAGTTTGGTGTTCCAAAACCAGTGACCGCGTCCCAACCTTGCTGCGCTGGGAAGCCGGCAGTATTACAGCCAGAACTGCTGCCGCTGACAATATCGGTGAGGCCTTGATAGCCGACAGAATAGATCCAAGGATTCAAGAACCCGAGCGGTGGCTTTCCAGCCGCGATTAAAGCGTCGTTGACCAGAGCAATGACTCCAGCGAAGGTGGGTGCAGAAGCAGATGTGCCACCGATAGTGCTGAGCTCCCCATTGAATACAACAGCATCATGATCTCCATGCGCGGCAACATCTGGGTAGCCTCTCCCGGTTGGATTATAAGCACCACCGTACTGCGACCCCAGGCTCTGGATGTAAGCCTGGGTAGTGCTTTTCTGGTATTCTGGCGCGTCAAAATAGTAGCTGAAGCCACCGCCCGAAGCGAAGCGACTCACGGCGACTTCTGGGTTAAAGCCCGACGTTGCACCGACTCCAGTGACCCATGGACAGCTTGCTGGGAAGACGGCCACAAATTTGTCGCCACTGCCATCGTTGGCGATACATTGGCCATCTTTGCCGACTCCATCGTCTCCCGTACTGACGATCAGTGATACACCTCGAGCCGAGAGCTGTGCGAACCCGCTGCAGACACGCTCGGCATATGATCTGGGAACTGTCATCTCTTCATCTCCGTATGAAGTACTGATGACTTGTGGGACTTGATCAAGGGCAAGCATGTAATCCAGCCACTCAAGATATGGCTCGTTGGTGTTGTCCGGAGTGGCAGCGCTCGGCTGGAAAGGCGGGCTGCCACCAGTGTGATATGCAGTCAACGGAATTGGATAAGCGATACTTGCAATATTGCCCGCATCCAGATTTGCCTCCTGATTAGTTGATTCCGCAATCTTCTGCGGGCTGATGTTCTGATCGACGTCGCCGTTGGCAATAGAGACGATGTTGACTTCATTTCCTATGTTAGAAGCATCTGGTCGGAATGTTTGCATAAACTGTGAGATGTCGCTTCGAATCACAGTCTGGTTCAGATAATTTGTTGTCGCGACCGTCTGCTGATTGGGTGCTTGAGGGATGTAGTCGATGGTTCCATAGAGCGTTCGGCGACACTGTGGTGTGACATACTCTGTTTCAAGTCAGCTCAAATTCGCCTATCAACCACAGGTCAACATACGGTCTTGACAAACTTGGGAGACATCAATAGTACCGCCAACGTTGCCGCCTTGAGGGGGCTGGAACCCGCCTTGACTGGGCTGTCCGTTCTGCTGAGGCTGCGATTGTCCAAACTGCGGCACTTGTGCTCCTTGCACCGGCGGCGGCTGGCCATTGATGTTTGACTCATAAGACTGCCCATACTGCCCATCAGCTGTACCTGCGAAGGCCTGTGGGTAGACCTGCTGTCCTTCAGATTTCCACCAAGCGGCATCGTGCCAAGCATTGTTGTCAGAAACCAAATGCTGTTTTGGATGGAAGAATGAGTTCGTAGGTTGAACAATCTCAACAGAATCAAGAAGGAATTCGGGAAGTGACCACTCAGGTGCACGGTTGATCTCCGTGCCATCCTCGTGTTTGAAGGTCGAATAGGTAGTGTTCAGGAGAGTCTCCGCCTTGCCGATAGGGATTGCGCAGTGGATCATCGTCTTGGACTTGTTTGGAACATAGTTCGTAATGCCGTGTTCTTCCAGCCACGATTTCACCAAGTCCATAGACTCTTTCGGTGGCGCCACGATTTCGTCAATTTCTTCTTGGCTCAGGTGCTTGCCATAACGTTCGTGTGTGGGATCCGATATTTGCATCAAGTGCTGCTCGATCGCACCAGGATTCTGTTGGACAAGTCCGATCTTCAGATTGAGAGTGTCACGCTTGGAAGCAGGTCCAAGTTTCCTCCATGATCTCGGCACCACGTGGCGTTCCTTTAGCACGTATGTTGTAGAACGTTTCTGCGACGGCAATGCTCCAGTGATACTGATGAAGCCAAGAGTGGCGACAAATTGAGAGAACAACATCCTGCTACATGTCAGTGAGAAGATCCAGTCGTAGGGAATCGTCGATATGTGACAATGTGCTCGTACCTAGATGTGGACGCGGCCGCGTGTAGTAGGTGCTATCAGTGGCCTGGCTGATCTCGGCCGTAGTAGACTCCCACTGAGTGCTGCTCCACCGCTTGTGCAGAAGGAGGAAAATGAAAGTTGAACAAAAGGTCCAACGATGATCAATGAGTCAAAGATGTGCTAACAGTCCATGATCTCTTTGCTGTTTGAATTATGATACCAATGATTGCGCCCGAAATGGCAAAAGAGTGTGCCGAATGATGCTGCAGAAGTGTAATCCAGACAGAAGGTAAGGTATGGAATGGGAAGTCGATGATGGCGTGGTGAGGAGAGTGGTCGTTCCTGTCGTTTCATTTGGACACGCTCAGAGCCTCGGCAGGCATGTCCCACGTTGGAATCTATAATGAACATGTTTGACTTCGCAACTTCCATGGATGAAGAAAGTATACCGGATCAATGCATATTTGGACCTTTTCTCAAAGCTCACGCAAACGCCTTCAGTCGTGGTGAAGCGAGACAGACTGGCGTGTTCGCAACATGTTCGCCATGCTTCCGAAAGTACGATATCGTGTTGAGCGTTGTGCTTCTGCGACGAGTCAGTCAAAGTACCAGCAGATGAGGATGACTGTTGTTCGAGGCCACCCTTGACCAAACCTGGTCTTGGCAGAGCCAGAATAGTTTTGTGCCTGAGTTAATGGCGAGTTGGCTTTTGACAGCCATGCCGTCCGGCTTCTCCGCGCCACGTGCGTGCTCTGAGAAGAGTCGAGGCACGAGTAAATGCAGCGATCATGGGATTGTCCCAAATTACACAATCTTGGCTTCATCAGTTCTTCTCGTGTTCAGTCGGAATCTGCTTTATGCCAAGACATCTACCTCTGCGAGGTGAGGTGAGACAATGTGGCCTGTCTACACAAGAGTGCTCCCAATGTTTGAGTCTCGGTCATTATTTTTTTGGATCTTACGGCATACAGTATGTGCATCTCATCTCACTTTTTCTTCTTGTCCTTTCCACTCTTCGCATTGGTCGCTGGAGAGCCGCCTAGGATTGCATCGAAGGTTTTCGATGCGTCGACCGAGTGCACTGGCGTCCGTGGTCTTTCGGACACTGCAGGACTCGGGTAACTGCCATCAGGCGTGACTCCAGCCGGCAGCGGAAGTGCCTCTAAGCCGAGGCCAAGAGTTGATAGCCTCTTGCTGCCGCGACTGCTCGTCTGGCTATTCGGACGAAGCAGATCATTTCCAGATGGTGGTGCTGGTAGGCCCTGAGCATCATGCTGCGCCGTACTGTTCGTCTGTTCGTGCAATGCGGCGCTCAGGATTGGATTCGCTGCGCACCATCGCTCCGCCATGACCCAACAGTGACTTCTCTTGTATATGCCCTCCACACCATGATCAATCAGGTCCGAAGGAAGGGAAACCACACCTCCGCCAGCGCCCACTGAAAACCACGTTCTGCTCCCAACACGCCCACCTGCAGCATTCGGATCCGCCCATGGCACGCCAGATCGAGGCGGTTCGCACAAGAAATACTCCACGCCTTTCGTCCACTTCAAACTTGGCGCGTCACATGCTAACATTGGCAAAGCTTGCAACACTGTGTACATGAAGATCCACTGTCCAATGCGAAGATCTTCGAGCTCAGAAGCCGTGCAGCCATGCGCCGCTCTCTTCTCCATCTCACGGAATGCGTCCACAAATGGCGTGACAAGTGCATCGTCGTTCCAGCTCGCTCGGAGAATTTGGTGAATCTCATCATCCTTGAGCTTCTTCAGTAATGCTTTGGCGTCTTTCTTGGAATCGGCGCCGAAATCTTTCCTCGAGCTTCGCAGTGTAGGGAGTTTTGGAAGATCAAAAGGAATCGGTGGCTTTACGGGTGGTGTTGAGCGGTCGTATTCTGACAGCACTGCCCTCAGTCCACGAATCACAGCCTCATCCCGCGAGTCATCCATATTGATACCGTCGATGGTCCTCGAAGTCAGGCTGTTGCGGTCTACAAGCAAGTCGTACATGGAAGACAAGTCATGATAGACATCTCGAAGTACCAGGCGATTGAGACCAGATGTCTCGAGAGTATTCTTCTTGCTGCTTGCCTTTGGAGGCCAGTCGCCATAACGCTGCTTCAGGAGACCAAGCATGAACTTTCGCATCCCCAAAAAGTGCTCTTTCCAAGCGTCGAAGCGTACACCTTCTTTCCGTTCGATGGACGTCTTTGAGGCCATGATGCCGGAGAACAGGAAAGGAAAGTCGAAATCGGTCATGATAAGGCGGATAGCTGCCAAACGTTTGTCGAGATCCATCGCCGCACGCGTCAGTCGATTTTGCGTGATAGGACTGATCATGTTGAACTTCGGACTTTTGAGGGCCAGCAGATCCTGATGCTTTCCAGCGGCGTGTGTGAAAGCCTCGTTGTACAGGGATACGTTCTTCATACGCTCACCGAGGACAAGCCCTTCGATGGTCTTCTCGCGACTCGATCGGCAGTCTCCAAGTCCTAGTTCCTCAACGTACGCATCGAAGCTAGAGTTCGCTACCTCTCCGTATGTCGATCCATCCACATTCGTGAATTGGTAGGACTTTAAGATACCTGCGATGGTCATGAAAATTCCAAAGAATGAGCTTCGCCTCTCGGTCGCAACCAAAGATTGTCCGGAAAGGAAGGCAAAGAAGTTGCGATAATCGATCAGAGTCTGCACGTCTTCTGTGCTTGCCTTCCCTGTGCCGGGCTGAGTTGTGTCATCCGTACTCAGCTTGATAGGTAGGTACAGATGGCTTTCCTGAGGCTCTGAGAAATTGGAGTAACCACCTCGAGAGTCGCGTGAAGACGTCGAGCTCGAACCATGCACCGTGCCGCCTACTGGCTTTCGCGTGACGCCCGTAGGAGATGTCAGCGAGTCGGCGGGCGGCGCGTGCGGAGCATGCTCTTCCAGCTGCATGGCCCTTCTATCGCCATTTACCACACTTTGGCTACTATAGATGTCGCCAAATGCGAGCTTGGTAAGCATTGGCGAAGAAGCGAAAATTTGTGAATCCACCTTCAACGATGCTCCTTTGCCCGAGGTGCGCGGGTAGAAATATACGAAGCAGTTGCCTTCGTCATTGTTCCAGAGCTCTGGAAGAGGCTGCGCGTTTATTAGAGACTCGACATCGTACGGAATCTTTTGAGGATGTCCCGAGATCCATGCTATAGGACCCTTCGATGCCTCATTTTTGTCATCCTTCTTATTCCACCAGTGCTTGCTCTTTTTCTTGTCATCTATCGGCGACTGCCCAGGCAGTTGTATTATTGGTGTAGCAGGTCTGCTCGGGTTCAGGCCTCCGGGTGTGCCCGGTCTCGAATTGGCTGAATTCGACCTCGAATGTGAGCCTGCATTCAAGGGCGGCGGTGGCATGAGATCGCGATCTGTGCCCATGGCCGCAAAGTCATCCTGTAGACTCTGCAAGCTGGGGAGCGTAGGAGGGGCGGCATTGTCGGCTGTCAAAAATGCCCCAGAGGGCTTTCGAGAGTGTTCGTTTTGTGGCACCTGCTTCGACAGCTTGCTGGGCGATTTCGATCGGTTCGCATTGGGAGGAGATGTTCGTCGCGGCGATGTACTCGAGCTCGGTGCCGTGTTCTTCTTGTCCTCAGACTGGAAGGAGTTGGTGAAGATGGCGGAAAGTCTTCGCGCCATGGTGAGGAGGGTGATGGGATATACTTGAGATTTCTAGGTTGTGCATAGGTATTCGATTTCGAGGAATATTGTATCACGCCCAAACAACAAAAACAGGCAAACAAGCAAGAGAGGTGAATGGGATCAGGTGGACAACATGAAAGTGGGCAGTACCCGAGAACACGCACATGTGAGGCAGGTGTCATGCTAAAGTGCCTTAGCTACTTACGCAATAGGCCAACACGCAGGGGCGGAGTCGCGAGGCAGATCCTGGTCACAGCCAGCCCTGGCGGTTGCTATGCTAAGACTCGCGCGGATCAGGATCAAGGCACCCGGTGGGCGGGCGAAAATGAGGGAGCCACCGAGGATCACGTCGTGGGCTATTGGCAATGGAAACGCCTTGTCTGTGTGGCTGAGAGCGCGAGCTGCGCTGGGGCTGCAGACGCTGCGAGAAAGTGGGCGGCGGAGGATGACGTCGTAAATAGAAATGCGCCGCGCAAAACGATCACTTGCCACGCACTCCGCCGGCTCCAACGTGAGACTACCGGTCTTGTGCGGTGCGTCTCGCCGAACCGTTTCACATCCTCCTGGAGTCGACCGCGAAGTCTGCAGCTCCTTCCGTTGCTCGCAAGGCTGAGGAGTCACGTTCGGCAGCAAGCAGTGGACAGGTAGGACGAGAAGGACTTCCTCCGAGCACGTCAATGCCCAGAAACGATCTTCTCCGCCTCGTTCGGAATCTATTCTGGTCAAACTCAACAGCCGCCGCCGCTATCGAGCCCCGAGCGAACTCTGCGCTAAAGATGTCGTCTGCGAAAGAAGCTATCAATCTGTTGAGAGTGAGAGTAGCACCGGTCATCTCATCACATTCAGCCTCTGACTCTGACAGGGCTGGCCTTCAACCGACTTGCTGCCTGCCAAGCTGATACAGGAAGCTGCTCATCATGCCCTGTCTGACCAGTCCGTTGTGATTCCTGGGCTTCTCTATGGGCCTGACGAGGGCTACAAGCCATGCCGTGAAGCCGTTGCGAAATGGCTCACGGACTTCTATGAGCCCGTCCGACCCATCGACTTCGAGCGCATCACTATCACAGGCGGCGCATCGCAGAACATGAGCGTAGCGCTTGGTGTGTATACAGATCCTGAGTATACACGCAATGTCTGGATCGTGACGCCTGGATACATGCTCATCTTCCGCATGTTTGAAGACGCTGGCTTCGGCGAAAAGCTGAGAGCAGTCCCAGAGGATGAAGAGGGCATAGACATCGAGTATCTGCGGCGAGAGATCCGCAAGAGCGAGGATCATGCACAGAACACAGGAAACACAGCCCCCCGTTACAAGCCCGATCGGAAGAGAGCCAAGGTTTTCCGACATTTGATCTATACTGTGCCGTCGTTCTCCAATCCTTCGTCGAGGACAATGACTCTGCGCAGGAGGCGTGAACTCGTGAAACTCGCACGAGAGTTTGATGCTTTGATCGTTTGTGACGACGTCTACGACTTTCTACAGTGGCCCGTTGGTGAAACGGAGACGACACTGAAGAAAGCCCACCTTCCTCGGATCGTGGACATTGATCGCGAGCTGGATGGTGGCGCTGAACGTGAGGGTGCTGATGGCTTTGGTAACGTTATGAGCAACGGAACATGGTCCAAACTCGCGGGTCCTGGTCTACGATCAGGTTGGGCAGAGGCGACACCGAAGTTCGCATATGGTCTTGGTCAAGCGTAAGTGCAACATCTCTCCTTGTCCCGTGCGAAGGTACAGTATCCTAGCTGCGCAGCACATTTGTCTTTGTTTTTATGTTTACTTTGGGATATCATTACCACGCTAGCTACCCGATCGTCGTGTTTCGTTCTGCAGTGTTAGCACATGGCTGATATCTTGCAGCGGTTGCCAGCGATCTGGTGGCTCTCCTTCGCACCTAACATCAACATACCTCACACGCCTCCTACAGACTGGCCAAATCCAGAACCACATCAAGACAGTGTTATGCCCAGCCTACGGGACCCGCTACAGGACCTTGATCACTGCTGTACGCCAACACTTACAGCCTCTCGGTTTCACAATTCCACAGCCAGATCGCGAGGTCGCTGGCGGATATTTCCTTTGGCTCGGACTACCGAAGGGACTACGTGGCACGGAATTGGCGACAAGGTTGCAGGCAGAGGAAAACCTGATCGTGGCACCTGGCAAAATTTTCGAAGTTCCTGGTGACGAGGAGGCAGTGCCTTGCGATAGCAGTATACGACTCTGCTTTGCTTGGGAAGCGGAAGAGAAAATTCGCAGCGGCGTGGAAAGAATTGCTGCCACGACCAAACTTCTGTTAGCCGCAAAAGAAGATGGGGCAGATGGATTCGTGGTGGTTGAGAAGGATACTGCAGACATGCTTCAGACTTTTCGATGATTGAATGCGTCGCATGAGGAGACAGAGCATCTAGATCGTGGTGTCGCTACCCATTCCTGCTGGATCCCACGACTTCCAGATGGCGTTTGTAGACAGACCATGCGCGTGCATTAGCACAATGGCTGGTATCACCATAGCACAGCGAAATCGTGAATGAATCCCAGCCAGTCCCAGATTGACGGAGGCTGTCGTAGACCACCGAGACCACGCTCCCAGCGGCGTAGGTTCTTTTGCTCTGTTGTGTTCCGACAGCCATGCTGGGAGACGCCGTTGTTTGGCATGACGTGCCGGTGTTGGACCCAGAGTTCGTCGAGGCGGTTGGCGGGTAGCCGAAGGGCAGGGAACCACGGTCCATCACTTGCTTTACGAACCTCCCGGGCAACAGGGCGTCCAGAATGGTCTTTGACGCGATTCCGGAGTCGCACGTGCGAGACGACGAGTGACAGCCGCTGGCTGCATGGCGAAATGAGGAGCAGTACAGATGCAGCTGTTGCGAGCGTGGCCAGGATCGACCAGTCGCATCCCGCCAGACGGCCAACCGCATTTTCAGTATCATGTCCACGACAACCCAGACCTGGTGCTGCTCTGCTATGAATCGTTACCAGCTGCACATGGCCAATAGGGAATGCAGTCCTCTGATTCACGAGACATTGCACGTGTCACCGGCGGGTGGAGAGAGATGTACTTCGGGGACAGGCCGTTCGTATAGGTACCTACGCGTTGTGTCTGCTGTGCACCGTCTGTCCGGTGTGCTACAACAATATATGACAGGTCATGCGCGAGTAGAAGTCTTGAGGTGGGTTGTGTCCCAGCTAGCGTTCTGGTCGTGTTGTACCTTCTGCGATCGTGCGTGTGGCAAACGCGGAAGGAGATCTAGACTTGCCAAACGTTTGTTCCTCGTACCTGTTTCATGTTCGTAGATGCTGGGACTCTTCAACGGTCGTTTCTGGCGCGTGGTTGTACGGTGCCCCCGCGTTTGCGACCCTTCCGGGAGGCAAGGAAGACCATGTTTGTGAGAGGGATCTGCGTTGATGCCGCACGCGCTGCTCCTCGGCAGAGAGCGACGGAAATGAAGAACCGCAGCGATGAAGCTTCTGCTTGCCAGATAGAAGGCATATGATGTGCACCAGTGACGATGAACAAAAGGTCAGAGGACGGGAGAGAAATAGGCCCTGTTTGGGGCCTTGACAGACGGACCTATCAGATGGCCAGCTGCCAAGGTCGCGTGCAGGGCTGATGCACGCTAACCCATAGAACTTTGGTCAAGTCGACGTCCGACGTCGTCTGTCGAACATTCTGCTGTCGGAGGTACAGTGTGCGCGTGAAGCCCCTTGACGACTGCAGTCCAAACACCGTGTTTTGTGGTGGATGCGAGATGTCTGGGCGGCTGCCGTTCGGCGCGGCCTGGGTCTCACAGCGCCGTTTGAACATGGCTAGGCTGGCTGCATTCCATCGCTGGCAGTGATGGTGGGTGTCCACGAGGCTGAGAAGAATGATCGCTGGGAATGGAGCTGTCCCACCTCTTCTGTCACATAGGTGGGGGATGGCGGCGAAGATGGAAGTTATAAGAGTCGCGTAGGCGCGGGCAGAAGCAAACGGCAAGAAGACTCCAACTCGCGACGTGCATGCGCAGGAGAAGCATCTGAAACGACACAGGCGCGCTGGTCACTGGCCCAGTAGCGAAAAGAGGGATCATTGGTGTGAAACTCACGGAGTTGCCAGACTAGTGTGTAAGTCATCGCCTACCCGCATTGTTCAGTGCGTATGCAGCAGCGGCCCTCGATCAAAAGACCAGAGGTCTGCTCTGCCTCGCATCCTTCACCGGCACTTCACCTCCCCTCAACATTCGCGAAGCGTCTCTCCCTATTGTCCGCTGTTCTATTGTTGTTCCAAGACACTCATTCACAGCGTGCGCAACGCGTCGCTGCCCTTCTTCCATTGTGCGCGCTTTCCTGATATAACTTTCAGTCTACCACTTTACAACTCGACCCAAGAGTTTTCTCGCACACACCAAAAACAGCCCACTCTTTTCAACAACCACAATCACTGATCCGTGCCGGCCACCGATCTTCCACCACAAACACCACTTGCTCTTGACAGCAAAGATGTTTTCGCCACGCAGCCTTGCGCTGCTCGCAACCGCACTCTCAGGATTGCTTTCATTCTCACCCGCCGCTCAAGTCGCCGCCGCGCCCGCTGCACAAGCCGACAGCGCCGCAACAGCCGCCAGCAGCTACTGGCTGGGTACCATCTCGCGTGAAGGCGGAACTGTTTGGGGCAACAACGACACCGACTACAAGATCTTCCGCAATGTCAAGGACTTCGGAGCCAAGGGCGACGGTGTTACTGACGATACTGAAGCCATCAACACCGCCATCTCCAGCGGCAAGCGCTGTGGCCAGGACTGTGAATCCTCAACTATCCTGCCAGCGATTGTTTACCTGCCACCCGGTGTTTACAAAGTCAGCAAGCCGATCATCATGTACTACTACACTCAATTGATTGGCGATGCGGTCGAGAAGCCCACCATCCAATCCACACCCGACTTCGCAGGTATGGCAGTTCTCGACAGCGACCCGTACGACGACACTGGCAAGAATTGGTTTATCAACCAGAACAACTTCTTCCGACAGGTTCGCAACCTCAAGCTCGACCTCACCCAAACGAAAGCGGGAACTGGTATCCACTGGCAGGTCGCCCAGGCTACATCACTTCAGAACATTGATTTTATCATGACGGAGAGTGCCGATAGCGAGCAGCAAGGCATTTTCATGGACAACGGCTCGGGAGGCTGGTTTAGTGACCTCACTTTCACTGGTGGCAAATTTGGCGCTTTCCTCGGCAGTCAGCAGTTTACATCTCGAAACCTCGTGTTCAAGAACGTGAGAACCGCAATCTACATGAACTGGAACTGGGGCTGGACGCTTTCCAACGTCTCTATCTCTGGTAGCACCGTTGGCATCGACATGTCCGTTTCCCCTGCTAATCAGAGCGTTGGTTCGGTGCTGCTGAGCGACAGCGTTATCGAGAACACGGAGTACGGCGTCAATTCCTCCTTCTCGCTGACCAACAATGTCCCACTTACTGGCGGTTCTCTGGTTCTGGACAATGTTGACATGTCTGGCGTCAAGCAGGCCGCCGTCTGGTCCAGTAAAGACCAGAAGTCGATTTTGGCACCTGGCAAGATCTCAAGCTGGGTTCAAGGCACAAGTCACGTCAATGCTGCCAGCGGAAACCGCACCCAGAGCTCTACATCAACCTTGAAGAAGTCAGCGCTACTCGTCGACTCTGAGGGAAAGGTCTACGGCAGAAGCAAGCCTCAGTATGAGAACGTCCCCGCTTCCAACTTCAAGTCTGCCAAGGCTGCTGGTTGCAAGGGCGACGGCGAAGCCGACGACACCCAGTGCATCAGAGACTTGTTCGGATCTGTTGCGAGCGATCCAAACGCCATTGCTTACTTTGATCACGGCGCCTACCTCATCAAGGACACAATCACGCTTCCCAGCTCAATCAAAATCACCGGAGAGATCTGGCCGCTCCTTGTTGCAGACGGCGAATCCTTCAACGACGCTGAGAACCCTAAACCCGTCTTTCAGGTCGGCGCTCGTAACGGCGATGGTAAGGGCGAGGTTGAGATCACCGAGCTCATGTTTGAGACCAAGGGCGCTGCTCCGGGAGCTATCATGATTGAGTGGAATTTGAACTCCGACCCGCTTAAATCAGGCATGTGGGACAGTCATGTCCGCATTGGCGGCTCCTACGGCACTCAGCTGTCCGAAGGCGAATGTCCAGGCTGGCCAACAACCGAACCCACCGACAAGTGTCAAGGCGTTTTCCTCATGTTCCACGCTCGACCAGAGTCAGGCGGCCTCTACCTTGAAAACACATGGTTTTGGGTTGCTGATCACGACTTGGAGGTGAAGAACCAGACTCAAATCTCTATTTACAGCGCTCGCGGAACATTGATCCAGTCGCAAGGACCGGCATGGCTGTGGGGCAGTGCCTCCGAACATTCAGTGATCTACAATTATCAGATCGATGGCGCAAAGGCTGTGTTTGGAGGTTTCATGCAAACCGAAACTCCTTACTTCCAACCGAACCCGGAGGCCACGGAGCCATTCTCGGTGAACACAGAATACCACGACCCAGACTTCTCCAACTGCAATGCGACAGGATCTCCTGATGTCCCATGCGCAGATGCTTGGGGTCTCATTGTGAAGGACACTGAGAGCTTGCTTGTCTATGCTGTGGGAATGTACTCATTCTTCAACAACTATCAGCAAGCATGCGTTCCGCTTCACAATTGCCAGGAAAACATGATCAAGATCCAAAATTCAACGGTAGACATGTACACCGTCACCACGAAGGCCGCCATAAACATGATTCTTGACGATTCCATTCAAGGCGCCGTCCTTGCTGCGCCCAACCGCAACATTTTCGGAGACACAATCGCCTACTACCACTCGGGCTCTTCTTAGGGAGATGCGCCCGAGCCAGATGGTGCGAGCAGTGTTTCCTCGAGCGGATACCCAATTAGCGATGTGACCACAGCTCGCAGTAGCAGTACTGTGAGCAGCATCGCCACTCTCGTCGCGAACAGTGCTGCCAGTATCACCGCCGGTGTCACTGCCATTGCTCATACCGGAGGAGCGCCGGACATTGTCACAGTCGTCTTCACCGCGACTAAGACCGCGACAGTCGCCGCCACTCCTGTTACCTCACCCGCCTGCTAGGCAGGTTGGTGGTCTTCACTTTCGACGTACACATTAAGATAGAGAGTCTCTGGTCGACTTCTCTTGCAGAAGCGCAGAGTGTGACAGCCACGACAGACATGATTATACCCAGCGCCAAAGTCTGGCTGCGGATGACCGGAGTTGGTCCGGGCAAGGGAGTCAAGGCGTTTTGTTTTGTTTGGCGGTTCCCGCCTGTTTTCAGGATGATTCATGAGATGCTACTCACTGTAGCTAGATGAAATGTGACATTGAAAAGTTCCCCAAATTTCCTCGCATTTCCAGCCTCTTCTTTCCACTCGTTGCAGATACGTGAATGTCAAGTCGCCCAGTATCTGCTAATACTCCTAACTTAGTGAAATGATAGATAGCTTCATTTTCATCCCACCGGTGCACATAGGTTCCATGACCTGCTTTGGTTGCTGACTAAGATTGGCTTCGCTACGTCAGAACGACAGAGCTCTACTCCATGTAGCATCGTGGACCACGCTTCTAACCAGCGTTACCATGTTGACTGCGTCACGCGAAGCATCATACGTCTGTGCGAGATGCCTTGCGCGCCAGAGTAAGCATGCGCGCCGTCAGTATGCCACAAGCGCATCGCTCCCACCAGCTCCACCACCGTCCGGCGCAGCTAAACTTACTACCCGCCGCCTCATATCCCTCCACGGCGCCGAAACACCCAAGTTCCTTCAAGGCATAATCACGAACAATGTGCGGCCAGAATCGACGTCGGGCTTCTATGCGGCTTTCCTGACAGCGCAAGGCAAAGTGCTGCATGACACTTTTGTCTACCCTACCGTTGGGAGCGAATGGCACAAGCAGCAGGGTGGAGCAGAAGATGATGCTGGGTATTTGCTGGAGGTGGATGCAGATCAGGCAGATATCTTGATGAAGCATTTGAAGAGGCACAAGCTGCGAAGCAAGTTCAAGCTCAGATTGCTGGACGAAGGCGAGCTGGACGTGTGGAGTTTGTGGAAAGAGGAGGACAGATGGACGGCGCATGGTACGGCTTCGGCGCAACAGACGGCTGGCATCGTTGGAATGTCAGATCCACGAGCGCCGGGCATGGGACAGAGACTGATTCTGCCCGAAAAGAAGAAGGACGAGGCGCTGCAAGATTTGGAGGAGACGACTCTGGATGCGTACACGATTCGAAGATATCTGAGAGGCGTGCCTGAAGGACAGATGGAAATGCCCAGAGACGAAGTCCTTCCTATGAATTGTAATATTGACATAATGAACGGCATCGACTTCAAGAAGGGCTGCTACGTTGGCCAGGAATTGACGATTCGGACACATCATACTGGAGTTGTGAGAAGGAGGATACTGCCGATCACATTGTATGAAACCGGCGCTGGAGTTTCGGAGAAGCCTGATTACAACCCGGCTGCGACGATCAACGCGAGCGATTTCATCGGCGCGGACATCAAGAAGGATGACAAGCGGAAACGAAGCACTGGAAAGATTATCGCTGGGATAGGCAATGTTGGCCTCGGCATGTGCAGACTGGAACAGATGACAGATCTCAAAATCACAGCTGAGCCTAGTCCGTTCTCGCCAGAGGAAAAGTTTGTGGCGCAAGCAGGAGACGGGGCCGAAGTGAGTGTCAAGGCATTCGTGCCGGACTGGGTGCGAGGGAGCATACGAGAGCCAAAGCAACAGAAGCGTGTGGAATAAAAGCGATTCTTCGCGACTCTGCACTGATGAATGAGGAAATGTGAAACGCGTGGTAGGATCATATGCGGCTTCCACAGAGTACTCTGGTTATACGAGCTTTGCATTTGAAGAAAGTCTTCTCATTGGAAGCCTAGAATACATGTAGCATTATAATGTCACGAACTTACACATTAGAATTCATGCAAAATAGCTCGCTAGCATATTCGAAACAATCGAATGCCTTTGTCTTCTCTGTGCGTAGCACGAGACCTACGCAAGTATATGCTATTCATTAGAGGGGCAACATAATTGATTAGATGTTATCGGTTTAGGGTTCAAGCCGCTTCTAGCTTAGCTCTTTCCATTACTTGTAATTTAACGCATCACCTAAGCCACTCACTTCTACTACACACCCAACGGTGACAAGTTGCAAACGCTTTTAGTTACGCGCCTGTCTCTCGACTCCTCATTCAGACCAAGCAAGAGGCCTCATTCGTCTAACATAAGTTCGCAGCCTTGTATGCAAGCACTGAAGGTGAGTCGGACGGCCTGTGCTCCTGCTTCGCGTCGGTGTCGCGACTGCAGGCAGCGCGCACTTTAGCTTCTCCGATCCCACGAAGCAGCCAGCATAAACCACAAAACCTTGACAAGTACTGATTCGGTCGCAGCGGTTTATCGTATTCGCTGCAGCAGGCGCTGCCTGGCCTCGGCATGAGTAGCTGACCCTCGTCTTCCTTCCTTTCCCTTCGACATGGAGGACGACCCGCAAGATGTGTCCATGTCAGATGGCGAAGTAATCCGCTCGACTGAGACGCATGGGTCATTACTTGCGCAAAGTGGCGGCGATTTTACTGGCAAGCAAGCCATTGGAAGCTTCCACGCCGAGGAGCCATTACTACGACCTCCACATGCCGACACTTTGCTGAAGGGCAAGGGAATACGCCGTGGATCTAATGCCTTCGACCATCAGCTCTTCGCTCGGAAGGATGGTCCTAAGCCGGCCAAGTTCGAACAGCTGCCATATGGCACATTGCAGACGGGTCTTGTTTACGATGTACGAATGAGATTTCATGTTGAGGCGGAGCCATCTGAGGATGACTTACATCCCGAAGATCCGAGGCGCATTCATGCCATCTTCGAGGCGTTCGTTAATGCCGGACTTGCATGGCGAGATGGAGACTCAGGCCCTGCGAACGATTACTACATGGGCCGAATCGATGCGCGCATGGTAACGCGCGACGAAGTGTGTCTCGTGCACACTAGAAACCACTGGAATTGGGTCCAATCGCTCAGTGTTATGAGCTCGGCAGACCTAAAAGACGAACTTCAGCATCCACCGCATGGGAACGACTCAATATATCTATCCAACAGTACGCCATACTGCGCTGCTCTCAGTGCTGGAGGTGCAATCGAGGCCTGTCGTGCCATCATACTTGGCAAGGTGAAGAACGTCTTTGCTGTCATCAGACCCCCTGGGCATCACGCTGAGCGTGAAGATGCCAAGGGCTTCTGCTTTTATGACAACGTCAGTATTGCTACCAAGGCCTGTCAAAAGGAGTTTGGAGATCAGTGTCGCAAGGTTCTCATTCTGGACTGGGACGTGCATCACGGCAACGGAATCCAGCAAGCCAACTACGACGACCCAAACGTGCTCTATATCTCCCTACATGTGCACAAGAGAGGTAATTTCTATCCTGAGCACAGCTATCGAGATAATCGTGTAGCATACGGTGACCACCTTCACTGCGGGGAAGGGGCTGGTCTGGGAAAGAATGTAAACATTCCATGGTCAAGGCAGGGCATGGGTGATGCAGACTATCTCTACGCTTTCCAGCAGGTCGTCATGCCAATCGCCACCGAGTTCAATCCCGATCTTGTTATCATCGCGGCCGGGTTCGATGCTGCGGAGGGCGACATGCTGGGTGGTTGCAAAGTCACACCAGCCGGATATGCGCATATGACACATATGCTCATGTCTTTGGCAGATGGCAAGCTCGCTGTATGTCTCGAGGGTGGCTACAACTTGGAATCCATCGCAAGATCAGCGACAGCCGTTGCACGTACCCTTATGGGAGAGCCACCGGACAGGCTTGAGAATACCGTGGCTACAGTGTCCGGCATCGATGATGTTAAGCTTGTCGCCCGACAACAGAGCAGATTCTGGACATGCCTGTATCCGAAGGACATGTCACATCGTCTCAAGGGCCTACTTCGTGGCGAACGCATGCACAATGTAGTCCGCGGATGGCAAGCGAAGACTATGTGGGACGAATACGAGATGACGCCCCTGTTCGTGCACCGCGAACAACTGGCCAAAGAGTTCGAGGACCAAGTTCTTGCTACGTAAGCTTGTTGTTTCTATTTGAAACGGTTGATGAAGATCTAACGAAGGAGCAACAGGCCCAACTATAGCACAGCACAGGCTTTGTTTGTTGTGCTACATGATCCGCCTGAAGTTCTGGCATCACCAGATCCAAGGACGGGCAAGATCGAGCTTCACAACACATGGCTGGTAAGCAAGCCCAAGAACCTGAGCTGCAGTAGCAGACAGACAGCTGACGTGATCAAAGACTGATATTGTAAAGACCTACGTCGACACCGCGTTCAAAGAAGGCCTCGCTGTAATTGATGTCAACTTGCCCAAATACGTGGTTGACTACGACGAAGATTCGCAAGAGCACCAGCCCAATGAGAGCATTGACTACCGCATCAAGGAAGCGTCACAGTTGCTCAAATACCTATGGGACAACTACGTCGAGCTCAGCGAATGCACCCACGTGTACCTTATGGGCACGAACACCGGCCATGGCGCGATCATCAATCTCCTCAAGAACAATCAAGAGACGTTCTTGAAGAAGTACAACGATCGCGAAGAAGACAACAAACTGTTGAAGGTCATCTCGTTCGTTGAGGACGTCCCGCTTATGTCGTGTAAGTCGCTCGTCAACGGAGACGAGGAATTGGCCCATTGGTATCACCGAAACTCCCTGGTTTTTGTCGGCAGCGAGCATGCGTATTTTGCAAGCGACTTTGCACGCAAACCTAAGCGGCGATTTGGCCAGGTCGTCAAGAGCGATTCCAATACCATCACCGAAATGTTGCTGCAACACAAGGATGCGGTTTTTGATATTCTTCTTGAAGATGCCGAGGAGTGGAGAAGCGCTCAGCATGAGAACGGAGCAGATGAGATGGATGCTGTGCCTTCACCGCTTGCGAGCCCGAGGAAATTGCCTTCGGTGGCATTGTCTCCGACCAACACTGCAGCGGTGCCAGTCTTCTCGCGGCCGGTGGTGGAAAATGGGAACGGAAGTCCGCGCAGACTGCCGCAATAGGATGCGGTCGTTCGCAGCATTGAAACTTCTGAGCCAGTTGGAGTGGGTCGACAAGGCTTTTCATGGGAATGGCGAGAAGAGCGCGGATGAGATGGGAATTACGGGCACGACCACAAAGTGGAGGTAGAATGTCAACGACACGGTGTGACATTCGATCGTCGCTGCCGCTAGTTGCTGTACTATATACCCTTCAGAGGCTTGACGATGAACATTAACAACGAGAAAGCAATTGGTCACACCCGCTCCTGGTCATCATGCTTCAGCACGTGGTCGCTGATTTGAGAAGTGAATTAGATGTTCAAACTGATCATGATTCATTACTGCATATAACATTGCACATTGCAATGTTTCATTTCCTTGACATGCGATCTGCCAAAGGCGATGGCATTTTTTTTTTGTTTGGCTACCCGATACCCATTTCCTCCTCTTCGACCCTCATATTATTCCTCCCACCCCATTACTCAATATCCACCTTCTTGATCTCGACATACCCAGCATCAAGCTTGGGTACTTCCACTCTCAAGATACCATCCTCCAGCCTGGCCGTAATGCCATCGACATCAACCTGAGCTGGATTCGCTCTGCTGCCAAGTCGCACCTTGCGTTCGAAGGCACCGACCTTTCTCTCATCGAGAGCAAGCGTCTTCAACAACTCCTCATCGCCAGGTCGATACACGACGCCTGCAATGCTGAGCTCTGATTTCTCAGTATCCCAGTTGACTCCGACGTCTTCTTTCTTTGCACCGGGAAGAGAGATGTGGACGACGAAGGATTCGGACGTGTCGAATACGTCAACTTCGGGGGTGAAGTCTTCGGATTTGGTATCTTTGTTGTTGTTGTTCTCGTTCTGTGCGCCGAAGAGTTGTTCCTGGAATAGTTCTGCGATCTGGCCAAAGGGACCGAAACCTCCGTATGGATGGAAGTGACCTCGTCGACCGAAGCCCCTTGGACCTCCGCGACCACGGCCGCAGCGTCCGCCACGCGCTCCTGGGCCGTGGTGTTCGTGTCCGTGTTGTGGTCGGCCTTCGGTTTCGGTATCAGAGAACGGTGGTGGTGGACCTCGTGGTTCAGATGGGCCGGCCTCGCCTTCTTCGTTCTCAGCCTGTGGAGGTGGAGGTGGGGGTCCGCGGTGATGGTGTGGAGGTGGACCGTGTCGTCCACGATGAGGGAGCTGTCCCCATGGGAAGCCCGCCCAGCCTTGAGCCCATGGATTGGGTTGTTCGTGTTCGTTGTCGGAGGAGTCCGCGGGGCGGTTGATTCCTTGCTGCTCAAGTCCGGCGACAAAGTCCCAGAAGGGACCGGTTTGGTTGTAGTAGCGTACTGAAGGCATGTTGATTGTGGTGATAATGAAAGGAGACACTTGGGGGTAAGAACAATCACAGTCTTATAGAAAACATCAATACATCAGGACCACCTACCCGAGAGGCGAGCTCACAGGCAGCCGGATAGCAACGCAGAGCATTCGTCAGCCACATAGATGTGAGTAATGTTGGATCTGGAAGCGGAGAGAAAGGAGGAGAACGCCATAGTACGTGGGAGAACCATGTGGTTCAGCAGGTAAACAGCTGCCGCGTGTGCTTGCAAGTAGCTTGTGACGTTGCTGATAGGTCGTGGTTGGTGTACGTAGACTGGGCTGCCTACCGGATGCAGCAGTGTGTAGCCACAGTGGCGAAAGTAGGAACGGATTTCGTGATCTTCTGTCTTGCTTCTCGGCCGAGCTCTTTCTCCGAGCGATTCGATAGTGTATAGTGTATCCTATCCTTCAAGTTATTGGTGACTCACGAGAATGGACGTGGATGTCGTTGTGAGCGCTGAAGCATAATCATCTTGCGCGAAGTTGAAGACGAAACCCGAGAAGTGACAGAGAGACGACCCTCGACCGTCGGCGTGGGACAGCAGGTTGAAGCCGAGAAAAGCTGTCTTCTCATTGGCCACTTTTTTCGATGCAGAGCACTTGCCCCGATTAGTTAGCCGCACGTGCAAGGATGTTGGCTCTCGACCAGTCTCGAGGATCTGGAGACAAACTCCCGCAAACAATTTCCCAACTCTACACACTGGCATAAGCAAGAAGACTCGTAGTCCCGCCAGATCTCGATACCACTCACCACATCCTCCACGTCGAACGAGCAGTCAAAATGGGCAACGGAGCCAAGGCACAGCAAAAGCGTGAGCGCAACGCCAAAGACACCAGCAACAAGGGTTCGCAGTTGAAGAGCGTACGTACTATTTCCAGATCACGACCGTGATGGTCTTGCTGATCTAGAATGTCTGTATAGAACGCTGCTGCCAAGACGATCAAGTGCAAAGTGGTAAGTGCTCGCGCCTCGAGAGACATCATATTTCCCATCTCGGCCAGCCGCAGCTCGCAACTTTTTCTGCCGGACTGAGGATAGACGTTCTCGCCTGGGACACTCGATGACCACCTGCTTACGCCTCTTACAGTGCTTCGCCGACTTCCAGAGCACCACGAAGCAACCCGCCCTCGCTGAACACGCCAGCAATAAGCACAACAAGAAGTACGAGGATTGCTTCGCAGCATGAGCCCGGTAGTACGTGGTAAAGATGAGTTTGATAATAAAGGAGTAACATGGCGCTGAGGCATATACCCAAACGTGGGAGACACGATAGAGGATGAATTCAAAGGTAGCGTTCACGCGGGTTTGCAAGAGAGCGCTGTGTACTTCCAAGGCGCCGCTGCATGTCAGTAGGGAGTGGAGGTGTGCTATTTCGCGAGCACAATAATGCTCTCACCCCCTCTACTACTACGCGAGGCACAGAGTTCTGTGCAGGTGGACGATGACACCACACTGCCCGCGCTACCACGCACTGAAATCGCCAAATCCGCCGCCCTTCTTCGCCTTCTTGGTCGGAGGTGCCATCTCGGACTCGTCCCACTCTCCGACAATTTCATCCTCCTCTACCGGGGCGCCTGCTTGCTTGAGATACTTGCCCACGCCAGCGGCACTTCCGGCATCCTCTACTTTGCCATCCGCTCGTATGCGTTTCCCTGTCCACGTGGTCTGCTCATCCGCCGCACCGCCTTCTTGCCTGAGTCTTTCCTTGCGTGCCTCGGCTGCTTCCTTTTCGTCTCGTTCTTTTAAGAAGTCCTCGAATGGGTCAATGAGGACAGCCATGTCTTGGATGGTGCAGTCCTCGAGGGGTCGTTTGCCGTCGTCCACTTCGATGCTCTCTAGGCGATCCAGTACTTCTAGACCCTCGACCACCCTCCCAAATATCGTGTGCTTCAGGTTGAGGTGTGGTGCTTGTCGGTACAAGATAAAGAATTGGCTCGTATTCGTATCTTTCCCCTTGTTGGCCATTGAGAGCACTCCCCGCCCATCATGCTTGAGTGGTCCTTCCAGCTCATCCGTGAAAGTCTTGCCCCAGCAGCTTTGCCCTCCTCGCCCTGTGCCGGATGGATCACCGCCTTGTATCATGAAGCGTTGGATGTTCCTATGGAATTTCACCCCATTGTAATACCCGCGTTTCGATAGTTGAATAAAGTTCCATACTGCTTTCGGTGCGTGTTCTGGGTAGAGCTCAATGTTCATAGCACCGTGATTCGTGGTCATTCGTACATAGCCTTTCTGCTTGACGCGTTTCGGCTTGAGCATGTACTCTTCGTCGGACATGATCGCTCGCGAGGTATCGGTGGAAGGTGTCAGGCCAGTGCTGGTGAAGGCGGCCGCAGCAGCACCGGTAGTATAACGAGCTGCGTTATGAGGTACTGGCTTCGCCGTCCGCGAGGACTTTGAGACTTCTGCATGTGCCTTTCTTGCATTTGCAAGCGCTTGCGATTCTGCTGAACCATTTGCTGCCTTTTCTCGTTCAGCCCTGGCCTTCGCAACTGCCTCTTTCGCCTTGAGTATCTTCGCCGCGCTTCCCAGATTCTGATTGTTCACGCCGGCGCTCCTCTCAGCTTCCTGCTCAGCCGTTAGAGTACTCTGTCCTTCTTTCAGGTACTTGAAGTCGCTCAGATTTCGTGATTCCAGGTTCTGTGGATCCTGCAAGGTGATAATGTCGGCTCTCGTGAATTCCTCGTCGCTGACCAGATCTCGCCAATTCTTCGCTTTGACGTTGAGTCTCTGTACTGTGTCGTAGCTGAATACATTGCCCGTGCTCTTGATTGCGATTAGATGGGTGTTATCGGTTATGACCTTGAACGTAACAGGATCGACATATTCGCCCTCTTCATTCTTCGTAAAGTTCAATTTGATAAGATCCGAGCTCTTCAACGGCTGTCCATTCACCGGGTTCGTGCCATGCTTTTTGATCCAGGGTAATATGTTCGTCAGGTCGAAGATCGTGCCATCTGCGGTGCATACAGGATGCTCGAAGGGCTGTAATGATACCGCGCAGAAGTTGAAGGGGAGTCGCTTGAAGCTGGCGCCTGCTCCAGAGTTTGCAGATCTTCGTGCGTTTGCGCCAGCGCTCGCGCCGAAGGCATCTTCACTCGACCATTCGGAGTGGGTGATCTGTAGCGAGGTTAGTGAGGCTTTGAAGTTGGTGTTGCGCATTGAGACATACGTACAGCTTATCGGTTCCTGCTAACTGTCAGTATCATTACTACGAGTGTGAAGGTCAAGACGGCCTACCTTTGCCCATTTTGATTTGTGCGACGAGGTAGGTGCGCGTGGTGAAGCTGTCGCAAAGAGAAATGTTGGAAGTGACGACTGGGTCGGAACTTTGAACGCGAACGCCGATCCTACATGTACTCCTCTTTCCCGCCTTTCTCCTCCTCTTACTCTGCCTCCTCAATTACTCTTCCATGACCGACCCCAGTATTTGTCAGCCAGCGAAGCGAGCGAGCGAGGCTGTCACTTGAAGAGTGCATTGTCGAAAGAAGCAAAGAAACGTCTAGCCCCGGACGACAAGTGGAAGGATGATGCGATGCGATATTCGATTGATCAACACACCAACCGAGATCTGATCTGAACATTGGTTGTCACACAGAAGCCAAACCACCCCTCAGAGCCTCGATGCCCATATATTACACATTACATTCGATACCGACTCCTCCAGCACCTCCCCACCGCTATCCGATTTAAGTACGGAAGCAGTACTGAGCCTCTGCTCAGACTGTCTGACCCAGCATCTTGGTGTACAGGAGCTTGACAAAGCATGATGAAAACTTGAAGTAAGCATCGATATAGGATGAGCCGTGAAGAGGAGACCCAATCGGTCCTTATGGCAGCACCGACTCATGGCCAATGCGGTTCCCAGTGCCGTGGGCCTTTGTGCGTCTTTACAGGCGAATAGGACCTCGTAACGATAATGGCCAGAGGGTGAATGCGCGGCCTTCGAGGGACACCAATTGATGAGAATCGTACGACAGCCCAGACAGCAAAGAGCATGGGTATGACAGCTTTGCACAGTCGAGCTGAAGCTGCAAATGTTTGGATTTGTGGTTCCGACCATGGACCTGACCCAGGATATGTTGTTGTGCAGACCGTGGCGTGAGATTGTCGGAGTTTCACGCCGAGAGAATAGGACCTCTGTGACTTCGGAATCGATCAGGGTATTCCACGATCACGAAGTTGATCGAAGTTGAGATCCAGAAAGTCGGAGGCTGCTTTGCTGCCTCAAGCTTCTTCGCTGATGAATTCGAGCACGGCTATTCGAAAAGACATTGCGTTCTGGTTGTTTTGGATGCGTGAAAGCTCACATCGTCTAGCGAGCAACGTCGGTAAAACTCCATGAATGTCCACGAGTGATGTCTCGCACACGCACCTGTTGCAGCATATGTGCATGCATTTGATGGCCAGCAGTCTTTCCTTCGGAAGCCATCTTTTCGCGGTGCTGTTCAGCATCATACAGAGTGTTCATGACGACCGACCACACAATGACGGCGATCGACGCGGCAATCGTGAGCATGTCTCCGTTCTCCATTTTTTTCGCTCCGAGCAAATCGTGTACAGTACGAATAGAAGGAAGTGGACGCAAGAATTCTCAGAATGCAGAAATGTAAGACAAAGACGAGATAGCAAGCATAGAAATCACCTTCGTACGATTATAAGAGTCCTGTAATATGAGTTTCGTGATTCGTCCGTTGGCGTTCAGAATCGCATGATCTTCGAGTTTAGGTTTGCTGGGGTCTGGTCTGGAGGGCGGCAAAAGTGGGCCGATGGAATCGAACCACGATGATGCACATGTGAACGCCGAGAAATGCGTTTCGGCCTGATTGCATTGGCTGAATCCTGTCACAACTTCCCGCACACATCGCAGGCATTCACGTTGGTTGCGGCGTTGAGTGTCAGGCATTGTGCCAGTTAGATGTGCACACGATACTGTACATTGTCATGTTCGCAGTCGTTGCCTGCTCTGTTCGCGACGAGTCTGGCTCTGGCTCAGAAGCCGACCGGGTCTCCGTGGACTGTATATTCATCATCGTCACTACGAAAAGAAAACATCAGCAGATGATAACCACGGCCTGAAACATTTGTGCAACGCATACATGGACTCACCACAAGAACACCCCGCGTGCCCTCATGACATTCAGCAATCGGCGCAAAACCGGCTCTCTTGAATCCGTCGGGCTGACCGCCTGCGAAGCCCACAGGAAAATAGCTTCCAAGTCCTCAATCATACCACTATACTCGCCCTCCATGGAATGTTTCCAATGCCTATCAACGTTCAACGTAAATTTTCCGAGATCAAATTCTCCTAGCCAGCGACCAGAATGCAGAATAAAACCGTGTATTACCACAATTCTCATGTTCTGATGTAGCGCTTGATATGAAAGAGTCCTGTTAAGAAACAACTCGACTTCACAGTCGCCATCTTCGTTGAACCCTTGTAAATGGAATCTGCAGCGGCGATAGAATAGCGGGAGAAGCTCACTTCGGATTTGGCGGTTCGCTAGACTTAGCAAAGGTTGCCAGTATCTTCGGGACTTGTAGACAAAGTGGTATTGCTCGAGTTTGACCAGTGTAGGTACTGTTTGAAGGTAGCGTTCCCAGATCAAGAGACGTAGCTCTTTTGGGAGATCCAGGAGATGGCATTTGCCTTTGGGTTCGCTGACAATGCTTGATGGTGAGGGATCGCGGCCATCGGGTATTACAGACGAAAACGTCGAGGAAGAGTTGGCCTGGCGAGCAGATGGATATAAGGAGGCATTCAGGCTGGCCATGTATGCTTCTGCGCTCGCCATGCTCAATCTATAACCACACCAAGCACTTCGACAAGCTGTCGCAAAGTCTCGATCCGCAGCTCTCCAGAGTCGTGAAGTCCTTTAGAGAAGTTCTGCTGCCGTGCTCGCTCGATGATGTCCTTCACTTCTTTGATATACAAAGGTGGGATCGAATTGAACCACAACTCTGGGCCAAGAATGCTGAAATGCTGGAAGTCGAAATCAATGGTGCCTCTGTAGTCCAGGATGCCGAAACGATGCTTTACTGTGACTTTCCACAAATTCTCCGCAATGCTGGCATTTGACGCAACTGACTCAATCCAGTTGACGACCTCTGATCTGGCTCGCCGGTAGTGCAACGCAAGCAGAAATCGGTTCTGGCGGTAAAAGATCGGCAAGGACTCTTCTCTCAACTGTCGGCTTGTAAGGCTTATCGCGGGCTGTAAAGCTTGAGTCTTCTGTGTAATATCGCTGCTGAAGACGGCTGGAGGCGTAGAAGATGGAATAAACGAAGGCGCGTAGTAGCCGCCAATTGCCAGAGTATTCGTATCTGCGAGAAGGTGTTCGAGAATCACTAGCCTAAGCTCGGTCGGAAGATTGAGGAAATGTGATGCTTCCATGCGCAGACTTTACATGCCACAGGCGAATCGAGCGTATGTGCAATAAGAGCGGCAGAGTCACAAGTGCGCGTCGTGTCCAATGTGGCGGTCGACCTCACCATGATGTGCTGTGCCTTACAGCCTCGCACTAAGCCTCGTTCGGAGAGCGACATTCTTGGCGCGTCTGGTGGAGGTATAGGTAGAGCTGAGACATGGACGCACGTTGAAGTCGAGACTTTAAAGTAGAATTCGCAAGCTGGCATTGTTGAAGTGCTGGTATCACGACGTACTCTTTGTATCGACATCTTGCGAGATGAAACTGATGATTTCGAAGCATGAGATCTACGCCAAGAGTTGCGTATTGTACAAGAGCCGAATTATTTCGAAGCGCTGACTGAAATCAGAATAGCCATGAAGTCGCAGATTTGCCATGCTATGGCAGCGTAGTGTCGACCGGTCCACGAACCGCGTCATGACATTGACCATTTGTCTTACAGCTTCGACACTAGCAGTGGTATTGTTCCCGTTGGCAGCCCGTGCAGTCGCCATAATGCTGTCAAGTTGGTCTAAGAGGATGAAAGAGTTGTTGGTCAAGGGATGCAGCAACCAAGAGCTGTTCAAGATCTCCAGGTCTTTGCGATCAAACAAGACCGCAGTGGACCTGTGCGGATCCTCGAAATATTGAATCGAGATGTGTTCAACTCGTTCGGCAACAACTGGATTCTGGCGAAACATGTTGACCCAATGCTGAACTTGCACTCGTCCTTCTCGATATCTTAAAAGTAACACGACCACTCTGCTTAGGTAGAATAGCGGCAGCGCTTCTCGTCTGATGCTGCTCGAGACTTGCAGCAGAGTTGGGTGGTAAGGATCGGGTCGACAATTCCATGGTCTGGCTGGCGGACCGCCGATGATGATCGGACCAGCCTTCAATGAGCCTCCATCGACGAATTTATCAAGGAAGTCTCTCATCGCCGTGCTTGACGGAAGCTCGAGGTCGAAGACATCTTCGTAGATCTGTAGACGCAGCTCTTTTGGCAGCTGTAGAAGTCGAGACATTGCGAGGCTCACAGCCCGATGAGATTTCACGTCACATATTTCAGAGGTACCTGCAGCTCCCTCAGTATTTCTCTTGTCGTCTGAACTTCTTGTACTGTCGTGCAGGGGTGAAAGGGCGCGATGTCCATTATTCAGCGGGCAGCGGTAGAACTCGGTCATAGTCGATGTTGTCAGGCAGAAACTTTCCGCGCCAGGCACCCGCGCCAAGAGCCGCAGCCCGCACTGGTTTTGAAATCTGGCAAGCGCCTCACTTCGAATGCTCTCGTGAACACGGCAAGACATCCACGCCCAGCGCCAACCGCCCAAGATGTCTCTCGTAACCGGCGAGAAGTCGAACTTCCAGTTCATCTTGCGTCTCCTCAACACCAACGTGCGTACCCACCGTCCCGCGGACCTGCGACGAAATCCTGGTCACGAGTCTTGGAGGAAGAAATGGACATGAGGGCGATCGCGATGGAAACTAACGGACAATGTGCAGGTCGATGGCAAGGAGAAGGTCATGTACGCCATGACCAAGATCAAGGGTGTCGGTCGCCGATACAGCAACTTGGTCTGCAAGAAGGCCGATGTCGACCTCAACAAGCGGTACGATTCCCACGACACCACAATAGCGCACGACGCACCGAATATCCATCCCGATTATCGAGCAAACCGCATCATGGCCACATACTAACATTTTTTCTGCAGCGCCGGCGAGCTTACCTCCGAAGAACTCGAGCGCATTGTCACGATCCTCCAGAACCCAACCCAGTACAAGATCCCAACCTGGTTCCTCAACAGGCAGCGCGACATTGTCGACGGCAAGGACTTCCAGGTGCTCGCCAACGGTGTCGACAGCAAGCTCCGTGATGATTTGGAGAGACTGAAGAAGATCCGCGCCCACAGGGGTCTGCGTCACTACTGGGGTCTCCGTGTCCGTGGACAGCACTCCAAGACCACCGGTCGCCGCGGCAGAACCGTCGGTGTCAGCAAGAAGAAGGGTTAAAGGTGTGCGCTGCTGGGAGTTTCTTTGCGGCGATGGTGGGAAAAGGCGTCTTCAACCAGCTGGCTGCTGGTGGCACATTGTCATGTCATGCATTGGTTCATGCTATAGCGTGCTGTAAAGAGACAGATGCGCATGTAGCTACGCCAGAAATCCGATCGTCAAAGTTCAGCGAGGCTTGCTTTCTGATTTACGACCTGAAATGGGATACCCGAATGATACTTGAATGCCCACCATGATGAGCAGGCATTTGAACATGCGCTGGCCAAACAATTCCCTCCTGTTGAAACTTCTCGTTGGTAGTGGCCCACGAAGCCCAGCTGATGCACTCTCAGATTTGTTTGGCATTGTCAATCTAGCAAACACGGTTAGAGCGCCCTCACTTGAGTTCGTACTTCAACTTCAACATCGCCGGCAACTCAACTTGACCTGCGTGCAGCACCAGATTCAACCACTTTGGGAGCTTTCCCAGGCCCATCGCCTAATCCACACTCGCCCACAGTAACACCGAACCAGAACACGCTGAGAATCATATGGCTCGTGAATATGGCTGGCGCGCCAAAAAGTACCAAGAAGGGAGACTTCTGATCAAAAACGGCCAAATCGTGCAAGGCGCAAGTGCGTGACACGAATGTGAATGGTAGGGAATGAGCCAAACTGACTGCTCTCAGACGCCGGCAAGGACTCAGCGACCACAGCTCAAGAAGACATCATCGTCACCACTGCCACCAAAGTCTTCGGAATCTTCGAGCTTCTCGAGAACATCGCTGAGTTCATGGACGGAAGGGAGATAGTCGTCCTTCGACGCGTCAATCAGACCTTCAATTTCTGCTTGAGACAACCAAAATTCGATCAGGAAGTGACTGTCCAACAAATTGCCTACGTTCCCGCCGGCAAAGGACCACGCAGTATCCGCACTCTTCCTCAGACGCCAAAAGTGTTCAAGTTTCTTCACGTTAACAAAACTGATCGCGATGATCCTAGAAAGATCTCGTGGTCCATCGACGCTCAACTCGAAGGAAAATACCTCAACGGCGCATCTCTGCCAGCAGCAGCCGCCTGCGATCTATCAAGGACAATCCATGTCTACACAGAAGGCGGTCTAACTGTGAGGGTACGTGCCTCCTCATCGAGGAAAGGAGCTCAGGTTTCCCCAGCGTACGCTGTTCCAGCGAACTTGAATATTAGTTTGCTCCACTTGATGGAGCTGACGCATGAATGGATCGATGTATTCTTCAACCGTATAAAGGGGAATTGCTCGTTTGTTCTGCATGTGGTTGTGAAGGAGGAGTCAGAGGATCCAGATGACGCTTGGAGCGATGCAGATTTGCCCATGGCATAGGGTTGATGACTATGGATGGTCCTCAGTACCGAGCCAGATTGTGAACTGGCAAAATTCGTCCTGGAGCGAGCTATAAAGTATAGCGAATCAACAGACGGACATGACAGGCATATGGCCAATACGTGTCGAGTAGGAAAAGCTGCCCAGCAGACAGCATTTGAAACAAGTATTGCTTAGCAGTGAAGCTTGCTTGGATAGTTCTTGGAATTATGATGATCACTCTAATCATGAATTTCGTCAGAAATGCTCGTGCTATGCTGTTGCGGTAGGAGACCCCGCTGAGTGATCTCCTTTCTTTTCGATCCCGCCAGCTGTCTCACTCGAATCTGGCACAGTCGGTATCGGAGAAGCACCGGCCTCACTGCCGTCCTTAGCTACAGTGCTCGATGCTTCTGCTGCATCTTCCGCCCTCTTCTTCTCGTCCTCTTCCCGCTTCTGACGCTCTTCCTCCTCTCTCCTCCTTGCAGCAATCTCTTCTTCAATCCTCCTCCTCTCCTCTGCTTCTAGAGCTCGCACATAAGCTTCTCCAACGCCAGGCCACAAGCTGGCGACGAGAAGCGCTACAGCTCGTTCTGCAGGTCGAATTTGTTCTCGAATCCAAGCTAACCTGTTATTGCGTTGCTGTCGGTCTTCTTCGAGTATCCGCTGTGCGACTTGTGCAGGCGTCGGCATCTGACCTGGTCTCAATGCTCCAGCACCTTCTTGACCTTGCTGCTGACCAACCGCACCGGCGGGCTGTGCACGTGGATTTTGATTCACGATGCCATCCCACCAGCGTCGTAGCACACCTCCTTCGGCTAGTGGGCCTTGTCTCAGTAGCCAAAAGCCGATCGCGATAGCAACGAGTGCCAGAGGTCGTTGCCAGCCCAAATTTGCTCCCAAAATGAAGTACGCGAATATCAGGACACGCATCAAAAGCCACATGTGATTGATCAGTCCAGCACCGAATACTCCCAGGCCGTCCTGTTGGGCGACTGGAGGCTGAGCGGGTGCGACTTGTGGTGGTGCTGCCGCTGCTGCTGCAACAGCTTGGTCTTGATTGCCCAGGGGAGCATTTTGATGTGCGCTTGCTGTAGTTGCCTGTGTCGTTGGCGTTGGTTGCAAGCCATAATTCGGAGTCGTGTAAGCTCCGAACTCAGGGGACAACAACAACGCGTGCGGTCCCGAAGGTGACGAGAGCAGGTAGCAGCGGACATCGGATGGCGAACTTGTAAATGACGAAGGCTGTTGTGTGGATGATGAACGAGGCATATCCATCGGTGCATGAGCTGGCTGTGAGCTGGCACGAGGCATTGGGACACCCTGTGCGGTGTTTGCCGCTCTCGTTGCAGTCGCGTTGAAGCCGCCAAGGTTAAAGGGATCGATGTAGTTGTTGACGTCTTGTATGCGTTGCTGGATAATATTGATCCGATCTCGCTGTTCGTCGGTCGCTACATCAAGTGCACGGAGCTCGACTAGCATGCGACGCATCTCAGCTACGTTGCCACGAGCTCGGTCCAGGGCGGAAGGTACGTTCCTGAGCGGTTGCTGCTGATGAGCATGAGGCATAGGAGGAAGGCCTAGTCCGTTTGGAACAATCGCTTGTGGTCCAAGCTGAATGTGTTGCTGAATGTGAAACCGTTCTCCATTAGGTCCTCTACCCTCGAGAATCATTCCCTGGCCTCTTGGTCGGGGTGGAGGCTGAGAAGCGCTTCGCTGCTGAGCATCGGCTTGAGCGTCAGGACCCAGGGTAGGTGCAGAATGCGACTCCGCGGCACTATCTGTGGTTGACTGTGCCTGGGCTGCAGCTGGGTTGGGTGCATGCTGAGCATTGGGATGCGGTCCTGGTGGTAGCCCGGTTAGTGGACCTGGAGGTGGAGGCGGATGTACATGCGGGATTCCAGGTGCCATTGCAACTCCGCCTGCAAATGGCATTGGCTGCATGCCAAAGCGGCCAAACACTTCGGGGCCTGGACCAGTGCCGAATTGACCAAGGTGATGCATATGGTGAGGGAGATGCTGCTGCTGCTGCTGGGCCAACATGGCCGCATGCTGCTGTTGGTGATGCTGGAGCACATTCTGATGATGCAGATGATTGTGATGAGCCTGAATGTCGTGTGGGAGATGCACGTGTCCTGGCTGCTGGGCATTATCATTTGGAGGAGCAGTGGGCAGTCCTGTCTGTGCTGGGCTCGCTCTGCCTTGTGTGCTCAAGCCTCGTCTCTGGGGCAATGGCGCTGTTGCTGTCCCATCGCCCTTGACCAGGAGATGCACCACATATTCTGTTTGTGTAGGATCTCTTCTAATATTCAGCGCCTCAGCCAGTGTTTGCTCGTTGTCGACTAGTGCTCTTCCTCCATATAGCAGTCGTTGTCGCTCGGGAGCTGGATTGGACGGAACAACGCGCTGAATGCGCTCGCGAACTTCGCCAATGCGTGCAATCACTGGCACTTCAGTCCCCAGCATGAACTCATCGAGGCCGCCCTCAATGTGTCCCGGCGGCACTTTGATGCGCAGAGTGATGGTCGTGGGCGGGTCTGCGGGAGGCGCCATTGCGGATGATGGGTACGGGCTTGTATATCGCTATCGATGTCTGTTCATGGTGGGTGTGGGAGTGTCAAGCAGTCGTACGCGCGTGCAACACGTCGCCGGTTGGAGAGTGTGCTCTGTGCAACGGCGACTTTCTGTGAGCTTCCAGGTGTTCTGTTCACTCGCGTGGCTTCATGCACGGCGCGAAGCTTAGTCGAGGTCCCTGCCGCCCACTGTCGTCATTCCTCTGCCCTTCACCCTTCTTGCCGACAACCACACTCCTCTCAAGCTCCGTGGGAGAAGCGTGTCACCATCACTCCTTCTAACATGTAAGGTGATACATCGCCGACCTCCGACCATGCGACCTCTCCCCACGGCAGGCACTTCGCAAGTCCTGCTTCGGACATTCACGCCACGATCACGCCAGCAACACCAAGTCCGATCATTCTCGCGCACGTACAAGCACCGCCAACAGCATCGTAAGTCCTCCTTCAGCTCGCGACTACGCGATGCTTGGAACTCGACGCCCGTGGTGTGGAAGCCGATCCCCATTGGCCTCGGCGTCGTCTTCCTTGGTGCTTTTCAACTGTACAGAATCAATGAGCGCGAGCGAAGGAGGATAGAAGAGTCGACAGAGGATGACCCGGGAGACGTAGGCAAGCCCAAGCGTCGCGAACGGATTCGCCCCTCAGGACCATGGACGGTACAGATCATGAGCACCATTCCGCTCAAGGCGCTGAGTCGGTGGTGGGGGTGGATGAACAGTATTGATATCCCATACTATCTGCGAGTGCCCGGCTTCAAGCTATATGGCTGGATATTTGGTGTCAACTTCGATGAGATAAGCGAGCCAGATCTCCACAAATACAGAAATCTATCAGAGTTCTTCTACCGGACACTGAAGCCTGGGGTGCGGCCATTAGACCCACATCCCAACGCGCTGCTGTCGCCCGCAGATGGCAAAGTGGTGCAGTTTGGTCTTATCGAGCATGGCGAGGTGGAGCAAGTCAAGGGCGTCACATACAGCGTAGATGCTCTACTAGGACAACAGCCCGCTAGTGGAGCACAAACCAGCAGCAATGTCGCGGGCTCAAAGGATGCCCCTTCAACTTCGCCCAATCGAGGGAAACAGGGTGAGGAAGAGGTCATCCGAGAGGATGAAGAGTTTGCGCGAGTCAATGGCATATCATACACGCTTCCCAACTTGCTTTCTGGCGCTGCTGCAGGGAAACAAGGCCGCAGCTGGTGGAAGAAACCACGCGTCAAGGATGCAGCCAACGCGGATCCTCAAGCCAGAGAGGGAGGAACAAGAGACGTTCCTCCGCCTGTAAGTCTCTCGGATCAATCAACCAAGTCATCGACTTCTTCAGAGCGGGAAGTTGCCAAGGAACTCGCGACTGGACCCGCTGCTCCTCGGCCGTGGTACTATCCCGATAGACCGGAAACGCCAACGGCGCTGTACTACTGCGTTGTTTATCTCGCGCCTGGCGACTACCATCGCTTCCACTCGCCGGTTTCCTGGGTTGTGGAAAGTAGGCGTCACTTTGCTGGAGAACTCTACAGCGTCAGCCCATACCTGGTCAGATCCTTGCCAGGTCTCTTCACTTTGAACGAGCGCGTCGTCTTGCTTGGTCGATGGAAGTATGGCTTCTTCAGCTACACGCCTGTAGGCGCGACCAATGTTGGCTCTATTGTGATCAACTTTGACAAAGAATTGAGGACGAACAGCTTGCTCACTGACACTCTTGCCGACAAGGCTGCCGAGGAGGCTCAGGAGCGCGGCGAGCCATATTCCGGATATGCGGAAGCTACGTATGAAAGTGCCAGCCCTGTACTAGGAGGACATGCTCTTAGGAGAGGTGAAGAAATGGGTGGCTTCCAGCTCGGAAGTACAATTGTTATGGTTTTCGAGGCACCTAAGGGGAGAAGACCGACACTGGACGAAGGATTCATGGGAACTGAAGTGAACAGAAAAGGTGGCTGGCAGTGGGGTATCGAGAAAGGCATGAAGGTCAAGATGGGACAGCGACTTGGCTGGGTGGACGAAGAGCAATAGTGAAGCCATCCAACGCGGGAACACGACTCAATACACTTGGCACCGCAAAAATTCTCGCGGTTGCCCTCTAAACACTACAAGACTTTGCGCACTTCACCTCTTGTCTCAATGTGGGCTGCAACGAAGTCCATATTCTGCAGACCCGTGCGAATAATCTTCACTGAAGCAACGTGAAAGTCGCATGTGGAGACATATCTAAACTCATGGCGCGAATCTGCAATCAATGAGGGCACGGAAGCCAATGCGTGTCAGTGATTCCTTCTCCAACATCCGATGAATGTTCCCCATACCTGGCAACACGCACACTGTTTCGGCGTGGCATATGACTCGATTGCGATCATGCGATACGTGCCTACGCTCGCGGACAGGATTGCCTCAAGACGATCCTTCGGATACCTACCGTCCAGACATGCTGATCACTTCCACGAATGGGAAATGCGTGGAGCCATGGTACAAGCAAGACAACAAGGATATATGTCGATCGAAATGTTTCGCCGCAACATGTGCTTGGAGTGATCTAGGACTGCCTAATCCACTGTTGGCGACGACAGACGGAGGGAGCACTCCAAGAGGGGCTCAGCTCACAATGCACATCACATCAAGAACTATTATCCCCCAAACGTCCTCAAAATTCTCCAATACCTCTTGGGTCCCTCGACCAAACTCAAGGTGCGATTCGTGCTTGGCTGCGTCTTTGCGTTGCAATCTCTGGCTCTTGCACTTTGCGCTCAGACAAGTGTAACGCCCACGGCTCTGTAAATCTACAGCGAAGTCCAGAAGTGCGATAATATAGTATTGTACACACGTTTCTGCTGTTGCCATAGGTATTCAACTAGACATTTCCTGCTTTTTGACATTGCTGCCGTTCAACTATTGCTGATCTCTGCTTGAACAGGCAAAAGCACAGTCCTGCAGAACCAATGATATGCTGGTTGTAAGAAGTTTTTGGCGACCAACGTCTTCCGCTGCAACGACCTCGCCCTGTCGATAAGGCTTCGACAGCCAATTTCCATCAATGACCAGATGTAAGAACGCCTTCTTTCACATTGAGCGCTTCAAATGCTGCGTTTATCCTGAACACATATCACCACTCTTCTACAAACTTCATCTCGTTGTCTTCAGCCTTCAAAACATCCGATCGCTCGTCACAGAATACCATGAAATCCTTCATAGCCTGCCTCTTTGCTTTACAAGCTTTCGCGGCCGGAACGAAGCACACTCGACAATTTGACACCTACAGGCCATGCGACCAGCCTGGGCAGTTCGGCTTCGAGCCCGTCTGCTGCGATGATAACGTAGTTGGGGGAGGCTTCATTGCTTGCGAATCATGTGCGTCCATCGTCCCGACGCTATTCCTACCATACAGAGCTCGAAGCTGACCTTTGAGTAATTCTCAGTGGAGTTCAGGCCTCGTGATGCGGAGGAATTCTCTGCTTCTTGCGGAAGGAAAAAGCCGACTTGTTGCATGCCCAACGCGAATGTAAGTTGCAGAGCCTAGCAAGGCAGAAGAATCTCTATTGATTCATGTACAGTCGGGCCCGGTCAACGAGTATTGTGGAGCGCCTGCAGGATTTGAAGGATTTTGAGCACACGGATCGGAAGGTGCCAAGCTACTGCAATTCTATGCTCAAAAAGTCCTGGGTGATACTGCTGCTTTCGATAGAATCAGACCTCTTCATGGGCCCAGGGTATTATCAGTGTCTGGGCAATACCAGAGCCAATAGTCTGTTCCTAGTGGCAAGAAATCCACAGGGATGGGATGACTTCTTGCTGATTTATACTGCTAGGCCAGGCCAGTGGCTACGATCTGTCAGACGCCTTATGGCTTTTCGTCACAGAATACGAGAGTTTAGTCTTATGAGACATACTGGCATTTTGACACAATCCCTATCTCCAGTAGAAATAGAAAAGTAATCTCTAATGTCTATCATTGTACTTGTCAATTCCCATGATTTTCATCAGGATATCTGGAAAGAGTGATCGATTGCTCTGGCAACACACTTGATCTTGTGTTTGATCCAAGCACGGAAAACGGCCCCCCATGAAGTGCAAGCAACGCATAGCGCTCGGGAGAGACGATAGTGTCGATCAATATGTTGACCTGCAACAGCTTCGTTGATTGCTTTGGTAGCGGGATGATGGCCAGAAGATGGTGGGTAACAAGTCTTCTTCCGGAGAATTGATGGTAAGGACTATCGTTCTTTTTACGCCGCCAAATTTTACTATCATCTGCTCGAAGAATCTCACAATACACGAACACGAAAGATTCGAGATGAAGCTTGTCCTTGTCGGCCTCTTTACCTTGCAGTCTCTCGCATTCGCGAGGGATTATGCTCGGCAATTCAGCTCGTACGATGCCTGTGGTCGAAGCGAAGTTGGCAATGCCATGCCTGCCTGCTGTCAATCCGATTTGATCGGCCCAGAGACTCCAGGCTGCAACTCTCGTAAGCTGGAACCGCTTTGCGTTCGATTGCGCGCTCAATTCGAGCTAAAGACCTACGCAGTGATGGACTCAAGACCTCTTAACCGGGAGCAGTTCGTGGCTTTTTGCGGATCGGGCAGGGAGCCTGCATGCTGCAATATGGGTGCAAGTGTAAGTTGCGATTCTGTGTGAGATATTGGGCAGAAGTTTCCTACTAATGTTAGTTATGTAGTTTGGGTCTGGAGTCTGGTCTTGCGAGGCTGCTATCGCGGAGCTCGAAGAACGCCCGGGAGATTGGGCGAGGTAATTGCAGATCTGATGGTACGGATTGATTCTACAAATTAGTATGGAATGGAAGCACAATGGTAATTCAGATCAAAATTACATGGGCCTGCGTTCATTTTTGCCGTGAGACCTTGAAAAAGCGCTCACTGATGTATAGCTTCGATCTAGTTTCAGCCCGGATCAATATGCAGTATCGCTCTGCTTGCGTAGATTCGGGATTCGAAGCTAGCCGCGTGCTGAAAGCTGTCGAAGAACAGCCACTCTCTGTCAGTCGCCTTTGTATGCATCAATACCTCAAAGATGCGTTGCTGAAAGCCGTAAAAGCTCCCTGCCCGACGCTCGATCCATGTAGATCCGTGTTCGAGGCTGCATGATAGCTGCTGTCCTCATGGCAGGGATGAGGTGGTATGTACTTCGCGTGCGATCAGATTTTGACAGCACATCTCAGCAAAGGTCGGAGCATTCTCTCTCAACCTGTAGCCTCTCCAATGTACGACTCTCATGGTAGAGACGGCCTCTTAGGATGATTAGTCCGGCCTGTTGAGGTTCCGTGAAATTTCCATCACTCTGACTGACGTCCAAAGAGATCAGGAAAGTCACGCACATCGCCCCTCCTCAGAACGTTCTTCTCATGCTTCTTGTACAATTTGTCTCGCTTCTTGTCGGCCCGCTCCAGAACCTCGCGACTGTTTCGCTGCGTAGCAGTTTCGCCGAGCGGCATAGCCAAGCGCAAGCCCTCGTATCGACCGTATGGGATCATCATGGAGGCTACGTTGGCCGGGTCCTCGTGCAGCAGAATCTTGTGTCTACGCAGGCCCGTCTCATCTTGCGCCATGAACCAACGGGTTTCCTTCTTGCGGCCGTAGGAGAAGTTGGCGGTAGCGTTGAACGTCTTAATGCCGGGCTTACCCAACAAAGTATGGTGTCCTGAATTGCCTTGATCGATGAAGGCAACGACTTTGTTGTGGATGCCGGAGATGTAGAGTTCGAAGTGAGTGAGGTGGTTATATGTGATTCGGCTTCCGTCTGCAAGTGTGAAAGTCTGAGGGTCGCAGGCGATGACGGTCAGATTTGCCTGTTCGGCTGCTGCTGCACTGATGATAATGGAAGAAGCGCCGGTGTCGATCATCATGTGAGTTACGCGCAGACAGGTTGTAGACCCTACAATCATACCAGTAGTTTCGAAAACGTTGCCGAAGATGCCGTCTGGGTAGTTACCGTACCGCTTGGCCTGCCCAACTTGACGTGAACGCTCGCTGAGTTCACCACCGAGGTTTGCTGTGGAGCTAGCTGGGCGCTGGTCAGGCTGACCAAGAGCCCGCTGGTCAACACGCTCGTTCCGCTCCCGGAACACGACCGGCTGGCGGTTTGCTTTGTAGTGCGGAGTTCGAGCAGAGTGCCCTAGAACTTGCTGTTTGATGGTGACAGGCCTGTACGGCCATCCGGAATCAACTGGCTCACGGTGTCGCTGCAAGCTGCGGCTGTCGTTGTAGTCATCGAGATCATCGACGGGCTCTTGTTTGATGGATGCCATCCCGCTGCTGTCGCTTGCGCTGACCTCGTGTATGTTCCGTAGCTTGTAGCTAGCACTGCCGTCTCGTCAGCGAGTGTCACAGAAGCCCGGTCCGATGCGACCTACCTCTCTCAATAGTCGTAAGTTGCGGTTGCTTGTGCGATGGTAAGAGAAGCGAAGTTGTGAATGAGAGTGGCCGGACAGGCAACAGGCTTGAGCTTCACATGCAAACAAAGCATGCATGCATAACACATGTTCAAACGTTGCCTTCACTTGCGGAGCTGCGGAAAATGAGCACAAAAGCGCGGAAACGGCGTTTATATGAGCTACTCTGTGGCAGGAGGCAGTGAGAAGCAGTGCAAGCGAGATTGAATATTACTTGGATGTGGGACCGAAGGACTAACCAAATCGTTCATTATCAAACTGCTTTTCGTTCAAAAGTGCAGCGACATTTCAAAACGTGCACACTAAAGTCGTGCCATGATGGACCGGCGATCTCGTAGTCTTTCGCGATGGAGCTTGCCAGCAGGATCTATCGTCTGAATGTAGGTCCGTCAAGTTAACAATGCTCCCACACGCTCTGCATGCTCAAATGCGCTAATGTCGTCTTCTCTGCCTACATCCTCTACCGAGACCGGATAGCCCTCCCTCAGGTGACAAGGAACATCACAGTCGTCAATTGGGACGTCTTGCTGGTTCAGCGGCAAGAGAGCCTTTCGTGTTCGCTAACAGTGTCGTGTTATGAAACATGTGGAGTACCATCTGGGGGCCGACCAAACTCCTCGTCGACAGCCCGGTTCAATTCTGAAATACTTCCTTGAGTCCCATTTTCCTTGTCTTTCTGAAGCAGGCTGACAAACGCCTCGCGCTCTTGTGCGGCGACCGACCGAATGAGGTGACCCAAATTCGCGGCCACACGTGGATCAAATGTGCGACCCGAATTCAACAGCAAGACAGCAAACGCATGGAGTTCCCTAGAAGTCCCTATTTTCGACCAAGCAGGGCGTGGAAACTCTCTGTGGCCCCGGGCGAGAAATGATGGGATATTCAAGAATCGGAGGAGGTAACTATCGTCATGTTTGGGGAACCAGGTAGCGCATGGGTTGAGTGAAGGTGCATCCGAGTGCAGTTCTTCCAGGCTGCCGTTCAAGCGATTGATGATAAAGCATTTCGAGGGATTCGATTGGTGGTTCTGCATGATACCAAGAGCGTTCAAGACGCCGGTGCCGAGGAGAATCGACCAGCTTTCCGAATCTTTCTGGTTGACGTGGAGCTTTGTCCTGATGGTGACTGTCCTACTTTGTGTCTCGAACGTGAGCTGTAATCTCACGGCATATTCGTGGCTTCCTTGAGTTCCGTCGGCCAGCCGATATGGAGAGTAGCTTGGATACGTCGTCAATCCCAATTGCTTCACAATGCTTGGGTTGATGAGTCCATCACGTCCGGAGCTCGAGAAGCCCGAGTCGATGCAACATTTGGTAATCTCGGCCATTCCTATATCGAGTAAAACTCTGACTGAGGTGTAAAAAGATGGATAACGGGGCTCTCTGTCTCCTTTTGTTCGCTGCTGACGCTTGGAGGGACTGTCATCACCACGCTCTGGTTCTCGTTCACGTTTGCGAGCAGTCCTGCTGCTCCCACTTGTAGTCAACATACTTGTTGCCAGTTACTGTGTTGTTGCTGTCGTCAAAAGTGAGTCTTGTTGTAAATGGTCGAGATCCATGTGCAGACTTTGTCTCCTTATAAGAGTGCAGCTCGCCAGTCGCGTTGTCCCATCGCCGCTCAGGCGTCAAGTGAGACATGAAGCCATGTCTTGATCCGCATGTGAATGTCGCAAAACAGTGGCGTTCCTCAGGCAGCCACAGAAACGGCTCAAAAGTTGTTTGCTGCACGACTCAAGAACAACCCTCAATTCTTCCGAACAACACTGTCGCACATCAAGACCTCTTCGACTCAGACATCGCGTGCACCAACAGCGACCATGCACGCCCGTTTCAATCCACGCCAGAGTCGCGGCGGTCGCAACGCCACACAGTCGAGCAGAACTCAGACCGTCACGTAAGTATCAGCAACAAATGCCCAAGCGCTTCGCTGACGGATACCACAGGAGATCTGTGCCTGAGCCTCAAAAGATCATGTGCGACATCTGCGAGCACTCAAAGGGCCGCGCGGCGTTCTCCCGCACCAAACTCGACTTCCTGCAAAAAAAAAACTCCAGAAAGACCCAAGCTTGGACCCAAAGGTAGCCAGAATCATCATCTGTGCGAGACACAACAACCCCAAAGTCGAAGCGAAGTGCAACAACTGCGGTTGGACCAAGGGCAAAAATTCATTCAACAAAACGCAGTGGACGAACACCAGCAGAGAAGATGGAGGCGAGTGTCTGGAGTGCCAACTCAGGGGCCAATACGAGCCCGGTGAACACGACAGCGACATCGAGAATGAGCCGAGGCGCAGTGACTCGTCGGATGAAGACGACGAGTAGCCTTTCCGACGGCGAAGAGATCACTCGACTAGAGCAGTAGCGGCCATGGTAGGACCACTTTGCCTTCTCAATGTGTTGAGCTCCGCTAACCAACTCGTAGCCAACGCGTGGCTTGCGAAAGGCCGACTGCAGACCGGCAGAGGCTCCCGCATCATGCATCGTAGACCAAGACTGGCAAGCTGCCCTTTGCTTTCAAGTGCAAAAATTCTGCTGACTCCAGTCCAAGACACTTCCTCTACAGCCAGAAGACGCCTTGGGTCAGGAAACGGAACAGAGCGGACAGAGTTGGCCACGCATCGTATCGTAGGAGATCCCACGTCACTGCTCGCCAAGCTTGCATCGGCATTATAAGCACCATAGCAAAGGCCGCCAGGCTTCATTACACATATCCAATCGTATAAGCTGTCGATGGGCCAGAAGGATCCCAAAGCTATCTTTTCATACACTCATCATCGAAGTCCGCTCCATTCCTAGTCCATGTCTCATGCTCGTAGGACTAGCCGTCTTCAAGACTGGCGAGACAGGCAGGGGCTGCTTGCCAGCCGGCAGAGGCAAGGCAGTGTCAGGTTCCGCTTCTGACGTGAAATCCGTATCTGTGTCTGATACAACCGACTGTGCCGATGAATTGACGAGTGAAGGTGTAGCAGTTGGAGGCTGTGTACTAATCATGTCGTCCCAATCGGTCGCCTCGTCAGGAGGTAAGGGCACAGCTGCGGCGTCGGTAAGGTCTTGGCTCTGTATCGCAGGTAATCCCTCGTCGATGCGCTCATAAAAGAGCATGAATGCGCCGCCCTGGTCAAGCGCCTCCTCCTCTGTTACGGGATTGACGTCTTCGTCACTTAGTCGCCACCATCGCTCCTTTTCGTCGTTTTGCTGACACGGCTCGGCATCAGGTTCATCATCAGTCAATGGCGGGACACCAGGGTGTTTTCGGTAACAAATATAGTGACCGTTCTCATGACGCCCATAATGCTGTACAACCGCGCTCAGTCTGTATGTAGCCGGCGAGCACTCAGATTCGAGGAGCCACGGTCGTAAGTCTAAGAATCGTGGATACTGCACTTGCGCATAGTTCTTGCGTTGCATTCCTGTCCTTTCATCGAAGACACTCCGATTGATATGTATGACCAGTGCCTGTGGCGCACGTCCGATGATTGCCTCCCGTCTCTTGATTGTACTTGCGTAGGACTTCGAGCTGATCTGGCAGTCTTGTTTGAGCGTCTTGTCCGAAAAGTCGTCCTCGTCAAGCGCTTTCTCGATTGCCTGCAACCGTTGGGCAATTTGAGCCCGAAGCTCGGGTGGTAGCTGCATGACATTTTCCTCCGCATGCTTCGTTGACTCCTCGGCGCAATCCACCTTGGCAGGTTTGGGTAGCATTTTTCGTAGTTTCTCAGCGGCTTGTACGAGCGTACAACTTCGACACTCCACGCCCTCAATGTCCTCGCTCCTCGTGTAGTCCGTCAGACAATCTTCGAGGTCATAATGGAAAGAGTTCCCCAAAGGCACCGTAAGGCAGTTGAAAGGGATCATGGAATATCCTTCTGAGAACCCACACCTTGTGCATGACACTCGCTGGGCTGTCAGTCCTTCCAGTGGATTTCGCATGTCCATCGCTTGTGCTGCAGCCTCTGCACTTTCCTGCTCTTTCCCCTTTTGGTCCCTCTCCAGGATCGCTTCTAGACCCGCAGGCTTCTCTTGCCTTTGCGCAAATGCCTTCTTCGCCTCTTTGTCCAACTCGTCCATGACCTTTGAGAAATACTCCTGTGCGTCTTGTTGCTGCCAGCTGCTCATATTTTTCAGCTTCGCAGGTGTCCAGATATGCTTTCCGTTATTTTCAGGATCTCGCAATTTCGCAATCATCTCCTGTAATGCGGTATTTGTGCTCGCGCTGGCGTCACTGTCCTCCGGCTCAGCTCTCCTCAGCCACTCTCTCAAAACCCCCTCTAGACTCGCCAGCGCTTGAAGTACGCTGTTCTGATAGCAACTGTTATCCCAGTTCCCCAAGCCAGACGGCGCATTCGAGCGCGCGGGTTGCATTCCGGCAGCCATGCTCAGCCTTCTAGATACGCCTCCCAGTCCTATCGCGTCTCCAGCGGGCAGCTTCTGCAGGATTGCGTTACTTCCGATGCCTAACATTTTTCGCAGTGCTTCGCTTTTAGCAGCATGAGTTTGCGAAATCATGTCATTCGCTACCAGCTCTTGTCGGCGTGCGGCATCCAATAGCAGTCGTGCCGGTATGACATAGACAATCGCATTCCAGAGAAGCTCATGCGGCCTCAAGATGGCAAAGTCAAAATGCTGTATGGCGTAATTGAGGCCAACTAAGGCAAGAATAGTCCAGACGAAGTACGATGCTGCCGTGGGACGTGGGACGTCGTCGTAGTGCGGTTCACGGCGGTGGTAGTGGTAGCGGTCGTCCATATCGTACGCTATCGACGTGAGGCATCTGAGATGTCCAGCAAACGGGTGATTCTGGGGTGTGTTTGACTTGAAGATGTTGAGCTCGTGAACAAGTGTCTCGCGAATAGAAGGAACGACGTTGGTCAATCACATGCAGGTCTTGGCGTCTAATCGATAGCAGCTGCGGATTTCTTTGACCACCACGTCCAAGCTCCCACGCCCAGCACATTTTGCACTGTGCGAGGCCTTAGCGATGGCGAAAGTGCCAAAGGTCAAGAAGAAGGGTATGTGGCGAGGTGCCATGTTTTTCTGGTTTGCTATGATCTAATTCTCTTCAAGGCGTTTCTGTCCATTCTCGCGCCGCTCGCCGTGGTGCTGAGCCTCCACGCAAAGATCTCGAGGCGATCAAGCCGCCAAAGGAAGAGAAAGAATACAAACCATGGCTACATAATGCGCAGAATGCTGGGATCCAGAAGAAGCAGAAAAAGAAGCAATTGACTACGGCGCAGAGGAAGCGGCAAGAGAAGGCATTGGAGAAGGCAGATGCAATCAGCGGCAAGCATGAGAAAAAGGTGGCTGACAGCAAAAGGAGAAGTGCGAGGACGCAGACTCGTGCGAGACAATGGGAGGAACTGAACGAGCAAGCGGAGGCGGTGAAGCAAGCTCAAGACGAGACGAAAAAGGCAGCGAAGCCCACAAAGGCTGGGGCGGCTGCGCAAGCAGTTGGAGACGAGGCCATGCCAGATACTCAAGTGCCGGTCGTGACAGAACAGCCCACAGTGCCTGAGGGAGCACCTGGGTGGGCGTCGATGCATGCGCAAACAGAGGACTTTGACGAGATTACGTGAAAAGATGCTCCTTGGTATGAAGCATGTCACCTGAGAATCAAGCCTGCACGCGTCTCTCTGCTCAGCCACAGCTGGGACCTTCGCACGACAGTAAAGCTGTGCTGCGCAACGAAGCTGCGCCAGTTACACAGTGCCTGCAAGGTCCCGCCGCAGTCGAGCTCGTACAGTGCGGTGTGCACGCGGCAGCATATGGCTGACGTGCCACGAGGATGGAGGAAGGAGAAGGCTGCACGACACGAGTACGTGTTGGCACTGGAGAGAGCGTGGGAGGCATATGCAGAAGTGTAGCATAGCATGCGGTGTGGCGCAAGAATCGACATCGGACTCCATAACACGGCAGCGAAATTTCGACGTTTGCAAATATTCTGCCTTCGGTTTTGATGCGGTGCGAGTACGAGAACAGAGCGGAATGGCAGTTGCAAACCGAACCGAGATCAGAAAGTCGGGAGACTCGGAGGTCGGCCAGTCGGCGAGACTTGAGATGCTAGTCCCAACGCCAGAGGTCGTTCAGAATTGCGATTGCGATCTGGAATCGAAGGTGCACAAAAGCGGTTGCCGCGCTGCATAACTGTCACGCCCTACCGGACGGTTGCTACGGCCGTCTGAGAGCACAGGAAGCACACGCCAGAAGAGCGCCCCTGGGAGGTGAAGTTCAGCAGTGCGCAGCGATCCGTTGGCTGGGGCGCTTGTGGTCCCCTAATCAATATGGGAAATTACAGTGACGGCAAGCACACCGATCCGGCTCCCGTTGGGCAATGGTCGATTAGTTCAGCTAGAGAAGAATGGGGCGTGGCGAGCAGTCGCAAAAGGCCCGCCATCGCTCTCCTTGAATATTATCACATTCACCCTGCTACACTTCTCTTACACTTGTGCGGTCATTCATCGTGGTGGTCATCTCGCAGCACGGCATCGCCGATACAGCCGGCACACGACACTCCAGCTTCGCGACACTCGACCACGCGATTTGGGTTCGGCATTGGAAAGCTTGGTGCCAGGCAGCTCTAGTGCGTCATTGAGACCAGCGTCGACAGCAGGGCATCTGGGCTGGTTGGTTGTTGTTGGAGCAGGGCGAGAACAGCATCGTCGTGATCAGAAGCGTGAAGACGGGCGCGGCAGACGACGGCAGCTGAGGCGCAGGCATTGCTGCAGACGGATTCGGAGGAGCTGCCAGGCTGCGGATCGCACGGAATGACGGCGTAGGACAAACATCGAGGTGAGTGCATATAATCTGACTGCCCCGATCGCCGCGTCCGAGTCTGCGGCAGCATACACCACGACAACCTGGACTCCGTGAGGCAGCAGAGAGAGCGCGCGCTGGCCAACACATTGCGATCGCCATCTTCGATACGCAGCGGCGAGACTTCGCCGACCACGCTTGGCACGCAAAGCGTCAGGAACGACCTTGCGCGGACCTGCGTGAAACAGTCTTTGACATCACCGCAACGCACACGACAACCCAGGAGACATTGGCACCGTCCTGATTTCTTGCGTCGGTCAGCAGTGACGTTCCTTCACTCTGCTGCGCGACTACCACACTCCCTCCGACGACTGCACGTTCCCTTTGGACTAGAACTACCCACGCGACTCCTGCTGTTGGCACTTGGCCCTCACACCGTTCGCTCCTTGCCACTCCATCTCGCGCGCCGCTAGTATACAACCACGAGTCCTGCGAACAACCTACATACGCGCCACAACCACCTCTCGCCCACCAGGACACCGCTCGCCGCCATTGCTGGACTGCGGCGTGTCCGCCACCACATTCTACAGCACGAGCGTGCGCCCATAGAATTCTCCAACTAATCATAATTCCCCCCAACAGACGCAATGCCTGCCATACGCGCCATCAAGCCTTTTGCTTCCTCGCCCACCCTCACCGAGACGGTCCTTTCTGAGAAGGAACCCATCCGTCTGGAAACCCGCGACACGACCACCACGAACCCACCCACGAAGACTGGCGGCATCCGCTTCGTACGCCCCAAATTCTCTCTTCCTTTCACCACATCGCCCAAGAACGCGAGAACACAGACTGCGTCCGCGCCAGCAGTACCGCAGGACCAGCTCAAGCCACCGCACGTGGTGCAGTTCAGGCCACCGAGCCCTCAAATACCCACACTCAGTCTGCCCACTATCAACTTGACAACGGCAACGGGGGAGAAGAGCAAGATGGAGGATCTGCCAAAGCCTCTCACACTGTTCCAGCCACCAACGCCTGCAGAAGCACGACGCATTGCGCGACAGCACGCGGCATTCGGTCCGCTGGGGTCAAAACAGCACTTGTACTCCTCGAGATTCGTCGGGACCGAGTTCCCTGAGCCCATCGAGGATGAGCCTCCGTACTACTTCCTGATCACGACATACATTTCATACTTGATCTTGATCATCTTCGGACACGTGCGGGACTTTTTTGGCAAGCGATTCAAGCCAGACCAATACAAGCAGCTGAGGGAGCACGACGGATACGCCCCGCTCAACAGCGATTTTGACAACTTCTACATTCGACGACTGCAGCTCCGAATCAACGATTGCTTCCGAAGGCCAGTGACTGGAGTTCCAGGCCGATTCATCACACTCCTCGACCGTACGAGCGATGACCACAACTTGTCATTCAAGCTCACGGGCACCACAACCCAGACACTGAACATGTCATCCTACAACTACCTCGGATTCGCACAATCGGAAGGAGAGTGTGCCGATGAGGCGGAGCGCATTCTGAAGAAGTACGGCATTTCCTACTGCTCACCGAGAGGAGATGTCGGCACCTCTGATCTGCACGTCGATGTCGAGAGGCAAGTCGCTGAGTTCGTGGGCAAGGAGGCGGCCACAATCTACTCCATGGGCTTCGTGACCAATGCTACAATCTTCCCGGCTCTTGTTGGCAAAGGCTGTCTCCTCATCTCCGATCAGCTCAACCACTCATCCATCCGATTCGGTGCCAGACTCAGCGGTGCCGTCATTGATATGTTCAAGCACAACGACATGGCCGACCTCGAGCGTCTCCTTCGTGAGCGGATTTCCCAAGGACAGCCACGCACTCACCGACCCTGGAGAAAAATCTTGGTTGCAGTCGAAGGTCTATACAGTATGGAGGGCACCATGTGCAACCTCCCCGGTCTCGTGGCACTGAAGAAACAGTACAAGTTCAACCTCTACGTCGACGAGGCACACTCGATCGGCGCGCTCGGTCCTCGCGGCCGTGGCGTCTGTGATTACTTCGGCATTGACACCGCGGAAATCGACATCTTGATGGGCACATTCACCAAGTCTTTCGGCGCAAATGGAGGCTACATTTGCAGTGACAAGGCGATTATTGACAAGATCCGAGTGACGAATGCTGGTACCATCTACGGAGAATGTCCCACTCCCGCAGTCCTGGCCCAGATCAGCTCCAGTTTGAGGATCATTGCTGGGCAGCTTGCACCTGGTCAGGGAGAGGAGCGCTTGCAACGATTGGCATTCAACTCCCGATACCTGCGTCTCGGATTGAAGCGTCTGGGATTCATTGTGTACGGCCACGACGACTCGCCTATCATTCCGCTCCTGCTCTACCACCCAGCCAAGATCCCAGCCTTCTCGCACGAGATGCTGAAGCGAAAGATTGCTATCGTCGTCGTTGGATACCCTGCTACACCTCTCATCTCGTCACGAGCACGCTTCTGTGTATCTGCTGCGCACACCAAGGACGATCTCGACCGATTGTTGATGGCATGTGACCAGGCTGGCGATGTTCTGCAGCTCAAGTTTAGCTCTGGTGTTGCCGGTGGCCAGGAGCCTATCCCAGACGGCTTGACCAACAAGGAGGAGATGGAGGTTCGCTCATGTCTGGAAGCTGGAGGGCAACCTGCAGTCGTTGCACCACGATGGAAAGTCCAGGATGTCATCGCACGTGGCGTTGCCGACGTTAAGCAGCCATTGCGCTGAGGAGTGGAAGAACATTTGGAGGACAGGAATAGAAGAATCGATTCGTTTCACCTATCATGAATTTGGGTATTCGATCAAGGCGTTCCATGGTGCGAAGGGGCGTCGTCCGAGAAGTATAGAGAGGGCCTGCAACAACCTCCCAAAGCAAGACCGGGAAGTGCGGCCACGCCAAACCATACAACACCGCTCAGGTGACATGCAACGATACAAACGGACAGAGATACCATTGAGACCAGCGGCTGGCCGACCGCTTGGTCAGGAGGAGGCATGTGCCCTGCCACATCCAAGCAGCGGCAGAAAGAGGCAAGACAGAGGTGGAGAGTCGGCTCCCTAATTCATAATGTGTACATATTCCCATTCTAGCGCAGAGCATTAGCATTGATGAGAGGGGGAGTAGATGAACGATGCGAGAGAACGGGTGGGGAGGAACAAATGAAATGAAATCATCTCAAAACTCCACATCGGCGTTTCACAGTACCTTTCTACGATGAGTGATGGTTTTGAAATAGTGCACACTGATCGTTGATCGAGGTGAGTATGTAATCTGCTGACGCGCGGTTCACGGTGCAGGTTCGTGGGCGTACCGCGTACAGTATGATTTCTGAGGTGGCTATGGATCAGCTGTTGGTACTCTCGCCTGCGCTCACCACTACAGAATCCTTGTCAATTATGTAATCCAGGATAATACGAGACAGGTGGGCCAAACTGGTCTCTTTGCTGTTCGTTCCGCCTCTCGACGCAGTGATGGGGCCTCGAAAGCAACGGGTCAGGTATGTGCCACGTTATGGCGTCTGACTGGCCTGTTGCGCGTCTGTAAGTCCTCTGCCCCATATTCAGGCCGTCGGCCAGGCAGTCTTCACATGTATTATCATGCCCATTGTCGAATAATATTAGGCGATCTCCTTGATACAAGTCCTCGAAGTGTAGAGTATGTTCATCTGTGAAAAGTTTGAATACGTTGTCCCATGCACCTCCGTGCTGTAATCCGAAATTATGGAGTGTGAGAGATCGAAGGAGGGGTGAATGTTTGAGGAAGGTGAGAAGATCTCGCTCGTAGACTACAAAGTTTCCTAGACTGCAGATTTGCAAGTTTGGTAGAGGTGCTCTTGAACTGATGTGCTGTAAGAATTTGAAGCCTTCGTGGTCGTGTAGTCCGGGTGCGCGGGTCCGTATGAAGCATCGTCTGAAATTGAATTGGAGAAGCTGTTTGCAGCTGTTTAGTAGTTCGATTAGGCCCGTGTAGCATTCGGGTGCCCAGCCTTGGTCTATGAGCTCCTCGCGAATTGGAAGTAAGTCTTGGAATTCGTCCGCGTTTATGAGCTCTACTGGGTCTCCTGTTGCTGTGCGGTCGTGCCGGGTCTCGTGCAGTATTCGATCAGATATGCTGATTGAGAGAGACTCCAAGCTGGCCAGTGTAAACGCGACGCCGTCTGCTTGCCAGTCACAGAAGCTAAGCTCGTTACATTCTAGGCTACAGTGTCCAGAGAAGTAATTGTGGAAAAGATTCAGGTGTCGTAGTGACAAGTTGGTACCAGCTAACGAGAGCATCAAGGTGTGGAAAGTTCTTGCAGCGGCTTGCCATACCAGCCTCCAACCCAGACGTTCGTGTGGGGCCTCTCTTCACTAGAGTCCTCGCGGAAGACAGCCACATCTGTTGCAATGGAAACTAGCCCTTGCAGTTTGGTGTTCGCTGCGAGATTGGCGAATATTTCCGTCAATAACGCAACGTCTTTGCCAGCGGCATGCCATTGATCGTAATCGGCCCGCTGTCGTTTTAGCTCTTCAAGTTCCACAGTCGCTCGTGCAAGGTCGGCCTCCGAGCCAAACTCTGTAGGTACATCAACATGACCATATTCGTCACAGTCACCGACTAATTCTTTGCTCCCGGTCCATATCTGGTATTGCAGCGCCTTAGTATTGTATACAACTCCCACCAGCGTGAGCTCCTCGATGACGCAGCCGAGACGATGCTTTGCGGTCATTTCAGCCATGAGCTCCAGAGAAGGTCTCGTCAGGTCAAGTCGTTTGGATCGCAAGAATGAACCGAGATGCCTTTGGGTTGTCTTTGTGAGCATGGACCGGCTCACTAAGCGGAGATTGACGAGGTCGTACAAGCCGAGGCATACATTGATGCATTCGTTAACCTCGTCGGGCAGGTTGTCGAGCTGCGGTGTAGACATGACTGGTATATGGAGGACCGAATGGAAGCAGCAGCAGGAGTGTTGAATCTAGGGCAAGACGCATGCATTCTGTAACGGCCTGAGCTGCGGGCCACAATAGCGACTCTGTCAAGCCATCATAGGCTTAGACACCTTCGTCTTCTCTCCCAGTATGAGTGTTGATCGGTGATGTTGATGATGAAGGTGAGTAATCTGCCTTGCCAAGGTGATCTGCAGTGAAACAAAGGGCCAGGCGAGGCTGAAAGTCGGCTGCTGACCGGAGCAACATGATCACCTTACCGTGTTGCTCGGTCTATTCTCAAACACAGCACTGCCCACCACCGCCGCCATTCCTGCACGCTCCTACACATCGTCTCGACAATGCTCCTTGTCCGAAGACGCCCTGATGCCGGCGCACGATCCGCCATCCTCGAGGACAAGCTCAATAGGTAGCGCTGCCTCCGAGCAGAAGCAGCACATCAACAACAATGCCGCTCTGCGTGGCGCGACACTGGCATTCGGCCGCCAACCGCCGCAACCTCGAGCGAAGCCGAAGACAATAGTAGGAGCTGGTGCGGGAAGTCATGGTGCAATGGCTGCAGCGGCGAGTGTCAGGGGAAGAGATGCTGAGCAGAGTCCAAGTCGCGCGTTCACGCGAGCTCCACTGTCACGACCGGGATTATCGGATGAGAGCGTCAACGCTGGCATGCCGACTGGGCCGATGGTTGGTTCGCAGCAGTCGAACACGAGCGGGAATGGGCAACATGACCGGCGTACAGTGCAGGCATCAGCGCCTTCACAATCTCAGCAGGCTGCTGTACTGGCAGCAGCTCGTGCGAAGCCAACCGCACCCACAAAAGATGTGCGACAAGCGGCGCGTAATGCTGAGAGACCCGCCGTAAATCCGAAGCCTAGGCAGTATAGCGAGGGACACCAAGAAACTGCTCCGGAGTTGACAGACAGACCGACTGATTCAACACCAATCGCGCCTACAACCTCTCTCGTTCACTTATTCGAGGAACGGTCGAGAGCTGCTGCATCTCCGGCAGAGAGATCCGAGCCTACTGTGATCAAGCCGAGCCAGGACCTACCGCTGAGGAGCCCCAAGCCTGTCCGATCGGGTGGTATTACTTCCATGATACAGTTGGAGCTGGAACAGCGGAACCAGAAGGAGAATTCAGAAATTATGCCAAAACGAGACATTTCTCCAGCTAGCCTGCACAATGCGCAAGCACGCCCTTCGCCTGGTGATCGATTGAAGTCGCATACCGACACCAAGCGAAGACCGCAACCTTCGCCCTCGCCATCACGCCCCAGTGCAACACAGTCGATCCCAATCAGGCAGCTTCCGTCCCCGCGACCAATGAGTGCACAGTCAACAGGAATGTCTGTCTCTTCAATGCGCTCGCAGTTGTCCATACCTGCTCAGTTCAATGCTGCCAATCCTCGCAAGTCGACTCCACTTCGGACTGGAGACGAATTAGCAAACGCCCTTGTTGCATCGAGCCTAGCATCATCTCGGGCCCCCAGTCCCACGCGTTTAGAACCGCCTCCAGTACCGACACGAAGAAGAAAAGGCCACGGTTCCAAGTTTTCCTTCTCTAGAACTCCGAGCCCAACGAAGAATGGCATGCTACAGACGCTTCGCAAACAAGACAGCTCATCCTCTTCAGACTCTGAAGATGACAGTCACCCTTATAGAAAACATCATAAACGCCGGCTAGTCCGCAAGCATCCGCACAAACACCACGAAGGCGACCGGAAACGCTGGCGCGAAATTGTAACGGAACGAGAAAGAAAGCGGTACGAAGGTGTCTGGGCCGCGAACAGAGGTCTTTATTGTTCTCTTACTCCCGATGAGCAGAATCTCTTCCGAACGCAACCTTCAAGTCCTCGAACGTCAGAGATCAAAACTGCAATCAATGATTCCGTATCTAATATCGTTGCGCGGGACATTTGGAAACGCTCACGTCTGCCAGGGAATATCTTGGAGTTGGTTTGGAGTCTAGTTGATACAGATCGGGTTGGAAGACTGTGTAAAGAGGAGTTTGTGGTGGGCATGTGGTTGATTGATCAGAGGTTGAAAGGGAGAAAACTTCCCAGTAAAGTATCAGATTCTGTTTGGGCGTCGGTGAGGAGTATTGGACTTAAAGTGAGAAAGTGAGGAAGTGAAACACTTGTTGTATAGTAGAGGCGGCACAGTTTGATTCGTTGCTCCACGCTGTAGAAGAAAGCATTAGACAATGATACTCGGGTATATATTGTACAGAGATGCGTTCGAGGAACTGTGAAGTCCCTCAAATCATCAATCTCATCTTCAACAAATCTCTCTCGACAATTTCGTATTTTCTCTTCTCCAACTCTTCTACGTCCCATGTCACGTCCAGATACCTGCCGTTCAACCACTCCTTTCTTTCTCCCCCAACGAGCCAAACCAGCCACGCCCCTGCGAGATCTACACTCTCCGTAGACCACTCTTTCGCACTCTCTGGAAAGCCTTCGGGGACGACTTCAGGCCAGACTGCACCAGGATGGATCGCAGCAGAGAAGACTCCTTGGTCGGAGTAGGCCTCTGCTACACGTTGTGAGAGACGGTTTGTGGCGAGGGCGGTGAGAGAGAAGCCTGTGGTATTGTGCATTAGCAAAATAAGCATGGCGGGAGGAGTAGTGGTAAAGTTTCACCAAGAGGACCCGAAACCTGCGATCCGATGCTGCTGACGTTTATGATGCTCTTTGTGGGTCGATGGTTATGGAGAATAAGGGGCAAAAGGTGCTTCGTCATGTAGAATCTTCCCAAGAGATTCACTTTGTTTGGCCCTTCAATTTGAGAAGTGTCGATTTCACCGGGTTTGGCGAACATGCTGGCATTGGTGCCTATTGTGCGATCGTTAGTACTCATTGAACATTTCAATCCGGCATCTGGACTGGACCAGTACACAGCTAAAGGAAGAGAAACGTACCAATGATGCCCGCATTGTTCACCAGGAGATCCAAAGATCCACCCTTGAATTCCTTCTCTACAACCTCTCGAATTCTGATCGCAGATTCTTCTTCTCCGTTGTCAGCCTCGAGGCAGACAACGTTCAACTCGTCGTTACCGTTGCCTTTCGACAACTCCGAACAGGCCTGCTTCGTCGCTTCGAGATCTTTGGCTTTGCGAGCCGTCAACAAGAGTCCAGTAGCTCCTGCCTGTGCAAAGGCTTTGGCGATGCCGGCTCCGATTCCTCGACTGGCGCCTGTGATGACAGCGACGAAGGGCTTTGGAAGCTTGTGGCCGGCGGGTAGGGCGAGGTTGGACGGGATATGCCCGGCGTGCTGGGGACCTCGGGGAACGAAAGTGCTACCGGACCAGGGTGGGAAGGAGAGGATGTAGTCAGCCATAGTAGATAGGACAGAGAGTTAGTTGTAGTTGTGCTGGATGACTCGATGACTCTAGATTGTTGGCCTAGAGGAATGCTGGGTTTAGGTCAGTGAAAGCTGAGGAGGATGTAGAGCTCAACAATCTGTGATCGATCAGTGCCATTATATAATTGAATTCCGTCTGAGCATCTGAGCAGGGAAGAGGAGCAGTGTAACATTACTTCAGCTATCTGCATACTGCATCCAGCATTAGTTGCCATGATCGGCAAGCATTACTCCTCACTTCGTAGGAGGTAGCTTCTGGTTCAATTCCTCAGCCCTCGAAGGATTCACGTCCTTCGACGCTAGGCTCCTTTCGGTATGCAGATTGCTGCATGTACCTTAAGTCCAGCAGTATGCCCGTAGCTCCGTAATTCGTAACCTTCATCATGCTCATCATGTCGTAGTCGGGCGGAAATAGGTGTTCGTACTCTAGGTGTTTGCGTTTTCCATTCGAATCATCAAGTCTCAGTCGTCACCTTGCGGATTCTCCCAATCGAGATTCCATTCTGGCCTACCATACCGCCACTCGTGGAATTCAATGTCTCCGGGCATCTCTGTACCATCGCTCAGTCGTAGGCGCGGGAAGTGGTCGTCTGCCCAGATGTAGTGGTAGCCCTCTCGAGGAGATGCTCCATAATCCAGCCTCTGTGGCAACTGGTGTCGGGCTGCAATGCTCTGTGTAGCCGTTGGTGCATGCCGGAGATGGGGTGCGTTGGGATCGTACGTATTCGAAGACACGTTGTACGGCGCAAGACCCAGGAAATAACGGCCCCAGTCCGCTGCTACTATAGGACTCTGGTCAGCTTGAGCTTGCCAATATCTCCACGCTAATGTGCATGGGGACGGGAGAGAACGAGACGATGGACTTACCATCTGTCCATGTTGAAGAAGACTCACCGTTATCATCCTGCCCAGTGCTGGCCTGCGTCGGATTCGCAATCTCACTGGGACCTGCTTCATCCATCTCTTTGCCGGCAGTCAAATGATCCGGAACTTCGACCGCTTTTCGCAGTTTCCCAACCATGGACTCGTTGACTAGCACGAGAGCACCGCTGTGCCATCCCGCCGCGGTGACATTGAGCACGAAGTAGGCTCCCAGGCCATCATCGTCCTCGTCTCTGATGCCAAACTTAGTCTCCCAGTCACGCGCTTCCTGCTCGATCCACTCGCTGACTTCTCCTTGGGCAGCAACATGCGGCGAGCCGATGGCCATACGGACACGTTCTGCAGCTTCCTGCTGATCGACGCCCCCACTTGTCAGAAATTGCGCCCACTTACGCTTCTCCTCTTCGAACCAGATCCGACGGCCTTCAGTATAAGCATGCGGCACGAGTCTGCCATCGCCTCCTAGAGCTTGGTTACGAATACCACGGAGTCGACTTTCTGGTACTCCATATCCACCAATGCCTAGGGCACCGCACAACTGCGGCTCAGACCCATAGGATGTGATGTAGCCGGGAGCGTGCAGTGCATGAAAATGGTAATCACCAAATGCCAGAGAGATTACTTGCTTGTTTTGAAGCGCCGGGATGCGCTTAAAAGTATGCCGTACGCCGGGAACGTTTTGAAGCAAGGGCATAATGTCGTCCTGCGTAGAGGTGAGGACAGCTCCGGATTTGGTGAAGACGGCGAAATTGCGAAATGATCCTTGAACATCGCTGACCACATCGTCTGCTCCGTCTTTCAGTTTGGGTAGAGGTAGCTCGATTGGGTTAGACACTGTTTGCGATTGCGGTGACCATCTCATCAGAGCAGCATATGCTTTCCCAGCTGTGGTGTTGAACACAATGGTGTCCTCGAGGATGATGAAGTTCAGGACATCTCCAATGCTATTCTCTTCGTCTTCCACGTGTGTGGACGCCGTGTTTGGTACAGCGCATGTTTCGAGAACGAGAACAGCATCTGCGACAGCATTTTGATCGGGCTCGAGCTCTAAGGGCTCCCACAAGACGATGCCCGTGCCGGTAACTAAGGCAGCGCTTTTGTTCCAGCCTGCCACGACTTTTCTTACAGCACCTTTCTCTGTCTTCTTCACGTACTCCTTCGTTTCGTGGTGTACGAATTTGACGTGTAAGCCAGGGTGAGCAGCGTTCTGCCAGCTCCAAATTTTGCCTGAATCGCTCAGTGCCAGAACATGAGCTCTCCCGGAAGAGAAACCCTTTACAGCAGTGGTAGGCTCATACCGATCATCTTGCGGCTGCGGATAACCTGGGGGAAAACTCAATGGTGTAGGTGTGTCGCGTGCCATTTGTTGATGAGGCGGTCTCTGGCTGAAAGCGAGTCCATCCAGCACGCCAACAGTATAAAGTGCACCCTTTGCAGTCAACAACGTCGTCGACCACCCGCCACACTGCATGTCCGCAATAACCCCCAGATTCTCCAGGCCTTGCATCTCGCCCGGATAACCAGCCTTACGGGCCTGCCTCCTACCATGTCGTATCAACGCATGTCCAGCTGTCCCACGGAACCCAGTTGGCGGCTGCGCAGCGGCATGGCCAAGGCATCCTTTCTCGTTGTTTCCCCAAGTATAAGCCTTGCTCTGGGTACGCAATCGCTTGTACAGTTTGTGCCAGCGCTGGCCATCGTTCTCGACAACGGGTTGGTTTGGTACACGGAAGTCGCGTCGGACCAGGGCGGACCAGTAGGTGCTGTCATGAGTGAAGTCGGGTGTGTGGAGTGCGGTGCATGTTGAGGTCAGACTGAGGAAGCTTCGTGCATCGAGGTAAGGGAAGATGAGCACGAGCAGGTCAACGGGCAGGTCGAGGAGCGTTGTCTTAGACGCTGTCTTGTCGGACATGGTTCATGCTTGTCCGAGTGGGTATGTGTGTTTGTTGAGACTGATGGAGATGCAGTTGAGTGCCGGAGCGGTGCAAGCAAGAGGCAGCCTTGCAAGTTGACAGCTGAAAGCTGAAAGCTGAAGCTGGAGGCCACGAGGGAAGTGGCGCATTGTTTGCGTTCGACAACATGCCCGATGACGCACGCGCATTCACTTCCAACTTTTGTCATATGCAACTTACACAGCTGGCTACTAGCTCATGGCGCTGCGTGCGAAGCGGTAGGGTCTATTGCATGGCTGACGATAGGCAAAAGTCACAGGAGACTGAACACAGCTCATGAAAAAGATAGTTTCGTTGCCTCATTAAAACTCAGTTGTACAGTATTAAATTATTACCTGCCGCTTCGGCTTTCAACTCCGAGCACGCCTGTGCCTTTGCCTTGTAGTGATTCAGATACTCGGTCTGCAAAACCTTTCAGACTCGATCCGGTGGATCGTTTGCGCGGGCTTTGTCGCAACTTCTGCTGCGCTTTAACTTCTTCAACGCTCTCTTCTGCCAGTACACTGATTCCTCCGCCAGCCGGATCGTCCAAGACCTGCTGTCGAGACCCGATAGCTTGATATGTAGCCTTGCCCGCAGGAATCCGCGGCTCTGCAGCTACTTGGGCCGCGCGGGCTGTCGATGATGCTGTTGATGCATCATGGGCGTAAGGAGCTGCCGACTCACTCTTGCTCACAGCCTTGTCAGCGTCGACTTTCTTTTGAGCAGCGATCTTTGCACGTTCGTATCGCGCGCTCACATCTCCACCGGTCCACTTTGTGCCGAGCAAGGTGTCCCAGAAGGTGAAGAAGGGCTGGGAGAAGTTCGTCTTGATACCCCAGCTCTGGTGGTGGACATCATGATAGCCGGCGTTGTTGCTGGTGATGTGCTGCAAGGGGTCCCATGGAAACGAATATCCGCAGTGGTCGTCCACGGTCTTGATGGTCGACATGGTGAAGAACCACATGCTTTGCCTGACAGTCATGCCCGAGAGAAGGTATGCGATGCCGGTGCCCACCGTATCCAACAAGAACCCTTCAAATGGGTGGTTATATAGCGCACCGTAGGCGTATGGGACGTACAGACGATGGTGCCTGCTGTGGAAAGTGACGTACAGCCACTTGTTCATGTGCATCGCCCGGTGGAGGAAATATTGCCAGGTATCCACGACCATGATAGCGAACAGGAACTGCAGTGCTGGGATACCATAGTGGTAGATGCCCTTGGCCGCAATGAGCTCCCACTCTGCGAATGTTGGCATGGCAATTGGTTCGCCCATAACCTCGACAGTCTTTATAAGGCCAGGATATACACCTCCAGCGAGCACACCTGCCAGCGCGCTATGTGAAGCTCCAATGTTGCTCGCGATTGATTGAGCGTCCAATCCAATTGTGGCCAGCACGGAGGGGATGGCGCGTTGTGCCAAACGCAGATTTTGCGCCCACCATGCGATATCGTACTCTTCCTTTCCAAAGGTGGGCTCCGGGTCGAATATCGTCAAACAAAATCCCACTACCGTTTGTATGACTTGCTGTATGATGACGTCCCTGAAAACATCCCATCTGCTGACATGATTCCGTTTCAACACCTCGGCTGGAGTGTGTAGCCGGTATTGTGGAAAGAGGTCGAGCTCATCGATGCAGTGGAAGAACAATGATACGCCCCAGTATGCGACTATGGGCAGTATAAGTGTGAGGTAGGCATCGGGTAGCCCTGAGATGAGTGGTTGCTGCGGCTTCAATTCGTAGGCGGGTAGCGGCGGAAGGTCGTAGAATGTCGCGTTCGCCATGCTGGCGGAAAGAAAAGTTGCTGCGGTGGTATGGCGCCGGTGGGCGCTTCAGTATCGTTCGACGCGCAGTTCAGCCGCAATGATGTGCGTCTGTGCTACGCTATGCGATCAGGAGGCGTCTCTGCTCGCAAGTCGATTGCGCAATGTCGCGAGATGCGGAGCGTACAATGGGCGGGTATTACTGTTGGTGAGGACTGTCGAATTCGTAGAAAGCGGGATCAAAAGGAGTGTATGGGGGTCAGGACAAGATCGTATGGATGCTGAAGCAAGAAAGATGAGCGCGAGACAGGTCAGACCAGAATGAACAAGAACGCCACTGCCTCGTGCTCCCGAATAAAGGCTCCTTCCGGCTGCACTAGCAGGGATTCGCCACGGAAACCGTGCCGATCGCTTCTTGCCTGTAATCGTCATAACGCATCTCGAAACACGATCTCAAACTGCACAACAAGGACGAACAGGATTGACTACAAGTGCGAAACATCGATCGGTCATCTATCGCAGTGAGGTTCGACTTGAGAACTCCAACCATGGCCACAGCGTGTGCGACCTGTGCATCGCGCTTCGACAGCCCCCTGGATCCGGTGTCGGAGAAGCCACTTCTGCCAGGACGAGATCTAGACTGCTGCGGCAGGGCGATATGTTCGCGATGTCTGAACCAGAACAAGCGCTACGAAACGTACTGTCCATATTGCCAGATCACAACGGAGCCTTCACTGTTGCCACAAGGGCTCAAAGACCCTCCTGCGTATTCAGATGATCGATTGCCACCTTGGCGAACAGCCCGGGATGATGAGCCTCCAGCATATTCAGAGCATCAACCTGTGCAGCCTCCATCGGAGAAACAGAACCACGAAGTTGCTGAAGATGTACTGCATTTCTTGACGCCGAATGATTCGATGTCTTCGCTATCGTTGGCGTACGGCGTGCCGATTGATGCCTTACGGAAAACGAACAACGTCTTCGCAGATCATCTCATACAAGGCCGGAAAACGGTCTTGATCCCTGGCGAATACTACAATGGCGGAGTGTCATTATCACCGCAGCCCGTCGAGAGCGAGGAAGAGGAGCTGAAGAAGAATAAGATCCGAAGGTGGCAAGTTGCGTGCAAAGTTGCAGAGTGAGTTTACTGCCATCAAACTCACACTACACGGCTGATGCTGACCAGTATATCCTATTGTCTTAGGTACGACGTCGCGCAGTTATATTTGAAAAATGCCGAGTGGGATCTGCAAGCAGCAATCGATGCCTATCGGGACGACGAGCAATGGGAGAAAGATCATCCACTGGAAGCTAAGCAGCAGAAGAAGGGTAAGTCTGCTAGCAATGTTGGTATGAGGAGATTTCTTGGGTCGAACGCTAGATGAGATAGCTCTGTACAACATCAGCTCACAAACATGTTTCCTATGGCTAATTACCTCTCACGGCTCAAATGTCACGATTACTGGATAGCCTTTGTAGGGCACACCGGATGGGGGAAATCCGCACGGAGTCTTCGCTTGAGCCGGGTAGCTCATAAATATCCTGGCGCTTCCGATGGAGCAGTGTCGTGCCATTCTGTTGTCGTGCACGCGGATTCCTCGGACTGCAATCTTGACAGCTCTGCCAAGATCTCCGCTTAGTAAAGATAAAGTAGGGCTGATCGGCTGCTCCCGAAAGCAACAAGAACCCGCACACAAATCCACACTTCAGTTCAGACCACAATCTTACAGGGGTGTCAAAATGTTGTCAAGACGCATGGTATGTCTGAAGAACAGGAGCTATGTGATGTGGCGATGGCTGATGTTGTAAGCTTTCCCGTGAAGAGGAGGCCGAAATTGGCGAAGAGAAGGAAGTGAGAAAGGAAGATCAAGACAAGATCAACCGGTTCAGCAGACTTCATTCTCGCGAAAAGGGGCTCGAAGAAGAGTTGAAGGTGAAGCAGGTGCGTGCCAAAAGCATGTCAAGTCGTGAACAGACGATTGACAAATTGACAGAAGGACAAAGAAGACTTGGAAGAAATATCTGGTGAGCTTGAGCTCGCAGATGAAGATGACAAAGTTCCGTGCGTGCAGTATCAAATCTTTCCAAACCACCAGAATCGCTAACGTCAAACAGATACAAAATCGGTGATTCGTTCTTCAACCTTCCAGTCTCCGAAGTACAGGAATTGCTATCAGCGGCCGTGGAGCGCATTGATGGCGAAGTGAGCGCGGTCGAAGAGAAACTCAGCGAGTACCGCGAAGAGATGCAAACGTTGAAGACCGCACTTTATGGCCGTTTTGGCAAGAGCATTAACCTCGAAGTTTGAAGACGCCGCTGGAAAATCGCTGAAGCGTGGGAACCGCCAAACATGTTCTTCGCCGGTGTTCGCACCCATGCTCACCAACCTGGACGAGGTCGAAACCGCGGCCTCGCTCGGCTGCACAACGTCGCACAGTATGCTCGACTTCACCTGTCATCTCGAGGTCACCAATCCTTTGCGGTGGTACGCTGTCTCCTCAACGGCGAGCATCCCACGTTGATGCGGGCACACGGCAGGATAGCCGAGGGACCCAAGACTCTGATCTAGTGCCGGCTAGCCGTCTACCTCACATAGCATCACACACAGGCACAACAGGCTCAGCAAGACTTCAACAGCAGCAGCAAGGTGCGGCCTGCTGACCATTCAGCGCCGCAGAAGTAGCATGCAGCGCCGAAGAGTTTGTTAACCAAACACAAACCTCTACTTTCAGTTCCCTTTCCTCCTTCTTATGCTAATCGTTTGACAATCGAGAGTCCGTTATCGCACTGCATATCGAATGCACCTCATGCTCATCCAACTCCGTGACGTACTCTCGCTATCTGGAGCAGTGCATGGTCGCATGTTCCCTCAAACAAGACAATCAAGATGAGTGCTGAGAACGCCCAGCATGGCGAGCATGCGAAACCAGATACTCGCCACGGGACGGACAAACCCACGGGAATCATAACAAGAGACAACACAGACGCTGGTGCCCAATACTCTCCAGCACGAACGACATCCAACACCCACCATGAATCCAACTCACATGCAGAATCCTCCAAAGAAGACCTACCATCTCGCAAAACCTCCCACAACAGCCTCCCAACTTCACGACCCACATCCACAGAACATCGAAGAGACAATGCACAGCACCCCGTCAACCACAATCTCTACGAGGACCCCGATAATGGCAAACAAATCATCACATTCTCCAAAGACGATCCAGAAAACCCTTACAACTGGTCCCGCGGCAAGAAAACTCATGTCCTCCTAACCTGCATGGCCCTCGTACTCAACTCCACAATTGGCAGCGCTTTACCTTCTGGCGCATCACAGCAGATCGGCGAATATTTCAATATCACAAGCCAGTCGTTACTCGTTCTGCCAGTTTCGATATATTTGATTGGGTATGTTTTGGGGCCTTTGGTAAGTGCGCACCTCTCATCAACTTACGGATTTCTATAAGTGTTTATCAATTGATCTCGTATGAGGTTGGGAGTGAACCTATTCGACTGACATGTCGCGGATATAGTGCTTCGCTCCATTATCAGAATCCTACGGAAGAAGATGGATCGTGATTGCGACTTTCGTGGTTTTCACAAGGTTTCATTTGGGTTGTGCATTGGCTCCGAATTTTGAAAGTTTGATTGTTATGCGATTGATCGTTGGAATCGGGGCTTCGACGCCAGTGAGTGTTATTGGCGGAATCTATGCAGGTGAGTATGGGTGAGATATGCCATATCACTGCTCTATTTCGAGTACTGCACGGTAGCCTGAGCCTTCCAGACTTCTGAGCAGAATGGCTGACAACTTTGACTGCTAGATATCTACAGCACCCCAAAAGCCCGAGGCCGAGCGGTGACGAGTTTCATGGCAGCGACAACATGGGGCCCACTTGCTGGACCCATTATATCCGGCTTTGTAGCTCCTGTCTCCTGGCGCTGGGCATTTTGGAGTGGTTTAATTATTGCTGGAGCCACATGGCCGGCCGTCATCTTTCTCCCGGAAACATATGGTCCTGTTCTGCTGAAACAAAAAGCGGAGAAGTTGAGGCGAGAGACTGGCAATGAGAAGATCGTCGCGCCCATCGGATTGGAAGATCAGAGCTGGGCAGAATTCGTGACGGTCGTTCTGACAAGGCCCGTGAGGATGTTTTTGTTCGAGTGGATCGTGCTGTTTTCCTGCTTGTACCTCTCGGTGGCTTATGCCATTTTCTACAGCAAGTTCCTACCTCCCTTCCGATCCAAACACATGCAAGCTGACCTCAATCACCAGTGTTCTTCCAAGCCTACCCAATTATCTTCGGCGGAATTTACGGGTTCAACGCTGGAGAAACAGGTCTCACCTTTATTCCCATTGGAGTAGGTGCAATGTTGGCCGGCATCGTCTACCTCTGGTGGGAGCATTATCTCGAACGAGCAAAAGCAAAATCCCCTCCACCCGCCTGGAGTCAACAAGAGGAATACGTTCGATTACCGATTGCCTTGCTTGGCGCGCCATTATTTGCGATCAGCCTTTTGTGGTTGGGATGGACTGCTCGACCAGGGATACATTGGATCGTTCCAACGTTGTCTGCGCTTCCATTTGGGGTTGGTTTCCTTTTAATATTTTTCGCAATCGTCAACTATGCCGTGGACGCATATGAGCGGTTTGCGGCGTCAGCAATGGGCGCTTTGGCTTGTTCTCGGGCGATTTTTGGGGTTGTATTGCCGTTTGCAGCACGGCCCATGTTCGAGAGTTTGGGTGTTGCGTGGGCTTGCAGTCTGCTGGGATTCCTCAGTGTGATGATGGGCATTGTCCCGTTTGCCTTTCTGAAGTATGGCGCGAAGATACGCGAGAACAGTAAATGGTGTCAGGAGTTGGAGAGGAAAAAGGCGGAGGACGAAGAGAAGGGACGGCGATTGGAAGAACAGCAGTCGCGGTTGAGTTCGCATGTGCATGGAGGTCCTGAGAAGCAGGTTTGATCGGTTGGCGGACCACGTGGGAGTTGGAAGTGTGGCGCCGAGTGGGACAATCGTGAGCATATCGTGAAAACGGCGTTGAGCATACTGCATAGCGTGACCGGCAGGTATACATAGAATAGACAGTACATTGTGTCAGCAGCACAGTGACAAGAGCGAGCAGGTGCATACCAAATAGGTAAAAGCATGGCAATACGGACAGCTGTAGACAGAATCGAGTAGTCGGCATTAGTTAGCGTCATGTGGCACCAAAAGAGGCGGCAGACAGGAGACGACATTCTTAGTCCGACTCTTGGTCGATTGCTGACCCCTCCTGGGTTCCAGGAGCCGCATGTCTGACAATTCCCCGGAACAACGGCAGATGCTGAGTCGGGTGGATGCGGTGCCCGAGAGGAGCGAAGGCAGACGCCGTTGGATATGTCGCCACTGTGATGTGAAGTCGAAAAGTAGACTCATCATCTCGCAACAAGCAGGACCTTGCAGAGGTGTGCCTTGCAGAGCGAGATGCAGCACGCAAGCACCAGTCGATGGGCCGATGTGAAGCTCGGGTCGGGCCTCAGCTTATGCAACTTGGACCCGGCTTACCGGATCACGACTTGCAAGGAGCTTAAAAGTGATCGACGACAAGACACGTACTGGTACGACCGAGCAGCGATGAATGGGCCAGAGTGCGAGTCGAAGACACGCTGTATCGACGAGGAGTTCGCCCAGATGGATTTCGCAATGTGCGCGGGAGGATTCATTGGTGTGAAGAGCAGAGGGAGAAAAGCAGGGCAATGGCGGAGCAGACACCGCACTTGCGAGCCCTAAGTTAGAACTACGGATCAAATGCAGGTTGCGCAGAGTGATTGGCCGGCGGGGCTGACTCGTGTCGCGATAGCGTCGATCCAGCTCGGACTCCAGCGACAGACTTTCACAGCAGCGCTCGGCCGTGGCAGCAAGCTGAGCCAGACGGCACTCAGCTCTCGCTTGCGCGCTGCTGGCTGTGGCGGCGTGGTGCTGCGAGCCGAGCACAAAGTCTCCGAGGGGACCAGAGTGAGTGATTGTGGATGACAATTGACGAGTGTATGCAGGAGAGCTGCCAGAGACGGGCGCGGTGGCACAGCGGTCATTGGGCCAGGCATTCCCGTGCGTTGGTTGACTTGCATGCACATCTATGGCAGATGCCATCTCCACGCCAACGTGCGAGGAATGCCCTGAGGGTGAACAGTGGGCTGCAACATTTCCCACACCTGGCTCTCGGCAAGCGCAACCGTGCATTGCGAGCTGTCGTCTGCCAATGATGCTCCACCTGCACACCACCGTTGGCGAGCCGTTCCCTGCAATAAGGTGACTTTCCCAAGACGGTAGCCTGGACTGTGCTCCCATTCACTCTCTCGTCTCCGCTGTCGTCGTCGTTGTCGTCGTCGCTGTGGCCGCTGGAAGAGCCGTGGTGCAGAGTCTGAGCAGAGAGGGCCGTGTGCTATACCACCCACGCCATATACCCACTTCGTCGACGACTAGCCAACGCTGTCTCGAAACCCACTCGTCGGCCCGCCGAGCTCACCGGTCACCCACCCTTTGACGAAGTCTTTGAAGGAGAGGAGGATGTCCTACTGAGGACGGGGAAGAAGAGGCAGGAACCCACCCAGAGGCAACAGCATATACTTCCACGCCGAAACAAAGCAAGAGGCAGCAGTGGGACGATGGAGTTCGAACAGGCATACACGGGGTACGTATGGTTGCCATGCAGAACCACCACCACACAAACATCCACCCTGGGAATTGCTATATTGATGCTGCACACAGTGCCGTCGACTGGAACTTCCCCAGTCCGGGAGCCACGCCCACCAGCGCTGCATACACGCCCAATGTCTTCCACACGCCCAAGACAGCCTCGTTCCCCTCACATTTCCACGATGCCTTTGCAACGCCGCAGATGGCCAGCTACACACCGTGCCAAGCCGACTTCCCAGACATGCACGCAGCACAGCGGCCGCACACTGCTGCACCAGACACCCGCAGCCATGACGCCCATCAACACGGCCAAGCCATGCCACCACCACCAGGTGCTGCCATGTACCAGAACTTCATCATGAGCCCAATGTACGACAACACTTCACGGCCGCAGACTGCCGTACCTGTGAACCAGTCCTTGACGTATGATACCATCCAAATGCAAACACCGCCGCCAACTCGAGGGTCTTCAGTGAAGAAGCCTCAAATGCAGGAGGTCGCCTTTGGTACGCCGTCGACCATAGCATCAAGGAGATTTGCCAGTCCGAATGTCGCTTTCCTGCAAAGGCCAATGCAGAATCCGCAGCTGCAGATGTCGCCGAACATGTACCAGTTTGGCAACTTCGGCCCTGCTACCGCTCCAGCTATGCCACAAGCCCAGCTCCTCTGGGATCAACATGGTACTCCTGTCGCCATGCAACAGCAACAACCCATGTTGGACGATCCCTTCGCACCAAACTCATCCGCGTCTATGCAATGGTCTCAGACTCAGCCACAGCAAAATATTGCATCACCCACGGCTTTCAACACTCCTGCCATGAACAGTTTCTCGCTTCAACCTGCTACACAGCGACCTGCGTCAGCTGTTCAGCTCAATTACATTTCAGATCCTGTTGCAACTACCACTAGTGTTGACCCATCATTAGTATACAGCTCGCCCATCCGGCCACCTCAGGAGTTCTCACAGGAACCTCCGAAAACCCACCAGAGATTGCAGCCGAGTGCTCTAGAGTCGAACCCAAAACCAAAGGGAGGCCGGAAAGCGGAGTCGAAGAAGCCGGAACACAAGCGTACCGATACCACAACGACAGTTGGTTCCAGCTCGACTGGTAGCTCATTTACCCTCGCAACGTCGCGGCCTGTACTTTCAAGAAGCAATACCACTGGCACTGCCAGGCCGCAGTCTATGCAGTCTTTCTCTAGTGCTGAAACGCTGAGTCGACGAAACAGTGTCCTTCAAGAGCCACGAACAGCATCACCGCTGAAGCGTGTTGGAAGAACCAATCTAGGTTCCATATCGGAAAGCAGAAAGGCGAGGCCACCGAGCGTGATCTTGACTGTTGACGAGTTTGGTCGTGCCCGAGCTGTAAGGACGGATGTGCCGCGCGAAAACAGCCCAACAAAGGCTATGCGGGAGAGATATCCGGGACTCTATGACAGCGACTCGAGTGAGGATGAGGAGTCAGAGGGCGAAAAGGATATCCCGAGCCGAAGTACTTCATTCACGTTTACAAAAGGAGAAGACCGAAACCCGAAGATAGCGAAACTCGATCCGCCTATCGAAGGCATTGATGGTCTCAGCATACCTCGGACTTCGTCAGCTGCTTCGATGAAGGTCGCGCCGTCTCGAGCATCAATCGCCGCGGCAGCGCAGCTCCGACGTGGAAACAGCCTGCGGAAACGCAATCCCAGCCGGAATAGCTCGCGACGGGCGAACAACTCCGGTGCAACCTCAATTGACACAGCACCCATGGACGTCTCATCAGATCGGAGACAATCGTTTATCGGGTCTGAAGACTTCGATAGAGGCCTCACCTTGACCTCTCGTACCTCGTTCGAGCTGGACGCGCATAATAGGAGATGGTCCAAGATGTCCACGTCGGAGCATCAGCCCAGCATCTCACCTACACATCCTGCACAGTTCTCGCAACCCCAGTCTTCTCCGGCAAAGCGAGTTCGTTGTCTTTGTGGAGACAATCGAGAAAAAGGAGTGATGGTCCAGTGTACGAGCTGTACTCAATACCAGCATGCAAATTGCGTCGGTGGCTCGCAGGTTACCGGTTCTCGCACGTGCTTTCTCTGTACCAAGCCTACTTCACGGCTTCAGGTGAGCAATCGCAGAAGATGAGCTGCACTTTTGATGCATCCGCATTTGTCACTTTATTCAATACACATCTAGCGTTCAAGCACGTAATGGGGTACGCATTCAGACGATACGCCCTAAATTTTGGAAGAGGATTGGAGATTTGGAAGCAAGCCACAGGTTGGCATTGTTTCGGCGTTGAAAGAAAGAATTACATTGTACGACAACACTGCGAGACCAGTTCCAGGCTGGTGAGACAAAGCGGCTTTTTGTTCGCATAATGCATTGTACTCAGATACACATCGAAACTATATTCAGCGAGTTCGATCTCGGTTGATGCTCAATTCACTTGCGATACTACTGTCTCAGCACTTCACGCGCTTCGCAAGTCTCACTTTGCAGGAACGAACAAGATAAAACTACTTCGACAGCCTTACCTCTGTCACGAATACTGACAAGACGCCAGAAAAAGCCTCTGCTCTACAACAAACAACACCATGCCCCACGAACGAAGCTCCTCCCACCGCCGTGGCCCTCACGGCCGCCACCACGACCAAAATTTCCCACCCCAACGCTACTGCGATCTCTCCCACAACGACATGCTCCTCCTCGCACCACTCTTCCGCCCTATGCCTCTCCCTCTCGATTCTTCTTACGCAACTCATGCTTCAGCCCTCCAAGCTCGAATCCTCGAACTCCCGCCTCATCTCCTCCGCTCTAAACCCGAAACTCCAGCTTCTTCTTTCGCTGCTCGATTTTCTTCTTCCTCTGACGACCATAGCACTTGCTGTGAATTGCATAAGAACCTGTCTCCCAGACCGATTGAGAGTCTGGTCAGACATCTGAAATGCGCAGTCCACTTGGACGAATTGAAGAAATACGATTTTGAGAATTTGCAAATGCAGATTTTGGGGGATATGGTTGTTAGTTGGGGGAGTAATAGTCGGAACTATGAAGGGTCTGGGGGATTGTCTTTGGATGTTAAGTATGGGCCTATTTCGGCCGAGTTTGTCGAAGATGATGATGACGAGCAGGAGGTGGGCGGTTTGAGAAGGATGTTGAGTTTGAAGGGGAGGAAGAGTGGGAAGAAAGACAAAGAGAGGAAGATTTGTTGCGCGGCTTGTAAGCTTTCGAATATTTCGGGGGATTTGTATGGGTTGCAGATTTTGGGGGCGCTTGTTGCGGGCGATGTGGGGAGGAGGAATTGGAGGGCTTCGAAGAGGATGCGGTGGATGGAGGTTTGGTATGCGAGTGTCAAGGGGGAGAATCTTGCTGGGGAGATGAGAGAGGTTGTGAAGCCGATGTGGGAGATGGCTGTTGAGTTTGCGAGGTATCGATATGATGCTTCGGGGCGTGATAGTGATTCTGGCCGAGGTGAGGATGAGAGGGATTGGATTGAGGAGTTTCAGGAAGAGGTTGTTCAGAATAAGAGAAGGGGCCGGCAGGAGGGGAGGGAGGAGATGGGATTTCAGCACCAGATTCCTTCGCCGGATGCTTTTGTCGCTCGTCCTCTTCCAGACCCTTTCGTTGACGGACCTCAGGAGACCGAACGCAGGAATGGCGCTGAAACTTGGCGTATTCCTTCGCCGCCGATTTCTCCTCTGCACCCTCGCCCTGCACACCCAAGACGACGAGCACCGGATGCGATGAGCACTGCTTCTTCCTTCTACTCACAACACTCGGCGATGAACGACTGGGACGGCTTCAGGCAATCTCAAGAGCCCTTGAGACCCATGGCAACCCCCAGCAGACCTTCTACGGCGACCCCAAGCAGACCTCACGAGGGTTACCCAACGCCCTCCTCGGCCTACTCTCGTGGGCCCCAGTCTCCCGGCCACGGGATGAGCAGGACCAGGAGAGACCCGGCAAGTACGATCAGCCAGATCATTGACTTGTACGATCACTAATGTGTGCAGCAGTATTGGTATTATGAGCTGATGCAACCGCTTGTCGCACCAGAATGGATCTGACGTCTTCGAAAACTTGGTGTTGAAAATCCCGTCCATCGCGAACGTAGAGATCGGGCCAGTTCGTTCCGGAGGAGTCAGCGACATTGGCATTCGGTAGCCTCATTCGATCGCCTCAAGCAAACTCTTCCTCAAAATTTCTCCAAAGCCTTCCCAATCGATCTCTTTCTCTCCGGATTCCGCAGCGTTCTCGTACGCCCTCTTCATATCCTCTTTCCTTACTCTGACCACCCATCCCGTACTAGTCACCATTGTAGTAACAGTCCCATCCTTACTCTTCCCGGTTACGCCCACCGCATTCAAAATGTTCTCCAAAGAAACCTCATCAAAATCCCCTCCAATTTGCCTCCCCACATCAAACAAATTACACATCCTCCTCTCTTCCAAGGCCTCCTTCACAGACTCAATCGCTCGTTCTCTCAACGCAATTTGCTCCTCTCGTTCCCTGCGTTCCTGCTCCCTTCGCTTTTCTCTCTCCTTGGCCTTTTTCTCTTCTAGCTTCGCTTCTGTGGCTTTCCGTCTCGCGACTTCTGCAGCTTGAGCGGCTTCTCGTTCTGCAGCGCCTTCTGCGTCTTTGGCGCGTTGGGCATCACCTTGAGAGCGTTGGAATTCGTGGTAGGCGCGTCTTTGGTCTTTTTTGGCGAGTGACTTAGCTTTCTTGGCGCCGATGTTGCGTTGGGCTGGAGCCATGCGGGCTGCGGGGTTTGCTGGACCGGGTTCGTTGGGGTCTTCTTCTGCTGCGACTCCAGCGTTTGGTTGGATCGGATGAGGGACATGGCCATTCTCTCGCTCCGGCTGGTGAGTGTCGTGGACTCCATCATTGCCATTGGGCTCATCCGCGTCGTTTCGTTGATAATTGGGTGCTTGATCTATCTGCTCATCGTGAACACCATCATCTAGCCTGCGATTTCTTCTTTGAAGGTTCTCTTGAATTTGTGGAGCGAAGTATAATAAGACTGCTAGGACACCGAGGTGAATCACATCTTGATAGACTGGAGTGCCAGGTGTGGCGAACGGCAGTAGCCTATTGAGAAGTCGCAAAATTGAGGACATAGCCTATGGCCAGTGCGAACCGCGCAGGCTTGCATGCGAAATCGATGACCACGTCGAGTTGGGTTTGTGCAAAAGTCAATGTCGGACGAGCGAGAGCATTAGGCGAGATACTCTCAGATGCGCCAGCGATTCGATTCCGCGGGCATTGGGCGCAACAGGAAAATTGCTTTAATGTTAGTATGTTCTCTTTGTGGGAAAGTGTCAGAGCAGAGAGTGAGGTCTGGCAAAATGCCTCAGGCAGAAGTGCGGCTGCTGCCGTATTGCTTGGCGCCTCCTCTTCTTTGGAAGTCCAACTTCGAGCTGGTCTGCAACTTGACAAATTTTACGCAAGAGGGACAGAATGGCGTGCACGAAGCTAGGTCAGCATGTCAGCTGTGCTCAGATGAGACCTGTGCGAACAACATGCCGATGCACTCGACGCTTCTCGTATCTACCAATCCGCCCGGTGTGAGACTCAATGCGGACTCTCCGGGCTTTCTACATTTCTCCGTTCCAGAGTCACTGCAGGTCCTTTGGCCTAAGTGACAGCATCTCTCACAGACGGAGCTCCGGCTTCAGAATCGGCATAAGCATTTGCCTTTGGCGCTGTCTAATCTCATCAAACCACTGTTTGTCAGCTGCAGTGCAAACAGAGCCGGAGACGATACCGAGCACGCACAAGAGACTAGAGCAGGACAAGTCCCGAAATACCAAGTCGAACATGCAGCAAAAGATCACAAGCTCTGCTTCACAAGACCTTAGGCAGCTAGGCGACCTACTCGTTGCCACCGTTGCGCGTGGCTCTACAAGGAAATTCGCGGCAGTATGCACCAATCACGCACGTTGCCGCGTCCCGCCCGCCTAATGGTCTCTGCAACCCATGTACACCGGACTTATACGCTGTCGTCACCGCTTCAGTCTGGCTCGTAGTCGCTCCGACACGAAAACACCGAAGATCAAATATGAAGAAACCGAGGGCTTGGAGCCTAATAGACGGTAGGTTCCTTCTCCAACAACAACAACTTCATTTTCTTCTACCCTCCAGGAAGAGGTTTTACTGTCTTTACTGCGGGAATGTCGTCTGCCAAGTGCGATGAGATTCTGGGTCGAAATGCTGGACATACGATTGTGAAGGGGCCACTTTCGCCATTTCGCCGGTCGGCAACCTTGTTGTTTTCTAAATCTCCTACCACACCTCCTCCAGCCTACGATCAAGTCGTGAAGAGAGGAGATACATTCGCAGCGTCGCAGGCTCGACCGCTGCAATCCAAGTACTCACACAAATTCACACCAAGTCTCGATGCTCCTCCTGAAAGTTGGGAACCGCGATCCCTCAAAAGTCACAAGAGCGAAAACTTCCTCAACTCCTACGCTTCCTCACCTCGTTATCGAAGAGACAGCGCGGACCTAAACTCACACATTTCGGACAATGCTGCTCAACGTCTACCATACGTTCCCGAGAAAGACGTTCCGCCTCCGCTGGTGATTGAGAAAAAGAGCCTGTCGCTGCAAAAGTCGGAAAAACCAAACCCATACGTCGTGGAGCTCGAGGCACCAATGTGCAGCCCAAAGACACAAACTTTCGTGCCAATCAGGATACCAACCAAGATTCACCCTGCATTCAGAACTTCCGAAGATGATGCAAGCACATCAAGCGCACCAAGCACACCAGAGAACGATCATCCACTTTTCAGAATTCCAGATTACCAGAAGCCACAAGTTGCAAAGCCACAGATTGCAGAGCTAGAAGCTCCTATCGACTTTGCACGAGACAAACGTATTCACATTCCATCACGTTACTCTGTCGACTCGTCACCCTCACTGTACTCACCTCCTCTGAGTGCCCCACACGACATACGAAACTATCCATTCCGCCTCTCCATCGACTCTGCGCCCTCTGTCTACTCCGTACCATCCACATATTCTCCGACAACACCTCAATGGATCCCGGATGATGAGAAGATTGTCATCAGCGAGCCAGAGCTCCAAGATAGACAAGTTAAGACGAGGGAAGTTACAGTACCCGAGCAGATCCCTTCACCAACACAACGCATGGGATTGCTGCAGCCACCACGAAAGCGAAAGGTCTACGAGGTGCGCTTCGTGGGAGAATTCGCGACCAATCAAATGGAAATTCTGAAGAACGGAAGAGTCGTCAAATTCGTGCAGATCAAGTGCAGCTTCTTCGGCACGCCATTGGTCTTGGTTCATGCTGGCAATACGCACAATGCACCGATTGTTGCGGTAAGTCTATGTGCTACAGATCGAGCAAGGCTTGGCTTGGATAACCACTCGATATTTGGAACAAATGCTGACATGTGTTTCTTGTAACAGGCTTGCAAGTTCAAGCAAATTCGCTCTGGATTTTATGTTCGCGCCGGACCCATGGACTCCACGCCTTACCAAAAGTGGCCACAAGTGAAATGGAACAGCTGGAACGAGAAGGATTACCTGTTTGATTTTCAGCATCGTCGACTGTGCTGGCGCAGGTACGTGACCACGACTCACTGATCAAGCTCATTTCTTGTAGGACTATCCCACTGACTTGGAACAGTGCTGCCGACGGTATCCTCGATTGCACAAATGCTGGGGACCACCATCTCATCGATCTTGATACTGGAGTAGTGCTGGCCGCCTATCACAAAGATCGAACATGGTTCGCTTTCAAGCCCTTTGCAAAGATCGAGTTCTATGCCGGACTGGAAGAAGAGTTGGAAGTGTTGAGCTTGGCTATCGTCATGGGTATTGAGGAGAGGAGGAAGCGTGCGATTGAGGCGAACGCTGCTGGTAATCGCGGAAGCTGAGCTGATGAGGTGTAATAGGCTACGGATCAGGATATCTGTGGACTTGTGTGTGTACGTTAAAAGGCGGAGCTCTCTATACCAGATTGTTATTCTCATGTGGGTTGTCGTGGTCGGCTTGATGTTTCAATGTCCTTCACCTGCTGGACTGTGCTTCTGGACTCCATCTACGTGCTGAGTGGTGGCCCACTACTGGAGCTCTACCATCCTCGAGCATTGCGTTACGGAGCACTACCCTTCCCGTTTCCAGAGCCCATTTTGTCAAGAACGGCTTACGCACGACACCTCCCTGCTCTGGGGCTCTCAGCATCCAAGTACTCTACCCAGGGAGAACCAGGTCCGCCCACTATTTTCCTTCCGCAAATCCAAGACAGCTTTTTCTTACTGCAGTCACTTCCCTCCTGGCTCTTCTAAAACCTTGGCAACTGCCCGTTCGATTGTGCGGAAACGAAAGCGCCGCAGAAGGGTCGTTGGTTCGAGAGGACAGAAGCTTTCGATCGTTCCTCACTCACGGTCCCGTCACTGTTTACAGGGATCTAGACGTCAATGACAATGGTTAGCTGCTCGGCTCTCAATGAGTCGCGCGAATACAGGTCCGACGAGAACAGGATCGATCAGTGAGTCTAGTAGCAAATTGTCCGCATGAAAGCTTCAGAACGGCGAGTGAATTGCGATAGGCTTCATCATAGCATCAGAAAACGGATGATAAAGCTCAAGCTCAACGTACCTTGATCGTGACGAGAGACAGCAATGAGGAGTCTTGTGGTACAGGTGAGAGGAGAGGAGAAGAGTTATAGTTTTGCGGTGACCAAAAGGGGAAGTTGGTGAAACTTGGCACCGAGGTGCGGTCGGACGATTCAGTCAGCCACCAGTTGCGTCGCAGAATACGGACGTCATGAGTAGTATCACTATGCTGTGAAGAGGTTGAACCATTGCATAGCGGACTTGCTTGTCTTCTAGGGACAACGGCTTTTGAGCTTGATGCCAATTGAGGCACTCTAAATGGACATGAGGGCGGCTGCTTCTCGTTACATTTTCTGCCAATTTTTAACGCAACATGGCAGAAATGATGAGATTTGAACCAATCAATACTTTGGTCTACACTCTGCATCGTTTCTTCCAACTCGCAACGCCCCTAGAGACCCTTACATTCGACACAACTAAGCACGGCATCAGATGCCTCCTCAAATTGTCTCAAAACAAGCAACCAATTAACAATAGCCTCTTCGAAGTCTCTTACTTGGATGCGCTCGCCATTTTCACGAGAACGTCTTTGTCGCAGAACTCCACCACCTTAGCGACCTTGGACCCATCGTCGTTGAAATATAGGTACCAGGCTTGCTCGGCAGAGTACCAATCTGAGCCATCGACAGGATGTATTTCAGCGATGGACGTAAAGGTGGCCAGTCTGGCTTCAGTGTCGATGACCAAGTTGGAAAGGACGTTGTTCTTGAATTTGAGCACCTTGATGTCGTTGGCTACGGCTTCCTGATAGGTCTTGTTATCGAAGAAAAAATCCTTTGGAAGCTGGAAAGTCTGGTTTACAGACGCAGGTAGCATATGTCGAGTGCAATCTTCCATGACGTCGAAATTGATGATTGAGGCCTCGTTCTTTGTTGAGCTCTCTTCGAATCTGAAGAGGAATGATCGAGCTGTCTGTTCGATACGTTGCCTCAGGTCTGTGGTGGATTGAGTGGAATTCATGCTAGATGTAGACTTTGAAAGTTCTTTGGTCGAGCAATTGGTCCAGTAGAGCAGCTTATCATACTTTAACTTTCGATTTCCATGTCTCAATGGAATTCTAGGACTGATATATTGCATGTCATCACGACACATCGCCGACGTGATGTACAAATCGTTGTCATAACGTGATGTTGTAAGAGCAGTTGGTCCATCGTCAGTTCCATACCACGGACTTAGGAGGTATTGCTGCAGGGTCCAGACCTTATGCATGAGCGCTAACATGTGCTGATGGCTGATGGCTGATGCCTCGTCCCTGTCCCATTGGCGTGAATAGCGTGCTGACGTTCTATCCGGTTCTGGACTAGTCTTCTCAGTGTGGCTTGGATCCCTGGTCCAAGTGCATATGCTCCCTAACGTTACTTCCTGCCGTTCTGACGACCTTTCAAACTCGACTTTCTCCGGGACTAGCTACTGCACCTGCACCATGACACATTTACCAAATCCTCATCATCAAGCAGCCACGCGCCCACGCACACATCTGCACGCACCTCGTGTAGGCACGCCAAGAGATCGCGATGGCGTCTTCGAACTCTGGGCGCGATGAGAAGGCAGCCGGGATGGAAGAATCTCAAGCTCAGGCTAAGAAACGGAGGCAGTTGCAGAACAGGCTAAGCCAGAGGGCTCATCGTAAGTTTCTCGTCCAACTCCATGTGTTCAGCTCGACTCACAAGTCATCCAGGACAGCGGAAGAAGGCACAGGCTGCAAAGACGGATCTCCCAATGCGACCTTTCCAGGTCGATCGGTGGCGTCTTGATGAAATCGCCTATCTGGCCTCACAAGGAGCTCCGGCAGCACCGCAGGGCACGACTGTCGCTGATGATTGGACGCAACCAGAAAGCGACAGTGTAACATTGCAGCCTCCGCAGCCTCATCAGCACTATGAAAAGCCACTTACCTGCCCCGTTGACGGCCCACCAGTGACTCCGCCGGCAATTGTATTTCCCCTCTCCACCGATCACTTGATTCATCTCATTCAGTACAATGTCTTTCGCGCTTTCGTCTCGAACAAGCGTACCCTGAACACTTTCCTCACCGGCTGGAAAGATCCCCCACCTTCCCCAGTTACCTGCCCTCTTAGTGGTCCTTATGTGGACAACACTATGATCTATCCCTTGAACCCCAATACCCCACCGGCCCTCGTCCCGACTAGACTGCAACAACTCCAGCCTCATCATCTCTGGCTCAATCTACTACCTTTCCCGCAAATGCGTGATAATTTAATCATGCACGAAGGACTTTTCGATCATTGGGACATGTTGGGAGACCTGATCGGGGAGCTTCTGGTTATACCGCCGCTTCTCGAGCGGAAAGGTGGATCGCAATCCTCACGTGCAACTGGACATACGCCTGGAAGAAGTGCGTCCTCCGCCTCAGTGGAAGGTTCGGACGAAGTAACTTCAGGGCGTACTAGGCTCGTTGTGTGGGGAGAACCGCATGAGAGTATGAATTGGGAAGCAACACCGGCCTTCCTCACAAAGTGGGCGTGGGCTGTGAAAGGCTGTGGAGAACTGCTTGCAAGCAGCAACCGCTGGAGGCTCGAAAGAGGCGAGGAACCGATACGCTTTGTGGATGTTTCTGACGAATATATCGTAGAGGAAAGCTGGAATCTAGGCTGAGGCACTTTCAGTGCTCCCGATTTGTAACGATGGACTTTTAATTCCTTCAACCGTGACTGGCGCTTGCTTGGGAATAACTCATACATCGACAAACGCTGGAGGCGTCCGCTTGTGGTAGGCGGGCCGTCATAACATTGTCCGGGGAACGGAATCTCTTTTCGACCGGTATTCCATATTGCTTAGTATATCACGCACAAGCTAAGCCAGAAGCAGACAAAACGTCACCAAGCTGTTGCAACAAGAAGTAAGTGCAATGTCCGCGATTGCTAAGCATACGAGTGTTTGGCGACCTGAAGAGGATATATGAGCTACCCTGCCACGCTCAATACTGACATCCTCGAAACCGAACACACAAGCACAGCGAACTCAGAGAAGATGGCACAGACCAAGTTACCGACAGCCAGATTGGGCAAAAATGGACCGCAAGTCACCCGCTTGGGTTATGGCGCGATGGGCCTAGTGTGTAAAATTTGAAAGACGGGAGGACCAAACAATGCTAACTTTATCTGCAGAGTGCCATGTACGGAGCTCTCAAGCCGGATGCTGAACGATTGAAAGTTCTTGATACTGTGTATCGAGAGGGAGACCTGTTCTGGGACACAGCAGATATTTATGGTGACAGTGAAGAACTGATAGGTCAGTATACAGCGTTTCTAGATAAGACAAATGCTTACAATCTCACAGGCAAATGGTTCAAGCAGAACCCTGGGAAGCGTGAGGAAGTCTTTCTCGCTACGAAATTCGCCCTATCGGTCGATGCGGCCGGAAATTTCATTACTCGCTCCGATCCAGAGTATATCCGTGAAGCATGCGAGAAGTCGTTGAAGCGCCTCAATGTGGATTACATTGATCTTTACTATTGCCATCGCCTCGATCAAAAGACTCCCATCGAGAATACCGTAGAATCGTTGAAGCAGCTCAAGCAAGAGAGAAAGATCAAGTACATCGGACTCTCTGAGTGCAGTTCCGAGTCTCTTCGACGTGCTTGCAAGGTTGAGCACATCGATGCGGTACAAATCGAGTAGGTGTACTGCAAAGTTCCAGTCCAGTTCGATGCACAACTGATCTCGTACTCTCAGATATTCACCATTCAGTCTTGACATCGAGTCTGAACAAATCGGCTTGCTGAAGACTGCTCGCGAGCTCGGCGTTGCAATTGTCGCGTACTCACCTCTTGGCCGTGGCATGCTCACAGGACAGATCCGCAACCCAGATGATCTGGCTGTAGATGACATGCGCAAGTATGCTCCGCGTTTCTCTCCTGAGAACTTCCCTCATAATCTCAAGCTTGTCGACTGTCTCTCTGAAATTGCAAAGACAAAAGGCTGCACCGCGAGCCAACTCACTCTCGCCTGGATTCTGGCGCAAGGATAAGACTTTTTCCCTATCCCAGGCACAACTTCCGTTCAGAGGATTGGAGAGAATGTGGGAGCTTTGAAGATCAGATTGAGCGAGGAAGAGGAGAGGGAAATCAGGAAAGCGTGTCAGGAGGCTGAGCCAGCTGGCGGAAGATATCCTGAGGAATATGCAAGCACTCTCTATGCTAACACTCCCCCACTTTAGGAAATTCGTGATTTATTGAAGAAGCTTCAGGTTGCTCATTGTGGTGAATGCAGGGATGAGAGATACATGAGAAATGTGCCAGCATAGATGCATGCGTAATGAGGGCTGGCTCCTCTGCGTCAGTCCAACTTCCTTGCTTCCAAGTAACGTCCGAACCACTCAGGCTTCCATCCAAGCGTGAAAACCCTCCAGACCATGAAAGGCACGATCTGTCCAGCTATACCCAGCAACGCATTCTTTGACATTCCTCCTTCCATCGCGTAGGCCTGCCATGCCAGTAGTGGAACGAACAAGACCTCAAAGCCAAGGACCGCGCGATAGAGTGGCTGGCGAGATTCGATTGCGAGCTTGGTATTGGGAAAATGAAGGCCCACAATAGCCCCGACGAATGCGATAGTGGCGCCATATTGCTGAGCGGCTTGTATTGCTGCTGTTGTGACTTGAGAGGCAGCTGCACCCATCGTTTGGGCCAGGAAATGCCGAGGGAGAAAGATGTAGTAGGCACCCATGCCGACTGTGAGGGCGGACTCAACTGCGAGTGCAACACGAATGACGTTGCCAGTAGCAGCCGGGTCGACGCCTTGTTGTGAAATTGTGGTGGAAGGCATGTTTCTGGTGATTGGGGGTTGGTCGAGAAGGAATGTTCAGCCAGGAGTTTTCGAAGTATACGAGGAACTGCAATGAAGATAAGATTTTAGCTTTGCCATCTTGACTTTATGTATTGTATCGTGTTAGAATCTGTTGTCCCGGGCGTGAAGGGTGAGCTTGTTGCTGACTACACACATCCCTGCCATAACGTTATGACTAACCCAAAAAGGTCAAGCGCGCTGGCCATGTTGCCAGGCCCAAATTTAGACGTCAGCTGTCCGACTGCTCGTCGTCACTCCCATCATACACGAGTTGATTCCGTTTTGGCTTGCCGATTGAGCACAGCGCATCTCGTTATGGCGTCCAAGGAGGTATCTCTTCCACCCGGACCAGAACGTCAGCGAGTCCTAAATGTCCTCGCTCAGCGGAGATACCGTAAAGAGCCCCAGTTACGATACTTGCCAACTGGTACTCACTCTGCATAGGGCAACGGAAGCGAGAACGGCTGCAGTCTCTGGAGAAAAGACTCCGGGCTAGTGGCACGGATGCGACACGCGAGCAGCAGCAACTTCAGGCTCCAGAAGTGCCTCCGCTTCCTGGTTCATGCATGGCTAGCGAGCCAAGCGACCGTCTTTATGATCGACATCAAGGAGCCGAAACCACGATTTTGTATGCTCAGTGCATGGACCAAGCACCCTATGAGAGGTTATGCACGACGTTTGAAGAGCCGGCTGGGGTCCAGATTGGAGTCGAAACTTTTCAATATTGTGGTATGCCAGAAGGGAATCGTCGTTGCAATCCAGATGAGTGTTTATTTGCTGATTCGTTGGGCAGATGATGCTGTTCAAAGTTTGACGTCAATTTCCGACGCTCAGTTGTCAGCAGAACTCCAACATCTCGAATCTTCACAGTTTACGTTCCCATCTGATCGTGTCATTGATATCCCAACGCTCAAGACAATGGAGGCCTCACTTCGCATCGCAAGCATGCTTGGTATCATGGATGAAGTGTTAGACCTCACTGCGAATCGAGTTTTCGATTTGTCCAGAATCCCAGTCAACCCTGGAGATATTCCTGAAAACTTGCGCCCTACGCAAGCACAACTCCTCATACCGCATTGCCCAGTTCTTGACGTTTTACCTTTTCCATCCCTGAGGACGAAACTCGTGTGTCTCTTCAGTCAGCCTGACGAGCTAAGACCACCAATCGCTAGGGGTCCCATGGCCATTATGCGACTGATGCATGATCTTGATGATGAGTCGGAAGGCATTCGCATTGCTTTGGATGGCAACGGGCTTGGCTACGATGCCCGGAGCTGGGAAGTCGGACAGACCATATTCAAGGACTGGTGGTGGGCATTGGATTCTGAAATCGTCTCGAACTCAAACCGATTGAGGGAGCTCCGAGGCGCACCCAAACTGCAATTGCCAGTTTCGTGACATGGGAGCATCTTTGAAATGCAACTTTGAAAAAAAAAAAAGGTAAATATCTCCAATCTCTCTGCTCCTCATGCTTCACAAGTAGTATTCGTTGGAACATGTCACACAGTAGTAAGACGGGAATTCAACTCACCTGATTGTTGCTGACTCGCGCGCAGTCGTTAAAGCACAGCAGACCCTGGCATACTGCATGACCTGCGCGCTGACTTCTCCGAATGCTCCAGCAGATCGTGTGCAGCATGTCATCGGTACTGAGCCAAGTATCCGTCCAGCATGCGTCGACAAGGTTGACTAGGGTCAGCGCCAATCAAAGATTTCGTCTCGACCGAAGGCTGCGGCAACGCCCACATTATCACCCACGTTACCGATCGATTCCGCGCTGAACAACCGCTGTACTCACTTCGTCCCACCTGCTGGAGAATACAAAGCTGGCAGCTTCCTCGCGAGGTGGCGCTGGCGAGAGCAGCGCATGACACTGTCTAGGCTCGATATTCTTGTTGTCAAGGGCTCTCGAAGCGCGTCGGAAACCGTTTTGAGAAGAGTCGGATATTGTGGAACTGCGTGATTCACTCAACAACAAGCTCGATCGATCCGAGAAGAAGATAGACTACCAAGAGTGGGGCAACGCGACTTCATTCTCCACTCGAGCTATGGAGGACGTCTATCCTCCCAGTGGATTGTGAGGCGGTTGATCCAGACAGTCACTGAGGATGAAGAGAGTGGAACTCAGCCGACGATTCCGCAAGGGCTTGGTCGCATGCCTGGCGTAAATTTGGATAACGATTCCAAGCTTCCGCAGAAGACTCAGAAATCAGCACCTTTGCAAGATCGTGGCTTATGCCCAAAGATTCTGCCACGCACGTCTCGATCATATACACAACAATGACTGTGGATGAACTAGCTGCTCTCGGCGCCACGAACAACAAGCTTGTGCTTCTCGTCAACACCGAGCCACATCAAGTCGGGCCGGGAGTAATGGCCGGAGGCGTCTGCGAAAGTTTTCGTCTTCGTGATCAGACTCAGATCCAGGTCTGCAATTATGAGCTTCTCATTCGGATTATCAGTAGCGCTCAAGATGCGCCCATCTGGTCCGATAACACAAGAGCTTCCTTGAATTGGATTTCCCATAATCGGAGAACCTGCGGTCCCCATTGCTGATATGCCGGTCTCACTGAGAACGGTAGTGCAATGTAGGACGAACGCCTGCGATTCGATGGCAAAGGCTTGAGAGGACGTGCGACATCCTGTACACAGGTCAGCCCTCATTCCTCCCCGGCGCGATCAGCACAGACCTTCGATGGACATGGAGTAGAAACCTGGACTACCCTCGACGAAACCATCGAGCGGCGGCCATGCTCCGACGTGAATCTGTTCATTCTGCGAGAACGTGTAAAACTTCAGAAGCGGCTGTATGTGCTCCCAGCAAGACAGTCCTCCGACTCTGCCGACTTCTGGAATATCAACCACCTTACTGAGGCAGCTCTGAGCGCCAGTAGCATCGCCAAATATGGTCCGTTCCATATGCGTGGGCTTCATCTTGCGTCGGGTCATTTTGATCTCGCCAGTCTCGGCGATCAAGGCTTGAGCGATGTAGACAGATTCGCCGTCTCGCTCTGAGAAGCCCAAGGAAACGTTGATCTGGTTTTCGGCAGCGGCGGCACAAATTCGCTTCATCTCTGCGCTGTCCACTTTCAGGGAGTTCTGGACATACTTGGTCCCAAGATCGAAGTCGACAGGACGAGACCAGATCCAAGCGGGATATCTGTTCTTCGTGTCAGACAAGAATCTCTGGTCTTGCGGGCATTATGGAAAGATACCCAGGTATCCAGCACTCTGGAAATGCCACGAGCTTCGCCCCAGTTTCAGCGGCCTCTTTAATGATAGTGATCGTCTTTTGCACTGTGCCTTCCAGATCAAGCCACACAGGCTCATGTTGCGTGACCTAAATAGTTATTTCAGCGGACGCAATATGCAGCATGTCTGGAACATAGATATTACCGCAACGCGAACAGTCGAGGCCATTGTTAATAAGTCTGAATGCTTGGAATTTGAATTACTGCCAGTCCGGCGGCTTTCTTGTCAAGCCAGGTTGCGAGCACGTATTCCAATGCTCGCCCACTCAAGGTGATCGTAATCTTGTCAACAAGAATTCTCCTAGCAAGAAGATATGCATGTTATCAGAGAGCTGGCGGGGCAATTCCGTGATGAGCGGGGCATAACCCTAAACCGGGGTTGTCTTCAGGTCTAGAAAGGGCGCCTCCTTCCCCCACTTCATCTCTGTCGTATCTCTGCGACCCTGCATTTGGCTTTCCCAGACCACACTAACCTGCAATCAGCCCAAAAGTGGCTTTTGCCGGGTTGAAACAGAGCGGTAAAGGTGATAAGGCAGCTGACCAGATAGTCCTCCGATCGAGATGGGGCCTCCTGGATGCTTGCGATCGCCCTTCTCCGCTTTGCAGTCTTGTTGTCCAAGATGAAGCACGCGGAATAGCAGCCTAACTTTACGTTAGAGTTCGGTTCGTGTCTGGGAGCACAGCAGCAAAGTCGGAAACCCTTCCGCTGGCTTGAGCAAATCAGAGCTCGGAAAATGATAAGTATGCCTGAGCTGCTGGATAGCTCTCTGCTGGAGAGCAGTCTGTGTCAACGAAGAAGTCATTGCAATTGCAAGCACAGCCAAAATGGCCGAAACAAGAGTGTTGGAACATGCGATCCCACCGCACCTCCGGACCGAGCGCACGATACCGGCTAAGACACCTGAGAACTTCATGCCACCGTTTCCGGCGTACACATGTCGTTTCCCGGAGACGGCAAAAGATCTTGTCATGGCCATTTTTGGCGTGCAGCATGAAGGCAATGTAAAACCGCAAGGACCGGATTATCAGAAGCTGGTCTCGTTTGTGGAGAAAGGAACAGAGCAATCCAAGCCAAAGTATTGGGAAGCAGCATCTGTAATCGACAATCGTGGATTCAGCAATGAAGTTGTGATTCCATACTGGGAGAAGAAGGCCGATTTCGAGCAATGGAAAGACGACAGCGGATTCGACGACTGGTGGGCTAGCCTCAAAGCAGAGGCCGAGCGAGGCTGGTTCGTCGAGGTCTTCTTGCCAACTCTGGATCGTTTTGAGACTGTATTCTCTGACAACGTCGTGCCCGAAGGCGCTGCGTTCATGCGCTCTTCTGTGTCCGGAGAGATGCAGCAGCACGTCTATTGGGGCTCCATGCGAGACAGGTTGGCGGTGGCGCAGACAGATCAACTCAATGGCGAACGAGCCTTCCCAAAGTCAGCGACCGAACGAGCTGAGAAGGAAGAGACAAAGGGCAAGCGTGTTGGTGTCTCGGGCCGACAGAACCTCGCGATTATCCGCAGTGGACAAGATTGGTCCAACACCACACCACACGAACGTAAACTTTACCTCGATACAATGCATCCCGTCTTGACGAAAGGCATGATGTTTTTGAGAGACGAAGGCGAAGAAGTCGGCTGTATCAGCAATCGTTTCATGGATTGTATGCATAAGACAGAACCTGGGAAAATCACAGAGCGGACTTTCGGACTCGCATATTTCGATGAACTTTCCAACCTGGAAAAGTGGAGCAAACAACACAAGACTCATTTGGACATCTTTGGTCGCTTTCTCCAGTACGCAAAGGAGCTGGAGAACAATGTCTCATTACGATTGTTTCACGAAGTCATGGTCGTGAAGCCTGAGCAACAATTCTTCGAGTACATAGGGTGCCACGACACAACTGGTATGCTGGCCTCCTTGTGACGCAGACGAATGTTATTCGCGACGAATCGGCGTTCCAACTATACTGCTTAGCATAGGCTGTTGAAGCTCGAAGGACTTCAGAAAGACGTATCTAAGGCTGGCCGGACCAGACTTCATCCGCTATGCTCCTCACAAGCTGCAGCTTCTTCTTCATATCCTCGCGTTGCAATGAGTTGCCTTCCGCATGCGAAGCGAATCCACATTGTGGAGAGACTGACAATTGGTTCAATGCCTGCTCTCGTGTTTGAACAGATCCTTCCGCAACGAAATCGGCAGCCTTGTATACTCTTTCAACCATATCCTTCTGATTCTCCAACTCCGGAAACTTGGAAGTAATCACACCAAGCACAACATTCTTATGCTTAGGCAAATACTTCAATGGCTCGAACCCACCAGCCCGCTCAGTGTCGTATTCGAGGTAGTAAGTCGACACATTGAGGTCATTAAAGAGCTTCGTGGCAATTCGGTCGTACGCTCCTTCGGAGAAGTGCTTGCTTCCCATGTAATTTCCTCTGCACAAGTGAATGCCCATGTGGAAATCTTCTGGAACTTTCAAGCACTCGTTGTAGAATTTGATGTATGCATCCAGTTGTTCGTCGGCAGTTTGAAAATTCTCTTTGTCGTTCTTCCAGCCTTCGAGCATGGCTTCGGAGCAGAAGTAAGCCCTGTGAGTGATTAGTAATGGCTCGAGACATTACTTCGTTGCCCGAAAGACTTACAGATTCGGGTCATCGACCTGAGCATTGCGAAGTCCTGCATCGTAGAGTATTTTGAGTTCGACTTGGTACGCTTTGGCAAGGTCCGCGAAATATTCGTCGTCGCTTGCGTATACGCCTGGCAGATAGGCCTTGTTCGGGCCATATCTAAAGTGGTACCACGAAGGACTCGTTATGGTGAGCTTGATCTTCGACCATTGGTCCTCTGGCAAAACGCTCTTTAGGTACTCAAGTTCTGGAAGAAAAGTCGACTTTCCGGTGTGAGAAAGTTTGCCTGCGGCGACAGTGACTTGGTTTGGGATCGTCTTTGCGTGCATGAAGGACTTCACATCTGGGAAGAAGTCAGCTCCATGCTTTGTACATGTCTAGAATAACGGAAACGGGAGACGCTTACCTGGCGCATAGGCTCGAAAGATGGACTGATCATATCCTCCCTCACGAAGATTGATCTCCTCCATGCCATTCAAAGTCTCCATGAAAGTACCCCAGAACTGATGGCGACTGTACTCGCCATTGGTGATCGAGTGGATCCCACATTCTTGCTGAAGGTTAACAATATCTTTGATAGCCTGTTGCTCGATCGGAACGAGCTCCTCTGGCTTGGCGGAGCCATCAGCAACAGCATATCGCTTCTTGACAAGTTCGTCTGGCCTGAGCAGAGACCCAATGTGCTCTGCTCGGAATGGAGGGTTTCTTGGCGGGGCGGACATGACTTTTGAAGTGCAAGGCAGACTAATGCAGAGAATAGGTGACCTTGATGGAAGTCAAAGATATAATAGAAGATCAAGTAAGCCTGCTAGACGATGAAGAGATTGTTTCAGACACCCCGCAGCTCGCAGTCTTGCCTTCTCGGCTGACCAAAAGTGAAGTGGATGCCCGATGTTGGTCTACTGTTACGCGTGGTGGGGCTTTGGCCCCACTTTGCCGTTTTGGCTGATTCGCGTGGATCATCAATGGGATAAAATGTTCACCTGGAGGCTTGATTTTTGATGACTACGTTGAATCTGATGATCAGCAGCTCCACGGATCTGGCGAAGCACGTACTGATAAATATTCATTTGTATTTGTGCAAGCCGGATCAATTTTCTGGTGCAAATCCGGTCTCTGTGTGTTCTACTCAGGTCAGTGACAGAGCAATGATGGCCCTGCCTCCTATGCAGATCGATCGGATCATTGGACATGCTGGCGAATCAGTCGCAAAGATTCGGAGAGCTACGAGCCCTAGCGGATGGTGATGGACGACATGAGTGGCTTCGCAGCAGCAGTCATTCAGACTTACTTCCGACCTTGGCATGAAATCGTGCGAAGTCGGAGATAAATGCGAGAGACCTCAGGCGCCAGCATGGGTATATTGAGAGAGGTAGCCAAAGCTATAGGTAGTTTCATCGTCTCCACGCCGTCTAACATAAGTCAGTCAGGCCATCTGAGTAAGTTGCTGCGTGAGTCGTAGGAGCATCGTGCTTGTAATCATTTGATTCTGTGGCACCTTCGTGCGCTCCGTGCTCCCTTGCTGGACAGCATGGACAGGTCGTACAATCGCAAGCACCAATTATACCATCGCACAGATAATCTCCCGTCATGGAACCAGTCCCGGCTCGAACCAGGTCACCAGTTCTCCAAGCGTTCAGCGGAATACAACAAGTCGTAGAAAGTATCCAGCTGTAAAGTGCAAACAGCTTCAACGTCTTCACGGCGGCCGATCATAGGGTCCAGGGCGATAGGACGAGCCTTTCCTACGAGTACGGACAGGAGCACGTCCATCCTCATACCCAGAGGCCGACCCATTGCCACTCTTTCCGAACATCCCTCCAGTCTCAACGATCCACCGACTATCGTTGGGATCATATTGATTCGGATGCAAGTACACGCACCTGACGTGCCGACAGTCCAAGCCGAATCCACATATCTTGCGCACACATTTGCGGCCTACCGAGAGACAGTTCTGACATTGCGGCTCGGCGTCGCATTTGTTGTTGTGTTTGTAGCAGTGGACGCACACGCAGCGACGATGGGCGACTGCACGGCGGAACTCTTCCTCGGTCATGTCCTCTGAGTATGGGCGTTTCTTGGGTGGGCCGGGGGAAATTTCTGGGCTTGAAACCTCTTGTTTTCTGTTTGATCGACGATCTCGGGAATTTCGCCTGCGGGGCCTAGATTCGAAGGCCAGGCGGGATGAAGTGTCGATTGAAGGTGCACGTGGACTGGAAGATGTCTTCGTCGAGCCATGCACAGGCGACTCCGGTGTCGGGCGATGTATCTGCTGTTCGCGTAGCTCATGCCCTCTCGAAGATGTCCGAGGCCCCGCCGGCTGTCGGACCATGTAGTACATTGAGCTCGAAAGAATGGGAGGGCTCGCAGGAGCATTCGCAACCACAGTCGTTGCTTCAACTGTCGGGGTCACGCCCTCCATCGGCGACGACGTGGTATCAATTCGTATCAACGGTGGATTCCACTCACACGCTGTGAGCTCCTTCCAGCGTTTTCCCGACAATCCCGAACGCTGCTTTTCCAAACGCTTAAGCATCTCTGGTATTGGTACAGCATGATCCCTCGCGTTCTTGAGATCTGTGATCTCAAAGTAACCCTTGTCCCCTATTACAATGTCTCATTAGCGAAGGTCCGTCATAGCATTATCAGATTGACACCTTACCCTTTTCAAGCAATTTTTCGAATTCTGCAAATTCTCCCATTGGATATCGGATTTCCTGCGTGCACTCCGCTTCTTGCTCATTCGTCTCGATAGTCCCACTCGTGTCATAGTCGCCGTGTTGCTGTCCCTTCAGTGTTTCCGCATGCTTCACGGTGGACTTGAGCTGTTGAAGCTCAAGTTCCTTTCCTTCGAGCTGCTCCTTGAGCTTAGTCCACTTCGCAGCAATGCTCTTGAGCTCACTTTCGCTGTGCCCACATAGTTTCTGCAGCTCCGCATTCGACTTCTTACACTCGTCAAGGTCTGCCTGCTTCTCGCGAGTTACTTGTCGTTCTGTATCGAGTTGTGCGCGCAGTGCGGCACATTGCCCTTTCGTTTCTGACAATTCTGCCTCAACCTGAACTGCGCGTCGCGCTGTGTTTTCGCTCGCTTCCAGCCTGTCGCTCAAGCCTTGGATAGTTGCGTTCAGCTTTGTGCGTTCCGAGTCGCTCTCTGCAAGTCGGGACTGAAGATCCTGGATCTGTTGTGCCACACCGAGCAAAGGCTCGCCTAAACCTGAGAAGTTCATCTCCTGGCATGTGCGACTCTAGTCCTCGCCCATGTCGGAGCGTGTCCTGGAGCAGGTTTTACGTAGGATTAGTAAAAGCTGAACGGTCGCCCAAAGTGAGGATGAAGTGAATGTTTGGCCAGCGCAAGGAAGCGACCAGAAGCCACGGTCTGTCGCGGCGCGGTACTGTACCTGTGGACGAATCTGCGTTACTACTGTCGGCAACTGCGTGACGCGTTTGTTGCCGCTGAATGTCGGCATGCATGCAGCTGTCCGCTGTTGTCAGAATTTATACAACCTCCACACCCGGCCGTTGCCAACAGCAACCAAAAGTACCCGCTCCGCTCCGCTCGTCTTCTGCTAGGGGCCTGAGGATAAGAATGCTGTTGATTGGGGTATTAACAAATATTTACAGATAGCACACCTTCATTCGTCTTCTTGCATGCGATAGATCTTCCATCCCGCAGTGGCAAGTACTCTGGGCACGCACTCCACCATGACTCGGTCGACATCTTTCCAATCCTGTGTCAAATCTCTCCATGGTACCAAGAAGGGAGTCGTCCGTTTCCCACTCGATCGAGGGCCCATCCTCCATTGCCGCTGCAATCTCTCGGCATTGAATCGCTCGTGTTCCATCTCGCTCAGCATATCCAGCTCTTCGACAGTAAATTCTGGAACGTGCACAAGCGGCTCTTTCCGGTCCTGGTCGAGCATGAAACAATTGACAGCACGGAGTTTGCGCGGGATGTCATCTGCTTGCGATCGCGTTGACTCTTTGAGTTCAGGAGCAAGTTCGTCCCAGTCATACATGCTGGGGTCGGATTCAAGCTCTGCCTTCTCAGTCGGCGTCCTTGCCATCTCGACTCTCTTCTTCTTATATGCCACAAAGAGCCCCTGGGCCAAGCGTTCACGCAGCTGGGGTGGGAGTTTGGGCGACCGCAGAAATGACATGAAGATTCTCCCATCGACATGCAGCTGTATCTGCTCTTCCGGAGGTAGAGCAGATACATCGAACTTCGTCTTATGCGAAAGACGACTTGTGCTGAGGATCTTGTCAAGTGATCGCAGGCCATGCTTGAACGAAGGAACAAGCAGAAGAGCATGCAACACTGCATCGTCAATCTTGATCTTCCCATCCCTTTCCAGGTGAGGGAATTTCTGCTTCAGCATTTGCCGCAGCATCAGCGCTCTACGTATTGGGAACATCTTATCGAATTGACCGGTTTGGTTCGGTCCAAGAATTCGCACAACGCCATGCACGCTGTCAAGAAGCTGAGATTCGTCGACCGTACGTCTCTCGCCGCTTTCTGCTACTGTTGGTGTTGGTGTGCCATCCATTTGAAAGCTCGATGGCTGCTGGTTGACCAAGAAAAAAAGAAGCGGGTGGCCCAAGGAACGAACATGACCACGATCTGTGAAATGCCCGTCTCGCATCATCACCAGGAAGTTATTGAGCAGCTCATTTCGAGGCTCAAGGATAGATTCGAAGTTCTCGAAGCAAACAACTGTCAGAAGGCCGCTGGCGGTGTTGTCTCTGATTGTGTGGCAGAGTGCGATTAGATCTTCGAGCCGGAGCAGACGTCCATTGAACGTGAGCTGCTTCACATTCGCGTTCTGCGAGAAGTGCTTTGCGAGGTTCGCTGCGACAAATTTCTTGCCAGATCCCGGAGGGCCGAGGATGCCAATTGAAGTTGGCTGAGATGTCTCGAAACTTAGACGCTCCTGCACTGCGTCTACGACTGCTCGCAAGCTTTCCTGCTCAGATCTTTCGACGCTGAGCAGGTCGCCAAAGCGTTGTGCAGGGCATCGCGCCAATGTCTTTTCGGGACCCAATGTGACAATCTGTCGCGCCACCTCGGCTGGGTCTCCGGTCACTGCATCAAAGATTCTCCAGCTGTCGCCAGAACTGATGCGTCCCGAAGGAATGCTCACTGTAGAGAATTTCTTCTCTGCCGCGAGCTGCTCGATGATCTGCTTGATCGGATAATTTGGAACGACGTCCTCTGTTGTTACCACAAAGCCATTTGAATCCATGGCTTTCGATGCAGAAATGCCCAGTTTGATGCCCCTGTCGGTGTTCGGCGGCGATGATTCTGCGAAGCCCAGCGCAAAGCCGGCGATAAAGGCTGAAGAAAGCTCCGTCATATGGCCCTTCCCAGCGCTGTGCAGTACCTCCACGTTACGCGTATCAAAGTATAACTTAGGGTCTGTCGCGTCGCGCCCTCGGTGGTGAATAATGCCTTGGTTTCCGAAACGCACGATGAGATTTGGGCAGGTAACGAGCGTGTCCAGTCGCCCGTTGGAGCCCAGATTTCGCACAAAATCTTCAGTCGTCTGTTCCCAAGACAGAGAGCGACTCAATGATATGCCTTCCGCGCGAAGATCGTCTGCGTCAATGATGACAGCCAAATGGTCCGGATCAGGTACGCCGTCTCTCGTGCGCGGTCCGTCTCGAATAATGTCCCAGAGTGGTCCAGTAGCTAACGGCCTTGTCATATGATGAATGATGTATCGAGGTCGTACACGCTGCAGAAAGTCCAATGCCGGCTCGACGTCTTGCAAGGCCTCTCCCGAGCCGGAAATTATTACAGTACTGCCGGTTGCCGCGGTCGCGTGCTCGATTGAAGGCTGATGCCAGACGGGCGACCTCCCGATTTTTCGCTTCCTGGCGACGCGAAGGGCAGTGCCTGAAGATTCAGTGTACTCCAAGTCCACTATCGAGGAGGCATTGTGCTTAAGGCTGTGGGAGTTGGGTCCCATGAGCTGCGGGCCTAGCACCTCGAAGCCCCAATTTGGCTGGGCGGCGGTGAGGAGCTGCGCCACGAGATCAGCTGCGCCCGTCCGAATGACGAGCTGCGAGGCGTCGGCAGTCTCATCCTCTATGCTCAGATGCGCCAGTCCGTTGGTCGAGGCCATGGGATAGACCAAATAGTCGTAGGAGACTGCGCCTGCCACCAGTAGCACGCGCGGGCTACGAGAGCTCATCGCAGAGGCGCGTGGACGTCTTTATGCTTTGCCAAGACAGGTCGGGTCTGCGCATCGTCTTGTTTGAGATGGGCGTGGCGAGCTGACCAAAGACGCGATGGAAGCCGTGCAGCGCGTTCTCAGCGCGCAGGAAGAGGCTGTGGAGGTGTTGTTCACTGATGATGTTTCCCCGGGCGCTTCTGCACGAGTGGGCGGCAACGCGTCGCTCTTCTGCGATGCTGGGCTGGGGAGATAAAAGCACAGCCACGAGAGGTGTGGTGTCGGCCGAGCCGCTGACGAGGGATTTGACGGCGATCCGCCATTCGATCGGCGCATTCGAAATGATTTTCCCTTCAACATTAACTCGCTTCGGACGAGGCTTTTGTTAGGCGTGCGGGTTGCTGGGTGACACAGAGGCCATTTAAACGTCTGCTCAGACGCCCTCACCGACAAAGCGCCCGCCGTGCCATGGTTGTAGTCTGATCTTTGCTGCATGCATGAGACCGTCTAGCCCCGCCAAGAGCTTCTTACAGCACATCATGCATGCAGAAAGTCGTCGATGCTCATAATCGTCAAGCTGAACTCTGACCGGTCTCACTCGGGCTTCATCGAACATGCGCGTAGTCGCAAGGCCTTTTCCATCCCCATTGACGTAGGAAGTGGTGCCGTGACACACGCCTCCGTCTCACAGATCGCTCGGAAATGCATAGGGCTGTAGCACAGTGCCGAAGCTGTGAATTCCGAGATTGGCCCTAAAGATGGAGGAAACTGCGCGGCTCGAGAAGTTCGAGATCACAGACTCACGACTGGAGGTATGCAATGCAGTCGAGATGCGACTGTAAGTGTTAGTCATGATATGAATCTGACGGGTACAGCACAATGACTGGCTATTCCCATCCACGCTCAAGACACGGCCATTGAGAAAGCTCGAAGAAGAGGATTTCCTTACCAACCACAAAGCAGGTCGCCCATATCACCTGTGTGTCTTCATCAGACTAACAGGCGGAACAGATCGACAGAAGCTACGACGATAGCACAGTGCGTTTCAAGCTGCTGTACGTCTCGCCATGGTCTCCGGCTGCAGGAATCGGCTAATGCTTCCAGTGTCGCAAATGCTGTCAGCGCCAATCTGGTCGACACCAGTAAGCTGCCATTTCAGCCCGAGGTGGTGGAGACTGTCAAGCAGCAAGGATGGATCTCAGATGAATATGAACATTTGTGGCGCCGCGACGAAGGAGGTTCGGCGGCCTTGACCAGTCATGGCATCCTCAGTATGGCAAAATTGGGGGGTTGAGTTTGACTTGTGGCTGATTCTGGCGCAGCTTTTATCCTGCAGACTCCTCGAGATGGAAAGTCGTTCTGCTCGCTGTCGCTGGTCAATCGCGAGCGCACCCATTGCGGAGGGTTGTTCGTGGCAGACGAGAGCTATGCCTTGAACAAGCTGTTGGCCTCTCAGCAGTACTTGAACAAGCATCCCAAGGTGCCACGAGATTTTGCCATCTTGCCATTCCAGATCCTCATGCACCATGTAGAGGAGACGCTGGGCCAGGTCCGCGATTTGTCTCGCCAATTGACGAACACCGAGCGCCGTCTCTCAGATGGAAGGATCTCCTTGGATGACAATGGTGACTACAAACTTCTGAACAGGTTCAATCTGGAGCATGTGCGCCTTCAAAGGAGATCCAACTTCGAGCTTGAGCTTGGTAACAATCTGGTCAAGTATGTCGATGCATATCAGCGACTCTGGACACATTTGTGGGAAGGTGGGACGGGATATCTCGAGGACATGCGAGAGAAGATCGAGCAGCAGATGCGATATTCCGAGCAAGTGCAGAAAGATCTCGACATGATGCCTCGCAGGATCGACAACCAGTCGCAAGCGGTATGTGTCGTGGCGACATTGGTGCCGTATTCGTGTCCGACCATAAGCGTGCTGACGTACTCCTTAGATTTTCAATTATCGCGCACAGCGCGACAATCAGATCAATCTCCAGGTTGCTGAGAGTTCTCGGAAGATTGCAGAAGAGTCCCGGCTCGATAATTTGCTCAACGTGAAGCTTGCGCGTGTCACCGCCCAGATGGCGGAAGAGGTATCGACGAATGTGGCAGCTGCAACTGTGTAGTTCGCAGTCTAGAACTTGAGCGGTGCTGATGTTTGTTTTGCAGACGCGGCAGGATAGCGCAGCGATGAAGACGATCGCTACCATGACGCTTATTTTTCTCCCAGGTGAGTGGAAGGGAAGAAGCATGTCGGAGGCATGTGCTGACCACTTTGTGTTCTGTTGCGCAGGAACTGCGGTTGCGGTATGTCTGGATGCGTCCTTTATTGCCACCATGTTGCTAACGTGTCAATGCAGAGTTTCTTCGGCATGGAGGGAATGTTCAACTGGATGCCATCGGACAGCTCATCACTTGCTTCGCCCTACCTGTACATATTTTTCGTGGTGACGATCCCACTCACCTTGGCAGTGTACGGTCTCTGGCTGTGGTGGTTCCGTCGGATGGAGAAGGAGTACAAGAAGAATGCACCAATTTTAAATTTCGACATGTTTGAGCAGGAAGTTGCAAAGCGGATGCGGACGGCGACGAATTCGTGGTCATTCGAGAAGCAGGCAACGGTTGCAGCGTCGCCACAGCAGGCATGACATGACATATAGATTGTAGAAGGCGGTCAGAACGATATTGGTTGCACTTGCTCCTTTCTCGTTCTCCTGCCCGGGTTGCAGTGCCTGCAAAAAGCGAATGCCCGTCGTGCCTCGTTTCACCATGTTGTTGCACGGCACAGCAGAGTTTTCAACGTGGCCCAAATATATGCCTTTCATAAGAAATCAGTCCCGGTGTTCGTCGGAGAACCATGTTGACCGCGCGTGTCTCTTGGCCACTGTTTCTTGACTGAACAAGCTTCTCCCACCTGCTTGAAGAAGCCGTTCGGGATGCATCAACCTGGCTCGTACGCTCCGACCAGCATACCATGACCGGTGTGTATGAGCAACACGGCATCCCGTCATGTTGAATGGATGCCAATCAGTCAACAGTCTTCGCAACGTCCTCAACACGTCGATGGTCGTGCAATGCTCGTCCGTGGTACTCACAGGGGAGCGCGGCCGCGGAGGCGACGGCGCTGTGGACCATGTACGTAGACGGCCTCGCCGGGCGGCTCGTGAAGGACGATAATGGCGCATCGTCATGGGCACGAGCACCTGGTTCCTGGAGGCATTGCAGCGGCTTGCACAGTACACAGCAGGGCCCGGGGAGAGGCCGCGGTGCGGCTGTGTCTGTCAAACGACTCGCGACGCCTATTTCGGTAGATGCTGGCCTCGGAACGCATCTGCCCGCCGCTACCCAGGGCGTAAGGGCCAGAGCTGGGGCCATGAAGGAGCAGCAGCTGAGATACAAATCGCTATTGGGGTCGTGACGGAGAGCTCTTCACTGCAGTCTGCTCTGTCTCCCTCACGACGACTGATGGCCGACGAGGTCTTCGACCCCTTCGAGGCATTGGGCTTGCCACGCGATGCCACGCCCGCCGACATCAAGGCACGCTACCACCATTTAGCCCGCAGGTACCACCCGAACCGACATCATCGTCCTACGCGAGCGCGAGACAGCCCGTCCGCCGACGCCTACGCCCTCCAGAAGACATGGTCGCGAGAGGATCGCGACAGCCTCTCCATCGACTACTTCCACAACGTCCACCAAGCATGGAAACTCCTCAGCAAGGCCGACAACCGCCGGCGGCGTGCCGAGCTGCTGAACCTGCTGGATCTGCAGGACCAGATGCTGGCCGCTTTCATGGACCTCCTGGACGCCGAGCACCGCAGTGAGCACGGCGACGAGCAACAAAGGCACGATGAGCACCACGAGCACTCCGATCTGGAAGGCCAGATATCCAGCGATGCCGACGAGGATCTGCCCAACGTGGGTGTGCAACGAAGACAGACATTTCGCAATACACATGTGGCACATCTCGGTGACGCGGAAGCCCAGACTCCGACGAGCCCTACGAAGAAGCACATTCGAATCCTTTCGAAGCTCGCCAAAGGGCGGCAGGATCAAAAGAAGAAAGATGAGGACTACTTTGCACAACGGCGCAGGAAGATGGAGAAGCTGCGTCGGAAAGAGCTCAGTGCATTCCTCGAGTACAGGAATGCCATGGTCGCCAAATTCGAAGCGGAAGAGGAGGCGGAGCGGCGGCAAGAGATGTACGAACGGGCAAAATGGAAGCGGGAATACTTTGAGCGCGCACCTCGTGGTACAACGGAGCGCTTTCGATCCTTCCAGCACTTCATGGTTGCTGCTGCCGCATTTGGCACTCCAGCTGCGCCTCGGCAGCGGAACCGCTCTGATGGCAGCTACAGCACCATGACACCGACCGCTGGTCCAGGAGAGAATGGTTTCCTCTTTCCCGAAAGCGGTCTTTCCCGCCAGCGGACTACGCATCGGCGTGGCTGGAGTAGTGATATCAGTGGGGATCAGTCTGACAGCACGGATCATGAAGATCTCGAAACGAGCAACTGGCGGAAGTTGACTGGGTTCTCTGCACTGCGGCGACATTCGAGGCGCTCCAGTGAGAATCTGCGACTTGAAGCCTTCCGATCGCCTCACCGGGCACCACCGGCGAGTCCACCTCCCATAATCGAGCCTAAATCGCCGACTGAATCCCAAGGACTCAAGATCATAGTGAGGCAACCCACGGGTCTCAACACCATCAGAGAGGCGCAAGACTCGAGTGGCGATACTCTGTCTGGCTCTTCGCGATCCCCATCACCTAATCCGAATGGCGGAGATGCGAATCGTTTCATGTGGCTTCCGTCACTGGGACCAGCAGAATACTTCGGCATGCATCGTGACAGTCGCGCGCGATCCACCAGTCCTCTCGGAGACCGTCGCGCGTTGGCAAACACCACTCACGAGGAGAAAGATGTCCCAAAAGCCACCAGTGAAGGTCTTCATTTCACAACGAAACCTATTGGCGAACCGCATCATCTTCACATCCCGTTCAGCAATGTCTACGAGCTCAATCGTGACGAGAAGGAATGGATGTTAGGAATCGAGCCCGACAATCAGAATAATCCAGATGCCTTGCTGGATCGACTGCAACAGTTGGACCCAAACGTGGCCTCAAAGTTCATGGTCAAGCCAGACATCAAGCAGCTGTTTAGGTTTCGCCTGATTTACAATCACCGGCACCTCGCGACGAAAGAGAAGCAGTCTTTTATTGCACTGAGCTACCGGCGCAAACTGCATGTAAGCAAGAACGGTGGTCACTTCACGCTCCCTTTGGAACCAGAAATCTTCCAAGCCGTCTTCGAAGAGCGACAATCGGACGATGAGGGCCTTTGGATCGATCAGATATGCATCGACCAGGAGAGCCGCGAAGAGACCATAGTCTCCATGTCGGCCATGGATATGGTATACAGAAGCGCCCGGGTTGTCGTAGTTGTCTTGGATGACATTGAAATGGATGCACATGAAGGAGAGCTGCTGCTCAACCACATGAGCGAATACAACAGCATGACTCATGTTCCGCCTGGACAACGCTTCCGACGCAAGCAGCCGCCTTATCTTGAAAGCCATGAGAACTTGTTCAGAGTGATCCGAAAGATGCTGCGTTCGTCATGGTTCAAAAGAGCGTGGTGTCGACACGAGATGCGTTTGGCGAAGCACCACATCTTTCTTATTCCCTGCAAGCGACCTGGCAGCTGGTCGGGAAGGGCTGTCCTTCGCTTCAATGGCAAGTGCATCTCACACTTGCTTGATCTAAGCACCGAGGTTCCCTTCGAGCAGGACGTGGAATCCGTCAAGCCTGCGCTCCACGCCTTCTTCCGGGACCGAAGCAAGATGGCGCCAGACGAACGGAAAATGAAGCTACATCATGGCAACTTCTCGACTGTCGTTGCTGAGGTCTTCGCCATGGAAGCTGGGGGTGATCCGCGCATACCTGCTGAGCAAAGAGAGGCCGACGCCAGGAAGGACAAAATCGCCATCATTCTGAACACGATGGAGTGCGGATTGAGCATTTCGGAGCGCCTCCGGAATCCTAAGGTTCATCTGTCGCAGAACGAGTGCTATCACGACCTGATGCTGCTCAGTCTCGCGGCGCAGGATCCAGGAGCATTGTGCTCGGTGGGCGCTCCTCTTCCGATCACGGATCGTCTGCACAGCTGGATCTACACGCCCACGGTCTCAGACAGTGGGTTGAACAACACCAAGACTTTACAGCGCTTGCCAGATAGAGCAAACATTGCAGTCAGCGCGGATGACATGGAACAGTTCATTCAGCTCGACCTCAAATTCTTGAAAAGTGGACGAAGAGAACAGCATCCTCTGGACCCTGATGATCTCGCACTGGCCCGCCGCTTCATCGCAGTGTGCAATGAGAAGAAGTTGGGAAGGAACAGGAAGAGATATCTGATACATGATCGCAAAGCCAACCTACTATTCGGCTCCATGGAAGAAGTCTACACAGAGACTCTGGCCTGCGTTCTCACGTGCGGTCCAGACTGGATGAGTGACGTTTGCCAACGTTACAGCATGAGCAGATGGCGCGTGGATCTCAAAGGCGCTGTCGAGTTACTGGTCGCTCTTCGAAACACTTGTGGCCAATGGCCATCACATGCTTGGAACGAGCGTGCCACAGCATTCATTATGGACTTCGTGAACTTCCTCATCATTCGAGGTTTGCCTTCAAGACAGATCCTACGACCTGAGAAATGGCGACCAGTATGGGTGCCCACTGCACCTGGCGGCAAGGTCGTAACCTTTGTACCAGACGGCAATAGACACATCCGTCCTGCTGTGCCCACAATCTTGGTCAATCCGGACTACGTCCACTTGGCTCGCTTGTGGATCTTGGAACCACGACCACGACCCACGGAGGACAAGGACCTTAATCTAATCCCCAACCACGAAGAGTGGACTTTGCTGGGAAAATCTGTGCTATTTAGCGACGATCTCTCCATCGATCAATTGACTTCATCTGATGGCTTTTTGAAGGAGAGCCAAAAGGTCTTTGGACGTAGACGTCCTGCACAACAATCCCTCAAACCCAATGGCGTTCACCGGGAGAGGAAATTGTGAGCGACCTATCTGGAAGTCGATTTATACCCCTGTACGAACAACCAAATTGTCAGCATCTTTTAGCTTGATTTTGTGATAGCGATTTAGCGATGGGCGTTTCATGCATGGAGCATGTAGATGGGCGTAATTTGAGGGGCTTTTTGTGTAGTGGAAATACACACCATATGGCACAGTGCCTCGTTCTTGTATCTTGAATTCGGTATGAGATTGATGAGATGGTTGCCGCGACACAGCATCGCTCTGAGTGTCATTACATCTATGCTCTACGATGGCGTGACTGCCTCTTTCCTTGACTTTCTTCTCGCGCAAGACTCTCCTGTAATTGCATGAGAGCATGGCACTGCTCCTCTGTAAGATTTTCAGGATTGAGAATGTCTTCAAGACTCAAATCTACAGTCTTCCTTCCAGTGTAAACAAATTCCTCTCCGTCGATAATCATCTTACCCTCTTTCCGAGCCTGCTCGTAGGCTTCCCAGTCTTGCTCGGCAATTTGGCCAGGTGTCATATTCTTTCGATTTACAGAAAGAGGTTTTTGCCTGACGACTTCTTCAACTTCTTCGTCTTGTGCGCGTGTTGACACAAGAGTAGAGCCAGTGGCTGCTGCAGCTTTCATCTCTTTTTGCTTGAGTTTACGATTTTTGTTCTTGTTTTTGTTGTTCCGCTTCTTCTTCTCTTCCGCGCCGTCTATGGACGTCACTTCCTCAACGGCTTGTCGCTCAAATACTTTCATGAGATCGAGTAATTCTTTCATAGTTGTCGTTTGAAGAACTCGCTCTTGCTGCTCGGGTGTGTATTGACTGGTTTTGTTCTCTATACCTTGCAGAACACCTTGCACACCTTTGGACAGATCTCCGCCTGAAGCTTGTATGTGTTTGAGATACTCTTGTGTGTGAGGTGGAAATTCGTCTAGTGGTGTTGTGCTTGCTCTTTTGAGTACTTCTTTGACTTGTTCCTCTGTAAGCGATCGTTCGGGCGCCATGTCCAATGCGGCATTGAGCATAGCCAGATCATCAGAATTGACATCAGGTTCGGCGCCGTTGATGCCATCGTCTGTTCGCGGTCTTTGAAGAGATCTGCTGCTTAGCCTGTCTTTCACTGCATCTAAGCCGGTGCAGCTTTCTTCCTCGGCTATACTTTGCACGATGTCGATGGTGTTGAGCGCCAGACGCGCGAAATTGTCATTCTTCTTGTTCAAGCCGCTTTTGGATACGGCTGAGATGCTGTTGAAGATGACTCCCACCATGATCCGCAAGGACATCTGATCTTTCCTCATCAAGTTCTGGCCAGTGTGACCGCCGAGCCATGCAAGATCCTCGCGAAGTTCCATCTGCAGTCGCTCCAGGACAGCCCAGCAGCGTTGGTGCATGGCAACATAGTCGAATGCCAGGTGTTTGGTGTCTGCAGATAATGCCTTTTGCACAATACACAGCAGCGGCACCACATGAGCAGATTGACCCTGCTCGACGTCCAGTGTTGCATTCGGTTGCCGTTTCTGAAACTCCAGCAGTAGCTCTGAAGCGGGTAGATTCGTCTGTGGCCCTTCAGCAGGACCACTGCGCATACGTATGGCCTCGTATCTGTGATTGAGCAAGTCGCTGGGAATGACGTGAGGTCGTAATTGCCGCACAGCATGTTGGAAGCCTCGAGCAGATATCTTTCTGGCGCTGTGTGTGTGATTTGCCGATGTTTGTGCGGACATCCCTAACGCCAGTGAGTACTTGCGGCAGCTTTCGGATATGTTCTTGGGTCGTCCGCCATAGTATAGATACTCTTCGTCGTGAAGACCCAGTAAGTATTCCATGTCCTTCCATATCCCTGGCGTCTTGGTTGATGCCAGACCGTAAAGATGCGTTGCCTGGCCAATACCATCATGAATATTCGTCTGTATATTGTCAGCGTGATGAAATCTGCTTCTGGCAACAGTCGGAGACGTACCATCCCGATAGACGCGTCCCACATGCAGAGCTGTAAGAAGAACATGCGTATGCCAGCCAGTAGAGGATGCGTGCGCATAAGATGATGAGGTGGACTCTTTGGCAGAAGCTTGCCGCCTGGGGCATCTCTGATAGCACGTATCGGGTCATTTAATATCTATCGGCAGGTCCATGTCAGCTCAGACACGAAATATATCAGTTTCGCGGTCTGTCAACTTACGAATTGTAATTGCTCGCTGCAATGAAACCATGGCCGCGACATGTGATTGCGTCCACGCAGGTTCGGGATGGTGCTTCGCCCACTGCAACATCTGCGTGATGGTGCGGGATATCATCTTGCTTTCTTGCTCTAAGTCCTGGAATGCTTCTCTGGTCTGAGATCCCAACAGCGTGCGCACGTCCAGGTACACCGTCGTGGCGAACGCCAACCACACTGGGATGGTGTTGCACAATTGTCGGTTGTTCCGGGGACCCAATCTCTTCTTCGTCTCCGGCTTTAAGGGTGACATAAGTTCAGCGAAAGTTTTCGTCCATATATCGGAAGCCAAGGCTTCGTGGAGGCCAGTGCAGTATATTTGTACCAGATCCAGCCCAAGCTTCCCGAGGGTTTCAAACCTCTTCTCGAATTCGCTCGCTGCGATGACGGCCGCTTCTCCGTTCGTTCTCGTGAAGGAAGCCGACGAGTTCTGAGGCGCACCACGAAGGCTGTCAGCCCCGGTACTTGACGCTTCCAGGCGATCGAGCATGATGTATGCTGGCGTGTAGAGCCACTCGGACACTTGATACATGCGGGTCTGGACAGCCTCGTCGGACGCTTTGCCATTCGCGAGTTTGTCGCCATTGAAATCCGAAACGTGCGAGAAAACTAATTCACCGAGATATCCGTGATTCAGTAGTCCTCCTTCCTTCTCGAAGTTCCAGTAAAGAGGCACGGCTGAGGAGGTACGATTCTTCTGCATGCTCGCCAATACTTCTCTCATCGTCCTTCGAGTTCCATCTGTCTCATCAACCCACTCGGAGGCTAGCATTTGGTTCTCGTTATTCTTGATGAAATCGAACGCCAAATCTGTCGTCACAGCCGCTGTGGTTAATGGTACGTCTCCATCCTTGTGTTGCTGCCACAGGTTTCCGAGGTAAGCTTGAATGTCATGCAGATCTTTGAAGAAGCAGAAGAGGTTGAAGATCAACTCGTCCTTCGATGATCCCAACTCAACATCGTTGCGCTTGACCTTGCCACGCTTGAACGATCGTCCTCTGGAGTTTCGGTTCTTGTTGGCTTTTGTAAGCTCCTGCTGGACCACGGGCTCAGCAATGTCTTCAAGGTCCAGTGTGTCGAATATGTTGCTGCGAATTTCCGCATGATCGGCAACGTTGCTGTCCAGATTCGCCGCCCTTGGCTGCGATTCGGCGCTTCCCAAAGGAATTAAGGTTGTCAGGACATCCTGCAGCACCTCGATAGTATGAAGATGCCCCTCATTGCTTCGCTCGAACAGCTCATCGGAAGATGAGTTGTTGCGAAAGAAGAGACATGCCGCAAGTCGTAGCGAGATGACATCTCTCAGGAGATCTAACAGCTCCGGCCGAACTTGAATTCTTGGCTCTGTACATTCCGCAATGGCGTTCGCGAGTTCGCGAAACTTCGACAGTGGCATTAGGTATTTGCCATCCGTGTTTGTCTTCTGTTCCACCTCGGCCCCGCAAAGACGTCCGGCCACGGCGAGCCATTGAGCTATCCTCGCAGTGCCGCGCTTGTAACGGCGATAGGTATCGACATAAATGTCATGCCTCATGTTGAGATTTGCTTCTATGAGGCTATTGGTTAGCAGTGAACTGAATGTCCACGAGGATGCAACAGGCCCTGTAGGCGCCTGTGAGGGAGATGTTATGTCAAAGTTTCCGAGAACTTGTCACTTTTCCGGGCAAGCACAATTCGAAAAGCGGGCTAGACTGGGGCCCAGCCTCGATCCCTGGAGATTGTCATCGTCCCCTGACGAGGATGCAGAGCGATCATGCGACGAGTTTGTATCTGCCTTGTCGTGCGGGAAATTTTCGTCAAACATATCATATCAGAATATTTCAGGAACGTAGCTGCCGCTGGAGTATGATTATTGACCTTAGCGTCGTCAAATTCGGCTGCGTCCAGCGGGACTGGCAGCAGTATTTTACAAGAGCAAGCCACTTCTGGCTCAAGACTGTGATCTTTCTGCTGTATAGATCGGCACGTGTACTCAATCCCGTCTTTTCCTCTCGCCGCTTGCTGCGTGATGTCAAACTGCGGCTTCGCAGAGGCATCTGCTGTGCTCAGCCATCACCTCTCGGGCTATGTGGACCTTCCACGCTCTTGCTGAGATCTTGCACCTGTCGCTCGAGGGTTGATGGGTTTCGCCAGTTCGACGCTTCCGCTGCAGTTCGCATAAGGGACAACGGAGTTTTGACGCGTTGGCAGCGCAATCTGTGGCGCGTTGGTCAGAAAGCTATGAAGCAACGGGAGGAGAGCACAAACGACGACGCGTCGGAGTGAGAGCTTCGGATATGCCAAGACCTTAGGGTTGTATGCGCAATAACTGGTGGGACAGGCAGCGACGACGAAGTCCTCATCGGAACGTTTTGCGATCACCAGTACTGCCCATATACAGCTATAGGATAATTCATGTTCAAGTTTGGAAGGTTCGGGCAAGCTGATACCATGCAAAATGGAAAACTTCGAATCACTAGTTTTACATAAATTCCGACTTTTGAGAACGATTCACCAACACTCAACGCATTTGTGGTCGCAAGCAGGAAGAGAAGAAGGCACGAGGCAAAGCTAGCGCGCAACCATGATCGCAATGGTATCAGGAGCGAAAGTACAACCATCCCTAAAACTTCTTACAAACAAGCTGTTAACAGCAACTCAGACCACTTCTGTCGATATCATCTAATGTCTTCAAGCACTCGGCCAACCTGGCGCACCATGGCTCTCCAATTCCTTGTTCGTCCACTCCCACAGCCTATCGGCCAACTCCTGACTAACAGCATGCGGATTCCCATCCTTTGGCTTGCCGAACGTGCCCTGCTCATAATACCGCCCATTCTCAATACTCGACTTGTCCGCATTGCCCAACCACAAACCCGGCTCGGCACCCTTATCGCAATCGACACCGGTGAGCCATACAACGGGTGACACAAGGTAAACGAGCCATTTCATTCCATCAGCTTTGCCCCAGATTTCGGATTTGACAGTTCCGGGATGGAAGGAAGTTGTGGTGATTTCGGGATAAAGCTGAGCGAGTTTGCGAGCGAAGAGCATGTTTGCTAGTTTGGAATGACCGTATTTCGTCATGGCGTTCAAGCCGGAGGATTCGACTGTCTTGGTGGTGTCAAGATCGATCAAGCCGGATTTGGGCACGATTCGGTGGCCGCCGATGGAGGAGGTGACAACGACGCGGACATCGGAGTCGGGCTGCTTTTGTGTTTGCAGAAGTTTTGGCATGAGGAGTTGGCATAGCAGCGTGTGGCCGACATGGTTCACTCCGAAGGTGTTCTCGTAGCCCTCCTTAGTCAGGCCGGGCGTTGTGCCTGAGATGCCGGCGTTGAGGTACAACTGGTCTAGACGATCGCTCTTCTCGTTGAACTGAGCTGCGCAGGCTCTGATGCTGTCGAAGGAGTTCAAGTCCAGCTCCAGTGGCTCGATGTTGGCATTCGGGTGTTCTTGCTTGATGGCATCAATGACAGTTTTCGCTTTGCTGGGTGTTCTGGCACAGAGGTAGATGCAGCCTGGGTTATGAGCGGCCAAAGCCTTTACGATGCTGGCACCAATACCGGCATTACCTGGAGACCATCAGCTCAGGCCATCGCGGTTGCAAAAGCATTTCTCACACCTCCAGTCACCAGGACAACCTTCTTTCCCAGATCTGGGATGTCTCGATCGGCCTTGAAATTGTTCTTGATGGCCATAGCGAATCAGACCTGACGTGTTCGCCAACGCTGAATTGAGATTTTGATGAGAGTGGATTCCAACTCGGGCTCGCTGCTTGCCACTCGGAGTGCTGTCACGGGCGCTAGTACCTTGCTTCGGAGCTGTGTGAGCTGCAGGCACGGAATGTCAGTTGTGAAAGATGATTTTCATTCAGGATCCTATGTCGAGAACGCAGTCCTGTTGTATTTCTCAATGTCTCGCACGTGGAGGATCTCGCACTCTCGGCTGAATCGAGACAAGACGCCATCGCAGTGTCGTCCGATTGTAGGCTGCCATTTTTCGCGCTAGAACATGTGCCTCGGGTGCGTCATTGGCGTAGCTTGTGGCTACGCGCCATCCATGAGACACTCGATTCTATCTTCCGCTGACAAATGAGTGTCTTTCAACTTGGACTGTTTGAAAGGTGTGCGAGAGAGACGGCAACGGCGACGGCGTGTCGGGCGAAACATTTGTCCGAGAAGTTGCCTGCTCAGGCACTCAGGACAAAGACACGTTCCGACAGCAGGATCGCTCACGCGTCAACTCTGCGAAACCTCCACCTACCAACGAACATGCAGACCTCAAGAGATGAAAGAGCATGAACAGTGAGAGTGTGGAGGAACTCTCGTATGGACAGAAGATGTCATTCCCGTGGATGGCGTAAGAGCATGCCCGCTGCATAGGACAAAGACGCGTCAAGATCATGAAGGCTGTGAAGTTTCGAGGAATCAGAGCCCGCTACAGAACAGTGAAGCTCGAGAACTGGAGTGGTGTCTCACGTCTGCTGCAACAGACATGTGGACCGCGCAGCTTCACGTGCGGACTCTGTGGCCCTCACAAAGCGATAGCAGCAAGCACGTCCGGAACAGCCTCGATTCCAGTAGGCTGGCACGTCACATGCTAGCACCATGATCATGATCATGATCATCTCGTGAGTGACACGTGCTGCCATGTTGCTGTGGTGGAGCATCGTTGCGAGTGAGGTGGTTCAGCTCGGGCTCGGTCTCCGAAGGTGAGATGTGCAGACCGGTGTCTCAGCTGCGCATGCAACGCACAGCACGTGTGTTGCACCTGCCCAGGTGTCAGCGGAGCGGACTAGCACAGTCGCTCACGGAGTAAGAGAAGTGTAGGCATCGGTGGGTGTAATTGTCTCTCTTGTTCAGGTGCCGACGCCTTGTCGGAGTGACGAAGGGCCTTAGAACGAAGAAAGGATAGGTATCAGCACGCTGGTCAGAACCGAAGATGGAATAGAGGTCGGAACCCTCCTCGAGACTCTTGCCGTGAAGAATTTGTCATTCCTTTGGTCGAAGTTCAGTAACCTACATACTCAGCGCTTGCACATCATGGCATTGTACGCCTCTGCCGTCTGGCGCGAAATGGACATGGAAGACGAACAGAACGTCCCTCTAATCAACAAGCAACGCACACGTCGACGATCGCAAAGCATTGACACTGGCTATGTCTCTGAAGACTTAGGCTCACGATCCTCATTAGCTGGCAGTTCTTCATCATCTTCGACTTCTCGCGAATCCTCGTTCGACCTTCCGCGGAGAGAGAAGAAGGTTCAACTTGCTCTGCCAGGGTTGCTGGACTTCATTCAGAACTGCAAGGTGAGTTTGCTGCGAACGTTCCTTGGCCGTTCGCCCGCGGGACCCTCTTGCATGTGCATGACTGCGCTGACTTTGTGTTCGTGTACCACAGGAGCGGCAATTACTACCCTCCATGTCAGCCGCGATAGCTAGTTCACCAGGTGATGGTGTGATCAAAACGCCCATGACAACGAACTCGAAGACAACAGTGTTCATCACGATCGACGAGACGGGAGAGAAGATTGCCAAACTGAGCCAAATGGTCGATGCCGCATTCATTGTTGGTGCGAACGAGCTGGAGCTCTGTATGCTGTGAAAAAGTTATTGGGTTCAGGACTTGTTGATCAGTACTGCGTCGATCTGCTCAGGGTCCAGCTAGGGCAACACCTTTTCGTCCGTCCGAGGTATGGTTGTTTGGCGTTCAGGCGTACACATGCGTGACATGGAGCAGTCCCTGCTTGGGCATGAGAGCATTGCGTGGATTGTGGCATGTTGATCTGCTCGAGTCATGCGTTGCTCAATCCTGCTTTGCTTTGCCAGGCCATTTCTCCGGCCTGCTTTGTTCATCACTCAAGGAATACATGCTTCAACAAGCACAACACCCGAGTTTTGCAGTCTCTCAGGCCTTCAAGCTGCCCCGCTTCTCGTACTTTTCTTCGCTTGCTAAGATCAGACTAGACGCTGTGCGACTGTTTGCTGTCCATCTGGACTGTCGACGAGGACGGCCGGGCCTGAGCAGACCACCACGTGTCGAATAAATCATACATCCACCGGTGCAATTTATTAGGCAGATTTGTGCCCGTATTGTCGCTTGCTACGCATGACTAGCAGGAGACAAAACTGGTAGGTGTAGATCTTCTACATTTTTGATCCGGGTTGGGACGTGTTGGAACGACGAAAGTAGTTCCGAAGACCTGGTATCGCTCGCATGGCGAGCGATTTGGGACCGCGTAAAGGTTAGTATGCACCCCGAAAGGATGTTTGACGAAGATAACATATTCTCCTGCTTTCCTGCGTTAGTACGCTCGCTTGTACCACGTCTGTAGTCAAGCACGGCTAAGCACGTCAAAGCAAGAGTTCCGCGTTTGGCGGGCGTAGCGGGTTGTTGATAAGAAAGAGGGCGGTCGCCATCCCACTTGGCGCATACGTCGAAGCAAGCCCATTTCGGCGCCTCAATGGGAGTGGTGGAAGGAGCAAGCCATCTGCAGAAGGTGCAGAGATGACAATTCGCTTGATGAGGGGAGCGATCGACGGCGGGCCTGGCGAATGCGAAAGTCAAAAGATCGCCGTTGTACAGCATTCGGCGAGCGAAGTGGACAGCTGCTGTGCGACCTTGTGCCTGAGCTCCCTCCACAGACAAAGATCTGCGTAGGCGCATGCCGAAACTGAGGATGGCCTAGGATGGACTAGGGCTGGATCAGAGTTGGCCGCGCTCAAATGAGAAGCGAGGGAGCGGAGATGCATAGCGCAGGAAGGGGAGCTGTGTGATGGAAGGCCTGATTGCTTTAGTGTGACACGTAAGCAGCTGGGCGACGGCTGGGTTGAACAAAGAGTGTGTGAGAAGGATGGAGCGGGATGCAAAGTTTGGGCGGATCAAAGACGGCTCAGCAGGATGAATGAATATTTGATGACGGGAAAACAGGCGGACGGCTAGCGAACAAACCCCACCATTTGAGCGGCAGGTGGGGCGAAAGGCGGGCCATTGGCGACGCTCCCCTGCCTGCTCTTGCCGCCCATGACTTCACGTCGCTCGACATCAGCAGCTGTCGGCGCCTCGTATCGCATCTCGAAAGCCACGAACGGACTAGCTGGCGACCTGTATTCCTGCACCAATAGCAGACTGCCGCCGGAGCCCTGGCGCAGACTATGGATGAAGGCGCGCAGCGTGCCTCTGTCCAGCTCGCTCGAATTGGAGAGCTGGAGGAGCGACAAGTCCCGGAGGCGTGCGCAGCCTTCGACGTCGGCATTGGGCATATCCGCCTGCGAGGGCAATGCTCTAGCCACTAGCAGCAGCCTACACGCAGCGTTGGTGCGAAGGACGTTGATGTGCGCTCGCAATTCGGCATGGACTCGCTGCTGCCACGTCTTCCAATCGAGCACTGGCGATAGGGCAGGGCAACGCAGAATGTAGACAGAGGCACTGCCGATGGTCTGCACCGCCCCCATCGCGCGTGGCTGGATGCTCAGCCGCTGCTTGACGTGCTGGGGATTGTCCCGGACCGTGGAACAGGCACCGAGCGACGGCTTGCGTCCATGCTGTCCGAGCATCAGCAATGCGGGATCTTCCTCCGACGGCTGAACGATGATGTTCAGCTGCGGCGAATCGATGGCCAAGCTGGAAGCAACCATGGAAGTGGGAGCCCCGGCGTCCACGATTGTGGCATTTCCGAGCGAGGACCAGTCGAGCTGCCCCAGCACTTCTCTCACTCCAGCATCGTCATCGCCCATGCAGTAGCGGAAGTATGTCTGCGCACGTCGTGAGAGACGTCTCTCTTGCTCGCAAGATTTGGCAAATGAGTGTGGCGTACTCATTGCCAAGTTGAATGCGGTATGCTGTGCATCTTGCACGTCTGCGAACTGCTTCGAAGCAGTGACCATCTTCAGTGAGGCCGGCACAGCAGTATCCGACAGGAATAGTGCGGCATCCAAGAGCGATGGCTTGATGACGAAGGACGCTGAAAGTGCAGTATGCGCAACTTGACATGGCACTGGCTCGTGCAGAAAGCCGACTGTCATCATCGTTCGAGCCACGCGGCATAAATGTGCTTCTGGGACGCCGGTAATGGCGGCGATGTCGCCAAATGGTACCGACGTTTCGCGGGGAATCGTTGCCAGGACTTGACTCTCGCACAACCACTGGAGACATCCCAGAAGCTGAGTCTATCGAGGACATTAGCACAAGACCTGTTATGTTCAGAGCTCGCCCTCTTTGGCAGTGACATACGTTCATGGCAAGCCTTTCGAGAAAGTCGGCCGGGGTACTCAACAGCGTGCAAATGCCTCTTGCTTGCGAGAGCACATCGCGTCGAGCGTTGAGTAGCTCCACATTGTTCACGTCGTTACCAAGCTGATCGCCTGCGTTCTTCGATGATAATGACAGCTTCTGCTTTTCCGCCTGCAGGGCCAGCGTGCGAGCAGCAGTCGAGAGGTTTTTTGCCAGTTGTTCGAGCTGTACGTGTATGGGTATGGAGCCCACTGATGCTGATTCTGCCTCCATCACGAAGACTCCCCACAGCCCTCACGAGCGCTGTGATGTTCAACACAGTGGGCCGCTACAAATTGCGAACAGTGCAACACCATCTTCGAGCGCTCGTTCCGACATGGTCTTCGAAGGCACGGGGCTGGGGTGAAGTCGGTCGGCGAGCGAAAGAGCTGATCTATCTTCGTGGCATGGTGTTAGCATGCACGCACCAACCAATGGATCCACTGCCATGTGCGCTTTCGCATCCATATGGGGCGCCTCGCGTGCAGAGTGTTTATGATCGGCAATGGAGAGACCTGCCGTAAGCAGGGTCTCGCTTCCTAGCGGATCCACGACAACTTGCTCCAACACGTGCACGAAAGTCGCCGAGACTAATCCCATTGCGACGACATACGCGATAAGCCTGTTGGTACAAAGGATCCGCGGCCGCTGAAACTTTCCTAGTCGCTCTTGGTCTTCTTGTCTGCAAGCTTCAGCTTCCACAGCTGTTTAGTGGAGCTTGGCCTACTCTAATGCGCCAGCTTCATTGGCCACTTCCAAAGCGAATGCCACATACGAAGCGATCCTACCAACAATGGGACCCGCATAGACTTTCATGTTGCTATGAGGTACAGAACGCCTCGTGAGATTCGCATGCGCACCTGCAGATGTTACACGAATGCTCGCGCGGTGCATATTTATCCCTTGAGGCGCCCTCTTGCCTCCATCGTCGATCTACTCACACTTCTTCGATCTCAGCTATTGCTGTGCAGCAGCCACTCTTTGGGATCAACGATCTCTACGTCGTAGTATATAAGACCATCATAGATCATGACTTCATACCACCCCAGCCTGGCTGCGAGCCACGTTGAGCCCAGCAAACCACAAACGGCAACCACTGCCAAAACCGGCAACAAGGAGAGGAAGTTGCGGCAGAGCTGTCGAGAATGTGCTTCGCACAAGCTCAAATGTAGCGGGGGAAAACCCAGTTGTGTACGCTGCGCCGAGCGAGGTCTCGAATGCTTTTACGACTTATCTCGACGATCGGGCCGAATTTCCTGGCAGGACCGCCTTCGAGCACAAGAAATGGCGGCCATGCCAACAGGTTCACCTTTCATGCCACCAGTGGCAGAGCACGAGGCTCAAACCACAGGTCTTCCTTCACCACCACTGTCATCGCCTGCGACAGCTAGAAGATCTCCATCGTGGCAGGCTTCGGCTCTGGGAAGCGACGCTGGTAGTTCTCGCTCTTCTTCTGTGTCCCTGGGATTCTCAGACGCATCGATGATATCTGCACCACTGGATGACTGCATCGACTACACCTTTGAACTCGGAGATCTCCAAGCTCATTTTGAGGGAACGCAAGACTTGGCGGGATCAATGATCAATACCGGATTCGATCACATGGCACCCCTATCCCCAAACAGCATACCAGGAATGACTGCATCAATACCCTCTTCTCCTTCACTTTCGATGGCGTCTGACTTGTACAATCAACCGTTTCCCTATGACACGAACTCTGTCTCTGGCCTCGAAGCTCTGATGGACATTGACTCGATGCAGGTGATGGACGCACATCACGATCAAGATGGCACATACGACTGCCTGAAGGTCGCGAACCATTGTCTGCAACGTCTCTCATGGAATGCATCACAGCGATGTGTCCGCGCCAACCCATGTGGTCCTCAGCCTGTGCCGGTACCTTGCACGCAAGTGGTCGCCGAGAATAAGCACTGCCTCGCAATACTAGACAGAGTCCTGGACTGCGCGCCGGCAACACATCAAGACATATTCGTCATCATCACGCTGGCTCTGATGAAGATCGTAGAGGCTTATCAAAGCGCTGTGCATGACAACATGGCTGTTGGACCTGCTGAGATCGATGGATTCCTCCCAGCGCACGACCCAAGCTATTACTGTGTCACTCTCACAGAGCCCCCACCACCATTGCAATCTATCATGGGCGAGCTGCACCGTGTCCAAAGCATGGTTCGAAGGTTATCAGAACGACTTGATACACTCAATGCACTCTATAATGTAGCGGCACACGACCAATCGCTATTTGGACCAAGTGGCAGACCTCCAATGTCACCAGCTACCTTCGATGCACTTCATCGAGATCTCAGACGGTATCTTGATGCTGCCTCTTTCAGAACAATACAGCTGCTCAACGCACTGTAGCCGAAGTCCGCCCAAGAGAATGTTGGTGCATGTCTTGTTTTAGGAAGCGATAGGAGTTTAGTATCAGTTAACGAAGATATGACTGCAATGTCTATATGCAAATCAACACATAATCCAAACTACACCGACTTCAAATTTCTTGTTTCACAGATCTCCTTCCTTGGTGCAGACACGATGCTCGCATCGCTGGGGAAATGGCCGCGCACGTTGCTACGAGTGCACGACCAACCTTGCTGCGATCGTCGCTGCGAACGCAAACGCGGTGATCGCTCGCATGTGGGCAACGTGGTCGCTGAAACTAGCGCAACGTGGCTGCACATGGTCAACGACGTGAACAGCAATCACGCTGCAAACTAGGTCGGCGAGCGACAAAAGAATATGCAGTTGCTTTGCAGCGTTACAACGACGTGGAAGTGCGTGTGTGCAAAAAGACCACTATAGCCAAAGCTGGGAAAGATGTTCGGAAACAAACGCATTCGCAGACCGAGACAGAGGAGACAAAATTTCAGCAGCGCGCGGGAGATGTGCAGTCAAGTGAAGCTTTTTTCAGGACCCCCAATCAAATCCTTGTTGGTCCATGCTGTGCTACACAAATGCTTGCTTACTTGCAGGTACAGGTACTCTAACTGATCCACTACCACGTGCATGCCCTGCCCCGACACTCTTTTTGCCTTTGCGTCTACTCCGTGATAGACTCCATATGGAGGTACTTGCCAATGTTAGATCCCTCCAAGGATTCCCATCGGCTCTTGCTGTTTGGGTCGTAGTATGGAACTTCTGCGAGTCCGACGGCACGGTTTCCGAACCTGTCTCCGAGACCGAAGTAGTCGTAGGTGGCGTTGTGGAAGGTGCTTCGGCTATAGGAGGAAGAAGGAAGAGTCAGTTCGGGGAAGGAAGCGAGTGAGGGGTTGCTGGTCACTTACTTGTCCCAGATTGCGATGTCATTGGGGTTCTTCCATCGGAGACGGACTTGCAAGTCGTGGTTGTCGACGATCAGTTTCTTCAACCAGTCGCAGAAGAGATTGCTCTCGCCCTTTGTCAGGCCGTTGATTTGTTGGCAGTCCAAGGCAAAGAGCGATTTCCAGCCTGCGATACGTAGAATGGGTTAGTGCGATCGGGGGAGCGACTGCCAAGTTTCGTTCCTTCTCACCTGTGATGGGATTGGTGCGCACTACGGGGTGGGTGGCACGGAGCTCAGTGCCGACGTTCAAAGGAGAGCCACGAGGCTTCGAGTAGAGAGAAAAATTTCCTCTTTCGGCGGCACGGTTGTAACCGGGAACTGCGTAGGTACAAGTCTTGCCCTCGAAGAACTGCTGCATTGCTGGAGAGAGACGGTCGTAAAGTTCGTAGCCGGATGCCCAGAGGGTATCTACGGATGAAGGTCAGTCACCACTCATACAGCAGAATTTGCGACCCTTTCGTGTCACAGAACGCCAGGACTACAGAGCGTGTGCCCGGTGTCACCATAGCAGGGTCACATTGGGTCGAGATATCTCCAAGTTGACGTACCACCACCAGACTTTGGCAACTCTGTGAGTCGCAAGCTGCTGTAGCTCGCAGGGACCTTCTCAAACGCAATATCCGTATGCCACTGGAAGCTGCTCTGCTTCTTCGCGCAGACGTCCTGGCGATCAGACTGACTGAACAGATCTTTCGCCGTACGAGAGCTGATGGTGCTGATCTCCTTGTCTGCCTGACCACTGTGGTTGCCATCGGCCGAGAAGACAGGGTGGACGTGGAGGCCGGAAGATTCTGGCTTGCCAGAGAGCTCACCCAGACGGGTGATAAGCTGCTTCTGGAGCTCGTTGGTAAGGTTGTCCTGCTTGCGGAAGAAGACCACGCCACGCTGGGAGACTTTCCATCGATTAGTTGAGCAAGCAGAGATTTGGAGACAGCGGACTTACTGGTCAGAGCAAGCTCGGTCAAGAGCTCGTCAGCGTTGGGAGCATTGAGCATGTCGACCAAGTTCGCCTCTGGGAACTCGGTACCAATCACTGGAGTGACATCGAATTGCTCCAGGTTGTTCAAAGAGCCATTGTTGATGAGAGGCAGCTTCACAGTTGCTGGTGGGGCCACAGTCTTGGTGGGAAAGCGGATCTCCGCCGGAATCTCGACTGGATCGATCGCGATGGGTGCCATGTTGAATAGTTGAGTGGCGATGTAGTTGAAAGAGTGTTGATAAAACGACTCGTGCTGGCTCAATTGTAGAGTCCGTTGTTGTTGTCTTTATGAATGGTTGGAGTTTCTAGTAGCACACCGTATTTCGGTCTTTGCAATAGCCATCTCGGAGTGACATGCCCGATTCAATGCTGAGCCATGCTCGCTCGTGACCTTCCGTAGTTCATACACAGTCGCGGGCTCCAGTCTCGTGATCAGAATGGTAGCGATCGGTTCGGAGTGCGAGGCCGAAATCGCAAGAATCCAGCAGTGCAGGAGCGACAAACTTGAGATCGTGCAGCAACGAACACAGAAGACGACAGATCAAGTGAGTGACGCTCGCGAACATTCATCGACCTCGCTGTCAGAGTAAATCATGGATGCTGGCAATACGACCCGTCCATCAAGAGCAACCGCCCGAAATGCATTTAAGAGGCCAACGACACTCGATCGTGTGGGGGCACTGATAAGTCGCTCTGCCGGACTCGGAGCAACATTGCACAGCATCAACTATGGCGCATGGCTGCTCTCAGATACTCTCAGAGTATCCGCGCCAATTGTCAGACAAGTGTGCCAACGACTTGGCTTTTCGGTCTCGACTGAGCGCTTTTCAGCTGGCTCATATCGATGCGCAGCCCTCGCAGATCTCCTCTGGGATACCAGAGCTGTGCTACGTCTCGTAGGACTTGTACCTCTGTCGCTCAAGTTTCGAACCCTCTGCTCAGGCCCAGAGTATGGAGAAGACCGGATTCTACACACCACCGCCCTGCTGCATACGGCTTGCTACAGTCTGTTCCACGCAACAGAGCACGTAGCACTTCTGGCTCAGTATCATGTGCTCCCGGACTCTATCTTGCCGGTGGAGGGCGTCAGCCAAGTCTATCTGTGGGCCTATCGATGGAGAAGCGCAGCTCTCCTGTGTACTTTGTTCGAGATCGCTCGCAAAGGTTGGCTCATCCGCAAACGCCGAGCAACAAGAAAGTCGCGGAACGAGACGGAAGACGAGCTGAATGATGCTGCCGAAGACAAGCAATGGTTCTACGAGCTGTTCGTAGCTGCGACGTTCCTTCCGATCGCAATTCCTTACTTGACTTCCAGCACCAAGCCGGACTTCAGTAATGCTTTGCAAGGTGCTTGCGGGCTGATGGCAGGATTGCCGAAGCTCTACACTCTTTGGAAAAGTACGGCTTCGGCTTGAGGACACAGATTGAACTTCTCAACGCAGTGCGCCTTGGGCATCCAGCATAAAATGCACTTGCAAGCGCTCCTATGTAGAATTGCGTATTGAAGTTATTGTCGCAAAGGCACATCTTCCCACGCATGATCGAACCCAGCAGATCTGATCCAGTATGGTTCGCCTGTCGAGACAGAATCGACGACCATGTGACCGATTTGCAGCCAGTCGTTGCGTTTGATGCGGAACTCATCGCAGTCCTCATAGGGTGCGCAGATAGACTGTCCTCGAATCAAGGCTCGAATCAGTTTAACAACGTGACAGTCGTCGTGAAAATCGATAGCTCGTTGTATGATACCGTCCCATCCCGAGGGCTTGCTAGGCTTGTGATTGCGAATCTCGTGCAGTTGTGGCTCAGGAGCACCTCTGGAGGAGTAGATCGCCAAGTCCATGGAAACCTTCCATTGCAGGAGCCGGGCTTTTTGCGCATCTGTCATCCAGTCTTGCTTTCGGAAGACTTCGAGGAACAGGGAAAGATTGACGCAGTGCATCTAGCTCGCAGATTAGCTATCAGATGACAGAGATCTGCAGAGCTTGCTTACGTAGAAGAAGTCGAACTTGACGTGCCGGTCCGCTCGCTGCGCACCTGCAGTGTAACAAACCACCGCGTTGTACATCTCTGCAGTCTTACGCTCGATGTCTGCCGAATCCGGTAAGACTTGGAATTTGGCAGCGATGCTGGCCATTCGATCATTGGCTCTTCCGATAGTCCCCATGAGGAGCGGATTCATGTCAGAGGGCCTTGCGGCATCTCTGAGCTTCTCGTCGCATTGAATCTCGTCGATTAAATCGGCGATAGAGCGGCACGGCGAAGCACTTCCGCTTTCCACTAATGCATCAGCCGACAGCAGAATCCGAGCGATTGCATCGCAATGGCGATTGTCGTGAATCGCAGCCTGGGCAAGTGCTTCCGCAATCACACCGGGAGCCTCGAACTCCACTCCAAATCCAAGGTGGATTATGGGATGGACGACACCTGCGAAGTGTCGTGCCAATAAGCGATCACTTTCCTCAGTTCCAGCAAAAAGATATTTCTGAAGCACAGAAGGCCATCCTCGCTTCTCGATTTCCTGGCTGAAGAAGTGCAAGTAACTTCGATAGTAAGATTCATCCCCATAGAAGCTTTGCAGACCTTGCCAGCTACTCATCTGAGACACTGCATCGTAGTCCACAGAACCTGACGTCCGCTGATAGGCTGCGCTTGCATCATAGCCTTTCTGGATCTCTTCCGCTGAGGCACCCAGTGCGAGGAGAGTGAGTACCTGATGAGGAATGTGATTGTGCATAGCCAGCCCAATTTTGGTGAAGTTGTCGAAGAATATGTGATACTTGTCGTGATTCAGCTGCAACAGCTCGCTTGTCTTTGTTGCTGAAAGCATGCTTGGAGGCTGATCAACCTGTGGCGAGCTCATTGCGACGGTGGTTGTTGTCATGGTCGCCATAGTTTCCTAATGATTGCGTATGTTGCAGTAATGTGAGACTGTTCGTGATGCCTTGTTGTAGCGCCAAGCGGAATAGGTGAGCCAGTCTTGTTGTCGATCACGTCCTTTTGAGATTCAGCCATCTTGGCCGGTCAGCGAGTCTAACCCACATTGCGACGTGCGAATCACATTACAATGCATGTGAACGGTCGAGATGCCTTAGGGATCTCATATCAGACATATCGTGATATCATTCGCTCGTGTCCTTTCCAGCCGCAGGAATGGCATTTCGCGGTCTAGGCATGCGAGCTGAATGGACCTTATCAGGATTGGCGAGTTCACTTGTGACCCGTAGCATGAGATCTCGCAGGTCACAAGGCAAAAACAGAGATGGGCGGCGGAATGCGCTTGATGTCAATATCGTGTCGATGTAGGACGAGATTGGAGGCACGAACGGCCTCGGAAGTTGTTCATCGATGCCAAGAGAATTGGTAGAGTTGGTGCCTCAGGCCACACCGGGTACCAAACTTCACTTCTCACACTTCCCAACTCTTACCCATTCCATCACCTTCTTCAATCGCAAGAACTGCATCGTACACGAAATGATCGCGAAAGACACAGGCCACAGCTTCTCCTTGCATGGTTGAGCAAACTGGTCGAATCGACAGAGTCACGTGCTTTTCATGATCTCCGGCGCTCGCTCTGCTGGCCGAGCAGGAGCCACGATGTCCGAACTCAGCTGATAGCTCGCCTTCGGGTGTTGGAAGTCGCTCAGAATGCTGCTTACCACGAGTCGTTCTCCGATCCGAGCAAGATCGTGGTGTTCACACGATGCTCCCATCTTACAGCTGCGGCCAGCGAGGAAATGCAGGCGACGGTGGGATAAATATGGCGTTGCTGCCTCTGAGGACAGATATCAGCTCAGCACATCAGCCTTCTGCAGTTTAAATAAGTGCGAAGCTCAGGCTGCATCATCCTCTCTTAAACAGTGCCATCCGAGAATATCAGAGCTCCTCAACGCAACAAGATGCCTGCCATGAAGCTGTCCGAGCCCACTGTGGCGCAGGCGCTTGCTGAGATCGACCAGTCGACGTTCGATGGAGATGATCTTGGTCGCAGAGCCGCCTTGATCGAGGCTCAGAACCTGGTGAACAGGCTCGAGAAGCCTCACGAGTTCATCAACAAGATCACCTTGACCCAGCCCATGCAACTCATCGTTCTCAAGATCGCCTCCGAATCTGGTCTCTTCTTGCAACTCTCCTCGAAGCCAAAGACTGTCTCCGAGATCGCAGCTGGCATTGGTGGCGATGAGGAGCTTATTGAGCGTCTCACTCGTCTTCTTGGTGCTACTGGTGTCATCAAAGAGGTTGCTATCGACACCTTTGTTGACACTGAGCTCTCCGCCCAGTTGAAGGACAAGAACGGCATGATCACTGGTGTTCAATGGGTCTGGGATGTCTCTCTGCAGCAGATGCAGAACCTGCCAACCTACTTCAAGGAGACCAAGTACAAGAACCCAATCGATGCCAAGCACCCACCGTGGTGCCGTGTCGTCAACTCTTCGCTGGGCATGTTCGAGTGGCTCAATGAGCGCCCAGAAGTCCACACCACCTTCAACAACTTCTTGGCTTCTCTGCTTTCTGACTTCCCCAAGTGGACTGAGATCTACCCAACTGAACGTCTGCTCGAAGGCTACAACCCAGAGACTGCCCTCTGCGTTGATGTTGGTGGCGGTCACGGAATTGATATGCTCAATCTTGCAGAGGTCCTTCCTGAGGAGTACAAGAATGCCCGACTCGTCCTTGAGGATCAACCAAACGTTGTGGCTGAGGCGGCCAAGCGCGGCCACTTGCCTGCCAATGTCGAGACCGTTCCATACTCTTTCTTCAACGAGAACCCAGTGAAGGGTGCCCGCACGTACCTCATCCACTCATGCCTCCACAACTGGCCAGACAAGGAGTCTGCACAGATCTTGTCTCGCCTCCGAGAAGCGATGACTCCAGGCTACAGCAAGCTTCTCATCTACGAGCCGGTCATTCCAGCCTCGGTTGATGAGGTCATCCCAATCGCCGCTGCTCTCGATCTGCACATGATGTGTCACTGCGCTGCTGGCGAGCGTACTCAGAAGCAATGGGAGAAGCTTCTCGGCCAGGCTGGTCTGCGATTCAAGGACTACACTGGCATCATCGGCTTCCCATGGGGCGTCATCGAGGCGGAGGCCATTTGAATTACATGATTGTTGGATCTCATTTTCGAAAGGCGCAAATGGACGGCATGTGGCAGGCGAAAGGCATAGAATGGTTGAGTAGCATCATACCTTGTAGGCAGGCGTTTCATGAAAATCGTATGCTGAACAACTCATGTGCAACTGCAATGCGCAATGTTTCAACTTCTCACGCGATAAACGACAAAACTCTTTAACATGAATGCTCTATACACTATCTGACGAGAAGCATGCGTACAGCCACGGCTTCTACACACATTGCAATGAGCATATCATCGACCAATCTCCAATTGGCGAAGGCATTAATACATGCTGAAGATGACGCATTGCTCACGCTTTACGCTCAGCACGAACTAAGGAGGGGAGGTTGACACAGAAAGTCCACAAAGGATACAGTCTTTTGATTTGGTTGATGCGACACCTAAAGAAATGCATCATTCGGTAGTGGCCACTCATGCTTTAAACCCAGCATCACGTCTGCGTTGAATGATCGGCCTCAACTGATCTCCTGCCCAACCATGCTCAAAGTCATCCTTCAGATCGAAGATACCTTCTGGTTGAATTGCTAGAGCACGCCCTTTCATATTGTTAGCAATGACGCAAGGTGAAACGTCAATTTCGACACTTACCATGCAATTCGGTGTCAACAGCACAAAAAGTAGCTGCTTCAACACATGATTCAATGCTCGCGAAAGACAGCACTCTGCCAATATCAATGCCTCGAGCTGCCATACCATTCTTGATGGGAGCAACAAGTGGTGTGTCAACGAACCAAGGAGCCAATAGATTACACCTGACACCAATGTCGAGAGTCCTGGCTCGAGTGGCGCGGAACAGACCTCTTACTCCGAACTTGCTTGCGGGATATGTCGCAGTCTTAGGAGAGTCGAAGTAGCCTGCGATGGAGGAGACCATGACGAGTGATTTCTCTGCCAATGGTACTGTGTTGATTCCGTCCTGGATCGATGGAGAATTCCGAGCACCCGGCTTCATGCGCATGTAATAGAGAGCGAGCCAGGTACTGTAGTATACTCCTTTGAGATTGATGTCAATGTTTCGAACATCTGGTGGAGCAAGCTTTGATTCCAAGCTAGGCTCACCAGCTCGCAACACCTGATCGACGACATTTTCCGCAGCAAAAGCTGTCCCGGCGAAAGTCGCAACGACATCGAGCTCCTCCTTTGCACCAAAAGTAACAGCACTTCGAAAAGCGTTGATCTGGCTGTCCCAATCTGTTACATCGCATCGAACGTAATTCACATTGCCTCCAGTTTCGTCAGAAATGTCTTGAGCGAGAGCACAGCCTTTCTCCTCAGTACGTAAATCTGCGATGGTAACCAGGGCACCAGCAGCGGCCCAGTGCTGCACAGTGGCTAGTCCGATTCCAGAAGCTCCTCCTGTGACCAGGCATACTTTGCCTTTGAGTCGAGACACATCGTTGTTGCCCTTGAACGTCTCCATTGTCGACTAGCTGAATTGGTGGACAGAACTTGCCAGTCGACTGCTTGATTGTTGACTTAGACAGAGACTTGAAAATTTGCTCCGAAACTGGGCAAGTGCTTCGGAGCGTAGGATTCCATCTGACTGAAAGTGGTAAGCTTCGGAGCACTCCACCGAGAAGCCTCACCAGTTTTGTCCGTATTCTCATAGGAAGATCCCGAAGCCCACGGAGTTCGGAAAAGTGCTGAAGTGTATAGTGAGATACATGAGAAGGCAGATCGCTATGTAGTGAGGTAACCTATCTATCTCAGCATGTTCGCCTATCCCACCTACCCAACGGACAAGATTGTTGCACGAGATCAAATCAGCTATCCACGATTTCGCATCAGCATTCGTCAACTGCCAGAGAATCTGAGCGACGAGAAGAACATGTCTGGGGAAGATGATCACAAGACCCCGTCTCCCACTCCAAGCACCACATCCTTGAGCTCGACTAAAAGTTCCAGGAGCTCAGAGTTCATGAGGAAAGCTGCCAGCAAGGCAAAATACAAGTTTGCTCAGATCGGCATGTCAATGCTTCCACAACCAATGCAGAACACAGATTATATGAATGCGTCTGGTGGATGGTGGTTCTGATTTTCGGAGTGGGACATTTTTAAACATGCTAGGAGAAGTAGAATTTTAGGCAGACACCGCTGGATTTCGATAAGTTGCACCAGGTCGACAAGTATGGCGTATTCTCCTTGCTCAAGTAGACATCACTTTTACAATCGAAATGTTTTGCTTGTGGCTGTTTCAGAGAAATAGTATGTCTTGGCACATCCATAGGTGAAGTGTCGGAAGAGTGAATCCAAAAGCTTGGCATTTCGCTGACCGACCACAAAGTAGGTCCGAAAGTCAGCCAAGACCACAAGCGTCAATGTGTAAGCCGAATGTGATCGATCTAGAGTGGCAGATGAAGCAGAGTCGCAACCATTTGCCAGTCACTATAGCAGATCGCATCGAGTGCTCAAAGAAGTCTTGACAGTAGTCCTTGTAGTCGTTCATTTCCAAGTGCGAGATGGCTGCACTGTCGATATTGAGCAGTTGTCTCAGCGCGGCAATGAAATCATCACTGCTGTTGCTTGTGTTGGTAAGTCGTTCCACAGAGGATCCGGTACAACACTTCTGACGATTCATTACAGACTCTGATCAGCATTGCCGGACTATGCTTCTACCGATTGTATTTGCACCCGTTGCGGAAGTATCCCGGCCCAAAGCTCTGGGCTGTAACGAGATTGCCATGGATTTTCAGCACCGTCAAAGGTACCATCACTCATGATGTAGCGAGACTGCACGAGATATATGGTCCCGTCGTTCGACTTGCTCCAGACGAGTTATCGTACATCACACCAGATGCCTCGAAAACGATTTACCAGTCGAATCCGGAATTCCCAAAGGATCCAATGCATCTTCCACCGTTTCACAATGGTACGCCAGGAATACTTGCTGCAGACAAACATAACCATACCAGATTTCGAAGAATGTTAGGTCCAGCTTTTTCCGATAAAGGTATGAGAACCCAGCAGCCGTTGATCCAGAAGCACATCGACCTATTGATGGTGCGACTGCGAGAGCGTAGTAGCATTGGCTCTGTGGATATATCCGAGTGGTACAATTGGGTGACATTCGACATCATCGGGGATCTCTCTTTTGGCGAATCCTTCGACTGCTGTCTCAATGCTCGAACCCACGAATGGATTGCATCGATTCAAGGCAATGTGAAGGCGATACCCATAATTAATGCCATCAGACGCTGCAAGCTCGATTGGGTCATTCCTCTAATCGCTCCAAAGAAACTCCTGGCCATGCGCAAAAGAAATGCAGACTTCACTGAAAGTAAAGTCGATCAGCGCCTGCGACACAAGGAAGCTCGCGGAGATATCTGGGATGCAGTCCTCTGTGAAGAAGATGACCGCAGCAAGAAATCCAGTGGCATGTCTCGGCAAGAGATCATCAGCAATGCCAGTGCAATCGTGCTAGCTGGAAGTGAGACCTCAGCAACACTACTTGCAGGTTGCACCTGGCTTCTATTGCAGAACCCACACGTTCTCGAGGCCCTCAAAGTACACATAAGGAACTCGTTCACCTCTGTCGAAGAGATTGACCTGATCAGTGTGGGCAAGCTAGACTACATGTCTGCCGTTATTGACGAGGCTCTCCGATTGTATCCACCCGTACCAATGCAGAGCAATAGGATTGTGCCCGAAAATGGTATGCTGGTGGCTGGGGAGTGGGTACCAGGCGGCGTAAGTCCTTACTCGTGCGTTTCCAAGTTGGTCGCTAACACGAGAGCATAGACTTCTGTCGCCGTTCAGCAGTACGCCGCCTGCCGATCAAGCTCAAACTTCCGCAGACCAGATGAGTTCCTGCCTCAGCGTTGGCTCGGAGACCCAGAATTTGTTGGCGATAAATCATCTGCATCGCAACCTTTCAGTCTCGGAGTAAGGAACTGCATCGGGCGACAGCTTGCTCATGCAGAGATGCGTTTAATTCTAGCTCGCATGATCTGGGAATTCGACATCCAGCTTGACGCAGCCAGAATGGGAAACACTGACTGGCTCGGACAGCAGCACGTATGGATCTTGTGGGACAAGAGTCCGTTGTGGGTACGACTTCAGCCGCGAGCTGCGTAGAGAAGTGGTGTATTCAATAAAGCTGCGCTCTCGTGAAATTGACAGCTGCCAGTCGTTGCGGATGCGCCACAATAGATCTGAAAGCATTGCGAACAACATGAATATTCGGCGAGCTTGAGAGATAAATGCTAAGCAAACTGAATTTCTAGTGTTGACTGACCACCATGCTTGCTATAGACTATGCAGAAGATGCCGAGATGACCGCTTCCAAACAGAAACGTAATCTTCCAGATCACGTTATTTATCGCAAGAGAGGACGCAAAGTATCCAGGCAAGCCACAGCTTATAGGTCTTTGGTAGATTCTGCTCGAAGTGATTAGTCTGCTTGCTGCTTCTCCTGGGTAGACCGGCGATGAAAGCAATGTACGCACCAAATGGAGCCTCTGGTGCATCTGGTTCTGCAGCATCCCATACAAGGGCCTTGGGACCATTGGGGTCGTGGACCTTAGCCAGGTCTGGCATTGACATTGCAAGTGGAATGCACAAGCTGAGGAGTAAGAGTACTTTGGTCCACATGATCGGTCGTGTCTTGGGAGGATGTATGCTCGAACTTTCGATGAGCTCTTCTTCAGAGGGTTTGTCACGAATGTAGCGAGAGATTCAATATCCCAAAGTAGTGCTGTGAGAGAAGGGCGGGGCGCAAAAGAGCATTCATGCACACACGTGCCGACGTCTTGGCGTTCGGAGTGCGAGTTCGCATAACGCTCCGATGTGTAGCAAGGCATCGGGGCCGTGGTGTCGGCAGCACTGAGAGACAGCCGCTCGCGTACGGAACAGACTGTCAATTCCGTTGACATGGAGTCCATAAACACTTTGACGTGGAATGAGATCCACTTGGCTTGCCTATCCATAAACCATTGTACCAGATGCCGTTTTTGGCGACGATCGTTCCACTCTTGCAATATTGCTTGAACAAGCCTGCATACGTGCCTGTCTCGACAGAGGATCCTGATACCGACAACGCCTCTCAAGATGGAGTCTCGATCAAGTCTGAAGATAGTAGGTTCTGTGGAGACTGCACATCTAAGTGGTCGGCACTGACAATGAACTTTCTTAGGCGGTGGTTGGCGCTGGTCTTGGCGGCATGGCAGCCGCGTTCCGCTTCGCAAAGCAGGGACATGATGTCGAAGTACGTGCTCTCGAGACACAGATGGAGCAGCTGGAACTGATGATATCCCTTTGATAGGTCTATGAGCGGAGACCCAGTGCTTCGACCCAGGGAGGAGCGATCTTCATCATGGGTGGCGCGACTCGCTGCCTTGAGCGATGGGGATTGAAGGAGTCCTTCTCGTTGATCTCGGACGTGATCTCAGCACATCAGTTCCGCAATGCTTATGATAATAGCCTGATGATGCAAATGCCTGCCGCTCAGGACTGGGGCTCAGATCGCCAAAGTGTGGTGAGCCTACTCCACGACCGCGCAGTGGGAGCGGGTGCTCGTATCTCATTCGGCTCGGAAGTGGTCTCGATCGAGGAGAGCGAGAGCAAAGCCACCATCCAACTCAATAACGGCGTCACTACGACCGCAGATCTCGTCATTTGTGCCGATGGCATTCTCTCGCGCCTGCGGTCCAAGGTCTTGCACACATCAGACTACTCACCCATGCCAGCTCCTTCCACACACTATCCGGTAGAGATCCCTTACGACGCGCTGGTGAATGATGAGAACGCCAAGAGCTGGATCACCTCTACAGATTCGATATTCTGTACTCGAACTGGCGGGTACGCTATGGCAAGGTACCACAGCAAGCTGAGACGCCTCCAAGTTATGTTCTCGATTCAAGCCGTGGATAACGACAACCCGAGGCTGTGGGACGAAGTAAGTTAAGAGCCCAAATGCTATGGAACCCCAATGCTGTGAAAGCCCAATGCTGACATATTCAGCACGGAGACCTTGAGTACGTGCGCGAGTACTTCAAGGAGTGCCACCCTGCCTTGACATCAGTGCTGCAGCTCGCGAAGTCATGCTGCCGCTGGCGCCTGGCTTCCATGCCAGAACTTCCTCAATGGTCTAGCGAGCATGGCAGGTTGCTTCTGCTTGGCGATGCCGCTCACGCCATGCTTCCAAACGCAGCCCAGGGCTTCTCTTCGATCATTGAAGACATTGAAGTGCTCACAACTCTTCTTGAAGGCGTGAAGAAGCCAAAGTTCCAGGAGATCGCCAAGTCATGGCAAGAAATTCGCATGCCGCGTGTGACCAAGATGCAGGCGCTGTCCCAATTCAATTACGATCTTGGCAATAAGATGAGCATGATTTGGAGCAACGCTGCGGGTAACGGCAGCAGCGATGCTGCACCATACACAAATGAGAAAGAGGGAGAGAGCAATAGCCAGTATGAGGGCAGCACTCAAGGTAACACGCCCGATGGTAGCCAGCACGGCGGAGACAAGGAGTCCGCAGCGATGGACGACCGCGCAGATGCGAACGCTGACTTCGGATCGCCGCCATTCCAGAAGTGGCTTTATGAGTATGATGCAACGGAAGAGGTAAGCCACCCAGGAAGCAGTAGTGTGAGCATTTGCTGATGCAAGCCATACAGACCAAGCTTTACCTCAAAGAAGCTGCTTCGAAGGCAGCGCCGAAGAGTATGTGAGTTGGAACGGTACGACCTCTGGCACTTCCAGCTAACAATGTCGCAGGGCGGACTTGCAGCTTGAGCGGGCTCTGGGTGCTACTTTTCTGTCGATGAGCGGTGACGATGGTATTCTTGCGCAGTAGACCGGCGTTCGGAGCATTTAGTGCCACATTAGAGACATGAAACATTAAGCTGTGCTAAGATTGAATCGCGTTTTGGAGCTGTTGTCGTCTTATTGAGAACCAGTTCGCGTGAAGTTTGCTGCAGACGCTGGAAATACAACCAGATTCATTATCAGGCAATTACCATCAGGCGTCAGCTAAGTCGGTTCCAACATCCGGTAGCGCCGTCTCTGGCACATTTAGCTGTTGGCATGAGGAACTGAGGTGCTCCAGGCTATGGATGTTCGAAGGTCCGATATGTGCCAAGAGTTTCGCTCAGCGGCCTGCTCGCTCCATGTCGGTGGCAATGTCCGGTTTGAAGATCCAGCTCCTACATCGCATGCGCCAACTCGAAGTAGTGAAAACTGATCAGATAATCTACAGATCGAGCTTCACTCTGAGGCATTGTAGAGAGCCATGTCTAACACCAAGAGATATGCCCTTCTTGGGGCCACGGGGGCCACCGGATCTGCTGTGTTACGAGCACTTCTTGAGAAAGAGCACAGTGATCTCGTGTTGAACATCCTCGTCCGATCAAAAGACAAGCTGTTCAGAGCATTCCCCGAGCTGGAGCAGAAAGCCAAGTTCTCGATAAACATATTCGAAGGCGATGTCGGGAATCGATCAGTATTGGCGTCGTGCCTGGCCGAGGTGGGCACCATCTTCATGTGCGTGGCACAAAATGGTTCGCAAATGGGCACAGATCTGGCACTCTCAACAGCGACTGCAATCCGAGAGACTCTCTGGACTGCTCGCAAACTCCAAGGCGAGGGCGAATTCGAAGCGCCAACAATCGTCAACCTCAGAAGTGCCTCGCTGAATCCACCACTAGCCGCGCAGACGCCGAAGGTCGTGCATAAGGTGGTCATGTTTTGTCTGCACTACTCATATGCAGATGTAAGACGGGCGTGTACTGTGTATGAAGCCGCAGCTGCTGTCGGCCTCGTGAAGTACATTTGGGTCGACCCGCCAACGCTCCACGATGCTCAAGGAGAGAAGTGTACTGGATATGCCTTGATATCTTGCGGGTCACAGGACAAGCAGGCGACCGCGTTGAGCTATGCGGATTTGGGAGCTGCAATGACTGAGATTGCTGAGCGGCAAGACGAGTTCAGGGGCCAAGCAGTGGGAGTTACTGCCACTGGGAAAGTGAAAGAGTCCTGGGTTGTTCTGCTTGGCTTCCTTGTTAACGGGGCCTTCGGTAGAGCGACAGGTTGGTGGAGCAGTTGCTGGGCTCCAACACTCCTCGACTGAGGTCGCTGTCATCCGTACATTCGCATCGAGCCATTTGCGTCGGAATGGCCTCATATTGAGCTTGGGCCACAATCCATAGTTCTCAGCATTTCTCATGACATCCATAGAGACGTCAGTACGCTTTTCAAGCTGCTGGCTGTGATTGATTTTCCTCTGTCGTCAAGACGAGAGAGGTTGTTCTAAACAGAAACCTATCCAGGTGCTGACGCCATGCGTAGAGATGGGTTCGGTGGATGGTGTCGGGTACGGGACGGAGCATGGTGTGGACGAGCAGAGTGCAAGAATGTAATCTTGGAAGTGGAAAGAGAAAGAGAGTTGTTGTTGACTTTGCATTGGTGCCTTAGGCAATTACAGTATGAAGCTTGGCAAAACGTCCCGTCTCGCATTCCATAGCAGTTTCCTCCCGCTGCTCTCAACTTCATCAATTCGAGCGACATTCGTCCGGAAATGCAACATCTGAGCAACCAATGGCACTGAATGCGTTACGAGGGGACATGATTCGTCACGGATGAGCCGGTTTCGTGAAATTGCCTCAATCAAATGCTATTTCTCTGCTACAACACGACCACCCGGTCGAGCATGAACGCCAAACGCCTTGCACCGCAGCGCCAGAATGGTCTGTTATAGCCATGGTCTCGGGACTGAGACAGTTACGTCCGAATCACCTTTCAGGTCTCCCTCTTGAAGACGACTTCTGCTCTCGCACCCAATCTATCGACTGCTAGATGCCATTCGCCCTCGTCAGCATGCTGTTCAAACAATGCTTGAAGATAGAAAATGGCCTTCAAAACTCCCAGCGGTTCCGATTTGACGCAATACTCATGCCTCATTCAGGATCTCCGCTGAGATCTTTTCCGCCAACGCGTACACGGTACCCATAGGCTGCCCATCAATAGCGAACGGGAAAGACGATGAGTCGACAACGCGTACACCTTCAACACCTCGCACACGCGCTTTCGAATCGAGAACTGCCATCGGGTCGTCCTTCTTGCCCATCTTGCAAGTACCAACACCAGCGTAATAAGCATCGGAGGTCTTGGAGATGTACTCGATTATCTGCTCGTCAGTCTGGTACTTGGCACCTGGTAGCAGTTCAGGTCCGGCAATGACCTCCTGCAGCGTCTCAGTCGCAACAAAAGATCGGCAACGTCGGAAGGCAGCCACGGCCAACTCCTTGTCTCGAGGATCGGCGAGCCATTGCGGGTCTACCATCGGGTTCACTGCAGTGTCATTGCTCGTGATGCTCACTGTTCCACGACTGAAAGTGGTCATCAATGCTGCAGACATGCTGAAGTAGTTCTTGCCATTGAATTGCGGCACGAACGTGTCGTCAAGCGCGATGTATGAGAATGTTGGCCAATCAGCTGGATACTCCGCATCAATCTGCGCAGCAGTGCTCTCGCTGAGCATGCCAGGCTGGTGCTTCTCAAATGCGAAGAAGTCTTGGCCAGGGTTTGTCAGCAGACCTGTTCGGAAATTGTTGTACTCGTAGATGGAACGCGGAAGAGTCTCCTTGCTGCCGAGCAGCTGGCTGTGGCTCTCCACCTTGACCGGGTACGTCGGGCCAAGAATGATGGTATCATGGAGATTCTTGCCCATGCCGGGCAGATCAGAGAGAACTGGAATGCCGAGGGGCTCAAGCACCTCTTTGGGTCCGACACCAGAGACCATCAGGAGTTGAGGCGATCTGGAGAAGCCTGCTGCCACGATCACCTCTTTGTTCGCCGCAATCTTCCACTCGAAGCCATCCGTGTTCACGACAACGCCGGTAGCCTTCTTGTTTTCGTCGAACAAGATCTTCTTGGCCATTGTTCGAGTGTAGATGTTGAGATTCAACTTCTTGCTGTCCATCAAAGCTTCGCGAAGGTATGATGTTGACGAAGTCTCACGACGACGAGTGTGAGGGTGTATGGTGTGGGTGATGTAGCCTCTGCCAAGGAGGTTACCATCGGAGAAACCAGATGCTTGCGCAAAGCCCAACTTCTCCAAGGCTTTGTCCACCCAGGACGAGATGGCGTTGGTGAGATACGGATAAGCGACGTTGAGTGGACCGCCTTCGGCAGAAAAGGCAGAAGTGGAATGCACAGCCGTGGCGTTTGCTGGTCGAGGATTCGTGTTCGGGCCTGACCACTTTACGCCCTTTTGGAAGTACGGAAGCCAATTCTCCCAGCTATAGGATTGATCTCCAACCTGGTCAGCCCACTTTTGGTAGGCTCCTTTCGATCCTCTGGCCAATTGTCAGCATGATGAACTTTCCCACGCAGATCGAGACAACTCACCTCTGGTACAACATGGCCCCACGAGCTGTGCTGCCACCAAGCGTCTTGCCCTGCATGTAAAACATCTCCCGGTTCGCCAGGCCCTGGAATCAATCAGTCTCCGCTCGAGGTCGACCTTCCGCGATACATACCGGTTGTGGAGTTGTGTACTGGTACCAGTCGAAAAGTGGATTTTCTACCAAAAGTAGTCAGTAGGAGGTACAGAGATGTCTGAGACGGGTCTTTCGCGAGCTGAAGATGCCTTCTAGCGAGTACACTTACTCATGTACCCATTGTCGAAAAAGTAATTGAAGAGGTACATGGGAACTTCTGTCGCGTTTCCGGCATCGATTTCATAGAAGCCTCCCGCTTCAATCACTGCAACAGAGGCCGAGCCATCTTGCGACAACCTTCGTGCCATCGCGAGGCCGGAAGTTCCGCCACCAACAATCACGTAGTCGAAAGACTGTCCTGGCCAGCCATACATGCCAAAGTGTGAGCTGAGCAAATCTTGAGCCTGAATGCGTCCGTCGAGCTGTGCCGCATCTTCATCAGAGCTCCCGAACAGGCTGGACAGGATTGGGATTTGCGCGAGGGTCGGCGCCTGCACGGCAGCCATACCAACGGCTGCGACCGCAGCCGTCAACGTGATTTGTCGAAACATGATGATGAGAGTCGTCTGGTTACGCCATTCAGAGAGAACTGTGCTCGACTTATCTATGCAGTAAACATTCCGTTTGACAGCTACAGCTGTACACGCTGTGCGAAAGCCGAGCATTTTGCCTGCGCAATCCTCACTCAGCGCTGTCGCATATCGATGGCCATAGCTTCGAGGCCACAGAGCTCGGTCGGCGCATGTCTGGTAGGCAAACTGCGTGTACAGAATGGTGCTGTAGAGGATCGACGAATCACAAACCGCAGGACTGCTTGTCTCGGCGAGCGAAGCAAGTCGCTTTGTATCTGACAGATCACGTGACCGGCATACCAAGCTCAAAGGCTGCAGTGCAACACTTGACCGGAACTTATAGGAAGCGGCAGTGACGTTTCCACACGGTCACAATGGTAGCTGGTAGACTGGTCACTGGATGCTGCTACATTGCCTTTCTCGTCATCGCTTGCTCCTGTCAACGACAGCACTCATTCCTGTGAATACCGAAGACAACGCCTTGAACGAATCCATTTGGTTATGACAATGGCGAATACAAAGATCGGTACTGAAGCGATCGCCGTCATTACGGGATCATTCTTGTCTGGTACGAAACGAGCGAAGATCCGATGAAGTTTTGTTGACACCGGCCAGGCACGATCATGTCACTGTTCTTGTTGACAATACCTGTGATCACGAAGAATACTTCTGAGGGACCGCATCTGATCCGACAATGGAGTGATATCTTCCACAGTGGACACCGTAAAGGCCCGGGAATTGCCATCGCCACTGCTGTCCTGTATGCATTTGGTGCATATACGAAGAACTCCGAAGGGCAGTCATACGGCATTTTCCTTGCAGCAGCCGCAACCACCGTCTCTATGATCCCATATACCTGGGTATTCATGAAGCGAACCAACGACGCGCTGTTCGCTGCGGAAGAGAACGGAAGGACAGACATCTATGACGCTTCCGCACTTGTGCAATCATGGAATCGACTGAACGCAATTCGAGCACTCTTCCCGCTTGCTGGAGCCGTCTTGGGGATGTTGGGAACGACTGGGCTCCTCTCCTTCTAAATGTATATTCTGAGATAGCGCAAAGGTCGAAGCTGCAGTAAAGGCTATCTAAGCCCACGCGATATATTCCAATGCCCAGCAGATCGGAAACAGCGTCTGCTGGAATTTGCCAATCAATTTGTCAACTCCGCTCTACTTTCATGCTCATATCCATCTACGGCCTGGCGTTGCTTAACTTTGATCTCGGACGTAATGATACATCTGCGCCGTTTCATTGACTTCTAAAAATGTGGCACAGATCAAATGCGAAAATCCCGAACGCTATTGGGACTGTCCAACTCGGAGCTTGCTCGACGCTTCCTGGGGGATGATGCTGGATGCACAGCTTTCACGAACGCCTCGATATCTTCTAGCAGTAGCCTTGGCTTCTCGATTGCCTACCGAGTGATCAGTCATGTCTCCAACCCAGCTGAGAGAAGCGACTCACCGGAAACCGGCCACCACTAGTGTGCTTCTTGAAGAAAATCAATTTCGCTGTCGTGGCTGCCCAGCTTACTGGAACAGGCATGACATCCTTTGGAAACGTGGAATATCCAAACGGCTTCTCAATAAATGGTAACCGCGGCGGTGGCCCTCCGACGATTCTGTTGAGCATGATCGTCAGTACGAGTCCTTACAGTGTTTTTGAAGACATGCGCTTACTTTCGAAAAGCGTATAGCCCGCGAGGAATGCTTTCTGTAAGCCAATAAAGTGCCACGGTCTCGAGCACTTTCTGTTGATCATTATCAGCACAAGCAGCTTGCAACAGTCACAAATCCACTTACCTCGAGAGGGGGGTCTTCATCTGACCATTCGAGATACTTCTCGCCAACCCTGAAGATTGTCAGTCACACGTTGCCATGCTTTGGCATTCGAACAACATACCAGCTCAACATCGCTATGGGACTTGCTTGCAGTGTCAGACCAGTAGTTGCAGGTCGTGTGCCATGCTCCGAGGCATATGCCATTCCAGTACGAAGAAATTGCACGCATCGGCGGATGTTGTTCTTGTCCTCTTCATCGACATACAACTTCTCGTGATCCACAGGAGGTGCCATCAGAAAGGTATTCACGTGGAAAGCTTCACAAGAGGAAAAGGCCAATGCCTGAATATTGGCGATTCCTGCCCCGAGGCCGCCGCCATGAGCAATGTAATGATCCAGACCCAGTCCAAGCATAAGTGAATCGAGACAGTACGCTGCTCGAACTAATGAGTAATCGACGTCGGTCGTTGGGCCAGAGGAGAACGCGGTCCCTGGTAATGACGGCACCACGATATGGTATGGCAGTGTTTCCGGAGTATATCTTGCTGCAAGCCGATCAAGTATCTCGAGAAAGTCTACGAAAGTGCCGGGCCAGCCGTGGTAGAGTATGATGGGTGTAGCATCCTGTCTTTTGGAGAACAAAGCCACAAAGTGGATATTGAGCTCCAAGTCTTCGTCATCTTTGAGTGCTACTCTGAAGTTGGGATACCGATTTATCCTCTCTTCGAATTTTCGCCAGCTGAATGTCGTGGATAAGACTTCCTTGGCTTCAGCAACCCAATCACGACGCACTCCATATCGACGACCGATTTTGGTGTTCGAGTTCTCATAAACTGCAGGCGCTACTGGCGATAAGCGGACCAGATCTGTGAACAGCTGCAGTTTCTCCTCCGCAATATGCACTTTGAATGGCGTCGGTTTGAGGGTTGCTTTCTTGGGTAACACTCCATACTGTTGCATCAAGTTAGAGTCTCGGTGACTCCCGCATCGTGTCGACATGTTTTGCTGAGTGCTAGATCTCGAAGGAACGCCAACGCCACCAACAACATCCTTACTGTAGGAGGAAGCGACTACTTACAGAAACGGTATCGACTCCGTGCCGATGTTGATCAACCTCAGGACCGAACAATGTACGGGATATCGGAACGCCGCAATGACCGTGCCGACTGAGAGCAAGTGGTCGTGTGAGCTCGAAGTGTGCCCAAGGCAGCGTGCAGCTGTTAAAATGCCAAGACTTATGTCGGCGAGCGAAGTGATCAGCACATGCCTACTCCGACACAGCTCTAACAATATGAATGGCAGGATCGAGCGTAAGCTGGATAGCGCTGAGATGCCAACATACACCTTTCATCGCTTGCCGAGATGTAATCAGCCTCAGGAAAGCCATAGCAGCACCTATTTGTGCTGCATGTTCCAGTTCAGCGTTCGTCTCGGTTGCTGCCATTGACATTCAGTCACCATGTCGACGCTCAGCATACTCCCAGCAAACAGTGCTGCAGCCGCAGCAGTGCTGTTGCTCTTACTTCCACTCGCAGGATTTGCATACATTGCCTCAGTAGCAATCTACAACCTCTTCTTTCATCCTCTTGCTTGGGCACCTGGGCCTATCCTCTGGAGAGCCACATCGCTACCATGGAAAATTGCATTGCTACGAGGAACCATGCATCATCAACTACGTGGCTTCCATCAAGTTTACGGCGAGTGTGTTCGCATCAAGCCAGATGAGCTCAGCTATTCGAATGCTCAGGCATGGAAAGACATCGTTGCACACGTTCCTGGTCGACCAGAATTCCTCAAAGATCCGATTCGCCTGCCGCTCGCACCGAACGGTGTGATGAGTATTCTCGTATCTGACACGAAGAACCACGCTCGATTCAGAGGTCTATTCGGCCACGCTTTCTCAGACAAAGGTCTTCGAACTCAGGAGAAGACCATCGTGGAGTACGCCAACCTGTTCGTGCAGGTGCTCGGTGAAGTTGCAGAATCTGGCAAAGCCGTCGAGATGGTGAATTATTTCAACATGGCCGTCTTCGACACTATCGGAGCCTTGTCCTTCGGCGAATCGTTCAACAGTCTTCGTGATCGTCAAATCCATCCTTGGGTCGATGCCATTCACAAGAATCTCAAGAGTGTTGCCATCTCGCATGTCATGAGAAGCATGGGTATTGAGCCTTTGACTCCTTATGTCCTACCCAAGGAGCTGCGAGGCAAGCGTCAACAGAACTACACTTACGCTATCGAGAAGATCGGCCGCCGCATGCAAAAGACTGGCGAGCAAGGTGACTTCTGGGATCGTGTCATTGTCAAGTCCGGCGAAGACAACGAGGACGGCAGCGGTATGAGCAGAGGAGAAATGCTCAACAATGCCGCGGTCATGGTTGTTGGAGGGTCTGAAACCACGGCTTCTGCTCTTTGCGGGATGACATATCTGCTCTGCAAGTTCAATCGCATGGAGAAGGCTGTTGCTGAGGTTCGCTCGACTTTTGCTTCGCCTGAGGACATCAATCTGCAATCTGTCAACCATTTGCCCTACATGACTGCCGTCATCGACGAGACGCTCCGCATGTATCCTTCTGTTCCTGGCCAGCCACCTCGCATGGTACCCGCAGGCGGCGCCACTGTTTGTGGGAAATTCATTCCAGAAGACGTGAGTACTTTATAATTCCTCCTTCAAATCATCATACTGACAGCAACAGATGCGGGTTGGCCTCAGCCACCTGGGCACATACTACGCCGACTACAACTTCACAAAGCCCTACGAGTTCATCCCAGAGCGCCACCTCAACAAGAATGACCCAGCAATGGGCGTCAACAACTGGTCTGCATTCCAACCTTGGTCTGTGGGCGTGAGAAACTGCATCGGCAAGAACTTGGCATACGCTGAGCTGAGATTGATCCTGTCGAAGGTTCTGTGGCACTACGATATCACGCTTGATACTGAGAAGACTGGTGATTTCCTCGATCAGAAGATCTGGTCGATTTGGGCGAAACGAGAGCTTTGGATGTCATTGAAGAAGGCACCACATGTGCAGTGAGAGGCGGATTGGCATCTACAGATGGATTCATAGCATATCATGGGTACATAAAAATGAACAACCCTGTTCCACTCGCGTATCGCACATGTCTCATTATCACAGCTTCACTAAACGTCCTCAAATGAGACCCTTGCATTGCGATCAGTTTGCAATCCTCAGTGAGCAGACATATCGGCGTATATGCTGTTTGGGAGTTGAGTTGCCACTTCAATTTCGGGACCGATTGTTCGCTCACCGAGAAATTGGAAGCACTCCGAGCCCAGCATGGAGTCACATGAGAACTGCGAAGCAGCACGAGAGAATGACAGAGCCACAGTCAAAGATTGAAGAGATGTTCTAAAGTCTGAAGGGAGCCGTGTAAGGATAAGTCCAAGGCATGTAGTGCGCCAGCAAGCCCTTCACAACCTCCAATCCACTCTCCCAAGGAATGGGAAGATTTTCGCCCGTAGGGATCACACTAACATTCTTTCCTTTGTATTTGCCATCTTTTGAATCTGCAACTTCGATCATGCCTGCTGCCAGATCCAAATATGAAAGTGGCGTCTGCTCTGTGTCCAGGCTAAGCTTGTGACCTTTCTGCGTGTCCCGGCATAAGCCTCCAGGTTTGACAAAGATCATTTCGATCCAGTCTTCGTGTTCTCTAAGTAATGACTCTGCGGCGATTAAGTCGTTGGCTTGGTTTGAAGTGGCTCGGTTGATGATGGCGAGTACAGGACCTGGCATGTTTCGTGAGAGGTGTTTGTCGATCTTGGCAGAAGAGAGGATGATAAGCTTGGGTAGGGTTCGTCCTGGAGTCTCAGATTGTAGTTTCTCGAACGCTGCCAGAGTTGCGCGGGAAGCATCTTGGGCGACAGTGCAATTCGGTTCGTTGTCGTACACGGCAATGGTGAGGAAGACTGCCTTTGTGTCTCGAATGCAATTTGCGAGCAGATCGATGTCTGTGATGGCTCCTTCATAGACGGTAACTCGTGCATGTTCCGCAATTTGTGAGCTGATGGTGAAGAGCTTTTGCTTGGAGCGACAATATGCATTGATGGTATTGTCTGGGGACTGTAGCAGTATTCGATGCAGAGCTTGTCCAACGTTGCCGGTAGCACCAAGAATCGCGTAGGACGGCATCTTGATGGTGATGCTTCAGATGTGCGCTTCGTTGAGAAGCAAAGCGTGCGCTCTGCATTTGATCTTCATCGCCTGACGACCTGGCTTCCTTCAGCTGTTGAACGCAACTCGGCGAGCGAACGATTCTTGGCGCTTCCTACACTGTGCTCACTTGCTGTGCGGATCTCTTGCTTGTGAGCCTCGCCCACGCGCCTTGGCTGAGCAACAGCTGGCGCAGTCGGCTATTGATTGCAGTTTACCAGGAAAGCAGAGCGCAGTGAGTGGCATTTGTTTTGCATTAATCTAACACTTTGGCTCAATTGGGTATAATTTGTTGAAAATGTTGCTTGGGTCGTATTTTGCCTTCAATTGCTGAAGTCTGGGATAGTTCGCCCCAAAGATATCCTCCGCAGTCTCATCGTATTGCTTTGGCATGGGTTAACTTTTGCTGATCAAGTTGAGCATGAATCGACTTACGTCGTAGTTTCCATATAAGAGGACAGCGCCCCTATCAGAACGGACTCCCTTTCCCATGCTGCAGTCGAGTTCGTCTTGGAAGCGTGAGCCAATCTGGCGAGCCCAGTTACGGCAGGTATCGTCGAGGTTTGCAGATCTCCACATTGGCATGATGACACTGTTGAGGTGAAAGCCACGAGTTGCGAAGCTGCCATTGTCGGAGGCGCATACTTTCGTAGGATCCATCAACTCCCAACCAACCAGAGAACCACTGGCTTCCGGACATCGCTGCATGAATTCCTGATACCTTCTGACAATGTCGAGGAAGAAGGTGTCGCGGATTGGCAAGGTGAAAGCAGCGCCTTTCATCGAACTCCGAATGCCGTGTGCTGCAGGAACCTGTGAATTCACCTCCGGATAAGCCGCCATGCGGGTGTTCTCGAAGACGGGACCTAACTCGAAGAATGGTTTGTAGATCTCGCGAGCTTCTTGCTCTGGACCGTTGTATGTAACCACAAGGAGGATTCCGGTACGACCATGCTGATGGGTGATACCAAGGAGGCCCATGGTCTTGCCGGCGCTCTTACTTGATGGTCCTGCTGGGGTGTCCGTAACGGTATAGAGATCATTGACAAGCTTCACGAGTTTACTGACGACCTGCGGGACCGGTGGGAACACCAAAGCGCCCATGAAGATATCGCCTTGAGTGTGAGCGCGGAGGGTCAACTCGGTGATGATGCCAAAGTTGTGGCCAGCCCCCCTCAATGCCTGAGTACATCAGTTAAAGCATTGTACCAGGCATTCGAATGAACATACCCAAAACAGGTCACTATTGTGACACTCACTAGCTCTGACCACTTTTCCATTTGCGAGGACAATCTCCGCACTGACCAAGTTATCGATGGCCAGACCGTGCTCGCCTGTGAGCATACCATACCCGCCGCCTAAGGTCAGACCGCCTACGCCGGTGGTTCCGTTACTGCCGCCCACCACCGCTAAGCCGTGCTGCCAAGCTGCCTTATCGACCTCTCCCCAGAGGCAGCCACCTCCAACGTGAACAAGCATACGTTCTGGGTCCACCACAATCTTCTTCATCTTTGCCAGGTTGATCAACACACCACCGTCAGTGCTGCTCGCGCCATTTGTGGAGTGCCCACCGCATTTGATGGCAATGTCAAGACCCGCTCCGATGGCGTACTGTAGAGTAGCGGAGACCTCGTGTGCTTGAGTGGGATAGACCACGACGCCGGCCGGCTTCTCTGCTGTCTGTGACCAGCAGTGTATCGCATTCGCGTACGCTGCATCTTGTGGAACCACGATCTGCACGTCAGTCGCTGCGAGCAGACGATGTAGATCGTCAATGTGCGAAGCATTCACCAAAGTTCTCTGGCGGGTCTCTTTGTCGGCAGCAGCTGGAAACCACGAGATCCCAGCTTCGTAGTCAGGGAATACAAGCTCTGTGGATTCTTGCAGGTATGGGGCCATTTCGATCTGAATCTGGAGTTTTGAAGAAATGTGATCACCAGTAAGCCTACCTTGGTCTACTCATTCGCAGCCCATCTGCAAGTAGTCAATGCTGCGTGGCAAAGCTCATCGGTCAGCGCTCGCAAAGCGAATCCACGTCGAAGGATGCAGGAAGCACATCATCGGTGAGGCTGTCAAACAACATGACCGCTTGGAGACGATGCATAGACTGGCATGAGATGGTTGTTGTCACTGGCCTACAGGTGAAACTGAGGGTATGATCAAACAAGGTCGATAGGAAGGAAAAGGAAGAGAGCGCGAGAAAAAGCGTTGATGCTAAACGCCACAGCCAATCAGCGGCGACGTTCACGTGACTGCCAAGCCCCTAACTAGTGCTTCCTCCCTCGAAACATCTCCAACGGCCCTCTGTCCTGCACGCTGACCGACACGTCCCATCTGCTTCTTCTCCCAATGCATTCACTTCATGGTGATTTCCAACCGACGATCTCGTGGCAGGCCCGCGATGAAGCTGTCGTAGACCTCCATGCTCTCAGCAGTCGCCGAAGCCGCCAACTTTGCACCTGCACAGTCTCGGAAGAACATGGCCGTGGCCAAGCGCATCTCCATCCTGCCCAGGTACAGTCCGAGGCATTGGCGGGAGCCATGGCCAAACGGGCTGAATGCAAGACTTTGTGCTTGCGAGAGGCCCCGTAGCCAGCGTGTATGATCGAATCTGCAGAGCATTAGCGAACATCGCGGTCTGGAAACCTCATTCCCCCACTCACTCTTCGGGGTTCGGCCATATGCTTGGGTCGCGGTGCAGAGTCCAATTCTGCGTGTTCACAATGGCTTGAGGTGGAATGTAGTGCCCGGCGAGCACTGCACCTTCAGAGGGCACACTTCTGGGCATGCACCCAGGCGCTGCACCGTATAATCGCAAACTCTCATCAATGACAGCATTGAGGAGGGGAATCCGCTCGCATGCTTCGTCCGTCACTTCTCCCTCGATGGCGCTACATGCCTCCTCGAGTTCCTTCTGCAGTTTCGGCCGGCTCAGGACGCAGTACAACATGAAAGTTAAAGATATGGCGGCTGGGTCCGATCCTGCTAACAGGAGCGCCCCTGCATCGGTGATGATGTCGGTATCTGAAAGAGTGGCCAGCTTCTCCTCGCTTTGCTCTGCTTCCGCGAGAGCTTTGACGAAAAGATTAGTGGTTTCGCCATTCGCCTTCTTGGACCGGGCGTTGATCACCACATCACCACCAGCTGCAAACATCTTCTCTTGGGAATAGAATACATCGTGGAGACGTGGGATGACCTTTGCGAGCAGACGACCAATGTAGAAAAGTGGCGGCGCGAGGTGCTTGAGAAGATGCGCTGCGTCGCCCATACGCCGCTCCAGCATAAGCACGAAGGGATCCTTTACACCGACTTCGACGGTGTCGTGGCCACCTCCAAACGTCAAGCGACAGACTATCTCGTTGGCCATGAGAGTCCACCAGCCCATGACTTCGGCTGTGTTTGTACGAGCGTCTTGCTTGATCTTGTTGACAGCAATTTGTACGATTCTGCGCACAGTCGGCTCCCACTCTTTGCGCAGGCTTCCCAGAGTGAAGCCACGTGCGTAGAGCTTGCGCCGTTGCATGTGCAGCTTAGCATCACGAAAGTTGAAGATATTGTCCACCGGACCAGGAGACAGAAGTGCGTAGAATGGAGCTTTTGTGAACTTAGATCCCATGCGGTGGATATCTCTCGCGGCGTACGGGTCTGAGACATCAATTTCGCAAGGCCCGATAAGTACGACTGGTCCGTATTTCTGGTGCAGTGAATGGACGTAGTGAATGCGATTGCTGCGGAAAACCGACCACGCCAGTCTCGCTCCCGTCAGTCGTGCGTACCATGGCCCTGGGATTTTGGACATAGGCGAAAAGTATGCATTGCGGATGGTCAAGGACGTGTCAGCCAAATATTGTGCCTGTCTTGACATAATTTCTTACCTGGAATAGGAACGTCGCTGACAGTCCTAGAACCACCACTGCTGCAACGAATGGCAGCGGTGCCCCAGCGGTCATGTCCAGCAGCCACTGTACGAAGGGGCTCATTGTTGGCGAATAGCTTCCTTAGCGATTAACAACAGAGCTGACTACTATCAGATCCAGACTCCTTTGCAGCCTTCTCGTTCGCATTTACATCTTGCTCAGCGAATAAGCCGATGCACATTCGCTTGCCGGGCCAAGCCTCACTTGGTGGTCCGAGTCACGTGGCTCCACGTTGACTAGCTGCAGCCACATGCATCGATTACCGAATATAGTATTGCATCGGAGCTCTCGATAGTCATAATCAGCACTGACCCGGCTCACGTTGCTTTGGACATCTATCGCCAATATCGACCTTCACCCTCTTCCGACCTGGTTGCTTGGCTGCGACGCACTCTTTTGAAACATGGCTCAGGCCACACGTCTGTATCTCTTTGGAGATCAGACATATGATTTCGTGCCAAAGCTGAAGGAACTACTCGCGTACCACGAAAATCCCATACTGACGGCGTTCCTGGACCAAGCACATTATGTCATTCGAGCTGAGTCGATTGAGAGCTTGCCAGTTGCAGTGCACAAGGCTTCTCGAACCGCCAGTCTGGCGGAGTTGGTGCAAAAGTACACAGAAGGCAAGCTTGGTCCAGCATTTCAGACAGCGCTTGCGTGTACTAGCCAACTCGGCGCATTCATTCGGTATAGTCTCGATCTACACTTTTCTGACAAGATTGTGGGACTGACTTCATCAGGGACGTGGAGCAAGAGGTTTACCCACAAGCCAACGACAGCTACGTCTTAGGCGTGTGCACTGGTTCGTTGGCAGCAGCAGCAGTAGCTTCAAGCACATCTCTATCACAACTTCTTCCGCTCGCAGTCCAGACTGTACTTGTGGCTTTCCGCCTGGGCTTGTGTGCCACGCACATGAGGGATCTCCTGTTGTCGGCATCGGACGCAGATGTGACCACCCAATCTTGGTCAACAGTGCTACCAAAGATTGGTCCTGCGGGGGCCAGCGAGGCCATTGACGAATTTTGCTCTGGAAAGGATCTGCCGAGCGGAGGCCGACCATGGATCGCATCTTACGCGACGAAGTCAACGACCATCAGCGGTTCGCCGCTCGTGTTGCGAGAGCTGCTACGTACACCGGCGCTGGCAAACACAAAATCAATGTCGCTGCCAATTTGCGTTCCTGCCCACAATTCGGCCTTATTCAACACACAACACATTCGCATGATTCTGGCCACGACTCCTTCAGTCTCATGGTCCGGTCACCCTAGCACGATACCATTCTTGTCCAGTGTCACAGGGAAGCTGGCTTGGGCCAGTAACTACTACGCACTGCTAGAACTTGCTTTGACGCAATGCCTCGTTGACCCCATTCGATGGGATAAAGTTGAGACCGACTTGCCGCAATTTCTCAGTTCCGCTGTACTTGACAAAGTTGTCATCAAGCCAATGAACACGATGGCACACAAGGCTCTTGCCAATGCACTCTCTGCCCATTTGGAAGTGACCGCCGATAGCTCCACGAAGGCGACCGATAATTTCAGTCATCGCTCAGGCTCGGCGAAGGGCAAACTCGCCATCGTCTCCATGTCTGGACGCTTTCCTGAAGCACAAAGCACGGAAGCATTCTGGGAATTACTATATCAAGGTCTCGATGTCGTGAAAGAGGTCCCTCGTCGTCGCTGGAACATCGACACACATGTCGACCCAACAGGCAAGGCGCGTAACAAGGGCGCTTCAAAATGGGGCTGTTGGCTCGATTTTGCAGGTCAATTCGATCCGAAATTCTTCAGCATTTCCCCAAAGGAGGCGCCACAAATGGATCCCGCACAACGTATGGCCTTGATGTCTACGTATGAGGCAATGGAACGCGGCGGTATCGTTCCGGACACAACCTCTTCTACTCAACGCAACCGAGTGGGCGTGTTTCACGGCGTGACATCCAACGACTGGATGGAGACAAATACAGCTCAGAACATCGACACCTACTTCATCACTGGCGGCAATCGAGGCTTTATCCCGGGAAGAATCAATTTCTGCTTTGAATTCTCCGGACCGTCTTTTACCAACGACACTGCTTGTTCTTCCAGTCTCGCAGCGATTCATCTTGCTTGCAATTCACTTTGGAGAGGCGATTGCGACACTGCCGTAGCCGGCGGTACTAACATGATCTTCACGCCTGATGGGCACGCTGGCCTCGATAAAGGATTCTTCTTGTCGCGCACAGGAAATTGCAAGCCATTCGACGATGCCGCAGATGGATACTGTCGTGCAGAGGGCGTAGGAACCGTGTTCATCAAGCGACTCGAGGACGCCTTAGCAGATAAGGATCCAATCCTTGGAGTCATTCTGGACACAAAGACCAACCATTCCGCTATGTCTGAGTCAATGACCAGACCCCTCGCTAGTGCCCAAATCGATAACATGTCTGCATGCTTGACCGCCGCCAACGTAGACCCGGACACGGTTGGCTACGTTGAAATGCATGGTACCGGAACCCAGGTCGGTGATGCCGAGGAAATGAAGTCTGTACTTGCGTGCTTCGCCCCGAACGAAGCCTTCCGTTCTCGTGACGTTTATATCGGCTCAGCGAAGGCGAACGTCGGGCATGGTGAGGGTGTGTCTGGAGTGACCAGCTTGATCAAAGTTTTGTTGATGATGCAGAACAACATGATTCCTCCACATTGCGGCATTAAACCTGGAAGCAAGATCAACCACAACTACCCCGACCTGCCAGCCCGCAAGGTTCACATTGCATTTGAACCAAAACCTTGGCCAAGAAGCTCTGTTCCTCGTCGAGCCCTGATCAATAACTTCTCAGCTGCTGGTGGCAATACGGCGCTTTTGATTGAAGATGCACCCACCCGCTCGACAGAAAAGCCACACACGGAGGACACTCGGTCACAGCATATCGTGACTGTATCAGCCCACGTTGCAAAATCTCTCAAGGGAAATCTTGAAGCTCTCCTTGGATTCCTGCAACGAACACCAGAAGCATCGCTGTCTGAGCTCTCGTATACAATGACAGCTCGTCGATGGCATCACCTACATCGTGTGAGTGTCACTGGCGCCTCGGTCGATGAGATCAAGACGAAACTCGCGAAGTGTATTGAGAATGGCGATGGCATGCACAGACCCAAAGCAAAGCCCAGCATCGCGTTTGCATACACTGGGCAAGGCAGTCAATATATCGGAATGGGCAAGCAGCTCTACGACGCCTACCCGAAATTTCGCAGCGAACTCCAGAGACTTGATCAACTGGCACAGAGCTACGGCTTCCCATCATTCCTCCACGTCTACACTTCGGCGGAAGCTGAAGGCGAGATCGACGACCTGCTTCCAGTAGTCGTGCAGCTTGCGATCGCATGCTTGCAGATGGCTCTCGGCAATTTGCTCGCCTCATTCGGCATTCGCCCTACTTCTGTCATTGGACACAGCCTTGGTGAGTACGCCGCTTTGCACATGGCGGGAGTCCTCTCCGCCGCGGACACGATCTATCTCGTTGGCAGGAGGGCTCAGCTACTACAGGACAAGTGCCAAAGACACAGTCATTGCATGCTCGCTACGAAGGCATCTGTGCAGATACTTGACCAAATCTTGGCTGGAACTCCTTACGAGATCTCCTGCCGGAATGGGCCAGAAGATACAGTTCTTAGCGGATCTTCAGCCGACATGACTGATGCTCGTCGACTACTGTCGGCCCAGAACATCAAGTCAACAGTGTTGAAGCTACCTTTTGCCTTCCATTCTGCACAAGTCGAGGCCATCCTTCCCGAGTTCGAGAAGCTGGCTCAAGCAGTCACCTTCAACAAACCGACGATGCCCGTATTCTCTACGTTGCTGGGTAGAATCGTCACCGAAAGCGGAGTCTTCGATCCTTCATATCTTGCAAGGCACTGTCGCAAGCCAGTCGATGCTGTTGGTGCACTTCAAGACGCGGCTAGTGGGTCGCTGGTCAATAAGCGCACTGTCTTCATCGACGTCGGACCAAAGCCTCTACTTTCTGGTATGATCAAGATGACTTTGGGCTCAAAGCAGGTGGCTCTCCCAACCCTCAAACCCAAGAGCGATGTTTGGTTGAACATGCAATCGATCTTCTCGACACTGTACAACGGTGGCTTAGATCTCAACTGGGGCGCCTACCATGCACCATTTGACGGCTCGAAGCGTGTCATGTCAGAGCTGCCGACATATTCTTGGGACTTGAAGGATTACTACATCGAGTACGAAGGCGACTGGTGTCTCCATCGCCACAAGATTCACTGTAATTGTGCTGAGGGTCATGGACAGTGGCAGACATCGAAGTATGAGCCTGGCAAGCACTCCTTTGAGGGGAACGTGGTCGTCCCTGGCGGACAGTTGAAGGCCTCATCGAAGCCATCGAAACTTGATGCGACAAAAGAGGCTTACCCGGAGATACCGTTGACCACGACCCTTCACCGTGTTGTCGAAGAAAAGACGGAGCCGTTGGGCGCTACCTTCGTCGTTGAGACCGATATGTCAAGGCCAGATGTCAACAATATTGCGCAAGGCCACCTCGTGGACGGTATCCCATTGGCTACTCCCTCATTCTATGCGGACATTGCTGCACAGGCTGGGAAGTACTGCATGGATCGCATTCGTGCCGGACATCAGGGTGCCATCGATGGCCTGATCGATGTCTGCGACCTCGTTGTGGACAAGGCTTTGATCCCCCACGGGAAGTCACCACAATTGCTTCGTACCACTCTGACGATGGCATGGCCGCCCAAGGCTGCTGCTACCACTCGCAGCGCCAAAGTGAAGTTCGCAACGTACTTCGCGGATGGCAAGCTGGATACTGAGCATGCGACCTGTACTGTTCGCTTCACTACCACTGCCCAGCTGAAGACACAACAGAAGCTCATTCCGGAATATCGCAAAGCCATTGAGTCATTGCGAAGCAGAATGAGTAGAGGAGAGCTCGTCCGCTACAACACCAAGAGTGGCTATAAGCTAATGAGTAGCATGGCCAGCTTCCACACTGACTACAAGCTGCTCCAGAATCTAATTCTCAATGAGGCTGATAACGAAGCTATCAGTGTCATGAATCTCGCCGGCTGCAAGGATCAAGGAGTCTATTCCAGCCACCCTGCGTTCATTGACGCATTCACTCAAGTCGCAGGATTTGCAATGAATGCGAAGGATGATACAGATATCGACCAGACTGTGTTCGTAAACCATGGCTGGAAGAGCTTCCAGGTCTATGTGCCTCTGGACAAGACCAAGCCATATGAAGTCTACACCAAGATGGTGCCTGACCAAACTGGCGATCTGGTTCACGGTGATCTTGTTGTGCTCGATGGTGACAACATCGTGGCGTTCTTCTCAGGGCTTTCGGTATGTAACAGGTATTTTCCAACAGCTACAGCATAGACTGACCACTTTACAGCTTCGATCAGTGCCACGCAAGGCATTGCGCGCTGTACTGCAGGCACAATCTGATAAGGCCGCTCGTCAGCGAGGAGAGAAGATCTCAACAGCGCAACCGACAGCGACTAGACCGGCTGCTGTCGCGCCGAAGAAAGAACAAAAGGCTGCCCCAGCTCCTCAAAAGCCCACAGTCGCCCCGCAGAAACCAGAAAAACCAGCAACCTTGTCAAAGCCTCCTACGGAAGCGAAGGCCGCGCCAGTCAAGGCGACTTCCTCTGGAACAGGCCCTGATCGATCCAACTCTACTGTTCAAGCTGCGCTACAAATTATATCGGAAGAAAGCGGCATTGCAATACAAGAGCTGACCGATGACAGCGAGTTCACAGACATTGGTGTCGACTCCTTGAGCTCGATGGTCATCGCAGGGCGCCTGCGGGAGGACCTCGATCTCGACCTCGATCCCGATTTTGCTCTATTCGCTACTTGTCCTACAGTGGGATCTCTGAGGACGTTCATCGGAGCGATGGTGCCAGAGGCTCTCAGTATTGTGCTAGCCACTCCAGTGCAGCCCGCTCAGCCAGCCAGTCCAGCTCCCGAACCAGAAGTAGTCGACACACCCGAGGCTGTGGAGGCTCAAGTCGCCCATACTTCGCCGGTTCAGACCAAGCATGTATCAACTCCTGTATCGACTGGTAACAACGAGTTGGTGGCTGCGGCGATCAAAATTGTAGCAGAGGAGTCTGGCATGGCCCTAGATGATTTAACAGACGACACAGTCTTCACAGAAGTCGGCATTGACTCACTGAGCTCTCTTGTCATCAGCAGCAGGCTACGTGAAGAACTGGAAGTGGACCTTGATTCAGACTTCTCCCTCTTCACTGAACTCCCGACTGTTCAGAAGCTCAAGGACTTCTTTGGCGGATCATGCGGGCAGAGCTCGGCCCAAACTTCAGCCACTCCGACCGAAGGCTTTGATCTTTGCGCGTCAGAGAGCGACTGCGAGTCGTGCGCCACGCCCTCGATGTCATCCTCGTCCTGCGGATCTGTTAGTGGATCGAGAGGTGATGATGTGATCAGTGTCACGTCAAATGACACCAGCGGCGCCGAGGAACCTGACACTCCTGCTCTCAAGCTGGAACCGTACTGCCGAGCCACGAACTCTGTGATCCTCCAAGGCCTTCCCAAGGTCGCACAGAAGACTCTCTTCATGCTTCCCGATGGCGGCGGCTCTGCATCGTCGTATCTCACCATTCCACGACTGAAAGCAGATGTTGCCATCGTCGGACTCAACTGCCCGTACGCTCGCGATCCGGAGAACATGCGCTGCACCCACCAGGCCATGATCCAGTCCTTTGTGAACGAGATCAAGCGACGTCAGCCTCAAGGACCTTACCACCTTGGTGGCTGGTCATCTGGAGGTGCCTTCGCTTATGTCACAGCAGAGGCTTTGGCCAAAGGCGGCGATGAAGTGCACTCGCTGATCATCATCGATGCACCTGTGCCACAAGTCATGGAGAAACTGCCCGTCGAGTTCTATCAGCACTGCAACACTGTCGGAATGTTCGCCAACCAACCAGGTGGCACGAGTGATGGCTCTTCCGAACCTCCACCATACTTGATTCCGCACTTCGTCGCCGTCGTCGATGTCATGATGGATTATATTGTGGCTCCACTGCCCACAACCCGAATGCCCAAGGTCGGCATTCTATGGGCGGCTGATACAGTCATGAAAGAAGAAGAGGCACCGAAGATGAAGGGCATGCACTTCATGGTGCAGAAACGAATCGATTTCGGACCAGACGGCTGGGAGACAGTCTTACCTGGAGCCGAGTTTGAAATCGTGAGAGCAGATGGAGCGAGTCATTTCACATTGATGGTAAGTCCTATTCACACTCGATCAAGAGGATCATCTTTTGCTGACTTTCCTGCCTTACAGCAAAAGGATCATGTACACCGAGTCAGCCAGCTTATTGAGCGTGTCATGAGCTAGAAAATTATACCCAAAGATCGCGATAGATTGTACTCGAATTCAGCTTTGCATGGAAAGGTAGCGTTGGCATTGGATTCGTGGCGTTGAGGAGCATACTACGGCGTTGGCGAATTTCGTTGTTGGGTAAATTGGTGTTCAGGCGTCCTCAGGCGTTATGCTATTGGTAGAATATCCTTCTCAACTAAGGAATTTTGGGCTTTCACTCGCTTCTTCAGCATAACCGTTGCTAGATCTCAACTACAACGCAATCTATCGAAGACACTTGACACCACATAATGCCATCCATGCGTGTTGCTCGAGGACGGAACTTGGCCCTCATTCGAGTGTGCTTAATTATTCGCAGAGCGTAAATGAGGTGGACCTGTGCAAATGAGGAGGCGAAGGAGCCACTCGGCTAGCGAAAGCAAGGCCACCGAACAGCCATGCAAGATGGCATGAACAACGACTTGATGGATGTGCCAAGCCAAATGTGCAGCGGATTTGACTGTTCAGCTTTTGTACGAGCAGACACTCCCGCCCTCTCTACATTCACAAAAGACGTTATGGCTCCTTTCATGAACGAATCGCTGCCCACAGAGCCTACCAAGCAGCAGAGCAAGCAAAATGACTACTCGCAATTCAGCTCGAACGGATACGAGGTCCCACAAGATCGATGCTACAGAGATCCATCGAATCGCAAGATTCGTGTCCTGACGATAGGCGCAGGTATCTCAGGCATATTGATGGCATATCAGATTCAGAAGCAATGCGAGAATGTTGAGCACGTCATCTATGAGAAGAACGAGAATATTGGAGGTATGTTCACGTCCATCACGTTGAGAATGAAGAATGTGCTGATAGTCTCGTCTCAGGTACTTGGCTCGAAAATCGATATCCTCGTGCTGGCTGCGATATTCCAAGTCATGCGTATACATACCAATTTGCGCTCGTCAGTTTGGCTCTTCTCGATCTTGGGACATAGCAACTGACCTTTTATACCAGAACCCAGAATGGCCAAGATATTTTTCTTTCGCTGCAGAGATCTGGTCGTACCTGGATAAAGTCTGTGAAGCGTTCGATCTGCGAAAATACATGAACTTCCATACCGAAGTCGTTGGATGCTTCTGGCAAGAGGAAACTGGAGAGTGGCTCGTCAAGCTTCGCGAACATCGCCCCGGAATGGAGCCACGAGAGTTTGAAGATAGGTGTCATATGTTGATGTACGGAGCAGGTGTTCTGAACAACTTCAAAGTAAGGAAGCACTACCATTGCTTGTAAAACATAAGCTGACAGGACACAGTGGCCAGAGATTCCAGGCCTCCAGGATACATTCAAAGGCCGGATCGTCCACACTGCAAGATGGCCAAAGGACTGGACAGAAGAAGATTGGAAGAACGAGCGAGTAGCAATTCTCGGATCAGGCGCCTCGTCAATCCAGACAGTACCAGGTATGCAGCCACATACCAAGCACTTGGACGTCTTCGTCAGGACTGGGGTCTACTTTGGAGTGCTAGCAGGAAATTCTGGAAGCCAAGCCAAAACCTACTCATCCGAAGAGAAAGACGCCTTTCGCCTTGATCCTGACAGTCTCGTTGCTCATGCAAAAGAAATCGAAGACCAAGTCAATGGCATGTGGGGTGGCTTCTATAGTGGCTCCATGGGTCAAAAGATGGGCTCTATGTTTTTCAAGAAGCGTATGGCGGAACACATTAAGGACGAGCGCCTGCTCAAGGGCTTCATCCCGACTTACGGACTCGGCTGTCGAAGAATCACGCCTGGTGATGTGTACATGGACGCCGTGCAACAGAACAATGTTGATGTTCACTTCACGCCCGTCGTGCGCTGCACTGAAGACGGTGTGATCGGCGGCGACGGCGTAGAACGAAAAGTCGACTCCATCGTCTGCGCGACCGGTTTCGACGTCTCTTATCGTCCGCGATTCCCAGTCATTGGCAAAAATGGCATCGACCTAAGGGACCAATGGAAGGTCTGCCCCGAGGCATATCTTGGCTTGGCAATTCCCAACATGCCCAACTTTGTGACATTCATCGGTCCATCTTGGCCAATTGAGAACGGCTCGGTCATGGCACCGTTGCATTCTGTTTCAGAGTACGCTCTGCAATTGATCAGCAAGATGCAGAATGAGAATGTTCGCAGCTTCGCGCCAAGACAAGATGTCACGGACAAATTCAACGAGCATGTGCAAGAATGGGTTAAGCATACTGTGTGGAAGGATGATTGTCGAAGTTGTAAGTGCAGTCGTTTCCTTCGCGATCCACAAATGCCTGCCAAGATTCGTAAAGTGACTGACTCCTTGACAGGGTACAAGAACAACGAAACTGGCCGGGTGAATGCCATCTGGCCAGGCTCTTCGCTACATTATCAACAAGTGATCGAGAAACCTCGCTACGAAGACTTCCAGATCGATTACTTCGATTCGAACCCATGGGCCCATCTTGGCATGGGCTGGACGATTGAGGATCGTCTTGGTCCAAAGAAGGCCGACGTGAGTCCATATCTCTGCAAAGAGAATATCGATCCCAGATGGTTTGCAGCGATCGGCGGGGACGTCAACGCACTTAGCAAAGAGAAAGCGTCTGCCAAACCTGCGAAGGATGACTGCCAGACATGTGAGCGAAAAGCAGTAGCATTCTGATCGATAGTTGTGCATTGAAGTAGAAGTGCTGAACTGTTTCAAAGTTGCTGTCGTCACAAGTTCTCGAAAGAATTTTGTTGGACCTTTGGAGTAAGTACGTTCTTACGAAAAATGTTAATTGCTTCCATGAGCACTAGGATCCATGGCCATTGTAGACTCCGCGCAAAATCGCAGTCAAAACAAACGGATCAAATCAATGCCAAACCACCCTACGCCATCACACTAACCAAATGGCCAAGCCGCTCACTATTCGTGATCTTCGCCACCTCCTCAACGTAATCTCTGCTCACAGCAAAAGGCTTGCCAATCACATTGGGGACCCATCTCCCTACCAATTCCTCAACTTTGATGTCACTGACCTTCAACACGTGGTCGAGGTATTCGCGATAATCTCCAATGTGCCCACGTAACATGGTAGAATGGAATGGCAAATCGACTCCGCTCAATGGAATAGTGGCCTTGCCCCGCTCCAGCACAGAAGAGTTCGTCAGAATGGACGACGCTTCGATGTGATTTCTGACGAGCGCGGAAAACTTGGCGGAGTCTGTGACGAATTTGGCGGCATCGCGTATGATGCTGAGTTCGTCACAAATCTTTGAGAGGATGTAGAGTGTGCGGAACTGTTTTCGGTGTCAGAAAATGCATTGGTAGTATGAGCAGGGATTTGGGAGACTTACGTGACCAGCACAAACATATTGCTTGTCTTGAATGTTGAAGTTGACAACTTCAAGTAGCAGTCCGCTTTGCGTAGCTATGGCTTCAACCAGATATCTGAAAGTTGCTTCGCTAAAGTCTGCGGCACGAAAACCATTAGCATAATGTGCACGACGCGAAACAAGCTTGACAACGTGGCTGGCAACTCACCCTTGCTGATCCTACTTGGATCCACTGCTACCATACTGTAGTCGGTCTTGCCTTCGATGTCTCTTTGAAGTGCATTCTGCATCTTCAGGCCGCGATAGAATACCAGGGTCATCAGTCTCTCGAACGGAAGCACAGTCGAACAACTTCCTAGGGCGGCATACTCTCCCAAGGAATGACCTGCGAATAAGGACGTTTGTTGCAAGATGCCTTGTGATCTGAGATGCTCATATTGTGCCATCTCCATCAATGCAAGCGCCGGCTGGGAGAATTGAGTGCTGTAGAGCAGACCTTTCGGATAGTGGAAAGTGTACGACGCCGATTGAGCAGTCAAAGACGGCACGATGCAGCGATAGGGCGTTGATGAAGTGCCGCGTTGGCCCATCGTCAAGTAGTTCTGCCGAATGCGACGGCCGCGCCTCCCGCCGAAGCTGATTGTGAGTCCCGTAGGATTTTCTCGAATGATCTTTAGGATGGAGAATCCTGTCAGAGTTAGCATTTATTTCTCGATTAAGCATGATTGCAGCAGGAGTGCTTACCGTAGTGCTCCCTCAAGTATGCCTCGCCACGATTGAAAAGAGCTCGTGCTGCTGGACTGCTCTCGTATAAGCTCATACCCATTCTCTTCTCTTGGCTACCCTGTCCACAGAAGATGTAGGCAGTGCGAGCCTGTTCGACCACAGCTGTTGACTTCATTACTCGTTCGCCAGTCACGTTGTTGTAGACATTCACTTCAAGGACCATTTTACCATTCTCCATAGCGACGTGCTGAAATTCGGTACGCAGCATATCTCCTGGGCGGACCATGGCTTCGAAAGACGCGGTCCAGCTATGGAACCGCGACTGCTCGTGATCGCCGATGAGCCATTCTGTCGCTCTCCTCACCATTGCTGACAGATGCATGCCATGTACTATCGTACCTGGCAGCCCGGCGAAGCGAGCCAAGAACGGAGATGTGTGGATGGGATTGCCATCGCGCGAAACGGAGGAGTACGAGGCGCTACGCAATGGGGCGCGCATGACAAGAGTGCTTGGACCGCCCTCCCAGCCTGGATTTTCGAGGTCATTTCGCTCGTCTTTCAATGTTCCGTACCGCTGTAAGAAGTCTTTCACCGGGTTGAAGCTGTTGTCCTCGCATTCGAAATACACCCTTCCGAAAGGTTCAAGAGAGCCGTCTCCGTTGCATAATGAGATCAGTCCATGTGCTTGTAGCGAGCCAGAGGTAGCAGTTGAGCAGGGCGAAGTGGTATGAGTGGTCAACTGGAAGACTAGCCTGCGTCCGATCAGACTTGAGCTTGTGCCAGGATGCTGCCGAATGAGCCATTTACGGCTCGTGATCAAGGCAGCGATGACCGGAGAATGGATGTCAACCACCATATCGGCCTCGCGTATCGAAGTGAACTGCTTTGCATGTTCTGTGGCTTTCCCTTGAATGAAGAACTCACAGGTGAGATCAACGATTGCTTCGTTCGAGCGGTGTATAGTTGCCGAGATCTCGACTTGACTGCCGTTCGAGCGCGAGCCCAGCTTAGTGATGCGGCTTGTTGTTTGCAGGACATCTCCAACTTCGATAGGCGAGGCACCGTCCACATAGCGGAAATTGACTGACTGGTGGACTAGTTTCAGCAGGTCACAAGACAGCTCGGTGAGAAGTAAAGGCTTGGTAAGAGCAGTCCACGCAACCACGATGCAGTAATCCAAAGGAACAGAGGAAGAATGGCCTGGCTGCCAATCAAGAAGTTGTGGTGGGCAAGACTGTTGAATGACCCGCACATATTTCTGGACTTCCTCATGTTGCACTGTGACTGCTTTGCACGAGAACTCGGAACCTATCCCAGCTGTGGTCTGCATTCCTGAGCCATCTCCCCAAAGCTCTGCGTACATGTCCTGTACAGTGCGCAAGTACCAGTCTGAAACCAAGGAGAGCCGCGTTCCAGGTACCCCAGCACGATATTCAAATGGTATGCGCATAGCGGTCTCAGCATCAAGTGAGACGCTTACGCCCAATCTGCCTTGGCCCAAGGCTTCTACGGTCAGAGCACGGTGCAGTCTTTTCGGTACGCCCGACGGAGAAAGGAACGACACTGATGCGATGGCCTTTGACTGTGCACATCGAATAACCTCCACGATGTCTCCAGCTTGTAATTGCAAAGCCTGTCGAATTGGATTTGGCGAGGCAGCGGAGCCTCGCACAACAGTTTCATCGAGCAGACATGCCGCGAACCACTCCACACCTACGGATTCGCTCAGCAACTGCAACATGGCGGAAGGCTCTGGTAGTTTGCCTGTTTTCAGCAGCTCGTAGGTCGTCTTTTGCCCGGTAGTAGAGATCTTAAGACCTGGAACTTCACTGACCGCCTTCGGTGGGAGCGCAATATGGACTGCATCGTCACTCTGCGAGTCCACGAGCGGCGCTAGTCGCTCTGTATCTGAAAGATCTTCTATAAGCGGCCGATAGATTTCGTCGAGGATGTCTTTCACGCTTTCGCTATCTTTCTTGGAATGTCGCGCGGCTACTGGACCATGGATGATACAAACGCGCTGAATGTCTTGGTCCAGAACTGCATCAATGTCTTCAGCTTGCCAGAGTGAATCTTTCTTGAACCATGTCTCGAAGTTTTCGTCCAGCTTGGGAACGAAAGGCACTGGCTTTTGACCACGACGGCGAAAGAGTGCAAGAAGCTTGCGTGCATCAACGGGGTACAATGTCTCATTGGCACTCTCGTTCAGTTCGGCTTCGAGTGACAGGAGGAGGTCGCCAGGGTGATCACAGTGGGTGGTGTCAATGACTTGTCCGAAGCGCTCTGCGGCCATATGCACAACTTCCTTTGCCAGAGAGTGGTATGAGGGATCGATCCACCTGTTTTGATGTTCCACATATGTAAGCTTACAAAATCGTGCAACAGTCTCTGCGTATGTCAGATCGTTGATCTCCACCGTACGTCCCGTCGCATCAATGGCGAACCATGGCTTTTGAAAGTCCTGGTTCAAGCGAGAGATGATGCGACCTCGATGGCTTTGTAGATAGTCCAGTCGTTTTTTGACGTCCTTGATGGAAAACACAGTCTCATCCAGTTCTTTCCACAGCATCACACCTCGAGTCGCGAGCATGTGGATGGGTTGACCCATCTCTGACGTGATTGTGATTACGCCGCCTGTGTTTGCGTCGGCGGCCTTGTGCCAGTTAGCATCCTCAACGCCTTCAGCGTCGACAATGAGTCTCTTCGCTGCAGCAGATGTCTTCGCTTCACGGGCGATCATGACTCGGCTGCCCAGAAGAACACCATCGAAGGGCATAGCCGGACGACCGAACTCAGAAGCCCATTCGCCAGTGAAATATGGACTTATCTCAGACGCCTCTCCCAGACCACTGCCTGCGATAAGCACGATATTCTCGCAGCTCCGAATGAGACTGTATGTCTTCAGAATTGGGTCATGAAAGTCCTCCAGTGAGTGATGTCCTCCTGCACGTCCGCCAGTCCATTGAAGTCCAAAATTGAAAGTGGGGTTCTGTCGCGCGATTTCGACCACTTCTCTAATTGCTTCCTCGGTGCCCGGCTTAAAAGAAATGTGCTTGAGACCAACAGTCTCAATATATTCTTTGATAACCTCTGGCGAAGGAATCCCAGCGCCAATAGTGATCCCGTCGATTCTCACGCCTTCTCTGATGAGTCGCCTGATGGTAGAGATCTGCCAGGCAATGGTCTTGGGGCTGATATACAGCACATTGCAAGTGATTCCTCGTCGCTCAGGCGCCCTCGCAGAGAGCTCGCGCAACGCAGCTTCGAACTTTGACTCGCTGGCGTAGCCACCTCCTGCGAGCTCAACATGGTAACCCGCGTCCATGATCGCCGCACAGAATTCAGGATGCACTGTGGTTGGTGTCATGCCTGCAACCATGATAGGAGGAGCACCAAGCAATAAGGACATTCTCGTGACGAGATTCTTGCACTCGTGTTGGTCAATGACCACTTCGGGCGCAAACTCCTGCTGCCAGCTTTGCAAAGGAGAGCATCGTAAATTCGCAAAGATATCACCGTTGTTGTCGCTATCTTTTAGCGCTGGCAACAAATCGGTGACTTGAACAACTTGGAGACCGATGCCGTCAGTTGTCTCATTGATCAGGCTTGCACTTCGACCGGGCCCGAATGCCAGCAAGTGCGAAACAGGAAGCGCGAGGCAAGTCGCGGCCCAATCAACTCTGTCTACTGTGACAGAACGAATCAGTTGACTCAGCTCAGCCGGAGATGCCAGATCAGTGATGTGGTGGCCATTGCTTGGATTCAGTAACAGAATCTCTGCAGAACCAAGAGCTATTACGCCATCGAGACGCTGCAATACAAGCTGATCTACGCACTCCAAGAACTTAGTGTGGAAAGGAGCCGATATTGGCATGAATTGCACCTGCACCATAGGCTTGCGTTTGTGGAATGGCAGCCGTCGTTGGTCTATGCCTTCTGGTGCCTTGATTTGGCGTAGATGCATGCACATGGTTCGTAGAGCTGATGGCTGTCCAGCAATGGCGAATCTGTGCTTGCTCGAATTGATTAATGCCAGATGAATGTCCCCGCCGTCTGTATTATTGCTGTTGACGCGCCTTATGACTGCCTCGAGCTGGGGTCTTGGCAGGCCAGTCACGCTGAGCATGTAGCTAGGTTGCCCTTCGCCATGTGCAATGCAGTCGCTCGCTGACACTGCGGGAATTTTCGACTTCGGCGCTGCATGGTGCGATTCCAACCCGACCCAGAACGAGAGGCAGAGAACGGCTTCACAGGCGTCAAAGAATGAAGGCCAATCTCGTGCAACCGCAACGGCCGCAGCAGCAAACATGCCTTGCGAATGGCCAGTCACGTTTGTCAAGAGTTCTCTCAATTGCCCAGGATGCACTCCAAGTGCTCTGCAAGTCAAAGTGTATTCGATCAAGCTGATCAGAGTGATGAGCGGAAAGCTCACGGGCGCGAGAGCAATATAGTCGCTGTCCGGCGCGACATCAGCATTGTCAAGCCAGGCTTCCAGGGCGAAGCCATGGCTATCGTGGAATCTTGATGGGTGTTCTTCATCACCCAAGTCCGCCAAGGTGGTGTTGGCTAACTTGAGAAGAGTGCTCACAGCGGCGTCGCCATGAGCTCGTAGTCGTCGAATAGATTCCAAGCAAGTGCCGTTGTCTGGAGCTTGACCGCCAAATGCTGCACACAGTCGTACTTGCTTCTTGTGTGCCGCCTCGAGGAAGGGCGACGAGAACTTCTTGCGGACCATCGTGGCATATGTATGAGCCTCAGGCACCGACGAGCTGAGGTGGAACTTGTGGTTGTGGTTGTGGTTGTTGTTGCCCTCCTCTGCTTCCCGTGCACAACTTCCACCCGTTCACTTGAGTGCTTTCTTCAATGCAAATCAGATCGCATCTGGATCGACTGTCAAGACATGCCTTAGCCATATCTTGGACTGCGGGCGGCACCACCGTCACCATCACCGCGCTGGGACGTCCGTCCGACCGCCACCGAGAAGACGGCATCATGGGCGATCCGCAGCCGCGCCGGCCGCTGCAGCAAAATCATCTCCCCCACGATCGCGGTATCGCGTAGTCATGCCCGACAACGCGGTCACGAGCACGCCCGAGATGCAGAAAGGCAGAGAAGCTGCACCGACATCTTCTCCGATGCCACTTGGAAATGTTCGGGGCTCGTCACGTGCAGGCCTTGCTCATCAATCCTTCCTTCAATGTGCGCCGCCCACATTGATTAGCCACTCCGAGCCCTCGCTCTCCGCGAACTCAATGTCCTGCGCCGCTGCGGCCACGCTGCTTGCTCGCGTTCTCGATGCAACTCGTGAGAGCCACGTTGTTGACACACCAGCCGATCGTTCTCTGCATGGCCATCATTAAGCTTCAACAGGCAGAATGACGGGCGACAGTCCTGATGAGCGGGCAGTTGCTCACGAGCTCATTGTCGAGCTGCTGGCTCATCAATTCGCCTTTCCCGTGCAATGGATCGAAACGCAAAAGAATCTGTTGGCGCAAGAGGGCGGAGTGGATCGACTCATCGAACTGGGTCCATCCAGCACGCTTCTGAGCATGGCCAAGAAGAGCCTGCTGTCCATCACTTCAGACGGGGACAGACCCATTGATCAACCACTGGACCTCTACTCCGCATCTCAAAATCTGGCAGAAGCATGCTATCAGTACGAATCACAAGCCGAGGCTGCCACTGTCATGATACAAGCAGAGTCAACGCCGCCTTCCAGCACTGCCTCAGTACCTGCGGAGCCTCAAGCTACCCTGGCAAGACCGGCTGAACCTGGTGTGATTGCTGAATCTCCCTTGAATCCGGAAGACATTGTCAGAATACATGTGGCACGAAAACTCAAGAAGCCAATCAATCAAATCTCCCCACTCTTGTCGATCAAGGAACTCTGCAATGGCAAATCGACACTGCAGAACGAGATTGTGGGCGACATGTACACGGAGTTCGGAATACTCCCCGATCGCCCAGAAGATGTAGCTTTGCGGGATCTTACAAGTGCTGCTGACGATGGCACTGTTGTACAATTGGGTAGAGTGTCGCTGATGTTGGTTGGGAAACTGGTTTCGTCAAGGATGCCAGCCGGATTCAACGTTGATGTAATCCGCAAGCAGCTCTTGAACAAATGGGGCCTCGGTGCATCTATACAATCTGGCATTCTACTCTACGCTCTGTTAGCGGAGCCGGAGAGCCGCCTGACCTCCGCACAAGTTGCAGAGCAGTACTGGGACGAAGCTGCACTTCGATATGCCGAGTTTCAAGGCCTCTCCTTGAGAGTATCGACTAGCAAAAAATCTGATGACGCTACAAATGCGCCAACTGTAGATGCTGCAACGCTTGCCGCTGTAAACCAATCGCAGACGCGTCTTGCACAGAAGCAACTGGAAGCCCTGGCAGAATATCTACAGATTGACCTGTCTAACACAAAGGTGGACGAGTTGGCGCGAGAACAGATAGCAGAGCTGCAGCAGAAACTGGATGCAGTAACCGCCGAGTTTTCTGATGACTTCCTCGCTGGAATATCGCCGACGTTCGATGCTCGACAAACTCGAAGATACAACAGCTGGTGGAATTGTGCTCGACGAGACTTGCTAGACGTCTTCCGTGGAGACGTTTTTGCCAACAAGCTGGCTACTGACGATCTCGGGCAAGCAATTTACCTCCGACTGATGGCCAACAGGAGCGACCACAATCTGGCCAAGCAGGCATGCACACTTGATGCGATAATGCGACACAAGGCGCATGCTGATCTAGAGCATGAATTCATTCTCTTCGCCGACCGACTCCTCGATGCACTGTCATCCGGCGCGCAAAGTGCACCGCGCGCGCTTCCAGTCCTACGTCCTCGAGCTCCACGTACCCTTGTGACGGCTCGTGGCGATATTGTTGCAACGACAGTAGCACGTTCAGAACTCCAGGTACCCACAGCTTATGCGGACTTTCTCAGGAACCCTGCGCTGTCTGTATCATCGGCCAAGGGCCCTGGAATCGCTGTGAAGCAGCTCAGTCACGGACGATGGCTTGCCAACGATGATGTTACTGAGAGGTTGCTCGACCTCTTTGCGAACTCGTTGACTGATGGGATACCATTCGGCGGCAAGAATGTCTTGATCACAGGTGCCAGCCCTAATTCGATCGGTGCTGAAGTTGCCCGCATACTTCTGCAAGGCGGAGCGCATGTCATTGTTACCACCAGTCGCGCGGTCTCACAGTCGGCGACATATTTTAAAACAATGTATCGAGAATGCGGCGCAAAGAATTCGGAGCTCCGAGTCGTACAATTCAACGGTGCAAGTGCGAAAGATTGCGAGAGACTGATAGACTATGTCTACAGCGATTCTGGTTTACATCTCGATCTCGACGCGATACTCCCCTTCGCAGCAACCGCGGAAGCTGGCGTCGAAGCTGGCGAGGTCACTGCGGCGAATGAATTGGCACATCGGCTGATGCTTGTCAATGTCTTTCGCCTACTGGGTCGCATTATCAAGAATAAACGAGACAGAGGTATCGACTGCCATCCGACGCAAGTCCTCCTGCCTCTCTCACCAAATCATGGCATCTTTGGCGGCGATGGGTTATATTCCGAAAGCAAGCTTGGCTTAGAGAGTCTCTTGAACCGGGTCACGTCCGAGTCCTGGGCCAATGAGCTATCAGTTTGTGGTGTTGAGATCGGCTGGACCAGATCAACTGGTCTCATGGCTGCAAATGACATTGTGGCCGAAGCGATTGAGAAACACGGCGTCATCACGTTCTCGAGCCAGGAGATGGCCTTCAACATTGCCATGCTCCTAACACAAGAAATGGTCGATGTTTGCGAAGACCAGCCAGTGCTCGTCGATTACGGAGGCGGGCTTGCATCACTCCCAAATTGCCAATCAGTGTTGGCAAAGGCGCGACAAAGCATCGACCTTGAAGCACAGATAGCACGGGCAGTACAGGAAGAGGATGTTCTGGAGCGTGGGCCATCGAAGGTTCGTGACTTGAACAAAGATGTACCGCAGTCTGTGGCCACTCTACAGATCGGATTCCCTCGCTCGTTACGCTATGATACCGACCTCGCACCCTTGCATCGCCTTCAGGCTCTCAACTTCCCCGAAAACACAGTTGTTGTCGTTGGGTTCGCTGAATTAGGTCCCTGGGGCAGCGCGCGTCTTCGCTGGGAGATGGAAAGTCGTGGCAAGCTGAGCCCATCTGGGCTAGTTGAGATGGCTTGGCTAATGGGACTTATCACACATTGCGAAGGCGAGAGAAAGGAAGGACATTATGTCGGCTGGGTCGATGCGAAGACAAATGAGATCGTTCACGAAGCCGAAATTGAACGAAGATATGGAAACTACATCACAGAGCATACTGGAATACGATTTGTGGAGCCCGAGACTGCCGGTTATGACCCAGCAAAGAAAGAATACTTCGAAGAACTCGCCATCGAAGAAGACATGCCCGCATTCGAAGTCAGTAACGACATCGCAGATGCGTTCCGGCTACGCCATGGCGAGAACGTCTCTGTCCATCGACTCCAAGGATCAGATTCAAGCCGGGTGCAAGTCAAGAAAGGAGCAACAATCTTCGTACCCAAAACGACACCGTTCCCCTGGGGCGCTGTAGCAGGGCAGTTGCCGACTGGATGGAATCCCGAGCGACACGGCATCCCCGATGACCTGGCTCACCAATTAGACCCTGCGACTCTTGTAACATTATGCGGCGTGATGGAGGCATTCTATTCTGCTGGTATTCCTGACCCTTTCGAGATCTTCAAACACATGCACTTATCTGAGTTGGGCAACTTCATCGGGTCGAGCATGGGTGGAGCTTTGAAGACGAAGAACCTTTACAAGGACGCTTTTCTCGAACGACCGATGGACAGTGACGTCCTCCAAGACACTTATCTCAACACAACTGCAGCATGGGTCAATATGTTGCTCGTTGGCTCGGCAGGCCCAATCAAGACTCCCGTAGGTGCATGTGCGACTGGATTAGAGTCGATCGACGCAGCCCTGGAATCCATCGGCGCGGGAAAAACAAAAATGTGCATTGTCGGGGGCTTCGACGATCTTCAGGAAGACGAGGCATATGGCTTCTCAAAGATGAAGGCAACAGTAAACGTTGCAGAAGAGCTTGCTGCAGGACGACTTCCCTCTGAGATGTCTCGACCTACTGCGGAAAGTCGTGCTGGGTTCGTGGAATCTCATGGCTGCGGCATTCAGATTGTATGTCGAGGCGATGTTGCATTGGAGATGGGCCTTCCAATCTATGCCATACTTTCCGGATCTGCCATGGCATCTGACAAGATCGGACGTTCAGTGCCAGCTCCCGGACAAGGCGTACTTTCTTTTGCCAGAGAGTCGAATCCTGGAGCTCCAGTCGACTTCGCTGCAGTAGACTGGCAAAGCAAGTTCCCTGGTGCGAAGTCCTCCCAAGATGTATCCTCGCTCCACTCCCGTTCATCCTCTGTGACGCCTACGCCTCCTTCATCACTACCGCAGGATTCTCCTCGTTCGATGTCCACCAATGCTTCTACTGCGCCAACCACACCTCTAGACACATGGCAAATCGGACCTCCTCTCAGCGACACTGGAAGATCAACATCGGCCAGCATCTCACCATTACGCGCATCGCTGTTGCGCTGGGGTCTCGATGTCAACGATCTCGACATCGCGTCCCTTCATGGCACAAGCACGAAGGCGAACGATTTGAACGAGCCAGATGTCATATGCCAGCAAATGAACCACCTGGGCAGATCTGATGCGTCACCACTGTGGGCCGTCTGTCAAAAGTCTGTCACAGGGCATCCCAAAGCTCCTGCTGCTGCATGGATGCTCAATGGCTGCCTGCAAATTGTCAACAGTGGAATAGTCCCGGGCAATCGTAATGCAGACAATGTGGACCCAGCGTTACGACGATTCAAGCATCTGTGCTTCCCAACAGAGTCTGTACATCTGGCTGAAGACGTCAAGGCATTCCTTGTGACCTCCTTCGGATTTGGACAAAAGGGCGGACAGCTTGTAGGCATCGCACCAAAGTATTTCCTGGCCTCTTTGACCGAAGTGGAACACGAAAGCTACGCAGCACGCACTGCGAAGCGTCAAAGGGTGGCGAACAGAAGATATGTTGAAGCTGTTTTGGACAACACCATTGTGAAGATCCAGGCTGAATCGCCTTATCGCGCCGAGGATGCCAGCCGCGTCTACCTCAATCCTCTAGCCCGTGTTTGCGAGAGCACTGATATTCCGGGATCCTACCGCTTCAACCCTGCTGACTTGCGTGACTCGTCCAGTCCACAAACTGCTTTATCTACATGGACCGCACAAGAGATCCTACGTGGCCGGCACAGTCCAGGCGTTGCCGAAGCTGCCAAATCTTGCAAGACATGGATCGAAAAGCAAAATGTGCAAGCGACGAGTACTGTGGGTATCGATGTGGTGCAATTGAACGACTTCAAATCACATGAAAACCCGATCTTTATCGAGCGCAATTACACTTTGGGCGAAGTGAGGTATGCAAAGCAGAGCGTCGACAGACGCAGAGCATATGCTGGAAGATGGGCGGCCAAAGAGGCTGTCTTTAAATGCTTACGGGCGCGAAGCCGTGGTGCTGGTGCTGCGATGAAAGATATTGAAGTTTTGAGAGAGAGCAAGGACGATGGTCCTGCGATTATGGTAAGTCCTAAAGATGCACTGTCTGCACCATTGTCTTCATCGACTGACACTTTTCTTAGCTCCACGGCGCTGCTCTGGATCATGCACGCTCGTCCGGCCTGGAGACAGTTCAAGTGAGCTTGAGTTATGGTGAAGACTGTGTAGTGGCAGTTGCACTGGGACTTAGAGGCGATGGAAAACCTACGTACGCCTTGTGATACAATTTACTTTGCATATGGGCGTTCAGCATATCAGACATTTTTGCACGGCAATTTCGTCACAGCGATACAATTATAGAATGGAGCTCATTCTTCCACACATTGAGAATTATGAGAGCTGATGGCAAGTCAAGAGAAAACAACGCCAAGAGAAAACAACGCCAAGAGAAAAACAACGCCCTCGCCAGTAAGCACATGCAGATCTTGGCATACATTTGAAGACCTCAGAAGCTAGCATTACAACCGGGCAGCTATTCTTCGGTGACATCGCTACAGGTTCACTAGGGCCAAGCAGAAAGTTCGTGTAAGCGGAAGTTGCGAAAGAAGAATAGGATCTCGGACACCGAGCCGAGAGTGGTCACGTGGGTCGGAAGCGCTGCCAACAATCCCGTCAAAGACAGCACAATCATGTCACGAAGCCGAATCAGACGTCCCGTCATGAGTGACAGTACCGACCTTCGTTCTGAGTTCGACTGGCATACCTCGCGCCGTAACGGACAACTTCAACAGCCGGCTGATCCGATTGCGAATGTTTTGGATAGGGCTCTCGGACAGAGTCAGCCCGATATGTCTCTTCGCCGTCATGGTCGGATACAGAATACCCTCGCTTTGATATTCCGGATTGACAGGTAGCACTCCATCATCACGGGCAACAGTGTACCAGTCCGACAGTGAGGTCCGTTCGGAGTCTACCAATGTCAACCAAGCATACAATCTAGCCCCATCTTTCAGAGCGTTTCTCTTGGAAGATTTTGTCTTTTCACTGTACTTTGCTGGAATTAACACTATGTCTTTCGAAGGACTAGGAACATTCAATCCTGTTCTCGACCTGGGCAGAGAAGCTGGCCTTCTACTAACTCGACGCTTGAAACGCTTACCACGAAGGACCAAGAGCGATGATGGCAAGCCTTGTGATACATGTTCAGCACAAGCACATGCTCGAAGCAGAAGTCAATCCAGTGCCGACGATGTCATGATTATTAGCAGGAGTGCCAAAGCGCGCAGAATTCTGGGTCTGGCCACCGCTGCTGATGAACCTATCCGCCGCGAGATCTTCAGCTACGATAGAGATAGCCAATGCTCACGTAGTTGCTCAGACTGTCAAAGTGGCCGTTCGTCCTCAAGGGTATCGGAAGACTCTTCACAATCGTCGTTTGTTCTCTCTGATGATAGCGAGGATGAAGAGGAGGGAGTGGCCAAGGAAGACAAGTCGGATGCTGACTCTGAGAGTGCGAATCAATCTGAAAAAGTGGACCTCGAGAAGCAATGCCACATCATCAAGGCACGTCACTCGCACGAGACCTGTCGTTGGTGCCAACACGACTCACACCAAGACAATGAGAGACCCAAGGAAGTCGATGACCCCAAAGCACTCGTTCGTGCAAAGGTCGTAACTAAGCTTCTCTGTGCCATTGCGAACAGCCGAGATCAAAACATGTTCCTCACACCCGCGGCTCTTCGGCCTTCATTCCAAGCCAACACAACAAGCACGACTAGAAGCATCCATGCCTACGACGACGGTACTGAGAAAGAAGCGATCGAGAAAGAACAACTTCGCAAGAGAAATGTCATGTCCCGAATCATCACCTCTCTAGACAATCTTTTCGACTGGTACGGATCTCGACAAAGACTGCTTCGAATCGACCCTTATACTGTCCGCTTGCCTGCTCATTTTGACGTTGAGGCAAGTTCTGTCAATATGGATGACTACGTCAAAGATCTGGAAAAGAGGCAGACGAAAGCTAAAAGACAACTTGGCTGGTGTCATACGATTGGTTTCATCTTGTTTTTGGCTTGTGTGCTTGTTGCATTGGCACTTGTCATTTCTTCGAATCCTGTTCGGAGGCCTTGAGATTGAGTACTCAGGCGCTGGGTATCACTTTTGCGAGCATTATGTGGCGTGCGGGTGTGTATGGGGCATTGATACATTTTCGTAGTTTCGGGCTGCACTCAGTATGAATGAAGGAAGCATTGTTAACACATTAGCCTGAATCTGAAACGATGTGTCACAGCCATCAGGCTGATATGGCGAAGGTGAGCTCAAGGAACTGGCAAGCTGAGGCCCCACAAACGTATTTAGCTCGCGGATCGTTTTCCCGCTCAGCACGATGTTGGCAACGTTTCGATCCTGTGGCATTCGAATCTTACGGAAGGAATTAAAGCGTTCTTGAGATCTGTCTATCAATTTCAGTCTACAATTCTATGCTGAAACGCCAATCGACCGGTTTGTCTCTTGAGCTGCTGAGCGAGGCGCTTCCTCAGCCTGTCTTGGTCGAGGTGGTGCATTCGGCCTTGCTTTCTCTACCAATATTGCTTTGCCTGCTACTCCAGCGTAAATTGGCTGCTCGTAAACGTTGAGGAACCACCGCGTCACATTCGGATGACTTTCCCGCCAGGCTTGATCAAAGAAGAACATGAAGCCTCCAGCAACGACACCTGTCACAAACATGTCTGCTAAGCTGAGACGATCTCCAACTAGATACGTGCGTCCTTCGAGGTGCTTTTCCAATATGTCCATTCGTTTGTTCGTTTGCTTCATGCTCTCATCGACTTCTGCTTGCACGAAGGGTCTTCGGCCAATGATTGGGTTGAACCATCCACCGAGATGCAAGAGAATCTCCATGTTTGCAAATGATATCCATCGCACTATAGAAGCGTAGTCTTCCTTGCTATCGCCGAGCAATGTGCTGTCGTCCTTCTGCGAAGCCACTGTACAAGAGCTCGGTGAGCGAAGATCACGAGTTGCGGGTCTCTGAGTACCTACCATAGAGAGCGACGGCAATGCATTCGGAGACGACAAATCCATTAGCTGCCACTAAGGTAGGAATCTTCCCAAGTGGGTTCAGGTCCAGATATTCGTCGCTTGCGTCTTCTGCAGAAACGATGGTCTTGGTGGCCAAGTCCAAGCCGTACGACTTTGCAACTGCTAAGATGGCTGGCGTGCGCGGATTGAACTGTGTCTCTGATATCAGCATCGCAAATGTATGCAGATGATGGTTGTCATCATGCTGTGCATACTGGACGTGTGTAAAGAGTTCCGAACGACATCTTGAATTTGGTATCCGCCTGTGCCAATGGCTATGTTTGTAACGAGTCTGCTGCGATTCTCAGTAAGAACACAGATAACTTGACTGGTAGCTCGTTTCTCGAAGTGATGAGCGTCTGGCAGTTCGTTACGTTGATGTTACATACTTTATGCTTGAGAAGTGGTTTTGCGCTGTGCCATGTTGGGATCGGCTTCGCAGAGCGAAGATTCTGCGCAAGCTTGCCTTATGAGCTTGAAACGTTTAGCATGCGAGCGATAATGACCAAGAAGCTCAGCGTATATTTCAGTCGTATATTCAACATCCTTCCACGTGGTTGGCAGAGGTCAAGAAGCATGGAAACAAATCGCTGAAAGTGGGAGGTGTTGTCTTAAAGTGTCAGATCGACGCTCATCGCAGTGATACCTATAAGATTGTAAACCCTACGCCTTCGCAGAATGCTCAGTGAACCTCTATTTTGTCAACCCCCTTGTGAATGCCACATCGTCGCCATATGCGATCATGAAATGAAACTTCCTCGACCACTACACCAACCCTACTCGCTCCTGAGCACGAGATCATCACCCATCTTTGGCCAATGTGTCATGCCTTGCATGAACTTGCCGTCGAGGATACTTGTGAGATCAACGTATTCGATCTGTTGATTCGTCTTGAGATCAAAGATTGGAATACCACCAGTTCCAGAGCAGCCATACATGTAACCATCAACAATGTCCACATCCAAGATTCCAAGCTCATCCTTGCCGAAAGCATATTGGCCATCAACAGGAATATCGACATAGATCTCATCTTTGTATTCACCAGTCTCCTCGTCAAGCGTAAAGATGTAAGGGCTCATGGCATCAACCATGTAAAGTGTCTTGCTCGAAGGCTCCCAAGCAGACCAGCAAGAGAAATTCTGTGCAGGCACGTAGAGGTGATTGTCTTCCCGGATCTGGTAGTCTGGGGCAGGGCCGAAAGAGAGGATCGAGCCACCATAAGAAGGATCGATGAGGAACAGGCGAGATGGTGAGATCCAAGTGAAAGCATAGTCCATTGGAATGCCATCAACCTGACCAATAATTGGGTCCGACTCCGATCGAATCATGCCCATCTCGTCAACTGGCCAAATGAGCATATTACCTGGTAGTTGCGGTGATGCAGTGTGATCTCCTTTGATGCTAGCAAACACGGCGTCCTGATTTGGGTTGAAGCTGATCTGGGCAGTGGAGTTTGGAGGGCCTTGCATCGGCGTGGTATTGTTCCTCAAGCCGGCTGGAAAAGGTCGGAAAGGTCCGTCTTGGTGCAACTCATAAGACTCGCCGACGTGATAGCAAGCGATGCCTCCGACAGCGCCACCATTGAGAACGCAAGCCTTGCGCAGCTTTGGAGAATAGTCGATCGAGACTGGGAACTCGCCAAGGGAGTCTGCAGTGCCAACAAGTGTGATGTCCCAGGGTCGCTCTGGGTCGATTGTGAAGAGTGAAATAGTATTGCTTCCTGAGTTGACAGTGAAAAGCAGCTGGACAAATTAGTTACACATCATGTTTTCTCGGTCATGGGAGATTTGACTTACGTTGTCCCGGACAGTGACCGCACCTTGTGACAAGAGAGGGTCTGCTGGAAAGTCCAAGCCAGTGCCATAGATTTTTGATTGCAGACCGAATCCTTCTGTCGAGGTCTTCTTAGGTTCTCCAAGCTTGCCATTGCCCATCAACTCTAATGAAACGATTGAGCCACCATCGGGATGATTTTCGAGGAAGTATAGAGCTTTCGGCGTTTCTGACTGGCGCTGTGTAGGCAGTGCGCAAGCCGCAGAGAAGAGTAAAGAGGTGAGTAGAAGCTTCATCGTGGCGGCTGTGTTGGGCGAACACTGCGTTGGAAGGAAGGGATGAGGTTGTAAGCTGTTGATGGTGGTTCCAGATCGACTTCGTTTGATGTCATATATAAGAGATTGTGAACTGGAGGCCGACGATCATGCCGGCCAGGAGATGCCAGTGGACGATACCATCATGCACCGTGCCGACTGCTCTGCGCGGAGGGCCAATATTGATCGGTCGGTGCGGCCGTGGGCATCACCGATGCCACGAGTCCGAGCACTGAGTCTGCGATGATGGCCAAGATCATGCCGGTGACGCGGGCATCGGTGCAGCCTCAGGCTCAGTGCTGGGACTGTCAAAGACCCGTGTGATACTGCGGAAACACTTCGGGCACATTGGCCTTGGCGACGAAAATTGCCTGATGTGGAAGGTCACATGCATTAACTCCGATGTTTCGGGACTCCTCTTGTCCAGTCCGAGCGGCCGCGGAGTGTCGGGCGATGGTCGCTAGCAATACCAATTCCTCTTCCACATTGATCGCACTCTCGGCCAAGCACGTGAGCTCCGTCACTAGGCAGAGTGGCCGAAAGGTGAAGAGGTTGCGATCGGAGACGCTGACACTCAACGCCAATCTGAAGCCGACTGTCAAGACTCCGTAGCTTTGATGGAAACACTCGGTATCATGTATCGTGAATTCATCATCAATGACGAGCACAGGTACTGATTCCGAATACTGTTTTCGCTTCCTACTGCCGGACTTTCGCAAACATCAAAGTGTTGGCGAGAGAGCATAAAACACAGGCCATCCAGTTCCGGCTTTGTGCGGGCCTTGAAACACGATGCTGCGAAACACCCTGATACTCGCGCTTATCTCCAAGGCTTCTGGTCTCGTCGCTCGGGCACCAACACCTTCATCTGGCAGCCATGTCGTGACAGCGTTAGACCAGCCTCCTGCACAACAGACTGGAGAGTACTTCCATGCACAATACTACGATCATGCCATCAGACCGTATCGAGCTCCAGGTCGGAACGACTCGCGTGGCCCTTGTCCCATGCTGAACTCTCTGGCCAACCACAACTACATCAACCACGATGGACGGAACATCGAAAGACAAGATTTACTTGATGCCTTGCTGAGACATGTCGGCATCGAGGAGAGCGCAGTGGACGTAGCATTAAGCAATGCGTTCATCCTCTGCGAGTTCACAACCGGCAAACATTGTGGTACTCGACTGGCGAACTTGACCCTGTTGGCTCTTCCCCATGCATTCGAGCACGACCACTCCTTCTCGCGCGAAGATTACATGATGAAGTACAACAAAGAGTCCAACGACAATTTGAACTTCAATGCTACCATCTTCGATACTTCGCTGGACGTGCTGAAGGGCTCATCCCACATGACCTATGCACAAATGAACGAGATTCGTTTACAACGAGAGTCTCTTGCATTGCAAAGCACAACGCCTGGCTGGTTAATGGAGCAAGTCCCGATCCAGGAATTTGAAGCTGGTTTCATCTTCGCAGTGATGGGTGATCCCGGTCGTCCAGATTCGCAAAGCGAACCTCTGGTGCGTGTGGACTGGTGGGAGTACTGGTTCGCAAACGAAGCATTGCCGTATGAGCTTGGCTGGCATCGTCCCAAGCCAGCTCGAGGCATGGACTTCGTCACCTCTGCGTCTTCGCGGATATTGCACGCTGCACCGACACATACGCCTTCACCGTTGCCAGTAGACGCTTTCGCATTGTTTGAGCCCGAGCCTGGAAAATTGCACACAGTCGTTGACACAGTGACATACTTGCTGCCGACGAATACACCCTATCGAGGCACAATTGCAGACCGGAGGAGGCAAGCTACGGCCACCAGCAGCTCAGATACGCCTCGAGCCACATTCAAGAATCCGTACATGGAGATGTGGGAGATGTCCGACATCAGGAATCAACAGGCAATGGCAGAGATGCACATGCAGGCGCGGTGAGCCTTGCAGCCCAGCGTGTCTTCTGTTTGAGATATCGTGAATCCAGCATTTCAGTAGAACTCGCAGCGCATTGCATATCATCGATGTTTAGGGCATGACATCGACGGCGTTCATAGATCAGGTGGCGTCTGTACACTTCATACGTCGCCTGCTCCGTAGGAGCTGAGAATTTTGTTGCTCGGCGAGATCATGTGCAAACCTCGGACACGTCAAGTGCTCTTCCTTCACGTTTCACTCAAGCGTCGGTGGCACTCGCACGCCGCAATAGCAGTCCGATCGGAGCTGCATGGCGCTATTCTTGATCGACAGGCTGAGCTAGCGTCGATCCTTTCCGTCTGCGACACGATTTATGTCGTTCGGCGAGCGACCATGTGATGTTCCTTGGCGCTCACCACAGAAACTGTCACCTACACGTGCAAGTGGATCCTACGCACGCTTCCGCACGTGTGATTTTCGTGGTGGGTGTCGCGTGCAGTGAGTTCGATCGCGCGTGACTAGAGCTCCGATACCAACGGTCCAAAGTCAGCTTGCAGCCTCTCTCGGTCGGCGTGCGGCCAGCGGCACCAGCGGCACCAGTGGAAACGACAGATGCAACACAGCACAAGAATGCTTCGATGGCCGCGAAAAGAAGCTCATCATCGTGCTTGTACACGTCTAGGCTCTTCTTCGATCGCCATCGTATCTCTCGATCTTTGAAGACCCCTCCAGCCTCAATATGAGTACCTCCGCATCGCAGCAGCAATCTTCGCGGCCCAAGCTCAAAGACGCTTGCCAGCGTTGTGCGGCTAGCAAGGTCAAGTGCGACCACGCTCGGCCCACATGTGCACGCTGTGCCAAACGCAATTTGCCATGCGAGTACCGACGCTCAAGACGCATGGGGAGAGTGCCAGCAGGTTCGATGGAAGAGCAAGATCCAAAGTCCATGCCCAGTTCGGACCTTGTACAACGGCAGCAATTTTCGACTTCTGGCGCAGATTCCTTGGATGCACTCAACCAGAATATGGACTGGTGCATCGATAATTACGACACCAGTGACTGGTTCAGCGATGATCTTTTCACAGCAGGTGGTGCAAACAACACAGATTGGGAGGCCATTTTGAAGTCGTTAAATGCCGAGACTTTGATGCCACCCACATCCGGAGCACCTGTTGCCCCGATGATGGGTTCTGATTCCATTCCACCTCCACCACCAAGCTCTCAATCGGGTTCTGAATCTGCTCGGTCACGAAAGATCTCAACTCTCTCTTCCAACAGCTCGTCCGCAGGCACTGCTTCTTCTGGCGATGATTCTTATCTGTTCTCCGACTGGTCTGTCGGCACCGATATGACAGATCCAAACGACTTCAAATTCGACGACATGCCACTTCTTACTGCCCCTTCGCCGCCACTCACATGCTCCGAGAACGGCGACAACAGCGATTGTCTTTCAACAGCGCTTCGATTCATCATCCATCTCTCACCCAGTGGATCAAATGCATGCGCCCTGAGCTCAACAAACGCACCAGATGGAAAGAGCGTATATGCTGCACCGACGCCCGAAGGAGTCCTTGAGGAGAACAAAAACATTCTCGAATCCCTGCAAACAATTCTTGGCTGCTCATGTACTCAGGAGAATGAGTCGCTCCTCGCACTGATTGCTCTCGCCATCCTGAAGCTCCTCACATGGTACTCCCGCGTAGCCAAAGGCGACATGGCACCAGGCCAAGATGCAATGCAAAGCAACTGCGAGGCTGCACAAGCAGTACTGAGCGAGTTGCATGCGGTGCGGAGACTCATTCACAGCTGGAATTTGCGCTGCTCCACATTCATCGAGAATAGTGTGCCAGATGGTTCCAGGCATAATTCCACTGGGAGTCTAGTGAGCTCCGCCGCCGGCTTGACAGGACAAATGGGTACGCTTTCAGGAGGTTCGGCATCGCTGTTGGGACATTCTCTGTCCAAGTTGCAGCTAGATTTGGACACGGGATTGAGGAAGGTGTCGGGAGAAGCCATTGAGATCCTGAGAGGGTGGTAATTGGCTGTGAATATGATACCAATGAAGATGAGACCACAAGGCATTTTAGCAGGTTTGAAGAACATTGAGCAGTTCAGAATTCCCGTTTTGGGTGGTTTGCATAGGCCAGGCGTAGCCATAGCACAAATCAGGTTGATGATTGGCTGGAATTCAGTGTCGTCCCTGACATGATTTTTCGTTTTCGAATGTTGCTTAGTTGTGCTTCCTCCGAAGCTCGGGCTGTAGGCGCACTCCGAGGTCTTCTCTTCTCGTTCTTGGAGCGGCAGTGCACGTGAGCTGCCTGGTCATCAAATGTCGCAGTGTCGAAGGAACCCTTTTTAGAGAGGGGCCAGAAGAAGGAACAAGATCTATATTCGCTACGCTATGTAGTAAATGCTTCTTCGATGAAATCAACACAACCTTCCTGCATGACCGACCTGGTCGCAGCTCTGACACAGTCCGCAAACATTCCAGGTCCACACACTGTTACGCCGACAGCACCAATCCTTTGCTCCAGCTCTGATGTGACGATCTCCTTGGGCACACAGCGTCCCCACGACACTTGCATGTACTCACCATAGCTGGGCACGTACTGCGTGACGCCACCCGCTCGTGTGACATACATGTGGATTCGCAAGACGCCTTTGGCATCTTCGCCAAGGAGGTCCCAGATCTCGATAATCCACTTGCTGATCCACTGAATTGTCTCAAAGTCGCGGACGGACCACACTAGCAGTATTTTCTGTGCGCTCGCAGTGCCTGCTCGATACTGCCGTACCAAGTAATGGACGCAGTCGATGCAATGCGTTATGCCTACACCGCCGGCAAAGAGGACGACTGTTCCATAGGAGCTGAGAGTGTGGTAGCCACCATAGGGACCCTCAATAGCACCCCAGGTGCTGAATTGTCTTTTGGGTTGTGCACTGGCCTTGTCATACAAATGTCTCGTAAAGCCTTCTCGCGCTTTCACAACCAGGCTGACGGAGCTGGCATTGACGCCTTTCATGACTGGATTCGACGTTTTTCGAGTGGCCACCGCGGTGTTTTCACAGCCCTCGGTAGTCTGCACTTCGGCAATTTTGTTTCGGCGCAGGAAATTTGATAGCTTCATGCACGATCGCTTTTTGCTCAATTCAACGAGAGTCTTCTCGTCCAGTGACTCGTCTTCCGGACCAGGCAACTTCTGTTCATCGTCGCCACTGCAGTCAGTTACCCATGCTACAGAGAAAGGGTGGCTCGAAGCCAGAGACATGTTAGGCATGTAGACATGCACATGACATCCAGGCTTCCAGCGCCAGGACCGACTTAGATGAAAAGTAAGCAGGCATGCTTCTGCTGGAAGAGCCTGGACGCTGATTCTCGTTACTGCTCTCGTGCCCCCAAAGTTGAAGTACATGATTCGGAAGGTGCGCAATACCCATTCCAGAATCCAAAGCAGGAAGCACAACTCAATATACATGACAATCTCAAGACGTGCTTTGTCCAGGTGGATGTAGGTGCCGATCAAGCCCACCAAGACCAGTATCCTGTGCGAAGCGATGAATGTCTCGTAAAAGGCATGTCTCAAAGGTGCGAATGCGGTCAATGAGATCGTGGCGAAGGCGCAAACGGCCAATAGTCCAAATGCAAAACTCGTGCTTGTGGCCAGCGAAAGTTGTACTTGCTCGAATCCGCCACTCTGAAAGGCGTTGATCGCCCACATAATAGCATGCAGGAGCGCCTCGAGCGTCATGATTCGGGCACACCATCGATGGAATAAGTTGAAAGTGTCGTATGAGATTCGCAGCAGCGGAATCAGAGGATTGTTGCGTAAGGCGAAGAGGATGGTCGGGATGAGGTTCCAGGCTGCCAACACGCCGAAGCGACCACGAAGTTCGGCGACGAGTGCAGCAGGTGGCATATGATGCCAGTCTACCGCGACACAATATGCGATATTGCTTCCCAGATAGAGGACAAGTAGGACGGCGTTGTATCTTGTTGGTAGGCCACCAATCGCGAAGCCTTCCGAAAGACGAATCGCTTCCTTATGCCGTGTCTTGAAAAGCGGTGCGAAGACGATGTGGCGCTTGATCCACGGCCAGAAGAATGTGAAGTTGTGCATGAAACGTGACTGCACTTCCGGCGAGCCGTTGACGGTACGTTTTCTTCGGTAGTATGCGTGGTAGGTGTGGAGCCATCTGTAGGCCAGGGTGAGGGCCATGAGTCCCAGTAATAATGCGATGAGGATATGCACGTAGAGGTAGTTTCTGGGCTGGTTGGTCCCTTGAAGTCCATGGCTGTAAGGTGTTGCTGGGTGACTTGAGTTGAGCACCTCTCCCCAGCCTGTGACGCCACCATAGTAGGCTCGTTTGAGTTCGCCCAGTCTTGAGTGATCTCCTGATGCTTCCATATCGACAACGATCTCGAGGACTCCATTGCGTGTGTGCATTCCTTGAGGGAGGAACGTGGTGGTTGTGACCAGCAACAGTGTCTCAGCGAGCAGTCATTGGAACATGGGCAGCGATCGCCGTGCAGAACGTTGTGACAGGTTGATGCTGCACGAGATGCCACGAGGCGTCCTCATGTTGCGGTCCGAGTTCTTGGCCATCGTGTGTAGCATGCCGTGATAGGCATCCTTCGTGCCCGCAACACGTTTCCGAGGCCATGATTGTCCGTGTGTGGAAGGAGACAGAATCAGCTTGGCCGAGACTCGGTCCGTGATGTTAGTCAGCTCCGGACTGGCCATGATGGCATGCGTTTCGCCCACATTGATGGGTGCCGGAGACAAGGTCCGATAGGTGCTGGGTGTCGGAGTGAATTGAGTGAAGGACATCACGTGGTGAAGCCTGTCTCCGAAATGGGTCGGAGGCTTGGTGTTTATGCTGTCGGAGAAAGCAGTATTATACTCGTGATGAAACACCACTCCCACCTTGTCCTTACAACCACAACTTACGCAGTCAAGATGATGATCACGCCCTTGAATCATCCACTTCCAGGCCTGAAGGCATCTCTGGTCGCTGGCACAGCTCCACGATCAGAAACCGGATCGACGGTCCAGCAACCCACTGAAGGATCTCGCTGGCCGCATTGGCAGCTCAAAAACGGGTATGCCCAGAGCATGACGATGATGTTGTTGTTGAAGACGCGTAGCGCAGTGGACGCGACGACGACGACGCGCTGGAGTTAGAGTTGGAATCCTTGGCTTTTGCACGTGATCCGGGGAAATGTTCGCTCTGCGAGTCCGAGATCGACACAAACCTTCCTTCGCAACATCGAACCTCCGATACGGCGATACCCCAACCCACCGAGCAAACAACTACCTCCGGGAACCCGTTGACTTGTTGGTGACAAGCTCCAAGCTTGCGGAACGGCTCTTGAGCTTGAAGCCTGACACTGCAGATGCTGCGAAAGACGAAGATCAGCGTGGAGTGAATGATTATATGGACAACAGCGAAGCCATTGGGTGCAGGCTGATCACGAAGATCAGTTCTTGAAAATGGATAGAGACCTCCAATGGAAGACTCCTCATCACGTGCGCATGGCTATCAAGCCTTCATTTTCCTTGACGGCAGCTCAAGGTTTGCTAACTTAACGAATATGGGAGCAGCTCGCCATGCTCTGTGACGATGACTCTTGCTCCAGGACCGCGCGATGCGTGGGTGATTCTGTGGCAAGCAGTTGTCGCAGTGGAGAAAGAGTCAAGAAAGCGCGGATTGAACAGCAGCGGAAGTGGCGGCTTTCGTTCCGCATGTGAACGCCAAGCGACAGAGCGTCATCCTTGTCAAAGTCGTGAGGCTTCTCCCGACTTGACTCTATCAACTTTGCCAAACATGGCAGTCAGATTCGAATTCCAAGCGTCCAGTCCTGCGATGCGGAGTTCAAGCTCGTGGTAAGCGGAAAGGTGAGCATTTGCAGTGATGCGCCACTTGATGAAACGTCACACGTATAAGAATTCTCTGCCCGCTGCAAGCATGGATCATTCAGCATTCACGAGCAGTGTCAGCGTCCGCGTTGTCACATAACTTTGCGCTACTCACAGAGTTCTGAGCTCCTTGTCCAAGATGAACACGCGCACTGAAGGCTTCCAGTATACCCCAGAAGCTGGCCTCCGACCTGGACTCCCAACTCTGGGGGCCATCCAGCCTCAGAAATCCATCACTCGGCAGTCCCACGATGTGATAGTCATCGGCGCAGGATATGCCGGTCTCACGGCCGCTCGCGATTTGACCACTTCCGGCCTCAAAGTCCTCCTCATTGAAGCTCGAGACAGGATAGGAGGCCGCACTTGGTCTTCCAACCTGGGCGACTACCCCTTCGAACTTGGAGGCACCTGGGTGCACTGGAATCAGCCTCATGTCTACAGAGAAATCTCACGCTACAGTCTGCAAGAAGATCTGGAGAACAGTCATGATCTGGACAAAGGTGTGAACTCGTTCATGTTGCACACTGGTGGACAGACGACAAAGTACAGCCGGGCTCAAGAAGCAGAATTGAGCAACTCTGCGCTTCGCAAGCTGGTGGACGTCGATGGTGCGTTTGGGAGAAAGACCATTCCCATGCCAGGTGCAGCGAACATCGATGCTCAGCTGGGCAAGTATGACAACATGTCGATTGCAGACCGGCTACAGCAAGTTTCGCTCACAGAGGCAGAGCTGGCTGTCATTGAAGGCTTTCTTGCGATTACTTGTGGCGCCAAACTGGAAGACGCAAGTTTCGGTGAGCTGCTTCGCTGGTGGGCTCTGAACAATTACGACATGCAGCTCTTCATGGAACAATGCTTGACGTACAAACTCCGATCTGGTCAATCGAATTTTGCTCGAAAGTTCTTTGATGAAGCTCAAGCCACCGGGAATCTTGACTACATCTTCAGCGCTCCTATCACATCAGTACAGGACTCAGATGCCTCAGTTCTCGTTCGCACAAGCACGAACGAGTACCAGGCCAAGCAAGTCATCTGCACAGTTCCACTGAATGTGTTGAAAGATGTCGAGTTCTCCCCGCCTCTGGACGCAGCCAAGTTGCGCGCCTCGCAGCAAGGCCACGTCAACCAGGTCTCCAAAGTGCACGTTGAAGCAGCTAATCCTGAACTTCGCTCGCTTTCCAGCACGATCGCCCGGCCATTCGACAGGCTCACTTACACTTTCGGAGATGGCACTACTCCAGCAGGCAACACACATCTCGTCGCATTTGGCAGCTCCTACGAAGGCGTACACCTGCAAGGCGAGGAAGACATCAGTGACACTGTTCGCGCTCTACAACGCTTCGCTCCGGAGATGGATGTCAAACGTGTTGTATTTCACAATTGGTCACGAGATCCCTACGCACAAGGTGCTTGGGAGTGGTTGAGACCAGGTATGATTGCAGATCGTGCGATCCTTGATGGCCTGCGAAAGAGGCAAGGAAACGTACACTTCGCAAATGCTGATTGGTCATTCTTGTGGAGAGGCTTCATTGATGGTGCTATCGAAGATGGCGCAAGAGTCGCATTGGACGTACGAAAAAAAGTTTTGGGATGGTAGGCAGCGGATACTGATATCTGTCAAACATTTATTTCACCATATTTCACATCACATTCAGCTCCAAGGATCAAAGCCTCCGAGACTGAATAGCATTTGCCAAGTCTTTCCGACCAATTCCTGCTTCTTTGGGAGCTACTCAACGAATCTACAGGTCTACCGAGGCAGCGAAGTTGGCCGCTGCGAGGATCTCAAGGACAATAAGAAAACGGTGACAATACGCCCAATTGTCCGCAATGGCCCGTGCACGAGTCGTGTTTGCCTGCGCATCAGCTCTCGGCCTTCGCAGCAGGACCTCCACCTAGAACCTCTCCATCTTCGTGTAATTGTCATGGACTGCACTGAAGATGATCCAGACTCCAGAACAGACGTTCTCACAATGGAAGCAAACAAAGAAATTGCTAATTTAATCCTGCAATACGCCATCGAATCTCGACCGTCATTGTCCAAAGGCACATCGCATTGTCCATAGACCCATCTCATTGTCTCTACCCCTGTCAGAAGAAATGAGGCTATTGTCGCAGGAGCTCGAATAGCCTACAAGCAGGTATATGAAATAGAGATGGCGTTCCTGGTGAGAACTGTAAGTCATCATCACGCACCATGGCACGCAAGGCGAAGACGAGCACGAGTGCTCAGCCAAAAGCAGCGCTTGCAAGCAAGCAGAAAGCGACCAGGCAACCTGCGCAGCCCGCTGGCAACAACAGAAAGCGAAAGGCTCCTGCGAGCGAAGCTGCTGCACCTCCACCGAAGAGAGCTAAGGCAGCCCCGAAGACGAAAGCTTCCGCTTCTACGAATCAAGCTGCTTCTTCCAGAAAGCCAGCCAAGGCAGCTTCGAGGCCGGACACAAGGCCGAAGCTGCCTAGAGGTTGGGTCTACGCTGGAGATCCAGGTGATGATGGACCAGTCGATGAGAATCCAGGCGATGGAAATCCAGGTGATGATGATCCAGGTGACGAAGATCCTGGCGACGAAGGTCCAGGCGGTGATCCGACCCCTCCCGATGACAACGGTGACGACGACGGCGAGGACGGCGACAATGACGAAGACGACGACGACGACGACGACTCGAGCGATAATTCCTCGCAAGACGAAGATCTCGACGAATCATACAGGCTCGCAGCCATCGCGCAGTTCAAAGCACTGAAACTCTCCAGGAGGAATTTTCGGGGAAAGGAAATCGCCAATTTGTTACCCTTCCTCGAGAGCATGACTCTGCCTGCTTCCAATAAAATCCAGTACACAGCGGCACGACCCAGAGAAACGAAGAGCAAGCAACTAGACGCCTATATTCTGAGCAAAGAAGACGCCCATATCCTTCTCAAAGGAACGAAATCCATCTGTGCCCCCGTATTTATCCTAGGCGGAGCCCCAGACGTCTGCGATTCTTCGAGTCGTCCTATCGAGCAAGCTCTAAACACATGGTTTCTCGATCCCCTGGAAAATTACACCTTCCATGATTCCCAAGGCAAAGAAAGGACACCCAACGTCCAAAAGATGCGAGAACACTTCCTCTCGTCAGACGGAAGTGGAGAGCAAGACAAAGGCTATCCCTGGAATCTACGTGACATTCTCAACCCCATGGCTCAGCAATGCCTTCCCACCTTCGCCCAATCATTGAATTGCAATCTCCTCCGCGACATCTACCGCATCATTCTCCAAGTCAGCGACGAGCTCATCTGCCCCGCTGATTGCCCCAAGCGGACGAAGACCGACCAATGCTGTGACGGAAACGGAAACAACCACGAAATCACCTCCAACGAACTCTTCCAAGTCTCAGCAGCCGCACGAGAACACGAAGGCACACTCATGATTTCCGATCCTGGCTCCATCACAGGCCCACACTGGGACCGCTGGTGCCTAGGAACATACATCTCCTGTCACGAAGGCGAAATGGGACTCGCATGGCTCAGTCATCCTTCGACCATCGAAGAGCACAAAAGATGGACAGACACTTCCAAAAATGGAAAACCCGAAGGTAACTGGCTATTCAAAGTCTTTCGCAAAGGTGATGCAGTCTATATGCCACCTGGAACTGTGCATGTTGTTTTCCGACTTCCAGAAGGAGAGCAGACAATGGCTACGGCTGGCCACTTTTTGAGGAGATCGACAGACTGGAAAAATTGGTTGAAAATGCTCGTGCATGAGAGAGATACGCACATTGCGAGGGAACAAGAAGAAGCTGGGAGTGGTGATTTGACTATATTTGGTCCGATTGTGAAGACGTTGAGGTTTCTGCTTGATCAGGTGAAGAGTGATGAGGAGGTTGAACGGTTTGGTGGGAAGCAGAGAGTCAAGGCTGCGCGAAAGTTGCTGGCAACTCTCGAGCGACAAGTGTCAGAGATTTTGGCTACCATCCCCGATGTGGGCGGCCAGGATGATGGCACTGAGTAATTTTCCGTACTGATTTCATTGACGCTTATTGCCATTGATTGTTGTACCTTTTTTACGTTGTTGTTACAGGCAACGGCAAACTTCTGTAATGTTACAATAAAAGAACAAAAGAAGCAAAACATCCATACTCATACAAAAACAACACCTCCCCATCAAGGCAATCCTCCCGGCCACGGCACATCCCTCGTCCCCGCCATAAAATTATCATGCAACATATCCACATACTTAATCTTCGTCTCACTCAAATCCAATCCCTCCTGCGGCTGATCAATCGTCAAAGCATTCACCGTAAACAAGTCCACCATCTGATCGCCCATAGGATATCGAGCTTCTTGATAAACATGAGTCCCGCAATCGCGACAGAAATACTTGCTGCCATTCTTGGCGTTGGGCGGATACTTTGCGAGCTCGGATTTATTGTTCGGTTCGAGGAGTTTCCAGTTTGTTGCGGGTTCGTTGAGGTAGTAATTGCTCATGCCGAGTTTTTGGCAGAAGCTGCAGTTGCAGCGGTTGACTTGGAAAGGAGTTTCTGTTGAGGGTTGGGGGATTGTCATTTGGTATTTGATGGAGCTGAGAGATGTCGTTAGGGTCTGCGGTTTGTCTACGGCTGGCTTGCACGAGGCTTGTGCAGTCGTGCAGAATGGTGGCTTGCTTACCCGCAGTGACATGCTCCATGCACTTCGAGCTTCTCGTCGCGTTTGGGAGGATCTGGCGTGGGAAGTCCGGTGCGCGAAGTGGCGGAGACAGCTTTGATGGCAGCTTCAGCCGCGGTCTTCGATACCTTGGGCTTGACGGCCGCTTTGGTCTTGGTGATTTTCGTCGGCATGCTGGTTGCTGCAGAGTGGTGTGGGTGGCTGATGCTCAGAAAGGGAAAGCGATGGCAGATACCGGTAAGCGAGAGCTGAGAGGAAGGAAGGAAGGTGTCGTCTTTGTAGGTACCTCCGGAGAGTCGCTATCACCGGCAAGCTTTGGAGCTCATCCTGAAACCGGTTGGCGTCAACATCCTCCCTGCCAAGAATGCCCTTCTATGGACTGGCTGCCTCTGAGCGGCACAGCTCTGATTCCTGCAAGCTTTCCCCACGGAGTCAAGTGTCGTACATATTTGCGGCACTCCAACGCCTGAGTTTCTCTCCAGAAAGATGAAACCGGAGCTTCGCACAATTCGCAAAGCGGTAGGAGTTTTCAGGGCGCGAATAGGAAGCGTCCGTGGCGCGCCCTCCCGCTCTGCAGGACGCGTTAAGCTTCGCGATGGCGTGCAGATCACTCTTGCTATAGCCCCACGCGCCGCACTACTGCAACTTCGCTCGCCGAGATCAGCCATATCGCACACCCTGTGAACCATAGAATGTCCCAAACAACACGCGATAGGAACGGTATATAGCATCGCCACCCATGCAGGTGTGGACATTGTGATCCTCCAGAAAATCATTCAACCCATTCTCGGAGCAAGAAATTTGCCATACCAATTTCCGACTCGTCGTTTGTCGCCGAGATGAAGGCCACTCATAAGCCAAGTGACGCTTCGACTGTCATGAAAGAGGATTATGGTGTCGTCTCTGTGGAGAAATCAGAGAGTGGGAGTGGACGAACAAGCAATGAAGAACAACAAGCTCCATCAAACGCACAATCAACATCATCAGAAGATGAAGAGCAAGGCCAGCTCGATGGCCGATCAAAGGCCGAGATCTCCATCATCATGTTCGCGCTTTCTGTATGTGAAATCATGTCCTGACCTCAATCGAGAATACACCTAACAATCGTCAGTTGGCTTGCTTCCTCGCGGCACTAGACACCAGCATCGTTGCCACCGCACTGCCCGTCATCGCCGAACACTTCCAAGCAGCGACAAGTTACAGCTGGGTCGGATCAGCCTACCTTCTCGCACACGCAGCTGGCACAGGTCTATGGGCAAAATGGTCAGACATCTTTGGCCGCAAGCCATCGCTCATCGTCGCCAACATCGTGTTCTTCGTCGGTTCTCTCATCGCGGCCTTGTCGAACAGCATCGGCATGCTCATTGCTGGCCGAGCGATTCAAGGTGCTGGTGGTGGCGGTTTGGTCACATTGGTGGACGTCATCATTGCCGACTTGTTCAGTGTTCGCACTCGTGGCATGTACCTTGGTATCGTCTCCGGAGTCTGGGCTATTGCTAGTGCTTTGGGACCTGTCGTCGGTGGTGCTCTGACGCAGGGCGCGTCCTGGAGATGGTAATTCTGCAGATCAATCGTGTCTTGAGCATTGAAGCTGACAGTGATTGCACAGGTGCTTCTGGATTAATCTCCCACTTGACGGTATCGCGATCGCCGTGATTGTATTCTTCCTCAAGGTGCAGACTCCTCGCACGCCATTCTGGCAGGGTCTCAAGGCCGTCGATTGGCTCGGAACCTTCTCCATGATCGGCGGCACGCTGCTCTTCCTCTTCGGTCTTCACTACGGCGGCATCACTTTCCCATGGGACAGCGCCACGGTGATCTGCCTCATCGTCTTCGGGATCGTGCTCTTTGCCGCATTTGTCGCCATCGAGTGGAAGTTCGCAAAGCTACCTATCCTGCCACTCCGCATGTTCAAGGCTCGATCAAATTGGGCTTCTTTGCTCGCTGAGTTCTTCCACGCGCTGGCTTCGATGGGAATGTACTTCTACCTCCCATTCTACTTCCAGTCTGTCAAAGGCCGCAGCCCGCTGATGTCTGGTGTTCTCCTCTTGCCCAACGTTGTCGCAACCTCGCTCGGAGCGGCGATGACAGGTGGCTACATCGCTGGCACTGGAAACTACTGGGGCTTCATGGTCGGTGGTTTCGTCCTGATGACTCTCGGTATTGGTCTCTTCATCGACCTTGGTGTGGATTCGAACATGGCCAAGATCGTTCTTTACCAGATCGTGGCGGGTTTGGGAACGGCACCAAACTACCAAGCTCTTCTTGTCGCCCTGCAGACAAACATTCGCCAGGATGATGTTGCTGCCGGCACTGCTGCGTACAACTTCATTCGCGGTCTCGGTGTCTCGATCTCCTTGGTCGTTGGCCAGGCGCTTTTCACCAACGAGTTCAAGAAGCAAGTTCCAGCACTCGTCACCGAGCTGGGCGCAGAGGCTGCTGCACCCTTCACGAGCCACTCAGTCGAAGCTAGCATCCCGTACATTAACCAGCTCGCTGATGCGCCCAAGTACCTTGTGCGGCAGGCATTGTCGGTTGCGCTCAGGAACATGTGGATATTGTACACCGTGTTCGCAGCTGGCGGTCTCGTCTTCAGCTTGTTGGTCAAGCGTTATGTGCTCACTACTGAGCATACCGAGACTGAAGTTGGTCTCGAAGCTCAGAGGCGCAATGAAGAACAGTATAAAGCGGAGCAGCTGGCCAAGAAAGAGGAGAAGAAGATGCAGAAGCAACACGGTGCCAATTGATGATTATGATAGCAAGCAGTCCGCATAGAGCGCCGGTCCTAGCGGTATGAGTGTTTGGTAGGATAAGTCGTCCGCCTCCGAGGTGCAGAAAGTAATACTTTTGGATCCTGATACGTCTTCGGCTCGATCTTCTCAGTCCTCAATGTGGCAGGTTCAGGCAACTGGTGATATCCAGCATTGTTTCTTTTTGCCGAACGCGCGAACCAGAAGCTGATGTTGTCGAAAGCGCCTGCAAACCAAAGACTCACAGCAACGACAATAATTGTCAACGGCGCAGCAGCTGCCCAGTATGCCCATTGTCCTTGCGCCATGTCTCGAATGTCCACGGTATTCATTCCAAACACGGAGCTCACAAACGAGAGTGGCAGGAAGATGATGGTCACGATGGTGAAGACCAAAATAGCAGCCTCTTGTCGGTCTTTGTTAATGTGAATTTCGCTCAAGTGCCATTCCCCAAGTTCGCTGGCACGGCCCTGTAAAGCTTCGAACAGGTCCAGCCTGCCGCTGATGTGCGCTTTGCATTGACGTAACACCAGTTCCTGTCTAGACGTCCCAAGTAGAGGTAGATCAGGAATCTGGCTATTGCAGTCGAGATCTCTGACGCTGGATTCAAAGGAGTTCAAGACATCAAGCTGCTGATTGAGGATTGTGGTGACAGCTTCAATCTCTTGTTGTAGTCCGCGCAACGTCTCTTGATGAGATCGCGTTAGTGGGTCGGCGACTATTTTTGCTTCCTTTGCAGGCATCAGTACTGTATGCATTTCCAAACAAGGATGAGACTCACGAGCTGTCTGCAATAGTCGCTATACGTCTGCGCCACATCCGGTTTGCCATTCACGAAATCTCGAGTCACACAGTCCAGCATGAGTGAGACTATTCCTCGGGAAGAGCAGACTTCGAAATCCTCTATATCGTCTCTTCGCAGACGCAAGACCAGTGCCTTTTCACCTTCTTCTAGCGCCTCTTTGGCGCTGCGGAAGCGGTTGTTCGGTTCCTCCCAATTATCGTAATAGCCTTTCCCAAGCTTGGCCTTTGCAGCGATTGTGAATGCACTAAGAATATGCAGCCAGGCCAGGTAGAATTGCTCTGGAAGCTTCGAGAGGTCGCTGTCAAGCCCGGAAAAAGCAGCCGCGAAGGGAAGAACAAACTCAAACACGCGATCACACAAAGTTCGTGAAGAAATCCTTGCATCATTTCGATGTCCTTCCTTCTGTCGCTGATGCCCTGAGCAATGTTAGCAAACGCCACACCGATGTGCTAGGAAAGACGCACATTTCCATAGAACGTTTCGTCTTCTAGCAGCTCTTTCACTAGAAGCGATCCATTCAAGTCAGCATGGGTTCCAGGAATACATAGCGCCTGCAAATCTTGCCGGGCACAAGGATTCGACACTGCAGTCGCGCCAATGATGAATCAAAGAGAGGGAGACATACGTGCGCCCCAGAACTTCCGTACAATAACATGATCGAACTCCATAGGCCAGAAGAATCCGAAGAGACCTTGGGACAGGGTTGCGATTAGTATCTTGTGCAGCCGGACGAGACGTTCGGCTTTCGTCATGAGCTTCAAATTGTCTTCGGTAGCGGCGGTCTCCTGTTGCTTAAGCCAGCCTTGAATGTCTTCTAGTGTTGCTTCGCCACAACTCAGGTAGCTGCTGCGAGCTACTTTGTGTTTCGCCGAAGAGAGCGACTGGTGCATGCCTTTAGCCAAGCCTGCCAGTGCGTCTGAAGAGCCTTGGGCACTACGCATGCAGATCTTCATGTTCCGGAACTCTTGCCACAAGTTGGTAAGCCAGCGCTCGTGCTCCTCTGAGACTGTACTCCCAGTGGCCTCGCTTCCATGGCCTTGCAGAAGCTTGTACAAGCCCATCGCATGCTTGTAATTGAAGAGTGTCTCGAATTGCTTCGTTCGACGATAGCTCGGGTAAGCTCTTTTCACATGCAATTCTGTGCCACTCTTGAAGCTGTCATCGAGGAGACCATCCCAATTACTGTAATCAACCGGCTTTCCACGATATTTCAATGCGGCGTAGGATTTCTCGAACATGAAATCCAATATACTCTCGCTAAGCAGCGAGGAAAACTTGGGCACTGAGTGCACTGTACTGGCAGGAAGTCGCCATCTTCGTGAATCTCCAACACGTAGGTCAATCCAGTTCTGCGCAGTCTTCTCTTTGCTGCCGTTCACGAATGTGAGATCCTTTCCTACCTGGTTCAAGGATGGTCTGCTGCAAGTGATTAGGGTATCGTCGTTGACGAGTAGACACCACAAATGTGATACATGCAGATAGTGGCCTTGCGGAGTGGACGGAAGTGTAGTGACCGCCTGAGCACGCTCACGAGCTTCATTCAGCATTCGAGAATGAGTCTGTACTAGCGGTCGCGGAGGATGTTCTGGTGAGCCACTCGACAGAGAGGCAATCTGCGCGACAAGAGACTTCTCTAAGCTGAAGAACGGAATGCTTAAAGCACAGACTGAACTCGTCTGTTGAGTTTCCGCGCCGCGCTCTTCGAGATCAACATCGGCTTCGCAAAACGCCTTCATTTCTCGACCTTGCTGGCGCTGCTGCTCGTTGTTCCTTTGCAGTTTCCTGAGCAATTGATTGACGTGCCGCTTCTGCTTTTGGGGTACTACTAGTAGCTTTTGGACAGCTGATTCGAACTCTTCGAAGGACGGCATTGCACGCTCTAGATGTATCCAGCGAAGCATAGGTGGTTGAGCTTTCTTCGCGGGAGGAGTGGACAAGACCTGGATTTCAGCTCCGAATTCGGTTTCGTCGAAAGTGCTTCCTTGCCATTTTGTTGACACGATGTACCTCTCTTGCACTGGACCGAGCCTCTGTGCCTCGCCACGAGGATGACTGTGATCTGAATTTCCATTGCCAGATCCTGCGGAAAGGGCGTCAAGGTCCATGGAATCGTCTGTCTTGATCGAGGGAAGGAAGCTGGTATCGAAATCGAACTCGGATCCTGAAACATCCGATGATGATTCATCGACGCTCTCATCCTCTTCCTCGTCGGATTCTCGCGTAACATTAGACTTACGCGCATATTCCCAGAGTTCTTTCTCACGGAGTGTCTTTTCTCGCTCCCTTTTGAGAAGTTCCCTCTCTGCCTGGAGTTCCTTTTCGAGACGTTCTCGCTCGAGACGTTCTTGCTCTCGACGCATCCGATCGAAACCCTCCCCAGACTCCCTTCGGGACCTTTCGCGCCCAGCTTCCACATCAATGGCTTCAGCGTCCCCTTCGGAAGAAGATTTGCGAGATCGTGATCGCCGCCTAGAAGAGCGACGCCTGGGAGAACGAGATCTAGTATCACTCCTCGTCCGGGATCGTCTCCACCGCACGTAGGTAGGTCTGGGACTTCTGGACCGCGAAGTGTGCCGCCCCCGTTCATAAATTCGCACTACAGGGGACCTTCGCCGTTCTCGAGTAGCGCGTAGGCGGCTAGTATGTTCGAACAAAATCTCGGTCTCCCGTGCGTCCATTTCGCGGAGAATGACATAGTAATTGGGATCATTCTGTATCATGCAGTCAGCCATCAAAATTTCCAGTTCCGCTCATATCACAATCCATGCCTTTGAATACTCCCAGGGAAGATCGTAATACTGCAGAGTCGCCAAGTCGAGATGGTCGCGATGGACTTTGGGATAAGTGGGAATATATCGCGTCGGGTAGGCGTTGGCATTCGAGGGTCTGAGCACATTTCGCGTGGGCAAGGCTTCTTGAGTTTGACGCACGCGAGAGCCAGTATTTGTGCGAGTGGCGCCAACTGCTGCATTCGAGGTACTAGTGATAAGCCGTTTCTTGTTGCCAGAAACTTTGGTGCGCTTCGTGAAGGCGTTGCCTGTTGTACACGCGGCATCATTTTCGTAATCATCATAGCCTTCACGCATGACTACTTGCAGTCTTGTGTCTGAGGGCGTGTTGGGCTGTCTCATCGGCTTCCCGCACGCGTCCGAAGCTGGATGTCGAGGCTGCTGACCAAATGTACAACGCACGAGCTGATCGGTGAGCCAAAAACAATGTGCGGCCGATCTTAAAGGATGTTAGACGGTCGTGTGTGATGTGTAGAACATGAAAGAGAATAGAGAGGCGTGAATCCATCGCGTGTTGCGGCTGATCCGCAGCTGCAGAGATGATGTGGCGCATGTTCGTGCGGCTGAGGAAATGCTTGACATGCTTCGACATTTTCTTGACCACCATTTTCGACATCTTGTTACTCGCTAGGTGGGTCGTGGGGAAGTCTGTAACGAGATATTGGCCACGACTTCCCGTGAAAAAAGGTAGGATGAAGGTGCGTTCCATATCGAAGTCCGCCAACCGCCAAGACGCGGACATAGCACGACCAAGCCATCCTTGTCACTTCAGACGACATCTCCCCTTCTGCCTCAATCATGCTATTTGTTACTGTATAACATCCGACTGCAAAAGTAGCCTGGAAGCTAAGTAACGAGCACTGTGATAGGATGAGCGAAGTTTTACAAGATACATCACTCACTGGTCTTTACATGAGAACCGCACAACTCGGAATGGTTCACAACTCGCATACGTCGAGATTGGTTGCGGTTGTGCACCACAGTCCATTCGATGAGTTGCTTTCCGTGTTGAAATACAGGCGACATGTGAGTCTGCGGCCCCACGAAAGTCAAAAGTTGAAGACCAATCCAGCACCACCCAATAACATTTTCGACTCGCAAAAAATGCCACCTGGTACCTCTCCACAAATCTTTTACAACCAACTGACCTCCCTTCATATCTCAAACCCTTCTTCGAGACCAATCTTGTACCACAACAAGCAAGCGCCGCAATCATGAATCTCAAGCGCCTCCTCCTCATCTTCCTCACAGCAGTCTCACCCGCCGCCAGCCTGAAGATGAAGCTCTGGCACGGCGTACCGAAAAAGACAAATGGGACAGCGCTCTTAGCATGCATCGACGAGATGCACGCCGACTGGTCCGGCAAAGGCAACACCGACCACTGGAACGGCGATGGCTGGGAATGCGGCGGTGCAACCTGGCAATTCAGCCAAAAATTCACACGTGGTCGTCTGAGAGCCACGGCAGTCATCGCAAAATGCACAGATGAACTGATGAAGTCGGCCGAGAGAGGTGAAGCGTGGGTCAAGTGCAAGGTCACGAGGACGCTGGCTCAGGCGTGGTTGGGCTGGTCGCCGAAGGGGTTTAAGATGTGCGATAATACAGGAGGAGCGCCGTGCCAGCTGGACGATGGCGTCTTGTTGAGTGCTGATGGCGGAGCAGCGTGTCGGGCGGAAGGGTACTGTTACGGTGGTCCTGAAGCTCCCAAAGAGGCGAGTGTGAGTACGCAGACGGTCGAGAGGACGGTGACGGTTCCAGGGGGTAATGTCGACCAGCCAAGTCCGACTGGAGAGCCTGCCAGTGAGGGCGCAGGCCCGATATCCTCGCCTGGAGAACCAGACGCACCGACGGCCAGCACCACTACAACGCAGGCGGAGTCGTTCACGTCAGTGATTTCACTGCCAGTTGTGGTCGGACCAGGGCCACCCACGACTTCGACATCGAAACCGACGACCCCACCACAGCCTTCCTATCCCTCTCCTTCGATAGATGCCACGCCACCGCCTCCTTCGAGTTCGGCGTCGCCCCCGCCGACTCCTCCAAGCCCACCATCCGCAACCCCCAACCTCACCACCTCCTCATCGGCCTCCTCCGCGCCTACCGAGACGGTCATATTCATCACTATGACCTCTGGCCAAAGTCCGACCTTTTCCCCTCCAACAGCACCACCAACCTTTCTGCCCTCCACAACCCGGCGCCCAATAATGTCCACCACCATCGACGGAACCCTTTACACCTATCTCAAAGAGGTGACAACGACCATCAAACCGCCGATTCCTATCACGACGACCATCGACAAACAAGTATTGACCCTGATTCCAGCGACCACTCAAAGCACGCCTCATACTTCAGCAAGCTGGGGACGGCACAAGACATGGAGCAGAACGGGGTAGGCGGCACCAGAGCGTGCAGACGGTGATCGGACGTCGGATGGTCCATGTCGGAAGACCACCGCTGGTTGTGTAGGCTTGTCGATAGTATCGTGGGAATCCGCTTCTCTCGCTCGGTTGGTGCGTGTATAGACCAGTGTAAAGATAATTGACCTTGATCCAAAGTCGGCCGCATCCGGTTGTCATTCAAAATCGGTATCAGAACGTCTCATCCAGCAGCTTCAGTCCCCTCCGGCGCACCCTCTTCGGCATCTTTCTCCTCGTCTGCGCGCTCATCGCCTCGCTCCTTGCTCTTGCTCTCCTTTCCCGACCGCTGGTACCATTCCCCATCAATCCACTCGGAGATCTGATCTCGCGCCCTCGGCAACATGTTGTGATAATCCGGATTCTTGTCCGGCGCGAACATGCCTTGATGCGAAGTAATCTCATCACCGGCGATAGGATTTACGCATTTGACCCACAAGCCTTTCGACTTGCTCCGATCGTCAGCAAATTGGCGCACTTGCTCGCTTTCCGCCTCCAGCCTCTCTGACTCCGAGGGAGACTCCGCTGAGAGTTGCTTTCTCCTTTTGGCCTCCGGCTGCTGTTGTGCTGCATCATCATCGTCCGGTCCGACTCTCTTCGTCCCTACTGGACTGTTCGCGTTGTGGTTCTTCATCTTCGGCACGATGCAAAACGTTCTGTCTTCGCCCAAGCCAAGTTGTCCCGCATACTTGGTCTTCTTCGCGGCCTCTTCGCCCAATGCGCCATAAAAGTTCGCGAATCCCACATCATGCGTGCTGGTCAAAGTGACAAGTTTCTCCACTCTCTTTTGTAACTCCGCACCTCGTGCAAGGCAACCCACGAACTCCAAATGGCTGCCGGCCCACGCCAGACCTTGATTGATTTGATTCCAGCTCAAGTATGCCGCTCCAGCAACGCCTGCAATGCCCGCCGCAGCACCAGCGTACATGGCCAACTTGCCCCACTTGAAGCCTCCGCCGTTTCCGGCTGTGGCATTGCCTGCCGCAGGTGGCAAGCCTCTACTGCTCGCATTGGCAATGGGTTGTTGAGTCGCTGCTGCGCTGCCTTTGTTGCCCCAGCCGAAGAAATTCGCGGCCTGGTCGTACGCCTGATATGCCTTGTTTGCGTGTCCGATCTGCTCTTCCGCGCCATGAGCTAGGACTCCAGGACTGATGCCCAAGAATGGAGTGTCGAAGGTCAACACAGCTCTGATACGCGGGAACATCAGTGCCGACGTGCGCGGAGGCGTTGATCTCGCACTCTCATCTCCTGTACCACTTGTGGTTGCATTGGCAGTCGCATTGGCAGTCGTATTACCATTTCCCGTCTCCGCAAAATGTGGCACGACCTCTTCGCTTGCGACACTCAACGCTGCCTCGGCGGCCACGATGCCGCCCATTGAGTGCCCGCATAGTATGACATGTACACTGGGGTCGACAGTCGGACTCGGAGTCTGGTTTGCAACTTCCAAATCAATGACCTTGTTCTGCATCCACTCTTTAAATTTGGCGACGCATTCTTTCAGGTCACCTCGAGTCTCATATTGCGGGTATTGGGTTGCAACGACATTGATGTCGGGCAACGAGTGCGAGAGGAGAGCACGGAGGTCTTGCGGGAAGCGGTGGAAGGTGTGGTCGGTGCCTTTGAAGCCGTGTATAAAGATAAGGAGGAGCGTGTTCTTGGGTGGCATTTCGAATGGTGTTGGAAGTGCGCAGTAAGCGCGCCTGTGGTAGTAGTGTTACATGCTGAGTTGAGAAGCTGGACTGGGTGGAAATGTGGAAAGTCAGGTCGAGGCATGTGAGATCGGCGCATGACGCTGGCCAAGGAAGCTGTGTTGCACATGGACGATAAGGAGAAACGGCAATGTAATGGTAGTAAATGTACACAGAAGGGCTGCTAATGCTATCTGAGCAGCCCGCAAATTACTACAAAACGACAGCCGAGTTCCGCCTCGCCTCTGTTGTCGTTGCTGCGCCCGTGACACGCTCGCTATGCATCATGATCCGGACTCCCATATCCCTCTAGATCGATATGTAGCTATCGCCGCACGTGGCTGCTCTTGTCGTTCATGCCATCCACATGCAGTTCGGGACATCCTAACAACAAATTTCTTTTGTGTCGAGTATTGTACAAGGAGAAGAGTGACCACCCAAAGTCAAGTGATCGAGCTTGCCGTCTGCGCTTAGAATGGTGGAGATGCGGGAGAAACCGAGTCCTGTTGCTCCATGAGTTCTTCGCCTGATGCTTCGATCGAAACTGCGAGGCCGAGCTTTGCAGAGTTCTGGTGGAGATATTAGCAATTGAATGTGTCGTCAGGGGAGAGATGTCATACCTTGACGTGGTCCAGCTCACCAGCGAACGTGATCCTGACGGGCGGTGCAACAACCTTTTCCAACAGACATCCCAGCTTGCCCTGGCTGTCGATCTGTGCGCGGAAAATGGATCGCGAGAACTCATACTTGGTTCCGAAAGTCGCAACGCCCTCTTTTCGTGCTCCGCCCATCATGCCACCGCCGGAGAGACCTGCGAATTGCAAGTTCACGTCGACACCGGTCTCGACTTTATCCATGAGCTTCTTCCAGTAGCTCAATTGCACTCCGCCTTGTGTCAAAAGCTGCGCGCTCGCAATCCAGTCGTCTGCCTTGTATCGTCCCGCATAGCTGACTGCTGCGTCTGGTCCCATTCCACCTCCTGGTTTTGACCACACTGTCTCCATTCCCAGGGACAATCGTGGAGTGACGCTCTGCAAATATGAACCAATGAACATGCCGGTCAGCTCGCCCTCAAGAATGCTGGGGTTGATGCTCTTCAATGATGCAGTGAAATCGTTGCCAGTGTAATCCTGCTCTAGTGACACTTGCGCACCACCTGGGCTCATTCCCGATGCGGGCTGAATCTGTACGGAAGATTTGAAGATAAGGCGGTTCGTCAGGCGTTGGTTCAATCGCGCGGAGAATGAGGCATCCGAGTCGAGCTGCGCTTGGCAGAGTGTCTGCAGCGTTCATGTTAGCTGATAAATGATGAACTAGTCCAGATGCCGTGCTCGACCTACGTTGTTTGTGCCGTAGAGAGCCAAAAAGGTGTAAGGCGACAGCATCTGAGAGCCGCTTGAGAAGGCATGGCTTATTTGAAACAGAGGGTAGATGGAAAAGCTCTTGTTCAATTCGGCGCGCAGGCCGGAAAAGGTCTGGTTGGTGAGGAAGACATCCCGTTGCACCTCTCGCGCAATGCCATCAACGGTGCCCGGATTGCTCAGTCCCAGCGCCGCCCTTCGGTCTTGGAAGGATCGGTATGTGTCGAGGATGCTGTCGAGGAAGGAATTGGTGCGCATGGGCTCGAGATGGGTAATGGGAGTGACCTCGACCTCTGCGGGCAGCGCAGGCTTTTCCAAAGGAGGTGCCGCCGCCATGGTCGCTGTATCGCGGGATGTATCTTCTGCGGCGATGGACTGTCACCGGCGACGACAATGGCACAGATGAGATGGAGGATGGGAGGAGACGGGAGGGTGGAAATGGGAGTCGTGCTGCAATGAAGGCGAGGCGCGTGGCCCTTGAAGCTGTCCGTCAAAAACTCGCCAGATTCCCCGAGCATCCTCCGCGCGCTGACCTCATGTTTCGTGCCACTTGCGGCTATGGTGCACCGTACCACCATCGCCCTTCACAACGACGCGTCCAGTCACTTCCCATTCATCTCTGCGCGTAAAACAGCCAGTATGCTGCGTACCACATGGGACACATCAGCACCCGGCGAGAACATGAAAATGGCATTCACCTGTTTCGGCTGTAGGTTGCCGCGGATGACTTCACCTCTCATCTGCGGCCGTCGTTTTCCTACCCTCCCTTACACTCGTCCACACACCATGTCCAGCACCTCACACGAAGACGCCATTCTGGAAGAGCAGACACTTCCTAGGTACAGTCAGAGAACATATCTTCCTGTAAGAATCGGCGATGTTTATGGTACGCGATATCGAGTCGCTGCCAAGCTTGGCTATGGAGCATACTCGACGGTCTGGCTCGCAAGAGATGAGAGGTACGACACAATCTTCCTAGCTACGGCGTCACTAAATCATCGCAGATCACAGCAGTACGCAACTCTCAAAGTGTGCATAGAGAACGACAGCACGGACTCGCCCGTTTCGAACGAGATCAACATGCTCAAGCACTTGCAAGACTTTGCCCGGTCCGTCGTTCACCCAGGGACAGACTTCGTACGCATGGCATCAGACGTCTTCGAAATCGAGACCAAGACTGGTAAACATACCTGTATCGTCTCCAAGCCTCATGGCTGCAGTTTGAGGAAAGTGCAAGAGTACATCGCACCCGGAGCTTTGTTGAAGAGCATCATCAAGCCCAATTTGCACCGTCTGATTCTTGCCCTCAACTTCCTGCATGCTACTTGCGATGTGATACACACAGGTACCACGTTTTTGACTGCGCCTTTAAAGTCGCTGCTGACCGAGCTTCAGATCTATCACCACAGAATGTATTAATGCAAGCGGAGCATGAAGACATTTTCAAAGACATTGAAGCAGCTGAGATTTCCAATCGAAGTCCGTCAGTTCAGAAGGTCGAGCGTAATGTTATTTTTCAATCTCAGCAACCCCTCGTCGGTATCTCCACCTACCCGGTGCTCACAGACTTCGGCCAAATGAGGCGTGCGGGACCAAACAATACGGACTGCATCATGGCCGACATTTACCGCGCACCAGAGGTCCTCCTGAAGCTTCCTTGGAGTCATCCGGTAGATCTTTGGTCTCTTGGAGTCATGGTATGGAAGCCGATGCCATGTAAAGGGTTCGCTCGACTGATTCCATTTCGCAGACCCTAGAACTTCTCGAAGGCAAGAATTTGTTCAAACCAATTGACCATGTGCATCGCCAATATGTTCTCCCGTTGGCACTAGCTCAATACATCGGCTACCTTGGTCCCCCGCCTCTCAGAATACTGAGAGATAGCCCAGTCATGGCAGAGTACTTCGACAGTCAAGGTGCGGATGGGCTATCATCATGTTTAGCATGTTTACTGATATTTTGTAGGCAATTGGAACTCTGAGCCACCGATCCCTTCTACTTCGCTTGAAGAATTCGTTACGACTATCACCCCTGGCGAGGAGAAAGACCTGTTCCTCCGCTTTGTACGAAGACTCTTGACCTGGGATCCGCATGATCGAGCAACCGCAAACGAGATATTTACAGATCCATGGCTCATGAAGACTTTCGATTGAACGCTCTGAAGCGGTTGTGAGGCCGTGTGCGGTAAGTGAGTCCTCAGGTCGACGGCTATTTCGTCCGTTCGCCTATCCGGTAAGTCTTCAGCGTCACCGAATAGCTCGGTTGGATGCATTGAAGTCCTGATCATCTCGCCCGAAGCGTTCTGCTCAAGCTCTGCCTTCCGTTTCCACGTTCAACATGTCTCTTTTCGCCCGCAAAGTTCCATTGGTGAGGACGATTTTCGGTAGATTCGGCTTCACGCCACGGCCCACAAACACAAATTTTGCATTCATATTCGCTTTATTGCGCTTCTTGACCTCCTCTACAGCTTCAGACAGTGGATGATGGATGGTTGTTTTCGACGAGTGAGTGGCGTCGCAGCGAGTTGACACAAGACGCGCGTCAATAGAATGAGTATACCGAAGGTAGTCGAACGTAGAACTGTCTGTAAGCGACATTAAACATTCGATTTGGGCATCTACACACTTTGCCCTTTCTCGCCCTCCCTTCTATGCATCTAGCCTGCTACATCTCGAGCTGCAGTCATCACCACAACATCTCCGACGAACTAGTCCTCAAGCCCAAGCTACTTGTACTACTACTCGCACTCCTCTGCATGTAAAACGCTCGGATCGGCGAAGGTGGAGCAACGATTGGCGAGCCGCCCGGACTCTCGAGCTCACAGCCACCACCAAAACTTGCTACTCTCGCCGGTGATCCTCGATTCCTGGATGGCGTTCGAACAAGAGCAAAATAATCTCCACTACTGCTGTTGCGTTTGTGGAGTCACTTTCCCTTGCCTCCCGGAGGAGCGAAAGGCTTCTTCGAGGGAGATTGCGAACGCGACTGTGCTCTTGAGCCAGGCCTCTGAGGCAGCTTCGTTGGAGAACCTGACCGGTCCCTCCGAGACGAGGATGACGAAGAAGTCGGTCGGGCTTGAAGTGCGTCGTCGACCTTGTCCGCAGCTTCTTCGGCCTTGCTTGCGGCCAGATCGATGATGGCGCCACTTCTACCCATAGCATCGGTGTCTTCGTCATTCAGACTCGCCACAGACGCGTAAGACTGATCTCCGGTCTTCGGTGCCTCGTTCTCCTTGTTCGACTTCTGCTCGCGATCGCTCTCCCAGTCGACCGGCATACCATCCTTGACTCCAGGACGTGAATCCCGAGAGGCCTCGAGTACAGCATCCTGCTTGCTCTCGCTCTCTGCGTTAGAAGTGCCATCAGCTGGAAGGAGATCCTGATTGACACCGCCGTCAGCCGGTGCTTGTGATGTACCATCTCGTACGCGCTGCTTGATGTAGTCGATACCTTCCTCATGGACTTTCCCGGGACTGAAGTCATCCTGCTTCTCATTCACGCGTGGAGAGTTGGCAGCGGTATCCTCCTGGTCCACCGACTCATTCTCGAGATCGTTCTCGCTCTTGAACCATTTGTCGTCGCGAGGGGTCGACGCGCCGCTCTTTTTGCTTGGTGACGATGTGCCGTTCGTGTTGGCGGGCTGCAGCTTCTTGCCTTGTTGTTTTGCCTCCTCCACGATATTCTTGCCGGCTTGCTGAGCGTTACCTGCTGCCTTCTTACCAGTCTGCTTCGCCTCCTCGGCAAGATCCTTGCCGGCTTGCTGCGTGTTACCAACTGCCTTCTTGCCGGATTGCTTTGCTTTGGACGCTGCGTTATCGATCTGCTCTTCCAAGTCCTGAATCTGGCTGCTGAGTTTGCGGCCAGCCTTGTAGGAACCTGATCTGAATGCCTGAACGTCTCGGCGCAGCTGTTCTTGGACATCTTTACGGTCTAGCTTGGCAATTTTGGCCTCGAGTCTCTTGCCTGCCTCCTCAACCTTCTCTTCGGTCTTCTTCTCGCCTTCTTTGGCAGATTCGACTACTTGCCTGCGAGAGATGTTAGCAAATCACTTATCACGAGTTCGTAGGTCAGCGGTCATCAGGTTTGATACTTACTTCGCGCCTTGAGAAGCAGTTCGTGGCTTGCCTCTCCTCAAGTAGGCCTTGTAGAAGAATCGTGCGAAGAGGAAAGTCAAAGGAGCCAAGTAGAACAAATTCAGAATGATCGCGAAAGCCTCTCCGGACGTGTCGATGCAGTTGACGCGAGTCCAGTCAGTTCTCCAGCGTGTCTCGTACTTTGGCACGCCTGGGATGTGGTCCTTGAACTCCTCAATCTTTTGCTCCATAACTGGATTTAGTGGCTGGTTGCGCTTATCGTGAACATTTTCTGCTAGCCCTTCCTCGCCGAGCGCTCGGAGAAGCATCTTTTTGCCCAAAGCCGCCCAAGCAATGGCAGAAGGAGTGGCCACGGCCTCTGAGATGACGGACGTTGCGGATTGGGCTTTCGATGTAGCGCTTGATACCACCGAGGAAATGGTGTGAACAACCTGATATGGAGTCGCGATTGGGATGTCATACTGCACGAACAGATGCGCTGCGGCATATGAGGCGCCCCAAAGGAACTGAGCAATTTGCAAGGATGTCAGAGATCGCTTGATCGCCTGTGGAACTCGGTATCCGAGAGCGCTGAGAGTGAAGTAGGTGTACATCAACCCGTGGATGAAGGAGTTGACGAAGACGAACATCCAGATGGGCGGGCTCATGTAGCGAATGCCGGCCCACATACAGAGCATGGCACCTGCGTGGTGGTATGTCTGTAAAGTAGCGCTTCGCTTTCCCTTTGCCAGGATGATCAATGTGTCGACGACCTCGTAGAATTTGCTAATGTAGAAGAACCAGCCCCAGAATGCCAGGCCCTCGTTCCACAAACGACCAAAGTCGGTCGGGTCTGGATTGCCATCGTAGCCCAGACGAATTGCAGTGTTCTTGGCCTCCCAGATGTTCAGCGTTGTGTTGAAGGATGTCGCATCTCCCAGTCCTCGAGGCCCGTGGATCTTGCACAGCGCATCCGCCATTCCTGCCATGCCGTGCTCATTATTGAAGCCGGGCCAAGTGTGCGCAAACGCTCTGCACATGGCCAGGAAAGTCGCAACCGAGTAGACAGTGAGGATGGCATTGTGCAGAACGACGAAGTACCGGAACCACCATTGTCGCGCGACGGCCCAAGGCTTGTGGTTGCGCTTTCGGTTGTAGGCGTTCAGAAGGAAGACGGTGACGATGTAGGCGGAGGCGAAGGCAATGGGCACCTGCGGCTTGAGGGCGGCATTGAAGAGGTCCTTATCAATGCCGAACGGCGCGCGAAATGAGCGTTCTCGTACGGGCGGCAGCAGCGTGTGAGGCAGCGGTTCGGGGCGCAAGGCGGAGAGAGTGAAGGAGGGCCATCGCAAGTAGACTTGCGGGCCCGACATGGCGGCGGCGGTGGTGGTGTGTCGCGTGTCTCGTGTCTCGTTCGGTGGTGGTGCGTATATCGGTGCGTTTCAACAGCGAGACAGCTCGACGCGTGGGGAACGACGCGATCCCAGCTGTGTGCGCCTCTTGCTGTGTTTCGGGCGGCGCGACTTGCGGTGGGCGATCAAACTGCTATCGCATGGTGCGGCAAGGACAGGATGGGGTGGGGAGAAGAGAAGTGCAGTGGATGGTGGTGAGGACGATGATGGTGCGAAATGCAGGCCGATGCTGGGAATTCGGCCGTGTCGCTAACTGTCGCATCGTAATCGTCGGCGCCTGCTCGTGTGGCTGGAGAGCTTCAAATCCCGTCACGCAAACATCACATTTTCTGTCTGTCGACGCCGACGTCATGCAGCGAAGCTTTAATTTTGCCCTTCATCATCACTTTCTACAGACAAAGCCATTGCAACTGCGATGACGACGAATACGCTTGCCATGTGCCGCTCCACTGCCCTCCTGCTCCTCTGCATATCATCCGGCGCTTCCGCGTGAGTACTTGCAGCGCAGCAAGATCCATTCCACTGTTACAAACAAGCTCTCCTGCACCTCCTGCACCTCCTGCACACTCTCCTGCTTGCTTCAGGATCAAGTAAAAAGCCACTTCCAACTCCTTCCCACATTTCCCACCTCTCCAACTAGCGTCCTTTTCATCAATCCACCCGCACCAATCAATCATGTCTGCCACTACTCCAAACAACAAGAACGGAGCCCAAGGTGAGAAAGCTGCCGAGGAGGTCAAAGGCGGCTTGAGAGGACTCAACGTACGTGGTTGCCTTATTCTGCAAGAGCATATATTCACGTAAACGTGTAGAGCTTGGCCGAAGGCATCCGCAAGAACATCAACACTTTCGCCGACGACCTTATTGGCAACAAGAAGACCCACGAATCGACCGGTTTCTCCAGTGATGCCAAGTTAGCCGGGAAGGAGGTCGAGGACGCGGTCAGCGGAAGTTTAACCACTACCACCACGCACCCAACGACAACGACTGATGCCGCTGCACCGGTGCCTGCGACGAATGCTACGGGTACACATGGTGTGAGCGATTCGACGACTGCGGGCCATGCGCCGGCACCTGCTGCTGCTCCTGTCGTGAGCGGTTCGACTCCTGACAGCCATGCTACTGGTCAGCCTGTTGTCGGCAAATAGATGGGCACACAGAAAGACGAGCTGTCTGTGACTTGAAGTGGAAGAAGATGATCTGATACCCTAGAATGAGCTATGCGATGGAAAACAAAATGCAACTGCTCTAACTTTCAAGTGATCCTCGTTCCTGCTCACATTCGATCCACAATGGATGCCTCCCAATCTGACTAGCTTAGATCTGCTTCAGAACACCAACACGAGGCGGAGGGGCCCTTGTAATATGGACGTCAAACATATCGAAACTTTGCAGCTACCTATCGTCGCTCATGCTGGAGCTCCCGGGTGCACAGCGACTGTCGCTCCAGGGCCGTGGTTTATCTCGCTCTGAAGCCCAAACTCCTCATCGCCTGACGCATTATCCTGTCTAACTCTCCAGGCATGCTGCACACCCATTTTCAGACTGATCAGCCTTTCGCTCCTCCTCCGCATGCATATGTTTCAAGTCATCAATAGCTTCTCGTAGCGCAGCCAACGCCTCATTGGCTGAATTGTCTTCGCCAGAGGAATGGCACCGCGATACAATACACCAAAGTGCTTCAGCTTGATTGCAACACTCGATGGCTTCTTCTCAGCCTTCTAATTGTGCTGCCAAGGAGGATCGGCGTTTTCATGCAGATGTAGCAAGAACAAGCGCCATACGCAAGAATTGCCTTATATGTCTCGATGCATTTGTCTAGCTTGTTGTTGTTGTAGTGTTGCGCCGCTTCGTTGAACCAATTACAGAAGTGCTGATCGTAGTTGTAGTCATGTTGGAAAAGAGTGGCGAGGAGTGGGCATTGGGTCACGAAGCAAAGGTTATGAAGTGAGTGAGTTGAAGTGACAGCTGGCATATGGCTTTTGACGCGACATAACCTGTCAACTGACTAGAGGTCTTGCAGATGCGAAGCGAACTGTTAGAGTTGCATAAGAAGTGATGTCGTGAGTGAGGCGCCGTCTCTACCGTCCGTCTTCGGGCCAAAGACTACGAACTTGACGATTGCTGCGCAGTGAGCATGGAGGTGAGCCTACGAAAGCACCAAATGGTGTCGATGAACTCCCAGTACATACTTTCGAAGTGATCGAAGCTCGCAAGCAGCACTTTTGCACTGGAGGTTCGCTGGAAGTTGCAACGGAGTAGGTCGAACATGTGGCAGGTGCGTGGTGTTTGTTTTGACCTCACTTCATTCCGGTCGAACCGACTCCGCTCTACTTGCCAGCTACGATCTCTCCTCTTCGTTCTCATATCGGCTGCACGGAAGTGAACAACTTCAGGTGAGTTGACATACACTTTAACTTGTGAGAGAAAGGTGGAATGCCATGAAAGCAGTGTATAGGCAGATTTTGGGCCGAAAAGCAGTTTTGGGGTGCGCTGCAACTCTTGATATTTTCGAGATATCTGTTCGTATCAAAGGCAGTATTCAGATCGAAGTCGAAGTCTGACTGCAGTTTGCGGCATACGAGTCCGCTGCTGTGAGGTTGTCCTCACGTGTCTGCCGATGTGGGGAATTTGCCTTGTGATGCATGCCAACACTTTCACTCAACCCCAATCACCGGTGATGCCACATCACAAATCCTTCAAAGGTGTATTTTCATTCTGCTTTCCACCATCTCCATGCACTCGCACGTGTTCTTTGCCGGCCACTTTGTCTTTCTCGAAATATGCCACTTCCTCGGAGTCCATGCTACAAAAGTGAAAATGTTAGCACTCTTCACTGACTTCACATACCATATTATACTTACTGTTTCATGACATTATCAGCTTGCCAGCGTTTAAAGCTAAAGCCTACACCCTCGTGAGAATAATCCCGATCGTTAGCTTGGTCTTTGTGGTATTTAACCCTCACAAAACCAGCATCTTCACTCCCAGGCTCGAGACTTAAGCTCACAAGAGCATTGATCGTTGCTGTTTTGGGGATGATCTTGAATGTCCAGCTCTGTTCGTTCTTAAATTGAATCAGATTGTCCTCATTCTTGATGATTTCGTAGCCCTCGTTCTTGGAATCCTTAAACAGCTTGGGGAGAGCGAACCACTGGCCAGCCATCTTGTAGCGATCGTTGGCGTAGACGAATTGATCATCGTATACACAGTCTGGCGTGTAGCGTTCCACACGCTTGATGGTGGGTTGGCATGAGTAGAGAGCGATAATGTCGTCGATGAGAGCTTGACGAGCTGGAGAGAGGGGAATGGATGCTGAGGGGTTGGGTTTCATGTCCTCCGTTGTCGTTTGTTGGCGGACTTCATGTTGCTCGCCTGGAGCGTTGGCTGGAGCTCCGGTTGCGCCGACGCTGGTGGAGGCCATTGTTCTTGTGGGTGCGGTGATTGTAGAGACTTTTGTTTGATATAAGGAGTTCGGAAGTCCGATTGGCCTGAATCGCGATGTCTGAAGTGTGCGTGAGACGATGGGTTGCAACCTCTTAGCAGATTGCATGAATGTGATTGAGTATCTCAAATGCAATGTAGGAGAGGACAAAAGGTGGCATATACTTGACCCATAGCAATTCATAGAGAGCTCGACGTCTACGCGTCGTTGTGACGTGTAATGATCCTGCTACGTGCAGCTCTTTGTGTCTCGGTGGCGGCCATTCCGACCATGCGGTGAGCTGCAGCGGCTCGATTCGAAGATTGCGGGCTATCGTCCCTCCGATGCGGGTGCGCTGGCTGTGTCGATGACACATCGTTGGTCGATGAAGTGCTCATTTGCAACCAGTGATGATGTGCACTAATGACGCACTACGGCTCCAATAGGCCAATGCCAAGCTCAAAGAGCATACTGCACAGTAAAGATTCTTGCTTGCTCGTCTGTAAGTGAGAACAACCATAAGCAGTGTCAGCTCCTGTCGTGCAAACAAAAAGTCATTCAATGCTCAAGCACAAGAGAGAAGTTGGCTTTGGTGGGGCAAAAGTCACTCAATTTCAAATCTTGGCAAAAAGAATGTTTTCTCAAGGTCGTACCCGGAATCTGCATTGCTATTAGGCACTGCGGGCTTATGACACTGAGTGGATGAACGTACCGAACCGCTATTGCACTGTTAGGACGACGTAACGAATTGTGACGATGCGTTGATGCTTACGGGTTCCCGGAAAGTTCTGATGAATCAGAATCCGATGTGATAACCGCTACACTATACCTTGAGGCGAGTCAGTGCTGAATTCTCAACAGGTTTGACAAGGTGCGACACTTACAACCACGAAGGTGTGCAATCATTGGTTGATTGATGGCAGCACAAATCCAATGCTAGATATGAAGCTGAAATTGAATTGTGCCGATCTTTGGCCGAACGAAGAGCGATCACAAATTCGAACCAACGGGCACGAGAGAAGTAGAGAAATGCACCCGCCTCCACCGGGCGCTAAATGATGCAATTGTTCGAAGAGTGCATAAGGCAGCATGGAGTTCTCGAACTGATGAGTTCCACATCATGGCCGATCGGCCTGTGCTGGAGGTAGATCCTTCTCCAGATGACGGCTATCAAAACGCTCTTGTCACAAACTGTGGAAGCGTCCAAAATGCAGAGGCTGCACCAACTTCGCACCTACCTTCCCCTCGAAACCCGAGAGTGCTCCAGGTCAAGTAGGTGCGCGGAGCACTACTACCGCGGAGGTAAGAGCACACAAGGAAAGGCACCTGACCTGGGAAGTGGCCATTTTTCCATCTCGACTTCGGCTTCACGCTCACAGACCGAATCCCCGCTCGACAACAGCGAAGTCCACCTGCTAAGTGGCCCGAGCGAAAGCTGGACGCCAATAGATGACCACCATCGGGATGGGCGACCCATAGATGTGACTGGCCACAAAGTGCATGGCCAACAGATTTGTTGAACAACCTCTCAGATTGGCTGATGGCTTTAGAATAGTTCTTCATGCGATGTGGAAGCTACTTGACCTGGCACTAATAAAGCCTACGAGCGACATTACTACTCAGAACCAAAGTCAACTGGTCACAGATTCGGCGAGTCACGCAGTCTACTAGTGGCGGGTGCGTGTCCAACCCAAACTCCTGCCATCAGACAACGCCAACACAAGAATCGGCCAATCGCACAATCCGCCATTGGCCAATTGTACCCTCACCTTATCGTGGAACACACACAGACTTTCGACTTCAGTCTCAGTGGATTGTCAATAACCGAATCTCCAGTCTCCACAATCCGTCGTCGACAGGCTGTGCGATCGAAGTGGTAATTAGAACGTATAGACTTTCGATGATTGATCTCTCCGATGTAAGCGCCATACTTGGATGATTGGAGGGGAAGAGAGAATAGCTACCAGCGAAACAGAGTAGATTGCTATAGGTAAACACGTTGCGACAGCAGAAGTCTGAAGCCAGCGCCCAATATGCCTCAGGTAGGATATATAGAAAGAGCCTGCAGACAATCTGGAGGGTCTCATGTCATGCGTTCATTATGCCCTAAGATTCACTCCAAATCTCTTCTGAAAACCGTCCACATTATGATAATTAACTCTCTCTTCCACGAGGGTCTCCCGGAAGGCAGCACAATTCCACTTCCCGCGTTCTTTCCCTAACATTGCGCGAGCAAGATCGAGGCCCAGATCTTGAATCGAGACAGTTGATCGGCCCTACGTGGTCGGATACTGAACCGATTGAAGAGGCTGTCAGAAGGAGATGATTCTGACGATCTCTTTAGTATCTGGATGAACACGCAGCGCGAAGCGGTAGTGAAATTTGCTGCCCGAAAATAAATCCTGGGAAAGGACCGAGCGACTCAAACTCTGGATCATCGAGATATATTTGACCTGATCCATTTCTAACCCTGATGCCACTGTGCAGTCCAAATTCACAAAGCGACAGGCGCCAAGAGTCTCACATTGTCGTGAAGAACGAATAAGTGGATCATCTCCAATGGAATGAGATAAGAATGGCCTGGCATCTAATCACTCCGGGCAGCACTGCGTCGACCAGATCCTCAGAGCAACGGTCGCCAAGGCTTTGGACACAGTTGCGAACGATGAGCAATAATTCTTTTCTGAGATGTTGAACCAGTATCAACACGACTCATATCTACCCCTAGTTGCAGTGGCAGAGTCGATACTTCAGAGCGACGGGCGCCAAGCCTTTGACACAGTCGTGAAATTCCAAGTGGTGCAGAATCTCTGAATAGTCGAAGCGAGCCTGTGGGACCCGAGCTCATCGGGAAAGTCCATGATGAGGAGCCTCGACCATGCAATAGAAGGGAATGCAACGTCCGCGATTTGATAATAATGTTCGAACTTGCCTCGACCTTTGCAAGGATACGACATGAGGCAAGCGAACGGGCTCGAGAAGCTGCTAGAAAGTAATTTCAACCGGGTATCAGGAATGTGAAGATTTTCAATCTTTTCCAGCTCTGCTTTGAGGCGCTTCTGGAAGTGGTCGAGAACAGCCCCGTCCCCAGCTGGCCACACTGTGCTAACGTCGATTGTTGCCGGTGGCGCGGAAGCAGGATCGTATGCTCGAACCTTTTGGTCAAAGCGTGCAAATCGCGCTGCGAGGTCGGGTGACATGGCAGCCTGGAACTCGTCCAGCACCTGATCAACGGGTGCGTCGATAAATTGATCAGATAGAAGGCTTCTTGCAAACTCCTGAGACAGATAGTGGACGTTATCGTATTCGTCATAGTCGAGAGGCTCATGGAGGCGCCATCTTGTGTCCTCAAACAGGAGCTGGAGCTGCATTTCCGCGGATTCAACATCTGATATCAACTGTGTGGACCAGTACAGGAGATTGGATGTCTGTCATAGTTGATGAACGCCGAGGCATCTGACATATTCACGTTGCACAAGAGCCCTCTCATCATCCAGGAGCTCGTTCGACTCATCAACGTCTTCCTCTTCCACTTTCACTTCCACATCGTCAGGGACGGCTTCAGCAGCGACCAATTCAGTAGACACCCGAACGCTCGTAGAAGGCGCTGAACTGGCCTTGTTGAATGAGCATGTTTGCCTCGAGGACCCGAAGCCCGTCGATTTGGGCCCGTGGACATTATCTGCGTCCAGGTCTTCGTCCATGCGGTCAACATCGTCATTCCAGCTAGGAGCAATTGACGATCGAACAGAAGAGCGTGCCACGGAGCCATTTACATCATAGGTATCTGTGCGATCACCAGGATTCCAGCCTTCATCCATCGGATCAGCCTCACGGTTGCTGTCCATCGCAGCAGAGTCACGACGAGAGCTAGGTCTGCCGTGCCATGGGTCACCGACGCCGCGTGGGGCAGGTCAAGACGCATGTGGAGGAGTGGAGGAATGCTGCGACGAGCCTGCGCTGCGAGCCAACCTCGAACTCAAAGAGGTGCGAGAGGCTTTGGGAGAATTTGTGCGTGAGATGGCGGTGGCCGGACGTCGGGCTTATTATAAGCAATTGGAGTCTTGCGTTTGAGAGCCCAGTGGTCGGTGAACGGGAAAGGCACATTACTCGGCTCAAAAACAGCGCGCAGAATAGTAGTGCCCAAGGTTACGGGATCAGTGTCCTCGAGGGCGAACGCCATGGCCTGATTACGATCGTCTTGCTGTCGTTCTGTTTCCGATGCAAAAGCCCACATAGGCTGCTGTGGAAGTGCACCGCCTAGTGCTGCGGGGGGTGTGGTCTCGACGTTCTGAGGCTGGTGGGAGTCGGCCGCGACTGACAGCACCTCTTTGATGAAGTCTTGATCTTCAAGGAATCCAAAAGCCTGCAGGAAATCATGGTGTCTTCTGCGGAAAGATGCCACGACGTGTGCTTGTGCTTGGGGGTAATGCTTTGAGGCTCGGAAATCTGCCACAACACCATCAAAAGTCTCAGGCTTGCAATGATGCCGCAAAATCCGAATGCAGGCGTGATATCCAGCCGGATCCTGGGTTTCGATACTGGCGCCGGGCAGCGCACGTTTAAATGAGTTGCAGAAGGCGATCATAGGATCCATGGGCTTTCCAGCTTCATTGATGTCAGGATCACGTCCCTTGGACTGAGGACTGTGCAAACTCTCTGCGACAGTCGATGGCACCGGCAGGTCGAGGAGGACGGGGCTACTACCGGAAACCAAAACAGAAACCAGGATTGAAATTCCGTGCTCGTTTGCCCGTAGAATTCGGGTACCCTTTCGATCCTAGTATCTCCACCGTGTGCAGCGCAGCTAAGGTGCCCTGTCTCGACAAGCCAGCAGCTGCGGGATCCAGTTCGCGAGGAAGATTGCAAAGTGAATGTACTTTCCAGTTTCCGTTTTGCTGTCCGCAACTAGGACGGGGATGACCGATGCCCAGAGTTCATTTTCCTCGTAGAAGCCAGTGGCGAAAGGGTATACTGGAAATCTGTACCGAAAGCCACTGGGACCTGCGCTCGCGCTTCTGGGTCGTTCTCTGAAGCCCTCAAATTCGCGACAAACCGCTCGAAATCAGCAGTAGCCAACTTCGAACGAATGATGCGAGTCGCAGCAATACATCGCAGCTTCATATAGGGCGCGTCGACGCGAACATTTCGAGCCGCACACCACTGGTGCATCGCATCCAGTGGTACAATGGACGCGCGATCTTCATAAGTCTGCACAAACTTGGCGAATTCAGTGACCTTTATCAGAAGATTGTCAGCACGAATGCAAGATTTGGCCGTATGAAAATGGGTGCTTACGACAGCATTGGCGTGTTCCGGAGCCTTCGGTTTGGGTTTCGCTGCTCGAATCTGAGCATTCACAGCATCGGAGTCCACTTGCTTGCTCGCCCCTAGAAAAATTGAAGGCTGAAGAGGTGGCAGATCAGGCACAGGCTGCGATCGATCCGCACGGAAACGTCCTCCGAGAAGGGTATCTAGAGGTGACTGATCGTACAGAGCTAGATGAAGAGGGGGGACTGCATCTGATCGAGGGTATCTATCGTGTTTCCAGCGGAGAAGGAATTATTGTTCATGTCGTTGTTGATGACTGAAGAGCTAGCCGCACTGCCACGAGAGTCATGATTCGGGTCAGGGCTCATGGAACGTAGTCCAGCAGATCGGAAGTTGCTTTGAGGCAGAGGGTGCGGAGATCCTAGAAGCGAGCCGAGAGAGGGTTGCCTTGAGGGAGTCGAGGGATCTTGCTGAAAGCCGCTGGAAAATTCCTTCTCTGCAGCCTTGCCAGATGTCGCTGGGCGTAAGACTTCGGTGCGAGGATGGAGGTGAGCAGCAGAAGCATCTTCAGAAGTGGCACTGCTTGACAAGGGAGTGAGGCCACGGTCTACTGGCGGCGCTGTGAATGCCCCAGTTGGAACAGCCGGCAGCGTACCACTCAGTGCAGCAGGAGGCGCGACTTTCTTGACTTGCTGACGCTGGCTGGAGTCGACTGCGACAGCTAACGCTTTCTTCAGAAAGTCTGGTTCGTCGAGAAAACCCGCGGTCGGTAGGAAATCGCGATGCGTATTCCGGAAGGACTCCAGGACATGCGCTTGTGTAGGACGATGTTGTTCTGAAGCCGCCAAGTCTGTGGCCAATCGCTCAAAGTCCACATCACTCAATCGCGAGCAAAGCACGCGCGCGGTGGCAATGTTTCGAAGACTTGTTTGAGGTTCATTGACTTGGAGGTTGTGCTCTGCGCACCATTCGTGAAGAGTTGGAAGAGGCACCACAGGTTCCGTATTCTCGTAGCTTCGAATGAAGCTCACGAAGCCAGCAGCCTTTTTTTGTCAGTACGAAAGGTGAATCGTAAAGTGTCAGTGACGTTGGGGACTTACAGTGAACCTGACCTGCTCTTTCGCCTTCGACTGAGCCTGAGCCTGAGCCTCTACTGCTTGAATCTGTGCATTTACAGCGGCAGAGTCTACGAGCTGAGCGGCGTCTTTGAGAATGGAATACTGAGGTTGCGGCGAGTCAGCCAACGCCTGCGAGTGATGCGGTCGAAATGAGCCTCCTACATGTAAGGTGGACTCAGAGGGAGGCTGATCATGACGCGGCCGCTTTGCAGGCGGTTCACTTGTCAAAGATGGAGATTGAGAATCCGTAAACAGTCAAGGAACGGATGGCCGAGCAGGAGCGGGCAGAAGGCGGCGCAAAGGACGACGTCGCGAGGAGTTCGTCTGGTCCGCTGGAATTTGGGGAGCCATTGGGGCCCATCCGCTTGAATACCACCTCGTGGCGGCCGAAGTCGAAGAAAGAATAAATGTCGGACGAAACCGAGTCCTGGTGGTGAGCGAAGTGAAGAGACTTGACTTCGGTTGCTTGAAGTGACCACAGTCACTGACTCTATCACTTGGTCCAGAAGTGACCAGAATTAGGTCACTGCTATGAGCTGGGCCAACATGATCTCATGAGCAGACGTCTGGCCACTTTCTGCATAAACTTGGACTCTGCCACCTCTTTTGATTCGTCCTTGATCTCGACTACAACCCAAGCCATGGCAGGACCCAGTTCCAAAACTGGCAAAGCTGGTGATCAGCAGGTCACCAATGCAGACAAGCATAGTCAGAATCATGGCATTTCAAAGTCCCACTCGCCCGTGGGTAGAGCTGCAAGCAAAGGCGTCCACCAAACATCCATTCCAGCTCAATCTCAAGCTCGTGATGCAAAACCGGCGAAATTCTCGAGCGCACCAACTTCTCAAGATCACGCGTTGGTATCTAGCCGGTCGTCTTCCGTCGCACAGCTGACCACGATACTAGTTCTACCTCTTGCCAAGACGAGGCGAAGGCCGGTAGCACGAAGCCTTCCCCAGAATCGGTAACAGTCGAGAAGGACCAGAAAGTCGCCGAGAACTCAAGTGGTTCAGAACCCAAGGCTACCGGGGAATGGGGCGACATCTACGACGACATCAGTGACGACGACGACGAGGCATCAGATGATGATGACGAGGACGATGGTTTCGACGATGCTGCTCGACCAGGACAGACGGCGACGCAGTACGGTTGGCTCTAGGAGGTGAACCCCGGCTCTGTGGCATGGTACCAAAGAGGTCCCATGTCGTTTCTGACAGGCGACTTCATCGGGATGGACTCCGAAACGACTGTGAGCCATCGGTTGCTGGTGGAGAGATGCTGTCTGCAGTATCGCGCCAATTGCACCTTCTGACTTCTACGCGATGCTTGGGCTCCAAGCATGTTATCGCCGCTGTAGTGATGGAAGCGGCATTTCGCGGACATCGACTGGGTGTGTGCGTAATGGTTATCAGAAGTAGCGTGGTCCTGCGTCTAGACATTACAGACATATGGTACTCACGTATCATTTTTGTTGAGATATGAGAGTCATGACTGTAGTGGTGCAAGTCTGCACTTGCGGCTGTGCCACGGTCTGTGACATTGCTCCACTTGCTCGCGACTTGAGCCTCAAGATCTGTATCGAGATCTCGTGTTTCGGTTGTGCAGCTCGGCAGGGGCTGAAATACGTGGTGCTGTGGCAGCCTGTGAGCGTGAGCAACCTGTACGGTTGGCGGCACGTAGCTTCGACAGAATGAAGTGTTTGGTATGCTATCGTGACGTACAAATTTGAGCTGCCGCCCCCCGGGCAATCGGGCAACCGTGTTGGCATCGGTGGTGGGTGAAAGCATGCGAGCATCGCGCACGCTGTGTGTAGCTACAGCCAGCAATGTGCTCTCCCAAAAAGTCAGGACAAGTAATCACATCTGGTCTGCGCAGAGCACAGCGTCGACAGTTGTTGCAGCATCAAGATGTTCGGCGTGGCGTTTTAGCGGCGCAGATCGAAGATGAACAACCAAGTATGGCTACTAAACCCTAACGGACCCGGTGCTCTTGCCGTCGTTGTCAGAATCCTTGGCACCCTCACTCGCCGGGAGGGACGACCACCGGTTTCCTTCGTCCGTGGACTTCTCCTCCTTCATTCACATGATGACTACTCTCTCCACGCTTACTTCCTCTCTCTGTCGGCACCACAATCACTGCAATCGGCCATGAAATCATTCTTCAACTCTTGTCTTGCACTTGACAATACGGTCTAACGCTCTTGATCGCGTTGCCCGAATGCAGGCAATGCTGTCGTGGCGTTACGGTCGCAAGTTTGGTGAAGCTCAGCTGCTTCACCATCCAGAGTAGCCTGAGCCCACAACAACGCACCACATCAGGCAATAACAGACAAGACTACACAACACACTGGACCTCGAAAGGAAAACAATGATCCGAGCAGGTTTCGTGTAAAGTTCAGTATGCGCCCTTGCGGCCGGTAGCAACATCGCAGCATGACCAGTCCTACACACACGAATGCGAGTATATCGACCACACACACTCTAACGGGCAACCTTTACGCATACAATTCCAAATCTACGATCTGTATAGACCGACTGCATCGATACCTGCATTGTTACTGTGATTGTAGCGGCATGCACCGTCGCGCTCGTCAGCCACCAAGCCACGAAGACCACCACCGACAGTCCAGACCTTCGGCGACGAGGCCGAACACCAACAATACCACACACCTAATAATGCAACGCTCGCACACGCATCTCTTGCACTGGAAGCATTCCTGTCGGCATGAAAAGCTCCAAAAGTGAGCTTTGCCCGCCACTGGCGTGATTCGCTATCCTGCACAAAAAACACCCCGCAGGCCCAAAGATGCCCGCCTCCGGCAAAATCACACTCTCTCGTGCTCTCACTGGTCCTCTTACGTCGCCTTTCCGGATTCTCCGATTCCGACATGGGTTGGGAAAGATGTCAGGTTCATAATGATGGCATCTATGGGTGGTATTCCCATTCACTCTCAACGCCTTCCAGCCTTGAGATTTCCTCCCTCTGGACTACTTTTGGACGAGACAACGATTGCTTTTGGGGAACTGAGGACGCTACAAGTCCTATTCTGGCGATATTGTTATTCTGGGATCACGCTGCGACCCGCCGTCTGCTCTACACAACGCCTAAGCAAAGGAAAACTTCCACCCGAGCCCAAGGAAACCGGTAGTTACAGACATGGCTCGTATACTCATTAACTCATGCGACGGATATCACCGCGCTGCCCTGGTACTTTTGTGCTGGATCCATCTCAGGAACATCGCTGGTTCGGAATACCGCCATCCCTCGATGCCTCACCTCAGATCCATGCTGTCGCCTCGAAGCTCGCACTGGTAGTCATTTGGATCACCCCCGGAACCCGTAGGAGATGCGATACCATTCGCCACATACGACTGCTTGCGCATGTCGGAGGCGGTGCGCGGTGGCAAAAATCCCAGCTGCCCGCTCATCGACGAGGCACGACCGCCAAAGCCTGTTGAAAACGACTGCGCTCTCGAGGCTGGCTGCGAAGCAAAGCGAGGAGAATTCATTGCCGACCCGTCGCTGCCTATCGATGGCGAAGGGATGCCAGGCCCTGGGATGCCCATGCCGATGCCAGCTAAGCCCATTGCTGCCGTTCGGGCGGCCTCTTGCGCTTTGTTGTGGTTGTACATGTGTATGGCCGAACACTTGCAGCCTTGGGTGGGGTCGTGCGCGAGAGCTTGATGTCGCAAGCTGGAGAACAAGTCGCGCAGCTCCCGCTCCTCCGCCCTTAACCTGTTGTTGGTTGCTGTGATGTGTCTAGCTGACTCTTCTAGGTCCTCGGTATGCGTCTTCTTCTTCGCACGACATTTCGCCGCCGCCAACCGATTCTTTTCTCGATACTTTTCGCGCTTCCCGTCCACCTCGCCCTCGCCGTCATCCTCGTCCTCGTTCGCGCTTTGCGCCTTGCTACCTTTGGCGCCCTCCTTCTTCGCTCTCTTCGCTTTCGCGTGTCGCTGATTCGCAGCGTTACGTGCGCGCTCAGATTTTGCACTCAGAACTGGTTCGCCGTTCGATGCTGCGGGGAAGTCTTTGGGCGGTGTGTCGTCTGGCGGGGTGATCTGGCCGAACTGTTGCGACACGCTGGAAGGTCGCCCCTCTAGGATCTCCGACTGCATGGACTGTGAGTGAAAAGTCCGCGGGGACTTGACTTTGCTCCATGACGTCGATGCTGGCGAGATGGCTGTATTTTGTCCAAAGAAGACGGAATTGTCTAGAGGTTCTGAGTGCAAGTGATGAGATGCATTACCGCTTGAGGCTGGTCAGTTTGATACATATCCCTCGGACGCTGAGCGGAAACTCACCCTGGATTGTGGATTGTTCCAAAGTCCGGCTGCGCGCCGTGGGTGGTATTGAACATGTTCAACGAGGCAATGTTGCGCTGCATGTTCTCGTACTCATCGTTGCCGGCGTCGTCAAAGGCGAAGTCGGCTTGCGGCTCAAAGGCAGCGTCGCCATAGCCAGGCTGGTCATGTCCGGGATGCATTGTGGCGGCGATGAGTATCCTGGTGGCCGCGGAGAGTAAGTGCAACAAATGTATTGTGCTCACAGGCGAGGAATTCGTCGCGGTGGCAAATGAAGCTTCGGTCTGCTCTGGTCTCGGGCTGCTGCTGCGACTGTGACTGCGATTGATGGAGGCCTGAAAGCCTGAAGTGCAGTCTGAGCCGTGTAGGTTGTGCAGTGGAAGAGAGTGCGCTCACTGCAGGCTGGATTGTGTTCAATGATGCGCGTTCCGCCAGAGTGCGGGCGTGGTGTTTGCGCTGATGCTGGTGTGGCGAAGGACCAAGGAGCTGCGTCCGACAGCAGAGGTGCGTAGGTACCGAGCGAGAGGTAGGCACACGCAGCTTCCGTGCGGCTTCCGGCGCGCGCTGTCGGTTTGTCGAAAAGGGCGCCTTGAGTGCTCATCCACAGAGAGCAGATTCTCCCTGCCCTCACTGACCACGCGCATTGCACGAAACTCTGCCGGAGCTGATCCCGCCCACAGCGCCGATACGTCAAGCACAGCGTGCGGGAGCTCGATCGGCGATGTCTCCACGTTCGACTGCGATTGACAAGCCACAGGCCCACGGCCCCTCAGCCCGCCCACTTTTCTTTCATCACTGGCCGACCCTCGGGTTGCACCATTTCGCCTGCTGGAGGCACCTCCGCCAGCTGCACGTCGCCTCGACATGAGCACCCTACCTTCGGAGCAGCGAGCGAGGCCACGATGCGTCGCCTCTCGCCGTCACTGTCGCTTCCGCTCGTCGACTGAGTCTGCACATGACCCCAGATCTTGCTGAAGCTTAATCACAATGCGGCTGAACATACCCGGCGGTGCAGACGGTAGCAGACACGACTAGTACGCGCTGTGGCCCATCACAGGTGCAAAGTGACCTGGAGTGCCTGGTCCAAGTGAACATCGAGACATCTTTGGCGGAGGCTGCAGAAAGCAGCCCGGCATAGTGTCATCACGGAGCCCCCTAGCTCATTATGCACAACTTGCCGCGAGCCATTGCTGCTGCAAAGTCTGAAGTCGTGTATTCGCACTCGCCTGCCATTTGCCGTCTAGCAACTCCATCATCTCCAGTGTGTCACGAAGGGGAATCTCTTGGTGCTTCGCAAGCCGCAGTGTCGGTATGATGCACCCTCAGCATGACATCAATACGTTCTTCACATGACATGACATGACGCCTCGTCACACTACCCGCTTAAGTATATAATAGCCCCTGTCGTGTCGTGCCCTGGTCGTGTCTTTCTCGGAGATCTGCACAAATGCTTGGCCATGTTGGTGAGAGCCTACAGTGATCGCAGAGATCAACCGCCGTGTACCGCAGTGGCATGATCACCACTCCAGACGGACTTGACAGCACGAACTGTATTCTGCATCGCCCACGCTGAGTGGTAGAGCCTCAACTGGCTCATCACAGAGCCTACTGTCCGCTAGGGTGACCGTTGCTACTACGGTCCCTTGCAACGCTGAAGAATGATCGTCTGCAGGCACCACGTAACGCAGAACGTACTAATAAGTGTGAAGAGAATTTGAGCTTGTTTTATCGCAAGAAGTGGCGCCTCGGTTGCTTTCATGTGCCATTGTCGCTGTCCTCACGGATCCGACTTCTCATTCCACCGCCACCACCGAGCCACGTGGGAGACACAATTTTGACTTCGATTCTAACTTAGCGGCCGAAACGACTTTCAGGAATGTCAGGGCGGGCCGTCTGCCGCGCCCAACGCTGCGCTATTGCTGCCCGCTCTTCTCAGACCTCAATTTGTGATGCCCTGCGCACCCGCTTCGGGCACGGCGACACGGCAACGAGCTCTCGGTAGTGAACTTGACCGCCGGAAGCGTCAGGATCGGAGCTCAATGTCGGCTTTAGCGGCGAGCGCCCAGTCACGCGAACTCTGCGGGTCATGGCAAGCAATGCCAGCAGTCCTGCTGTGCCGAAGAGCGTGCAATCTGTGACACGAAGACACGGCGCTCATGACTCGGGCCTGGACCATGGCGATGGAGAGCACAATGACTATGCGGCCGCCGAGAAGCGAATCACGGAGCTGTCTCAAGAGAATGCCCTGCTGGCGGAGAAGGCTACCGCTGCATGTACGTTCCCTCTATCTGGCGGCACTTGAGCGAGCTCACTGTGCTACCACACACGAGCATCGAGGATCTGCTCAATGGATGTGCTAACTTAGTCACTCTACAGCATTACGCTTCATCGACTACGAGAATGAGTTGCGGGTCTTGAGAGAGGCCCTGCGGCAACAGCAACAGCAGAACCAGAAACAGCCGCACCAGCGTCCGACCTCCGCTTCCTCGAGCAAGTCCGATGAGCAAATACACAGTGCGCCCGCAGCGGCGCCAACGGACAGAATTGGTCTGTCACGATTCGGCAGCTTCATGCGCAAGGCATCCGTTCCTTCTTCCAATGCCAGTGATACCACTCACGAGCAGCGCAACCACGAGCTCGAAGCCTCCCTGATCAGAGAGCAGACTGCACGCATTGCAGCCGAGACCAAAGTCAAGGAAATGAGCGCGGAGATAGAGGAACTGAGTGCCAGTCTGTTCCAGCAGGCCAACGACATGGTGGCTGCGGAGCGCAAAGAGAAGGCTCGGCTTCAGGAAAGAATTGACAGTCTCGAGCAGACGAATCAGAAAGCTGATGGCGCTCTGAAGCAGGAGAACCAAAAGCTGCGCAACAAAGTGGAGGCGCTTGAGCAGCGCGAGACGGAGCGTAAGCGGAGACTGGAAAAGCTGGAGAAAGCACAGCAACGGATCGACCGCGTACGCTTCATGCTCAACCCAAGATGAAGGAGCGAGGAATGGATATGGGTATACAAGTGCGAGTGGTGCCTCGCGAACACGGAGCCAGCAACGCTCAGCCCACGAGACCACGAGGGTGGAGCCTCCGCTCGCTGAACAAGTGCTATCTCGTTCGGGAAATCGCAGGCGGCATGTTATGGCCACAAGCACAGCAAGCGATGAGACTATGCCGTTCGGCATACCGGCCAAGGGGCGAGAGCCGGCCGAACACACGCTCGAATGACGCCTGAATCATTGCTCACCTGGATAGAGGGCATGTGGCTTACTGGCTGGTTTGTGCGGCCCAGTCTTCATCAAAGCTGGCGAGTTCGTGCCAAGCGTAGCGCTCTGGACGGGAACAGGCACTGCACACACGCACAAAACGCGTCACCGTGACTCTGGAGAGATATGCACACTGCCACGGATGCATGCGCCCTGCACGCGTAGTTGGAGCGGAATGTCTTCCACGCGAGACACCTCGCACAGATGCATTGTACAAGGTGTCTGGACAACGGCAGTCGGGCTGCAACGTGGCACGATACTTCGAACGAAAATACGCCGATCGCGCTTTGATGCTTCTTTTCAAGCATTATTGGCTTTTCGAAGCACGCTCGCTGGCGCTCTGCTGTGTGTGTGTCATGGCGGATCGAGGACCGACTGAGTGGTTGAAATTGCGAATACCGACAGCTTGGAAGCGAAGAGATCGCATCCGCCAAGGTTTGTGCTCTCAACTGCAACGACCGCAGCGGCTCCTTTCTCCCTCACCATGAGACACTTTTGACCCCCAATACACCCCGTCACGACGTGGCAGTAGCCAGAACAGGCTGTTGCAGAATGCTGAGAGTCGCCAGAACCTGGTCCTGGTGATGAAAACGCGATACGGAGTCCGTTCCGAAGGGAACCAACACGGCCCAAGACCGGCTCAGCAAGACAGGACGGCGTCCGCGCAAAGGTGGATCCGGAGTGGTGACGTCCGAGAGATATACACTCAGTGCTTCAGCAACAACTCAGCTCGACTGGGAATCAAGGGCACTTCAGATTAAGCACAGGGTCTTGGACTGCCTGCCAAATGCCTGGCTTGCGTGGCCAATACACAACAGCGATGGCGGCACACACCCGACCTCATCCACCGACGTTAGATGGCCTGCCCAACGAACTCAAGCTGCTGGTCTTTCTGCATACCCCAATCAAAGGACTACTCAACTGCCGCGCGACCAATCGCAATATCAGAGCTTTCTTGGATGACCCGAAGAATCGCGAGAGACTCGCCCGCCACCGTATATCAGCAAGGCTGGGAGAGTTTGATCGTACTTGCGATGAAGTGATTAGAGCCGTATCAGAGCTACCCTTCATCGACGCATTGAAGGTTTTTCTGGACCACCGAGGCATTCAACAAGCTGAAGAAGATCGACAGGACGATGCGCACGCGTTCGCAGCTCGACGCCTGGCGCACATAGGCAACACGGACGAAGACGATCTTGACGACATGACCAGCCTAGTGCGACAATTCATATATCTTCATCTTAGGAACAACGAGCCTCACTTGCTTGGTGGCATCGGTCGGATCGAAGTAAACATGGTCGACTTTATGGCTTTGGCGGAGGCAAGGGGCCGCAGACTAGGGTTCAGCTTAGCTGAGATACGGGGCATGGTAGACAAAATTGTCAGGACATCAGGAGGGTTCATCCAAGGGAGAACAAATCGCAAAAGCCGCAGTCTCGATGGCGGGTTCCCTCGTATACCGTTAACGCCTCTGCATTGCACTGGGAGAACAAGGATTCGGCAGGTGCGATTCCAGGGCTTCTGTACTGTGCTGGAGATGGTGCAGCTGCTTGACGTGCCACACATTGGAGATGGCGGTGATTTCAGCTATTATACGGAATCTACATGGTCGTACCACATGTTGCAACAGAGTCTTTATGGACGGCAGCTCAATCTGTTTGAAAAGGCAGCATTATTAGAGGAGATTGGCATTTATTGAGCATATTAGATCGCATCATATGGAGAGAAAGCAGGGCCCAGGCGCATCCGCGGGAGCTTCGAAACTTTATTGTCGTCTCCAACCAGTGCAACCACTACGCCCAAATGAACCGCGCCACCAAACCAGAAACCTGGGGCTGAGACCTCATCTCAGCTCGCATCACATCTTATCTCGCTGGAGTCACGTCCCATCCCATTCGATCAAGAAGTCCACGTCTCTGAATGCGTTGTGGCTGGCTGCCCGACGCATGCAGCCACGAGCGCGTCACTGCTTCTTGCGGGCACAAATCACAACGCGAAAGATGTCTCTGAACGGCCAATGATACAGACCGACAACGGGGTTCCATGCATCGGCAGCCTTGAGCCTGCTTGAACTTAAGCAACGTTGGCGATCCTCTGTTGCTACGATGGCCTCTACACCGAACTACTCCGTCGCTCTCACGAGACGATACCGCAACCTTCAGCCCGAGGTGAAGTGCTGTAACGAGTGCAGGCTGCGGAGGAAGGTAAGTATTGGCAGATCGCTATGCAGACCGAAGAAATCTCCAAGCTAATACGATCCAGGTCGATCCGATTTCTGGACATTGTACACAATGCGCCGCTCGCCAGAGAAGTCAGAGAGAGTCGAGCAGCTCGACGTCGAGTGGAGAGAGCGACAGGACGATCATCTACACCATCGATCAGCGATCTGTTCAGCGTAACCAGTTACTGTATACGTTTCTACAGTCCTACTTCCCTTCGGACCCGGAACCTGAAGTATGGCTCGCTCGTCATATGAGCCCGCTGCTCGTCTTACCGGAGCTCGATTTGTCCAGTCCAATGATGAGCGCAGCGATAGACACACTCTGTTTAGCCCATCATGGCAGAAACCAACGAGATCGGCAACTAGTATATGCGTCGCAAGATGCTTACGGAAAAGTGCTGAATTCCATGCGAAAGGCTCTGAGTGGCAAACCTGCTTCGAGGGCCACTTCGCGCGAAGTCATCGCCAGCTGCCTGCTGATGAGTGTGTACAATGACAGCATACCCGGGTCGTCGAGCTTTAACAATTACGCGACGCATCTCTTTGGCGCCGCGCAATATGCCCAGGCTTGTGGACCTTCTTGCTTGGATCCTTCGGAGCCCTTTGATCAGAAGTTGCTCATGTGGTTGCGGTTTCAATCCTTGTTTGTTTGCGTTGCAAGACGGAAGACATTCTTTTGGAGCTCGCATGAGTGGAGGGCGATGGAAAGTCGATTTGATCCTGGAGGCTCTCGGTCATGGTATCCTTTACTGGTTCCACTACCAGGTCTTCTAGAGCTCGCGGATCGATTGCTCCGTCAGCCTGGACGTGCGGCGCCGCAAGTCCGCGCTGCTCTAGACCTGTGTCGAGATCTGGATACTTTTCGAGAGAAACACCATGAATGGGCTGAAGTTGATTTTGCCGGGAAACCTAGTGTTGTTTACGTGACAGACCCCGACGACTTCGACATGGAGATCGAAGAACACCTGTTCATGACCACTAGCAGTACCTTCACATCCTTCTATGCGTTTCATGACGCGGCCCATGCCATGAGGTGCATGGTGTCTTGGTTCATGGCTTTGGTTTCTGATTGCACTCTTCTCCGCTTACTGGCGGCGTATCCGAGTGCCCCGGACTACATCAAACGCACTTCTAAGGAGGTTGAACAGAAAGCCTTTCAGTCTGCTACTGAAATTTGCCGCAGTGTGTACTACTACAGCATGCTGAATTCGCTTGCGTACGCTCATCTGCTTTGCGTTGTTATCGATCTCGTTCAGGCTTTCTTTGAAGAGTTTGGCTCGGTGCGAGAGGCGGGTTGGTGTCAGGCTTGTCTGATTGCTACGAATATGCGGATGCAGAGAGTGCGGCACCAAAGACATGAAACGTTGTGCAGGGTCGGAGACTTGAACGGAGCGTTCACGAAGGCTTGTCGCTATCGGACTATGCCGGTGGCCGCGACGAGTGAGAGCAGTATTCCGGGATGAGGACTGTTGATGATGTTCGAGACTCTTGACAGATTGTCATGGATGCACAGGTATCGGGATTCAGATCCGATAGAACTTTACTGTGACGAGCCATTCCAAGGAGCTGGAGAAACCTACCCGATGGTCGGGATCAGCCTGGGCATTCAGTGTGGCCTGTTCACCGACCTGAAGAGAAAGGATTACGCCGGGCTAAACCCTGGAACAACAGTCACTGCCTGAAGTTTGGGTTGGAACAGAGCTGGGTCATCGATAGTCCGTCGGGTATTGAAGGTAATGCATACCTGAGAAGCATGTAGCGCCTTGGTCGGCAACAGTACAACGTTGAAGCAGTATTGAATACAGTCCATCATATACATACACGGATACTGGAGACAGAGCAGGGCATTCGCTCTACGATTCTGCATGGGTCACTGCCTACCAGATAGCGGCTGGTGTCCAAAATCGGCCAGTCCAGATTTCTGTGAGTGGCAGATGCCTTACTTCTCGACTCCCAAATGCATATGATGGACTGTAGAGTCACAGACTCTAATCACGGCGCATCTTTCCAAACACTTCTTGCCGTATCCCTCACAAGCAAAAACTTTTCCCACATCCTCTCCATAGTCATACCCTTCCCTCCAGCAAGCGAAGAGCTCGAAAAGCCACATTGCGGACTAATCGCCAACGAATCCAAAGCCTCCTCTTGCGAAACACCTTGACCCTTCGCAACCCACTCCGCAGCTGCCAAAATCCTCGCCTTCAAATCTTCAGTCCTCTCCAACTCCGCCTTCTTCGTCGACACAAGCCCAAGCACCACATTCTTCCCCTTGGGCAGAAACCTCAAACACTCAAACCCACCCGTCCTCTCCACATCGTCGAATTCCAGATAATAAGTATCATAATCCGTCTTCGTAAACAATTTCTCCGCAATCTTATCATATGATCCCGAAACCCAATGCGTAGAACCACTCATATTTCCTCGACAGAGATGCGTACCCATGTGTAAATCTTTTCCAGGCCGTTGTCGTAGGAAATGGTTATGTGCTTCGAGGTAGAGATCTAGCAAAGCTTCTGTATCTACTCCATCCTTTTCGCAGCCGCCGAGGAAGAGAGAAGAGCAGAAGTAAGTCAGATGTGGATCGTCGACGCTTATGAAACGGCAGCCTGCGTTGTAGAGGGCTTGGATTTCGGAGGCGTAGGCTTCGCCTAGGGCTTGGAAGTATTCTGTATCATTCTTGTATCCTGATTCTGCGGTGTACGCTGTGCCAGGCTTGAGTTGAATGTGCTGATAATTTGGCGAAGGCATTGTGATTTTGGCTTCTTTCCAGAGTTCGGAACTTAGACCTGATGTGAGAATTTCCCATTCTTCCAAGTAAGCGCTTTCTTTCCAGCGGATAGGTCCTGTGCAGACGATTGCAGCACGAGTCGTGGCGCCCATCTTTGCGAGACCGGTCGTGGTTGGGAAGTCTGTTCGAAAGGCATCCGGAATCGGCAGTGTCGGTTTGGGCTTCATACCTTCGAGTTTCTCGAAGAAGCCGCCATAGTAAATATGGCGAGTGTACTCTCCCGAGCAAATGGGTCTTATGCCGAGATCTCGTTGTTTTTGAACGACTTCTTTAATGGCTTTGACTTCGGCCTCCTTGATCTTGTCGTCTTGTACAATGTCGTACATCTGAGAAGGAGAAGACAGGCTGGCGCGAGCTTCGAGAAGTTGTTTCGGCCGAAGCAGGGAGCCAATCTGGTCCATTCGGAATGGTGGAGCCATTGTGAGCGATAGATTGTCTTACCAAATGTCTCGTAACTTCGATTGTACTTCAATGCTCTATTATTGTGGTATGTAAGCTGATGATGCCCCACCCAAGCTCTAGTATGTCCGACACCTCGGCCCTAAATACTAACACGAATTCCCTGTCTGACCCTGTCTTGTCGGCAGATCGTAAAGAACGACATCTAGTCGATCAAAGGCGAGCTGTAGCAACCAATTTTTCTGATTTGCGCTGAAAATGCCTTGACTCGTAAGTACGAAATCTTGTTGGTATCCTCCACCATCGCTTCTCTCAATTTGGTGCACGTCCGGTCTACTTGTGGACAGCAAAATGGAAAATCGCAAACAACGACAGTTGCTATCTCGCCGCGACATTGATTATATGCGCCTACCGCGCTTCGTGAGACAGAGTGCCACAACTCACGCTGTACATCGCAGAGATGAAGGTAGCGAGGGAGGAAGTACTCGAGTCTACGGGCAAGTACGCTGCGTTGATCATGGTGTCCATTTCGCTGTGCAGTGGCAGCTAGTGACTACGCTTCTTTCCCAGTATTGCCCGAGCGAGGTCAAGGCCAGTGTTTTGAATCGAGACAACTGGGCGACACTGACTGCCAAAGTGCTGAATCGCTTGCAAGTGCTGCCAGAACGAGACGAGCGATGTAACCTCCTTTGTCTTCGGTTCGACTCTGAAGGCGAAATGATGGTGGGATCTTCTGGTTGCCTTTGAGAACAGATCGATCGGACCGAGAGAGATAACCTAGATGTTCTCGTGGTCTGTGTGTAGCCAATCGTGCCAGAGGCTGCCCTGAGTAAGGATGAATGGAGAGGAGAGTCGATTGTACACTTCACGGGAATAATTGTAGAAGGCCGTTAGTATTTCTTCTCTATATGTCATCTTGATCTTGCCGGGCAATGCTGCTCTTGTCCCGCCAACATCCTTCGTCAGCATAATGTACGAAATCAGGTCTGAACCGAACTGATCGTCGAAGTCCATGGTAAGGAGCTTCGTCCAGCTAGTCGATGGGAACTGCGTGTCGCCGAATTGGCGGAGATGACGCGTCCTCGCCCTTCAAGTTGAGCGATCAACTGGTGGAATTGTGCCTCCTGTTCATTCGATTGTCAGCAACAGCAAGGGCATTTTGAGGACGGCTCACAGTGTCAGCACTTACCAGCCCCATTCATTCCGCTTTCGAAACTTGCTTCTGTCTCGCCTTCTTCTCGCGTGGCTTGGACGAGGAGGCAGTGACTGGAGTTGGTAGGAGAGTGGCTGTACCCGCAGACTTCGAGACACGGGATGCAGCGGGCGTTCGTGAAGCTGACTTGCCAGTAGTTCTGGAGGATAGTGCGTGCTCGGGTGCAGGAGATGACGGTTCGTGGTCATCGTCGCCATCTTCTTCGTCTTCAAACAGCAAGTGCTCGTTGGCATCGTCGTAGGCTGCCATCTGAGCGTTCAAGACACCGCGTATCATCACACAAGATCGCTATGATTTCTTATCAGCGGTGCTGCCGACCTCGTGGAAAGGCTGTCAGGTGTTGCCACAGGCAATAGCTCTTGGGATTCCATTTCACTCGTTGCGTGGGGCTTATGCACAACATGACCTGTGACCGATGCCCCATTCACGCAGCCCTCACAGTATCGCATTCGGGAGTCCAAACGTGGTATGATATATGTGGTGGAAATCCAAACAAACAAATTCCAGCAGGCACTCAAAAAGACAATGTCCGCGAGTAGGACTCCGAAGAATATGGACCACCCACCCTTAGACTTTGGTACGGAGCACAGATATTGTGCGAAGAGTGTGGTGCCGGTTGCTCTGGTTGCCGAAGCAAGTTGATCATTTGGGTCGTACCGCTGCGTGACAGTGCCTTTGTTCTGGCCATCAGAAGCGGCGTCCAGATCGGAGTCAACGATTGACTGCAAATAGTCGATCCCTTCGGCCTTCAGCAACGCATTCGTGTCGTTTCCAGCGCCGAAATCTGAGAGAAGCAGAGAGTAGAACGACTTGCCGAAAGCGTCAACAGAAGTGCTGATGTTGGGAAGTTGGTAGTTGCCGCCGCCAGTCGTCCACTGCTCTGACCAGTCTTTTATTGTTTTGTTTGTGTTGTCGCTTCCAGGATTCATGAAAGAGAGCCCACCTTGGTCGGTTGAGATACCAATGTTCGCATCGAAGAACGTCAGCTTTCTGTAGTCTTTCTCCCCCAGGTTGCGGGTAAGCGTAACAACCCCAGCGCCCCATGACCCGGTGCTGCTCGGGACCGAGTATGCCATGCCCGTGGCTATCTGTCCGTACCAGGACATAGCTATCTGAATGCCATACCACATGTTGACGTTGCCTGTGGCGTTTTGCGTCAAGAAGCCATCAGTGATACGTCGCGCATCCCTCGCAGGTGGCAGTTCCAGGGCGAAACTGGCGTCGACAACCCCCTCTCCCGATTCAATTGAGCAAGAAACCGCCGCTTGCGCATTCGTGGCTCCCCAACTCCAGAAGTTCTTGGCTTGTCGACTGTTGTCCCGTCTGGCAAGATTGATGGAAATCTCGGTGACCTCGCAACCGCGAAGCGTGACGTTTTTGTAGGATGTTGAAGATAGAACCTCATAATTGGCGGCGCTGTAGTTCCCGTTTCGCAGGCTGTCCAGTGTATATACAAAGCCTCTGTTTGTCGTCAAGTATCGAGTGCCAACTGTCAGCAAAGCCGGTTGACATTTTGTCTCCATGCTGTTTAGCCATGAAAATGGCTGTCTCTGGAACCATCTTCTCGAGCTATCGCTTTCCGTCTCGTTGGGGTTGGTGGTATACACGGACTCCAACTGGTACGCATTGCTGGCGACCGCAACGGAGGAGAAGAGGACGGTCAAGACCAGCCCTCCCACAATGATGAGCCATGTGAAGATTGGGCTGGGAAAAGGTCGCGATAGCGGATACTCGAAGAACGAGTTTCCAGATTTCGCGCGCATGGCTAGAACTTGCTTGAGGGAAGGAGAATAGTGCCCAGGTATCTTCTGTAGGCAAAGTGGAATGAAAATATGTACCTACTCGGGGCTGTTCAGTCTATTTGAGCAGAGTTCGGCGATATTCTGTAGCGCATGTTGGTGTTTGAGTTGTCTATGCAGCTCGGGGCTGAAGAAGCAGCCCTGATCCTTCGCGCAGAACCCTTGAACACGCTGTGCCACGCGATTTGCGCCGCATGCACCGCGGCATGTCGCGAGCCGAGGCAGTTATCGCATGCTGTGTGATCGCGTGCATTGTTGGACGACGGTCCTGAGTCCTCTGTTGTTGCGTCGAAGATTGGTGTGAAGCAGACGAGAAGTCCAGTTCCCAACGAAGCAACAACCAGGAGCACCGCCAAGCCGCAATCGCCAGGAGAGAAAGACTAAAATTTGCGCCACCCAATGACAAGCCTCAGCCTCCCTCGGCTCGACGCTACTGTACCGTGGCATGTGGAATGGCGTAGACCAGAAGTGGGTGCGCTCGGGGGAAATGGGGCGCAACTTTGCCTCGACCAACATTTGTGCAGTGTCATGTCTCCCTAATACTACCGCACCCTCACTCGTTCATGCCCGCCTCAGTCCTTCGTTGAACAGTGAGCCCGCGCACGGCCAGTACCAGAATGGCGCCCATCGTGCGGAATATCATCTTTTTCATGGGGGCGGTCGTCATCCTGGCCGTCCTCTACTCCTCCACATCCATATCTGGCGCGACGACGAGATGGACAAATCCAGCGTTAGGTATATCGGCCCTGAAAGAGAAATTTGGCGATCTATTGCCAGAGGCCGGCGTTGACCCTCTCGCAGGGGATGCTTCAGCGGCGAATCCGCCGAGTGCTGCGTTGGGTGTTCCGGATGACAGCATCAAGAAGGGTGATGCGGACAAGAAGGTGGATGAAGGCGTGAAGCCGGAAGATAAGAAAGAGGACGAGAAGAAGGAAGGTGACAAGAAGGGCGACAAGAAGGAAGGCGAGGAGAAAGAGGAGAAGGGCGGCATGGAAGCGGCGCTCGAGGACAGCAAGAACTCCAAGACCGAGTTCAACGAGGTTAAGTATGCCTTTCAAAACGACCTCGAACAATACCAAATGCCCAAGTACAACGCACGAGACCTACGACGATACATGCCTGTGAACTGGCAAGGACCAGGACGACACGCTTTCTGCACATATTACTCCACGAGGAATGCCACGCTGCACGATCCTTACTTTCTGGCCGCTCTTCAGTTGACTTACCGTCTTCTGTGGGACCCGAAGTCAAAGTCTGAGAAATATCCTTTGGTCGTCTTCGTTGCTCCGTTCACACCAGACGAGCATCGCCATATCTTAGAGGCGGCAGGCGCGATCGTTCGCGAGTTGGACTTGATTGAGTACCACCCAGACAAGGCCACTTTCGCTCGTTGGAGAGATCTCTTTTCCAAGATCAACATGTGGGGCCAGACAGACTTTGAGCTTCTGGCCTTCCTCGATCTCGACGCTTTCCCGGTTCAAAACATCGACGGTATTTTCCACATCGCAGACAGGCAAGCCTGCAAACCCGAACTATTACCCAAAGAAGACAAACTCCACCAGAAAGAGATCTGCGACTACGTCTTCTCCGGTACGTCAGTAGGAGGCGGGTACAAGGAAGTCAACGTCGGAGTTGTAGTCTTCAACCCCAACGAAGCGATGCGCAACCGACTCCTGCGCGAGAGCTTGCACACAGACAAATGGGACAACTTCATGGCCGAGCAAGCATTCTTAAGCTATGCTTTCTCAACCGACGGACCCTTTCCAGCATCCGAAGTCGATCGCACATGGAATGGCTTTTTCCCCCAAAATGACGAAGGGCCGAAGACCGGCAAGCTGAAGATCATCCACGAAAAGCTGTGGGCACAGAACGACCACTTGAAGTGGGCGAAGAAATTCTGGGATGATGAGTGGAAGGCGATGTTGAAACTGTACAACAACAAAAAGTTCGTTGAAACGAGAAAGAAAAATGGCAAGCGGCCATTCTAGAGAGAACTGTATATGAACGGACCTTCGGACCATGTATTAGCATTTGCGAGCGTTTTTGTGTACAGAATACGTGCAGGGTTGGGCAGCATTGGGCATGATACCAGTCGGAGACATTACAAATTGATTGAAAATTCATCATCAGTGCCTGCGAGGCATGCACCTTCTCTCAGTATCGTCGAACCGCAATCGTATAGAATCGTTCAGGTCGTTCCTTCACTTGAGACTCTTGGTCAAGTTAAGCTCATAGTCCTGGACCAAACCAAGCTTCATCCTCTCCGCGCGCCGGCTTTTCCCCAAACACTATGATCAGTAATACTTCGATCTCGGTGGTGGCGCCCCGCGATTGTCGTAATACACTTCCTCCCTGTAATATGGCTGCCTCGCATACACATCAGCCGGCGGTGGTGCAGCAATCCTCCCCACGCTCCGGCTTCTCGTTCGTCTGTATCCATCTACCGGCGGCACAGATCTACTGCGCGACCGAGTGCGACTGTGATGTCTCGGTGGGACATAGACCTCTTCTCGAATGACTCTTGACTGGCTTCGCCGGCGATGGCGTTTTCTGAGAGAAGGCGTTTCGAGAATGATGTACCACGCGTGGAGGATTCCGGGAATCCATCCTAGAATGCAGAGGAGGATGTTGAGGAGTACATGGCCGCTGCAGCCGCGTCGGATGATGACTGGTAGTGGCGGGAGGAAGATGGCGATGATGGCGAGGATGGTTCCGCCCTGCAAAGTGGTCAGACTTCTTTGTTCCAAACGCCTAACGGAAGACCTACCAAGACCATTTTGATGGCTCACGCTGTAGATGACAGTGATTTGATGGCCTCGAGTACGCGCGGATTATGCTGCTGCCTAGCAGTCTTCAAATGTCCTTCGGGATCAAAGTCGTTACTTCCTATCTCGTTGTCGCAATAATGTTGAGCGCAGAAGGTGGGCAGAGTGAGACATCATCGACAGAAAGACAATGTGAAACGATCGAAGGAAGTGGCCTTGGGCGCATTCTTATGAATAATTTTGTGCCATCGCAGCTGACCTGCTACCTCATTCACTGCTCACTTACACATGGATGCACTGCATTCGGAACGTGCAAGCTATGACGTTGATCCGGGCGCAAGCTGTGCAAGTTTGCATTGACGACCTGCTCATCCCTGCCGGGCCAAGAGGACGAGTCAAGCGGATCGAAAAGAGGCCGCCCGTTTCCGGTGAGATGAGAAATACTTGAAGTGAGGAGTAGACAGTGATGGTACTTTGGAGCTATGTAGCTACGGCTGGCTGCCTCAGCCTTGCCCGGACTGAGCTGCTCATGTCCTCGACAGCCTCGAATCGGGCCCGAATTGCATGTTCGTGGTATCCTTCGAAGGCACGATATTGATGTGGCCTCATAATCGGGCGTGCTCTTCATCGAAGGCGCCGATAACTTCGCCTCTCTTGGGACTCATTCCTGCGGTTCCAAGCTGTATTGAAGGACTCCATTCTCACCGGCTGCGATGGCAGGCTATCGTCATCGAGCAGCGAAACAGAATCGTCTGCTTGAACGATACCGGATCTTGACCAGGTGTTCCTCCTACTTGTGAAGTCTTCGGAGTTCGACCGCGCTGGCGGGGCTTCTGACTTCTTCCTGAGCTTGGCCTTGCTAGCCCAGTCGCTCAACAGCGCGACAGCATTGGCGACCCGCGCCATATTCATTTCAGGGTGGCGCGTCTCCAGGACGCGCTCCATCTCACTCCAATCTCCCATGATGATAACGATGTCTGTATTGTGCTAGAGGTGCGCGAGTGAGGACCTGCGCCCACGTATAACAGTTGCTTGGCTTCTCCTTTGATGCAATTTGCCTGACACAAGAATAGATCCGAGACAAAGAGTCCTACGGCCATGGGTCGCATGGGACAAAGGATCGAAATCTGATGAGACAACGCGGCAATTTCGATGCGCATCATAGCACTGTCTTTCAGGTACGGCCTCACTGCGACATGGCGCATAGTGTCTTGCTTGTCGTCGATTGGGATGGAAATTCATCCATGACTATTCAGACCTCATCAGCACATGCAACAGAATGTTGCGCGATAGCAGATGCTTACCGAAAGAGTCTCCTCAGCTCCGTCCCCTACGACTGAGCGTTTAGCAGCCCTAGGAAGGATTGCCACAATTTAGAAGTGAATATTCGCAGATCGATCCCACTGATCCGCATCGCGTCGAGCGGCAGCTGCGGCGTCTCATCAATTCAATTGCAGGTGAACAGGTGTTGTTATTTCATCTTCATCGCGTGCGGCTCTACGAGTTCCGCTCATCTGTTTCCCTGCAGAAAAGTGAGCCATCACGTTCAATGGTACTGAAGTCGGGACAATATTCACATTCGTCCACGCATCCCAAGCCTTCAACACACAAAGATAACACATCTCAGCATCATGCTCTTACGATCACAGGAATCTCAACCATCGAGGTCCCAGTACAACGCTACCGCACTCACCTTATCCCCACCCACATACTCCTCGGTGTACTCGTCCAGTTCTTTTCCCAACTCACTCATCATCGAAACTTCTAGCCATCTCGCATAATTTCCATCCCCAACGCTACCGCCCACAACTGCTTTGCCTACCCCTCTAACCCCTTCCAGCAATTTCAGAACCGTGAAATCACAAGTCCCGTACGAAGGCTGAAAGACTTCAATCTCCAAATACTCCAGCCCCGTAAAGCACTCCGTAGCTTGCTCTTTCGTATACCTCGAATCAATATCCAGCCTCACATGAAAGAAGAATCTCTTAATCAACTTCGTCACACTCGGATACAGCACGGGCGGAAGCGTAGTTTTATTATTCGGCAACTTGAACAGCAAGAAGGCAGGTAACGTCGTCAAGAGATTCGCATGCGCTAAGAAGGTATTCTCGCCGTACAAAATCGGCGCGGCTTCGGCGTGGACTTGCTTACACGTTCGAAGTATGTTGGCGCAGAAGCGGTCGTGGGGACGCCGGCGTTGGTGGAGCGGATAGCGGATGTCGTGGATCAGAAGCAATTCGTAAATGGCGTTGCGGAGCTCGGAAGGGAGGGAGAGGAGCGGGGAGGAGGACTGGCTCGCAACGTTGTGGTGGTCCACGGGTATGATAGGGGCTGGGGGTTGTTGGTCAATCAGGATCATGGTGATGGGACGTATTGGTAGGGAAAGGTGTGGTGGAGGTAGGTGACAATGAGGAAAGTCTGGGTGGTGCGAGAGGTGATCGCGTGCGACAAAGTGTTCCGCGCCATTTGTTCGGCACTGATAAGCTCTCTGGAGCTTGTTGCTCGGGCGGTGGGAGGTACTTCTGGCGTGCTGCCGAAAGGAGGTGTCGCTCGAGAGAGTGATGACGAGCAGCTTCCCGCGCTTCATCACCTCGACACGGGCCACGTCCTGCCGAGATACATGTACTCTGCTCTTGAAGGCGTACCACAATATCGAGTGCACTAGACAGAATATGGAGAGTGCAAAAGACGTTGCATGTGTCGCGATCAATATTTCCGATTCTTTACTGTTTGCCGTTGCTCATATACATGCCTGTTACACACCGCCTCCCAATTAACGTCTCTCGTATGCAGAATCCAATGCTCATGTACCGCTATGCAAACAAAAGGTGTATCAAAAAAAGCAGCTTGGGAAAACATCATGTCGAGTGCCCATTCGATGGAACACCATTCGAAGGCACATGCTGGGCGCCCTCCTGCGTCAAATCGAACGGCCATGGCCAACCTCCCGTCGTCATCTCAGCTGGCAATTGGAAGTCATCATGTGGCGTGCGCATTCCCATGTTGTTCGTTATCTGATGATGATTGCCGTGCGGAAGTACCGAGTGTGTGCCATTCGGGGCATTGCTCGGCACGTATACACTACGGGCGCCGTCCATAGTATGCGGATACGGACTGATGTGCTGCCGCGGCAACTCCGAAAGCATCTGTCGTTGTGTCTGTATGTATTGATCAATCTTGTCGATTCGTTTCCGGAGGCCTCGACTTGATCCAGCAGCTGGCTGAAGCCCAGTTTCAAGGTCTTCCAGCAGATCGGCCAGCTGCACCATAAGCGTTCGAACCCTCTGGTAGGAATCCTCGTTCAAAACACCTTGCATGACAGAGGATAAAATGTGACCAATGCCTCCGAGATGGTAGACTAAAGGTGTCGAGATCGCTCTGAGGTAGTGTTGAGGAATGTCGCTGAACGTTTGGAGTACTGTATCAGCCACTCGGCACTTCTCCTCCACATTTTGCATGTTGCTCGTCCGCGACTCCAGTAGAGTTATTCGCACCAACTGTAGCGTGGCTTGTATGTTAGCGGCCTGAAAGCCGTATATGTCTTGACTGCGGTCTCCTGTCGCAGGAGCCGTATAGTTTTTGAAGCGATCTGGCAAGCTGTAGTAGAGATTGATGACGTTTTCCATGATCTGTGTGTCCGGCATGGTGTTGGCCATCATCAACCTGACAACAGAAATGCGGTCATCCCGACGTGACTTGCTGATGCGCACTCTCTTCATGGCATGCTCGAGAACACGGTACAGATCCGTGGTGAAGTTGAACCCGCGTAACCAGTTTTCTGGGTTCTGTTTGACCGTGACTCCTAATGCCAATTCATCGTCCGTAGTTTCGCAAGGGTAAGCAACGTATGAGTGAGTCTCTTGGGACCTCGGAGTCGTGTTGAAGACGACGGATGTGTAGACGTCAAAGCTGTACATGGCCCAAAACATCCGTCTCCGCTCCTCCTTTTCCTGAATAGATATCTCTTCTGGCCAGTGTGCCTCATCGTGAAATCGCTGGATCGTTGCGAGTGTCATATAGTGGCCCATGTACAGGTGCATGGTCTGGACCTGGCCATACTGGATGGCCGTCAGAGCAAGCAAGGCACATGCGCGCAGGTAGCCCAAACCAGTAGCATGTGTCAAGTCTTTGCAGATGTTATCCTGCGCTGCTGAGAAGAATACTTCTGAGGAGTTGCCAACGCTTTCTTCGATCTGGTACTTGTCGCCCAGCGCTCCGTCTCGCGTTCGCGCGGCCGCCAGCGCGCATGCTGCCATGACAGATGCGAAAAAGCCACGATCCTTAAGGTGCTGCCGTTTACGAACTCGATCCCAGAGTGTCGGTCCATGAAAGAATGGAAATAAGGGATATACGACCTCCATGTATATTTCCAGGTAGCGGTCAATGGTTTGCTGGTTGGATGCCGCAAAACAATGCCATGCTACGCTCAACAGGTCATCTCGACGCCCTTCTCGCACCACTTCGTACGCGCCTGTGAACTCGGCAGACTGTAGCGGGAGGACGCTATGTTGGTAGCCATTCTCAAGTTTTATGGCCGGTGACCCCGACTATCGAAGAAAGTCAGTCTGCGCAAACATCTATCGTCCAGCATGCAGTGCTCACCTGAGTAGCTCGTTGTTGCTGCGCCGGGATGATGTTCCCAGGCACAGCATGTGCCGCTGATGGGTTACGGCGTCGCCGTGATGGTCTATTATAGGTGCAATCTACGGCAAAGTCGTAACAATTCTGGCATTTTCGAGGCTCTTCGTTAGAGGGCCTGCATCGTATAGATCTGCGATGGCACAAGTCACATGCTTCTTCTCGTGTATACGTGTGTTAGCCTGGTAATAGGTGAAGTTGAAGGCATATGGTATGCCGGCCAAGTGAAGTCAACATGGCCGATGAAGGTAAGTCGGACCCAAGCATGGAGGGAAGTAACGTACGAGAGATTCTCTGCAGTTTTCGTGGTCGTTCATGGGTACTCTTGGAAGACATGTTGTCATATTTGGGCCACGGGGTGGACTCCGACCGGCATGGCCCTTTAGCAGCTTAGTCTGTCGCATACATTAATCCTGGCTGGAAGAAGGAAAGAAAGAGCAGGCGTGGCAAGTCAAGAGCAGCCGTGTAGCCTGCGAGAAAGTACTCGGGGTACTGTGCAGGATCGAGGGAAACAAAACGTCCTCTCTCCTCCACTACTCTCCACCTCTGCAGGCCCGCCACCCTGGTTTGTCAACGGCCATCGTTCTTGCCGGGACTTCCACAAATCTCGATGGATTTTCCAGAAATGCAGTAGCAGAGAATGAGCGTCCCTTGGTTTCTGCCCGTCGATGTCACTTTGCATCATTTGGCATTGATGGCACTTCCTCCTTCCCGAACGGACAGAGGGTGGGTCGATGTGGCGCAGATCCAATCACAACCTCGGATTTCACATGACCCTAAGTCCGGCTTCGCGGAACATGTGCAGAAACGGACAATGCGGTACCAAGCGGTACATCGAAACTTGCCATGAGAAACTCTGGCTGCGCTGCGGTCTCGCGTTCACTGTCGACGGTCGTTGTTGGCCGGCGACAATCACAATCACCTCGCCTCGACGCTACATGTCATGGTCTTGGCCACATGAGCCACAATCCTGTCGGCCCCTGGCATCCCAATGGACGAGATTTGTCACTGGTCAGGACCTTAAAAATCGACAGCAAAATAGCCAGGAATTGATCAGCACTACGGTCACGCATGCTGGAAGCGCACCCAATGAGAACAACCTTTCAGGCCTTTCCGGAGCGCCGCAAAAGCTGAACCGGATTGATTGGGCTTGGAGCCGAGTGGCCCTCTTCCAGAGACGCCGTGCTTCTGCACCGCGGCTCTTGTTGCAGGTCAAACGTCCATAAATGAACATCATTGCGATGCGCTAGGAACTCGCTCCGTCTCTGAAAACCTTCTTTGCAAGTGAACATTTGTGGTTGGGAGTGCCAATTCCGCGGAAGTTGGAGCCAAACCCAGCCGGATATATATGTCACTGCAGCTGCCCAAGTCTGCACGCGATCCCCCTGTCACCAGCGTTGCTGAGTGGCCCTTCGTATCACGAACCAAGATCTTTTCGATGCTGTGACTATGCCAGCGGACGTGATTTTCCATATGCAGATTACAGGCATGTGCAACATTTGCTTAAGTGCTGTGTGACAGGTGTCGGTTTTGCGGCGGTGTCGAAGCCGGCTTGCCGGCTAACTGTACATCAATCTATGCGATATATACGCATGGAGAAGTCGTCGCTTGCTGCAGCTAAATATGAGCAACCGCTGGATGAAGCTTCGCGTGCTGCAGGCCTCCAGCGTAAAGAGCTGACCGCTTTCGAGGGCACAATTTGCGCAGCCATGTTCTCCGATCCTATTATGTCAAGAGTATCGCTTTCGATGTTAATGAGGCCGATGTTGCCGGTTTCATCTCCTGCTGCCAATACCAAACGGCCTTCGTGGACTTGACTGTCAAAAGCGATAGCAGTCAGAGGTGCTGCAACCGCATGCGTGGATATGCACTCCGCCGTTCCGCCATGCAGCCTCCATATCTTTGCACTCTTATCCCTGCCCGACGTCGCAAACACATGTCCAGCAGCTGCAGGGGCCCAGCAACAATCCAGGATCATGCGGGAGTGTCCCTTTGGATTACTTACGAGCAGCGCATATGTGCTCGATGCATCGCCACTTTTTTCAAACAAGGCCCACTGCCGGTCCCTCCCCACACTCAGGAGAAAGCGATCGTCTGGTGAGAAGGACAGGCTCGTGACCGTCAAGCTGTGAGCAGTAAGGGGAGGCTTGACCTCGCGCCACTCCTTCGTTTCATACAGTCTAATGACAGCGTGGTCCAACGAGCTCGCTTTGCAAGCTGTGGCAACCAGGGAGCCGTCGTTGCTGGTAGCGACCGCGGATATCTCATAACCATGGCCGTACAGCTTCTCGTGTTCGGGCCATAGTGTATGCCGCGCGAGGTGATCTTCGAATGGAGGCTGCTCGAGATCGAGGTTGGCTTTGGTGGGAGCAGTGTCTGCCGCTTCTGGATCGCCTGTATCGAGTGTTGTGTCCTCAGCCATGCCATTTTGCTCGTCGCCATTCGCGGTCGTCACTGCTTTGTTTGACAAACCAAGCACTGGTATGTCAGCAGCGTCCGGGAGATGAGCTGATCCAGAAGTCGCAGCGCCGCTCAATTTCGCCAGAAGATTCTCAATCGCTCGAGGTTTGTCGAAAACTCGAAGCAGCTTTTCGTCGGCTCCTGAAATGAAACGATCTTCAGTGACGATATCGATGCAGTTGAGGTCGTAGCCATGTATTTGCGGACGTGCGAATTCATGCCAGGACAGCGCTTCGCCGCCTTGCCGCTTCCATGTTGCGTAAAGGCGGGTGGTCTGGTCGGAACCTGTGGACAGCAAGTATTGTCCAGATCGTGCCCAAGCGAGACTGCGCACCTCTTCAACGTGCCCGCCAATGCCCACGTCCTGCGTCCACATATCGCTGACCAAGTCATACCTCCATCTTCGCCAGCTTCCCGTCCGGCCCAGACTGACCACCGAATTCGAGTCATGTTGCCAAAGTCCGACCCAGAATCCACCTGTGCTGCCAGTCGCCGTTGTTGACCCTTTCTGAGAACTTATCTCGCCCAGCCGACTACTACATACCCAGAGCCCAGAGGCTGGTTCCCTGTTCCATATCGATAATGAATTGTCTGCAGATGCTGTGAGCAAAGCAGGCACTGCGCCATCGCGTGCTCTCGGCGCCCAACGAGCTGTGTAAATCCAGTCTTCGTGACCAATGAGCAAGGCTTCGAACGTCACAGTGTGCTGTGAGACTCCATCACCGACTGTGTGGGCTTTGTTGGACAAGGATGTCTTCTCCGCAGCTGTCACAAGCTCGCTCGCTTCGCTGACGGAGATGGTCGCAGTGTTATTGCCTCTTCGGAAGCGCCAAAGTCGAGCATATTTGTCTTGGCTGGCAGATGCCAGTAGAATGTTGCTTCCAGGGGCGGAATACTCATATGTGAAATCCAGAGATCTGATCCAGCCTTCATGGCCTGTCAAAGTGGCGTGAAGTTCAAATTCGCCGTGACTCTCCTCCTTCTGTGAATACAACTGGATGTGACTGGCGGTCCCAGCAACTGCGAGGACTGCACCGCCATTTTCGAGAGCTATGAGCGCGAGGCACAAAGGAAAGTAGCGTGGTTTCAGTGAGATGGACTGAGTTAGCTTAACTGTTGTACCTTCCAACTGCCATATCTTGACTGTGCCGTCTGCTGCGCCTGTTGCGATCAAGCCAAGCTTTGAAGCTGTGGCGATGGCGTTGACGGACGCGGTGTGTTCTGTCAGGCACTGGACCTCTTGGAACTCTCCATTGGATTTCGTGGTAGTTGACCAGATCCGGATGGTCTTATCTGCACTGCCACTTACAATGAGGCGCTGATCTGCGGCGTCAATTATCTTGATCGCATTGACGAGGTCTGTGTGCCCGGCAAGCAGTGCATGCACGCCTCTGTACTGTTCATCTTCTGGGTTCCACAAGGCGATGTTATTGCCGGCGCCGTAGGCAAGAAGTGAAGGCGCCCAGTCAGCCGCGGATGGATGTCTGTTGCCACCCGCGGCTATGTACTCGATTGCGCTTCGAGTCATTGAGATCGCAGTGTCAACATGTCGAGATTGCGAACATGGAAGTCGAGAATGAGTGCTGCAAAGTCTGGTGCTGCTGAGTCAAAATTTCCGTGCCAAGACAGCAATCAAACAACGCGACTTCCACGTCGAAACATTCAAAGTTAACCCCAGGCACGACACTTACCACACCATGGCCGAAACAATAGATCTTACTGTCGAGTTCACGTAGGTCATGATCATTCCACTTTTCCACCACCTTTCTTCAATATCTAAGTCATCCTTAGCGGGGGCCTTGAACTGCTCTTCTCGGATCAACGCCAGCACAAGATCTCATTACCGGCCAAAGATCCTCAGGGTCACCCAGCTACAGTTGCATTCCTGATCAAATGGCTATGCGAAAATCTGATGCAAGATCCACGAAAAGACATGTTCGTACTCGACGATACGGTGTAAGGCAGCACATACAGTCCATCTGGGTGGAAGGCACGTACTGACAGCGGGTAGACGACCTGGAGTTTTGGTACTCATCAATGACTCCGATTGGGAGCTAGAAGGAGAGGAGAAGTACGAATTGCAACGCCGAGACAACATAGTGTTTGTATCAACGCTGCACGGTGGATGAGAAAATGATAATCTCGCCAAGCTGGAGCGCACAAGGACCTCTCATAAGTCGAACTTTGAGAGTCTGCTCCACTGACCGACCTATACCTCACTGTAGTAGGTGCATGTCTTACAACCGCAGAGAAATGTGGCATTCATTTTTCAGGAACTTCTTTGCTAAAGTCGCCATATCCATGTACGGAATGAGGTCTGGTCCAAATTGCTCTTCGAAGTCCATTGTGAGTAACTTGGCCCACGATGTCCATGGAAGTTGATCATCGACGAACTAATGGAAATTGGTGAGAGAGCCTCATCGTCAGCATGAAGGTGGGGCTAAGCATTAGTCCCGTAGGAGACATGAGTCGTTCAGGTGGAATCGCGATATTTTCAATCTTCAGTATTTCGTTTGCGAAACGTTCCTGGAAGTGACCAAGGACGTCGAAGTCGCCTGCAGGCCATGGTGTACTGATTTCAATTGTTTTCTGCTGCGTACTGGTGGAATTCTCCTTCGAGCGTGTTCTGTCCACGAAGCGTGAGAACCGAGCTCGTAGAAGGATCTGGATAGGTCTTCATCAATTGCAATTGTGTAAGTGCCAATCTTGCATCTCCTGCAATTCACGTGAACTCATCCAATTCATGCACAATCCACATCGCGTTAGCCCTCACCCTTCGTATCCTCAACCCCAATTTCCAACCAGTCTCTCGTCACGTCGGACCGCAAACCAACACATCAACCCTCATCACAAGGACTCCCCTTCGAATCTCCAAAGTCACAATGTCTTTGAATTCGACCGTCTCACGCTGCTGCGCCATTCCCTTAGTGTGTTGTTTGATGGAACCAATTGATCGACAGAGCCGACTCATATTCCCTGTTTGCATCCTGTCAAAGCCGCCAGGCTCCGCAATCTTTCGGGGTTGGCTGCAAGGTCCGCTGCTTGACACGTTCCGAAACGCAACCTTATGCCAACCATACGTGCATACAAATACGTGGCATTGGCGATGTGGTCAACTGTTGTGGTGTACAGGCGGTGTGGGTTGCATAATGACGGAATGGCGGCATGAACGCTATTGGCTTCGTAGGATCTCGTATTGGTGATGGCGAGAGTAGCACGACTACCTGCCCCTATCCAGGACTTTTTCTATAACCCATTCCTTGCCATCTTTCGCTTGCAGCACTTTCCATGCTTTCATTGGCCATCCGGTCGAGCCTGCAATTGCCGGATCTCGCAAAGCCACCGAGACCCAACATTGCCTTTTCCCGACACCGACTTCCTCAATTTTGCCAATCGGTTTACCAATGTCGAGCAAAGGCGTGCCTTCCGCAAGACTTGCCAGTTGGACTTGAGTTACAGGCGTAAGAGGATGTAAGCGTGTTCGCTGAATACCTCCAACGGTGCGCACCGCTGCACGACTGAGAGAAGAATAGATCACATACGGCGGCATTTCTGTCGTGGACAGGCGAGCAAGAGGACTGCTCGAGTGGACGAAGACGCACTTTTGTCGCTCCTGTTCTTGCATACTTGCTTGTCGATCGACTTCGTCATTGCTTGGTTGTAGCGTCCGATATGTAACCTCAATCGCCCGCTGCGGCTTTCTCCCAATGGACACCGCGCCGGGCAGAAGATCATAACGTACTGCAACCTGATCGATGTAACCAGCAGCCGCGATTTGCTTGATACGGCTAACCTCCTTGTCGGAAGGCGGGTTCAGATTCGGACGGTATGCGCGGTCCGTGGCGGTCTGCAGATGAGGCTCCATCAAGTTGTGGAGTTGCCGGCGGAGCGCCTGTACTTCGCTCATTCCCTTTTCTCGTAGAAAGTGCTTTTCGCAGAACGACGAGGCTTCATCATCAGCTTCCGCGTGTGCATGGGCGACAACGGCAGTAAGCACCTTCATCGCATCTGAGGTGTCGCCTTTGTACGTAAGGGCTTCTCGAGCACGACCGTAAGCCTGCCGACGTTTCTCTGCTGCGGACTGCGCGGCAGCGTCCATTCGCTTTTGCACTTTTCTGTCATCGGGATCGCTCAACTCGTCGTCCTCCTCACTTCGCAGAAGTTGAGGCTCCGGTATGAAGAGGTCACCTACTGCTAAGCCTGCGACCAAAGCAATAACATACGAAAGAACGTCGTACTGCCGTCCCAGGAGCAGCATCTTGCCAAATCTTGGATTGACAGGATAGTTGATCAGCTCCTTTCCTGCTTCAGTGACCTGCCCCGTATTCGCTTTGATCGCGCCGAGGTTCTTGAGCAGTCGCTCAGCCTGCGCAAGCTGTTCGGCTTGAGGGGGCGTGGGAAAAGGAAAGTTGACCACGTTGTCCACCTTCATATTCTTCAATTGCAGCACTGTGCCCTCTATAGGCGTCCGAAGAATTTCGGGCAGGGTGTGTTGCTCGAAATAGCGCTCATATACCGCCGAACTGTACAGTCTGTAGCAGTGACCGGGCCCAGTACGACCAGCACGACCCATTCTCTGAGAAGCGCTCGCTTTTGAGATCCAGTCGACCACAAACTGCTGCACGCCAGTTTCGATGTGGTATTGTTTGTCCTTGCTGCGACCGCAATCGAAGACATATTTGATGCCGTCTATTGTGAGAGATGTCTCTGCAACGTTAGTAGCCAGTATGATTTTTCTGCTACCTTCGGGCGTCTTGACGAACACTTGGTCCTGTTGCGCTTTTGGTAGTGCTGCATAGAGTGGCAGGATCTGAGCTTTCAATTGTCCCCGGGGCATTGCGGAAGACGTCTGTTGCTCTTCTACTGCAAATTCGGCATCGTCGTCTTCATCATCCAAGCCTGTAATCTCCGGCTCGGAGTCGGAGTCGTCTGCGCCGTCCTTGCCATCGTCTTCCATGTAGTCATTGACAATCTTGGACTCAGCATTGCGGGCTTTAGAGAGCTGGAAACCGGCACTCTCTAGCGTCAATTGTTCTTTCAGTCTCTTCTGAACAGTCTGAATGTCGTCTTGCCCAGTGAGGAACACTAAGATGTCGCCCGGTGGTAGCTTCTTGTGGCCTCTTGCCACTTTGCGAACCATTTCGGAAACATAGTCGCGTTGAGTCTTGCGTGCGAAATGTTCTGTGACCTGATATTGACGTCCTTCGGCCTCTATTATTGGAGGCTTTACTTTGCGAAACAATCGATCGTTCATGAGAAAGTCGGTCACTCGTAGTGTCGCGCTCATGATGATGAGTTTGAGCGGCACATATTTATCCGGGTCCTCGCGGCTCAGGTCCTGTCTAAGTGGCACTATTCGCGACAAAATGCCAATGAGTATATCCGTGTTGACACTGCGCTCATGTGCTTCGTCGATTACGATTGCGCTGTATTTCGAGAGCGAGAAATCTTGCGAAATTTCGCGAAGCAAGATACCATCGGTCATGAATTTGATTTTCGTGTCACGACTAACACTGCTATCAAATCTGACCTGATGTGCTACTTGCTTGCCATGGGTCTTCCCGAGCTCATATCTGACGCGATCCGCGACAGACGTCGCAGCGACTCTGCGAGGCTGGGTGATGCCAAGCATGCCTTTTGTAGCATATCCGTTCTCCAGTAACATCTGCGGGAGCTGAGTCGTCTTTCCGGAACCGGTGGCGCCACATACAATTGTGACCGCATTATTGTGGATGGCTTCCATGATCTTTTGTTCCTCCTGAACAACGGGAAGCTTCAGACGCGCTTCCTGGATGTCGGTGTCACGTTCTACGACCACTGCGCTTGCTGGCCGATAGGCATTTTCCGTTGGCTGGGAGGCGGCAGCGATATTTGCTGCTACCGGATCTGGTGACAGTGCCCTTGGCCTGAAGTTTGCTTTGATCGCCTCCTGATTCTCGGGGACTGCGGATGGTACGAAGCCAACAGCTTCATTTCGTTGCGAATCCGCCCAGGCCTTGAAAGCTGATACTCGCGATGGTTTGTCATTGGCCATGTTCTGACCCCCATCTTCTTCGTCTGACTCTTCGGACTCTTCTGATCCATCAGTCATGCTCTCATCGTCTTCATCGCCGTCGTCGTCCTCATCACTCGATTCGTTCGAAGCGCCATCCTGCAGGGACACATCTGAAAGCTGCGAAGCAGAGTCACTAGCATCTGAGTCGAAGCCGTTCCAAACCTCTTCGTCCTCGGCAGACGTATCTTCACCGTCCTCACTTTCTTGCATAGGTGTGAGGTCAAAGGTGAGCTGCGGCTTGATGGCGGCCGATTTCTTCTGACGTTTCCGTCTCTTGATCATTGGCCGTCCACTTTCGTCCAGCTCCAGTGGCCGCTTGAGTCCTGCCCCGATCGCAACCTTTTCCAAGCCTCCTGCGGTCGTCTCGACTCGGGTTTGCTCAACACCAGCTTTGGCCTCCTCACCGTCGCCTTGGTCGTCGGCCTCGTCATCCTGGTATTGCTGCACTTCAGGCCGTCGCTCCAGCAGAATCTCGTCGTAATTACCAGATATCCCAGCTTCTTTCTCCTTCAGAGCTCGCTGTAATTGTTCCTTTCTGGTCTCGTTCACACGGCTTAGCTGCTTTGAGCTCCGTAACAGGCTGGTATCCACTTTCTGCGCTGCCAACTTCTTCAGCAACTCCTGGTTTTCCTCATTCTTGAGCTTTGTTTCAATGTATTTGTCTAATCTCTTTCTCTTCTTGGAAGAAATCTTAGACTCAGGTTCATGCGCCGTCAACTCCTCTTTCAATCTCCTTCGTCGTTCGTCTTTCTCGACCTGGGTAACGGGCACGATTTCCGCCGCATTGGCTTGGTCCACCGGCTCGTGCTGGGCGACGCCATTCTTTTTAGCAGCCTCCTTCTGTTTCGCGAGTTTCCTGTGTTTGCGTTCGCGTGGCACAAATTTGGGCATTTTGCATGCAGATGTTGCGGCAGCATGTTGCATCGAGACTTTTTGAGACGAGCCTTCCCCAAGCTTGCAGATCTGCAGCATGGGTCGGACTTCGGTGCGCTCAACCGAAAGCTTACCACAGCCCTCACTTCTAGCGCTCCGCTCCAGTACTACATCACACGAATCTTTGTACTGAACACTTCTTGACCGACCTCAAGATGGCGAGCGCCGAAACGAGTACGATGCCACAAGCGAATGTCTACCCATCACAATTTCCAGCTCCGTCTCACTCGACCTCAGGGCTCATCAACAATGTCCTCACGACAGCCACATCCATTGCATTCTCAGACAAAATTGTCATCACATTATCACAAGCTGGAAGGCTATCACACTGGACTCATGTATCGCTTGCATCAGCTTCCGCGGACCCAATGAACCCCAACCCAATCTCGAGTGGAGACCCGGAGAACGATTTGCTTCCCATGAGCCATTTGACCGCAACAACTGTGCTCGGCGGCACAAAGCGTGAAGACGAAATTGTGAGACAGACACTGGCCACAACTATCGCCAGTGCAATTTTGATGAAGCGGCCGAGCGAATCCAGATTGCTTGTCTTGGGACTTGGGTTCGAGAACGCAGTGGGCACTTTGACTGAGCGGGCACTGTTCGACGAGGCTGTTGGTCTCGTGTTAGAAGTTTTGTGAGCTCAACGGGCCAATCCGACAAAGTCTCAGTTCAGGCTACGATCTGTGAACGAAGCAGCTGGCCCGAGTGGGTTGAACATGCAGCTCTGACTAACAGTCAGTGGCTCCTGTCTTATGGACCTCCGCTGTCAGCCGGTAGCTACTGCTCCCAGTTTGAACCGGTCGCCTTAAAGATACCACCAACCACAGGGCCAAAGGACTCGAAAAGAGAGGCGTTGCTCCTTAGTGGGTTGTTTTGCTGAGCCTCCGCCAGATGGGGTCACGGTGATTTGGAATCCGTGTCGCACCGTGGTGCTGAGTGTGGCACATGTCTGCAGGCATGGGTATGGCTCTAGATGGTAGCCTCTCCGGTATCTGATGTAGACTGAGAAAATGAAAGGCCAGACAAGACCTGTTTCGACGTGTTGAGAATGTCGAAACATTCGGACACCGAGCTTGTGATTAATCTCAACAGCCCACTCTTTCTTTTACACGTAAGCATGCTGTTACTCTTCCAAACGCCTTCGCTAAAACCACAAACACTCTTTCTGACCCTTTGGCAGCGGCGTCGACGCAGCTAATATGGTCGCCCTCCGCCGTAACCACCTCTGTAACCACCACTTCTAGGCCCGTCGTAACCACCTCCTGGTGGTCGCTCACCTCTGCGCCAATCTCCATCGCCGGGTGGGGCACCTCCCCCGCGTCCTCCTCTGTAAGGCCCAGGGCCATACGATCCTCCGCCACCCCGGCCGTAGCCGCCTCTGCCATAGCCTCCTTCCCTACCATAGCCGCCGCCTCCATATCCATTCTCTCGGCCTGGAGGTGGACCGCGATTACCATAGCCACCGTCGCGGGGCGGCCCTCGTGGTATAGGCTGCACTCTCCCATCTTGACCAGGAGGATATATCGAGCAAGCCACATAATCCCCAATGACAAACCTCGCGCCAGCTAATGTCTTATGCGCGTCTCCTTCCAACATATCCTTCAGATCCAATGCCTCGTCTTGGTCATCCTGCAGCTCCGCATTTCCTCCACCAATCACTACTGATCCCAGTGGCTTATCAATCCATTTCCCTCTGTTGCCTTCCACGATGGTAGCGCGCGTATCGGGAAAGATGAGCTTGAATACGAGACGCGTTCCTACGCCTGGAGAAGGTATCACGCCTTGCGGGAGGACGGAGGTGAAAAGCGCGGTAAGTTCGCCCAGAGTGCAGTTTGGCCAAGTGTAGATTTGCACGCTCTGTTGCCTGATGGTAGTCGGCAGAAGAGAGGAGTAATCGGGAATGTTTGTGGTATCTGCTGGAGGGGCGACACTGAATTCCCAAGGATCGAGTGGGCGCGCTTGACGCCAGAAAAGTCGGAGGAGGAAGGGCGCAGTTGTTGCGCGATCGATGTTGCTGCCGGCCTCGGGTTGAAGCGCCATTGCGGATGTCTAGTCCTGTCGCTAATATTGTATCATTCAGCGTGCGGGTGTCTTGTCACGGCGGAGAGGAATTGGAGGTGTTTGGCGATGGTTCGATAAAGTTGTTGATGCAAGCTGGAGCTCTTCAAGTGAGCTCGAAGTTTGACGCAGCATGTGAACTTTGTGCACCGAAGCGGACCCCACTCCGCTGCATCCATATATTTCGGGCTTTGCGCGTTCATTCAAACCTCTCACACCCTGCATTCAGAGTCTGAAGTCGCCGAGATGGATTTTGCAAGTTTGATGAAGTCGCAAATCGCGTCTTCCGCGCCGCCAAAAGAGGATGGCAGCAAAAAGTATTTGAAGCGATCAGAGATCGAGGCGCAACGACAAGAGGAGTATGCGAGAGAGCAAGCACAGCTAGAAAAGGAGCGGCTGGAGCGGCTGGAAAAGAAACGCAAACGGGACGAGGAGGAGGCCGAGCGTACTCGCGCACGAGAAGAGAAGAGGCAACGATTGGCAGAAGAGAGTCGGAAGATACGTGAAGAGGAAGAAGAGGCCGAAGAGAGGGCGCGGAGGAAGCGTCTGGGTCTGCCAGAGCTTGAGAGGAAGGACACTGAGATAACGCCTCTGAAGGAGGGCGAAGAGGACATTGCGGAAGAAGAGCTGCAGGCAAAGCTGCGCGACATGGACGAGCCTCGAATACTCTTTGGCGAAACACATGTCCAGCGGCTGCGGCGGTATCGCAAGCTCACAGCACTGGCACTGGCACCCAAACTCAGCAGTGGACCGATACCGACGACTCTGGAATTGGTCCCGGAGGCAGAGATGAAGGTGCCAGAGAGCGTCCCCAAAGACAAAGAAGGCTACAAGTTTCTTCTACGCCAACTGGCATCTTACTTCGACATGCTGCTCTCCGAATGGCAGAATGCACTGGCCCGGAGAACGAAAGAGGTCAAAGAATCCTCTACCGGCAAGCAGGCCTATAATTCATATCTGGCTGCGAAGGACAACCTCAAGCCGTTGTTCAAAAAGTTGGAGACTGATGCCATCGAATCTGCGATCCTGCCGCCAATCCTGGAGATTGTCGATTTGGCGCAAAAGAAGCGCTATGTGGATGCCAACGATGCATACCTCAGGCTAAGTATCGGAAAAGCCGCGTGGCCAATTGGTGTCACCATGGTGGGTATCCACGAGCGAAGTGCCCGAGAAAAGTTGCATGGGGAGAACAACCAGGCGCACATATTGAGTGACGAGACCACAAGAAAAATGTTGCAAGGCATCAAACGGTGCCTGAGCTTTGCGCAGACCAGGTGGCCGCCTAGCGATATCGGTCAGCTAATGGGATGATTGAGATCGGCTGGCTATGTTCGCGAGCGCGCACGAAAGCGCTCGAGTATGAGGAGACGATGGGACCATGTGAACATGGTGATCACATGTGGCACCTTCTACCTCGATGTCTTTACAACCACAACTGTTGCACCAGTACCAGCAACAGCAACAGCGATGATGACGAGCGGAAGAGCTCCGGCACATCAATCGGGGTCGGCACGGCTTGGCACGATCGTATTCGACTACCCTTTTCGGCCGACCTTTCGTGTTCGACCTCCCACTCTCTGATAGCGTGCCGCCATGCTGACTTCACCAAACTGAAAGCTTCTTGTCATCCGTGCTATTCAGATGCATACAGCAATATTGAAAGATCGCTTTAGCAAATTGTGGATCACAGCGCCCTCTACGAGCGAAGATCCATGTTTATGGTGGTGTTGATCAACGATATCCAATCACGCCTTCAGTCCCAGCACTTGTCCAAACACCATGCCTGAGGCTGTTGCGAAACGACGTTCGACCAAGAAAAGTCGCGGTGGTTGCTCGCGTTGCAAAGCACAACATGTAAGCCTATGCGTCAAATCCGTTTTCAGTTAATGTATTGATGGTAATGCAGCTCAAATGTGACGAAGTCAAACCACACTGTGGCCGCTGCAGTCGACTGGGCGTGCAGTGTCCCGGATATGTGCAGAAATATAAGTGGTTAAATGATACGACCAGTGCCGTCTCATCGACCACCCCAGTTCCGCAGACTGAGGGCGCCAGCCCTACTGTCGACTTAAATTGGCTGGAAATGACGTCTCAATCTGACGCCCAGCAAGAGACTTCACCGCAAGCAAATAATGGTCCTGACACCGTTCCCATTAGCCCTATTTGGGACAACTTCACGATGACAGATCAACACTTCAACGTCTTGGACTTCTCCGAGCTCGTCAAACCAAACGAGGAAAGTAATACTGCGAACACGACCGAGCAGTTGGTGCAGACCCCGAAGCCGAGCAACATGCTCCAGTCATTACGGGCCCATACAAGAGAGATTGTACCACGACCGCAAGCCTCATTGGCGCACCAATCATCCGAGCTGCTAAGCTATTACTTCAAGAACGTCTCGAAACTGTATGCCGTCTACGATGACCACCGCAACCCGTTCAGATCCGTAGTCTCCAGCATGCATAGCCACTCTCTGGTCATCAATCTAGCCGCACAAAGTATGGCAGCCGCATGCCTGAATGAAGTCCACCCGCGGTTCAACAAGCTGGGCAAGAAACTTCGTCAGCAAGCCATGGAACTGATTTTCAGTCAACCTCAACTCGACAGCAAAGCACTGCTTGCGCTCATGATGTTCGGACCTACAGGAAACTGGCATGATGCCAAAGATCTCGGCCTCGATTTCTACTCCATGATGAGAGATCGTATTGACAGTATGGCGTCAACTGGCGAGCTCGTGCAGCATGAGGTCAACCTCAACAGTTTCAATTTCTTTCGTGAGGCCATGGTCTTCTGGGAAATGCTCCTTTCGTTCGTCGCAGATAGCAAAGCTATCCGGCCGTGCACAACGCCGCTCGGGCCTTTACTCACTTTCCAGCCTGCAAAACACATCGCTCATCCATGGACAGGAGTCGCTCGCGATGCAATACAAATTGTGGCAGATATCGGCCGACTTGTACGAGGACACAGAGTACGACACCAACAGCAAAACTTCGTCACACAAACCTATGTGCATCAACTCAACCAAGATTTGGTGCACGCAAGGGAGTTAGAGAATCGACTTCTGGCGTGCCGACACCCAGACGTGGATAGCATTGTTCAACCTGACGATGCCGAAACTCCTGTCTGGCATCTCACTACTCTCGCCGAGCTGTATCGGTACGCTGGCCTACTTCAACTCTACCGTGTCTTCCCTGATACCCTCTCCGAAAGACTTCTGGAAGAGGATAGCACTGCACTCGCGATGCTCATCTCAGGAGAGCAAACCCCGGAAGCCACGAGCAGAAGGAGCAAATGGCTCACACAATTCGCTCTCGAAGCTCTACGGCTACTCGAGACGATGCCTTTGGAGTCTGGCACACGAGACTTCCAGCCTTTCCTTCTCGTTGTTCTCTCGTCGGAGCTTATATGCGAGATGCCCAAGGATCCAAATAACAACGTTGATGGAGCAGAAAGCATGAACGAGGATGACGAAGGGATCGATTCGCATTTCGCAGAAGTGGCCATGATGCGAAAAATGGTCCTCGATCGCCTGACCAGCTGTCTGAGGTTACTACCTCCGAAACCCATTCGCGTATGCATCGACATTGTACAAGAGACCTGGAGAAGAATAGACGCCGGACAGCAGGACGTCTACTGGCTGGATGTAATGATCCAGAACGGATGGGAAACGATCATGGCATGAAGTGGACAAATCCAATGTCCTATTCCTGACACTGTTCATTCGACTATCTGTACAACGGTGCGGATGCTATATGTTACTGGGAGTCGAATCTTTACATTTGTGAGCCACCAGGCCACTGCGTCCAGTCCTGCTGCTGCGGCCACCAGTCATCCTGGCCCATGCCATCTACGAAAGTCGAATTATCCGGCATGTCTGTGGGAAACGTATCCCACATCATCTCATCCCAGAATTGGTTCACAGCCGCCTCTCCAGTGAGTCCGGGACTGAGCGTCCATCCAGGCTGCATGAGGCCATATTGTGGTTGGGCTGGAAACACGCCTTGTGCCGCCGCAAAGGCATCGTGGGAAGAACCAGCATCTGCTTGGGCGTCCGGTCGTTGTGCTGTTTCCGCTTCGGCTTGCGCGACTGGAAGGACAAGTGACATTCTCCGCTGCAGCAGGTCCTGCTGCTGTTGATGGTATTGCGCATTGTGCTCCGCAACGTATTTCGTCGCATCGTAAAGTCGCTGCACGACGTCTCGACTCTTACTAGCAGCAACAGACCACCGCTGCATTCTGTCAAAGAAGGGAATGGTTTTCTCGACATCTCTCTTCCAACTTTCCAGGTCATCGTCACTTCCAGGAGTGGTGGTGGTGCCTCCATGGCTTCCCGGCGTCAGCAATGGGCTCTCGGCCGCTGTCGATCCATTTGGCGGCAAAGCCAGTACGGAGAAAAGTGAGACCAGTGGGATCATCACTGCCTGGTACATCATCCAGACTGCATTCCAGCCCGCAATCAAGTTTTCTTGACAAGTTGCGACAATGTCAGAGATTGTTTGGCTCGCGACAATTCGACACCTGCCCACTGCCAACCTTTCCTCGGCTGACATGTTCGACCACGGAGTCCTGCGCAATGCTGTTGCCAGTAGGATTGGCCGATGCATCAAGATCTTGAGATTTTGGTAGCGCCAACGCATAATTGCTCGCGGCGTCTTCAAAACCTCCGGACATACAGTCCGATCACGATCCGGAGGCTGTGAAAAATCGATTGTGCTCTTGCCTGTCGACTGAATATATCCTGATCTTGGTGAGACCTTGTGGTCGCCAGCAGTCGAGCTGTGGCGCTTGCGGAGAGGAGGCCGCTCAACGACATCTCGGAGCATAGGTGGTAGATCATCGTGCCATTTCTCGAGCTCTGCGTCCAGCGCAAAGAGTGCTTCGAAACCGATGTTGGATTGTGCAGCCAGGATATCTTGTACTTTGGTTGCGATCTTGCAAAAGGGGATGTTGTGGATAATCGGCAATAGAGTTAAAGACTTCAGGTATTGAGCGTTGTTCATCTGCTCGGGTATCCGCGGATTTTCGATAGTGATGCCGTCTCCAGTTCTCCCAAGCGAGGGTCTTCCTGTTGTGATAGAAGCCCACGAGTCAAGAACGTAGAGGCTCCACCATGTTCTTCTTCGTATCTCTACTGGTACTTCTGAGTTGCTCAAGACCACATTCCCACCAGCGAGAGTTTCGTTTCTCCGACTTTCGCTGTATTCTCTGTGCAGTCCATGAGCTGTGGCCATGCGGAGGGTTGCGCCCATGATCCCGTTCGCCTCGTTTGGTCTATTCAGCCAGTGTAAGTAGTACCCACTTAGCAGTGCGAACGCCTGTAAAGTGAACAAGCTACCACTGCCGAACGTCTCCACTTCCATATGTTTTCGTGCTCGTTGGTAGTACACCATGTGATCTTCGTTTGTACAAGTTGTACTAGCCAATGATCCGAGTGCCAAAACCATATTGAGCAGACACAGCCAGGATGAATCTCGACGTGATCCGTATAGGTAGCTGTGTCGAAAGGAGTCTTCCTCAATCATGGGCATGAGAACATGTACATGAGCGAAATATGAGTCGATTAGTCTGTTTCCTTCATCTGCAGGCGGTAACTCTTGGGGATCCGGATCGCGATCATAAGGTGGTGGCGTGGAGCTACGACTCGGTGCGGCAGTTTCTGCTTGTGCTTGTGCGATGTAAGGCCGAGCCATAGGAGCAGTCTTGAAGATGACCTTCATTGCTGCGTTGATGCTTGATACTCCCACATAAGACGAGGCCCTATCAATAGACAACGACAGTCCGTTGATGTCGTCAGAAATGCCCTGGATCTTGTCTCGTAGTCGTTTTGCTTCGTCGGTGTTAGGATCCTGCTCCGGAGCTTGTTCGAGTGCGTCGAGGCTGTCGGCTCCCTCGGATTTCTTAACAGACTCTGATTTTGCAAGTAGGCGATCCGGAGCATGGCTAGGGGACGCACTAGCTGCTGGCAATGTCACGGCCATATCGATGAGTTCCGCTCTGGGCAGAGACACGAAGTCTTCGACGTCTTTGCCCGGGAAGAGCCTTGCGAAGACTGCATGATACTGCTCGACCTGCGACTGCAGTTTCTCCACTAGCCTACATTTCTTGTCAGTTGGCATAACATAGGGATAGTCTCATCACATACTTTCTTGATGGCACAACTCTCTGCACGGGTTTTGCATAAACGCACTGCTCCGGATGCTGATACCACTGGCACTGAGCACAAGGTTGTAGACCATCGCACCGGATCTTGCGTCGTCTGCACTCGACACACGCATTGCTTGTGGAGATGCGTCTGGAGGCCGCATTTGGACGGCCGCTTTTGCCGCTTTCGCCTTGCTCTGCAGAGCTCGAAGCGGTGGTAATCTGGAACGTGTTGTACATGGTAAGGTTCTTCTCTACTTCAGAGCGATCTCAGATGCTCATTTTCCCGGTCTTCTCTCCTGAGATTCTCGCCAATTACTCCGATCCGATTCATTCGTTTGCACAGCCAATCTCCTGAAAGATGCTCAGCCCATCTCTCGAATTCTTCTTGAAGTGACGGAAAATTGTGAGTGACTCGACTTGCGCAGATCGTATGGCATGGCGGTTAGGTCCACATGGTCCCGAGCGGCGCGAACAGCGCATAACCTGGTGTCGTTGAAGGATGCAGTTTGGATCGAGACCCCGGTCGATTATATTTGGTGGTGTGAACAGGTGCACCCCGCGTCATGCAGCACCGAGCAGATGGCGCGAGACAAGGATCGGAAGCGCTTCGACGGCGCGATCGGCTATGGCACGAGGCTTTGCGCTTAATGTCACCATCACATATCACGGAACGTGCCAGCGCCTCGTTCAATGTAGACTACCAAGTCCCAAGAACGTGACTGTCGTACTACATACGATCGTGCTACATCGAACGGGTTCCCGAAGCTGCGGCAACCATCTATACATCCCTGTCGTGCCACGCTTTCTGCTGATGAATAACGGGACCACTGGGTGTGCATGCATCTGGGATCTATAATCTTACGCCGCACCAAGATATGTCCATTTTAACGGAGCGTCGTTCGCTCTCAAGCCCGTGACACTCACGACTTGGTCATCCCCCGGAACAACATCGATAGCGCTGTCGTTCACCAATACGCCTTCCCTCTCCTCGAAGACTAGGCCTTTCGTAGGTCTTGCAGCCCTGATCGTGATCTTGTCTCCCGATGACTTGACTTCGACGCCCCTGTCGGAAAAGTCAAGATACTTGAGAGGCTGTGGCCAATCAACATCTCGGCTGACGACTGTGCCATCCACGGAGATCCGAGCAGCAAGAACATGTGGCTCTTCCTGGTCGTTGTGAATTGTGCCCTTGGCAACATCCGTTGTGCTGTTTGCCACGATAGTCACGTCGCGCACAACGGCCTCTTTGATCTCCTTGCCGGTAGCAATGCTGATGAAGCGCAATTCGACTGTTGCCTTGACCTCCTCAGTCCGTGAGCTGGATACCCAGCATTCGTAGTCCAAGGCCTTGGCTGGTCGGGCATGCACAACACTCCAATCATGATGCGCTCGCTTGACAGCCACTGCGATTGGCGCCAATACTCTCCTCACCGCGTAGTAAGCGGGCTTCTTTCTTAGAAAATAGTCGACGATCGACCACGATGTGACTGGCCAGCAGTCGTTCAGCTGCCACAGCAGAGCCCCGCCGCAGAATCGCTTCTGGCCCCACTGCTGCCTCCAGCCGCGGTATCCGAACATGAGCGCCTCTGCCTGACTCAGCTGCGTCAGATGAATATACTTTTCCAGATCTGTTTCCGTTCGGAAGTTCTCTACGAGGTAGGTGGCGATTCGCCTCTCATGGCCATCGGCTTTGTTGTGGTGGTCAAGCATCTGGCTTTGAGGGTAGAGCTGTGTCGGATCCGTCACGTACCACTTGATGGTATCGATGTGTGGGAAAGCTTCCATGCCGAATTCGCTATTGAAGCGACCACCGAGAGTGTCGAAGATCTGGTACTTCTCTTGCGTGCCGTGCCATACGTTCCACTGGTGCATATCTCCGACGGTGCGGTCTGTGGTGGGCTTACCGTCACCCCATGGCGATCCGGGATGGTAAGGCACATGAGGCGCGTTGGCCGCTACCACGTCAGGCAGCAGCTTCTCGTATATGTAGCGTGCAGGGAAATCGGTCTTCAACCAGCTCTGCGGGTCTTTGTCCTCATAGTTGTAGGTCAATCCCATCTGCTCTTGTACCTGATAATCTTCGTTATTACCGGCATAAATCACGATCGATGGATGATGTCGCAGTCGTTTTGTCTGGCAAACGCATTCGGCTTCGATGGACTCCAGAATCTCAGGGAAGGCCGGGTAGTTGCCACAACCGAACATAAAATCGTGCCAAATGAGAACACCGAGCTCATCTGCCAGTTCGTAGAATGCATCTTCCTCCCATATACCACCTCCCCAGATGCGGATCATTGTCTGGTATCCGTCGACCATCATCTGCAGCCATTTGCGATATTTCTCTCTTGTTATTCGAGGAGTGAAATTGTCAGCTGGTATCCAGTCGGAGCCGCCGCAAAAGACATCTACTCCATTGATGCGGAAGAAGAACGTCTTGCCAACCTCATCCGGTTCTTGGATAAGCTCAGCACGCCGGAATCCGGTCCGCTTGCTCAGAGTGTGAACGGCAATGTTGTCCTGCCTGATCGTCGCAGAGACAGTGTAAAGTGGCTGTGCGCCATACCCGTGCGGCCACCACAATTCAGTGTCTTGCACGGTGAAGCTCAGCTGCGCTTGGCGCTTGGAGTCAATCGCTGCAGTATCCTGGAAGACCGTCTTGTCCCCAATAGCGATGCTGAAGTCCACGTGTTGCCCAGAGGCGCCATCAATGAAGGCGGTGAGCTGCCCGCTTACTTTTCGGTCTGAAAGGTCGAGATCGTAGTCTACTCTGAGATCTTCAACCCGAGCATGGTAGGTCTCGAGGCGAACAGCCCGCCATGGTCCACAGGGCGACAGTACTGGACCCCAGTCCCAGCCTAGAGAACGTTAGAATGGGCAGGTCTCACAGCATATTTATTTGCATTTATTCTGCTCATGTTGGTGATTTTCTGCTGGTCGTATTGCTTACCATAATGATACTGCGCTTTCCTCACGGCCAAACGAGCCATATCGCCATTGAAACCGACCCATTTGTGCTCAGGATGTGCGTCTTTAATCTTCCTAGACTCCACATACGCCGACTTGAATTCAATCTCAAGAAGACTCTCCTGGTCCTTGGGCAACTTTTCTGTAACATCGACACGATGCATGATCCACATATTGCTGCTTTCCAGTATAACGTGATCATTGAGCTTGACAGTGGCATAAGTATCCAAGCCATCGAATGCCAATACATGACGAGCACCCGGTTGAGCTTGCGGAACGGCTGGTAGCTGGACTTTGTACGTCCATGATTCCTCGTTGACCCATTGACACTTCAATTCGTTAAATCCAAGAAATGGATCCTCGATTCTGCCGCACTATCAGCGGAAGTCGGAAAGGGCTCTGCATAGAACACACAGCTTGTTGTCCAGAAGGTCGAGATGGATGTTCGTCGGGACTTTGGCAACCGGGTACCAGTCGTCTTTGCTTGTCTGCTTGAAGCTCCAGCCTTGAGATATATCACGAGACTGTATTGCCTCTGCCATTGTTGCAGTCAACTGTAAGCTATCACGCTTGCAGAGGGAAGATTGAAGAGTCCGGAGGGAGTAGCAGGACTTAAGTTCTTCGACAAGTGAACCCTAGTGGAGTAGTCCTGGTACGAGACAAGACGAAAACGAGTCTTCAGCCTCCGCCGGCATGCTGTTTCCCTTGACAGATTTGGCAGTCGGCGGCCATAGCAGGCGCTTCGCCCAATGTGGGAGTGTTCGGCGCGGTGCGAGGCAGGGCGCAAAGCCCTCGCGCAGGTGCTGTTTGGTGGGCTGAAGCGATGGCCAGGTTGGTCGGCTGGGACGTGTTGCTCCGTGTCGAACGCGGTTTCGCGTGACGTCCTGCGTCGCGCTAGTGGCGCATTGTGTGGGATGCCAAGACATGGAGCATCTGTTCCTCCGCGACCTCATCGCTGACGACTTCATCATTGGAATATCGAGTAGCGGTCTCATGTCGAAGAGGGCCGCGACACCTCCACCCTAGAGACAAGGCCGTGCTTGACGTGCGTGTTCCAGGCCAGTACTATGCACTGCGAGTCCTGGCTCGAGGTGGACAAGGAAGCCCTCGAGAGGAAGCTGCACTGCATATTCGCTGCAGGCTGATCACCGCTCTTGGTCCGAGTCGGACACGTCGTCATGCAAGAACCTGGAGCCAGAGTCGCCGGCATCTACGAGCTGCTCGAAATGATCATCGTAGATCTGCCTCTCAAAGACTTGGTCCGGCTGCGAGCTGTCGGGCAGAATTTCATGAAGGTCGTCGATACATCTGAGCAGATCGCTCTCCGATTCTGTCTACCATTCTCGCGGCAACTTAGGACTGTAGATTACGCACGTCATCCCCTCCTGCCGAAAGAAGTCGATATCTGGGCTGGCAGGAGACCACTTGGCGGCTATGTGGTCTGTCGTTTTGTTTTGCGAGCCGCAGGCAAATTCGACTGGACCGCTGCAGCATCTTGGAAGAATTTCTATGCATGTCGACCAGAGACTCGAAGTATGAGAGCTTGGTCAGGCTGTTCAAAGGTCTTTGGCAGCAGTAGCATGGGCGAGTACCGGTATTATCGCAGCCAGCGAGGTATTACCCTCCGTCAGCTGGCCGATGCCGCTTGTGCAATGAGGCTGGACGCTGGCGTCGACGAGGCGATAGTGCACTTTGAGACTGACCTTGATTTCGAAGGAGCCGACGTGCCAAGCGAAGCATCTTCAACATATGCCGAATACTGGCTTTGATCACAAGCACAACATGCAAATGACCGTGGCTACGTGTTTCTCAGCTACAGACATATCAGGCGAACATCACTACAGTCAGCATCAATCAACCCAGCTTAACCAAGCCATCCATTGCCCGACTCCAGCATGCTCCAAACAAACCAATCGCGTTGATCTTCAAGCCACTCCGAACCCTGCGTCGCCTGCTGCTGCCACAAATTACTCTGCATACCAATGCCCCTTGCCTGCATGCCCTCAGGGTCCCAGAATTGCCCGCCAGTCCAGTCAATACCGTATTGGAGACTATCCGAGGTTGGTGAGCCCGGGCGATACAGGTAAGGCGAGTAAAAGCGTTCGTCGCTGCCGTCAAGGAAGCCTTGGAGGCGTGGGCCACCCGCGTATGGGTTTGTCCAGGGATACATTTTTCGGCTACTTGAAGAGGCTGCGATTTCAGTGAGTGGATCCCAGGTTAGTGTGCTCTGAGTTTGGAGCTGATGCTCAGGAACCGGCAGTCTTGGATATGAGGGGGCTGATGGAAGAAGCAGAGGACGCATTCGACCGGAATTATATGTTGCAGGAGTTACAGCATTCACAAATACGAACAGCATTACACTCACCCTTCCATGCGAATTGGGGCTCTCAGTACAAGACCTGCGAATGTTCGGTCTTCTTCAACGCCACCACAGCCGCATGACGGCGCCCAAGTGGCAAACGATATATCTTTGGGATTTACCAAGTACTGGCTGCGATAAGAAGTAACACGGCGGCAGTATGCTCAGAAGTTGGCACAGTAGAAGGCTCTTGAGGCATCGAAGATGGAAAAATAACGCAATGAAATAATTCCGCAGGCGGTTGCTAGAGAAATTACCTCCTACCTCAACTTATTCCCGCATCTCAATCAAACTCCCCTCAACTCCACCACCCCAAATTCGAACCCAACATATCCCAAGCAAACCTATTTCCTTGTCCAATAAGCCAATCCTGGCCCTGCTCAGCCTGCTGCTGCCATAACTGATTCTGCAAACCTAATCCACGATCTTCCATACCCGGAAGATCATAATACGGCCGACCAGTCCACTCATATCCATATTGAAGATGGTCAGAAGTTGGCGAGCCAGGGCGATACATGTAAGGCATATACATGTGATCGTCGCTGCCTGGAAGATAGCCTCGCAGCCGCTGGCCGTTTGAGAAGGGATACATTTCTGTGATTAAGCGGGTGGAAGCGGTGTGTGAGAGCGAGGTTAGTGTCAGTTGGTTCGGGATGCTTGAGATACTGGTACTTTGGAACGCGGTGGCTCTGATGCGGATCAGGAAGTGTTTGGTTTACCTATATATCGCATCACTTGCGGAATTCACAGCTACTAGAGGCTCGCCATGCACTCTTCTATAAGTATCTGGGATCTGGGGCCTCTCGCTGAGGTATTGATCAGCGTTAGATGGTCTTCGGCACCCCCGGTGCCACCGCCTTCCACCATCTACTACAAGTTCATATCGACGCTCGCTCGTTAGCGCATCTTCATTCACTTGCTTCACTCTCCTGAAGTGTCCTCCGTCATTCCGCATTCTGTAAAATCTGCTGCGTTGCTCACAGCCGAGGAAGCCACACTTGTTCCTTCCCTGCTCGCCAGAAACACCTCTCCTGCCTGTTTGAAAGATACGATGATAGGGAAACCTTTTGTCTGTCGAGCATTGACCCTGGTTGCCTAGGTAGCCCTTTTGTTACTGAGTTTCTGCTGAAAGTACTCATTCCATGATGGACTCCGGTGTTTTGTCGTCTTCGGGCCCAGGCAAGCTCTTAATATGGGCTCAGCCTTGTGGCCGGAGAGACAATTCCGGCTTCACAGTTGGGGTGAGCATACGCGAGGACGCCATAGTACTTTGCAAGCGCTTCATTGAGCAGTGCTGGTCTTGGCTTCAGAACCGCTTAGCCTTCCACTTCCTCCACAATAACACAAGGAGGACAGTTACAACAGTCGCTCTTCCCACTAGAGCGACTGCCACGGCTCGGCGAACAATATCGTAATATCTGGCGCGGTCAGCAATCTCGGGCAGAGAATACCTGACGAGAGTGTTGACGCACCCTTCAAGCATGGTCGCGACAGCAGCTTTCTTTGATCGAACCTCGCCGACACCAGATCCGGTTCCTAAGCCATGGAACCCTGTTTCAAAAGGCGCTTCGCTGGATGAATTTGGAGCGCCCACGGACCGATTTGCATTTTGCACTCCAGTCTCGGAAGCACCGCCAAAAGAAGGACGAATGTCTCGAAATTCTGATCCCGATTGAAGTTCAACTCGCTTGCGATTCTTAAAGCGATAGGTCAGCAGCCAGACCCATAGTCGCACATCGAGGGGCGTGAAGGTTGGATATGTCCAGAGAGTAAGAGCATTGTGCGGTGGCATCAAATCGAGAAAGTCCTGTATGACACCCAGTGTTAAACCCCAAAGTAGTAAAGGACCTTCTTTCTTGGGTACCGGGAATTGATTGAAGATATCTGCTCGCCATATGCGGTTTACGAAGAGACTCAGTTTGTCCTTCGTGGTGAGCTGAGCATAACGATTATCTTGCAGAGTCACATCCGAGCTGGGAGATTCCACACTGTGAAGGGATTCTGTGGGCTCCAAATTGATGGCAGCAAATATCATGCGTCCAAGGATTGTGGCCAACATCCACCTCTTGACACCCGTTTCCTGGTTCGCAAGACGCGATGACACATCCTCAAAGGCAATCGTGCGTTGCTCGGGACTGAGGAGGCTCCGCAAAGGAACCCAGTGCGTGCTGGCGACCTCGCTAGGTTGTAGCTTCAGAGGTGGAATGGCGTGGGTCGTCAAAAGGAAGACATATGGGCAGAGCACAAGCAATGGCTTCTTGCCCCAGTGTGTGGTGACAAGTCGTTGCGGAAGATTACCACACGAGACAGCGTATTTGTTCAGATCTAGTCCAACTTCTTCCCATGCTTCCCGAATAGCGGCTGCTTGGTCATCGGCATCTGTTGGATCGCGCTTTCCTCCTGGAAGGGCGATATGCGAAGTCCATCGATCACCCTTACGTGAAGCGCGCTTGATGAACAGCACCTCAGGCTCTCCATGTTGTGTCCACTCTTGCTCGAAGAAGGCGTTGAGGTCCTTCTTCGCTTCTGACTCAACCTCGGGCCAGTGGTTGTACGAAGGCTGTACGCGGATCACCAAAGCCACGGAAGCTCTCTTGACCTTGTCGGGAGACTCGAGGGTCGGATAGGGCGCATCGGTCAAGTCCTTGAGAATCGTCTGGAGATGGGGAATCAACTGCAGCGGAGGTGTCGCGTTGGCCGACGCGAGGCCTGCCATGGTCGTGTGGTGGTCTATATTGTATGGCACGGGAAGTAAAGCATCAGCAGTCTATGTCTATGCGCGACAAGAAATGAGCGTTGTTGTAGGGGACGAGTGTGAGAGCGTGGTAGTCTCGAAGAAACCCTTCGAGACTCAGCTTATTACTGATGCGATCCTCGGGTCGAGTAATTGAGAGATCAGGGCAGCCAGTCAGATAGGATTGCGATGATCACCCATCTCAATGAAGCGTCCGCAATTGCACAGCGAACACCATTTGGTACAGTGCTTGTTGAGCGATGTTGTCTGGACAGCGTGAGAGTTTCATGTTACTGGAACATGGTCGAGGATGTATGACGGTAGAATTGGCGACTCCTCCATCAATTCGGCGTTGAAACTTGATTGAACTGACCGCGCGAGCACGTTGCGGATGGCATGGTCGTTATTGGCGGCAGTGCTTCATTCGCGTGGGGCAACCAAAACCTTCTTCCACTGTTTGGGCCAGATGCAAAGAGTGGACGAGCAGGTGCAAAGCTTGTCTGCCATTGCCTGTAGCTTCCTGGTCGACGGACATGCGCTGCACTGTTCCCCCAGCACTCGACTAGACCTCGCCCACCATGCGCTTCGGCAGGACGCTGGAGATAGCTCGCTATCCCGAGTGGAAGGACCAGTACATCGACTACGCCAAGCTCAAGAAGCTGCTCCGCGATGACGAGAGTGCTCCCAACTCACCCACCACCGAGTCACAGCCCGACAAGTGGACCGACGACGACGAGAGCAAGTTCGTCGACGAACTGGTGAATGTGCAGTTGGAGAAGGTCCACAAGTTCCACCGGGACACCGTCGAGAAGCTGCGGGACCGGACGGCAAAATGCGAATCCAAACTCGATGCCATTGCTGCAGCAGAACAGGGAGAGGCCTCTTCTGGAGAGGGCAACGGCGAGGGCAATGGCAAGAAACCGGTGCCGAGTGAGGAGGAGCAGAAGAACATGCTGCAGGAGGTGCTGAAAGAGCTGGATCACATCACGAAAGAGACCAACGAGCTCGAAAAGTACAGTCGGATCAACTACACTGGTTTCCTGAAAGCCGCTAAGAAGCACGATCGGAAACGAGGTGGCTCATACCGTGTGCGTCCACTGTTGCAGGTGCGGCTGGCTGCCTTGCCCTTCAACAAGGAAGACTATGGCCCCTTGCTGTTCCGCCTGAGTGCCATGTACAGCTTTGTACGCAACAAGCTGGAAGGCGCTGATCAGACCAACAAGGCCGGCGAAGACCAAGAGGGCCAGGAGGAGTACATCAGCCAGAAGTTCTGGGTGCATCCCGACAACCTGCTGGAGGTCAAGACCATGATCCTCCGCCGCTTGCCGGTGCTGGTCTACAACCCGCAAACCTCCAAGGTCGCCGAGGGCAGCCAGCCCGACCCCTCCATCACCAGCATCTACTTTGACAACTCTGCATTCAATCTGTACTCCAGCAAGGTCGACAACAACTCCGGCTCTTCCCTCCGTCTGCGATGGTACGGCCAGTTGAACAACCGACCTCAAATTTGGATCGAGAAGAAGACCGTGACCGAAGATGATCGCAGCTCCGAGGCCCGTTTCTCGACAAAGGACAAATACGTGCAGCCCTTCATCAACGGCGAGTACCACATGGAGAAGCAGATCAAGAAACTGGAAGACCGTGCCGGCCCGGACAGCAACGAGGCGCAAAGTTTCAAGTCAGCTGTGGAGGAAGTGCAAGACTTCATCAAAGAGCACGACCTCCAGCCAGTGGTGCGCGCAAACTACACACGTACAGCATTCCAGATCCCCGGCGATGATCGCGTGCGCATCAGTCTTGACACCGACCTGGCATTCATCCGCGAGGACGCTATCGACACAGACCGCCCATGCAGAGACCCGGAGACATGGCATCGCACCGACATCGACGATAGGAAGCTCGAGTATCCCTTCTCTTCTATCCGAAAAGGCGAGATCACTCGCTTCCCCTTCGCGCTTCTCGAAGTCAAGCTGCGTAACACGCATGGCAAGAAGAGCGCTGAATGGATTGAAGACATCACAAGCAGCCATCTCGTAAAGGAAGCACCTCGTTTCAGCAAGTTCGTTCACGGTGTCAGCACGCTGTTTGAAGACTATGTCAACACATTCCCATTCTGGTTGAGTCAAATGGAGACGGACATTCGACGTGATCCACAGCAAGCCTTCGAAGAGGAACAAGCTAAGCGACAAAAAGACCAAGCCGATGAGATCGCAGTAGGCTCTTTGCTGAAATCCAAATACGGCAGTAGTCCTGCCCACCGAAGCGCCTCCTATCAACGCACTCCGTCGCAAGCCGTCATTAGTCCTGTCGGTTCTCCCGCTGCGACAGCTCTGAAGCGCACGCCGAGCGGTCAGAACACTCTCGGCAGCCCAGACGCAAACCGTGCCGTCGCAGCACCTACTCAAATGGACGATGTGGTAGAGGAGCCTGACGATGACGAGACCGGCACGCATGTGCAGAACACCCAGAATGGCTCGTCCGGCCAGAACGGCACCTCCAGCGGACTCAAATCCCTCTTCCCCACCTTCAGCACAAGCAAGTACGCCCAAGCCAAACGCAGCCGCGCCCAACAACTTCCTCCAGGCGTCTCGAAACCTGATTTCTGGATCAAAGATCAAGGACCTGTCAAAGTCGAAGCAAAAGTCTGGCTCGCGAACCAACGTACATTTATCAAATGGCAGCACGTCTCGATCCTCCTCGCTTCTCTTTCCCTCGGACTCTTCAATGCTGCCGGCCCCAATAACAAGGCGGGCCAAGCGTTGGGCATTGTCTATACCTTGGTCGCAGTTTTCGCTGCTGCATGGGGCTACGGAATCTACATGTGGAGGCATGATCTGATTAAGAAGAGGAGTGGAAAGGATTTCGACGCAGTGGCGGGACCAGTGGTGGTTTGTATCATGTTGATCGTTGCATTGTGTCTAAATTTTGGCTTCAAGGTGAGTGCACGTCACTGCTGCGAGCAACTGATCTTGCTGAGCTATTGCTAACTTCGATACAGTATCGCGCTATTTTGGAACAACGGAGAGAGGAGCAGAATGGTCCAATTTATAATTCCACCAGCAGCTTGTTTGTACAGCAGGCTTCGGGGTTGCATGGTGATTTGTGATGGAAGCTGAACATTGGCAAAGTAATATCGCGCTGGCGAGAAGCTGTATACATAGTACATACGGCGCGCAACGTGCTGCAGTGAAGATCCAGCGTCTGCTCATCTTCGCACGCTGGGAACCGGGACGATGGTACTTGTTGAAGGAGACATATAAACGTGTAGAGTTATACGAGGTATGAGATTCTGATTGACACCAGCCCTGGGAGACGAATCTCAGATGTGGTTCCAACATACCGGATTCTATCTGGTTGCTCTGTCCCCCGATCGGGCTCTCAATCTTCGGATCGACCGTATTCCATCAATCTTGCTTCCCGCTTGGCTTTACTCCCCGCTCTTTCTGGACCATCCGCAGTGCTTTTGTACGAAGCGTAGATGGTGTACGGTCTGCAACAAGCTCTGGAACGGTCCGAAGGGGCCATATCATGGAGTCTTCGCTCTTGCTGTTGAGAGAGAGAGAGCCCCTTGCTTGTACGGCCGAGTGGAGGGAGATAGGCGAGAGGGAGGTGCGCATCCGGAACTGATAGAAAGATTGAAGCAATTGCGACCCGCGAAAAGATGCAGGAAAGCCAGGGACATGCGGCGGAGCTTGTGGAACCACGTTCGATCGGATTCTCCAAGACATTGTCACTCCTCTCAAGACCTCCTCTACTTCGTCGAGACCCATCTTGGGAACACACGTTCTGAGCACATCCACGAGAAATAATTTGATCCCATCGGCAGCGAAGCCTGGGCACCGCGTGCGCGGAATCGACGCAGGAGAGCATGTCCGCTGCACCGCCATAGCAAGTTGTTGCGGTGCAACCCGGGTCGGACTGCCGCGCGACATCCTTTGCGGTGTTGGGGTAGGGTATGTTGTGAGCTCAGGAGCTCATATGTAAGCTGATTTCAACCTCGAGGATCGCCATTACCTCGAGCCCCCAGCACTTGCGGAAGAAGGTGAAACATCGTTCTCAATCACCAACAAGTGTGATGGGGATCGATCACCTGGAGGTCACATCCGCTGCACTCCTAGCCTCGTCGTGAGGTTGGCGATGAGAATTTCCGGGGAGCTGGGAGGTCCAAAAACGAGGTCGGTGCGAGCAAGCGCGATGGCGTTCCAGGCTGCTGGTAAATTCAGCTATCCAAATGAGTTGCGAGTGTTTCATTTTTATCTTCGGCGTGGTGCGGACTCGCACATGCTCTGGGTCGGATGTGCTCGTCCCCGAGGGGACACTGTCTCCATCGAAGAACTCATGAATCTGATTGCGTCCACGCGACATTCTCCCTCACGTCGAGTCCCCAAACTTTGGCAGTAGCGCTCCAGTGCAAAGAGGGACTGCAACGATCGTTGCGAACCAACTAGTCCATCGTCGACCAAATAGGCACTCAAGACATCAAGCTCTCCCAAGATCTTCAGCTAATGCAATGCATAATTCTGAGAATAACAATCACGAACTAGCATTTTCCCTGACTAGCATGTGTGTCGGCAGTTCAAAAATGGGGCCCAAGCTTTCTTGGTAGTCTTGGGAAAGCCTGTGCGCTTGCGATCCCTCACACTAAGCAGGAGAGTCTTATTAGGGCAGTCTTCACACCGCTCGCCGCGCCTTCCGTTGTTGGAACTGGTCGTCAACACCCTGGACTGTGAGATAGGAAATGATGAGAGACATCTATCGTGCTCAGCACGACAGGGCTGGTCTCGCAGCCGGAGGAGGCATCGATGATCGGCGTCGTGGAGAAGATGCCTGTGAGCATTCGGTGACCACATGAATCTCCTTCCACATTGGTGCGAAATCTTTTCGAACGTCTGCATAATCAATAAAGATTACGGTGGTATAGTGCAGCCTCCACGAGGAAATCTAAACAAACTTGTCTTGTGAATCTTGGCGTGTGAGGTGCACACCCCCTTGTTCAGTGAGGCTATCGTGTATTCGTATTGCGTTGATCTCCAAAACTAAGAAAGGATCTTTACGAGCGTGCCGTACCGCGCCTCTCGGGACAATCGGCATGCCAGGTTGTGCTACCAGGTTCCTGACCCTGGTCTTTCACTAGCCATTGCTTGATACGAAAGATGCGATGTGGCTGTGGCTGTGAAGAGTGCTCTCAGTGGAATGTTGGTTCTACGACGATGCACTTGTTATTTGTTCCGAATTCGCGGCCCTGTGTGGTTGGAAAGGGTAGTGTGCAACGAAAATTGCAGATTTGTGAAATCACAGTTGCGTGGTTGTACGAAACTCCAGGCACATGCGGCAGCGTAAGAAGAAGAAGGCCTGAGCTTTCCGAGCCCTTGTTCATATCCCCAGTCGATATTCACCAACCTCACTTAAACGGTGTCAAGCGCCAGAAAGGCCCAAACAGCGTTGAACGCGGAAAGAGGAGAGCAAGAATTGTGTTGTGCAATTCCATTACTGGTATACCGAAGGAAGCGTCCAGAGATACGCCAATATCATCAATAAATTCATTCCCCCAACGCCAGGTCCTTCGATAATACGCTTCATTCTATGTGTATATCATTCCCAGAATAAAATCCTCCCTCACGCCAGCGCTAACATTGCATATACGTATTACCGAGAAGTCGTCGTTCAAGCGTCGAAGATTGGTGAGATTACGTAGACACCTCGTGCTTCCATCTCGAATGTGAGGGACTTCGTGACGGGTTGTGTAGAGACGAGTAGCACAGCTTCCGCTTGAATTTCCTGTGACGAGGATACGTTAGCATGGAGCCTCAAACCTCAAGTGTCAGTAGAGAAACCGCAGATTTTGCGACTTACCTTCGCTGCCGCATAAACCAAGGCATTCATGTTCGGTCTTCCCGTCAATTTTGTATCGATGATAATGGCATTCGGATCTGCCCGTAGCACCAAATCCATAACATCTTTGCCATACGTTACGGTCGGATTTCTCGTACTCCATACGAGGCGGATCGGCCAGTTGGGATGCGTATTCATAAAGGCCATGCAAGGTGAGATGCCTGAGCCCGTCGCGGCGATGACAAGAGGCTTGAAAAGCATGGGGACTTCCATGACGCCGAGGAAGACTCGGCCTCGTGTCCACAGCTTATCCTGTCGTGAGCCCGGCTCGATCATTTTCTTGGTCCAGTCACCAGCGTTGGAAATGACGACAGAGAAGCCTTGTTTGCCATCGGCGCGAGGAATAGTGGCGAAAGTGTGGTAGTCGCCCATTGGCGAGGAGGCGATACGGATTGAGTGACCGACTGATGGGAGGCGGTAGTCGAAGTCGCATTTGAGAGCGTGATCCGAGAGTTGGGTTGCCGTAAACGAGCGCTTGCGCATAATAGCCCAAGGGTAGATGAGGAGGATGGTGACGATCAAAGTACACCAGAACGGCGGTGACTCGAGCAGTGCGGTACTCAGTGGCTTACTAGATGCTGCGCAGGTAATGACAACCAGAACCCATATCATCGCCGTCACAAACCAGCCGATGTATCGGTGCGACATCTCCCAGACGTTGTGGTGTTTGATTCGGAAGGTTGGATGCGACATGCCAACGATGGCGAGTAGACATGCGAGGATGACGCCCGTGGTTATGAAGAGCGCCACTCGAAGCAAGTTCTGGTCGTCCTTGAGAGGTTGTATGACTACGAGGACAGAGAAGTAAATGAACCACATCGTCGCACTCGCGCCACAGCCGCTGTGGATGCCTCCGTGGCTATACTAAAAGTGGTCCCAAGTGTCAGCTCTCATCACTGATCGTCCCACTCAAGTGTGGCGAAGCAATGACTTACGATCCTCACAGCTCTTCTGCGCAGGAAGAGTGGCCACTTCCCGAAAGTGTGCGTCAATTTGATCCACCCGTTGGCTAGGTTATCATGACGAACAAGCACACTAGCAAGAATGTTGCTTGCAACGCCAATCGAAGCGGTGTCGAAGGTAGTGTGTGGTCGCAAAACGGCCAGCAGGAGAATGGCAACCAGATTGACAACGAAGACAAAGGTGAATAGTCGTCGATATGCTGTGAACCATCCATGACGGAACTTTTTCCAAGGAAGATGGCCGGTCAACTCTGGCATGGGATATTTCGCCATGTAGGATTCGAGGAATTCCTTCTTCGCAATGCGATCGGCATACTGAAGCTTGAGGTCTTCCTCGCTGATGGTGGCCTTGTTCTGAAGAAGAGAGACATCTGTCAAGCTGCTTTGATTACTGAACTCGGACGTGGCCATCGAGTACAGCGATGGCTTGCGGAACTCCTCGTCGTCCTCCATCTTCTCGTACGTCGATGATGGTGGTGGCAGCATCTTTGCTAGCGCTGGTGATAAGAATGTAGAGTGAGTAGAACTTGAGTCAGTAGTAGTACAGTGATACTGCATATATATCAAACAGAAAGGAGTGAGAACGGCTCGCGGTGGAGATGGCCTACCATACCAGAGACGTGCTATTTCCAGGCTTCACGCCCGTATCTTCTGCCAACCCTGCCACGGCTTCTCTCGTCTGCTCCTTTCCAACGGTATCGATGGTCCTAGCATCATGGCCGCCCACGTTAGGTCTCGCAATGGACGTAAGCAGAGAGCAGGTATTCTTGCTGGTTCGACCGGCATTGGCGCCACGATGCCAACGCCGCCGCTTACATCGATCATGATCTCCGGGTATACCGAGAACCTTCTTTGCTTTTGACTGTAAGTATAGATTCGACGCACGGTTCAGCTCGCCAGACTACGTCTCGAACAGTTCGAGGCGACTGGCAGGGGGCCTTGACGTCGATCCACAGGCTAGAGAGGCTTAGAAGATTACCGCTCAGGGAGCACGTTTCTGCTTACGGCTAGACGAGCACTGGATGAAACAAGTTGCCCTGCATCGCATCAGTGAGTGAATTCCAGAGAGAGCTTACGAATGACGCTTTCGGTCTGACAAGACTTTGACATGTGCTGACTGCAATGCTTCGGTCGCGCGGCATGCACGCAATTTCCACTCGATCTTGGAATGTTGCACATATATAGACGAGTGCAATGAATGCGTAGCATGACATAAAGTGCGTAAAGTGCTTGCCACGTGTGAATAGGCGGACCGTGTTTCCGATTGACTGAATTCGTCCGGCTTGGCAGCACAGCCCTATAGGACGTCGAACTGCTTATCCGCAGCGAAGAGGTCTGAAACAGCAGCGAAAGTTAACAATCCATCTACACGGATCTGGACCGGACCGTCGATATATAAATCTCATCCTCGTTGAGCACGTTGTGCTTGTTCTCGTCCCGAGCTTCCGTGCTCGCCACGTCACATATCGAGGCACTCTCGGTCGCTGGGACGGGTCGCGACCAAGTGCCGAAGCAAGTGATGTGCTGCCATGAACCCAGGTCGTGCAGCCTTATTCAGTGGATCTGTTTCAGTATCTTGAGCAGACGGCATCGCCCACGGAACGAGTGGCGTTTACGACCGAACAATGTGCCAGGTTTTCCAGCTCTGGCTTGCTGCAGATATCTGACACTTCTGAGCTGGACTCTCTTTTCTTGAGAATTGACTTTGATATGTAACCCTTGCTGCGGCGGCTGAATATTGAGTTAGTTCTGCACGCTGCGTTGCCTAGAGACAATAGGACTTTCAGCATTCGCACGAGCGACTTTCATAGGCAGTGATCTCGACCGTCGACACAGCCGTAAGCAGTGCCTCAGAGAGCGGCTTGGCGGCGGGGATGTTGTGGTGGGGAGAGTGGGTGAAGGAGAAGGAGTGGTGAACTGAAGTTGAAATCCTTGGTCTGTGTGTGCTGCCTTAGGCGCCAACAGCTGCCGAACGCCGAACGCCCAGCACTCGACGCGACACGTCAACTCCAGCTTGCAGTCCGGCGAATGTGCTCCAGGCTAGCGTGGGAGACAATGAACAGCTGAACATTGCATCTACCCCTACTTCCCTCTTCCACGAGCATCGGCAACAGGAATACCTCGGCAGCAGCGCACCGGGTGGAGATATGCGAACATGGCTGCGGCTGCTGCCAGTGCTGCTCTTGCAGCTACTGGCAGTGCGAGCTGCAGAGATGAGCATCGTAAGCACGAATCCGACATGATGCGCGCTCCCTCGCGCGGACAACCATACTGAGACGGCGCGCTGCAGAATGAGAAAGACGATAGCAGGCAGGTCTGCTCGGGCATGTACTCGCGCAAGAGCTGGGGCGGCCCCGTCGACCCCTACATTCTCGTCAAGTTCGAGCATCCGGAAGTTCCAGAAGGGCAGGACCCGATTGTCAGTTTGGTCATATTTGAATGGGCCGATCGGCCCTTGATCGGAAAGCCCGATCCGAACGATAAGACAGTGGTATGGGCACAGAAAAAGGCAGGAAGGGGACATAATGGGCTGATGGTGAATAGGATGACTTCTTGTGCGATGAAGCGGCTCGCGATGCTGGACTCTGCGAGGAAGCCGATATTGGATCATTTATCCTGGCCGCCAATGCTACTGCACTCTCGTCTTCGCTGATACGGTCCGAGGCCATCCATCTCAAGGAGCCCGGAGCGATCAACTATCCTGTCAAGAAGACGGGCTATTACTGCGTGAGCAGCGCGGCATACAGCGCCACGGACTACACTGGCATCGTCGAGTTCCGCAATGCGTTCGGTGAGCTTCCTGCGGCTCAGATGCCAAAGCTGCCCTTTTATGCTGCAAGCATGATCATCTATGCTCTTCTGGCCTTTGGTTGGAGCGCCCTGTACTGGATGCACAGAAGCGATATCTTGGCGGTGCAGAACTACATAACAGCGATTCTGGTCTTCCTTGTCATCGAGATGTTCATGACCTGGCTGTTTTACGACTACCAGAACCGGCACGGAATGAACGCTGGGTCCAAAGCCCTACTGATCGTCACATCCGTCCTCAGCGCCGTCAGGAACAGCTTCTCCTTCTTTCTTCTGCTCATCGTCTGCATGGGCTACGGCGTGGTGAAGCACGAACTGGGCAAGACCATGTGGTATGTGCGTGCCCTCGCGATCACGCACTTCGTCTTTGGCGTCATCTATGCTATCGCCTCCTTGGCAGTGACTCCAGAAAATGCTGGTCCTCTTGTCCTCCTCGTTGTGCTGCCGCTAGCTGGTACACTCACAGCCTTCTACATTTGGACACTTAACAGCTTAAACTATACCATGAAGGATCTCGTGGAGCGCAAACAGCACGTCAAGGCCGGCATGTACCGCAAATTGTGGTGGTGTATCCTCACCAGCATCGTCGTTATCTTTGCCTTCTTTTTCGTCAACAGCTGGACCTTTGCAGGATCTGGCAATGCTGACTTTGTGCCAAATCATTGGCAATCAAGATGGTTTATCTTGGACGGCTGGTTGAATTTGGTGTACTTCTGCGATGTTGTCTTCATCGCATATGTGTGGAGGCCGACAGCGAACAACCGGAGGTTCGCCATGTCCGATGAGGTATGTCCTTCTCTGGTACCACACTCCATTGACAGCAATTCTAACCCCTCTTTCTTCTGCAGATCGCACAAGATGATGACGGCTTCGAAATCGCTTCCATCCGAGATTCCATGGACCTCGACGACGATCTCGAAGCTGTGGGCAACGGCGGCAAGAACAACAATAATCCGCAGCCATACGACGCTCCTCCTCGAAGCGGCAATCCTAGCAGAGCTGCTTCTTCACTACAGCAGAACAATAGGAGAGACGAATCACCGCTGCCAGCGCCCGTTCCTACAAAGCCTGCAACATTACCGCGGGAGTCGCTAGATGGGGAGACCATATTCGCTGTCGATGACGATAGTGATGAAGAAGACGAGGACGAAAGGAAACGGCTGACTACCACCAAGAAAGATTGAAAGGACCGAGCAGAACGGGCGGCCGGCTGACCTGGTTTTTTGCGAGGGTCATCTCCTTTCTTCATTGTATAGCATGAGTAAGAACGATACTTGCTGTATCAACACACAGACCATCCGTCCACATCTTCACCACTCTCGAGATCTCGGTAGCCCAATGAATCTGAATCTGAAGCCTGAGTGGCTGCAGATTGTCTAGCATCGCTGGACTATGTGTGGCGCTCTTTAGCGTGGAAGCTTTGTTGCGGATCGTTGGCGTGCCGGCCATGTGGTTGCTAAGATTGGGCTCCACGGAGAATACGAACATTGTTTCAGAGACATCAGCAATCCTTGTATCGTTGAGAACGAAAGGGACAACACATTCACATCGGCAGTTGTGATTCTCGAATTGCTGGAACGGTGTGCTATGCCCGTGCTCCGACCAAATCCGAAAGAGTGTCTACCACATTCCCACGATCGTAATTGCGTGCACTGAAGAAAATGAAGTAAGCGATCTGGAATGTGTAGGAAGGTAGAGAAGGGTATATGCTATACACGCAGCAGACAACACGCATTCATCGCCTATTGCATCCTAGCAGTAGATGTGCATTGCATCGTAGCTGCAGCCTTTGCTTTGCCTTGTCTGACCTTGCACTGCTTTCCCTTTGCTTCGTTTTGCTTCGCCTAGCGACCAAGAACAGACCCATGCATCCTTTTTGCCAAAGCGCGCGCGCAACAAACACTAAGGTATACCCAGCCCAGCCCGACAGTACACAACGCCATCAAGTGGAATCGGATCCCTCTTCTCCTGCTCTTCTACCTCCTGTCTCTGCAGTCGACATCCGTTTCTGAGCCAGACACACGAGACGTGCAGATCAGGAGACTGAACGGATCAGTAGACAATCAGACGCTTTTGCGGTTTCTTTTGTTCTTTCGCATTCTTTTTTCGCCTCCACTCCGCTATGCAGATAGTAAAGACACAAAAGTTTTTCGTGAATCTCGTGAAGCGTATTCATTAAGAGGCAATGGCGCGACCTCCTCCGCGGCGGTTGTTCTTGGCCTTAGCTGGAACGGTACTCCAGCCATCGTCCTCGAGGGCCTCTGCGGTGGTTTCGGTGGCCTCGCCGGCAACAACGACAGGCTCTTGTGGCTTGACCTCCTTGTCTGCCACGATAGTGCCGTTTGCGTCAGCGTCGGGTGCGTCCAGGTCGCCCTCCTCACCTTCGCCTGACAGCACGCTGAAGCTTGGCCGCTCCTTCTGTGCTGCGTCGCCGTTTTCTTTGGCATTCTGTTTGCCGTCCTGGCCGTCCCGTGGCTTGCCCCTCCAGCTGTTTCCGCCGTTCTGTTGGCGAGATGGGCGGCGTTGCTCGTTGCGGGCGTCTCCGCCTGGGGCCGCCTTCTCTGCAGCCTGACCACGGTCGGCGCGGTCTGCACGAGCTGCTCTCTGGTCAGCATCTTTGGAAGCCTTTTCTTCTCGTGCTTTAGCATCAGCTTCCTCCTTTTGTCGGATTGCCAGCTGTCGCTTCTCCTCGACCTCCTTCTCGCGGGCAGCCGTATCGATAGGACGAGCAGCGCCAAAAGGTGAGGCCTTGGCGTCAGATGGAGTGCTACCACCTGCTTCACCACCCTCTGAGGTGGACACGGTTCGCTTTGCAAGGTTTAGCCGTGGACGCTCCTTGGGGGCTTCTTGTGCTGGGGAAGTTGGCGTTGAGACATCAGGTGTTGCTGGTGCATCCGGCTTCATCTTTGATCGCCATTGATTGTCCGATTCGGCAGCGGTGGGCGTACGCTCGGGTGCTTGAGGACGCTCATACTCTCTACGGGGAGGTCTTGAACCGGCATCCGATTGACCTTCGCCCCAGCTTGCGCCACCCCTGTCGCCACGAGGGCCTCCTGCCTCACGTACTCGACCACCATCACGGAGTGGTGCACCCTGGCCAGGGACAGGGGACAGAGGACCTTTGCGCTCCCAGTTCGAAAAGTCGCGTGTCTTGCCATCGCCTTCAAAGAAACCTGGTCGACGGCCTGGGCCCCGCTCGCTGCCAGCGTCAGACATGTTATCAAAGCCACCCGGTGGTCCTCGACGCTCGAAGCCGCGCGATGGCTGGCGTCCCTGCGAAGGAAGGTCAGGAAGGGGGCCTTTACGGCTCCAGTCTGAGAAGTCTCTGTTCGAGTCGGCGCGATCATTTCTCGCTACATCATGTTAGTCGGAATTCAGCCAGGCAGATTGGACTGGGTAACGTACGTGGATCAGCCACGCTGATTTTGATGTTTCGGCCCATAAAGTTGGTCTCGGATCTATCGAGTGCCTTCTGCAGGCCCTCTGGCGAGCCAAATTCTGCGTAGCCGAAGCCTTTTGGCTTACGGTCAATCTTGTCCTCCATGAGTCTTACTACTGTCACATTGCAGTCGGCCAGGAATTGTTCGAGATCGACAGAGGTCACATTATAGTCCAGGTTACCGAGGTGGGCTGTGTACGGAGGCTTCGTAGGGAATGGTATTGGGTCGCGGTCGTAGCGTGGGCGGTCGTCTGCGCACGCGTCAGTAACTCCCACACCGCAGGCTTCGCAGATATATGAGACCTACCCATCGACCCGCGCGGGCCCATGCCTCCAGCGCCGCGGTCTCCGCCAAATCCTCCGCCTCCGCCAATTCCGCTCGCTGAGCGCTCCCATGACGACGTCGTGAATGCGCGTCCTTCTCCTGGTGGGGCCCGGTCGCCTCGATCGCCTCGATCGCGAGTGCCGTAGCCGGAGGATGCGGGCATGGAGGGCAGAGGCGCCGACTCCATCTCGTCGGCCCATGATCCGAGCGCTGACCTGCGTGTCAGTATGAATGTTCATGTTCCCTTGCCCCGCTCCGCCGCCTCGCCGCCAAAAAATCGCGCTCGCCGCGTCATGCGCATGAAGAAAGAAAGGGATGCATACATTGGTTGGTCAAGAAGTCGCCCAAGGCCATCTTCTCTTGCTTCTTTTTGGGAGCTATGGTTCCATATGTTAGCGGCCATGTCGTGTGTGTTGAGCGGGACCCTTCTCGGCCTCGTCGTTGATGCGGGCGAGTGCGTGCGTACCCATGATTGCGGTGGTGCGGGCGGCGCTCTGCTGGAGTAGCGCCGGGGTGGTCGAGCGACGGACAGGTCACTCGGAGTGCGGTGGAAGGTGGTGGTGCGGCAGCGCTGAGAGGGCGCTGGTGGTTGAGCGGAAAGTTGTGCAGCGTGGTGTCGAAGTGCGAATTATCGAGCGTGCCTCACCAATCGGGACTAGCGCGGCAGGGATCTCTCCGAGCATCGTTAAATCCGACTTCTCTTCGTTTGCGCTGCCGATGCCCTTCACGGGATATCCCATCACACATCATTCACCAGTCCCATCCAAATGGGCGAACAGCAGCGCGGGCGTTCATCGCCTGCGAAGGATTCATTTGCTGAGGACCTGGCCACAGCGCTCAAAGTGGGCGTTGCATCGGGTACGTTTGTCTCACACATGCATCTCCTATCCGCATCCATCTAGCATCACGTGCAACCTCTACAAACATTTGTCTTTTTGCAAGAGACACGGCAGATCTGTGTGATTGTGCTTGTAGTCACTCCATGCAGTAGTAGTTTAGCTTACAGCGTCTTCATTAAAGACGAATCATTGTGTCTGCGGGATGTTATTTCTGAGCATACGCTAAAGCTAATCTTCATCAGGCGGAGCTGGATTTCTGTTTGGCGGCGCGGTCGGTATTGTTCGTAATCTGCCACCATTCCTATCAGCAGGAGCAACTTCTCTACAGACCTTTGGCCTAGGAACTGTCTTGACCCATACACGCTTGACGATCATCCGAGCATGGACCACGGACGAGCGTAAACCGACCCCGGGAGAGCTCACAGCAGCAACAGCACTCGCTAGTGGCTTGTCAGGCGGTTCCATGGGAGCTCTCTTTCGAGGCAGAAGGAACATCATTCCTGGTGCCATCATGTGGTCCATCTTTGGGGCCACTGGTCAGTACATGTACAATTCCTGGTCCAAGGCTCCACAGCGAGGTGAGACGCAGAAATCTGGCTTTTGGCAAAGAATGAGTGAGAAAAGCTGGACTCCATTCAAAGTGCTGTCCAATGAGGAGTACGCAAAAATGCTCGAAGAAAAGATGCTCAAAGTAGAAGTGGAGATCTCAATCCTTGATGACAAAATTGCGGCGATGAAAGAACAGCAGAGGGTTGAGGAAACGGTAACGGATCATGAAAATGCCAGCAAGACTTGAGAGATGCGCATGAAACTCTGGCGAACCCATTGTAGATCTCGGAAAACCCTCCGTGAAGTCGAAAAGTGGCTGTTCTCCCAGTGCACGGGCTGCTCTCATGCACACGGCCGAGACTGGGCGCTAGAAAGCGGACCATTGTCTCAGCAATGAGCTTTTGCGGTGATGGAGCCACTGCATCCTGATTTGCTGCTTCAAGGAGACAACACCTGGGGCCTTCAACTACGCCACATTTGACAACAAGGCGCGTGAGCCCAGTTGCGAAAGACATGCAGTGATATGGCCGTTGGGCTACTGAGATTGCGGACTTGATATCTTGTGGCTGCAAAATGCTAGCGACAGCTGCGTCAGCGCTAGCGCGCGTCAAATGCTCGGAAGTGAAGTTTGGCTATCGCTGCGAGGACGCGCTCGAGCAAACTTGGAAATAAACAACCGCGATTCACGCCCGACTCGCCACATCCAACTCAAACAAACAATACTTCCGAACTCAACGATCAAGGTCATGGCTCGCGAGAAGCGTCATACTTCATCTGCCAACCACCAACACAGTCGAGTCGCCGGTCAAAGCTTGCGCTCACATGTGTCGGAGCAGAAAGATCCACTGTCATCGCCCACGCGCTACGACCGCGCTCCCACGCCGCCTCGACACCGTGCCTCGCACACTACGGGCACCGCGCAGCACTTGAATAATTCCGAATCCGAAAGAAACGTGGCGCGTGTGTATCCGACAGCAGAAGCCATGGCCGGTAACTACTTGGCTCGAAAGCCTGTTGGCGCGAGCGCCATTCATCAGAGATCGCGTAGTATTCCAACCGATATCCCGTCGAGCCCGCCAGTCGCCAACCCTCGGATATCCGCCAGCCAATACACGATCGCAGACGCAACATACTCGCACGGGGATCATGAGTATTCGAGACACGAACTAGATCACGAACCCAACGCGCCTTTTCAGTCACGCGATCAATACTTTCGCAACTCGCCACAGCTTGCCAACCCATTTCTGCTACTCCCGACTGCAGTCCATCAGCCAATATCGTTCGCGTTCGAACTTCAAACAGGTGTGCCGCACGGCTCTCTTCGATCTCACCAGGCCGGGAACGGGCTCGAGGAGCGTCAGGCGTATACAAGACGACCTGGAAGCGCGCGACAAATTACACATACCGAATTCGCTATCCTCGAGGCGACTCTCTCACATGCCAGCTCGTCCATCAGACGCCCTGCTCCCCAGCAGTTGGAGGAAGACTGGCAGTCACTAGAGAGCAGTGCGCGCGCCTTCCGCTATGGCAGGCAGAGGATCTCACATCACGATGGAGCAGAGGAGTTTGTGGATGCACGAGAAGTGGTCGAGGATATGAGAAGGAGTCGCGACGTAAGCTATTATCTTGATGCAGTGGAAGAGCAAGTGGAAGACGAAGAGCCGGTGGATCAAACAAAGAGTGACTTGCCAATGAGTGATAGCTTGCCACAGCTGTCGACCAACGCTATGGAAGCTCGTACTTCGCCTTCAGCTGGATATGGAAATCCCGAGACAATCGAATCGGCCACTTTCACGCATGCTGCGGACACAACAGTGCAGCCTATGGTCGAAGTCCAGTCACCCAAAATGCAGCGGAAGTTCATTGACTTCTATCGTGGGTGAAGTCGGAATTTCGAAATCACGTCGATGGCACAGAATCTTTTGTCAACAAGTCAAGGGAAGAGCCATGCGCGCGCACTTCTCGCATATGCTTTGTTGCATTGCTGCACAACAGCTTAGGTGAGATGGAGTTGCAGTGATAGCACTGCTCACCACGTTACACCAGAACCCTAAGATCTCAACACGCTTCAATTCGCAGGCTCGCTCCAACGTTTTGCCGTCGCTACAAACAGCACACGACTGTTTGGGAATTGCCGGGCAAAGCATAGTTCTTGTATGGCGATGGTTGCGGGGTAGATCTTGAAGTTCGTACCTGAACGGAGCTGGTCCGCGCTGTTAAACTTTCGATACCACAGGGCCTCCTCATGCCAAGGAATGATCTCGCCTGCTTCCGCCAGCCAGAGTGTGCTACCCGAATAGTGGGTAGGAGCTCCTCCTGTGGAGAAGGTGCGTTAACCGTGGTAATATGAGCTACGTGTCACGCGTCAGTATATATCTCCTCGTGTTGGCCCTTGATAGTTCGAAACCAACTGCAACTTCACTTCACCGTCATCTCAAACATCATGGCTTCTTCATCGATACCCGTAGTGGAGCAGCCCATCTTCACTCGCCGCAAACTTCGCGTTGTGGCGATTGGAGCTGGGTTTGCGAACATAATGTTGGCTCACAAGCACAAATATGTTGGCGACAATAGCTATATTGACCTTGTTGTTTACGAGAAGAATCGAGAAGTTGGTGGGACTTGGCTCGAAAATACGTATCCTGGCGTAGCCTGCGACGTTCCAGCCCATATCGTACGTTCTCCCTAGATCCGTCGCCTAGAATCTGCTGAGACATAGGCGTAGTATTGCTTTCCCTTCGCGCCAAATCCAGACTGGTCTTCGTTCTACGTTGGCGGCCCAGAGATCTTGAAGTACATTATCAAGACAGTGGATGACTACAAACTGCGAGAGTACATTCAGGTCAACACGAAACTCATCGCAGCCAACTGGTCGGATGACAAAGGCAAATGGCTCTTGAAGCTGGAGCAAAACGGCAGCACGATCACCGACGAAGCTGATGTCCTCATCAATGGAGCCGGTTTTCTCAACCGCTGGGAGTGGCCAAACATTCCTAACCGAGAAGCTTTCCGCGGCGAAATGGTTCACAGTGCCCACTGGGAGACTGTCGACTGGAAAGACAAGAAGGTTGCTCTTATCGGGAGTGAGTAAAGTCATAGGTGGAAGCCCTACCCAAGCCACCACCACATATGAGACAGTGACTATCGCTTACACCTATTACTCTCAGATGGTTCATCCGGAATTCAGATTCTACCGCAGATCCAACAGACTGCAAAGCACGTCACAACATATATCCGAACACCTACCTGGATTATTCCGAATATGCTTGCGGACGCGACACCGGAAGGAAAGAACTTCCAATACAGCGAGGAAGAGAAACAACGCTTTCGCGAGAATCCGGAAGAACTCAAGGCGTTGCGTCAGAAATTGGAGAATATGTTCAACCAGTACTTTTTCGTTTTCATGAAGGGTTCTCCCACGCAGGAGGCAGTTCGGGGTGCATTCAGAGATATCATGAAGCAGAGATTGGGCGGGGATGGAGAGCTGACCGATAAATTGATTCCGCAGTGGCCTGTAGGTTGCAGGAGGATCACGCCTGGAGATGGCTATTTGGAAGCGTTGACAAGTGCGAACGTGAAGAGCAACTTCAATCCGATTGTGAAGTTCACGGAGAAGGGAATTTTGTCGCAGCCGGCCGCCGATACGGAGCCTGAAGAGGAGGAGTTTGATCTTATCATTTGCGCCACTGGTTTCAATGTAGCGTTCCGGCCGGCGTGGGAGGTGAGTGAAGTCCAAGCCAATGAGACAGTTGACTATCGCTGACACATATTACTTTCAGATGACTGGCGTTAACGGGATGAGCTTGCAGGAGCTGTGGAAAGATGAGTCTGAAGGTTATATGGGAATCATTGCCCCGCAAATGCCAAACTACTTTTCGGTGAGTATTTTCTTCGAAGGCACCATGGCAACGATCATGCTTACTAAATTCGCTTGCAACCAGTACACTGGGCCCAACAGTCCTCTCGGACACGGCAGCATACTTGCATGCTACGACTGGTGCGCGGATTGGGTTATGAAATGGTGCGACAAGATTGCCTGACAGGGAATCAAGTCCATCACAATCAAGCCTGATGTCCTTCGCGAATTCAACGACTATGCGCAGGAGTTCCTCAAGAAGACTGTCTGGTCAAGTGAATGCAGAAGCTGGTACAAGAATCACAAAACGGAAGGTCGCGTAACTGCCGTAAGTAAAGTGATAGGCGGACATTCTCCCCAAGCCACCACCCGTGAGACTGTGACTCTCGCTTATACCTACTTCAGATGTACCCCGGAAGCATTCTACATTATCGGCAAATGCTGCAGGCCTTTAGGACGGAGGACTTCGATATCGGTTATTTGAACAAGCAGAATCGATTTGGGTTTATGGGCAATGGCATCACGGAGTTGGAGGCTCAAGGAGGAAATCTGGCTTTCTACCTGGAGAAATAAATGAGTGGTGGAAACGATCGTGTAGTAGCGCAAATCGTGAAAGGAGAAATGACATTTACACCGGACTCGGCACAGAAACATCTGGAGCGTTTAATACTGAAGCACTACGCTAGAGTACATATCGAAACGCCAGATTCTCTCTATCTGTCAAGTCCAATTGTCGTGCGTCAACGACCTCTTCCGAGGCATCACCATCAGAATGTTCAACGATTCCGACTTCACTGATCAATCCTTGAGCCTGCAAAGCATCTCTTCGTGCATTCTCCCGCTTCAGATACCACCGCAGATACACAACCAGAAACATTGGGAAGACGCATGCAACTCCCAAGATGACGGCCCACGTTACAATGTACCTTGGCTTGTACTGAGGTTGGAACAGCTGCGGGCTCAAAATGTTGCCGAGGCCGTATCCAACATGGTACAAAGCGATCACAGTCGTCTTCTTGGTATGCCCCGCGGAGCAATTCGCGGCCCAGATCATCACCACGCTGTATGGAATTCCGCCAGTGGCCCTGATCCAGATTGCCGTCAGAAGGCCCCATCGATTGCTCCATGGTAATGAAAGTAGCAGAATGCAGGAAATAATCGGAGGGATATAGGCCGCAATCGACAACCATGCTCGGAAGTTGGTAGTCTTGGCCAATATGATGGCTGCCGTAGTCAACGACACGAATGCGGTCAGGCCGTTGACACATCCAAGTAGGGTAGTTTGTAAAGTGGAGAAGCCGAAAGATTTGATAATCAGCGAGTACTGATTGGTTAGGCCATTTGCCATTTCTTGTGACCATGCGTGCAAAAAGAATAGCCAAGTCTTTGGATCTTTCATGGCTTCCACGAATTGGTGTTTTTTGAAGTGCTTCTGCTCGATGCCAGAGTGGTTACTTTTGATGCGCAGTACGGCCTGGGCTTTCTCCTCCATGGTCAGGAAGCGTGCTCCGAGAGGGTTATCAGGTAGCCATAGCCACACAGCCGCACCGAAAAGAAGGGTGAGACTACCGGTGATGACCATCTAAGTAACAGGTGTAAGCGGAAATTACTGCCGCGCACGTTGGGGCTCGGGGAAGGCTTCTGCATATCACGTTACTTACGAACCACTTCCAAGGATTGAAGTCGCCAGTATTGATCCAGAGCACTCCGTACGACAGCAGCCCACTGGTGATCGGACTGCTGTTTCCGATCGCCCACATACAGGGCATCTAAGTAATAGGTGTAAGCGGTAGTCATGATCCCAAGTATGGCGGCTTGGGGAGGGTTCCCACTCACAAGCCATGACTGTTCGTCGTAGGTGAAATACCTAACAGTAATAGATGTGAGCGATAGTCACGGTCTCATGTGTGTTGGCTTGGACAGACATGTTCAAGATAAGCAGAAATGCTGGCACAATGCATGCTTCCGTCACCCCAAGGAGGAAGCGAACCACGAACAGCGATGCAAAGTTCTGACAAGGAATGTGCAAGAGCAGTATGCCTCCCCAGACAACCAGGTTGATCGAAAGCCATCTTTACGCGAGGTTAGTCGACTGCACCTGTCGGAACAGACGCCGGACTTTCACCACTCACCGAGCAACCGGAAACCTCTGCAACGCCCAGTTCTGAGGCAACTCAGCGAGAAGATAGCCCACGTAGAACACGCTGGATAACCAGTTGTACTGTGTGCTGTTGAGATTCGCGTCCTCCATAATTCCCAGAATCGAAGAATTGCCCAGAGTTTGCTTGTCGACATACATCAAGTGATAGCCCACGCAAAGGAATGGCAGCACCCATCGCACGCATTTGTTCCGGATGATCTTAGCCTCGGCTTCTGTTGGCTCGTCGGCCTGGACTTTCGAAAAGAGCTTGTAGCTTTCGTCGGCGTACCGTGCCGGCAACTTGGGCGGTACAGCATCTCCTGAACTTGACACAGGCTTTGCGTCGGTTGTGGTCTTGTCTTTGGCCATGGTTGAGCAAACGGCTCGGAGACGTTTCGCTCCTGTAGTAAATCCTCAGATATCAACGAATCGGGCGGGCGACGTCTCTATCGAAAAAGTCAAGTTGAACATATATACCGTCTGCGGTTCCGGCCATAATCACCTCATGTGGATCCTCAATGGCCATCTGTCGAGCTGCATCATGCCGTCGAATCGGCTCACAAGAACGGCTTATCAGTGGAGAGTAGAACACACCAAGCGGGTAGGGCAGTACTCCTCCAGGTGAGCCATGCCCAAACCTGCAGGTTTTCGCATGGGACCACGCGACGTTGCAAAAAATCAAGACCCGTTCTTGACTTGGCTGACATGGCGTTCGCAGTGCCCAGCGAATCTTGGGTGAGCAAAGAACGCCAACGACCACATTGCGTGCTCGAGGCTTGCTCTGTCACCACTCCAGGCACTATGCGTGCTGTTTCCCGACTTTCTCCCGCCGATCAAGCAATTCGAGCTCGGGTAAGCTCTAAGCTTCAGCAAAGATAAGCTCAACGACTGCTGCTGAGTGACCTCTCTGGTATTCAATCACAAACTTTCGAGCTTCCAATGGCTGGGGCAGAAAAGTTGAGAATCGCCATTATTGGTGCAGGCATAGCTGGGCTTGCGACAGCAGTAGCACTTCAAGACCACGAAGGCATCGATGTTCAAGTTTACGAACGAGCGCCTGTGCTCCAAGAAGTTGGCGCCAGCATCGCGCTGGGCCCGAATGGAATGAAGGCTTTGGAAAGACTCGGTGTTCAGGAAGCGCTGTCTGATGAGCTTGCCTTTCGGAACAGATCAGGTCATCCAATGATTTATCGGTACGGCACAAGAACTCGAGAATGCCCCATCAGCGACTGATTGTACCAGGCACTGGAAGACGAATGAAGTGGTGTCTGTGGATAATCATCACGGTCCCGTGGAGTACAGACATCGTACGAGCCGCTTCTACAGAGCGCACCTGCAACAGGCCTTGGCAGCCCACGTTAATCCTGAGCGACTCCATCTTGGCAAGACGTTTGTTGCCATTGAACAAGTCCAAGATACTGGTGAAGTTGAAGTCTCCTTCTCGGATGGTACTTCCAAAACAGTGGACATCGTCTTAGGTGCAGACGGTATCCGTTCCGCAGTTCGACGTTCTTTCGTTCCATCTTCGCAACCTAAATGGACTGGATGGGTGGCTTTCCGATCCGTCTTCGATGCGAAACTTGTCCAGCATATTCCAGGAGTTCTCGAAGAATCTTATCATTGGTGGGGACCAGACCGAACGTTCTTCGCCTCCAAGCTAGGAAAAGACCTATTCACGATCGTGGGAGGGAGCTACAGTGACCCCAATGCACCAGACGCCGTGTACAAAGACTCAACCTGGAACTCCGAAGGCGATTTGGAGGTCCTCAAGGATTTCTACCGAGATTGGCATCCGACTGTGAGACAGATAATCGAAGCCACACCGAACGTCAGACTGTATCCGAACACATTCGCCTCGGCTCTTGATACCTGGGTCCACGGAAATGGCAACATCACATATGCTGGCGACGCTGCTCACGCACATGGCGGAGCTTTCGCCGCCGGGGGATCTCTCGCATTAGACGATGCTTGGACCTTTTCCAGGGCGATATTGCATGTCTTTCCGTCTGGTGCACGCAAGCCTTCGAAACTGGAAATTGCGGCAGCGCTGAGGATATACGAGCAGACCAAGAAGCCGCACACAGATCGGGTGTTGTCGACTGTACATGCAAACAACCAGAAAACGGTCGAGAGACTCGGAAGGACAGAGACTGATAAAGAGCTGAGGGCGAGGATGAAGAGCCGTGCAGATCCTTCTTGGATTCATGAGCATGATGTTGACGCAACGTTTCTCAAAGTTGTGGCGCAACAGAACGTCGAGACACAGGCGCGGCTGTAGAACGTTTCAGCACAAGCGAAGTTCGAGGGCCACTGATTGTAGAAATGTGAATGGAAACTCGCAAACGAGCATTGGTCTCGCATCGGCTGAGAACTTACTGTTGACAGTGAGAGTTCAGCGTCTGTTCACCAGCACGTTGGGACAAGTAGGCATCTTGAGACTTTCGGAGGAGATCGCACCGGCAGTATGAGTTCAAGTCATTCTTTAATCAGCCCTGCCACTGCACTTCGATAAAGCCCAGACGCGAATCTTGAGGATCTTTGACTCCAACAATAGCGAATCGTGGGTCCGCTGCAGCAAATAGCTCCTTCCAGTCCTCCAGCTCTCTCACCTTCGCATTGAAAGTGTCTAACATGGTGATATCCAAGATCCTCTGGTTCTTCTCAACCTGAGGAGGTGCGGTTCCAATTTCCGGCATAATTTCGTCAACAACTAACACTTTCGCCCCGGGCTTCAACCCCGGAATCAATGCCCGCAAGATCCGTACCGCAAACGCATCAGGCCAATTATGCAGTATCCAACGGAACAGGTAAACATCGGCGCCGGAGATGGGTTGAGGATCAAAGATATCGTGCTCCATAAAGTTGACTCCGTGGAGATCGGGCTGTTCACGCGCAGCCTGGATAGTGCTTGGCAGGTCTTGAACAGTGATCTGAAGGTTTGGGAACTTTTTCTTGAGAGCAAATGCAATCTCGCCCATAGATCCGCCGAGATCGACGAGATGTCCTCCCTTCAGCGCAGCCCAGTCGAAGTTGTTGACCACATGTTTCGGATCATATCCTTCGCCGGCCTGAAAGTTGCTCATAACCTTTGAGAAAACCTTGGCCTTTTCCGGGTTTCGATTAAGATATTCATAGTAGCCTGAGTCACCAGTTGCCAAAGCAAGCATATACGGTGCGGTTGCAGGACTGTCCATATCTGGATTGTTGCGTAGTGCAGCGGAAAGATTGGTGGCGCCGAGAGTGACAGCCTCAAGCATTGTAATCCAGGCTTGAATTCCTTCCGACCCGGCCCAACGTTTGGTGATAGCCGAATGTGCAATGTGTCCTGGCTTGGGCTCCTTGAACATTCCGAATGTAATGGCTGCCCTCAAGATTTGGCGCAGAACTCCTACGCGGATCGATGTTTTCTCTGACAGAGTTTCATACGAGACTGTTGAGTCGAGAGGTACCATGTCGGGGATCCGGAACTCGTTGACTACGCGAATAAGTCCCAAATAGATCGATTCCGGCATGCCGGCAACCTGCCAAAGATCGCCTGGCCCAGATACCAATTCTTGCAGCTGTTGAGTATCTCGGACGATACGTTGGCGGACTTGCTCAATTTGCGGTGGATAGGCGGCATTTGTAGTATCTGTCTCGAGGTCTAAAGGAGGCAGGCCGTTCTCTTTGCGATATGTTTCGATCAATGCAGTGTTTTCCGCGATGGCTTTGGACAAAGCCACAGCACTGCCGGCTGCTTTTGAAGTCGACATCGTGTTGAGGTGCGAATCAATGAGAGCGGTGTTTTGGCAGGTTGCTAGACGAACGACGGCAACAACACTTATATACCAACATTGCACAAGTGCCAGCTTTTGCCGACCCCGCTTCATCCGCAAGTTTGAGTTTGAAGGGGTCTAGGAACACGTAGCTGGGCGGGATCCGATAGCATTGTATTGGCCGTGATAGACCGTGTGAGAACCGCATTGAGACTAGAAACATGGTTTACTGCCATGCGCGGCTCTCCGGGCTGCATGCTCAGATCACTCATCATGGAGCATGGCCCTGTAGATCAGTTCAGTCTCTGGTCCGGCTAAAGTCTTCCTGATTGGTCGAGGGCGCGGCAATAACGAGAGAAGAGCGAACACCGAGACGGCGAAAAGCTGGTCCGGTCATGTTGTAGTGAGAATCCTGAAGGCTGCAGCTCTGTCTAACGTCGCGTAGTCTGAGGAACTCATGAGATGTCGTAGAGTTAAAGCTTGATGGAGGATCAAAAGAGCATCGGCAGTGCGCGGCGCCTATTCCGGAACGGAACTCCCAGGTTTTCAGAGTTGCGTGCTTTATCATTGCACGCCCAACAGCACGTGCTGCGTCTGCTTCAGGCGCCCCTTGGCTTGTACGTTGATATAAGCTTCAACCTTCTGCCGATTTATTGGGCCGCCGGACTGTTTGTAAGCCCAGTCTTGAAGGACAGTCCAAGTTCTTATGTTCGCAATGACGGTTGGGAGTTGGCTAGGTGATCTCAGGAAACTTGCATCCCAGCCGTCTAAAATCGAGACTTCCAATTGGGGCAATCATCGTCCCTTTCACGCGCCGCAGCTCACTAGCGACATCAGTCGTCCGTGTTGGCTAGGGCCATTGCTGAGCTGTAGCTCTCAAGCCCACATGGAATTAAGTTTCCTTGGTAGACTCACGGGCTTTCCAGAATACCGATGCGCCTAATTGTCGAAGACTTAAGATCGACAGAGCTCCAATAATTCTGCGAACAGCAAAGATGAGGCGGACATCCTGCCAAAATTGCGAATGCCTGAGAGAGTCAAAGCTCCAATGCAGTCTTCATCTAGTGCCGTTCGTCATCTACGACCGCTTGGCCTGTACCAATTTTATCGCCAGCCCGCAGCATCCCGTCTTGTATTATTGCGACGAATGGTCCAATGCCGCCTCGAAAGCGCGAAAAGAGATGCCTTGGATCGAGTGCCGGAGTCGCGCTGTCCTGGAGTCCAGTGATATGACCAGGACTTTGGCGCATACGACAACTTGCTGCATTTGCGAACACCCAAAGAGATTAGGTCCCAGCCGTCATAACGATTCGAACACGAGTCCTGTCTGCACACCACTGCAAATCGACGGGCTTCACTCAACTCCGCCGTCCAGAGGTAGTTTTGCTGTAGAGTAGATGGAGGGGTTGTGATGTTCGAGCCTCGATGCCAGTCGCGAGACAATGCGAGCGGCTCATGCTGCATTGCTCCTACTCCAATTTGCATGTCGCGACATCTTATCTGCCTCTAGATATTTGAACACTGTTGTATGCACCATGTGACTACGAGACGCAGCTTCCGAATGGGCCCTTCTTATAAGGCTTTACGCGTTCAGCTAGAGCACAGCATCTCAATGCATTCTTCGCTGTAGCATGCTGAAGCAGACTGCTTGGCCTCCAAATGTCGTATATGGCTTCTCAATCCTCCTTCTTCTTCTCCGCAACGTCGACTCCCAGCTCCAGCAGATAGTCGCTCACGGTCTGCACGATAATGCCGTGATCTTGGGCCTGGGCCAAGCCACTCACCACAATCACGGCCACGATCCCCTCAACGCCCTGCACACGCACCGGAAACCCGCCTCCATGGATGGCGTATTCTCCGGCCTGGGGACCCAATCCAAACTTCGCCGCAAATGCTGGCTCGTCGCCCTGGAACTTGTTGTGCATGAACCAGGTCGAACTCCCAAACCGCAGGACAGTGTTTCTTTTGCGCGCGACCCAGGAATCGTTATCGGGTACTGTGCCGGAATGCGTCACGGCATGGAAGAGGCAGTGGTTGCCGTGTGCCAGGCTGATATCTATCACTGTGGGTTTGGCGAAGTCGAGCAGGCGGGTTCGGAGGAGAGAGCCCAGCACCCAGGCAGTTTGCGCGGTAAAGGTGGGGAAGACGAGCGCGTTGTCAAGAGATGCGATCTCCTCGAGGTCGCGAGGAGGCATTGGGATGGTAGGGTCGGTTGCCATGATGATTCTGGTTCGTGTCTTGATTGTCTGATTTGATGTTTCGTGTGTTCGGTGGAGGCTGTAGAAGTAGGTAGAACTCAATGCGCTGCTGTTGCTTTGTCACTCCACCAGCCAAGACGAGGTCCGATCATCGGCTCCACATGGATCGTATTCAACACGACCATCTTCTGCCATGGCTCTTTACAATCCATCTACGTACCATCTCTTGCGTCAAGGCTTGACACAATTGTAAGTCACGAGTTGCAAATACGAGTCGTACCAATGAAGGAGCCTTCGCGTCCATGATATTAAGTTGTCCACGAGACATTTTCAAGAAAGGGTCTCACCGCGATCGAGGATATGCCAGAGCAGCGTCTTGGTACGTCCCGTCCTCGGGCACAGAGTCAACAAAAATGGCATGAACAGAAGAGCCGCTGCGAGTGCAGTTCCGGGGACGACCAGCGTGTGAGGAACACACACTACGGCTCGGAGCGTGGTGCTGGGTTCTCCCATTTGATGTCCTCCCACTTCTCGAAGTACGTGCCTCCCAACATCTCTATCGCTCTGCATCTTTCCTGCATCGAAAGCGCATTCCGGATTCGGGGAACCCCAAGAACAGCATCCTCAGCGCCCACTGTACGGAGTGCCCACACGCCTCCTTCAGGAACCCCGTTTGTCCAGCCGTACCACAACTCCCGATCTGACCTTCGAGAACTTTGTCTGTTATAGGCCGAGTCGCTGTCGTAGAAATGAGCACCGATACGTTCCAGATATTTGCGGAATTCATCCTCGGCTTTCGAATATCGCTGCGTTGGGGAGACCTCGAAACGGGAAACGCCAAGGAAGTCAAGTTCGACTGCGTAGCAATTCTCGTGTATCCAAACGCCACCGGTTGATGGCCAGCCATATGCAATTGTCGCACCTCCTGTAAACTCGGTTCTGACTGCTGGTAGAGGCTCGTCATATGGGTCAGAGAAAGGGAGATGGCCTTCATCTTCAGGAGCTCCTGTCCAGGGTCTGCCATCGGTGCGGGTTGGGGGGTCTGAAGGGAAAAGCCAGGTCTTTACGGTATACATTGTATTTTCAACTGTTCTGAAGGAACTCAGAGCCAATAGGGCTAGACTTGAAAGTCCAAGCACGAACAAAAAGAGCAGGATCTGGTGAATCCAACTCGACTGTTCGTTGCTGCGTTGCCCTCCCGACGGAGCTTCTTGGTTTGCATTCATCGAAACAAACTGTTTTCGTAAGAAATTGTTCAAATACCTTGTTGTCAGTCAGTCCAAAATGGCCAATGTTTTGCGCTTCAAGAGCAATGCAGCGTCTCAGGCAGCGCCCCAGCAGGCAAAAACGCCACGGCGCGGCTGAGTCATCTCCTAAGATACTCCTACATGGTCCTCCGCACCGCCAATCAGCTCAGCATTCATGTGACTTCGAAGAACATGTTTCATCAGAACTCCAGAGGGTTTCCGGAACACACCGCGCATGTGGGGCGATACTTCTGCTTCATGCGGTGACGTGAGAAGATTGGAAGTCTGGCAGCCTTGTCGCAGCGAAACCCGCCACCATTGGCATGAGAGACGGCGTTCGTGATCAAAGAGGACGGTTGGCTGGGTGGCGTGAAGGGACTTGCTAAGTGAAGCGGCAGTCTGGCGAGCAAGACACTCAGTGGAAGTTTATGACTTGTGGCATATCCTGGACAGGCAATAGCGAAGGGTATCTGGTTGAGTGCTCATGCTGGTGCGGGTGCTCGGGTTCGGGGACAGCAGAAGAGCACAGGAAATGCATGCTGCTCAGAAGGCGAGTAAAGAGGTGAAGGAACAGGTTCAGGAGGTGTACGACAAGGCAAAGGCTGAGCGCAGAGCGTTCTTTGCATGGTGAGGTTAGTTAGTCGTGGTTCATCCATTGGCGCACACGTCAAAATTTGAAAGGACTTCACGGGCCACAACCCTCGGCGCGGACAAAACATGAGCCGCGCACCGAGACTGGGGAAACAGCGGTCGACTCGTCGTTGCCGAGGCAGATTACAGTAACGACATGAACATGGCAAACAATGTAGACGCAAGACAGATATCGTGCTCAAGATTGTTATCGACGGCCACCGCCATCCAGGGAACAAGTCTCACGCGGCTGTCACGAATATGTCTACCCGACAGCCCATCAAGATCCTGATCGCCAATCGCTCCGAAATAGCTTGCCGTCTCATTCGAACATATTCACTTTACCCGGATATCCAGACAGTAGCTTTATACACACCTTCCGAGAAGGACGCGACACATGCACGCCTCGCAACCACCTCTGTTGCCCTGTCTGCAGAAGGACCACTTGCATATCTCGACGCAGAGAGTATTGTCAACATTGCCAAGAGGGAAAGATGTTGGGGTATCGCACCTGGCTACGGATTCTTGTCTGAAGATGCTGCTTTTGTGCGACTATGCGAGCGTGAGCGGATTGTCTTCATCGGGCCAACGAGCGAGCAGCTGGCACGACTCGGAAACAAGCTGAGCGCAAGGTCTCTGGCTACAGAAGCTGGCGTACCTATTCTGGATGGCACCAAAACTGCATCAGATCGAGGCTCCTCTATTGGTGATGTCCTGACATTCGCAAAAAGCCTAGGCTCAGGCAGGAGTGTCATATTGAAGGCTGCAGCTGGTGGCGGAGGGCGTGGAATCCGCATCATCGATAATAACAAGGACGAGCGAGCTATTCGCTCGGCTTATGACGCCTGTCAGCGAGAGGCCTCTGCTTCCTTTGGCGATGGAAGCTTGTTTGCCGAGCGATATCTAAAAGGCGCCAGGCATATCGAGGTTCAATTACTTGGCGACGGCACTGGAGAGGTCACTCACTTCTGGGAGCGAGAGTGCTCGCTTCAGCGAAGGAACCAGAAAGTGATCGAGATCGCTCCTTCTCAGTCCGTTACACCAGAACTGCGGCGAGCAATCATTGCAGCCGCGGTGAAAGTAGGACAGGCAGTGAAGCTACGAAGTCTCGCCACTATCGAATTTCTCGTCGACACAGCTAACGACGACTTCTTCTTCATGGAGGCGAATCCCAGGATACAAGTGGAGCATACTATCACTGAGCAGATCAATGGCGTTGATTTGGTGGATCTGCAACTCCAGGTTGCCCTCGGACACACCTTGGCAGACCTAGGTGTATTGCAAGAGCGTTTGCCACCTCGATTGACTTCCATCCAGCTGCGTGTAAACTCCGAAAGCTTCAGCAAAGATGGCACTGCGCAACCTGAAGCGGGCATCATTCAGCGGGCCATATTCCCCACAGGCGCCGGAGTGCGGATCGAGACAGCTATTGAAGGAGGTCGCGAGTACACTGTGAGCCCTCTATTCGACAGTCTCCTGGCGAAGCTTGTCGTTACGTCTTCCTCGTACGCTTCAGCATTACAACTGGCTCGTTGGGCAATTGCTCAGACCACTATCATCGGGTGCGGGACCAATCAGGCGTTTCTCATGGCATTGCTGGATATGCCGGTCGTGAGAGAAGGGAGACATACAATCTTGACCATTCAGGACAACGTTGATAATCTCTATAGCTCCACGAAGCAGAATGTGGATGTGCTGCAAGCTAAAGCCGACAAGATTTCCAAGACAGCCAAATCTTCGACGAAGACTGCAACAAAGGTCGAGCGTCCTGAAGGTTCAGAGGAGCTTCTGGCCCATCTCACCGGGGTTGTCTTTTCACTCAAAGTGAGCGAAGGGGACAAGGTCAGCGTTGGTCAAGAATTGGTCGTGCTCGCGGCGATGAAAATGGAACACTCTGTACAAAGCGCCCACAATGGTGTCGTGGCCAAAATACCTGTATCACAAGGACAACAAATCAATGCTGGTGAGGCCCTTATTTTCATCACGCCGGACGAAGGCGATTCGTCTGCTAATGCGAGTGATGCCATCGAGACTGAGGATCCAGAGGTACTGCGACCGGAGTTGAAAGAGCTCAACGAACGCAAAGCTGCAGTGCGATACGCTGGCCGTAAAAGAGACGTAGAGAAGCGCCATGCGAACGGGTACCTCACTGGTCGCGAAAATCTTGACTTGCTCATAGACGAAAACTCATTCGTGGAGTTTGGAGATCTCGTGGTTGCAGCACAGAAGAAAAGATATCCGATGTCCCATCTAATCACACGAACCAGTGGAGATGGTATCATCGTAGGATGGGCTACCATGCAGTCGCATCCAGTCGCTATGGTCCTTGGTGACTACCTAGTACTTGCCGGCACCCAAGGGCATTTCCACCACGAGAAGCTAGATCGGATTTTCGCCTCAGTCATTGCTCATCCTGCTCCTCTGGTATTATATGCCGAGGGAGGAGGCGGAAGACCCGGCGATACTGATGTCCTTAGCACCACAGGCCTCAAGACGCCATCATTCGCTCTGCTCGGCGAGATCAAGGCAAGAGGCATACCGTCTGTCGCAGTTGTGAACGGGTACTGCTTCGCTGGTAATGCTGCTCTGCTGGGTACTTGCGACGTCATAATAGCTACAAGAGGTGGCTCAGCCGATGCTCCACAGAGAAAGAAGACTACCATTGGCATGGGTGGCCAAGCTATGATTGAAGGCGGAGGTCTCGGCTTATTCGAGCACGAAGAAATCGGACCCATCGATGTGCATATGCGTTCTGGCGGCATCGATGTACTGGTGGACTCTGAAGTCGAAGCTGCACCATTAGTGCGCAAAATCATCGCGATGTTCACACAACCGCACCTGCCTCCGGCGGAGAGCCCTTACACATCCGATCACCTCCGCTTGCGTACAGTAGTACCACCATTCTCAGCCCGTCGCCGAGCCTACGACATCCGCGCTGTAATCGCCCTTCTTCTGGATGACGACAGCTTCATTGAATTCAGTCCGCAATGGGGACTCTCGGTGCTCACAGGGTTAGGCCGCGTCAAAGGTCGAGCAGTAGGTATAATAGCCTCAAACTCTTCTTCACCTCTCGGCGGAGCCATCGACGTGGAATCAGGAACGAAGGTGAACCGCTTTTTCCGCCTCCTCATCCGTCTCGGTGGCATGCATGTCATCAGTCTTTGCGACACTCCAGGATTCATGGTTGGGCCCGACTTTGAACGTTCAACAGAAGCGCAAGGTGCAGGAAGTACATATCGCTGCTTCGGTGACTGGTTCGGCAACAGCCAAGAATTCGGCCTCCTCGGTGGCCGCGTGCTGGGAGTCGTCCTCCGAAATGGATTCGGATTGGGCGCTCAAGCCATGCTCGGAGGCGGAACGCTAAGGAACAGTATGTGCGTGGCGTGGCCCAACGCTGTCTTCGGAGGCATGGGACTTGAAGGGGCCGTGAAGCTTGCATATAGGAAAGAACTAGAGGCTATCAAGGACGATGAAGAGAGGAGGAAGAAAGAGCAAGAAATGGTTGATGCAGCGTACGCCGAAGGTAGAGCTCTGAACCAAGCTACTGTCGGCGAGATCGACAGTGTGATAGATCCAGCGACGACGAGACAATGGCTGGAACAGATGATGGACGTCCTGCCGCAAAGGGTGCCCAATTACATGAGAGCGAGAAGGGATGCAAAGATGTGAGGCGGCCTGGGCTCGGGCTCGATGGTTCTTGAGGCTCGAGAAGATTGGATGCCACTCAATTGCAGATATCGTGACGTATCAACTGGTCGTGGCTGTTGCTATATTACACTTGGTAGAAACACAGCTCATGCTATGTTACGCTCTATGGCATTTCAGCTCATTGCTCGTCTCTCGTACTCGTAAATGCTGGATCTCGTAATCGCGATCTTGTGTCATCGCGTTTCTGCTTAGATGTCTCATTATCCCAAGCACGAGTCTCCAAATGTCAGTATCTCCCAAACCGTCGCTCTGAGATCCCCACCATCACATATTGCGTTTCAGGTAGTCTGCGCGAAACAGCTTGCGGCTTTCGCGCCAAGCGCGGTGTCGCGGTCGCTCTTCGGATAGCCTGCTTCAGCCCAGCGATTCATCTCTGCTTTAGCAACCTCCAACGTCACGATAGGCGTGGTAGGCGGCAGACGTCTGAAGGGCCGATAAGCAATTTTGACATTGCGTCCAGTGTTGTTCTTCTTCTCCTCCCAATCGCGCCAGATCTGAGTGGAGTCCGTGGTCTTTGCTTCGCCGGTGATGCGCTGCTGATACGCTGCGTAAATCATGTCGAGTTCTGGGTATCCGCGGCCTGGCGCGAGCGTGTGTATGGCAAGCAGAATCTGTTTTTGCGTGTCGACGCTTTTGATATTCTCAACTATTCCCTCGCGGTATTTCTTCCACAACTCATGCAGCGCGTCGACTTCCTCTCCGGGAGTGGCAGAGTCGCGATCTGCGACTTGCTTCACGAGCTGCTCGGTCATTGTGCGTTTGCCCGATTGATATCGCGGATTGTGTTTTGTAGTAATGAAGCGTGTTGGAGATCGTTCGTTTGAGTTTTCGCTCTTGTGCGAATGTCAATGCGAACGGCGGTCGTGAGTAATGCTTGTAAAATCGCTCTTGTGCGTTTGCAGAGGCGGTCGCAGAGTCGCTGGCGGTAGAGGCTGTCGAATCGCTCGCTCACGATTCTGCCCTTTTGTGCTCTCGAGCAATCCTGATCGATCTCGTAAGCGCGAGGAGCTGAATCGCGAAATCGCAATTTGGCGCTCTGCAGATGCCAGCGGCGCTCAGACGATGGAGGCCGGGCGGTGGTGGTAGGTGGTGGTAGGTGGTGGTAGCGATGAGAGTGACGGAAGAGAGCGAGGAGCAATAAAAGGAGGCGGCGATGACCACTGAGAACGAACATGAAACACAGACTTCATTCACATGCCAAGGGACCTCACTTACAGTAGCATGAGGACAACGCGCCCGCCATTGCCCGGGCAAGTGATGCGAACTACACGCTCAATGGAGCATGGAATAATATGACCGGCATCGCGAAAGGTGTGACTGGCTTCAACATAAGTCGACTGATCATTCCTGCTCGGTTGCTTGGACCGCCGATGAGACATCGAAAACAGTGCCCGTACTGTCCACCACGCGTGGACTGCTCCACGATGTCACCCATAATCTTAAGCTGGTGGCGAAGGGCGAGTACGTCTGATACTTTGTGGCTGTTGATTGGAGGACTGGCAAGGTGGCTTGGAAGAAGAGGGCCGGAGCTGGAGGTGCTTTCAATGATAACTGGGCTCCTATGGTCTTGACTCCGGGGGAAAGCTCATTGAGACAGTCAGAATGGTATCGCGATTCTTAAGAATGGTGAAAGCAGTTGATTCCTGAAGAGAGTCCTGCGACTTAGTGTCATTTCGGAATCAGCGTGAACACTCATGATGCTCCAATTCCGATACGGGTAATACAATTATCGTTTCCGGGATTCAATCAAAGGATACACGACCACAATGTCGCAGTCTTGCTTTCCATGGGTTCTGCAGGATGCTCAGAATCGTGCCTGTTCTGCGAATTCCACTTGTCCGGTGCCCGCGAGCCGGCCTGGAGCGTCCTGCGGACATGATCATGGTAGACTAAAGTGTCTTGTTGGGTCAGGAGCAAGAGCAGCAGCTGAAGATTCGGGAGAGTCGTCAGGTCCGAATTTAAGGTTTCCGAGAAAACGCCGCGGGTGAAGTTCGGCTCTGGGGCTGAGCATCCTCACACCCTCAGCTCCTGCATCGTTTCGTGGTGTCTGCAATGTCGATGATTGTGGCATCCAACACCATGGCCGGATGAGAACCAAGACACTACGTGACTCAGGACCGTAAATGGCCAGATCTACAAGCTTGAATACTTCACGCAGCGACAGAGCATCGAGCACGCCGACCACAAACACGCGTCGCTCTCACAAGAAATCTCGAAATGGCTGCACCGAGTGCAAGCGCCGCCACATGCGCTGCGACGAGCGATGGCCAGCTTGTGTGAACTGTGAGAAGGCCGAACGCAGCTGCGCGTACCCGCCGTCGAAAAAGGCGGCGGCGGCGGCGGTGGTGGCGGGCGGAAGCAGTCGAAACGTCAGGGGAACCTGTTACCCCAAAGCCTGTTCGGCTCTGTAGCACGATCTCGAACTCGCAGCCGGGTCGATGGTGCTGGGAACGGCGATGCTCACTTAGCTCCGTCTCCGGCCTCCCCATGTTTGCACGACGATCACCTCGCCGGCCTGGGCATCCCGTTGGATGGTATGCCCAAATCAGTCTACACATCAGAACACCTGGTCTTGCTCCACCACGCCAATGCGGTGCCTGGCTTCTCTGCTCCAGGCCGGCATGTCGTTGCCATCGCCGTCCAACGCGCTGCCGACGCACCCTATCTCATGGACGAGGTACTGGCTTTCACAGCCTTCCACCTGGCGCATTGCTATCCCGCATCGGCAGTGCATCTCGGATACATAGCCACCGAACTTCAAACAAGGGCTCTGGCCTCTTTTTCCCAAGTCAGAGAGACAACAACCAATTGTGAGCCATCGTCAACTCTCCCTCGTTACCTCTTTGCTGGTATCCTAGGTAGACACGTTCTGGCCGACACTCTCGCCCACCGCCGAAACGACTTTCACTCTTTCATCGACCGGTTTGTCGATTGCTTCAACCTGAATCGCGGCATGACAGCCGTACATACGCCAACGCAGGAACACCTTCGGGATCCCGAGATCGAGCCTTTCGTGAAGCCCGTCCTTGAAGCTCGTGATAGAATCACCTCTTCGGGGACCGAATGCACTCCCTTGCAGGGTCTAATGGATGACTCTGACCCTGGAGAAACCAGCAAAGCGGCATGTCGCAAAGCAATTGATCTCCTACAGTCCGCCTTTGACATTTGTCACAATCTGGATGAGGACGACTACTTGCAGGCCGTCTCTGCATTTTCTGTCAAGATCGAAGCTGACTTCGTCGACGTACTACGCAAGCACCGACCGGAGGCGTTGGTAATTCTTGCTTACTATGGCATATTGTTACATCGTTGTCGAAACTTCTGGGCCTTTTGCGATGCCGGCAGTTCCGTGATCCACGCCATTGCAGGACACTTGGGCAGTTACTCGCGAGATGCGCTGAATTGGCCTTTGAAAGAGTTGGAAACTGCAGGTCATGGCCCAGACTTCGGGTGACCTTTCTGCGCCATCGCCCCTAGAGGGATTTACTCTTTCGGGATTTTCTGTCGGAAGGCTGCTTTGACCTTTGAAGGTCTGCGACAGCCGCAGCTTTATCCAGAGGTTCGATGCATGTCGTGCGAGGCATGCCTTGTCATCACCAAGCGTCAGCCGCGATCTGTCATTCGTGATCTGAGTTACGCTTCATTCTCGCGCGGCGCAAAGAAGATAAGAGCTGCTTCTCCACCCTAGGGCGCCGACACACGTTGAAAGAGGGCTACGTCTGACTTGCCAGGTAGCTAATTCGTGGACTGTAATGCTGTGAGGGATGGCCCGTACAAGGAGCAACTTACATTCGCACCTCTTCCGCACTGTCAAAACTCGATGTCAGCACGCCACCTCATCTCACAAAATTCGCATGCGAACGGTAGACAAGAACGTAATGGCCTCTGAGACCATCGACCGGGTATCGGCCATCTCGGTGCGCATCAGCAGATCTGCGGTCGCAGCACTCTGCCGGGACTCAGTCGAAGTCTCAGTTGTGATCTCGATAAACTCGACGTCAGAGATTCCTCACAGCTTACGCCTCTTAGAAAGTGATAGTTCACATCGCCACTGCGAGTCCCGCAATCCGCACGCGCTTTTCTAAGCCAGTATCACGTGAGCAGTGAAGCTGGTGACAATGATCGGAAATGCTTTGTCTCAGTAGGCATATATTGCAGATCTCGATCATTGCAGAGCTGAGGAAAGGCCAGGAAGCGCGAAGCAGAAATTGACAGACAGACACGCCTTGCATAGAGGTCGTTCTGGGGTGTTCAATTGACTTGAGCGGCTACATCCTACGTTTATACATCCCTTAGCCTTAGTGTACAGGCCATCCGCCTAGGTAAGCCAGTCTGTACTACCCTTTTTCCACCTCTTTCAGGCCAAACTCACTATTGATAGTCGTCCGCATGTCGATCTTGCGTTCTAGAAAGACAAATATAAGTGCTAGACTCGGGAATATCATCGCAACCTCCCAAACTCTTGTCAAGGCACCGGCATAAACACCCACCAACTCATCCCGGGATGAGCCTGGGATCGTCTTGATGAAAGACGCACTGGCTTTCTCATAAGCCTTCCCACCAGTGAGACTGGCACGTAGGGTGGGATCGGATATGTGATACGCGAGCGAGTCGAAGCGGGCGTTGAGTACAGCAGCCGGGATAGTGATTCCCCATATGATTCCAAAACTTCGGACGAAGCCCCAGAATGCAGTCGCGGCTGCAGCATCTGTCTCTTCCATCCCAGCCTGAATGGCGGGCAGTATGGCGGGAATCAACATGTTGCCAAAGAATCCTGTGACGAGCTGAAAAAGAATCCATTCCACTGCCGTCGAGGACGGTGACAAAAGGATGTACAGTCCATGCCCAAGGAGTAGTCCGGCCAACGAGGCAAAGTGGACGGTGCGATATCTGCCTGTCTTCTTCGTAACCCAAGCGCCAACCACTACGGCCGGGATCAGCATGATGACCGAAGGAAGAACCTGAACTCCGGCCCGGCTTGGGCTGGACAACTGTACAGCCTGGAAATAGACCGAGAGAAAATAGATCCTCCAGAACGATAGGATGCTCCAGAAAAAGGTGATGAGGTACCCTGCAGCGGAGGTGGGTCGGCTGAAGAATCGACGAGGCGCAATCGGTAGTCTTGGGACGAAGGCTTCATACACTGAAAATATCCCGAACCCAAAGAGTCCGATCACTAGAGGCAGAATAGCGTGCCAGCTACTCCAAGAATACCGTATGTCGCCATAAGAGATCGCGAAGAGGACCGAAGTCGTAGACGCGATCAGCATACAGTTTCCCACGTAATCGATGGACAAGATGCGCTCACGCATCAGTTCCCGCTTGAAGCCTGTATCAAGACAGAATGTGACCGCGAGTAGCGCGATGCTGCGACCGGAAGATTGATGTAAAAAATCCAACGCCAGGAAATTCTCTCCACGATGACTCCGCCGAGGAAAGGTCCGAGTGCAGTCCCAATGTTCACAGCGACAAATGTGGCCGCGATATAACCTGGGCGTGACCGAACGGGCACAAGATCCGAGACGATCAAATCAAGCTGTGACTGTCGATTAGAATTGAACAAGACTTAGAGTCATCTATGTTGTCTTACCAGCATGGTTACTCCGCCGCTACCTGCTCCTTGTATCGCTCGGCCAGCGATGAGCTGTTTACTGGAGGTAGAAGATCCTCCAACCGCACTGCCCAAGAGAAACAAAATTATAGAAGCCATCATGACGTATCGTCGACCGACGGCATTAGCAAGCTGTCCAAGAAAGGGCTGGAAGGCGGCACTGGGCACAGACATGTCGGTGAGCAACAGACAAGATCAAGACTTCTGTCAAGTTTGAACACACGACTCACTTTGTCAGGAAGAAGACATTGAGCACCCAAATGAAGTCGTCGCCGGTTCCCAGCTCTGTATTGATCAGAGGCAATGCGGTGGAGACTACAGTCGCCTCCAGAGACACCATCAGGGCTGTCAGCCACAGCACTGGGAACACGATCCAGAACCGCCATGTATGTTGTGCATCCGTGGGCTCTGACCCTGAAGCGGGTTGCGGTGTCGTAGGAAGTGACATAGCGTAGCTTGGCTTTCCCTGGAGGTGAAGAACCTCCAGCTTGCTAATCGAATATGAGAGCGCTGCTGTCAATAGAGTTATTACAATGGATAGAGATATTCAAGTTGAGCTCAAGCTGCCCCGCGTGTGCATCGCACTTGTCATTTGCATACTGTGCTGTCCCAACGCATGTTGCAGTAGTAGCATAGCTATAAAACTAGCGCGAACCTAAATGCTAGCCTTCTGCAGTGCCCAACGCTCGATCGGGTTCGTGGTCATGGGCTCGCCGTTTCTGCCGGGGGCTATTATTTCGCGTACTCGCTGCGCGTCACCGTGCTTTGGACAAGCGCAGCGATCATTTCGACATCGTCCCGCTTTTGAGGCATATCGTGGCTGCCCTGATGTTGGTAGATCTCGGCTGAATCCTCTTCGCAAATCTGCGACAGCAGGTCAGAGTATGCGCGAAGCTCGTCTTGCCGGCCCCAGATATGTAATGTCGGCATATCCAGCCTTTCGGGGAAGACATCCGGATGAATACAACGTGCTTCAACCGCGATACTTGTGCTGCCTGCAGTAGAGATCGCGTTATCCGGTGGCAAACCCCGGTCTCTCGAATGCAGTCGTAGTCCGACCAGTTGCAAACGATCATAAGATATCATTGTGTTTGTGTCCGGCGATATAATTGGAGGCAGTCGATCGTGGAGATCGTCGATGGCGTGACCAACCATGCTTGTCCAGCTCAAGGGAAGGAGGCCCGCGATGAAAATGGCAAAACGAAAGGACGAAGTGTCTTTATGCGGTCCCATCTGCTCTTTGAGTAACAGCGATGCAGCCAATGATGCTCCCTGCTCAACGTCAGACTGCAATATCTAGTGTACAGGTTGCAAGACATGGATCGTGCAACTTGCCTCGGAGAATCCCAGAATGCCATCATAGGGGCCATGCTCTTCTATGAACGAGTTTAGCCTCTGAAGAGCCTCTGCGACCGCACCAGGAGTCAGATTGTCGAGATATGACAAGTAAGGCCCGGAAGAGACCTCGGTCATTATTCTTGGCGGGTCGACGTGGTGCCGTCCGTCCATCCAATCATACACATAATGGGATGGCAAGAGACTTGTAAGATTGGACGCCTGGTCTCGACACATGCCACCATTCATGGCAGTTCCATGAAGGCAGAGGATCCGCATGTTTGAGAATTTGTACCGGAGATCGAAGAATAAACAGCCGTGACGCATAAGAGCAGTACAGTCTAGCACTATAGATGCCCGACGCTCGTTTTTTCACGTGCACCTCACCGCATTTCGACTCCGAGCGTACCCACACACGTCATGCGCTATTGCAATGCAGGGCTCACGTCCTCTTAGTTGTACCCCACGTCGCTAAACTGCGCCAAAACTTGTCCACCGAATGCAAGAGCATAAAGAACCAAAAAGTCCATTTGATGCCCCACGGCTGAGGTCGAGGCAGACCATACGCATCTGCAGAGCTATCATACACAGTCGCTCTTCTCAGATCACGAACGTATCTTCCCTCAAAGGAGCCACCGCCAGCACGATGCATGACGCAGGTATTGTCCTGTTGTACGACGGTTAGCACGATTATGTTTAAACACCCGGCTAGAAGGGCTTGCCCATATCACGAGATCTCCTTTCGATTCCCACTCCACCGTGAGAACATGCTCATCTCGTGAAGCATGTCGCAGCAACTCTTGGATGATTGGGCGACTGTCCTCTTCGCTCATGCCTTCTATGTGATGAACATGGCTCGCAATATAGAGATTCGTCCGTCCACTAGGCTCATGCTGTTGAACGAGACGGTGGAAGCGATGTGGGAAATCCCGGATTCTCAGCCAGCGGAACAGAGCGATGTCAGGCGCGCCAACCCTGCGGCTATGCATGATCGAGTGACAAATGACAAAATCCTTTATCTGGTCTTTGAACTCATCGTGCAACTCGTCATAGGCCGTGCGTGTATCTGCAAATTGCGTGCTTCCACCATGGCCGGGCGGTGGAAGCTGGTCAGCGCGCAGAATGGAATAGCCGGCTCGGCGGGGATTGTACGAGCAGTCGACGTGGAACAGATTGTTGCCTCGCGAAACCTTTGCCATGGTGCTCTCTACTGGCATTACTCGGCCGTTGGGTCCGACATTGCTGACGTCCACCAGAATCTTGCTGTTTGCCAGTCGACCCGCACGTCTCGTTACAGCCACGGCCGACAGGTCTGGATCACCGAAGCGCAGCGCAAATTGCTCGTGCCCGTCATCATCGAGTCCAGTGCGACGGAACACCAGGACACCGTAATCTGCCATGCCATCGCGGATGGCCGTCACTGTTCGCTCACATAGCGGCTGTTGGAAGTCGACGCCGTTGCACTCGGCGCCAAAGGTCTTGTGAAGCGGTGTGAATGTCAAGGACCCCATTGGCGCTAAGGGTCTGTCTGGACTGGGATGAAACGAGAAAGGTGTCGAGTCGGAAAGCAAAATGCCTCAGGGGGAAGAACAGCGATCAAAAAGCGAGACGACATTGAGATGGAAATTCCTTCCAAGGGAATTCCTTCCAGGAAGTGGGAAAGACCTTTGCACGACGATGCAAGCCAAAGTTGCCGACGCTCGCATGAGTCTTTAAGCGAAAGAGTTACAGTGATACCTGCTTATAAACAAACTGGCTATAAGCATAAACCGGCTATAAGCATAAACCGGCTATAAGCATAAACCGGCTATAAGCATAGCACCCCCTTGCAACTGCTTTTTTGGGTGAGGCTGTAAGCATAATCTAGCTATTAGCATTATGCTTATAGAGTTAGAGAATTCTCAGTATGTATGCTTATAGACAGGTAGATTCTTCGATCGTTTGAACATTAACCTGCCTGAAAATCTATCTTAGAACGGTCGAATTCCATCTCGAAACGCGCTGGATCCATCTTAGTTTAGTCTATAACGACGATAAAACAGCCTTTCAGAAACACGACGCAATACGGGAGCTCAATTCACCTTACCGGCGCCAATACTGCCTTACTTAGCACGTTTCTAGCGAGAGGAAGCGATCGATTTCGAGGCTACTCGTAACCGCGTATATGCATAATCTCCCTATAAGCATACACCTCCTCTGCCGGACCCACATGCTTATAAACAGGTATCACTGTATCATCTGGTCTGGTGGCAGCGCTATGAGGTTGCAGCATGCACCGTGTCGATGATCTAGGCCACATCAGGCTGTTGCAGGATCGAAATCTGGCTAGCGCATTATTTGTCGAGCTTCCGGGCTGCGACACCTTTTTGCGGACTAGTCATAACTTATACTATAAAGCATAGGAAACAGAGGGTCAAGATTTCTGGTCCGGGTGCAGCGCTATGAGGTTGCAGCATGCACCGTGTCGATGATCTAGGCCAAATCAGGCCGTCGCAGGATTGAATTCTGCTAACGCATTATTAGTCGAGCTCCCGGGCTGCGACATCTCTTTGCGGACTAGTTATAACTTATACTATAAGCATAGGACACAGGGTGTCGAGAGCTTGGCTTACGTTGTAGGACTGATAGTAATGTGCACCGCAAGTTAGAGCTCTGCTCGTATACAGTGTTCCTGTCTCAACATTGTTTAACGACAATCATGTCTGGCGCGAACGTTGCAATCATTGGCGTAGCCTGTCGGTTTCCAGGCAAAGCAACCACTCCCAGCGGCTATTTGGATATGCTTATGGAAGGTGGCGATGCATGGACCAAAGTTCCCAGCTCTCGGTACAATGCGGATGCATTTCATCACCCATTTCAAGGTCGCAGAGGCAGCATAGTACGTTGCGACTGATACAGTGCTGGAAATATCTGACATGCTTGTGCAGATCTGCAACGGGGGCTACTTCCTCAAGGACGACATTGCCAAGTGGGATGCTCCGTTTTTTGGCCTTCCAGCCGCCGAAGCACGAGCAGTTGACCCTCAGCAGCGTTTGCTGCTCGAGCTCGCATATGAGAGCCTCGAAAACGCGGGTGTATCTATAGAGTCCATCGCTGACACAGATATGGGCTGCTACATGGGGACAGTTGCCTCGAACTACAAGGGCGTCATCGGTCGAGACCCTCTTGATACTCCTCGATACACCATTGTCGGATGTGCGTCCTCAATGCTGGCCAATCGCATCAGCTGGTTTCTGTACGTCTCTTCCCTTGTTCAAGTCTTCATTCATGGTGTTAATGTCAAATGCTTTCAGCAACATTCGGGGCCCTTCGGTCACACTCGATACAGCTTGCTCCAGCTCTGCCGCAGCCCTGCATCTTGCATGCGAAGGCATCAAGTCCAGTTCCAGCACGACTCGTTGTGCACTGGTTGGGGCTTCGAATCTGGCTTTTGATCCAGACGATCTAAGTGCGTTCAGTGCTCTGGGGTTTCTCAGTCCCGAAAGCCACTGCTTCGCTTTTGACGCACGTGCGAACGGCTACGCGCGAGGCGAGGGTGTTTCTGTCTTGGTGCTCAAACACCTGGACGATGCTATTCGGGACGGTGATCCCATTCGAGCTGTGATCAAAGCCACTGGCATGAACTCAGATGGAAGGGTAGGTCGTCTTAGATCAAATTCTCTACCGGTGTTCTAACAATGGAGTCAGACAGCGGGTATTGCCCTCCCAAGTTCTCATGCTCAACAGCGTTTGATTAGTAGCACGTACGCACTTGCTGCATTGGACCCGAATGATACGCAATACGTGGAGATGCATGGAACAGGCACTAAAGCTGGCGATCCGGCTGAGATGCAAGCTGTCTTGGGCGCTCTGGCGGGACAGCGGCCCTCGACACTCTATTGCGGCTCAGTGAAGACACAAATTGGTCATCTGGAAGCCGCGGCGGGAGTTGCTGGTATTGTCAAATGTATCCTGGCCATGGAGGTAGGTGTGATTCCTCCGAATCGCAACTTCGAAACGCCCAACCCAACTCTGGCACCTGAGATCGCACAGGGCCGAGTTGCCATCCCAACAACTCCCTTACCATGGCCCAGCTCCAGTGCAGTGAGGCGTTGTTCCGTGAATAGTTTCGGTTTTGGCGGAACGAACGTTCACATCGTGCTCGAAGCGGCAACGAACTCCCGTGGCATCGTGAAGACACCGCATCCGGAGTCTAAAGGGTTGCCGTTCATTTTTGTGCTGTCTTCGCCGGTGCGAGACGGTGTTGCGCGCCAGTGCAAGGCTCATTATAACTACGTTGAAAGGCTCGGTACGTCCAATCACCGCGAGTCTTTCTTGCCTGATCTGATGTATACACTCAACCAACGACGATCCATCTTCCGATGGCGACATGCTGTCTTGGCTCGGGACATTAACGAGCTGTTAACTGGCTGGGCTGAAAGCCGTATCGTCCCTACGAAAGCATTGAAAGCCCGAGTCGCGCTCCTGTTCACAGGACAAGGAGCACAGTGGCCGGGAATGGGTCGTGAGCTAGTGCTCCATCCCATCTTCGCACAGTCCATCCGTGCATCGGCAACATGTCTACGAGAGCTAGGGGCTGAATGGGATGCAGAGGTCGAGCTCTTGGCGCCGAAGTTGGGGTCACGGATACATACGGCCGAGTTTTCGCAACCCCTGTGTGCCGTGCTGCAAATGGCTCTGGTGGACTTGTTCTCGTACTGGGGATTATCACCCGTTGCGGTCGTCGGGCATTCATCCGGCGAGATTGCCGCAGCGTATGCGGCTGGTGCTTTAGGTCGACGTGACTGCCTCACAGTTGCGCTTCACCGGGGCATCATCTCTCAGGCGGCTCAAGAGCAAAGTCCGGGTCGCTCGATGATGGCCGTGGGATTATCCAGTGGTCAGATACAACAATACCTGGACGACAACATTACGTTGGCTTGTATCAACAGTCCTGAGAGCGTGGCGGTTGCCGGGCATAAGGGTTGCTTGGACACACTGAGGGCCTCATTGCAGAGCGAAAGCATCTTTTGCCGAATGCTGCGCGTGGACATTGCGTATCACAGTCCACAGCTGTTCCCCTTTCGTGACGAGTATCACGGCCGCATTGCAGGCATTACGCCCAACACCGACAGCAACGACCATGCCGCTGTCCACTTCTACTCAACGGTGTACGGTCGTCGGATTCCACACTCGCAGCTCAACGCAGACTATTGGGTCGCAAATCTGTGCTCGACCGTCGACCTGGTGTCTGCGCTAAACAGTCTTATGGACAGCAGCGTAGAATCTGTACCCGACATCATGGTAGAGATTGGTCCACACGGCGGATTGGCCGCCCCCTTCAACGAGTTCCGCCGCACTCGAGAAAGTTGTGATGATATGTTCTACTGCAGTGCACTATCCCGTCAAGTGGACGCAAACACTACAGCCATGGGCGCCGCGGCTTCTCTTTGGGCACGTGGTGTCTCCCTTGACTTGAAGAAGGTATGTTCGACATTCGTTGCATGTCTACACAGCCCTTACAATGCTGATCTCTCCAGCTCAACGAAAGGCCGAATTCAGCTCCTGACAAGGCAGTTCTCACCGATTTGCCCTCTTATCAGTGGAACCATTCGACGGCTTATTGGCATGAGACGCGAATGTCGCGAAACCGCCGCTTTCCCACGTTCGCACGACACGACCTAATCGGATCACGATCGGAAGCTTTTAATCCCCAGGAGCCTGTATGGGGTAATCGTTTACGCGTGCCAGAGTTGCCGTGGCTGAGCGATCACCAGATCCAGGGTCAGATTTTGTTTCCCTTCACCGGTGTAATTTGTTCAGCGATCGAAGCCATGCGCCAGCTCGAGGAGGAATGGGGCACCATTGCAACCGTATCGAGCTACCAACTGCGCGACATCACCATGTTGGAATCCCTTGTCATTCCAAAGGGTGACAATGGAGTCGAGACGTCCTTGCATTTCACAAAGAGGAAAGCGCAAGCAAAGACGCTGCGCGAACCCTGGTACGACTTCTCCTTGTATTCCGTCACGAATGACGTCTTTGTGGAACATGGCTGTGGCAGTATACGGGTTACTCGCAAAGATGTTATCACCGAAGTTGACGGCGGCACAGAGGCTGGGGAAGAAGTAATGGCTTATCGAAGGCGCTATCGGCAAAACCACGCTGGCTGCACAAAAACAGTATCTGGTAAGAGTCACTACGAGTACTGTGACAGTATTGGCGTTTGCTATGGTAAGTACAGAATATCCAAATGCAACGAATGCTCGTCTGACGTAGAACAGGCTCGACCTTTCAAGGAGTCAACGAAGTGCATCACGATATGTCTACGGCTTGTTTTGAGGTCAAGGGCCTCTACTTCCCGTCCGCAATGCCCAAGGGGATTCAGAGCTCTTATCTGATCCATCCGGCGATGCTCGATGCTCTCATGCAGCCGATTTTTGTCGCCGTCAGAAATGCATCTGAGATTCCGAAGCAGACCTGGGTTCCCCTTAGCATCGATTCCTTGGACGTTTCGAGCGACTTTCCGCAAAATATCGATACTCGTGTCCATGGAACATGCACGAGCTCATTCGGTGGCCAGAACAGCTTGACATGTGATCTCATGGCCGGTGACGGTGCATTTAACAGCATGCCCTACATTATCCTCAGTGGCCTTCAGTGTCGTGGCGTCGAGTTGCCCATCACCTCATCTGACGGACTTGGTGCGAAGATCGCTGATAGCTACTCCCGCATCATTTGGAAGCCAGATTTTTGAACTTCTGGGCCCGTGTGAGCTCAAACAGTCCTTGTTGGCACCCAAAAATGGACACTTGGCCGTCGACATGGAGCGATTTCTGATGGATGCTGATCACGTTCTCGGAAAGATGTGCGAGACCGCCGCCACAAAGTTTGCATATTTTCCCACGAGCGGTCTTCCTATGCATTTGCAAAAGTACTTACAGTGGATGCGCACCCGCTATCCTCAGACGCTTGACCATCTCGATGCTGGGATCAGCACAACACATAACGCCGGGAGTGCTTCAGATCAATTTAGCAACATCTCAGAACTCGTTCAAGAGTTTTCCGCCAAGTATCCCTCCGATGGACCCCTTATGCACCATATGCTTAATTCCTTGGACGACGTTTTACGGCAAAAGACTACTCCCATCGAAGCCATGACGGCTAGCGAACACTTCACCAGATTTTACAGGGAGGCGTACGGAATGACTCGCATTGAAACAGCTTTTCAGCGACTGTTTGATCTGATCGCTCACAAGAAGCCGGACTTGCACGTCCTCGAGGTTGGCGCCGGCACAGCATCGACAACATTGCCAATACTGCAGGCCCTAAGCCAGGCGGACGACGGTCTCCCTCGATTTGCCAAGTGGACGTTTACTGATATCTCTGCAGGATGGTTCGACAGCGCCAGACGAGTGCTGAGCGACTGGCAGTCTCATATCGACTACAAGGTGCTCGATATCGAGCATGATCCCGTAGGGCAAGGATTCGAGAGCGAATCGTACGATGTCATGGTGGCTGTTAACGTAATCCATGCAACTAAAGATATTCGTCAATCGCTTCGCCATTGCCACCGCATGTTGAAGCCCGAAGGCCATCTCGTACTGGGTGAGATCACGGGCGCACACGATCTCGGCACCTTCGTGTTTGGGATCCTCCCTGGGTGGTGGCTTGCTGAGGATGGCCGACACAACGGGCCCCTGTTGCTACCGAAAGAATGGGACGAGCAGCTCGAAGAGACGGGTTTCACCAGGGCCAGGGCCATGGTGCATGATGGCGATCAAGACAATGTGCATCGAATGTCCATGATCGTGAGTCAAAAGACGAATATGACAACAGATGCAAGGTCGAAGGACATCTTGATCATTACTCCTACAGAGTATTCGAACGGCATCAAGCATCTCGCCTCGAATCTGGAGCAATGCTTTGCAAAATCTGGCGTGACCGCGATCATCAAAGGTTTGGACCATGTCAGTCCTGCTTACCTCGAGGAGAAAACTTGCATCTCGCTCCTGGAAATTGAGACGCCTCTTCTGGACAACATGGATGCCACTCAATTTCTGAAGCTGCAGACAATATTTGCACATGCCAAGGAGCTGCTCTGGGTGGCCAAGTCAAAAGATGCGGATGGATATAATCACCCCAGCTTTCGCATCATCTCCGGGCTCATGAGGTGCCTGAAGATGGAGGATGCCACACGGAAGTTCATGGAGATGCACATCGAAGACCCAGCAGCTCAAACTGCCGCCGCTCTGAGCCAAATAATCTTGTCCCGGCTTGCAAGCTGTTGGACAAATCGCAAAGGTGTTGGAGAAATAGAAACTGCACAGCGCCAGGGCACTCTCTGTATTCCGCGCTATGTCCCAGACACCAAACTGAACTCAAGCTTGGCCAGGGAGACTGGTAGGGAGGTGAAAGCCGTGACTATGAAACTTTCCAACGTCAGAAAACCTTTGCGCTTGGTACTCGGAAAACCAGGACTTCTGGAGACTCTCCACTTTGTGGATTTGGACGTACCAAAGGCTTTGGGGGACGACCAAGTCGAGATCAAGGTCACCGCGTGTGGGCTGAACTTCCTGTAAGTCATTCATTGCTTGGTGATACGTATTGAGCGCGCAGCTAATTCTATCAAGCGACGTCTTAATCGCTATAGGTGAGATTCACCGGGCCGCTTTTGGTCATGAGGCTGTCGGGATCGTGTGTCGCACAGGAGCCAAGGTTGAACATGTGGCCACTGGCGATCGAGTCGTGTGGATGAGCCAAGGGTCGATGCAGACCGAAGTTCGGGTGAGCGCATCATATGTCCACCGTGCTCCGGCGCATTTGACAGACGAAGAACTCGCCTCGATCCCTGTTGCATATTGTACGGCGTATCGATGCCTCGTGGAAGTGGCACATTTGCAAAAGGGGGAGAGTGTCCTCATTCACGCAGCGGCTGGAGGTGCGTCGAGTCTCGTCATGTTTAGAAGGTCAACGGCTGATTTTTGTTCTACAGGTCTGGGTCAGGCTCTGATCCAGGTGGCCAAGTCACTCGGCGCAAACATATTCTGCACGGTGAGCACCCATACGAAAAAGGAAGCGGTTGTGGCAATGGGTGTGGCTGCCGAACAAGTCTTCAGTTCACGCGACTTGACTTTTGAGAAGGGAATCAAGCGTACCACGAATGGGAAGGGTGTCGACGTCGTGGTGAACTCACTTGCAGGAGAGGCTTTGCGACGGTCCTGGTTTTGTCTATCGTCATACGGACGCTTTATCGAAGTCGGCAAGAGAGACATCCTGGGCAACAGCAAACTCGACATGAGTCCTTTCCTTCGAAATGCTACCTTTGCAGCAGTAAACCTCGAACCCATGATGGATCAACCGGAAGAAATCCGCAGACTTATGGATCGAGTATTCTCTCTGTTGAAGCAGAGTACGATTGGCCTCATTCGGCTAATCACCGTCTATGACTTTGGCAATGCGGAGAGAGCGTTTCGAGACATGCAGCGAGGGACCCATCTAGGAAAACTTGTACTGCGTTTCACGACTGAGTCGATAGCACCTGTCAAGCTGCAGACACCCTTCACTTGGACCCTGGATTCAGAAGCAACATATCTACTGGTCGGTGGTCTTGGAGGGCTGGGCCGAGCGCAAGCAGAATATATGGTTCAACATGGAGCACGTTACCTTGCCTTCATTTCTCGCTCAGGCAAAGCCGGGAAAGAAGCCAGTGACCTCATCACCCGCTTGGTCGCCGCCGGGGTTAGCGCGAAGACATATGCGTGCGATGTTGCCCAAAGAGACGAGCTTACTGCGGTACTGGAAGATATCGCCTCGACGATGCCACCCATTCGTGGCGTGGTCCAGGGCGCCATGGTGCTCCAGGATACCGTTTTCCACAAAATGACCTTTGAGCAATGGGTCAAGGCTACGAGGCCTAAAATACAAGGTATGGATGGAACTTTTTCCACTGTCAACGCGAACTAATTGATTTTCTATAGGCAGCTGGAACTTGCACGAGCTTCTTCCTAAAGATCTTGACTTTTTTGTGATGCTATCGTCGCTGGCCGGCATCATAGGTGCGATATCGCAAGCAAACTATGCGGCAGGAAACACATGTCAGGACCAGCTTGCATATTACCGCCGGTCGAAAGTTCTGCCGGCAGTGAGCCTTAATCTCGGGGCCATCGAAGGAATAGGTTACGTGGCAGAAAACAAGAGTGTTGCGGTGGGAGCGTCTCGCATGGTAAGCTCACTCGCGGAAAGAATTCATTGCTCGACTAACAAGAAGATAGCCCCCGATGCCAAAGGCGCAGTTCTTCCACATGCTCGGCTGTGCCATGGCGGGAATGTCTGACAGTGACGAGCCAACGAGTGAACAAATCCTTAGCGGTACCGGAAGCGGCGGCCGACTGCAAGAGATGCAGAAAGAGTCTCCGCATGCCGATTTGCCTTTCCTCCGGATGCTGGCGCCTTTCGCTCTCTTGAAGCGCTTTGGCACAGAATCTCTGCAAAAGCAAGAAATCGACACTGGAGCTGGAATGCAAGACAGCTCTGCTCTGCTGGCAACATGCGACTCTCTGGACGAGGCAAGCATTGTAGTACAGAAATTGCTTGTGGGCAAAATCGCGAGCATCATTTCGTTATCGGAGACGGACATCGACACGGCTTTGCCCATCAGCTCGTATGGTGTCGATAGCCTGATCGCCGTGGAGTTACGCAACTGGATATCCTCACAACTTCATAGTGACATTAGCATATTTGAGCTGACTAGTACTGTCGCCATTCACGAACTGAGCAGGAAGATAGCACGGCTCATTGTGGCATGCGAAGGCAGCCGGTCAGAGCTACCACTTTCTATTCGAGCCACTAGGTTCGAAAAGGAGGTAGGCCGGAAGCTATATCATGACCATGCTGTAGAGAGAGCGTTACGGTGTCAAATTTTGCATGGCACATAGTGGGTGGTGTTCGCGTAAAGGGACTGACCGTGTGGAATCGCCGTGAATCTCTATCGTGCCTTGGGTGTAGCGTTCAGCGGATGAATGTGATTGTAAATAATTCCAGCAGAGGCTTGCAATTGAATGGAACGGTGGGAAGGCAGAAGATGCAAGAGCTGCGGTCCTATAAGCAGCATCGCCAGCCAGATAGTTGTTATGCAGTATAGCTAATCCGTCAGATTCTCACGTTTCTTGTAGCAAACCGAACCATGATCCAACGTTCGTTGATTGAAGAACTGTTTTCTCGATGTCCAGTCCATGCTTTGCAGAGGAAAATCCCCAGGGCGAAGATTTACTGGAAAAATCAGAAGTTCGTAATGGATCTGCTGTGGATTGCCAGACTTATGCTGCTGTAGCCTTTGCAACTTTTTCGTAATGATAGGTATATCGCTTGGAAAGCGTTGTGCGATATTCTACGTTGCAGTGGATTCTCACGTTAGGGTTGGGTGACACCTGGGGCAAACACCAACAAGAAGAAGCTGCGTACTGTCGCATCGTCCGTGAAGCAAACAGAGGAATGGTACGTATAACCCTCGAACTGTGCTGGGGCACAATTGATTCGCCATTGGTGTCTCGACGTCGGTCATCATATTCCTCGCGCTCTGCGCCCAGACCTCAGTCCCACGACATTCCATCTATGTGCACAGTGAGCGTGCACAAGCTGAGGCTGCGCTATTTATAGCGTAGGGTTTATCCAACTCTGATGTACAGTCTGTTACCTGTATACACGGATTCAAAGAGTTCAAGTTCAAGGTCTTTCAGGGGCTCCCTTGCGAATAGACTGCCCTAAGTCGGTTGCCAGAAAGTTTGTAACTGCCCGGAAAGCGAAATATACCCTGCCATCTGCTCCCTGTATGCAGGTGACAATATTTGACTACCTATGCTGGTCTCTGCGTTGCTGGGCTCGTGAGACGGTGAAGGGTTTGTGCAGGTTGACGTATTAACAAAGGCCATAAATTGCGGCTAACGCCAATCTTCTTGCCTCCCCACTTTACACTATTCAACCAAACCTTGCCGCATAGAGCCACCTCTTCGAGTGGGGTTGCATCTCCATAAAAATGAGGCTCATTACGACACTCATCACGCTCAGCGTCATTGACTCTGCTTGGCCATTCATCGTGCCGCAAAACTACTATCTTGCAACGCCACAACTGCGAGACACAGAGTTTAGCCACTATGGTGCAAAAGTTCTACACGATAAACGCCAACCTCTCGACGCAGATTCAGACGCCTACCAGGCCAATTGCTTGGGATGCAAACTTGGTATCATAAGACAGTGCAACCCCTTCGTCTGCCCTCCATCTGGATCTGGGGGAAGGAAGCCAAATCCGCCACCAAGTCCAAACCCGCCACGAAGAAAGAAGCAGTTGATCCCGCAATTCCAACACGAACTTCAGTTCAGGGTTGATGTAGGTTTTGAAGGCTTTCGTAGTGTTTACCATACCTCCGATGCCTGGATCGCGGCCGCCCAGACACATGTTAACCGGGGCTTCGATATCTCGCTCGATTTATCCGAAAACATTGATCCTCATGGCGTGTATGCTATCACGGATATATGTATCCAGGTCTCAGGAAATGGCGGCAGATATTTGTATCCTGTTCCCCGACCGGCGACCCCGCGGTATAGAGGCGACGATGGTAGGACGATGTGGGTTAGGGGACGGGCGTTCGCTCAGGGCACTTTGTTCAGAATTGACACGGCGTTAATAACAGAAATCATTAGGGAAAATGGAGGAAGCACTGGCGTAACTTGGACTATCAAGTACAACTTACAACAAGAGCTTAAGCGGGCTTAGAGGAGGAAATTCTTGCATTGGATCACGGTCAGTCTTTCCTACACTCGCATCAGGTCCGGTCCCTCCTTGCTTTGTAGGCCTTTGCTAGCTTTCTCAGCTCTTCTAAACGCTGGGCCTTTGGAGCTCCCACCTGTTCTGCCACATCTTCCTTCTTCATTGGTGTCGCATCTTCCAGATCAAAATCGGCATCATACCCAGGGAACCGAGGTAGCGCTGAGCCCAAGGAACCCAGCAACCCAACCTCATAGAAGATAGGAGTAACACTGAGCTTCGGCAGAGAAGCCAATGTTTTCAAATAGCCAAGGCCCGTGTCCCCTTCGAGCGTCTCTGGCGGCAAAGCATGAGAGCCTTCTTGATCAGTTGGCGGGCTGAAACGAGATGTCTTGAAGTACTTCGAGATCGCCATGGCAGTACCAGTTAAGCTTGGGCTTACGAGCCAGCCATGTTGAGCTCCGACTTCGCCTTGCACTCGCTTCACGATGATGCTCTGGATCGCCAAGGCCGCTGCATAGCCCGTTGTGTAGTCGTTGATTACCATGCCTGGTGGCCACTGAGGTTGGCCGTCGCCTACACCCTGTCCCATGAGGGTCATCATTCCGCTGGACGAGGAACCTTGCATGTCGAACCCAGGCTTGGAGTTCCATGGTCCACTGGTGCCGTAGCATGTTACTCGGCATATGATCAGGCTATGATTGATATGGTGCAGGTCTGAATTGCTGAAGCCGAACTTTGCGATAGCATCAGGTCTGTAGCTGTCGATCCACACGTGGGCGTCTTTGACCAGCGTCCGTAATCTTGCACGATCGGCTTCTTTGTGTAGACTGAGGCGAGTCGTTGATAACCCGAGGCTTGCGTAGGAATACACAAATAGATGTTCAAATCCATGTGTGAACATTACCTGCAGAGCCGATGCTCCATGCTCTGCCAGCGTGCGACCTGCTGAAGGCCCAGCGATGGCGTGCGTGAGGCACAGAACTCGGAGGCCCGAGAGAGGTCGAGCTGGATGACACGGGAGCGGAAGGGGGAGAGAATCATTCTCTGCAGGGACGGAAGGCACTTCTTCAACTGGTACCCACGGCTTCTTGCCAAGTTCTACTCCCTGTGGATGACGTTTCCAAGACTCTTCGGTTTGGCAGATGGCCATGGGCAACCCAGCCGCTGCGGCTGCTTCTTCCAGATCTGGTGAGGTTAGAAAACTGTGCATTAGCGAGTGTCTCACCAGGTGACGGCCACACGATCTTATCAGGCTTACCAGTTGCATTCCAGGATTTGACAGCTTCTGCGACGGCGCTCTGCGCGACGGAACAACCCAGAAATGCGCTCCACTGATAGACGAGGTCCACATACACGGCACTGAGCACTGCATACTTGTGATCTTCGGTTTCGTAGATGTTCTTCAAGAAAGGATTCCCAAAGACAACGTCCAGAGGAACCTCCTGGCGGTTGAGGGACGGTGTCATCCCGATGTCTGGATCGATGTAATTATGGCCTCTCCTCAAATCGATTCCTACTCGTTGGGCGGCACCGCCACGAGCCTGGAAGATCGCTGCTGCGATAATGGCATTGGCGCAAGCCGGTATTGCGCCAACGAGAGATAAATTGAGCTTCTCCGAGTTTGTCTCTTCAGGAGATGGAATAGGGTAGGGAAAATCAATGGCAAAATTTTGGACATGGCTTGGGAGTTTGATGTCGAAGTCGTTAAGGACATCTTGAAGAGTCTGTTCGGCGATCTGCCGGGAGGTTAAGAATTCGGTCGGCATGTTGAGTCTGACGATGCCAAAGTCAGGTTGGGCGAGCACCTACAAGCCAGATGAAGCAACTCCTGATATACAGGGACAGAAGAGGTATATCATCGGCCACATCGAATCTGCTCTCAGCTGCAGCCATATCCGATATCGGTCTGAAAGAGTGAGTATCCTCAGAAGCACACAGACGTATGTGCAGACGGATTGTCAAGTTCCCGGTGGTATGTCTTTCTGCATCGGAAGTCAATTGTCCTCCATGGACTTGCCGTTACTTCGTTACGAGTAACTGCCATCATTATGCATTTTCCCGTGAACGACGATCACGAACCTCATGGTGTCTCATCGGCTACCTTGCGGGCTGCTTGTAGTCATTGCATCGACACGAGTCTCGAAGGACAACCAGGTCTATTCAACCGCTATCGAATCATCCGTGCCTCTGACCATCTCTGCTTCCGCGGGAGCTGTATTGCTAATGCTTGTGAACCATCGGCAGTGCAGGAGGCAGTGAGATGACTTACGCTGCTGGATTGGTGTGGTCGCTCACGGCATGCTACCACATGCCGCACGCCACGGCTATTTGTGGTATGCGATGGCATACAGCCAGAATTAATTCCTTTCGTTCTCACTTCGCAAGGACCGACACGGAAACAGGCGGAAAGTTGCGTCAAATATGAAGCCATGCTGTGCAAAGAGCATTACGACATCAGCTTTCGAGTGGCACGTATCGGCGGACGATGTCCACACAAAAGGGATGATGTGATGCCGCCCGTGGACAGCTATCTTGGCCCTGGTGTTACGCGCTGCGATTTAACGTGACGGTAAATACTCGCAGCGAGGTTCCGCAATCGAGTGGGATGATGAACTGCCAGAAAATGAAAGGGGAAAGTGATGGCCTTGCAAAACAGCTTCGCCAGCGAGGCATCCACGATGCAACGTAGTTAGATCCGCCAACCCCTAACAAGGAGACAGCTTGCACGGATTTGCGCGAACATATCGCCGAATGTTTTCGAGAACGAGCGATGCTGTGCGATCCTCAGCTTCGCAGGATGGCGCCACAGTAAGGCGGGGCCAAGATCGGCCGATGCCCACCACATATGGTCTTCAGCTTCAAGAGTTTCAAAATATCGCCTTTGAAAGTCGAGCATGGCTTCTTCTTCTGGCCTCAAACAATTTGCAAAGTCCGCGTGGTTCAGATTTTCCCTCGCCTCAGGCTCAAATAAAAACGCTGACGCCAGACAAATTGACGAAGTCCAAAAGCCTTCCGAGCGCTCTACATCTCTTGCCGCTTTTCGACAACAATGCGGGCGATGCCTCTGGTCTGGAAAGCTCGACCAACTCCTCAATGCACACGACGGCGACTGCCAGTATAAGCTCATAAGCGCGCGAAAGTGGCGACCGGACAAAGTGTATGCCTGCTTCTGCTGTTCGCTCTTGTCTGGCTTCCTCGCAAGTCAAGGATTGCTGGGTCTAGCAGACGTGCAAGTGATGCGCAGCAATGGTGGCTTGTATCTGAAAAGAAAGCGCAAGCCGCTCTCAACGATGATGATGATCTATACATCATCTTCCAGAGATGGTCTTCGATTGGACGCTCAAGTGCCGTGTCTACCGCATTGCCCGATGATCTCCAGCAATACGTCTTCGGATCAAGCTCTGTCTTGGGTTCAGGAACAGATCAACGCTTGCACACACTCACATGCACAATGCCAGAGGAAGCAGGGCGAATTCCTCCCTACCAGGCTTCTTAGCGTTCGGCCAAATCCGGGCAGTCAGGACATTCGGTTGATTGAAAGCAAAAATCTGCCATCCTCCGCAAGGTACATCGCTCTCAGCCATTGTTGGGGAAAGATTCACATGCAGTGCTTGACGAAGAAGGAGAATTTGTTGCAGCAGCTGGAGTGTGTTCCGTGGAGCAGTCTGACGCGCACCTTTCAAGACGCAGTCGACTTCACCAGACGGCTCGGCATTGACTATATCTGGATTGATAGCATGTGCATTGTCCAGAATGACACAGAGGACTGGCTCCGTGAAGCGTCGATGATGTTCTCTGTCTATGGCAATGCTCATGTCACCCTAGTCGGGGTACATGCTGGCGATGGGTCCGTGGGACTCTACTCCAGTACCGCAGCCCAGAGGGCGTCCCCAAAAACCGTTGCGTTCAATGGTCATGATTATCAACTCTACACCCGGGAGGCGACCACTCCGTTCCATGATTGGCGACAGATTTCATCTGAAGCACCTTTGTTCGGACGAGCATGGTGTTTTCAGGAGCTGATCATCTCTTCCCGGGTCGTCTTTTTCACGAAGCAGGAGCTTCTGTGGGAATGCTGGAGCAACGCCTCTTGCGAGTGCACTTGTCCCGCATCCAACTCAACGCAAGACATTGATAATCTGAAGGTCCAGCACTTCGCTGCATTGGCCGATGCGCAGTATGACGACCTCCGAGAGCGGGTCATAGACAAAACTAATGCAACATCCTTTCGCTTGAGTTCCGTCCCGAGCGCAGCAGCGAGGGGACTCGCGGACGAGCAGCTGCGACGCGAGTATCGCGTGCATCAGTGGCACAGCGTCGTCGAGCAATACTCGGAGCTTAGACTGACCAAGTACACAGACCGGCTCCCAGCGTTCGGCGGAGTTGCGCAACATTACCACGAGGCTGGTATCAGACCAGGAGAGAAGTATCTCGCAGGGTTGTGGTCCGGCTCAATCATCGATGATCTGGTGTGGTGGGCTATGGAGTTCGGCCGCAAGCGACTTGGTGCTGGTGTGGCGCCCAGCTGGTCTTGGGCCTCAGTAACTGGTGCTGTACAGTACAAGCAGGTGAAGGTGGCTCTCGCCAAGGTACTCTCGGCGGAATGCGAATACGGGAATACCGGTCCTTTTAGTGTAGTATCTGGCGGTATGTTAGGCGTCGAGGGCCCGACTCTGAGATTGACACTCCTGCAAAAAGAGAGAACACGCGATTGGAGTCTAGATGACCCGGAGTATGGCGAGCTCACAGGGCTTTCGACATTTTTGTTAGATGACGAGGCTGATTCAGCTTGTTGGAACCGCAGGACCATTGACGCGGTAGCATTTGCTGAAGCTTGGGACGGGCAGACTATATACATATTGTTAGCTGCAAAGGATCACAAGGTCGACGTGTACACACGAGTTGGGATATTGTTCCAGGATGACACAGACGACAGGATAAGGACCTGGCGGGAAAAGCTGCCAAGGAGATCTTTCAGAGTTGTCTAGATAGTGAGTGGTGAATACCGACCGCGCAAAAGAAACCGACCGTGCGGTATCGGCTATGAATCTCTATCGTGACTTTCGTATCACGTTCAGCAAGTGGATGGAGCTGTCAGTACCTCCAGCACAAGGCCTGCGATTGGATGGACCAGTGAACCGGCAGGAGCTTCAAAAAGGAAAGCAATGGTTTTGGGAAACAGCGCTGCCAGCCAAACGTCAACTATGCAGAGTAGCTTAATTCGCCAAACCCTCACGTTTGTTATAGCGTAAGAAGCCATGGTCCAGCGTCCATTGGTCGGACAGATGCCGCCAGCTTACAGTCCACGCTCTGAGGGCAAAACAACTCGCAGGGCATAAATTTAGTCCTACTGAATCAGACGCGAGTGATGTGATATTCCATTGTCTTGAGGGTATAGCACAAAGAGCGTGCTCGCCGTAACAAATTGAGACGAGACTGATCAACGAGATCGCCGAGCCATTTTCGTCGTTGACGGTCAAGAGGCAGTGTACTCCGTCGGTATGCTGACAATGTTGCAGAGCCCACTTGCAACCAGCTCTGGCTGGAATCTCTAAGTCCCTAGACTCCCGAATGAACGCGATGCTATACCAGGTAAGATGCTGCCGTCGACGACAACTCACATCTGCTTCAGTCGGACAATGGCATATCACATTCAACGATGGTGCCGGCGACTCAGTCTTGATCACTCCCGTGGAGATCCGAGCATTCGACCTTTTCAGTACAGAGCTGTTGGCTGCACAGCTGGAAGGGATGACCTTGCTGAATAGGAGCATGTTCAGTGGTGCCTAGCAGTGACTAAAGCTAGTAGGACTAATGACTGTAGTGACTAAAGTCCATAGCATTCAGGCCATCTGGGGCCAAATTCGTCTTGACCCTCGTCTCGAGAGGGGAGAGTGGACCATGGACTGCCTAGTAACTCCTTATGCATTTAACCAAAGATGCAACTGCTTAGCCGCTTGAGTATAGAGCACCGTCGAAGGACATCTGTGATTCAGACACCATACGAAGAAGTTGGTCACAGCAGCACTGCAAACGGGACAGTTGGCAGTTCTTTGGACAAACTTGGTGAGAGCGCTGGAGTCAGACCTTGTGCAGCACGATTGCTTATCGTGATGCACGTCGACGCAAGGACTGCGTTGCCCACTGCCTTGCTATCCTGATAACTATTTCAAGCGCATCTCCACGCTGACAGGGAAACGTTTTTCTATCCTCAGCGTTGTATGAGCACGCGAAGCTAATTTGGCCGTCAACCAAGCTTTTACAAGATTAGTGCATTGACGAACAGAGGATGCACCATGGGCGTTGTTGAGCATCATCCACGAATAGACAAGTAGGAAGCCTGCTACGAAGACCGTTGTCTAAATCCTGCTGCTCATGATGAACCTAGACCTGGTAATGAGGCGTTCGTTGCGGGCTGTTGCGGCATGCATCGTGCAAGGCATTTCCCGACGATTTTCTCGAACATATGGACACACAATGCATCAATGGAGACAGACAGGGAACTTGGGTCGCTCGGATTGACATGAAAGTGGCTCGCGGAGGACCAAACACAGACTCGGTCACCAAAGCATGCATCACTTCAAGGAGCACCAACAAGACCCGCAGTTGGACGACAAAGTCTTTCGATCCGGGCTAGAAGATTGGATGTTGGGTTTTATACTTTTCCAAGAATACTGCTGGACACAACTGTGGGGATAGAAGATTGGGAGCATATATAAGAGCCTTGACCGTTAGGGTAGATAATGTTGTCAACATCGTTCAATCCCTCAGTCCAGGAAAAGTTCGTACACCATTGCAAAGCCATGCACACTCTTGTCCTCCTTACCACTGCACTCGCGACGCTCACCTGGGCTAGAGACCCAGTTGAATTGAAGCCATTCGACTTCGACCCAGACTATGAGCTCGACAATAGTGACTGTAAAGCTTCGGAGGACCTGAAGTCTTACGTAGGTGCCACCTTGCTGACGATGCTGTTCACGCATTGACTACATGGCCACAGTGTCCAAAGGATTCAACATTTTGCGTCAGCAATGCCCACTACGGTGTGCTCTGTGAAGATGACGAAGGGAACTACTATGAACCTCCCAACGATGGACCTGATTATCATGCATGCGACTTGGAAGAAGCTGAAGGAAAAAAAAATATCGTAAGCTTCACATCTGTTCTCACAGACCTCCCAAAGCACATGGCCTCGCACTGATTAGAACGCTGCTGCCATGTAGTGTAAAGAAGACGATGGCGGACCACAGTGCTGTGTTGTCGATTATGGTCCGGAGTACGTTTCAAGTCCGCTTTGCTGTACGCCAGGAACACTCTCTTGCTGTACATAGATCGCATGCTCTGCAATTAGTTCCTGGGAACCTCAAATGGTGGATGCATATGTACTACCACCACAGTGTTCTGCTTGGCACCAGGTGGCGTGGGTTGATCGGCTTGGAGCGTTCTTGCAAGCTTTGACCCGCTACGTGATGTTCGTTGGATGTATGTAGCTTGGGAATTGATGGACAAATTATGGACAAATTAGTAATGATCTGTCGTTCGCGGAACGATCATATGCTGTCCCAATTTACAGTCCATGCTTTGGAGGCCAAAGATTCCGCACGATGATGTTTACTAACAACAACAGATCGATTGGGAACCGCCGGACTGGTGTCGCCAGGGCCTTGACAACTTCTTCATGTCGGTAAGCATGGCGCTTGGAGGGCATGCTGCAAATCCTACGGTGTGTCGAAGACTCACGTCGGGGTCTCCCAACAGCTGTAGCAAAAATTCATCAATAAACAGGAGCAGTATCTTCTTCAATTGCCCGTATGGTACGGTCCATCATTCATCATCTATCTTTGGAGCAAAAATATCCCAGCTCCAACGCCAAAAAGAAATTCAATTGCATCGTCCGTGAATCGCTGGTGATCTGTTAGTATTGAATCCTTGTTTGAACGGTTATGAGGCAGCTGCTTACAACACGGGGCCCGTCGACGCGGCATCTAATTCAAGTGAATTGAATGGCAACGACGGATTTTACCACTAAACCAACGATGCTTCGATGAAAGTGTGATGTTGTTACGCAAATATGAAGCACAAATTTTGAGGAGCCCGCCAAGCGAATTTGACCCAATCAAACCACTTCAATGCGTACCGGGGAGAGGTCCGTCGGCCTGCATTGGCGATGACGGATTTTCCGCGAAAAACCATCCGTCGTTGCCATTCAAAATCTCCAATTTTTGTCACCACTCGATATTGCATTCCCCAACGCAGACTCAGGGCAGTCATTGCCCATTGCGAGGAACCATGGTGATCTGGAACAGCTACTGCGAAATGAAACATGTCTCCGACTACAATTCAGATGGCGGGTTGAATCTTTCACACCCTGCTACCATCATCTACCTCGACTGCACTTCTCCGCACACAACGGTCTAACAGTATTTCTAGAACTGTTGCGGTCATTGGCCTTCAAAAAGCTACGCAAACATGCCGTCCAAGTCATCTTCCCTTCCTGCCTGCCCCATCGAATGGTTCAAATTTCCACACTTTTCGGATGTTGATTTTCCCGACAAGTATTCGGATTATCTCCCACAGCTACCAGGCCCAGGCCGCTTTTTAGAGACCTTTCTACTTACTGCAAATATCACAACTGATCTCTCCAGGCCCTGGCATACCCAGCTTGGGCGGCAGATGGTCCGAAAGCACTCGTGACGAACAGCGAGAGCTTGATTCTCAGTAGATGGACCGCTCCTTTTGAGCGATGACGACGGATCAATGAGTACGGCTGGTACAGAGTTTGTCGCATATTAACATGAGATCGCGATATATGCACGTTCAGCTCAATGCCTCCATCTTGTCTAAGCTGATACCCAAAGCAAACACCGGAAAGCACAATTGCTTCGAAGGGATGGAGCCTTATCAACCCACGGCATGAGCTGCGGTCCAGCAGCGTAGCGTTTGCAAATGTCTGCGGCTCACTGTTGTTGCGTCAAAGTAACCGCGACGCATCGACTCTCTGCTCTTTCGCCTTGGGAGGCGCAACGCCTCTGAGACACGACTACATGCACCTTCTGTCGACAACTCTGTGCAGAAGCCGAGCAACAAACTAATCAGTCCCTTCGGCAGGCCAATCATAATCGGCCCAAGGTCTCCCATTCACCTCCTTTGCATACTCGGAAACGGTCTTCCACTTCCACAGAGATTGTCCAGGATTGACGAGCTCATTATCGTTGCCCAAACCAGATTCCGTATGATTGATCTTGCCCTCTCCCATCAAGAACCGCAGGTACTTCATTGGATCTGGCACATTCTCAGCAATTGCTCGACGCTTGTACTCGTTGAGCTCAATCTCCTTGACGGCAATCGGAGAAGACCCAGCATCCTCAAGAACCTTCGCAATCTGCCTCATACTCAACGCATCGCCGCTGATGCGCAGATGCGGGGGTACCTCATCGTATGGCATTCTAGCAAGCTGAGCCACGACCTTGCCGACATCGGCCTTCGTAGCGAAAGATATTGGTGAGTCTGCAGAGCCAACACTGTGGAAGATACCACGCTTGACGTCCATTCCAAACCAAGGTCCAAGACTATCTTCAAGGAATAGCCCATCATAGATCCGACACACTTTCGTCTTCTGGAGGCGAGCTCTCACCAATGCGTCATGATGCTTCTTATGATCCCACTCAGGCTGCGAGAAATCATGGACTGTATGGTCGACTCCAAACTCTGAGGGGATGTACAGCTTGACACTGGACTGTGCAATTGCATCGACCAGAGTGTCCTTGAAGCTGTGTCCTGTTGGACCGACCGTGCTAATCAACACATCCACTCCTTGGAGCGCATCCGCCAATTCATCGTTGGAGAAGCGCCGTGTTTCAGCGCCGTCCGGAGTAGCTGCGACTTGCGAGTCGCCTCGGTCCCGTGTCAGAAGGAGAACGTTTCCATAGCTCTGGCGAAAAGTGGACGATAAGAGGGACCCCGCGACTTCCTTCCCGAGGTGTCCGCTTGCGCCAACAATTGCTATGGTACGCGATACAGACATGCTTTGAGACCTTGTGCAGAACAATCTTAACGAAATATGTTACAATATGCTCAGTATGGCCAGAGTGCGATGTTCATGGGACAATGGTAGTCATATGAGCCAACGATCGCTGACAAAGCTATTTGTAAGGAATGGAATTGCCCCGCGCGAGTTTCTGAGAGCTATGGTCCGACAGAACGGTTTCCGCCCAGAGTCTTATGTCCACTCGTGGTGTTCGAAATCAGCGCATTGTAGGTGGCAGTACGTCGAAGTAACGACAGCATATTCATTCCTCCGGCTGCTTGCCAGCTTGTGAGCATCCGTACATCAAGGGTTGAGACAAGGTCCAACACAGCCTCTAGCTCCAGTCACACATTGACAAGCATCTGGATAAAGTGGATGTGTGTGTTGGTAACCAAAGTATGGTACTCCTCCCGGGCCCAGCTAGACTTGTATTCAGCGGAGCACCATTTGCAACTTTGATACTATTGTGCATACCTCCGGATTTTCGTTGGTCGTGCAGCAAGTGCAAAGTATCGGGCAAGCAGCTTGGGCACCGAGTGCGACGAGGAACCAGAGAAGAGTCGTGAGAAGTAGCGATCTGGTGGTAAAAGTCTGCATATTTGCTCGTATGCTTGTAACAAGAAGCTCTAGAATTGATCGTAAGCAGAAATCGATATTTGAATTATTATGTCGCCTTACTTAGTGAACTTCGTTGCAGTACGGCTCGGCGTAAAGCAGATCAATGTGCTGCAAGATCGAAAAGAGACGTCCAATGTGTGGTGTCGAGTTTTGTTGCGAGCATCACGGTCTGGATCTCGTATGCTAGGGGAAACACTGAGACCTGCGTGCTAACTATGTGTATCAATAAGCGCTAGCATGGTCAGTGCTAGTGTGAAATATTGCACATTTACGGACTTCCTCAAGACCGTGTCTGCCAATTTTCAGTGTTTTGCCGCCCTTGAGATTCCACACTGGTCAAAGGCGCATTTACTGTTCTGTTGGCATTTGGCGATCAGATGATAGCGAGAAATTGTCGAGATACTATGTTGGAGGGTCGCCCAGCTTGATCCTGATTAGTGAACAAACGTGCTAGATGACCGGGTGTTTGTCGCCCGGGACACAATAGCGCGCGTTCAGCGGTCACTAAATGCTCACCGACATTGAGGCTCTGGAGATCACTTGGGGCTTTGCAGTCCCTCTGCTCAGCGTGACTGCAGCTGCAATGAGCCACTCGACGGAGCCTGCCGTTATATGGATCCTCTCAACCTGGTCGAAGAAGAAGGTACTCTTTCGGCAGCCTGTAGAGTGTCAACAATTCGCTTGCAATCTGCCTATACAACCTTGTAATGCCTGACAATATATACGAACGTCATGCTCCATCGATACCCCAGTCTCAGTGCCCGTTGACACCATTGCTTTCGTGAACGCCGTTCACTCCATTCGTCGCTGCCGTGCCATTCTCCGAGCAACAACCATTGGTCCGCACAGGTAAAGTCTCCTCATACGCTGTACTCTTATAGAATGACTGTGTCGATGGCGGAACATCGTTGGTTGGGTTAAATAGGCAGAAGTTGTAGGGCTTGAGGTGAACTTGGGCGATCTCCGCGGGCATGATAGGGAAGTCCTCGACTGTAACACACGTCAACGTTAGTAAACTGACTTCATGTTACCATACGCGACTTGTTTTCTTACCTCGAGGGTTATGCGTGAAGCCGAATGTATGCCAGATGACAATGTCCTTATTTTTGACGGGCGCAGGATCCTTGATCCAGGATTTGATACCGGTGCCACCCAGAGACTGGTTCGTGTAGTCTCCAGCTGGAAAGAGCTGTCGGTCTTTGTATTCTGTCACCCAAATTGGTGACTCGCAGAAATCTGAACGCTTCCAGTGCCATGAGCCAGGCTGTGCCAATAACATCTGTGATCTGATTGGAACCAGCTTGTATCCGATGGGCGTGAGTGACACGGGGTTCGTCTTGTTCTCATTCGGGATCTTGAAAACTCGACCTTTGTACAGATCGTCTGGTACTGCACTTGCTCGAACGATTTGAGTCTCCTCCGTCACGTAGCCAGTACCTAGCGGGTTGAGCTTCTCATCCCATGACATTGGCACTGCATCAGTGTATGCGAAGGTGTTTTCGTGACCTCCGACTGCCGGGTCGATTCGAATGTTGAACAAATGCTGATGGTAGGGAGCCATCACGCCATCAGCGACAAGCGTTCCCCATGGTACTTTGGCATATTTCTCTGCAGGCTGTGTCGACAAGATGCCGGTGGCTCGCGTCTCGAAGGTGATCTCGCCGGATTGATCCAAGATCCAAGCGAAGATATACTCGTAGTTGGCCACAGTGAGTATTGTCTGCAGGACCAGCTGTCTTTTCCTCACAACGGCTGCGTTGCCTGTTCGGTGATTGGTGTGCTTCCATTGTATGCCATTATCCACCTCGTGAACACAAATGGCGTTTGGTCGAGGAGCTAGAGAGCCGTCCACAGCAACGACGTGTCCGGAGAAGTACTTGATTGTACCAAGGCAATCACAGCCAAGTTGAAGATTGTTTGCAGTCACACCAGCGCCAACGTTGCCAAGGTCAAAAGCACCCTTTCGGTAGATTGGGTTACGTGGGTCGCCGTAGGGTACGAACATCTCCGCGAGCGAAAGTCGGTAGAAGGCACTCTTGTTGTCGAACCAGAGATTATGAAGCGTTAGACCTGGTCCCACGTTAGCAATACTCTAGCAAGTCGCTCAGGTTGTCTTGCCTTCGCGCCAGTTAAAGCCAACTCGGAAGCGCCACTTCTCCCACTCAATCATATGTCCAGTCACTTTGAAACTAGCTCCCTCTGGCTGCACCACTTGATACGGCTTCATTGTCGTCCGCGGCGGAGTCTTCTGTAGGCGATGAAGATACTCTGGCTCCTCTGGAGCTGTCTTGCGTTGTATGACGTGCTCGCCTGTGGTGACGGTCTCATCAGAACCGACCGGAATGCGAACAATTTTCTTGACGTCCATCTTCACCAGGTCTACGACCACCATGAAGTCAAGTGGGAAGGCGTAATGGTTCGAGTCAAGGTCATTGTTGGCTGGATTCTTCATGTACATGAAAACCTGAATGTGGTCAGTCTTGCCATTGAAGGCCCGTTGTTATCCCTGTTACCTGAGTATGACGCTCCTGTGTCTCCTCTCCATCGACACTATAGTCCCAGGGATCGAGAACAACATTCTGGGGGTCAATCTGAAGTCGCTGGAATTCCTTTTGCACTCTGGGGGCAGCCATAAATGTATCGGCAGCCATAACTGTATCGGCAGCCTCTCTGAGCTCCGTCCTGTCGACTGGGGCGTGGAAGTCGCGTGGCAGCTCCACTTGGTGCACGATCTTCCCGTTTGTGACATCGACGATGGCCTCAAACAAGCGTGGTGTACGTTTGATGTACCACATGAGGAACACACGCCGTGGCAGCTCGGGCAGTGGCTTGCCATTGTGTTCTGCATCCAGATAGGCCACGAGATCGCTCTTGATGGGTTCCTCCAGGCCTCCGGCTTTGAAATGCAGCTGAACATCTCCAAAGCTTTTCTTGACCAGAGCCGTTGCAAATGAGATCTCGTCTGCCGTAGCAGGGTCCAGCGGGTGGAGATCGGACATCTTGAATGCGGATATTTGCGATTTGGCCGGCGACGAGATGATAAGGAGAGTATGCTCGGTACTCAGCGTGTGTCTGTCGCATTGTTGCTTCTGCTCCGTTGCATATATACCGGCACAAGAACCGAGTCAGAAGCAGGATGGGCATGTTGATGTTCACCAATGTTCTCCATCTGGGCGTCTGGAGCATTCACTCGGCCCCATGCTTCTCCACACGTCCATTGCGCGCTCTGGGCCTCGTCTTTCGACACTGCAGAACAAGCGCGCCGAGATAAGTACCGCACGTGGCGAAGGGCATGTGCAGTGTGTTGTTGTGACACGGCTCTGCTGCGATAGCGGAGCGGCCAATGGACTTTTGGGCCGAGTCACGCTAGGCGAGCGGGCCGCAACCCGGGAGCCCAGACTTCCACTTGGGCGCTTGATCCACCCGATTCTACGGGGAACACTCCACCATCCTCCCCAATCGGACACACATACCACAGCACAATGCGCTCGAACATGCTCGCGACCCCTGCGCCAGCGAGCACTCATCATGGCGGCAGAGGTTGCACGACATCTGCCCGGAAGATCGAGCAAAGACTGCCGCAAGCGCTGGTTCCACTCGTTGGATTCGACTCTGCGCAAAGGTCGTTGGACGCCGGCGGAAGACCAGACACTGTTAGAGGCGTACTCACAGCTTGGACCGGTTTGGCATCTGATCGCTCATCGAATACCTGGCCGGAAGGACGATCAGTGCTCGAAGCGTTACGCAGAGATCCTTGATCCCTCTGCCAAAGATCGTTTGCAGCCTTGGACTCCAGAAGAGGACACACATCTTGTGACAGAAGTGGCCAAGATTGGTCACCGATGGACTGCCATATCGGAGGGACTGCCAGGTCGGCCACCGCTGACATGTCGAAACCGCTGGCGAGCACTTCAGAACAGGCGTCGAGGTGGTCAATCTCCAGGAGTGTTCTCGCCAGCAGCTTTCATGCATACGCTAGACTCGTCTCCGTGCTCAGCACAATCATCAGGTTATGCTTCTACACCCGCAACGCCCGCCAATCAAGAACTATGCTCTTCGGTCCCACATTCTTCAACCAATAATGATCCATTTGCTCTCACCTTGGACACCGAATGGACGCCTGACATGCTGCGGGAGCCCAGCCCTGGAATGACCACTGAGCCATCTGAAAGTACGACTTTTACATCTGTGCAAACAGAACCCACGTCAGTGTCAACACCAAACAAAATCGTCTACGAAGTCCATCATTACCATCATGTGGTACATCATTACCAAAACCATGCAGCTGGTAGCTGAAAATTATCAGCCCTTCGAGCCAGCCACGACTCGTTGATACCCACAAACGTTGTGCTACTATCAGCACAGGAGCTTTTGGCTCAGTTGCAATACGAGCTGTCTTCTTGGACTCGGTCACTTTGGAGGTGCTTGAGAACAGCTAACGTGCACTCATTGGATTTGTCGAATGAAAAGCACAATGCCGTGTGGTGATCACAATCTTCATCGCCCGTAGAGGTGCACCTGCACTTGATGGCTCAGGATCAACCACAGCCAACACAGCGCCACCCAGCTGCCCTGCCAACCAGATGGCCATTCCTCCTGACACGAGATTGTCTCCAAATCGGCGAACACGCCCTGTGCTATCGAGTCCATCATGCTAAGACTCAAAGCTTCACTACAAGCTTCGCGCCTGAGACTTTCTTTGCGCGGATCATGTCGAGTCCCTCTTGTATTCCCCGGAAGCCACCCTCTACCAACCTGACTGGAGGTGTTTTGAGCGTCTTAGCAAGCTCTGGTAGGCTTGCGTAGAATTTGACCAGCGCGTCACGCTCTCTGGTGGCAGCAGGAAACTTGGGTCCGATGGGAGGTAACCAAGCAAAGGCTTTGCCGAGTAGCTGGAAAGACATGATGAATGTTGTCTCGACACCAGGAACGCGGGTCTTGCTGTCCAGCAACTTCACCACTTTGCCGCCATTGTCCTGCATCACTTGGGCGCAGAATTCGGTCGACTCGCCCTCTGAGAAGCAGTCGACCGCTCGGGTAATGTCCGGATGTGCTTTCGCGATATCTTGGGCGGCAGTTGGCGCGTGGTAATCGAATACATGATCCGCTCCATATTTCTTGACCAGTTCGAAAGAATGCGGCGATGCCGTAGTCACAACAGTGCAGCCTGCCTTTTTTGCCAATTGGATGGCAAAGATACCAACACTGCTCGATCCTGCGTAGATGAAAATTGGCGAGCCAGGAGATTTAGCACTTTCGTCGGGCCAGGGCACGTCAAGGTGCAGATGCAACGCTTGCATCGCAGTTGCCACTGCCAAACCAAAACTCGCACCTTCCTCATCTTTCACTTCGTCAGGTAATTTCCACACCAGATCCCGTTCGACTTTGACATATTCGGCGAATGCGCCACGCTCTTCGTCGATACTACCCTGCACAAATCCCGCCACACGATCACCAATATTCCATGAGCCGCGCGCATCTTCTCCGACTTCCTCGATTGTTCCACCGAAGTCACATCCAGCCACATTTCCAGCCGGGGCAAGCACATCCACGAATTTCGTGTCAATGGGATTGAGCGCAGTTGCACCAACTTTCACCAGAATTTCGTTCTTGTTGATCACTGGCCTGGGAACCTCCACCTCTTTGAGGCCATTGCCCATCGACCTTTTGGTGAGCAGGTTGGCTGATCTTATGAGTAATCCATTGTCCGTGACGAGGGCTTTCATTGTGAGAGACTTTCTTAGCGTGCAGATCCTGTATGGCGGCAGTGTACTAGTGTACTGTGCTAGGAGCGACACGGCCGTAGAAAGCACCTTCTTACTTATGGCTTTGACGATTAGTGATCTGTAGGGAATCATTGGCCTCGGAAACGCCAAGCGCGCCATCCATACAGTCCCGACGGCGCAACAGTTGATCCGGCAACTTTATTTGATCTGCAATGATGGATTCAACAACACAACCGATGACAAAGCGGAGGTGGAAAGTCATGGGACGGATCCGCCTGTTTCAACAAGAATCTGTCAAGGTTGATATGTGTTGTGCCATAGAGCAGCCTAGCCGGCAAGGCAATGATTGACGTGATTTTGGTTGAAAGCTGATTAAAAAGCTGATTAGTATCGCCGAGGCTCATTCGCTGGCCACTCATACAACAGATCGTTCTACAAGTTGCAAGGCTGAGCAGTAATGATAAGGGCCGCTGACACGGCTCTGAGCAGCCTGACAAGTGCAGACATTCCCGGTTCATCCCAATCGACTATAACTGCCGCGGGAAACCTCCAGCCCTCCTGCCGCTTTTGCTCAAGCCACGTCGGTCCACCACAGCACTTGCCCAATTATCAGCAATGTCTTCCAACAAACGCTCAGTACTGGTCACGGGGTAATTCGGAACCGATTTCATATGTCGCATCAAAGCTGCAAGACTGACGATGTGTAGATGCTCCAAAAACAGCGCTGGCCATGCCCTTGCACTTGAATTCGCATCACGAGGGTTGCGAGTGTTTGCTACTGCCCGCTCTCTCTCGTCACTAGAAGGGCTCCAAGGACATGGCATCGAAACCCTCACACTGGACGTCAGCAAGTCTGAGAGCATAGAGGCATTGAAAAAGGAAATCGCCACTCGGACCGGAGGTAAACTGGACATTCTATTCAACAATGCAGGCTCATGTAAGCATGCCACTGTAACCACCAAATCTAACAACGCGGCGCTGACGTTCATCCAGTGTACGAAGCACCCGCTGTCGAGCAAGATCCTAGCCGAGTTCGACAAATGTTTGAATCCAACGTCTTCGGCGTCATGGAGATGATTTCAACCTTCACACCCCTCCTCTTGGCAGCCAAGGCTGGATCTTCTCTTCCCCCAACCATCGTCAACACCGCATCAATCGTTGCAGTCCTTCCATATATGTTCGCATCCGCCTACGCCGCAAGCAAAGCCGCGATAGCAGCATACTCAAATACACTGCGACTTGAAGTGGCACCCCTCGGCATCAAAGTCGTCACTTTGTACATGGGTGTAGTATCGACAAACCTCTTCAGCGCCGATGGGGTACAATTTGGTCCTGACAGCTGGTACGTCGAAGTCGAGACAGGAGTGAAGAAAAGAAATCAAGACAGTACAGCCACTGGCATGAAGATCGATCAGTTCGCAAAGGCAGTCGTGGGCGAAATCGTCTCTAATCCTGGTCTTGGGAAAGGCGAATGGATCTGGAAAGGGGCAAAGGCTAATCTTGTTTGGTTTTTGAATACCTTCGGTCCGAGGAAAGTCTTCGATGGGACGATGGAGGGCGATGTTGGGTTTACTCGGGAGGTCAAAGAAGCTGTTGCTAAACGAGGGGAAGCAAGTTTGTCAAAACAGGGTTGAAGATGAGATGGAGCTCTGCCTGCTGATGAGACTACCTCATTGTGGGACACGCTGATCACCAGTCCGGCCATGATAATGCGGTAATAATAGAGTCTGAGCCCGGATCTTTACATGGAAGGGAACAGAGTGCTCGCTACAATCGATTTCAGCATGACTTCACTGCAGCTAGACATTCTCAAAGATTGTTGATTGTTCATCTTGGGTTTCATGGCAGCATCCGGATTAGTTTTGTGTGGGCGCCCTCTGCATCCGCTTCTCACACACTTCAATCGTACCCGATTACCCTCTTCCAAGCTATCGGAAGGCAAGTTGATGGGTGACTCTACATGCCCATCTTCCGGGTAATAAGATCTCGCCCACAGCACATGGCCCATTTTTCACCAAAAATCAGGTGGCTCGCGATGTGGCGAATGTACCGTTGACAATGGGTGTCCCTTGAGTTCGCTCTACCCGAAAGGCTGACTGTACCCATATGCACGGCACGCTCCGATGTCCTGTTACCGCTCTCCATCTACCTTCAAGTCAGGCGCGTACCTTCGCTCGCTCGTGTGTTCTTGCCTCTGGTGGTTTGGTGCCTCAGGTTCTGGCTACTCTCGCGAAGCGCGGACAGTAAATTACTTCCTAAAACAAGAAAACCTTCTAGACGCGGCAGATACGGAGGTCTGACCTGGGAGGTAGCTCTCCATGGCGCTGCGAAAGTGCCTGGCGCGCTTCTTCAAACGGCCTCTTCCAGTGCTCTATCATCAACCCTAGGCTCAGCCATCGGCAAAAGTATTCAGACTCGACCCGTCCGAACCCATCGAAGAGGAACGCGGCCCATACTACCACCCAGATCGCTTTCACCCAACTCGACTTTATGATATCTTGAACAAGCAATACCAAATCGTAGCCAAGGCGGGATATGGCTCGGGCTCAACTGTTTGGCTTGCTAGAGATCTTTGCAGGTTGTCTGCCTATCTCGCGACACGTTCATCGCCGCTAATTGCGCATCAGATATCGATGGACTGAAGAGAAGTTCGTAGCTATCAAGATAGCTGCGAGTCGGCAGGCTTCGCATGATGGCGGCGCAACAAGTGAGCTCGACATCCTTGGCCGCATTTCCGATAACAACATTGGGCATTTGGGCAGGCACTTTGTCAGGAAGTTGATCGATGCCTTCCCTTTGCGCCATGGCCGAGATCAACACACGTGCATGGTCTTTGATCTTTTGCGCGAGCCGTTGTCTCTGTACTGCCAAAGACTTTCTGGTCATGTTGTGTCCCCCGATCATCTCAAGCTTCTCCTCCAGCCGATACTAGAAGCGCTCGACTACCTTCACTCGGACTGCCAAGTGGTACACACGGGTATTCCCGCTCCATTGCCACCTCAGTAAACACCAAGCGTCTGACCTTAACATAGATCTCAAATAGATCTCAAACCAAACAACATTATGGTAATGTTGGAAGACCCACGACTGGTCCAAGAAACTACCAGGCACGAGTACAATCACCCTCTGCCGCAAAAACATCTGGAAGATGGTCGGGTCATTTACTTATCATGCAACAACTTTGGACCTCTGCAGCGCGCGACTGGAATTCCCTGCATTACAGACTTCGATCGTGCCGTTTGGGGCAAGGCAAAACACACTGGATCCGTCCAGACAGACGTCTATCGAGTCCCAGAGACTATCCTTGATTCAGGCTACTCATATTCTGCTGACATCTGGAACCTTGGAGTAATGGTACGATGCTCCTCCTTTACTGCTGCGAAGATTCTGCGCTGACCACATGGTCTTCAAGCTCTGGGATCTACTCGAGGGCAATGACCTCTTCCCAGTTGTGGCTCGTGACACCGATGCCTATGATGAGAGCAGCCATCTCGCACATATCACCGCGCTTTTAGGACCAAAACCAGACCACTTCCCCCTTGGTCGAAGAACAGCATTATTCTATGATGCCGATGGCACGTAATTCAGGCTTGAGTACATTTTATACTTCACTAACCCATCGGTACAGGTTGCTTCAAGCACCAGCCGTTAGTGCCCAGCAACTTCGCCTTCGAGACATCGATCTCATGCATGCAAGGTGAGGACAAGAAGATGTTCATCGATTTCGTGAAACGCATGATCAAATGGCTTCCCGAGGAGAGAAGCCCTGCCAGAGAGCTGCTGCAAGATCCATGGCTCCATCCCAAATTGTTCAATAGGAGTACTGGTTCTACGTGATCAAAGATCGTCAGCGGAAGTAGTGGTGTCTCAGATAACTTTTCTGCGACACAAATTCGCTCAAGGCCCGGCCAGCCAGCTCAGAACTTCTGGGAATTGGGAGATTAAAGAAGCCTTGCGCGATTGCTTGGTGATAGCCTTGATACATCGTCTCGCTGAAGGCTCATCGAGTTCCAGGTTGCCGTCAGCTCTTAAAAATGGGAGACACCTGCATTTTGCTTTCCCGTATTGAGTCGACTCTCCCAGGCGCGAGCCATGGCATTGGCCTTCTCTTGGGTCAGTCGTTGCAAGCCGATCTGGAGTATGTACTCAAATCTGAAGAGTTTGTAGGTCTTTGTACAAGCTTGACACGGAACCGTTGGCGGCAACACGAAACACAACCAGACGGCGTAGCCATTGTTAGCGTTCTCGAGGTCGATGCGAATGCCTATTGACAGAGTCACATGGTCAGTGACAGTGCTCCAGAAATCAAGCATCTCCTGGACGACGCAAGGCCCTCGGTAACCACACATTCAAGAGTACTCAAACGCACGCAGGGTGCACATGAAGACGTAGTCAGGATCTCGCATGAGGGCAGCATAGCAGGAAAAGCTTGGAGGATTATCATCCTGGATGCCCATTGAGTTCCAGATGCCAGCAGCGTCTTCCAGACACTCTTCCCACTCTTTGTGGAACGATAGATGTGGTGGTGGGATGCTCTCAATGTCCATCTCGGAAGAGAATTTGGGTAGCTCTTTGAAGCGCTGCTCTGAGAAGGCAAGCCGATCTTGTTCTGACATTTTGAGCACCCTCTTGTCGTTCATCTGCCGTAATGTCTCAGATAGCTCGCTGCCAGGCCACTGCACCTTTTCACTATGCTAAGAAGCACAGAATGCCTTATGCTACTGGAGACGAGGCTGGTGTGTCGCAATCACTGGCCGTACCTCAGACATCCCCTCAAGGTGCATTATTAACCAGTGGCCAGTCTCGTGGGCTCCGAAGCATCTGATCTTTCAGAGAAAGGCGTACCTCCTGGCAAATGATATATGGTGGTGACTGAAGACAACACACTTACGACCACGCGGTAACAAGCTCTCTACACATTGTAGATTCGGTCTCGAATGTGCAGGATTTGGTGATGCGACCAGGCCCCATCCGGAAACGTCGTGTGAAAGTCAGATGATTAGTAAGTAGATTTTTAGATGTGCCTGATTCCCTGGCCGTACATCTCAATGTCATTCAGCATCGGCATTGTGTTGTTGATATTCGCCCATTGATCAAGCAAAGTATCGTCGGCAAAGAACGGATCCTGAAAAGCGTCTCCAACATCAAGTTGCATCCAAGGTTGATAGGAAGTGGCAGCGTAGAATGGATCTGTGATTTGCTGACTGCTGCTTGGAATTCCATTCGTGCCAGAGGTGGGAATTGCCGACGGCTGTGGATTGTTCTCTGCATTTTGCATCGATGGACCCTCTGATCGACGCCCGACATGTATGCTTCCAAGCAGTGGGACTCGGAGAGTCAAGCCTGGCTCGTTCGAGTTCGCCGGCTTGCTCAGATGTGCGATCAATCCCTTGAGCGCAGCAGCAGCATCTCGCGCGAAGTCGCTGCCTGCTTGTCCAGATACGAACTCCATAGTCATGACGATTTGCTCAACGCTGCGGAGACGCGATCCCTCGTCATGCCTGGGCAGCAGATTGCTGTCAAACGACGAGAGTAGGAGGTAAACCGCAGCAGTGAAGACTTGCATGTCCACTATCCTGCAGAGAAAGAATCCTGAAGGAAGTGCACGTCGGACATGGGAGTATCGTCGAGCTAAAGCATGACAAGCTTCGAGACATTGCATACGGCTGTAGGCATATTGATTGTACTCATCCTGTGCCATTGCTGTGTGGAGATGTACCCTAAAGTGTGTCAGAAACGGTGATTTCACGGATCTTCAGAGCATATATTGCCAGGGTAGCCGGCGGTGCCGCCAAACGTTCGTACCTGGCAGTGAAATAGCAGTGCCAAAACTGAACCATCAGAGACGCAGAGAGATATTGCGCAGACTCTTGCCACCAGTCCACAGGTGTAAGTGACTTCAATGCTCGGAGCTCCTTATCCGCAGCAAGAACCTTGTCGTATAACGTCTCGACTGTTTGTCCACACATGTAGCCTTCATCCAGTTCAGTCACATGCATTGAGATGCCGGCCAGCTGGAACATGAAACGCTGCACATGAACCATTCCGTTAGTGTCAATGACTTGCCTCGGCGGGAATGTGCGAGTTGAAGTCGCTGCTGGTAGATTGAACATCATACTAGCGAGGCGATCGGTAGCACAAATGGTCTCCCAAAGTGCTACTTTGCTGGTAGTGCCAGAGAATGGTGCAACAGTGTCGATTTCTCGTCCAGCGCTGTCGTTTTGTGCTTGGTACCAAGCGCGTGGCAAGCCGCTGAGCTCTGCTAGAGCTACAATTCGCCGCAATGTGAGCCATAGCGGTCTGCTTTGCCCAAAACCTAGTAGTCACACTGTCAACGCGGACATTCAGATGCCGTGGTGCATGTTCCCTTTCGTCACATGAAGTACCACAGCTGTGAAGTGCCGCGGATCCATCTCGAGAGCATACTTACCAAACTGAAGTCGTAAGTATAGTATAGTGGCAGACATCCCCTCCACTGTTGAAGCAATGCCGGTGTGCGAGACTATTACAGCTTCTACAACGGCCATTACCGACTTGACGTAGCTGTCGATGTTTTTGATGCCTGGATGGGTCGTCAGATGCTGGAGGCATCGATAAATCCAGTGTCGAAAAATGTATACTCACCCGGCAGGACAGTTGTACGCTCGTCAGCTGGTATCTGCCTCGCTGTCATCGCGAACGACAGCAAGAAGGATGCAATTTTCACAGGATCCGCATTCGGCTTCAGCATATGTTCGTGCTGGTTCACCAGCTCATCGCGATTGGGAGTCGCGGAAGTCGCAGGGAAAAGTTCAAAGTACAAGCTCATCCATGGCACGGCGTAGGAGGACACGGCGATGACATCATCTCTCGCTGGCACAAGTGCCTGCAGTTTTGCCCGCGCCTGATCAAGGTAGCGAGTCGAACAAGGAGGCCGTTCTTGAGAGCGGCTCCCAAAGTCGGGCCCTCGCTCATCAGGACCTATCAGAGCATTGTCGAATAGGATCCGGAGATGCTCTGGCGGCTGGGATCCCACTTGCATTAACCGCTCGTCCCCTTCGGAATCATGATCATCGAACACAGGTCCTGTGGTTTCACTCGCGGCACTGGTCGCTCTTCCAGGTGAGGTATGCGATTTGCTTTGTACAGTTGCGGCGATATGGGCCAACTGCGACTCCAGACGAGCTATCCGATCCTTCGAGCTGACCTTGTTCGTAGTGGTGTTGCGACGAGTGTACAGCTGCGGTACGCATTTTCGACCACGTTGCTGACATGGGGTGCTACAACGATTAGTGATGTACGGACTACCGCACTAACTAATTCTTCCGAGTGTGTATGTTGTACGTTGTCGTCCATAAACATACCAAACCCTGTCCCTCTCATCCGCCCAGAGACAACGAACCTTTCGCTGTCGGCCTGGTGGTGAATCATGAGCATCACGTCGGACAATCGGGACGCAGATACTGACATTCAACACAGCTCTTGGTGCCTTTGCGAATGCGTTTGAGGTCGCCTTGTGGAGATTCGCTCTCTCCGCTGGCGTGCACGCGCTCCATTGTTGTTGCGACGATGGCTTCGGACGAAGTTGTGACGTTCGGAAGAAATCTGTCGTCCGGAACTTCGGACTTTTGCGCGTGCATCAAACGAAAGGATCAATTCGCTTAACTAACTTAGGATCCGAATCAAATGTTGAGCAGCCGCATGACGGACGACATGTCGCAACTTCCTGCGGCTTCGGACGAAGCGCGGACGAAAGAAGCAACACTAACTCGACGCCTTCTGCCACGCTTTTGCCAATCATACCACCAAGAGACAAAGATGGCGCCTCGCTCCGGATGTAATGAGGGTCCATGAACGCAACTGCATCCAGACAGCATCTACGGTAGTGTTACACAGATTTTCAACACAGCTTCTAGTATCACAATAACTTCACAAGCCGCATTACACACACTCAAATACAATGGAGCAATCACAAGGGCCGCCCTACCCATCAAAGGTAGCCGGCGTAGGCGGAAGAGCCATGCCTATACCAGACGTCCCAATCGCCTCTGTACTTCTGGTCTTCTATGTTGGATCCGCGATCGGGAACATGACCATACTCCAACTCAACAGACGAAAAGGCCACAAATTCCTCCTCTCTGGGTTACTATTCGGCTTCTCCATGGCACGAATCTTAACACTATCACTACGAATAGGAGTCGCATACCACCCGACCAACGTCTCGCTCTCGATTGCCTCGATGATCTTCGTCAACGCCGGTATCCTCATCGTATACATCGTGGATCTCCTCTTCGTTCAACGAATCATTCGAGCTGGACAGCCTGAGATTGGCTGGCATCCTCTATTCCGGCTTCTGTTCAAGATCGTATATTCTCTGGTAGCGTTGGCACTGGTACTGGTCATCGTCTTTATCGTCCTTAGCTTCTACACTCTGGAAACGCATCTCAGGACGATCTGCCGAGACATTCAATTGGCTGCCATTACTTGGTTACTCGTGGTCGCTGCTCTGCCGCTTGTGCTCCTTGTACTCGCATGGGTCTTGCCGAAATCTAAGAATGCGCAGACTTTCGGAGCTGGTAGCATGACAGCGAAGAGTCTGGTACTGGCCGTCTCCAGCACCCTCTGCACTCTTGGAGCCGGATTCAAGGCTGGTGTCAATTGGCAGGCACCGCGACCAATCAACAATCCTGCATGGTACCACTCGAAGGCGTGCTTCTACGTCTTTTTCTTCGTGCTGGAGATCATTATCCTGTACTTTTTCCTCGCTGTACGTGTGGATCGACGATTCCACGTGCCCGACGGCAGTAGTAAGCGCAAGACGTTCGAAGTCGCCACAGAAGAACAGAAACAGAACGACGAGAATGCGTTGGACCATGAGTCAGACATGGATAAAGAGCCGGAGACAGACAAGGAAGCCACTGTATAGATCAAGCTGGAGAGAAAATGGAGGATAGTGGAGTTCCAGTCTCTTGGACCACAGGAATGATGTGATGACGACCTTGACGATTTGGTGTAGCATGATACCACATGAGCGAGCATGGGCAATGAATATGTACGAATAGTGTACCGATGCGGCAAAACTCTCGAATCTGAGATTGATTTCGCATTTAGCCTGCACAGATTGGCGGAGATTGTAAATCAGTGGCACGGCACAAGCAACAGAGTTGCACCTTACCCACCTTTCTTTGTTGAACTTCGATTGAGGAGTTCGGTCGATATCAAATCACATTCCGCTGCGCTGCCATATCCATACTTCGTCCCAAGGACACCAGGTCAAACCAACTCCAGTTGTCAAGAGGCTCGGAGCACCTAGCGGAAGTCGATACAGCACACATCTAAAAGGTATAATCCGCGCCAACACCCGTCCAATCGATGCTTCTTAGCCAAGAATCCAGGTCCGAATAATCTAGTTCATCAAAGCCATTTTGCTCTCCGACGATCAAGTCGCATCCGCTAGTCTCTACCGTCTGCTGTATGGCTGCTGTCGTGTCAACCAAAGTTCCTGTAGCGGCCGTCTGAGCAATTTGATTCGAGCGTTCATCTTCTTTTGTAGTTGTGCCAGAATCAAGCACTTCATCCAAAGCCTTGGCAATTCTTCGTGCAGCCCTCGTGCAAACTGCATGGTTGGCTTCTCCGGGCTGACAGATGCCCTCGAGACTGGCCACGAACACGGACAAATCGCGAACCAGCTTCGATCGACTAATGATCCCGTGCCAATTTTGAGCACCTTTATTGGAAATGGCTTCGATCATCGTTGCTGCGGCCGAGAGCCCGTAGTCCAGCATCTGAAGAGTCGTCAGCGTACCTTTCGGAAGCATCGACGCCCTTTGATCAACTCACTACGTATGAGTTGTCAAATCGCAGGAAAATGCTGCGATCTCGTACTTGTGAAAGATGATTGACAGTGTTGACTATCAGACTTGCCACTTCCAGGGCTTTTTTTGCATGTAGTGCATCTGACGACATCAGCTTGCGGTGAATGCGGAAACTGCTTTGAAGATGCAGCAGGTAGACGACAGCCAGCATTAAACATTCCTTCGGATGAACCTTTGTATACCACACTTCGGGCGTGTAGCGCAGTTTGTCAGGAACAGAGTCCCAAAATGCATTCAATTGGTCGTAAAGCACAAGCAACTCACGAGTAGAGTCGGGCGTAACTGTCTGGTACTCGTAGGCGATAATCTTTTCTTGAATCACGCTCGCCATGTACCGCATGCGGCACCAAGTAGTGCTGCAGTATAGCCCGTCCGGGTTCCAGCCGTTGGCCGTCAGTTTGCTCCGCGCTTCCTGGAGAGTGACTGGATCTCCCAAGAGCTCATGGTCACTGAGGTTCGCGGGTAATGCGCAGTCGGAGTACAAATAATTCAGTCTTGGCGGCCTGTTGAAGAGCTTAGCCCCGAATTTATCCCATTGGTAAATAACTGGAGAGATCGTAAGTGCTTGTGCTCAAGAAGTTAGTCCACGAGCGCCCTTACCAGCCCAACTCTTTCTCCGACACTCTGCAAGCCAAAAGGGAGTACCGCTAGCTGCCTTAGATTCGCGATGGATGCCCAGTATGTAGACATCCGAGGTAAGGTCCCCCAGAGATCTCCAGACATTCGGATGTGAGTCTCCTTGCGCATTTGTGTATAGTCGTGTGAGCTCAAACGACAGCCATATCATAACGTCGTTGACACTCGGAGCCAGCTCCCGCGCCAGGTACAAGCAAGATTGAGCGGCCTTGAACAATGCATGCAACAATTCATCATCCTGCTCGACTTCTATCGGCATGCTCTTTCCATGAGCTCGAGCCGCAATGGTGTATATCAGGCCCAGCATCTCCAGGCGAAGGTTGTCTCCCGTGAACATTTCAACGAACGTTCGATAGTCCTGATCGGGCTGTATGTTCAACTTGGCAGACGTGGAATGAATGACCGCTTCCGCCAACAGATTGATATTCCCCGTGGACTCTTGATCTTCATGAAGCGAGAATTTCCTCACAGTCGCAGACAGAGTGGAAGCGGCATAATTCATGAGGGGACCAGGCACGAGTGCTACTTGGGCCTCGCTTGCATAGGTCGATATGAGTAGCGATACAGCCTCAATATGTCGAAGTTGCCGCAAATTCTCTATCGTGTCTTGCAAAAGTCGTCTATGGGTGGTCTCGCGGCTTTCGAATTGAGCTCGCCTGCTGTCTGATTCGTTCTCTACACGAATCGCGTGCTCAATGGCATTTTCGCACCCTCGCTCCGGTGGTCCAGCTTTCTCCAGGGAAGAGTTCGACGATGTCCAAGTCTGGGCGAAAACGCTTGAGTCGCTGTTCTGAGCCGCAGACGCCCGGGGTTTGGTGAGCGGCGCCGGGTGGTAGTAACACTTCGCTACCTGACCTCGCTGCTTGCACCTTGAGCATACTGGCCGCTAGTAGTTCACCGTGAGTGAGGCGAGACAATTGCAACGATACAGATCTCTCACCCCATGGTCGCAACGGATCTTGCCCTTCCTGCATGGCTCACAAGAAGCGAGCTTGCCATTCCGCCTGCTGGCTGGGTTGCGGTCGACCATGTCATGTCGGGGATCAGGATGTGTGTGGGAGTGGAACGGAATGGATGGGGGAGACGGAGCAAGAGCGGAGTATTCTAAAGCGGAGTGACTTTCGGCACTCGGAACCAGCTCGACGGACTCAAATCCTCCTTCCTGCCACACTCCTCTCAGTCTGCACGATTCACATTGTGGACGGCATTCACAGCGTAGGCATCCATTCCGATGGCTTGCGACCACTGACGTCTGGAGTTTGGCGACGAGCACGCCATGCAAGCGATTGGATGCTCGCATTGCCTCCATCCAGGACCGCAGCCAGTATGCTGTCGACAACGGTAATGGATCAACACAGAGCTTTGAGGATGCCTCATCTGCGGACTGTCGTTCCGTATAACCCGTGCACACAGTCCGAGTGAGATGTGGGCGAGTAAAGATATAAGACGCTCTGGTTGACCTCAATGTCGCTGGAACACACTTGTCTGCCACAGACTGAATATCATCGAGTAGTCAAACCAAACAACCATCGCCAGACAATCACACTTCGACATTATGGCACTTCTCAAGAAGCTTTTGGCCAGCCGAAACTGCACCAGCAATGCCGCTGCCGACTCAGAAACATCTTCTCTCAATGAGAAAACCTCACTACTAAAGACCGTCCGCATAACAGAGAGCACATTGCCAGAACGAGAAGTTGAGGCAGAGCGAGAGAAGCAGCAGAAACGCTATGACTGTCGCATATCCACCACAGTCCTCGCAAACCATCTTGTCATGAGGGCATAGACGTGGCGGAGTAATGCTTACGAGCAAGTGAGCAGATTACGACCTCATGCGAATCTCGTGACTGACTGAGAGATAGACCCTGCTCCGCATCATGATGGTCGTTACTCACCTGCAGAGAACTGCACAGTCAGACAAGCGGATACAAGATCAAAGTCCATCGATTGTTGGGTGGAGAGCACTTCCACGATCGAAACACGTGCAGCGGAGGGAGAGTACATGCAAGAAGCAAAAGCACATGGTGCCGTAATACACATTGAAGACGCGTCCAAAGTGGAGCGCCAGCCATTTTCTGCAGCACGAAGCCTTCTGTCCAAGTCATTGGTATACCGCTCTCCAAATGTGCCGCTGTCGACATTCGCGGTGAGCGGAGACACCGAGAACACGAGGCACAGCAATTTGACGCGAGATCGCACGTGCAAAGGCTTGAATCAATCGATGGAGACGCCCCAAACACTCATCATTGGCCATACCCAAATCGAAGCGCATTAGTCAAAACCTTGTATATCAGTGCATCACCCGCATGCAGTTTGGTTGCTGGATCAGGTAAGCCACGGCTTACGGATTGCGCGATGGACCAATACCATCGTCGCGGCTCAGCTACTACTATCACCGCCTGCCACGTTGCTCAGCAAGCCACTTCTCTTCAAGCTTCAGCTTCGAAGCATTGTAGGGCTGATGTGTGCAGCAGCCACAAGGCGACCACGAGCGTACACGTGGGAAGCTTCGCTTGTTGCACCAATCGATCTTCTGCAACGGCTATCGCTATCAGCGATATGGCTTGTGAGGCTTGATGCTCCGCCTGGCAAGGCTGACAACGTGTGCCTTCCTGTTTCGTTGCAATCAACACAGCAAAGTCGGTGACTGTGATGTATAAAGCGAGCCTGGTTTCCCTGCTGTGTCACCTTCATCATCCAGCAACACCAATCATCACTCAGACCAGCAAACACAAACCCAAGCAACAATCTTCAACACTCTTCTCACAGAGACATCTCAAACACTCAATCAATCACACAATGGAATTCCTCGTCCGCAAGATTGAATCCAACCTCCACAAGTCCGGCATGGCAGACAACACCCCAGTTCAAGCAACAACCTCAACCTACGCGACCAAGCACCTCCTCCACCCAGCTCTGCAATCCGACAGTGCCAGCTCCACCTACTCGCAAAAGTCATCCGCATCCAGCACTCGCCGAGACTTCACCTCATTCCTCTCCCGCTCCAACAGCTCCGAGAAGAAATCAAACAACTCCTCCCGCGCAAATTCGACAGCAAGCAAACGCTCCACCCGAGAATTCGTCTCATCCATGTCAGCTTACCCATGGGTCACCGGCAGCTCCGAAAATGGGCTGACAAGCTCTGCAGCCAGCTCGGTTCGCTCAAAGGGCGAGAAAAAGCGCAGCGAAAAGGCAAAGAAGGACGAAGAGGTGTGGCACTGGACGTTCCCATGCCTCTCTGGATGTGTTTAGGGTATTGAGTTCCTCTACATTGTGATGGCAATCTGGCACATAGGAGCAAGCGAATCATTGAGGAGCATTTGGGCGGCGTTGAATTTGATGCATCTTCGATAGCATTAGTAGTCCGGCATACAGCACAAGTAAAGAAACTCTTTCAAAGCATATCAAGTACACTCTCAATTGCAGCCCTATTATTCTTAGGCTCGGGGTATCAAGCGAAGTTCAAATCTCCCCCCAAAAGCGCCCAAGTATTTTCACAATGCGCACTACTGTTACAATTCTTTTCCCACTGCTCAATCGAGCTCACTCAACCCACTCTGCTGCGGAGGCTCCCACGTAATCATCTCAGGCAAGAAAGCACAAAACCACCAATCACTAGCAGTCCATCCTCCAGTCCAAATGCCATTAATCTCCTCGCCCTCACCACATCTCCGAGCCAGACCCGTCTGCTCCATCCAATGCAGAATCAACTCGATTTCCCACTGCCAGAGTTTATGATTGTGGGCCTGCTGCATGGTGACAGCACGTTCGCCGGAGCGGAAGACCAGAAGGTGCAGAATGGACCTCAGGCACATGTCCCAGATGTCATCGACAAGGTTACCGTGAATGTCAACCCAGAAGGGAATACGTGGTCCGATCTCGCCCTCGACAACCTGGGGTGCCAGAGGAATCGGGATATCATTTCTCAACTCCGGCTCGTACCTGTAATTAGATGTCTTCACGTAGACGAGATCGAACTTGAGCTGATCTTGATTCGCACGCTTTGTCTGGTAATTGGTGCCGGAATAGCCCCAGGGCGAGAGTTTCGGAGCCGGTGCATCGAATTCCTGCTTCGTCTCTGGCAGTATCACGGTGCATTTCACCATGCCGGTTGCACACAAGTTGGTCAAGACTGTGTAATCCTGATCAGAAGTGACCGGGATAAGCGGCAGAGCGTCGGTCTGCTTGAAGTAGTCGTTGATCCTTGACCAAGAGTGGGCTAAAGCACACAGGTAACGGTGCTCGTCACAATCCTTCGTGGCTGGCCATCTACGGAACTGAATCAAGACTTCGTGGTGGATCTGGAAGTTCCGACCTGGCTGTTGCCTGCCTTTCTTGTCCTGGAGGAACATCTTAGATTCGACCATTTCATTGGCGACTTGCTTGAGGACCTTGCTTCCCAGGACACTGATTTTCCGAGCCGCATCTTCAGCGTTGTAGCTATGCTGCTTTGTCATGGCTACCGCACGGACCCATGACTTGGCAAGGAGCAAGTCCTTGTTCGTGTTCTCAGCAGGCTTGATCTCGCCTGGCAACAAGTTGCCCAGAAGATATCGTTGCGCCAAGTGTCTTCGATTCTGGTCGGTGATAGTCGTGAAATAATCATCCTTGTTCAGCTCGAACACTTGGCCCCGCTCTTCGACTGTGAACTTCTCCTGTACCAATTCTTTCGAGGCAGGAAGATCAGGGACATCAGGATGCTCGTCCACAGTGAGAGACATATTCATCGGAATAGTTGCCTGCACCCACTCGAAAAGTGCTGGCCAGTCAGTCTCGTGCGAAGCTTGAAAGTTGACGACAGGAAGCTCGCCACGTTCATAGGCCTCCAAGAAAGGCTGCCTGATGTCGTCGCGGAGCTGCTCAACATCAGGTCTGCGACTGCGCACATAATGACCCCAGCGACGACGGAGGAACTCGCCTTCATATCGATAGCTCAATGCATGAGCAATCAAGTTCCAGCTGAGTTTGTCCTGGTTCACACCGCCAGCTATGGCACTGACCAGAGCGATGGCAATCACGAGACGATCGACGTCCTTGAAATCCTGATGAGCTTGACGGTCTCTCGTTGTGAAAGCCTTCTTGACTCCGCGAGCACCAGACCCCTTCACTTTCGGGAGTTTGACAGGCCGACGGTCCTCGGGATTATCTCCAGCTGCAGCGGGTACAAAGTCCTCGTCAGAGTCACGAGCAGCTTCATCACCATCTGCTTGTCGCTTCTTTCTCGATGTGTATTTCCTGCGCTTCTTTGGAGGCTCTGGTTCGGGCTCGGGAGTGATGGCGACAGAGCTTGGCGTAGGCGCTGCTTCAAACACGGATCCGTCATCATCGTCGACAAAACGTGGACCTGCAGGTCTGGGCTCGGACGACACTATCGCATCGAGCTTCTCCTTAGGAACCTTGAGCGTGACGATCGCCGTTGATTCCAAAACTGCTCCACCGCTGACATGATCTCCCTGGTTGATCTGAGCAATAACGCGGGCTGTCTCTCTCTGGTACTGCTCGCTGGACAGCGTTCCAGGCGCCGCACGCCAATTGAAAGCCTGTTGCGTCAAGCCTTGCCCGCTGGTACCAAAAGTTCCATTGCTTTGGGTGAAGACTTGTGCAGGAGACATAAGATGTGCTGCGGCAAGCTCCCGCGATTTCCTGCCATCTTCCCACCACACTTTACGAGGTGGCTTGGGTGCTGGGGCGCGGATTGAGCCCAGCGGTCTTCTTGTCTTGCGCACTGGTCTGGTGGATTTACCTCTAGGCAATACATTATCAAACTTGATTTCCTGGGATATGTTGGCCTTGTAACCCGGTGGGCGAGGTTGCATAGCAGCGGAAAGGTCGTGTTGGTAATTGTCCAACTGGATCTGCCCCGCTGCGTCCCCTAAAAGTTCTGCTTCCTCAGCCGCGATTTCGGCAGCAATCTGCGCGTCTTCCAAGGCCGCTTCTCGCTGCTCTTTGCGCCTCTTTTCTTGATGCTTCAGATTGGCCTTGTTTTTCGACTCATTGTGCACTTCCAGCATATGCTTACGGTAAGCTTGAGCGTTGGCAAAGCCTCTGCTCTGAGCCTCTCGATCAGCTCGGGCAGCAGCATCTGCAGTCTGATGAACGACGAGATCTGGATCCTCAGGAAATTCATCGTGGCGCCGCTTCATGTAAGTTACGGTGTTCTGGGAGAGCCTGACATCTCCATTCTTCGCCTTCTTGCGCCCAAACTTGAAGCTCGCTGTCTCTCGTAGTTCTTCGTTGATTTCGACTTCCTCGGGTAGGTATTGCAGTGGATAACATTTCATCATCTTCTTTCGCATCTCTGTGACGATCTCATCTTCTGCGTTGACCGACGGCTCAGCCAATATCTGTTTGGTGATCACAGCGCTGTGCTTGGATTTGAACTGGAATCGAAAGCGCTTCAGCTTCTTCTCCGTCATGAGCTGCTCCACAGCACGCTCAACAGTGTGCTTGTCGGGGAGACGATTGTGAATCTTTCTCCAAGCTGTTGTTAGCACGTACCACACTTCGCTGTCACCTGGGAATACGCCTCCACATTGCCGCACAGCATTGAGGATGAGCTCATGCCGCTGAAGTTGGGTGCTACCACCGAGTCGTGGCGGACCAGATTTCTTGTTGGTTGTGCTCTTCAGGACACGAGTCGGTCCTACTTCCGCGATCTCGACATCAGCCTGCTCGGAGATGTCCACATCCATTTCGTCTTCCGCGATGGTATCATCTCCGAAGGTGCCATCTGCAGGATCGTCGTTCCCGAGGTTTTGGTACTCGTCTCCATCCTCATCAGAGAGCTCCGTTCGGTCCCCCAAGACAGCTTCTTCATTTTGCGTGGTAAAAATCTCTGTCGTGCTGTCGCGAGGCTGCTCGTAAGGCCGAACGATCATCAAGGGAGAGGCTTGCCACGCAGGTGCTGTGTTCCGTGGAGTAATCGAGGCCGCCTCAGGCGTCAATTCCGGAACGACACGAGACGGTGCCGGAGTAGCATGGTCTCGAGGTGCCAATTCGTTGGCGGGGGTCTGTACCGATCCATGCTGGCGAATAGCACTCTGGGACGCGTGGTTCGACGTTGTTGACTTAGTCGCCTTGCGTTGTGACAAAACTTTTCGAGCGCCAGGACCACGGAATGTCTCGTGAAAGCTGTCCGGAGGCGGCATTCCTTGCTTCCAGCGGCCTGCGCCGACATGATAGAACGTCTCGTCCGGGTGAGCATCTACGTATGCTGTAGAGAAATACTCATTGCTCGTCGTTGGTGTGGCCACTCGCTTCGCTGTGGGCGGTGCTCTCGAGGGTAACGGCTGGACGGCTTGCTGCATCGGATTCTGCGTGGTGGGCTGTGAAGCTTTGCTTGCAGGTTTCGGAGCACCGTGAGAAGATACAGCAAGGTGTGTCCAGTCTTCGTTGTCGGTCTCACTGTCATCGGAGGACTCGGTTTCGATGGCGTCCTCTACAGGTGCCACGTCGCTTGCGACCGAGGCATCGTTTCTGGCAAGCTTGGGCGGACTCTCTGGAATCTTCGCACGACTCGTACGCTCCTGTTCGGGAGTGGAAGACAGCGGTTGTTGTACATCGAACGGAGTTTGGACAACGCCGCCAACTTCGTTCGGAAGAGCAGCACTGTTGGCCTTTTGACTTGTCAAAGCTGGGCTGGATGTGGCGTAACGAGCGTTAGACGTTCCAGCAGCAAAAGCTGCATGGTCAGGAATCTCTGTAGGCTTGAATTTGGGAGTGGTGATGGGCTCCCTCGCTTTAGATCCGATGAGCTTCTGAAGCTCAGCCAGAACTTCCAGGTCTCTCTTAGACTTGCGGCCTGGCTTGGCTGAGAGAAGTCGGTATTGCTGCTGTGGGGTTGCCCTATGCTCTGGTGCAAACCTGCTAAGATAGAATGATGTCGTATCTGCGATTTTTATCCTCGCGGATGACTTGCTCGCAATACCTTGATTGACGTTGACGCCTGAGATAGGCGTGATCGGAGCTGCAGCGACGGAAATCGGAACTGGAAGTGGCTGTTTCTGGGCCTTGTCTCCAGTGATAGACGGCGTGACTGGAAGCGGTGGGTCAAGCGCTTTGGGCGCAGAGCTTTCGGTGATACCACGAGCTTCTTTGTCGATACCATTCCCAGCTGGAGATTCCTCTGTTTCGGCATGCGAGGGGCGAGATTCGCCTTCAAGCAGCACCTGCGAACTCTCTGCTACGCCTGCAACATCAAGTCCGACGTGAGACACTTCCGTGTCTTGATTCATTCGCGGTGTTGCAGAGCGGCGCACAGAGTCGCCAGATCCAGATGCTAGCTCACCTCCAAAGCCTGAGTCCTGATCCAAGGACTCAGCATTATCAGGTCCCTCCGAGAGCATAGTATCTGCCGTCTTCTGCCTCTTAGCGTTCATTTCTCCAGCATCAGAGTCCGAGTTTTCAATGATGTCGTCCGAGATCTTGAGCGCACTGCCAACCTTGGCCGTACGTCTCCTACCAAGTGGCTTCGCCGGTGCGAATCGTGGAGAATCGTCCTCATGAAACCAGTCCAACTCGTGCAGACGAACGGACCTGATCACAGCAATCTTCGCATTTCTCGGTCGTCCACGAGAGACGAAGTTTCCAGCCTTCAAACTCTTGGCTCCTGGTGGGTTGATGTAAAGGCCAGGTCTTTCGCGTCGCAGGATTTCAGATTTGACCTCAGCAACTCGGTCAGCTGGCAATTCGCTAGACTGCATCGCCACCAACTCTTGCGAACGATCGCCATTATCGGTGGGAACGGTCCGCATGGTGCCGTCAATCGCACGTTGCCTCTTTGCGGCGATATGCTGGCTGCCCAGACGCGCTTCGTCAGCGGACCTCTTGCGACTAACACTCAACTCAAGTCTAACACGGTTCTCGGCCGTCTTTTGGGCGAAAAGGTCATACTCCGCGTACTCTTTCTCCTTTATCCGGCGCGGCTTGTGAAATGGAATGTAGTCGTCTACCGTCCCGGGCCCTCGCCTTGAGTTGGCACCGGATCCTGGACTCGCCAGGACCCCACTGTCCTGTAGGACAGCAAGTTGAGAATCCAATGCTTGCTGAGTGTTGAAATCGCCGGACTGATCACCTTCTGCTGCTGCCAATGGAATCTCGAACGCCCTGGGAGACTTCCTTCGGCTGTCAAGAGGTGACTTCGAGGGTATTCGACGGGATTTCGGGGTGGCTGGAGGCTCATCCTCATCGTCTGCGGTATCCTCGAGGTCGACACTGGGCTCACAAATCTCGGCATCTGGCACTCTAGCCCTACTTGGTCGTTGACGCATAGCATACGGGCTCTTGTTTGCCTTCGCGATGCCATCATCAGGCGTCGGAGTCTCGACCTCGAATTGAGCTGACTTTGGCGGTCGACCCATTTTCTTGCCGTTCTTGCTAAGGCCGCCATACGAGACTGGGCCTTTCCTTTTCGCGCGAGGAATCGACGCTGTTGATTCCCAAGACTCAGATTTCTTCTTGCTGCGCCCCGAAGCCGCCTTTGCGCGGACGACTGGTGGCCTGGGTGCCGCCGGGACGAATTCTTCATCGTCCTCCACGACGACCTCATCTTCATCGACCCCAACAGCAAGCATTCGATCTACGAGTACACCTTTGCGACCATCGGTGAGTGACGCTCGGCCATCGCGACCGGCTAAGAGCTTATGAGCCACTTTTGGAAAACCCCATTGATCCAAGTCAGGCTTTTCCTCCAGTGGATTCTTCTTAGCTTTTGAACTGGTGTTGTCTAGAACAGCGTCCCACACAGCTTTGCCAGCAGCAACTGCCTTTTCGAAGTTCGCCAAAGTCCGGTACTTGAATTGAGCGGAGCGACCGAAGACAGCGGTGTCCCGGACCACAGTCAAGTGGCGCAGGTGAGGGGGCTGTGAATGCTGCCAGATATCGGTCAAATGCGCAAGAGACTCATCCATGGGCCGCTTCCAGAGCGGTCCGACTACCGCTGACTGGAGTTGTGTTGAGCTAATACCACCTTCACCGGACTCGTTGATTTGGTTGAACAAGATGTTCACCAATGGGATATCAGGATTCCAGTGAGGCGGTACACGGTCCTCGAGTCTATCCAGATCATTGATGTCCGTGTCACCGGTGTCAGTGGCAGCAGCTTGGCGTTTGAAGGCCTGAATTTGCTGAGCAGTGGTTCCGACCTCTTTCATTGTACCAATTTCAATAAGTCCATCATCGTTCTCATCGGAGGAATCAGCACCATCTGCAGCGCCTTCAGTGTCGGCTTGATCATCGTCCTCATCGTCACTAGCTCGCATCTTTTTGTTCGGATCGGACTGCTCCCACAGCAATCGATCGTACTCTGTTGGCTCCCGCATAAGTTGAATGGCTTTTGCTTTGCGCCAGACTGGTTGTCCCACTCTGGTAATCACTTCGCCCTCTCGGTCGGCCATCTTGGCAGTTACGCGACGAATGCATCCGCCCTCTGCAAGACGCCTAACGCATCGGGCCAGAATTTTGGTCTCCCATCTAAGCGCCATTTGAAAGCCAAGACCATAGCGGAGGTCAGCCATGGTGACGATGCCGTTATTCTCTTTCAGCATGCGCATCATTGTGGTGTACATTTTGTCGTAGTGAATTACGGGCTTGAGATTGTTGATGGCGGACTCTTCTGGTGGTTTTTCAAGACTTTGTGTCTTTGAGAAGCGGATGAGCTTCAGCAGACTCGTCTTGCCAGTGCTGCCGATAACAGTTTCCTTCGTGATGTAGCCCTTAGCCTGAAGATTATCCGTCCGTTTTGGCACCGAGCGCTTGTCTTGCCCCGTCATTTTGGTAATAGTAGGCTGCAGCACTCCGGTCGAGCTGTGCGCAGCAATAATGGACAGAATCTCGAACTCGAGTGGCGGGATGCGCCTGAAGTCCGGTCCATGGCCAGCGATCGCCTGCCATATTCGGTCGTCGGTCGTGAATATGCGCTTGTCTGCGAGCTTCTGTGCAATCTCAGCCGTCGCCGACTCCTTAAGAGAGTTTCGGCCGGCAATGTCGAGATCATCGGCTGGGTTGACACGTCGCAATTCAACATCGGGATGTCGGCACAACCACTCGAGCACCGCAGAGAGAAGCTTTTCGTCGACTGTGATTTGGCTGACAGGGGGCACATCTGCAAATAGTGAATCCCGCTCCACTTCCTCTTCGTCGGCCTCGCGAAGTCCATTCTTCTCAGCATAGTAGGCACGGACGGCATTCTCGAAGCGCACAGCGTCGTAACCTGCAATGCGGTCAGTATGCGGAAGAGGACGTAAAGCACTCGAAGTATCGTGTCGAAAAGTGCTGGACATAAGTCCGACTCGAACCGAGCACTTTCGCGATATGGACAGCGGCAGCTGGTGGGGAGGTTGGACAAAATTGAAAACGCACCTTGCGAGCCCGACAGCGCGACATCATAGAGCAGGCGCTCTATGAGTTCATCAAATCCAGCCATCTTCGTCGCGCATCTCGTCCGCGACGACGAGGCGCATGTGGAGTTGATTGGTCAAAATGTGAACGCCGAATGGCAAAAGTGTGGTTGGAGGTGAAGTGACGCGGAAGTTGATTCGAACTCGAATTGCCCCGCTGCTTGCAACGCCAAGGCGGAACTGCCTCCGAACGGTCTTTGATTGGCCGACCGCAACTTGTGAACGAAAAAGCACGAATGGTCTAGTTAGATGGAGCAAGGCTACCGTGAACTATGTCGTGAAGACTATGCCATGTCCTCTTTCGTGATTTTTGCAAATTTCCCCCGCCCTGCCATGTCGCTGTGCTGAAGACTCATCCGACCAACAGATCCCCTCTCTTGCATCAGAATCGTCGTGCCTGCAAATATTATCTCTGGAGAGTTTGTTCGACAAAGGTCCATGGGCGATAGTGTATGTCTCTCTTTCAATCGTGTTCGCTATCAACAGGAGTTTACGCCTAAATTCAACAAGTCAGAACCAGACCACGCCAAAGCCGCGTCTGAACGCACGGTTATAACGATCGCAATTCTCGGGCTTTTGTATTTTTATCTTGGGACCAAGACATTTTTCGGTGCACTTTGGGGGTTCGGAGGGAGCCGCAGCACAGGAAGAAGCTGCCATAAGTACAGCGCCAAGAATCAATTGGAAAAGTTTCATTTTGGGCCTGAAAGTCGACGCAAAAGTAAGACGAATGTAATGTACATATCCAAGGACTTCGCAATTGATAAATGCTCCTTCCTCTCCTGTGCTCATGAGACTAGACTAGTCGGTCTGGATTGAGACCGCACTACTTAGTCAAGACGCCATGAACTTCACAGCTTCCATGTCTGAACAACTGCCCATCAAGGACTAGCGGTCGATCATTTCTGTCTCTCGTTCAACCTTGACCACTTTTCATTTGCATGGCTTTTCGCCTAAATTCAGGCAGTCAGTTGAAAGCACAGATTTCCCAATCAGCCAGGAATCGATCTGAACGCACGGTTGTTAGGGTCGCAGTTCTCGGGCGTTGGTATTTCCTTCTTGGGCCCACCAAGGCAATCGACGTGGCAGACTGGCTTAGGTATTGCTAGACAAAGGCAGGTAGATGCCATGAGGGCAGTGCCAAGGATGTATTGAAGGAAGTTCATTTTGAGGATGATCCTGTAGTGGTTGATGCAAGAAACAGTGGACGAAAACACTCCTTTTATCTGAGGCCATGGCATCAAATGAGTAATTTCTTCCCTTCCGTGCCTAGGAGACTATGCAATCATGAAGGTGAACTAGTTCGTCTCAACTGAGACAGCACTAGGTAGCCAAGACGCTCAAAGCCTCATAGTTTCCATATTCAGCCGGCTGTTTTCTGCAAAAGCTTGGCTATTGTTATGCCTGTTTTACCGGTGCATCACGCGTGCGCCTTGCCAGCTCGGCATTCTCCATTTCGTTCAAGGAGATCATCGGATGCCCGCAAATTGTTTTCGCTGAATTGTAAGAGAGTCTGATGTATTCATCATCTCTTATCCGCTGTTCGCCCAAATCGAGGAGTTGTCGCTCAAGCTCTTCTATTATATCTCGCACGAGGACTCCGCCTGAGTCTCGTTTGCAAACTGTACGACTTGGCCGAAATCGCAGCGGATGCTTTCCATGAATTTTGAAAGAGACTTCGGCCACTGGCGGCTGTATGACGTGCATCAGCCAACGAGAATCACCTGCCCTTGCACGGGTGAGCTGGTCTAGACTAGACTTTGGCATGTCCATGAGATTATTGTGGCGCTCGTGCACCTCCCAGTGTATATTGGGTGGCCTATGGAATGGGAAAAGACCGCCAGGCTCGAACACCATATCGTTGATTCGGGCTCCGATCCGCCATTCTTGGCCTGGGGGCATTTTTGTAAGGGGCAGCCGAGCAGAGACCCTTAGACCTTGCATCGGGCGACCTATCTCGTCGAATTCCTCATCTGACCAGTCGATAGCGATAGCGGTCCGTGGCTCTTCTGACCTGTAGAACATCGACTTTTGCAGTTCAGGAGACATCTGGATCGTGTCACGCCAGCACCGATCCACGCGTTGGAGCACGAACAAATCTCTCGGTGAGAGCTTGCTTAGAATGGCTTCCAATAGCTCAGTAGTGCGTAGTGCGCGTGTCACGGTGCTCCGCCACCCGTCAGTGCCATGACCCTGCGGCAGAATGTCAGTAGCGTCGCTGATAGTGTCCCGAGGGAGCCTACGTCTGAGCCTGAGCCTGCAGTGATGACACTCCCTTCTAGCGCCGCCATGCGTGTCGTATTGGACGTCCGGGTCGGATTGAGTGAGGATAAGATGATTGTTGCTGCAGCGCAAGAAATTGCCTCGAGGGAAGCGCGAGCTATGACCAAAACATGCAACAGGGATATTGCAAGCATGTAGTGACCAGGCAGCTGCGCTTCCGGCCCACGAGCCCCAAGCCAACATTTGCAACCGCTTCACCAACTTGCTTCATAGACCGAATGGTTTCTTGCGCGCGGAAGTTCAGTCATATCGTGGCCTCTTCTCATCTCTCCTGCCATCATCGTCTCTCCTCCGCCTTTCACCCAGGGGCGCAGAATTTGCTCCAGTACTGTCATACGCAGTTCCACGGCTCTCGTCAGGTTTGAAGCGGTCGTCCAGCCCATCATAGTCTCGCTTCTTCCGCCCGATATCAGTTCCCCAGCGTCCTGTATCCTCATTCTTCAAATCTTTGTACTTCGTTCTACCCTTCTTGCCTAGCTTTGTGGCATCCCGAATTTGCATATACTCGGGCAGAACAGTCTTGTCACTCGCCTCATCCACAAACTTCCGCCCAGCAATAGAACGCGTGAGAGCAGCCTTGACCTCCTCGTCTTGCTCAGCGTCTGGGTCGAAGAAGGCGCCCTTGTGAAAGTACTTTTGCATGTGCCCCATCTGTCCTCTTTCTTCACGCTCCGCTTCCTGCTTCGCAATCTTCTCGGCATCTTCAGCTGCCCTCTCCTCTTCCGTCATGTTTCGTCGGCGCTCAATCTCTTCCAACATCTTCTCTTTCTCGATGAGAGCATTGCGGTCTCGTTGCACTCGTTTCAGCTCTCGCAATTTCCAAGCAGCTCTTTCCGCCTCCGGATCCAATCCATCTGTGTCGTCCACTTCATCCTGCGGCACATCGTCATCGTCCCAGTTCTTCTTCCCAGCCTTTTTCAGAGCAATTTCCCTCTCAACCTGTGCTTGTAACAATGCGTCTGCTTTCTCCTTCCGTAGGCGTTCCTCCTCTGCAGCTTTCTGTTCCTCGGATACTGCAGGCGTGCTTTGTTGTGCTCGCTTGGCCTTAGAAATGAACTTTGGTGCAAGCATGGGCTTTTTGGGCTCATCGTCAGAGCTGCTATCCTCATCCTCTTCTGAGCTGTCCTCTTCGCTACCACTTCCGTCTTCATCGTCCTCTTCCGACTCTGACGCAGTGACAAATCCATCGAGGTCGGGCGCCTCAGGTTTCTGCTCTGGTGCTTTAGGTGCTGGCTTTACTTCGCCAATCGCAAGCTTTTTCGGAAACGATGTCGCCTTTGGTGCTGGGGCCTTTGGCGCAGATGGCTCGTCTTCCTCGTCCTCAGAGTCCTCTTCTTCAGAATCAGGATCCTCGGCTACTGCTTTGCCCGGAAAGAATCGTGCAGGCCGGACGGGCTGCTTGGTCATGCGACTCGACGGAGGAGGCATGCTGGCGAGGTTCCTGGCAAGTTGATGCAGAACACAAATCTGAAGTGGAAAGTCGCGAAGCCTTCATGTGAAGGCGCGAGTCAGGACAATTTTGCGGGGTGCCGACGAAGTTCCAAACTTTCCGACGTCCAAGCAGCAGTTCACTCTGTCGCAAACCACATCACACGCCCAACATGCCTCACAAGCACAAGAGAAAGCGGGAGAATGACAAGGATCAGTATGCGATTGCGTGAAAGCCAGTGTACATCCGGTTCTAATACCATAACAGCTTCGATCTCCCTCCGACGAAACTCGCCCGACCGCTCGCATCCTACGAAAAAGTCGAGAAGAAGCACCACAAAGCGAAAAGAGGCACACCGAAACCACAGCCCAAAAGACAGAGCAATGCAGCAATTACATATAAGGGAGACGACACACCCCGAGCCTTCGCCCGGATGATGCACCTCCAACAAACCGGCAAACGACAACGCAGCGGTCTCGACGACGGAGTCAAAAAGCCCAAAAGGTCCACGAACAAATCCACAATCACCGCGACAAACGCCGAAGCAACCGACCAAGCCGAACAGAAAGAAGTCGAAGAGACAGCCGCAAAGCTCAAAATCCAACCCGGCGAGCGTCTCGCAGACTTCGCAGCCCGAGTCAATCAAGCCCTACCCTTAAGCGGCATCTCCCAAAACCGCAAAAAAGTAGAAGGCGCAAAAGAACGACAAACCAAAACAGAGAAAAGACTACATCGCATGTACGCCGAATGGCGCGAAACCGATCGCAAACGCAAAGAAGCCGAAGAAGAATTCCTCGAAGAGCAAGAAGAGAAAGACGAAGAGCTCGCAACATCTCTCGGCGGTCAAGCGATCCATCTTTCGTCCGAAGGCCGCAAAGCGAAGAATAAACGCATGCTCACGGAAGCTGCGGATAAAGATGAGGATCCTTGGGCAGTATTGAAAGAGAAGAGGGAGAAACCGAAGGGGTTACATGATGTGGTGCAAGCACCGCCGGAATTGAAACCTGTGAGAGAGAAGTTCAAAGTGAGGAATGGGGCCAAAGTCGAAGTGGAAAATGTTCCAGGGAAGAGTGGGAGTTTGAAGAGGAGGGAGGAATTGGGACAGGCGAGGAAGGATGTAATTGAGAGGTATCGGGCAATGATGAAGGGAAAGGGTGGGTTGTGAGATGCAAGAGGGACTTATCAACGGCTGAAGGTGGAGAAGTTGACGGGGCGGCTGGATGGAAATCTCAGTGGACTACAATCAGCATTACAACGGACACTTGACGGAACCAGCTGCCATGACGAGACCTGTCTACATGTACCGAAGAGGAGAGCTTCGTCATGCCACCGAAGATGGAGTAGGGATGCTACCGAAGTCGACGGGGACAATTGCATCATCACAGAAAAGGGAGGTCGAGTCTGACGAATGTGTCAACATTGTCATTGTCTGAATTATTTTGCTCTGCAAAGCGCAAAGCTTCCAACTGGTGCGCTTCTGATGACGAGCTCTCAATCTCAGAACCAGTACAGTATTCGTGCAGTTTCAAACGTGGTATCTCGTGTTTTCCCGCGGCCTGATCCTACGCCTTTCGCATGCGAAAACGTGGCTATAACTCGTATAGCCTACCGTCTTGCTGTAGTTCTGCAACACGCCCAACCTTGCAAAATGAACATACGCCTTGTCCTGTTGATCCAAACGCCTTCCCAGTTGCTACACTGCTCGACCGTTGATCAGAACCATCCCTAACGGCGCTGAGCAGCAGCAGGAGTAAGGCGCTGTCCATGGATTTTGCCAGTCTTCGTGCATCTATTTGGTACCTTTGGCAATGCTTTAGAACCAGCAGGTTGATTGGAGTATGGCCGAGCGGCCTTATACTTAGCCTCGATCTTCGACATTGCGTTCCTTAGACGTCGCTGGATCTTTACCCTGTCCACCACGTCCGCCTTCGCAGCCTCACTGTCAATCTTCTTGGATTGCAAAGCTTGTTTGAGCTCTTGCACACGTTGGCGGGATCGAGCCAGGGGAGATTGAATCAAAGCTTTGGTATTACTCTTGACTGCCATCATGGAAGACTTGAATGACAGCGAAACATCCTTCGTGAACTTCACGACATCTTGCTGAATGACTGTCAAGTCTTTGACGAAGGTTTTGGCGACCTCTTTGTTGGCGCGTCCAGCTTTGTGGAGCATTGAGCCGGTGGTCTTGCCGAATACCTGCAATTCACGGCTCATGTAGAGTGCAAGCTGAGAAGTGACGTTGCATGTTGCCTGGACGCTAGCAGCAATCTCATGAGAGAGAATGCCATTGAGCTTTTGTACGGTCTTGGTCATAGAGGCAATGTCGTTGCCAATCCTCGTTCCAACCTCGGTGCCGGCCTTTTCAACACTCTGCGGCCGCCGCGAGCGTGGCCCATAATAATTGATAGCGGCGAAGCTCCACGAAGGCTTTGCGCTGCTAGCGTTGAATTCGATACCACCGTAAACCTCACTTGGGTCGATCGTGAGGAGGTATACCCCATCAATGAGCTCGTTGATGTTGAATGCGACATCGATGCGATTGGATGCCGAGAACCTCGAGAACTTTGGAATGACGGGCCGAGAATCATTGCTGTGGCGCAACAGGGAGAGCATCACATGGTGAGGTGGCAGCCACTCAAAGGCTGCGCCCGTCTTGCACGCAAGACTGGCCGAGTGCTCGCTGCATTCTGGCAGCAATTCGTTCATGTCCACAAGACTGGTGGCATTTGGTAGAGTGCCCTCGCTCGCGAGACTGACTAGAGAGGAGGATAATGCTTCGCGTCGAGCCAGTAGGTCACCAGTCAGGTCACAAGCCAGATCAGCACCAGGGGACAGTACAGCCGCGAAGAACATGGCGAAGATGAGAGCTGCGATGGCTGACACCGCTGCGAACGATTTGATCGATGGGGCGACCCACGCTACGCGTTCTGGGACTGACTTGTTTGGTGCTTGTCCGACAACATTACCGATTTTGCGGGACAGTGCTACACGGTCCATCCCTATGAAGTCCTCGCCTTTGACAATGACCTGGGACGCTCCGGAAAGGCCAGGAATTCGGGATTCGAGATAACCTATGTCTTTCTCGAGGATGGCGAAGCTTGGAACCTTCAAGTTGGCCACTGCCTCCATAGCAACCTCAGCTCCGTAGTGGCGTGCGTGATAGATGATCAAGTCCGGCTTCTGCCCGTCAAACTTGCCATCTGCACTGACCGTGATCCACGGGTGTCGGAAGCCGTCGTGGTCCTTCAAACAGAAAGCATATGAACCGAACGATTGGCGCTTAGCAGTGACACAGTGCTGAACGGTTGCTTCGACGCCGTTTGGACCGTATACAACAGTCATGGCTGATGAGTCGGCTTCTGCTGGTGTTGGGGGCAAGCGGACCACCCTGTGGTGGTTGACAGCGTCGGACGATGAAGGCCGCATAGCAGCGGTGACACGAGAGACGATCAGATCCATGTCGGCCTGGGTCTCATCTTCGTTGGAGACAAAGAGGATCTTGAGTGGGGGCTGGCTGGCAGCAGTGTGGCCCTTCGGTTCTGGCACTGGCACTGGCAGAACGGACTGTCGTGGTGTCTCAAGATCATCAGACATGTAGCTGTCGATCAGCTCGTTCTCGGCCTGAATCTGCTGGGCAGTGGACGAGTCAACCATGACCACCGACGAACTGGGCAGATGGGAAGTTGTGCCGCTGGTCAAATCAGTCACGTCTTGGAACTCGAGTGCGGTGTCCACATATTGTGCTTCGTCCTCCTCTTGCTCACTCTCTGGTAGTTCTGGTGTGAAGCGGCCATCGTGGTCCTGTTCATTCGAGGTGATGCTGGCGGTGTCATGATCGTCGTTGGAGATCTCAGACAAGTCGTCGTGGTCGATCATGTCATATTGGTCGGCGAGAGAGCCTTCCGACTCGCTCGTGTAGCCGCGATCGGCCATGTTCTTGTTTCCCAGTGCGCTCAGAGCGGCTGGAGGAGTTGCGTAGGGTCCGGGTCGTGCTTGGTGGGTAGTGAGGTCCGACACAGAGCCGTCGTCTTCCAAGGTGGGGAAGTCGAAGTTGTACGGGTGCTGAGCAGCCTCAGGTGGAGAGGGCGAAGACGGCGGCGAGAACAGTTGACCTTCACCGGCAGCCTGTGACACATGACCTGTCAGCTGGGAGTCCATGGCGGGCTCGGCCACGGCGTCGGCGTCCTGGCGGGCGGCGGCCATGGCAATGGCAATGGCAATTGGTGTTGTCGCGGCAAGCAGGCAAAACTGGACGCGGCGGAGTGAAGGAAAGTGAAGTGGTGACAAGGTGGAAGAGGGCGGAAATGGAGCAGTGGTCGTCGAATTGCTGGTACAGAGCGGCAGCGGCAGGGCGGGGGACTGCACGTTCACTCACAGCTTGCTTGCTGCCTGGGGCCGCCCTGAAACGCGTGCGGCGGTGACACCAACACCTTCACTTGCAGACGAGCGAGCGCACGCAATGCGAGGAAGGCGCGTTGTATAGCAGAGCTACGTGTGCTTGTCGCGGTGCCAGCGGCAGAGCAGCGACAGCTCTCGACTGCTGATCAGCAGATGGTGAAGCTCCAGGACGATGCATCACGAGCAGGCAGTAGTCGAAGTGGCTGCCCCACTTCCGATAAGAGATAACGTTGTCGGAGCTCGTCGGCCTGCATGAGCCGAAACTCTGCCAATACACATCATGAACACCTTTGCGGGTATCTGTTCACGATCGAGTAGCCGGCTCGGGTCCCTCGTACTACGCGCTTCCATGTCGCAACTTCTGCGAGGTGTAGAGAACAAATCTGCAAGGAGAGAGTGGAAGATGACGCACAGATCGGCGAGCACGCGCCATCTGTTCTGCCTGCACTAGCGCCGAGGCTAATTGAGGAGGCGCGAGGATCCTCCGAGAACAGACAGACGACACCTCTCCTGCCTGCTGCCGTGCAATGGACTGTGGTGGATGGCGGATCGAAGGAATGTGCTGCTGCCCCTAGTCTTCCTGACCTGGTTCTGGTTCAGTCAATCTCACCAACCCCTACGCCAGCCCGGCTTTGCCGCCCGTCCGACCGTCAAAGATGCCATTGTTGCCGAGCAGGAGCAGTTGTGGGCAATTGGAAATTCATCATGGAGTACCGAAGTCGAGCGCGAGGGCCCGACAGCGAACATCACAGGCTTCGAGACAGATAGTGGCTTCATCTGGGACGCCGTGCCTGCGGTGAGAGCACGGGCGCAAGAGCGGCTGGAATATGCGCTGGGCGACTGGGGAACTGCGGCCTTGGAGGGACACGCAGAAGGGAGAAATCCCATCCCGCTATACAACAACGTCACTGGATATGTGATGGGCAAATGGAGACGCTCACCACTGCAGGAGACTGTGTCCACGCCACAGCTCAACTTGACACGCTACATTCCCAAGGACCCATTCGCTCAAAACACGAGTCCTGGACGTTTCGAAAGAAACGTCACCGGTCAACGCGGCGAAGCCACGATTCGGTTCAAACAGTACGAGGGGACATATACGGAGAACAGCACAACTGAAATGGGAGTACATCTGCTTCTTGCAGATGGTGAAAGTTATGACGAGTGGGAAGCGCAGTTGCATGGGACATATGACATCGCTACTGGCCATGGCATCTTCAGCACGACCAGCGACAAGTTTGGCGGAATATTTGGTCTGCCACATTTCGCTCTTTCCCAACACACTTTTGAGACGATGCGCAATCTGCTCAACAGATCCATTGCGCACGAGATACATCGACAGATTTCTGAAGACTCCGACGCTCTGAATCCATGGACGTCCAAGATGGAGGCAACCGACGACTTTGTCTGGCCCAGATGCGAGCTTGTGGTCTATCTACAGCAAATGGCAACTGCCACGAACATGCAATACGGATCGGCTGTGCTCAGATTTCTCGAGCGAGAGCTGCGATTTCCCACTGGCGCTTTCGTGCCGCCCCCGGCCGACCTCCACTTCTCTATGCTGTTATTCTCCCCAGATTGCGGCTTTGTGTTGGAGTCACAGGGCCCCCCAGACACTGTCGTGCAGGATGGCAATCATCTGGTTGGCCCAAAATTGGAAGTCCGATTCCTGCATACACGCAATCATCTACTGGTCTTCATTGGCGTTCTGTTTGCACAAATCACGATACTGATGCGGCAGATGCGCGAGGCTAGTACTCCTTCCACACGCAGCAGGATTAGCCTGTACACCACCATCTTGCTTGTGCTCAGTGATGGATACGTTACTATGGGGCTCATTGTGGCCACCACATCTGTTCCAGCGCTTCTCGTCCAATTCGCGGGAGCTGGCTTCGTCGCCTTTGTCAACGTGGCCATGCTCGGCATGTACTTTGTGAGGACCATCTGGCAAGTGCAAGAACCAGAACGCGAACGTGCTGTGCGGGCAGAAGTCGAAGAGGACTTGCGAATTTCGCAAAGGCTTTTGGAAACATTGAATCGCTTACGAGCCGAACGTCAAGCGAGAGAGCAAGCGGCCGCTGGAGGAGGCAATGCACCCCATACTACATCCGCTGCTGAGACTGACCCTCCTACCACACAAGACACTGAAGCAACAGGAACAGAACAAATCTTGCCTGGAACCTTTCCGCAAGCCCCTACCCCAGCACCAGCAGACACCGGGGCATCACCCGTCTTCTTTATGCCTTCAGATCAAGAGGGTCTGCTACCGATAACGGAAACTGCTCCTCCTCGAAACGTCGATGCCATGGTCGCAAGTCGCATGCCCAGCTTTGGATCCTTGTACGCAAAGTCTTATGGAACTCTCGTTATTATTGTCTTCATCAGCTTGTTGGCAATGTCTTGGCCTGGCCCAGTGCGCCGCGTCTTCTTCATACTCCTCTCATTCTGTATGACGAGTTATTGGGTTCCTCAAATCGTGCGTAACGTCCAACGGAACTGCCGCAGAGCACTTCGATGGGAGTTTGTGATCGGGCAGAGTGTCCTGCGACTGGTTCCTTTCGCTTACATCCACGTTTACAAGAATAACGTCGCTTTCGCGGAGCAGGACTTTTACAGCATGGCTATACTGGTCCTTTGGCTGTGGGTGCAGATCGTTGTACTTGGATCACAGGAACTCATTGGGCCACGTTGGTTCGTGAAAGCAAGCTGGAAATCTATCCCTGCTGCGTACGACTATCATCCCATCTTGAGAGAGGACGAGGAAGGCGGCAACATGCCTATCGGGTTCAGTGAGGCAGCTGGTGTAGCCAAAGACGCATCTGCGCCTTCATCCCCCGTACACGAGCGGGTTCCTTCACTAGGGCGCCGGACAAGCAACGCCAAAGAGCCGCAAGAAAAGGGCAAGCGTGTCTTCGATTGCGCCATCTGTATGCAAGACTTGGAAGTTCCAGTCGTTGAAGCTGGAGCGCCTAGTGATGCAGGCGGGCTTGGTGCGAACTTGTTGGCAAGGCGAACATACATGGTCACACCTTGTCGTCACATCTTCCATACCCCTTGCCTCGAGGGCTGGATGAAGTTCCGCTTGCAGTGTCCGATTTGCAGAGAGACTTTGCCTAGTCAGTAGCGAGCCAAGCAGGCTGATATATCTAGAACCTCAATGGAGTATGTCGTTGTACTATCCTCATTGGTTCGCTTCTGCTATGAATGTGTCCTCAGCGAACCTTGAATGGTACTGAGTGAGCTGGAGCCAGCCTTGTCGGCTCTGCAGCATACAATGCCAGAGAAGCCCTAGGTATTACTTGCCGCTGTGTCATCTGTCCCAGATCCGGAGTCCTCGCACGGCAAGACTACGGCCTCTTGCTCCCTATGCTTGGGCGCGGCGGTTTTGTACCATACCTTTAGACAGAGATACCGATCGCTGCTCCACTGCTCTCTCATTTGAAGCATATCTTGCTTCTTGGCCGGCCATTGTCTACTCATTGGCTTCGGGCGCGCTGTCGAACGGAGAGACCGATCATGATCCCTTCGCTCTCATTCCAGATGGGTACACATACCCTGGGGCCTATCCTTGATCTCCTTGGCTTCGTACTCAAGAGTCAGCTGGAGACTTCTCAATTTCGATTCATTCTCCTTTCGAATACCAATGGCTGCTGCGGAGACACCTTTCCACATTCGACGGCATCCCAGCTCAACGATGCGATGGAAAACCACTTTATGAGTCTTTCGCTCTCCTCTGAAATGTGCAACGCTTCACATAGCCCTACCTCAGACTTGTTGGCTTTCTGATCGAGACTTACCTCGAGACAGCCGTCACAGGATCTCAATTCCCTTCCGAAGGGCAAGCACTATTTTTCGCCCTCATCCATGCTCGTTGGGTTTGCGGTCGAAGCTGCAGTGGAGAGACTATCGTCTCCCTCCTACTCTTCTCAGATATGTCCACCGCTGCCTGCAGCTCGTCTCTCTGCTGGTCACCTCTTATAGCACACTTGGAACAGAAACGCCCGTCGATGTTTTTGACTGCCATTACACAGGAATTCACTCCTCAAGGCTTTTCTGGTCTCGTTAGCGTCATCAGTCGGAAGTTGCAATTCCAAGGATGAACTTTCGAACACTCTTTGGCATGTGGGGTCTGGATTGAAAGCTCTAATGCTACCTGCTACCGCTGATGCGGACAGCTATTTTCCAGGCTCAAGGCATTCCAGGATACTTTGAGAGTCAGACGTCACAACATTGTGTAGTGCCACAATGGCGCCTTCAGAAGGTTCGAGACGCTGTTACGACTCACTGACTGGGCCGACTATGGAGTAGAAGCAAGGGATTCCGCAGCGTGAGCTCGACTGGCGACTGACTGCGGCGTTGCGTTTGTGAGATGAGGCTCTAACTGCCTTCGCCTCTCCGCATCATTTCGCATGGCCTCTCAATCGTTGTTTAGCAATGCATCGCCTCAGTTGCCGCGTAATAAGGCATTATGGCGTCTTGACTCCCTTTCCATTTGTCTCTGGCTATCCATGAGACATTCACCCTCGTTGGCTGTCTGGACGCGGATACGATGGAGAAAAGCATTGAGGTTTCTTCGCTCGCCCTGATTGTCTTTCACGGCTCGTGGCCCATCTCTCTACGCATTGGCTCTCAAAGTGATGATTTCACGGAGAAACCTGGAATATCTTGTTGACTCCAAATGAAATTTGAGCCAGCCTTTCACACAGCTCATTCACATTGGTTGGCCGCCAGCTTGGGCATTTGACGGAGAAAACCATAGCGGACTCTTCGCTCGCTCCAAATTTATGCAGATGCACGGGGCCCATTTCTCTACACGTTGGCTCGCAAGATGTTGTTTCCACGGAGAGACTCATCATCGCTTTCTCACTCTGATTCCATTTGCCACATGCTACCTAGAGCTTAGTCACGCTCGTTGGCTGCCACGTTGAGCATTTGACGGAGAGAGCCCTCATTCCTCTTCACTCTGGTCAGATTGTCACAGCTACTCGGTATCCATTTTCCTATCCGTTGGCTTTCTAGTCGAGATTTTGACGGAGGGACTTACAACATCTCCTTGACTCTGATTCTATATTATCCCCACCACCTGGAGCTTCGTCACATTCCTTGCCTTGCAGGTCAAGCACTTGGCGGAGAGACCGGCTATAATTTGTTCACTCGTCCCGATTACCACGGCTGCACGCAACCCATTTCTATACCCATTGGCTTTCTACTCGAGAGTTTAGCGGAGACAGAGGTTGTTGCTTCTCCACTCAATCCCAACATTCATGTCTGACAGAGCCCGTCCGCACACACATTGGCACTCTCACACATCTTCGAACAGAGACACACAAGTTTCACAAGCAAATTGAACACAAAATTGGTTGAAATTGCTTTCATTTCTCGTATCTCCGCAAAACCGACCAAAAGCCAAGCCAATCACAAAAACTTCCGCCAGCAAAAAGCGCCCCCAAAACACGCGGAGAGGAGGCAAAAACACACGAGAAAACACCTCTCAGCGGCGCAGGGCCCGACGTCTCTTCTCATTGTACCTCTTGGCCTTCCTGGCCGCCTGCTTCCCCGTCACCCTCGTCTGGCTGATGGCAGCAGAAGCATGCTGCAGTGGCGCCAGGAGATCCGCCATATAGGCGGTCAGATCCGCCTTCTTCATGCCCGATTCCTCCCTCACTTTCTCCTCGCGGCGGTCCCAAAGCTTCTTCACTTCGGGCAAATCGGCTGCCCAAGCCTTGCAAGTGAGGGCGAGGGCCTGGGTGGTAGAAGTTGGGCGGGGGAAGAGGACGTCTTGGTCGTCGAGGACGTGGTCGAGGATCTTCTGGCTCAGCTCTGAAGGAAGGCGCAGAATTGGTGGGAGTGGAGAGGCTTGAGAAGGGTCGTAGACTGCTGGGTTTTCGTCGTAGCGGTCCATAGCGCGGATGAGACGGAGGCAGTAGGTGGCCTTGTGCTTCTTCTTTTTGTCTGTTGGTGGGAAGACAGCAGCTGGGTAGGTCTTGGATGGTGGGCGGACTGCTGGTGGCTGGTTGTTGATGTAGTCGCGGTTTCGGCGCGTGGTCAAGATGCGGATGTAGTGATCGATGCTATGGCTGACGAGGCGCGGCTCGAGCGTGTTCTGGTCGAACTTGACGTGAGGCATGCTGAGTGGATGTGTGTGCAATGCGCTTTCCAAAGATCAATGTCGCCGTGTTGTGGTAAGACCAAAAGTGGAGGTGGCGGTGGAGTCGGGGGAAGGGGAGTCAGAGCAAGTCAAAAGCTTACCGCACAGCAAGCAGCGGGAAGGGTGGACTGAGGCCGTCAATTCAGCTTGAGAATGCTACAGCAACGCTCGCACACCGTGTCTCGTACAGTCTTGCACCTCTTCCACCGTCGACACTCATCGATAATGGTAGCGCTCGTCGCTGTCGATACTCGGGCTCCGCACCGGCCGACTCCTGCTCCTCGTGCGGTTCCTGACACTCCTGCTCAGCGAGCGCAGCCTCTCTCGAACGCCGCTGGGCCTCTCGACATCCCTCCCCGACTCTCGAACATCATCCATGTCTCTCCCACGCCCGGGATACGGTCCGGCAGGCACAGCATACGGATCATCCACGCTCCTCTTCACATACACCTTTTCCTCCTTGCGCTTGGCGTACTGTCGCTCCGCCGCTTGCGCTGCAATGGCCCCGACCAACGCGCCTCCAATCGTGCCTATAGCACCGCCTCTACCCAGCTTGTGTCCGAGGAAGGCACCGCCAGCTCCTCCCAGAATGTTGGTCGCTAATCCCCTTTCTCCTTCAGACGCTCCCAAAACATCGCGCCCTCCCTTCTTCGGATCAGAGGGATACCGCAGCGCCTTCTCCGTGATCGTCTCCTCGTCCGAATACCTCCTACGACCCCTTCCGGGCCGTCTGCTATCGTCGTAATCGTCATACCGATCATCATAATACCCGTCGTAGCTATCCTCTGATCTGCGCCCTCCATACCCTACCGAAGATGGTCTGCGACCATGCGTATAGTTCGCCCGCGACCGCTCTTCCCACTCTTGATACTGCGCTTCGGCTTTATTGTCGTCATACGGTGCCATTTGGTTACCCTCATGCGGTCGAGGCTCGCTGGGCGCATACGGCCGGTTCAAGTCTCGATCGCCATACGTGTACTGGCTTCGCGGCGGACCACTCGTGAAGGACTCGCGCGAAGAGTATGCATCATGGTCGCGGGGATCGTAGGGATACGAGTCTGGAGGAGGGCCAGCACGGTTGTATGCTGTGCTGTCTTGGTACGGTACGTAACCATGCTCCCGCTGAGGTGGTGGACCTCGTTCGAATCGATCGTCATAGCCTGATGCGGGATACTGGTTGTAGTGACCCTGGCCCGGCGGAGGCCCATTATTACTGCTATTGTTGTAATAGTCTGGACGGGAAGACATCTTTTATGACTGGGGTTGCTGGGACGGGATCGTTCTTACACACGTGGAGGATGGCGGCTACGATACCTATAACATGCTCTACCCACACTTGCCATGGCTGCTGCACTGCTGGCATCGTCCACTAGCACACGTCATTGGGCTTGGAATGCGGTCGTACTTGATCCGCGCCAGCTGAGCCGTAGTATGATTGGCGGTGGGGAGCTCCGATGGAGGCGCGGCTGCATTCTGCAGAACAGCGAACCAGGCTATGACGCAGGGCTCAAAGAGGCCAGGCCCCGCGGACCTGTTCCTATCATGCGTACCAGAGACCTGCAAGTGTATCTGATTGCATAGCATACGAGAGTATAGCAGCGCAGACAGTAGATGTAGAGGAGAGTTGAGGGGAAGGATGTACGGTTGTGCAAAGAGTAGAAGAGGTAAAGCTCGCGAAACGCAAACACAGCATGGGTATCATAGCGGCCCATGTGAGACAAACTCCCCCAAAACCCTTCTTTAAGTCGCACCAAACATACCGCAACAAAGAAACAGTGTGTCGCAACCTCGGATCCTTGGGAACAAATCATGTCTCGCCTTTCATAAAACCACCAATATCCCGCAGAGGCAAACATCTTAGCACTCCAAAGCAGACCGCAAAACAATGCCTTCCTCGCAAAGAACATTCCCGACAGGGCCTCTTCGCTTCAGCACCTTTATGCCAGACCGTCTGGATTCCCCTCTCATTACACCACACACAAATCGCAGACTTCGCCGTCTCCGGAAGTCGATCACTGCACCAGAACTGCAGAAACTTGACATATGCTTTCAGCGTTTTTGGTAGGTGCTTGCCATGAAAGTAGATCGGTGTGCCATTGGATTCGTAAGATTCTACGACCTGGACTTTCCAGACGATGACCTTTTCAGCCGAGGTTGAGCGGAATGCGACGCCGTAGGTGGGGATCATGTCCAAGTTCTCGAGGACGCGGTGTTCGGGTTTTCTTTGTCTTGGTTCTGTTGTGGTTGTGACATCTCGTGATGAAGACGCTTTGGCACTGCGTTCGCGAGATGAACGATGCTCGCGGGAAGAGTGCTCACGGGAAGAGTGTTCGCGAGAAAAACTCGCTTTGCTGGACGATGCACGATTGGTGTCGACCCAGTGAAGAAGATCTTCCATCTAATAGGTGTAAGCGATAGTTTTTTTCTCACATGTGGTGGCTTGGGTAGGGCTTCCACCTATGGCTTTACTCACTGCTTCGGATATTTGCTTGCCTGCTTTGCGTTCTGCTGCGAGTTCTGTTTTCAACAGTTCGATTTTGGCGTCTTTTTCGTCGATTTCGCCAGCTTTCTTGGAGAGTTCGTCGAGGAGAAGTACAGCGTCGGCTCGCGCTCCATCACGACTGGCCCGGAGATTCAAGATCTCGTCGCGAACGGTTCTCCAGAAAGATTCCAATTCTCCACTTAAATCAGGCTGGTCCGGTTTTGAGGCCGGCACTTTGGCTGAGGGTAGTTGCAACGGAAGTTGAAGTGCTTCGTCAATACTTAGCAGGTCGGAGGGTGCCAGAGAAAGACGTCGCGACATTTCGGCAAGTCCGTCGAGCATCTGTTCGATGCCAGGTGGGTGAGTCTCAGATCCATATCCCTCGTCTTCAGTGCTTCCTGTATCGCGTCGTTTCTCGGAGCACGGGCTATTCATCCTGGAATCTTCGTATTCGAGCAGAAGCTCTGGGATGGGCGATAGTGGTTCGTGGCGTGACATTTCTTGCCCATACACTTCTCGCATAAATGTGCTCGCCGCACAGCAGACCACGCTGCGAGAGGTGGCTGCCTTCTCAATGAACTAGCGTCAGTCTCTCTCCTTGCCAAATGGTTGCGGTGTGTGTTGGGAGCGAAATTTTCAACAGTGCGGAGTGAGCGGAAATCACATAACAACAACCATGTCGGAGCAAGGACCGCAACCAACAAGGAGGCGCCCAGAAGGGGAAGGAACAGGTGCCCAGGTCCACAGCAACAGCGGCGATGCCTCTCTGTTTGCAGCGCAGGGATCTAAGGTTTGTGGGGTAGAGCGAGCGGTTGAAGGCATCTCTGGTCGAGGCAACGGAGCTTCGAGGTCCAGCTTGTCAGACCATCTGGAGGGTGCTATTTATGAAGATGAGAGATGAGATGGAAAACTTCGGCGCTGGTTTGCTCGGTCTGTGCATAAAGAGCTGCGGCACAAGCGAGGTGGCTCGCCTTCTAGAACTCTTCCTGCTCTCGGAAGAACAAGCCGAAGGATATAATGGTGCCGTAGATGAGGAGGCCGCCGATAATACTCATAATCATGGCCGGAATCTTGATCTGATCGCAATGTGCGAGGACGATTGGTAGTGCTACAGTGCTGTCAGTGCATGTCTTCTTACCGTTGTTGGGAGCGGTTTCTGCTGTGTCGCATGACCTACCAATGCCCATCACCACCAGGAAGCCTGTCAAGAATCTGCCCAGCTCGACTATGCTGTTGTTCCCGCTGTCCATGAAGTCATCGTGCGCTTGGGCTTTCGAACATATCCAGTTCGGTAGAGGTGCGATTACGTAGGTTGCGACCACGAGCAGTGTGAGGTAGGATTCGAACAGCGCTGAGGAGAGGATGACGAGGAGGAAGCCAATCGCCAGGATCTATTCTCCCATCAGCATAGCACGGGTATGTATCTCCCACTAGCACATACGAAGGAGAGTACGATAATGGTCTTGAGCCCAGCCATAGCCATGCCTGGCGGAGTTGGTCGGAGATGTGTCGCGGGTGTAGCTGCCTGAGCGAAAGGTTCGTGGGCTCTAGAGTCGTTTGCGATGGCACTGCGTGATGACGGCGGAGCAGGCGGTGGTGGTGGACTGGTGCGGAAAAGAGGTGAGGTGTGTAGCGGAGGACTTGACGTCGCCAACTTGCGCGCGTGTTTCAGTGTATGAGGTATGAGCTGCGCGTCCGTGCACGCTCCAAGAGTGAAGCTCTGAGCCGCCGCGTCGCCCAAGCTGCCTGCCGACACATCAATCCAAGCGACAACATCTTCGCCGCATTTCCCATCTGCTGCTCACACACGACTCATCCTGGACTGATAGCAACAGAGCAGCAAGATGTTCAGAAACAACTACGACAACGACTCGGTCACCTTGTACGTCCTCGCAACACCGATGGAAACAGCACACATGGCTAACTGCTACGGGCAGCTCACCGCAGGGCCGCATCTTCCAGGTAGAATACGCCCAAGAAGCCGTCAAGCAAGGTTCCGTCGTTGTGGGCATCGTCAGCAAGACGCACGCCGTGCTCGCCGCTCTCAAGGTACAGCCCACTCCCACATAGAACACTGAACTCACACTCATCTATCTTCTTCCCAGCGCAATGCCGAGGAACTGTCATCCTATCAGAAGAAGCTCATAGAAATCGATACCCACTATGGCATTGCTCTTGCTGGTCTCGCCTCCGATGCCCGCGTCCTGTCCAATTTCATGAAGCAACAATCGCTCGCCTCACGACTGACCTATGGCCGACCCATCGCTCTCTCCGAAATCACATCACGTATCGGCGATCGCGCGCAGACAAACACACAACACTACGGAAAGCGCCCCTACGGAGTGGGGCTGCTCATTGCAGGCGTGGACGCAAAGGGACCGCATCTCTTCGAATTCCAGCCGAGCGGTGTGACGCAAGAGATGATTGCATGTGGTATCGGTGCGCGGTCACAGATGGCGAGAACATACCTCGAGCGGAATTTGGACGAGTTCGAGGGCTCAAGCAGAGAAGAGCTGATCAAACACGCCCTGCGCGCTCTCAAGGATAGCTTGAGTCAGGACAAGGAGTTGACTGTGGACAACACCAGCCTAGGGGTGACAGGCGTGGGCGAGCCCTTCAAGCTGTACGAGGGACAAGAGCTTTCAGGTTGGTTAGAGACGACGTTCGAGAACAAGCCTGAGGGAGGTGAGAGCACGGAGGGGATGGAGGTGGATTCGTGAGCCGGCTATCGCAACGCATCGTGGGTCTGCTGATCCCACTCGCATGACACGAACCGAAACCGAACATGATAGAGTATGAGTGGAACCGGCGCCTCGTATGAGCTATAGACGCGGCACCGCATGTACCATATGAATGAAGTCGCACTGCGACACATGATCGACATGTTAGGCAAATTCAAGAGCCATGAAACACTGTTTTGAAAATTGCGATTCAAAATGATTGCAAACCGAAATCGTCTCACACGACACTCCTACCAAAGTCCCTCTAACTCCAAGCCACTGTGACCCCCTTCTCCGCACTCTCCAATGCCAACTCAATCAGTCTGATCCCATTCCTCGACTCTTCCGCTTTGACCACAACCTCCTTCTCCCCTCTCACCGCAGCCACAACATCGCGATAGTAATCCACATAACACCCTCTCTGACTCTTCACCGTTCCGTCAAACTTATTCCCTTCCAACCTCGTACTCAACCACCCATGATACTTCTCCGGCTCAACCCCAAACTTCTCCTCATCCGTCACCGACACCCCATCAAAAAACTGCTCAATCTGAGGATCTTCGCCCGTCTTATGGAATGTCCCGTGTGTGCCCAGAACACGATATTTGAGGATCTTGTGTGTCGGCAGTGGAATGACAGCTGTGGTTTTTATGGTCACGAGGAGGTCCTTCTGATCACCATCGTACTGTAAGATGATGGTGAAACTATCGTCGGCGCCATTCTTCACGAGGAGAGAGCGCGTGAACGCTGTGACTGATTTCGGGACGCCGAAGAGGAGGAGCGTTTGGTCGATGGAGTGGGAGCCAAGTCCGTACAGGAGACCTTCGCCAGGTTGGGCTGTGGCATTTTTACTGTTGTGCATCCAAGGAGGATTGTCGACCGAGTAGTGGTTTTCAAATTCGGTGATTTTGCCAAAGGACTTTTGATCGATTAGGTGTTTCAGTGTGCGAAAGTCGGAGTCGTAGCGCCGGTTTTGGAAACACGTTAAGATTTTACCGGTCTCCTTGGAAAGAGCGATGAGCTTGTCTGCTTCGGCGGACGTGATGGTGAAGGGTTTTTCGACCACGACATGTTTTCCAGCCGAGAGGGCTTGTTCGGCAAATGTGGAGTGCGTGCTATGACCGGTGCAGACGATAACAAGTTCGATTTCGATGTCGGCGAAGAAGTCTTCTGGTGTACGATAGTGCTTGGCTTGAGGATAGTCTATGGTACAATGCTTGCGAGGTTCGTCGCCTTTCGGAGCTTCTGCTCTTTGGAGAAATGAGTAGACCTGCAGGTCCGGGTTGGGGAGGATGTATGGCAAGTGAAAGGTGTTTGTTGACGAGCCGTATCCGATGAGTCCAACTTTGATAGGTGCCATAGTGTCTTGACCTAGCGTAGTACCGCTTGAGAAAATGTCCGGCTCTCGACTTCTTATACCTGCCTAAGCGGCCGCTCCAGAGCTCAACTCCGCACCGCTTTAGCCTAAAGGTTTATGAATGATTCAAATGTGCATGGGCTGTGTTGTGAAGCACGCAATCCTGAAAAGCAGATGGCGGGTATTCTCCTGGAACCCGGAGGCAGGCAAAATCAGTTATGAGAGCATGTTAATGTTTTGACTTCATTCGATGAATACAGAGCGGAGTCTTCCAGCTACTTCTTCTTCGCAGAAGACGAATCGTCTGAAGACTTGGATGTGCCAGCCAGGAAACCTGCCAAATCGAAGTTCTGCATTTGCGCGGCTGCGCCAGAGCTGCCAGATAGCGGGCTTTTGGCGCTCATCTCCTCGAACTCCGCCTTTGCTTCCGGATCCACTGCGATGAATTAGCATAGAATTGGCGAGTGGTCTGTTCTTTGCAAACTTACTGTTCTCCATGATGTACGGCATGCCGACTACCAGCACCAAGGACGCCAAAGCCATCAGAATCATCGGACTCTTCAAGAAGCTGAGAATGTTGAAGCCGCCTCTTTCTTGGTAGAACTGCTTCTCGGCCCCAGCTTTGACATCAATCTTCAGTTCATCTTTTCCCGTCCCGAAAGACTGCCCTTTGTTGTCCCACTCGTTGCCTCTGAAAGTTGCCCAAGCACTGATGTTTTGCGAACTTTCGCCCTCACTTTTCGTGACATCCACTCTTAAAGGCGGGAAGAAGTGGTCCCGAGATTGTATTGTGAGCAGATAGCTGGCATCTGGAATATCTTCGAACAAGAAAGTGTTGTCTCTACGGATCGGAGCATCGTAGCGTACACCTGGAGGCCCGAGTAGCACTGCGTGGCTTGAGGATGGAAGGGTCGATGGATTCGGCAGCAGTTGTGATGGCGGGATGGAAACAGTCAACTTAGCCGCCGATGCCAGTGCGGCACATGCAAGGACGAGCGCGCTGCGTATTGATGCCATGTCGGTGGTGTTTGCAAGCGATGTCGCGAATCGATTGCTTCCAGGTCGACGTTTGACCTTCACCACGAGCACATGCCTTATCGCCCGCGGATCTATCCGGCAATCTTGTATCCTATTTACACTGTGTCGTACGAGATGCTCCTTTCCTTCACACTTGAAACCTCGCTTGTGCTTTTACTGACCGCTTTGTATTGAGCTGCATTCCGATATTAAATTAATTCTATGCACCATTCTGCATCTCTCCTATTCACCACGTTTTGCTCACCGTCTTAATCACAGCATAGTACAACATGATCGATTGACATATAAACGGCACACCCCTCATCGCAAGGCTTCGCATCAACAAGACAATATGGCATCTACAAGTCCTCTCCTGCGTCTCCCGCGCGAACTACGCGACATCATCATGCTCGAAGCAATGACAATACGCGCACCGCCACCAACAAGAGCCTTCCGAACAATACCTCCTCCCGGAACCGATGGTCAATTCTACCTATGGTCAGAACATTCCAACTGGCAATACCTCAACCTCCTTGCAGTCAATCGCCAAATTCGCGCCGAAGCAAACGACCTCACAATGCAACTCTACAACGCCAAAAGACTCCGCTTCGAGATCGATATCCTTGTCAAGGGATACGTTTACACGCCTAAATGGACGCTTCAAAATCTAGCCTTGCAGCCTGGTTCAACGTTAGATCTCCAAGTCAATCTTAAGATCCTCAGCACCGAAGCCTTTCGCGCGAATGACGGCTGGCCTCGTCAGCCAGGCCACATTTTTCGAACACTTCTCAATTTTCTCTCTCGCTTCCTTCATCTCGGTCCAACATTTCTAAACGATGACGCTCCCTTCTCCACGCCAGGGCCATTCTTTCTGCGCAATCTGCACTTGAACGTCACGTTCCAAGACGACTATACTCGTGCGACCCATGCTGAGACGGTCCGGGAAATCTGTCGGATGATGAAAGCTTTGAGCAAACTTGACACAGCAAGCAAATACATTGGCAGGATCCAAGTTGATGCTTCATGGCAAGTGCAAGGAGAGGATTTTCAACTGCAGCGAGAGTGGAATTTGGATGAGAAGTCGAAGCTGACTAATGGTGAGGGAGAGGAGCTCAGAGAATCTGACTGGGCCGCTCTGGGCTTTCATTTTGGAGATGCTTGGTTGCAGAAATATGCACACTGCAATGATCGTGCAGGATGATACCTAGCTGGTATTCGTGCGTCTATCAGCAATCTGGGCTGCTCAGTATACGGCGCAGATAAACGCCTAAAGGTAACATCAGGCCCAGCAGCATGGGAGAAAATGCACCTCTTTGTCATAATGGACGATGACCTGATATCATCCAATGTCTCCAGCCGATGCACCTCATGATCACCATCGCTTCGCTAATGCATAGGAACGCTCAGAATTCCTTCCTTGGAACGTGCAGGGCTTCCACCTGGAATACCCTAGTATCCACCAGCGCCGCATTGATGCCGTATGCCACAATCTCGTCCACTATGCTCTGTTCCTCGTGATTAGCTCTGCGTTCTGGGAACAGAGAGCTTCCCTACTTCCCCTCTCATCCAGTATAGCTGAATTCATGGATATTGTCGAAGGCAGCCACGGGCTTGCGTCGACGCCTCACTTGTTCCTGCCCTCTTTCAAACTGAGTTTTGTATGCCGTTTCACGTATTGCCTTCCGACATCTCCTCACTTCTGCCAGTCTCACTGGAAAGGATGCTGCTGCTATCTGATCCAGAGCTGCCTGCCTCCATGACGTATCCTTCAGTCCTCTCCACCAGACTGCGATAATATTCTTCGAGAGTCTCAGGCTTGGGTACAATCTTCCAGTCGACGCGTTGTAAAAGCTCAAGTTCGAGAGTTGCCAACTCCGACACCGGTATCCCCCCAATTCTTGCGTAAGTGGGGTTGGTCCAGAAGGAGTCGCTCAAGCCCTTGGCGGCCACGGTTGCCGCAGTTATCAAAAACCGGTGAACTGTGAGGCTATTGATCGTGAATGCGGGGTACATCGTGCAAAGGCGATCGATATAATACACCATGCTAAGGAGTATTGGTGGTGATAGCGTTGCATGCTGTATCAAACGCTGCAGGTAGTCTGATACACTGATCCCTGGAGGCGCTCTCGAGTGAAATCGAGTCAGTCTCCCGTCACGTAACGGGATCTGATCGTTGATGCGAATGAGCTCCATGAGCATATTGGAGACAAGGACTCCAAGTTCTTTCGTGCTAGCCTTCTCATATCTGACTGGCATAGCCTTAACAGATCCGGGCTCCGCTTTCGATCTTTTCGGAGCGGCGGAGTGACCATGGGTAGATCGCGCCTCTTGCAGTGCCGGCGATGAGCCACCTGTGTTCCCAGCGGGGTCTGATCGCGGATCGGGTTCCTCTGGCATTCGCTGTGTTCCATGTGGCGCGCCGGATGAGGCGCTGGCGCCGCTCATGGGCTCTGGCGACGAGTCTGGAGACGTCAATGTCTCCTTGCGCTTCCTCCCACTGCGCGCCCCAACCTCTGAGCCCGGAGGCTTCCCTACTGCGACAGCCAGCTTGGCGCCTGCCGTCGGTGGGAGACCGTCCGGACTGTACTGCGTGCCGGTGCTGACATACGCCCCGGCAGCGGCGAATGAACTGCTGTCGAACGGAATGTGCTTGTCGGGCTGCTGGGGTGCGGCGCTGCTCTGCGCATGTGTTCGACGCGGCGAATGGGTGGAGAAGGCGCGCGGGGAGTTTCGGGTCGCGGCGGCGGGGGAGCGAGCGCTGGACGCAGGGCCAGTGTACGACGCGCGCGGACTCGGGTGGTGGAAGGGGTTGCGAGGGGAGTGCGAGGGAGAGGAAGTTAGGGTGGACATGAAGCTGACGGGTAGACAGTGCAGTTCGAAGAGAACGGCCGAATCCTGGTCATGACTTGAACTGTGATAGGGCGGCGGCGGCGGATTCGGTGCCTGTGTCGTCTGGCAGCAGCGGCACGCCGGCAGCACGCAAAGGAAGCGAGCGGGCGATACAAAGAGGTGCGACGTTGATGTCGCGCTGCCTGTCGGCCTGCCTCTGAGACTGACGAGTATTCTGTGGCGACGCTAGCACGTGGCTGCGATCGACGGTCTGGCGAAACGGCGTTACTGCCGAGTGGGTTATCCCGATTGTGTTCCGTCGTGGGCTACATGTAGTTCATCGAGAATTTCAAGAGGGTAGTCTCTATGTTGCACCGAACTGCGGTGTAGCACTGCTAAGCGCCTGGTTTTCAACTGAACCGGAACCCTCACCCTCCCAGGTCACAAGGCACCGAGACTGAGCATGCCATCGCGACTACCCCACGTCCAGCAGCCACAATCATCAAGGTCGGCGCTACTGCATCGGCGCAGAATGAAACCGAGATGGGGACGAAACTCATATTCGCAGCACTACAGGCGGTTGCTCTTGTCCAAAGCATTTCAAAACCCCCCAGCAGACTGTAGCCTCAGTGGCACTTATGTGCTCGAAAGGCTGTAACATTATCTCTGGCATGTTCGAGCTCCAGTTCAGATGCCTACCCGAAGCCAATCCCTTGAGTATATTGTAATATGCGTACTCAGCGACAGGCATCTAGGAGCTCATATGAGCGATTGAGCGCCATAGCACTGCGGGCAGGAGGGGCAATTGCATCCCCGGCAGATGGCTTGAGATGCGCGAAGATGAAATGTGTGTTGGTGTAAATGTAGCAGCCATCGGTAAGGAAAGCACGTCTCATTGCTCAAAAGGCTACGTTTTCCAGCTATGGCGCCATGACTTCGCTCTTGGATCCATAATAGAGTACGACTGGCACAGAGGGACCAAGCGACCACAATAAACAGAATCCGAAATGAGTGAAGAGAGAAGGTAGAATTGGTGCACAGAATTCAAGGTTATAAGGAAGAGAAGGGCCCGCCCGAGCCAATGGGAGGAAAGAGCTTTCCACTGACACGGAAAGCTCCCTCCTCATGTAGGTAATCGACTTCTGAACGCTATCGCCTACACACCACGGCCACACGCCACTCTCTCCTCCCTCTCCCCGAGCACGACAGTGAGGCCAGCGTAACACAATGCGGTCCCATCTGTTGCGCTCAATACCGCGCACGCCCGCGCTGGCCGCCCGCAATGGCTCCCGGGCGGCGCGCACCTTTGCCACGACCGCACAACGCCAGGCCGACGTCGAGCTCACAGTAGATGGAAGGAAGGTTTCAGTGCCAGGTACGTGGTAGATATGGCTGAGAATATAACGTTGTCAGACTGACAGTGTGGTACAGCCGGCACCGCGCTCATCCAGGCATGCGAGAAAGCTGGAGCTACCGTGCCCCGATACTGCTACCACGAGAAACTCATGATTGCCGGCAACTGCAGAATGTGCCTCGTCGAAGTCGAACGCGCTCCAAAACCTGTAGCATCATGTGCTTGGCCTGTACAACCCGGAATGGTCGTGAAGACGGATAGTCCGCTTGCCCACAAGGCTCGAGAAGGTGTCATGGAATTCCTGCTGGCGAACCACCCATTGGACTGCCCCATTTGCGATCAAGGTGGCGAGTGTGATTTGCAAGATCAGAGCATGAGATACGGAGCAGACCGTGGGCGATTTCACGAGTTGAGCGGCAAGAGAGCAGTCGAGGACAAGAACATTGGACCTTTGGTCAAGGTAGGACACCGTTCCAGCAAGGCGTCGAACCACATGCTGACGCTTGTAGACATCCATGAACCGCTGCATTCACTGCACGCGTTGTGTTCGCTTTGCTAACGATGTTGCTGGCGCGCCAGAACTCGGCTCAGCGGGACGTGGAAACGACATTCAAATTGGCACATACCTCGAAACCGCACTGGACACTGAGCTCTCTGGAAATGTCATCGACCTCTGCCCTGTTGGTGCCCTGACATCTAAGCCTTATGCATTCCGCGCTCGTCCTTGGGAACTTGGTCACACTGAGACTATCGATGTTATGAACGGCCTCGGAAGCAACATTCGCGCAGACTCTCGAGGACTCCAGGTCATGCGCATCCTTCCCCGCCTGAACGACGATGTCAACGAGGAATGGATTGACGACCGAAGCCGATTCGCCTGCGACGGCCTCAGCACACAACGCCTGACTACGCCCTTAATTCGCCGCGACAACCAATTCCAGCCTGCCACGTGGGAGAATGTACTCGTCGAGATCAAGGACAAATTTGATGAGCTTCAACCAAAGGGCGACGAGATCAAGTTCGTGGCAGGTGAGCTCGTGGAGACGGAGACTCTGGTCGCTGCTAAGGATCTTGCCAACAAATTGGGCTCGGAAAACCTCGCTCTTGATTTCACTCAAGGTTCCAGCCCGGTTGCGCACGGTGTTGATGTCAAGACTAACTTCTCCTTCAATTCGAAAATTGTTGGCGTGGAAGAGGCTGATGTTATCCTTCTGGTCGGAACCAACCCCCGACATGAAGCTGCCGTGCTGAATGCTAGAATACGCAAGCAATGGCTGCGATCCGACCTCGAAGTTGGACTCGTAGGCGAGGACTTTGAATCCACTTTCGAGTACGAGAACCTTGGAGCCAACGCGAAAGACCTCAAGAGTGCACTCAGCGGTCCCTTTGGGGAGAAGCTCAAGAACGCACAACGACCATTGATCATTGTCGGCTCTGGAGTCACGGAACACAAGGACGCCAAGTCCATCTACGAGACCGTCGGCTCGTACGTCGAGAAGAACAAGGCTAACTTCCAGACCCCAGAATGGAACGGCTACAATGTTCTGCAGCGTGCAGCCTCGCGCGCTGGTGCGTACGAAGTCGGCTTCACCGTGCACAACCCAGAGACCACCAACACAAAAGCGAAGGTCATGTGGCTGCTCGGCGCAGACGAAATCGACGCTGCCGATATTCCCAAAGACACATTCGTTATCTACCAGGGACACCACGGTGACCGTGGCGCGGCCCTGGCTGATGTCGTCCTTCCAGGAGCTGCATATACCGAGAAGGGTGCCACATATGTGAACACTGAAGGCCGTGTGCAAATGTCTCGTGCAGTCACTTCCGTATATGGAGCGGCGCGGGAGGATTGGAAGATCATCCGCGCCGTTTCGGAAGCGCTTGGCCAACCGTTGCCATATGACGACGTTGAAGCCCTTCGCGACCGCATGGAGGAGATCTCACCAGCACTTCGAAGATACGACATCGTTGAGCCTACGTCAAAGGAACTACAAGCTCTCAGCAAGGTCCAGCTTGTTGAGCAGAACAAGGGCGCGACTGTTTCGGGCGAACCTCTCAAGAAGCCTATTGAGAACTTTTACTTTACAAACACCATCACACGATCATCGCCCACGATGGCGAGATGTTCAGCCGCAAAGGCTGCCAAGGACCCTTCAACGAATTTTCAAGCGCCGGGAGAACCAAACGTCACACCCTACTACGGGCCTCCCGAGCTTGCGGCGGGGGCGAGTGCTTGAGAGGGAGGTTAGTGTGAGGCGTTTGGGCTGTATATATTTCGCTCGAGGCGTTGAAAGAAGCAGCATGTATGTTATACCACGAATACAGCTTTCCCTGTGTGCACAAGCCCATCACAGGGCCCACCGAACAACACCTTCATCCTCATCAGGAACCTCACTAAGAAAGCAGCCATGGGCATATTTGCCAGCCATTCACATTTACGCCGAAGGGCGTCGAGCGTGAGGATCATTGGACGCCATCCAAAATCGAGAACATTGTCTGAAGCGGGTAAACACATTTGCGACTGATTTGGGATGGTAGGTAAAGTCTGATTGCCGAAAACTCCAACTCGGTACGACAGGAATCCTCATATCTACAGCCATGGTATCGTATCATTCCCATCACATAAACGCCCTCAAAACTTATCCCATACCGATATTTCAAGCCCTCGCGCCAGCAACAGGGCACTGCGCCGCAGAAGCGTTGTTCGCAACCTGCTTGTGCTGATGGACCTTCGCCTTGTGGTGGTCCAAAGTGGCATTCGTGACTGGGCACACCGCGCCAGCCTCCGTCTCATTCAAAGCGGGGTGCTGAGGTGGGAGGTGGCTGTTCACTGCTCCGACGACAGGGCACACAGCATCGGTGATAGAGTCACCGCTGCTGGCAGCATTCTTGAGTGCAGGGCACTGCGAGGCGTCCATGGCATCCTTCTTGCTGCCAGGCTCCTGGATCTCGGAAGGATGGTTGTGGATAATGTTGTCGTGATGCTCGACTTTGGCGTTCGTGACAGGGCAGCGAGCCTCGGAATCTGTAGTTGTTGGTCAGTGTAAGTCCGTGCAAAGCTTGCTTCATGGCCTGCTCACCATGTGGAATCTCGGGATGAGAAGGAGGAAGGACATTGGTAGTCGTTCCGACAACAGGACACACGGCAGCCATGATTGCGGATGTTTATTGAAAGCTTCTGTTGATGTATTGATGTTGATTTTTGAGGTCAGTGTCGTGGTCGATGACGAGTGCCGTAGAAACAAAGAGCACGGAATCCGAAGAATGGGACCGCTGTTATAAACACCCCCGCGCTCAAACCTTGCGAGCTCTTTGATCTAAACCTGGGCTGAGCCGTTTTGGAGGCAGTGGCCCCGCTTACGTCGCGCAGTTTTCATTGGCCCGTGGCCACTCATGAGCTCGAGGCTTAATCTTTCTTACACTTTTGAGGCGACACTTCACCTCGTGAGCCGCGTGGATGCGCACCAGCTGCAGATTCTGGTCGTACAATGACGACGTTTGACAGATCCCTCCGCGACACCGCCTTCTTGAGGATTTTTCGGAATTAAACAACAAGGACAAGCACATTGCGTGAAGTTCGAAGGCGATCAACAACTGCGCAGAAGACCACAAACGTGATTCCAGAGCTTCTAGCGCCTTAGCTGTCAGGAGACTCAGCCTTCTCGACCGTTTCAGGCTGATGCCGGACGCTCCAGAACGCAAAGCTCCAAGTGCAGCACGTGGTCATGTGAGCCTAGCTGGCTTGGGATGGCAACGTGCGCAATTATTTCTAAGCTCAATTGCATTCTCTTCACTGAGCAATGCGTCGTGAGCAAGCTCTTGGCACCCCGTTTGGCCATATGACAGTCCGAATGTGAGATCTCTGTCGCAAACCTCAACAAGTGGGCCGTTCCATCTGTGTCTTCCTTCGAAGATCCTCCTCATCTGGAAACCTGATTGTCCGTTGCTCGGCGACTACTGGAGGTGTGACGGTTCCCGATGATGGCTCAGACGATCGAATTCGAGTATCAATAAGACGCGGCGGTAATGGCAGAGGTCCAGATCGCGCTATGCTGGGCGACCGTGAAGGTCTCTCCGACGATAGAGCCATGGAAATCGTTCTTGGGAGATGGAACCCGAGCTTTGCAACTGGCACAGAGAGCCCATGACACACGATCGAGCATATGCAAAGGAACCAAACGATCACCAAAAGAGCTTCGGACAAGTGGTGAGCGTCGGAGCGCTCATGGTTGTCCGCCATTACCTCTCGAAGGAACTCCCGAGACACGTACAGGTAGAATATGGCGGACACTCCGATGGGCCCAAACCAGCCAGTGAAAGCCGTCTGCTTCCAATCTTCGAGCTGATGAATTTGCTTTCGGAAGAGAAAGACCATGGGCAGCCGGCGCAAGAGAAGGACGAGAATTCCGAGCGGGATCAGTCGATAGATGGGAATCGCCTCGTTGTCAACGAATTTGTGCCAAGGACAGACTGCGCCGAACCACATGAAGACAGACACGTTGAGTAGCATGTCGATCGTCGGCTGTAGGGAGTCGTCTTCTGTCTCGACCCTGAACCAATCATCCCAGGTGAAGACGTTGCCTGCAATGAAGCAAGCTAACACGTCATCCGATCCGATTAATCCCACGGTGCCTACAATGAAGAGCTGTCTCAGTGTCAGTTGCCTGTTACCTCAATGAAACGCGTCGATTCAGCTTACCGCAAGCGTGATAGCAAATACAAGAAATGATTCTCGGTCGACGAAGCGCCGCTCCTCAGCCCAGTGCAACAGCTCTTTCGCAACCCAGCCGACAATTGCGCCATACACGACTGATAAAACGATGGTGTACGCCCACGTCTCTCCAAACCATAGTCCCATTGCATAGCCAACGCCAATGTGTTTTTGTCCGAAGCCTCCCTCGCCGGCGTATTTGAGCAAATACAATCCTAGGAAGAGAAATGGATATCCAAGGCCATCATTTGCACCAGACTCTGCAATGATGATTTTCTGCAAAGGACGAGGAATGTTCTTATCTGCAAACTTGCCCTTGACAATGCTGTTACTGAGGATGGGATCCGTGGGCGTAACGCAAGCTCCGATGCTCATTGCCATGACAAAATTGATCTTCGGCACAAGAGCCCAGACAAGCAGCGATGTAGTAATCCACATCTGAAAGTAATAGGTGTAAGCGATAGTCACTGTCTCACATGTGGTGGCTGGGGTAGGAGTTCCACCTATGACTTTACTTACCATACACATGCCTGGTCCTACCAGCATAGCCAAGCTTTTTCGCTCTGTCCATAGGTACTTGCTCGGTAGTTGGACCCCGGCAAGCACAAGTTGTACTCCGAGGACCAGTCGCGTGAAGTAGAGCGTGATTGTCTCCAGATCCTCGGGGTTGTGATCCGCGTAGTCGAGCGGTCGGATAAAGTTGGCGGCATGAGGGCTAAATAGCAGGCCTGCTATGGTGCTGATAAGTGCTTCTGACAGGTAGTACTTCTCCTTCAGAAGATACGATACCAGCCCGAAGATTGTGATGAAGCCTCCTAGCGTAGCGCAGACGATGTTGAAATTCACCAGCGATAGCGTGGGCATGATCGGTGTTCAGTCTCTGTGCGTCTGGTCGGCTGCGGGCGATGGACACGAAGATGACCGATCCTATCGACACAGAAACGCAACGCGCCTGTTTTCTGCAGACGGCAGGCTTTGTCTTGCTGCAAGAGAAGCAGCTCCTTTATCTTCGTGCCAGTGGTGGCGGTCTACGGCGGTTCATGGGCCGTTGCGCGTGCACTTGTCATGCGGTGATCCTTGGGGGACTCAAACTTTAGGCGCCTAGTCGCGATTGACACTCGCTTATTCGCACTGTTCGACCCTCAATCATGATGCATCGTCATCCGGGTTTGGTGGATGTTGTGTGGTTGACGACCTGTCGATCCGGCAAACGTCCCCGGAAAACTCTGAGTTCCACGGCATTCCTCAACCTCGAAGAGGCAACAACGACTTCCACATCTGTTGCAGCATTGGCATTCATACAAGCAGCATGACAAGCTCAACTACCGCATTGCGCCATCTGTGCTTTCTGATCCAAGGAACTGGCCTGGCCGATCCTCGGGCATGGCTAGAGCTTTGCGATGCCTGACTGCATCAGTTCAGCGACCTATTATCGGCCGCCAGTGACATCCCCGCACCCCACATCGTAACAAGCTGCTGCCCACTCCTGCCACCCAACACCTGAGTTGGTGTACGGGAAGGGTCTTGAACTGTGAGGGTAGACTGTGAGGACTGCATAGTCTACGCAAGATACGGCACGTCAACATGACCGAGAATTTTCCAAGGCCCACCCGGTCGTTGAAGGGCCGGACAGCAATCGTAAGTGCAGCATTCCCGAGTATCACTGAGTGGCAGGCACAAGTGCTCAAAGTAAGATCTCTAGGTCACAGGTGCTGGTGCTTTAGGAGATGGCATAGGCAATGGCAGAGCTGGTGCCATTCTATTGGCTGAAGCTGGCTGCAGCGTGGTCTGCGTCGACATCAAACATGAGCTTGCTCAACGAACAGTGGAAATGATTGAGGAAGATGGCTTCGGTCAGGCTGTTGCTGTTGCAGCCGACGTTACAAAAGAAGCTGAATGCAAGGGCATTGTAAGTACTGCTATTGAAAAGTTTGGGCGCCTGGACATTCTTGTCAACGTGGTAGGCGTTGGGGGCGCCACTGGAACTGCAGTGGAGGTAGACATGGTGGAATTTGCAAAGGGCATGGAGATCAATGTTGGCAGCATGGTGAGCAGTCGAACGTGGCAATGTACTCGCGTACACGCGCTCACGGAAATAGGTCATGATGGCCAAATTCGCGATCCCCGAAATGAAGAAGAACGATGGGCAGTAAGCGAGTACCTTTCCCGGCCGTCTTGTTGATACGGAGGGCCCTGCCCATAGGCCGTTGTGGGACCAAGGAACGACGTATGCTAACTGTTCTTTGCACGACAGATGGCGGGGCAGTATTGTCAATATTGCCTCTGTCGCTGGCATTCGTGGTGGTAGGTCTCTCACCAAAGGACTCCCCATGCTCGTTGGAACTTGAGACTTACAGTCAATAGGCAATCCTCACTTGCTTTACCCTACCTCGAAAGGTGCTATTGTGGTGGGTTGGAAAGATATATCGACCTGGTGATGTATGAAGACACTGACTATGCCGCAGAATATGACTAGAGCCATGGCTAGCCATCACGCACCAGACGGCGTTCGTGTCAATTGTGTCTGTCCCGGTATGGTATATACGCCGATGATGTACGGACCTGGTATGTCAGAAGAAGCTCGAGAATCGAGAAAGAACAGGAGTCTCCTGAAGACAGAGGGTACGGGTTGGGATGTCGGAGCCGCAATTCGGTTTCTTGCGGGAGATGAAGCTCGATGGTACGTATGGCTTCCTCTGTCCAATATGCCGGGCGCTGAGCTAATGACTGCAGGATGACTGGAGTTATCTTGCCTGTCGATGCGGGCTCCACCGTCGCCACAGCAAGCGATGTACCGAGTGTCAATCCCAAGTCGAAGTAGTAATCACAGAGAAGCATGAAGGTCCGTGCAGGGTTGGTGGCGGAATCCTCCGATCTGCTGCAGCCAATTTGCAAAAATACATCGATTACGAAATGAAGACAGAGGTGATGATCTCTGTGTAGTCGTGCCCTTTCCCGGAATGAACCACCACCGCTTCAGCAGGCACTCTTCTTACAAAAGTTGCAGTGTGACTTCGGATTGCCTACGCGGGCTGTAGGCTATGCGTGAGAAGTACGCTTGCTCGCGCGCACTCGGGCTCGACCGTTCGGAAATCTCAGAGGGGTTCAATGCGTTTGTGCTTCGCGACGGCGTGCAGGAGCGGCGGCTCGGTTTTCACTGTCGATTGTCGCCGAGATAAAGAAGAGCATGCAATGGTAAAGACAGCGCGCGCGAGACGCGCTCCTCATTGCGCGAAGCAGTGAAGTGAAGGCGGGAAGGTGCGGTGTCAATGCGCGCCGCTGCCTGACGCGCCTTCCTCAGGAAGCTGCAGTGCAGCCAGCGTCCGGGTCTCTGCTGTGCCCTCTGCCCTCTTCGTCTCGTCTCGTCCACCTCTTCTTCTTCTTCTTCCTCGAACACCCACACCCACTTCGTTTCAAGAACTTCACAGCACCCACATCTTCCATTCCCCAGCGAAATCACGCCATGGCCGTCAACAAGACCATTTACGTTGTGACCACCGCCGAAGGTATCTCGACCATCCATTCCACCCAGGATGCCGCAAACACCGCTGCCAACGCCCTTGAAGGTGCTTCCGTGGAGGAGCACGAGCTGAGGTGAGTCTCCGCCGGCCGCGCGACTTGACGCCGTTGCTAACAGAAAGCCAGAACGACCGGCAAGAAGGGCACGAAGAAGCGAACCGCATCCTCCGGCGAATCTGGTGCAGCACCCACCAAGAAGGCAAAGACCACCAAGCCTGATGCTCAGCCACTGGAGGGCGTCGACGACGTGTTCCTGGGCAAGAAGGTCGGTTTTCCTGTTGCTGATCGCCACTCAAAACTGACTTGAGGCAACAGATGTGCTTCATCGGATCCATGAAGCTGAAGCGCGAACTCATGGAGCAAACGGCCACGAACCACGGTGCCGCCTCGACCACTAAGAAGATGTCAGAGGCAGATGTCATCGTCACTGGCACCCGATTGAGCGAGAACCAGACTCAAGAGATCTCTGACAACGCCTTCCGCACCATCACCGAGGACGAGTTCAAGGTGAGCTGATCACGTCGCTTGTAGTTGCTGCAGAGACTAACGCTTCCACTACAGATCTGGCTCACCACTGGTGATGAGCCAGCAGAGTGAACAGCAGGGCAGGAGAGTGGAACCACGATGACTGCCGCCGACGCTGGCAAAGGCCGCGCGAGCTTGCATGGGTATTTGAGTGACTGCATAGTGCCAGCGAGCATTATCACTAGCTGTACTGTACGATGAAGCATCATTAATAGCCGCATGATGGAATGACGACCGCCATAGTGGTGGCATCGCAATGCAACTCTTTCGTCTATCATCAATCATGCACCAAAGTTCATCTTGAGCGCGATTGTGGGCTCGCGATCCTCGGCGCCATCTTGCCTGGCGCCGCGGTTGCCCGCTTGCGATTTCAATATCTGCTCCATCAATTGCTTCTTACCGCCAGACATGCTGCCAATGATGCTTCGGAATGTGGCATTATCCGTGGCGGCCAGCTCAAGTAAACGAGATGCGAAAACTTGGTGCGATGAAGGACCGTCCTTGCCCGCACAGCTGAGCAGCACGTCGATTAGGAGCATCACTGCCGCTGGCTTTTGGTCCGGCGCCAGCTTGCCAACGGCCATTGTGAGTGTTTGAGCCGCCACGTGTCTCGACTCCGCGATGCCTTCGAGGTCAGATGCGTCGAGCACGAAGCCGACAAGATGTGAGAAAGTCAGGCGAGGAGCAACGCCTTGACTGACCAGAGTCCGATAGCATCCCGCAGCCGTTCTGGTGGTCATGGGTGCAGCGAGACATTCTCGAAGCTCGTTGACGAAGCGAAGGACGAGAGGGTCATCAGCGCCAAAGTACGACTGCGCTGTAGAGAGTAGGACCGTGACGGCGAGGAGCGTATTCTTTTCGCAAGGCAAGCTCGCCTCCGTCTCTCTCTTTTGTGCGTTCCGCAGAATTGCCAACATGCGTTTCAAAGTGTTTTGGATCTGCTGCTTCGTCTCCGGCCTTTCATCCTCGGCAAGACTCGACACGAAACGCCTGAAGATTGGCAGTGCTTGAGGTACAACTACAGCCTGACAACTCGCCGTTCCGAGAATCGTGACGAAGATGTTCAAGATCGATGCGTGCAGATCTGTTTTGATGATGGACGGGAACACTTCGGATACATCGACCAGCGCCTGAAGAGCATCACGGACTAGGTTGGTCGCTTCTTCTGAGTTCTCCAGATGCCCTGCCACGGGAGTTTCGGTGAGGCCTGGTACCAATCCCGCAATGACCAGAATGATGATACGCGTCAGCTCGAACAATTGCTCGATATCATCGGAGAGTGTGTCTTCACTAGTAGGATCCTGCTGGCCCTTCCGGGATGAAGGATGCACAATGCACAAGTTGCGGGCGATATCCACAATGATGCCCTGCATTCCCAGACTTTCTGTCAGAACCATGCGATCGAGCAGGTCCATTGTTTCTGCAAAGACCACCTCTTGATAGACGGCATTGCCGGAGACTGATGGCCGCAAAATCTTTTTAAGAGCGGCGAGGATGTCGAGATTCTTTTGCCGTATCAGGACGTCGTCATCGCCGCTGCGAACAGCAAGCGACTCGAAAGCCAGACCGTACAGCACGAAGAAGAATGCTACTGGCTCTTCCCGGTAATTGATCCCTGCCGCACGCCGGGCAATGCCATTGACGGCACCAGGATCCTTCGCAGTGCTGTCCTGCTCTGTGTCTTTGTTGTCGAGAGCATCGAATACGAACTCACTGTCCTCGTCGATCAGACTAGCAATGGCGTCGACAAGACTCAGCCAGGAAGCCTGGTAGAATTTGAGCAAGGTCTCCCTGTTCAGTGCGGCGTAGACCATGTCCAGATCACCTGATGTCGCTGGAGTAGCTGTGGTTGCCGAAATGTCAGGCTCGAAACGCAGCCGTGCGTATTCTCGCAGAGAAGATATCCAGAGTGGCACGAGCTGAGCGATGTGAGGTCTCACGATCTCCACCAGGTACTCCTGGTCGCCGCTGGCTATTTGTAATTCGGCCCAGGCTGAGAACACCGCCATCCGGACCATGACTTGCGCGTTAGCAGTGAGACCTTTTAGATCGCCGATAGCAGCGGTATCTGTATCGCGCGAGAAGCTGTCAAGAGCAGAAACAAGTGTCTTCAGGATCCGTCCCATACGCTCAGCGTCGCGAACAATGCCTGTTGCAATGAACGTCGCGCAGACATTGACCGCCGCGGCCGCAAGCTCAGGCGAGGAGTCTGCTGCGAAAGCAGGGGTCAAGGCAGAGCTGATCTGCGCTTGGTACTGCTCCAGCAGCATTGCCTCCGCGAAGTCAGGATCTGGAGTTCTCCCGAACATCTTAAGGATCTGGTCGATAATTTGCATGCCGACAACTCGCAGCGACGTCACTCCTGCAGTGGAGGCCGAGAAAGCGATGCGAATGACATCCGCCACCTTGCTCTGGAGTGCAGCCTCTCCTGGGCTGTCATCACTGATTGCAGCTTGCTTTCTGATCATGGCGATCAGGTTTCGCAGGCACTCCATAGCGAAAAGTCGTACTTGCCATCGCATCAACTCTTGTGCAGAAGACGAGGCTTGGGAATCATCTTCCTTCTGTGCACCAGCAGTGATGGCAAAACCTGCCACCTCTTCGTCTTGAAGATCTGGGCCGGCTGTTGAGGCCGGCACCGCTGTTTTCAACTCCTGTTCCGCTTTGACCACAGTCTTGGTCAAGATCGTATTACACCTTTCAATCCAGTCTCCAGGGTCGCTCGTGCCAGTCTGCTGCAGCCAGTTCGAGAAGATGTTCTGTATTGATTTCTGGCCAGGCTCTTCATTGAGACAATCCCATAAACGATTCTCGAGACCAGGGCGAGCAGTGCGTATGATTTCCGGCGCATCGCGTCGCATCAAACCAAACAGGCCATGCAGCGCAGTTGAAGCGATCTCCTTTGATGGCGAATCCGCGTCTGACTGGAGTCGATGCACGTATTGCTCGAACTGCATGTGGCCAGGAGCGTAAAGCGAGAGATGCTCGAAGCATCTGAGGCTCTCGAGAAGGACAGCGACTTCGGCCTCCTGCGAGAATAGGCGGACTAATGTCAATATCATGTCTCGAGCCTTCGCGGCATCTTGAAGATCAGGTCCAAGCACATTGATGATTGAGTCAACACCTCGTGCTATAGCTGCAGTCACAGGCAGGCTCATTGTCATATTCGAAGACGCCTGCGACGGCGATTCTTCATTGTGTCCGTCCGAGACATAGAGCTGACTGAGCATGCCGATGGTGCTGGTGACATACCCCGAGAAGTTGAGACCCGCAGATTCTGCGATCTGCGACAAGCTGTCCAATGCCCAAAAGTGTACGAGAGGATGGGTGTCTGCCGCCAGTGACATAAGTATGCCAACAATGTTCTTCATGTGCAGCCCGGCTGCCATGCCCCCAAGCTGAGAATGTATGTGAGCCAGCGCACTAGCGCAGCCCGCTCGGACATGTGGCTCTCTATTGTTCACAATTGTCTCTGTTAGCTGGGTGACTTCCGTGCCAGTGAATGTAGTCCCAGAACTAGAACATAGTCTTCCTAGTGCTGCGGCTGCCATACTGCGAATATTTTCGTCAGGATCCTTGACACATACGTGCAGAAGACTCTGCAGTGCCTTCTCTGTGTTAACATTTTGTAAGTTACCCTTGGCAGATCCGAGGTCTCCTGTCGCTACGCGCAGCGCAGTGAAGAGTGCCAAGGACACATTTGCAGTAATCGCGATTTTCCTCACAGGATCCTTCGGGACACTAGCTCCCATTGACGCAGCTATTTGCTCGAGAGTGCTCTCCTGGACTCGCGGACCTTGCAGCGGTAAGCTGAGTCCAAATGCCGCTATTGCTGCGTCCACAGCTTCACTCGCAGGTGGCCCAGGGAGCTCATCCTCAGTATTGGCAGTGGGCAAATAGCAGCTGGTCGGGTCGTTCTCAGCAGCTCGACCTATAGGTGAAAGAAGTATTTGGTCGATCTCTGATTCGACGTCGGTCCTGCTCGTCCAATGCCGTTCTAGGTTGCCGTTGATCGGGTTCAGCAGGTCGAGACCTCTGAGCCTTCCGGTGACCCCGAAGCCGTAATTGTCGCCGAGTTCCCAGATGCTTTCAAATGTGGCTGTTGCACTTGCGATAGCGGCGCTCAGAGAATTCGGTGCGTCGTGCTCCAAATCTGAGAAAGATGCGACTGCAAGCGGCAGGATGCTGGAATGAGCTGTAGCTTCGATACTCCCAGCAGGACTAAGGCGAAGCAATTGAGAGAAGCACTCGAATACTCTTCTTCTGACCATGACCTCGAAGTCCTGGAGCTGCAGGCCTGGCTTGAGAAGATTCGCCGGCTCGTCGCTCGTCCTCTTCGCTGGAAGGTTTTGGAGGAACGCTACTGTATTTTCGAGCATACCTGCAAGGCGTCTCGAGACGTCAGAAGTCAAGAGTCGCTGGTTGTAGGTGAGGAAGGACTTGATAGCACCTAGGGCACATTCTCTCACGTGGGCCAAATAGCTTACTTCCAGCATGTTCCGTTGTGTCATGTTCTCTTTTAGCATAGGTTTCGGAAGTGCATTGCGCCAGAGCAGCATCAACTGGGAGAGATGAATTTTGACGAAATTTGGTCCAAGAGACATGAGGCCGCCGATCATGATCCATGCCACTTGCAGTTGACAGGATGAGACACGTAGATCGGAGCTGCCGCTCGATTTCAAGAGATCCGTGGCCATCTGGTGCACATTGGCATACACGTCAACGGAGCCATACAACGGGTGTTGTCCGGAGGTGCTCAAGACAGCAGCCAGACCATAGGCATGAGCAATGCAACGTCGTTGGCTCTGCCTCTGGGTACCCAGCATCTTGAGCTCGCGCTTGACACTATTCATGCATATCGTCACCGCTGGCAGCAATTGCTGCGGGCAAGCGAGAATGAAAGCTCGTAAGGTCCTAGATGTTTGCACCTGAACTGTGAAGCTTGGATGTTGCAGAACTTGCAGCAGTCCCTCTCGACAGATGTCTGCGATACTGCTGATAGCTGTGTCTAAACGTTGGATGATAGACGCAAGAGCACTGATAGCGCCAGTCAACACTGCTTTCGAGGGTTCAGGACGTTCCTTGACAGCCTGCGGGTAGTCTTTGATGATGTCGTTCAGCAAGAACCGACAAGCGTTGAGCTGAGCAGTCTCGCCCAACATTGGTCCCACGGTCTGTTCGAGAATGACACGAACGGTCTTGCGTGCCATCAATTGACGATACCTGTTTGAGTGCCAACCAGGAAAGTCCAAGACGTCTGAGAACAGATGGCGTGCAATCTCGTTGTACTTCGTTTCGACGACTCCTGCGCCAAGCCCTTTCAACACTTTGATATAGCATACTGCCACTCCCACTCGTGTTCGATTCGATGATGACGGCCTACAGAACAAGGAGGACAAGATCTTGAGAATCTCGGGCAGCGTGTATGACAGAGCGGTGGCGGGCTTATCGGGCACCGGCGAGGAAGCGCGCTCGGCCTCTTCTTCCAAGTCTTCTGGTTTTGCAGTTTTCTTTGACTTCTTTGGCTTCTTGATCCTGGGTATAATGTCTCTGTTGGCAACATCCGTGTGTGCTTTTACAAGTTGTGTCGCAAGACACGATGCGCCTGCATGCCGCACTGGGATTGACGGACTCTCCAAAGTCTTCCATACCGCAGTTTGCAACTTTTCAAAGTCATTCGAATTGTCGAAATACGTTGTGGTTGACACAAGCTGTTCCAGCGCATAGCACGCACTCGCTTGAGTAAGGAGAGACTTGTCATTGCTGGCAGCATTTCTGGCTTGCTTCCATATGGCTCGCCCAACTTCCTCATCTATCGCCACTGTAATTCCTTTGGCAATTCTGCCCGAGGCGCGAAATATGGCACTTCTCAGACCCGCATCATTTGAGGCGCCTTTCAGCTGCTTGAGAATAGCAGTACAGGCGAGCGGGGAATGGCTGATAGCACTATCGCCTGCAGTGGCAAACACGATACCCAGACAATGTATTGCCGCATGCTTTGTCCTGAGGTCCTTCTCCTTGCCCGCGTTCACGATGGCCACCAGATCTGTAATAGTCTCGAACAACACCCTCCTGCTCCCTTTGGCAAATACACCTGCGAAGCTCCTCCCCACATTCTTACGTATCACTCTCGTTGGCGCAGGTGAGGGCAAATTGACGACTTTAAGCAGCTCTTTCTTGATCGTGCCCTGTTCAGCAGTGACTTGGTCTGCGCTAAGCTCATCGATATGCTGGGCGAGGTTGGCGGTGAAGGTCAAGAGATAGAGACCCTGCTGCTCAGTGGGCAAAGCATTGAGCTTCTTGACGTCGAGCTCGTACGGGGACAGTTCACGGTCGCCATTCGTGGCCGGTGCAGTCGGAGCATCGCTCGCGGGTGGCTTCGAGGCTGTCGCAGGGGCGGGTGTCGAGTCGGCATCGGCCATGGTTCTGTCGTAAATCGTTCGTCCGGAGTCCTATCTCATGGCCCAATGTCCCCAGATGTGGCGCTCCGTCCCAGCGGGCGTCAGATCGTGAGTGAATCTGTGTACACCAGTAGAAGCATCAGCAGTGGGAGAGCTCCTCCCATGGCATGACAGTCGCGAATGTGAATTCAAAGCCCGAGATTTCTCCGCCGCGAGACATATTTCCGGGGACGACATCGACACCTCCAGTCCTCTGCTCGACAACATGGCTCCCAGCAGAGGTCTCGTGCACATCCTGCACCGGCGTGCACCCTCCTCCCTCCGTTCACCATGTTACGTTCGAAGCTTCACCGCCAGCAGCTTGCAGAGCTCTGGCCACAACCGATGGTCCAAGATCCAGCACGATAAAGCCAAAGTTGACGCCCGCAAGAACAAACAACGCTCCATTTTTGCCGCCGAAATCGCCCTCGCATCGAAGCTGTACGGCCCTGATCCGAATGCCAATCCACGTTTGCAGGATTTGATCACCAAAGCAAAGCGAGAGGGCTTCGCGAAAGCCTCCATCGAAGGAGCGATTGCGCGAGGTCAAGGCAGGAGTCTGAGCGGCGCCAGTTTGGAGAATGTAACAATCGAGGGACTTCTGCCAAATGGAGTGGCTGTGATTGTGGAATGCGAAACGGATAGCAAGTTGAGGACTCTGGCTGAAGTACGTCTCGCCATCAAGGACAACGGAGGCACGACTACTCCTACTAGCTATTTGTTCACCAAGAATGGCATTGTCACATTCGAGAAAAAGGACCGGGTGGGCGCCGACGAGGCACTTGAGCCAGCCTTGGAAGCGGGTGCTACAGACGTCGAACAGGATGCAGATGGCAGGATCGTCGTGTCCACAGAGCCATCCGAGCTCAGAGCTGTGGGAGATGCCATCGCATCGGCCCTCGGACTGCAGATTGCCACATCCGAGGTGGTCTGGATACCGAATGAGGAGACAAAAGTTGAACTACCTAGCGAAGACGCCGCTGCTGAGCTGGCCAAGTTTCTTGATGAGCTTCAAGATAAAGAGCAGAGTGTCCAGTCTGTTGCCTTGAATGTCACTCAAGGCAAATTAGACAATGAAACCTGGCGCGATCTCCAGGCGCGATACACGAACTGATCGGCCCTTCATCCAGGCGCATTGTAAATCATAGATGAAACACCCACAGAAAGCGAGAAACACAGACTAGCTACAAAGCTCGAGCTGATATACCAATGCCACTGACGGACTTATGGTCAGTATATCCGCCATATTGCCAACGTGCAGCAGGAAGAATCACAGCTTAGGTGATCAGGAACTGCGGTCAAGCATCTCGGAAGGTTGCAGGCTTTCTATCCGACTCGAATGCCCTGATTCTATCGCAGGATCGTCATTGTGCTACGTGAAGGAAGTTAGGCTGACAAATTATGGACAGCTTCGATACAACAACGGCACACCACATACGGATCCATCGTGGTCCGGCCCCGATGTGTCTACACGGACTCGACTTCTAGTTTGCAACACAGCAACTGAGATGTGCTGCCAAGATCTGAATAGATCCACAGCCAGGTGCCTTGCCACGAAGCTCAGCATGCCGTGTGCCCCATTGTATCTGCTCCGAGGAGTAGGCGTACTGCACTCCTATCTTGGTTTCACGAGGATCTTGATATGCTCGTCTTTTCGATTGACCAGCTCTTCGAATCCCTTCTGGACAATGTCGTCAAGCCCAATTCGAGCTGTCACCAATCGCTCGTACCCAGCAAGCCTTCCACTTGCCATCAGGTCCATAACCCCCTCAAAGTCTCCATCGGCGAAGATCAAAGTGCCTTTCATCGTAATATGCTTGGCCAGGAACAGTGTGCATGGAATCGTCATCTGCACAGTTAGCTGAATGCTCTCAATTCCAAGAGATAATAACTTACTGGCTTCTCCCAGACCGCGACCATAACGTACAACCCTTCATGACGAATGGCATTCATAGCACTTTCCAATCCTACGGGCACGCCGGCACAATCAAACACCACTTCGGCGCCACGGCCAGCTGTCAGCTCCTGGACACGCTGAGCCACGTCTTCTTCGATAGGATTTATTGTGGCAGAAGCAAGATCCGCCACTTGCTCCCTTCTCGCTGCTGCGGGTTCAGAAACGATTACTCGATTAGCGCCGACTGCTTTGAGGACCAAAAGCAGTGCGAATCCGATTGGGCCTCCACCAACCACGAGCACATCTCGATCCTTCCATTCTGTGATGCCGGAAACTTTGACTGCATGGTAAGTGACCGCAAGTGGTTCGATGATAGCCGCATACTCCAACGGGATCTCTGGTGGAAGGACATGCAGGCTCGTCTCATCGACAACGACAACCTCACCGTACCCTCCAAATCCTGTGTTGCCGCCGACATAGCCCAGTGTCTGGCAGCAGTATGACCGGCCGGATTTGCAAGGTAGACATGCGTGACATGTCACGCGAGGATCGACCATCACCGGATCGCCTGCTTTCAATTTCGATCCAGGTACTGAAGACCTTACTCGACCACAGAGCTCGTGGCCGAGAGTGACGGGAACATAGACTCCATCCGGCGATGGTCTATCTTTAGTCGGCAGCAATGTCGTAGGTCCTATGAGGTACTCGTGTAGATCGGATCCGCATATACCTAAGACTAGTAAGTAAAGTGAGTTTTCGAAATGAGACGATCAATCACATTACCACACCATTCGACATCGACAACAACCTGACCTTCTCGGGGCTGAGGCTCTTCAACTTCTTCTACGCGAATATCGTGATGGCCGTAGTATCGTGCTGCCTTCATTGTTGTCTCACTCTGCTGCTCGTAGAATTTGACTTCCTGTGGTCTGTGCCAAACAACGAGCTCTCGCGAGGAAGATCCCACTCTGATCTATCCCCGCTTTCGACCTCGGGTATAGATGCCACTTCCATGACTACAACTGCCGATGTTGCTTGGATGAACACTAATCTGCATCTGCTTTACCACCAAATAGCAAGAATTTTAGGACTATGTAGAGTCTGTCTGCCCGGCTTGCCACATGAGACTTAGCAAATATCGCCAAGAATGTCAAAAACTCGGACACGTATTATATCAGGAGATCTGTGGTAGCCTTTCTGCCATGAATATCTGGCATATCTTTTTGACAGCCATGGGTAGAGCAGACGAAGACTATCCCAAATGCCAACATCAATGATATTCATTCCTCAAGCACTTCCTTCACCCTCAGGCACCTTCATTCCATGCCTCCCTCTATAATCAGCCCTCTCAAACGGCTTCCAATCCTTAAGCACAATATCTCTCTCCTTCAACTCAAAAACCTCCACCTTCAACGGCCGACAACACTCCACCATACTCTTCTTCTCTTCCTCTTCCCCCACACCCTCCCCACCCTCTCCCCAACCCCACATACTCAAATCCCCACCAGGACAAGTACTCAAAGCCATCAACAAATCCTGCTCAGCAAAAAACTCAATACAATCCCCCTTCCGCGCAGGCGAAGCCTCCATAAAATACTTCCCCTCATTATCCAACCCCGTAACCTGAAAAACATTCAACACATCATGAACATCAAATTCCGTCAAACCAAAAGGCAAAACCGCTCGTGTCAAATTACTATGACAATGATAATCATACGAATCTCCCGATAACATTTTATTCACATAAGGGTCACATCTCGTGCCTAGTAAATCATGACATCTGCCATTCCATTTATCGGGTCGAGGGTAATCGGATAGACTATCGTGGATGATCGTCACCATGGGTCGGAGGAAAGGTAAAACGCTCCAGAGACGATCGTAGGTCGTGACATGGCTGGCGTGTAATTGTCGTGTTCGCGCTGCCCAGAAGCGTTCTCGAGGATCGTGGAGGTTCCAGATGTTCAAATCGCCGACTTGGGGGCCTTCGGGTGTGGAGAGGCGGACGATGCTGCCGGCGGGAGCTTTCCAGGCGCGGCCGGAACGAATGTGAAGGGTGAACGAGTTGACCAGATTACGCTCTGCGGCGGCAATGGTCTTGTAAAAGTCTTGGTCGGCGTGAAGGATGGACCCGGGGGAGGCCTGGTACGCCGGCACAGGAGGGTTTCTTTGAGCCTCACGTGGCATGTTGATGGAAGAGGATGTGAATAGTCTGGCACATCATTGACAGAGGTTGAAGCGAGGAGTGTAGGGTCTCAAAGGTGAGGTCTGCAATCGAATCGGCATTTGAATGGTCGGCTCCGAAGATTCGGCCCGCCATCTCATGCTACTGTGTATTAAATCGCCGCGTATAAGCGGTCACCGTGAGGTATGTAGAAATATATGTATACAGGGCGTTTTGACTGCATTAGAGTCTGAGCTCGTTACCACAGTCGCAAGCCCACATGAGACGAATCGCACGTCACGATCCGCCGCCCCATTATCCCCGCCCGTGTCCTGCAGCATGATTTCCTGCGCCATCCGTAGCCTGCTGGTTGGGGTCGAACAGATGCAGCATATCCGGGGGAGGATAAGCATCAAACCAAGGCATAGCCTCAAGACCCAGCATGTTCATATCCACATCCTGCGTCTCGATCATCATATTTCCAGGCATAAAATTCATGGAGAAGTCGTAAGTCCCAGGCATCATGAAGGGTGTTTGTGTTGATTGTCCGTTCATTGGCTGCTGAGTCGCGCTGCTACTTGGCGCTGGCATCGAGGACATGGCGGTGCCATGCTGCTGGAAGCTGGCCGACATAGGCGCAGGCGGAGTCGCTTGGCTGTGATGTTGGTTGTAAGGAGAACTCAGCGCAAGTAAATTCTCCGCATCAGAATTGGAGACGTTGCTGAACTTTGCTTGCGCCACCTGTCTCGGAACACTATCCTGCGAGATTCTCGAAAGTCCAGATGGTCCTCTCGCTTGGGTACTTGCGGAAGTATGCTGTGCCTTCCCAACTGTCGTTGAGTCGTACGCCGAGGACGACAATGAGTTTAATCTTGTATCGATGTTAGAGCTCGGGTTTCCGTCGCTTGCAAAATGCCAAGCGAGATTGGTCGAGTTGGAGTTCATGTCACCAGAAAAAGTCCAACCAATTGCTATAAACGTTGTCAGAGTCGTCTCGAGAAAGTGTTCGCTCAGCCCGCTTACCTTTACTGGGATCCACACCGTCCCGCGGACTCCCAGGCACTTTGGGCGTGAAACCGCTTGGCGGCCAGAACGGCGATTGCAATGCAGGATTAGCTATGTAGGGCCCCCAGCTGAGCTTTCGCCTCCAACCTGGCGAGGTAAAATCCGGCTCTGGACGCGGCTGCTCCATGGATGACTCGCCTTCTTCAACAGTGTACAGCAAAGGATCGCCGACCCCTTCGAATTTCTGGTCGAGAACCGTGAGGATGTATTTGGCGCCAGACCAATACGTCTCTATTGATTGTAGCGCTTTGTAGCACAGCTGGTAATGTTGCGATGCTGCCGTGGCTAGCAACGTATGCTTAGCGAGCTGCGACCTCTCGGCTGCAGTTCCGGCGGGCTGTTTTCGTTCCAAAGTGTCTGAGGCTGCGGTGATACTTGCTATTGAGGCCTTCCTTGAAGCATCGTGAGGTGTCCCATTCGAGGAAGAAGCGCTGTCGGAATTACTTGTCTTGCCAGAGGCTCGGTTGGGACTGTTCGATCGGCTTTGCGCGTTGCTCGTCGCCGTCTGCTCCACGGTTTCTCTCAAGAATGCACATGCAGCGATATAGATCGGCTGCGACGTGAAAGGGTTTCCCAATGACGCTTTGGCATCCATGAGTTGCGAATAGCTCAAGATGTCGGCGATGGTCTTAGCACTGCTCATGCTCAATTGTTGTGAGTTTGGAAATAGTTGCAACATTCGACCAGCGAATGTTTTCAAGAGTGTAGGCTGGTGCAGAATTACGATCAAAGCATGGAACCAAAAGTGGAGAAGGACGAAGTTGGTGCCTTCGCCAGCTTTCATGTAATGCTGAAAATTGACTGCATCGAAGTGCAGCCGTGGCGATAAGTTCTGGTAGAAGTTGGTGACTTGGCTCTCCATTGCCGCTAGGCGTTTTGGTGTCTCTGCCGTGATGTCTGATGGTTCCTTTATACTGTTGAGTAGGTCTGCCACACGACCATACAAATGTACAATCCTAATCAATGCAGGAAATGGTGCTGGCCAGTCCGACCGGTCGTGAGTCTGCGTTAAGGAAGGCAGCGAGATCTCGATATCCTTGTCCCGCAGTGTGCTGCGTCGCCCGGTTCCTGATGAAACCACGCGGTCGAGGAAGAAGATCGCCCAGAAGGTGTCGACACGTTCTTGCTCCACAGATCGCGCATCTTCCCTATTTCGGCGCTCCTCTGGGGATTGAATCGATTCGTTGGTTGACGGAGTTCTGACGGGTCCGCTGGTCGCCGGTGTCGCCGCAGATTTCGAGTTTCGCTGCTCAGACTTCACCATCCGAGGGGTCGGTCCATCTCTACCCACATACTTCAGGCCTTCTAACTTGTGCAAACCTAGATCCTGGGCCAGGCGAATTGAAATTCCCAAATACATCCAAAGGCCGCTATCACGTTGCTCTCCGAACTCGTTATAAGCAAGAAGAAGTGCTGCTTGGGCTGCTGCAACGCTTGGACAGGGGAATGTATCTGTCAGTGCAGCCTTCGCACGCTGTGCGAAAGCATGACCATATTCTGCAGGACCAGTCTTCTCACCATCTGGTTGGGATTGAGTCAACAACGAGTGCGTAGAGAAACGCGCAGCTAATGCGCACACAGCATCGACGAGAACAGGGTCCACTTGCTTCTCCTCAAGGTCTTTGATGAACCGGTCCCGTTGGAGAAAGGGATAGTTGCACCCCAAGTGAGTGAAGAAAGTATTCACAAGATGCGTGATGAGCTCACTCGGAGGCATCGGCGAAGTGTCGTAAAATGGTAGTGTCAACGGTGTTCGGGCATCCGACTCTACCGCAGCAGGGGTCGCGGAGTATATGGAAGTCGTATTCCTCTCACTGGAGCGTGGGTCATTCAAAGATGGTGATCGCACGCCGCCGTCCGTCGACGTTCGCATGCCATCATTGGTGTCGCTTCTCTTCAACTTGACGACCATTTGCTTGAATCCTGGCATGATCGCAGTAGGGCCAAGCCAGCGGAAATACGGCATCATGGGAACGCGACTTCGAGGCGTGGAAAGCAACGAAGCCTTGGCATTTTCGCTTCTCTGGAGGTCGTCGGACGACGGCGGCTTCTTCTCACTGGAAGTGTGAGGTGACTGCCCACCGGACAGAGTCCGACTCAGGTCGTTGGGAGCTTGCTCCTGCAGCGGAGGTTTCTCATCTGGCGTCCGTGCGACCTTGGGTTGAGACTGTGCACTTCCTTGGCCCTTGCTCGCAGTATTCTGTTGCGATGGCCGCCTGGTGTTCGTTTCCGAGTTGCTTCGATTGTGCGCTGGCGTCGCCGTGCTCTCGGAGTAACCGGCACATTCCAGCTTATTCTGCTTGCACGTCTCACACGTGGGTCGCTCGCCCGAGCAGGCAGTCTTTCGTTTTCGACATGTTAGACAGGCTGCTCCTATGCGCCGTCTGCAGGTCCAAGATCAGTTTGCAACTGGTTGACACGGTCGGCGTGGCTGGCTGTACGTACCGTTTGGGATGAGGTGCTCCGTAGTTGGTGACGAAGCGGAGAGCTTTCGGTTGGTGGTGTTGCTGCTGCGGCGGCGGCAGCGTCTGCTTCGCGTTGGCGGAGGGCGGTGGTGGAGGCGGCGGCGGCTGGTGGTGGGAGGTGGCCTCATGGCGCTGCATTGTTTCACATGTGCAGTTCACGACGGCTCGCTTGACGTCGCGCTGTGCTCCACGTTCCCGGATCCCCGCAAACGCCCTTCTGTTCGCCCGCAGCGTCTCTCGTGCGTCGCGGTCAGCGGGGCCAAGCAATGCACATAGTCGCGGCCGCGCCTGGATCGGTGGCGGAGGGCGGAGGGCGGAGGCGGTGGACGGGGAGCGGAGAGGGTCAGGCGTGTGGTTCGTATGACAACAGCAGCAGCAGCAGCAGTAGATCGACGCGAGAGGCTAACTTAGGCCAGGCAGACTACTTAGCCCTTCACTGCGGTAGCTCCGACCCCAGTGCTGGTGACGGCGAGCGAGCTGGAGAGTGCGTGGCGGCGACAGGGATCCAGGGCAGGGCGACAAGCACACAGCGTGAACTTCGGCTGCAGCTCGAGATTTGGTACAATGGGAGAAGGGCTGAACATAGCAGTGACAGGCGGCTGCTGCGTGAAGAGCGCCAGTAGACGAAGTTAGCTAGTGCTGCGGGATTACATAAATGTGCATCTCAGCTCTCATGCTGCCTCCCATCGCCCGTATCAGGCCATCTATACCAACGTAAATACATGGGGTCGTACGGTAGCCTCGATCTCTGACGGCCGTAGGCGCAGACTAGTGTTCCACAAGGCGAGCACAGGTACAGGCGGCGTGTTGGGCTCTGCTCTGCATAATTGCATCACAATAATGTGGAAGCTGTGCTTTGCGGCTGAACTTGGCACCAACCCGAGTGAAACTCAGTTGTGCAGCGAGTCGGGAGTCCGCTCCGACTGCCGAGCTGCGTGCATGTTTGTCGGTAGTATGACTGCACTTCGAGCCAGAACGTACACCATGGAGATTTCATTTTCGCGCGCATCATTGAGGGCCGCGCGGTCCATCGCGCGACACCAGAAAAGCCAGCAATCCATCTGTCGGCGATGTCTGCTGCACACGACGTCCACCAAATCTGCCACGCCCGTTGCACACCCAACCGTGCCCGGTCCTCCTCCATCAGCGCCTGAAGTCTCGCCGACCCATCCGGAAAGTCGATTGGCGCGAAAAAGGGAACAAGCGCAGCTGCTGAAGCAAGGTCAGAAGACCAAGCCCGACCCAACGAAGCCTGGATCTGCACTGCAAAAGCGCTTCTGGAAAAATGTGGCTGTTCAGGAGACTGCAGATGGACGATTGCAAATCATGTTGGATTCCCGCCCTGTGCGGACTGCCACGAAGGAGATCTTGACACTGCCCAAAAGTAAGCGTGCGCTTGCAGCTGCCATTGCCCTGGAATGGGACCAGCTCGTGTCGGCGCAGCAGGCATTGAAGCAGCACTACATCCCCTTGACCTCACTCACATCCCGAGCGATTGATGTAGAGACTGCCGACAGCTCTGGAAACAAACAAATACGGGACAACATTGTCAAGATGGCGATGCGCTACTTCGCGACCGATACCCTTCTCTGCTGGGCACCCGAGAACAATCGACACGACCCGATGAATCAATCATCCAGGAACCTCCGCGCACGCCAAAAAGCCATCGCCGAACCGATCATCGCCTTCTTAACAACGCACATCTTCCCCGGCGTGGAGATCGTGCCTGTGCTGAGTGAGGATAGCATCATGCCCATCTCACAACCCGAGATGACCACGCAAGTGGTTCGTGGCTGGGTGTCGGGCCTGACAGCATTTGACCTTGCGGCCCTAGAACGAGCAATACTAGCAACAAAGAGTTTGACGATAGCGGTGCGATTGCTGGTGGAATGGAGCACCGAGTGGAAGCATATCCAGGAGGCGCCGGAGAAGGGGAAGTTCGGGATAGAACATGCAGAAGAGGCGAGCTCGCTGGAAGTATTGCACCAAACGGAGCAGTGGGGCGAGGTCGAGGACACGCACGATGTGGACAAAGAGGACCTGAGGAGACAACTGGGTAGCGCGATCCTGCTTGTCACTTGAGCTTGTAGATGATACGCGACCGAAAGTGTCGACCAATTGTACAAAAATGAAATTCCTGGCGAATGTCAAGGATACTGTTCACGGTCACATGGCAGTCGACTGATTGTAAAAGAGGTGCGTTCCAGCTTTGGGCTCCATTGCGCAGTATTTTGTCTACGTAAAGCCGTTCCTCGATGCCCCTCCAGTGGCAGCTTCGTCATCCTACGAATTTGTCAGTGACCGATAAATGGTAGTACAGATCAGAACTGCTTACCTCCAGGAAATCCGTCGCAAGGATTAGTCTGCTCAGCTCATTTGCCACCTTGACCGCATGCCCGCGAGACGCCTGCTTGAAGATTGCTTGGACAGTATAGCGATGCTGTTGCAAGAACGCTGTTCCAGGTTGGGAGCCTTTGCTGACCACAGCAGCAACGATCACGCGCAGTATATCTGTTAGTATGGAGTAGAACTCTTCCAGTGCCGAGGGATTGTCGATATCCAAGCCAATATCGGGATCCGTGCTGAACAATTTGCTGTCGTCAACAGCACTGAAAAATCCAGAATTAAGAACCAATTGTGTGCCATCCGGTGTCTGACATAGTCGCAACATGAGTGCTAACGCCGTGTGGAAATATGCAAGGGTCGTGACCACCTCTTCTTGTGCATGAAATGCAGCGGAGACACTGCCAATGCTCATATCGATCAAAACTGGAATGAAGTTCAGTTTGAGCAAGGCCCTGAGCAAAGGCGTGTTCAGTTTAAGGCCTTGGTGCAGTGATACCATGCTGTCCAGGAACAACAGTGCGGACACGCGTGTAACTCCGCGTCCGGAGAATGCATCCTCAGTAACGACAGTAAGCAGCCGATCGCCTGCATTCTGCGCTAGTTGGTAGAGCTGCTTTGCATTCGTTGACGTGGTCGACGCTGAAAGGTTCCCAAGAATCGTGCAGCTTGTCCGGTACGCTACATCGCGTAGAGCCGGATCAGTGCTGCTGTCCGTGAGCACTTTGAGTGAGATCCGGAATATTGTAAGCAAGCGCTCATTCGCCACGTTCGCAGTCTGCTGGGACGAATCGCGAGAAGCCGGACTGATCGCAATCGTGAAAGTCAAGGTAAGCTTGGCCAGTAGTCCAGCTGCTTCCATGTCGTCCGCAAGACTCTTCTCGTACTTGGGCAACACGAGAAGCAACCCTTGCAGTGACAGTGGTACGATCGCAGTGTCATCCAAACCACCTTTGGTAACAATGAGCGACAGCAGCTCGGTCCAGCTTTCTAGCGCAGCAACACGTGCTGCATGTATCGCTCTCCAATTATTCTGGCTGGTGAGCGAAGCAAGAATGGCCGATATCTCATCGGACGCTTTGTCGAAGTCGGCAGCTTCCTTGAGCGTCCCATTTTCTTTCAATTCACGCTTTCGAAGAATCAGTAATTGGTGCGCGAGGTTGAGATCGAACGCCACTACTGTTTCTCGATCGTCCTTGGTACAGCTTGAGAGATCGATGTCGCCAAATACCGTGCACTGGGTGTAATTTGGCTCCAGAGCAGGCACAGTCTCCACGTCGAAGAAATCAAACAGCTCGAAGATGGATGATGTGGGCAGCTCTTCGCCGTTGCTCAATCTGATGGACCCTAGCATGCTGCTCACGATTCTCTCTTGCACGGAGAACGCTCCTTGTTCTACAGCTGCCCGTAGATCGAACGCAGCATATTCAAAGAATGACTCTCGACTATGCATGAAGTCGCGGATAGCTGTAGCGGATGAGTCCAACAGAGCGCTTGGTTCGAGAGTCGTCTTGCCGTCCCAACATGGATGAGTAGAGGCTGGTGCTTGTGATCGTGACAGTGCGGCCAAGAAATCCATCGAACGCAACTCCGGCTGAACGATGCGCTCAGTCAGCGTGGACGTCGCCAACCTCAACAGCAGTTCGAGACATCCACGCTTAACGCTCAGCAGCCACGACCTATAACCCGATGGCCCACTGATCACGGGCATCTCGACGGCGCATCTGGCAATGGCATGGAACAATGCCTTCGAAGACCCAAAAGCACTATGATCCGCAACACCCACAGTCCGCTCGTAACACTGGAAGCCAAGCAGACAATGCGCGAGACAAGGCTTGCCGTTCGCGGCATCCAGACTTGCGCGTAAAGAGTCAAGCAATGATTTCGCTTTGATCATCTTAGGCGGAATGTCCTCAGTCTCCAAATCCCATTCGAGCAGGTGGAAGTTGGCTTGCAGACTGAGAGTCAAATCTTCGCTCAGTGGAGCCAGCAGCCCGATGAGACGATTACTGCCAGTTGACCGCGCCATACCAGGCTCGCGACTCTCACATATCTTTCGTGAGGATGCGATTCTTTGTAACAGCGCCGTGGACTCAAGACTGAGTTCGGGATGCTTGCTTGAGGTGAATTGAGCAATGTCAATCACAGCATCGAGGTGCGTGAGAAATGCATCGTCGATTGAAGAAAGTGTTGAGCTAGTGACCCGCTGTGTCGTTGTGTTCTGTCCTGCAACGATAGGGCGAACAATGTCGAAGTATGTTGGCTGCATTTTCCAAGCCAGATTCAGAATTTGTATTGCTTTGACAGTGGCTCGAACAATGGGGGAAGTCGGTTCAGCGTGATCCAAGGTGTCCAAGTTCTGTTGGGCAGCTGCGAAGACTGATGCGATGACATTTTTGTCGAATAGCCACTCCATCACTCGAGCGAATGGATGCAATCGAGCGTATGTAGCCAATGACTTCGTCTCCATGGCTGACTCGACCGCAACACTCGTCGTGTTGGCCAGAAGTACCAAATCCTCGTTGAAGCTTGAGAGACACTGTTGAGTGAAATGCAAACACTCATATCGAACAAAAGTCAGCAGGCTGAGCTCACCTTCGGCCGGCATGCGTGGTACTTTGCGAGCCAAGACAGCGTCCATGACAAAATCAACATAGATTTCGATTCCGGCGTGTCGATGTGGTGATCCAAGGTTTTCCGGAAATGGCAGGTTGTCGACTGGCATGTCAGCCTGAGTTGAAAAGGGAGATACCAATGCGTTCAGAAGTGCCAAAAGGGCAGCGCCTGCTTCTGCGTTATTGGCATAGGCCTGCAAGTATTGCTTGGCTGGGTATTGAATACGCGGCTGTGTTCGCGGGAGGTGCGACCCATCTAGACCAGCACTTGCAATCCAGCTGTCTAAAAGCACCCACATGCCATTGCGGACTTCCAAAACCTTGTCCGTGAGCAATGCCGCTAGCAAGTCCAGGCAGCACGCTCGCACACGCGCAATGGTAGCAGTTCGGGCCAGCTGGAACATCACCTCGCCAAGATGGAACGGTTGGTCCTTTAGCAGCCAGTTCCTTGCTTCTGGACTAGAGCGACATATGTGCGAGGCGAGGCTGAGATACGAGTCCAGCATGATGCCCGTTTCAGGTTCCTCGAAGTTGTCCTCCACCGTAGTGCGCTCTTGGCCAGGTGCAGGTACGGCAGCTGGTCGGTTTTTGAGGCCGGTTGAATAGAGCTCAAGCTCACTGAAGATCTGGGTCCAGCTGACTGCATATGTCTTGCGAAGCTTTCCTGAAACCATGCCCGCATCTTCAAGTAAAAAGCGATGAGCCTGATCGGCAGATTTGTCATCGCATGCAATGGACCTCAACAGTTGACAGAATGCTGCCACTCGAGGGGTCGGCAGTCGCACAGAAACCCATCTGAGGAACCCATAGAGGTTGCTCTCTTTGTCGGCCCAGAAGTCGTGCGCAGCCTCCGCGTCGTCCTGATACGCGCAGGCCATTATGACCATGAAACGCTCCAGATCAAGTTCAGAATGCGCTTGTCCATTACCAGACTGCGATAGTAGGGTTCGCCTCATCTCATCCTCGTCAAGCTTCAGCTTACGAAGACAGTCGGGCATGTTGGTCACAAACGCATCCGCGAATGCCTGCAACTCGCGCATGGTCAGCACCGAAAAATCGTTCGAAGCCCGAGGCATTTCCACCACGCTCACTGCCCCATCGACCAAGAAATCGACGATTCCAGTGCGCGAGGGGTCGTACCAGGCTACCGGCTTCAGGAAGGCGGCAGCAGCCAGTATGAAATGGAACGCCTTATCCTTCAAAGAGTCGAAGAAAAGCTTGGTGCGGGCTTCTTCCTCGGCCTTACGGGTGGCGGAGCTTTGATTTGCTGAATGTGAGTTGCCCATAAACCTGGAGCTGTACTCAGCGAGCCAGCATACGGTTGCCGCTGCCCTGAGCATCGGCTGCTTCCATTGCAGTTGCGTGTTTCCCGGGGTGAATAGTTTGTGCAAATCGCGAGCAACTTCTGGACTGGTGACACCTTCAGAGCCGATGTGCGAGGCGCCACTGATTAAGATGGGAAGATAGTGAATCGTGATGTCGACCTCTGTCTCCGAAGTCGAAGCTTTGCTCAAAAAAATGCGATAGTCCTCCGGCTGCACGAAACTTCCCCGGATCAAGTAAGACATGATGGCAGCCAGGAACTCATGCTGTCGGGTCAAGAGGTATCGCTGTGCGCGAAGAGCCTCGTTCCTGTCCGGCGATGCACCCAGCTCTGTGACGGCAAGTCGCTCCCGGTCATCAGCCATTTTCTTGATCAAGTTCTCGATGTCACCCAGCCCATCAACGCAGGCACGCCAGTATGCGGAGGGATCTGGTCGCTTCTCCTCATTGCCTTTCTGACCTCTTCCTTCTACTATCTTCCTTCCCACTTCTCGAAAGGCTTCCGTCTGTTCCTCGTCGGGCGCAGCATCTGTGTCAATGCCCAGTTGTAACAACAGCCGCATACAGTCCAGTAATGTTGCACGCTGCTCGTGGAATCGAACCATGGCACGCAAAGGCAAGGACGCATCGGGCGCGCTGCCGTCTATCTGGGCCTGTATGCAGAGCTTCGCCGCCTCGACCTCGTCGAGATCGAGCTCGTTGGCGACAGCAATAGCCGCGTCTCGGAATTCTTCTCGCACACGGTATTCAACATCGTCAACGGTGATCGTGTCGGTCGGCGGACTGGTCGTCGGCTTGATGATGTTGCGACTGGTGTCATTCTTCCTCGTGCGCTTCAGCAAGTTCTCCAGATCCTTGACGCTGGCATCAAGCTGGTCCGAAAGGCGCGTGATGTTCCTCAATTGCGAGTCTGTCGCCGCAACGAGGTCTCGCTGCAGGATCTGCAAGCGCAGTAGCGGGTCTTCGGTCGCCATGATTGATGTAAGCACGCTGCTGCAAAGTGGCCGGTTCGCGTCCAGCAGCAGTAACTTTTCCACTTGAGCTGGAGAGAAGAGAAGTCGCGACTTCCATACGCGTTTGTCTTGGCACTCCGTACTTCACCCCCGTCAGCCAAACACTTTACTGACCACTCTCGCGCCACTCACGTGCGAAACACCGACGATGCAACTCGAGCTTGCTAGAAAAGTCACGGACCGGTTCACCGCTGACACATACATCTCACTTTGAAGTCGGCCTCGACCAATGGTCCATCACTGCTCCAGTTTGCCTTCGAGCTCGCTTTGGCCGAACGTATTCGCGAAGCTCGATGCTTTCACGCGCCGATAAGCTCTGTGCTTTTTACGAGCGCTTGCAATCATCAAGATGGCTCAGGTGAATTTGGAGGATGCTCTCGGTACGCGTCCATCCACCTCAAACCCGGTCTGAAGCTGACCGTTTAGATCACATCCAGGCGAGCAAGGCCGCCGACCGTCGACAGGGCTTGGACGACCTCAAGCACATCTTTCGCCACAACAAAGGCAGTAGCCGGCTCCGACATCTTCTCGATCGCGACTTCCACCATATCTTCGAGGTCCTTTTCAAGGTTGCCCTAGATGGACAGAACTCGCTACTCAATGCGAAGACCGCAAACAGCCGTACCAGCGCAACGAATCGTCTCTCTGACATCGCAGGGGGATTGCGCCAGTCGGTCGAGGCTGGTATACGTGTGCTCCAACTTAAGACCATTAGAGCCGTACTAGACCATGTGACTGGATGCTTGTTCTTGACGAACGGGAGCTTGTGCGAGCCGCTGGCTCTGGACTATGCCAAGACCTTGCGCGCGGTACTCAGCTATCAGCCGCACGTGGAACAAATGAAAGCCGAGCACTGGGACAAGCTGGCCAGATTCTGCAGTTCAGTGATCTCACAGGCTCAGCAAGAAGTCTCAGATGATGATACCTCTTCAATGGGAGGAGGCACGGGCTACGGCCTGAGCCACCTATCTTCCCGTTCTACCATCCGCGACTCCGTGGGCTCGCAGAGCAAGCGATCGATCATAAAGCCGATTGCAGAAGAGATGGTCGGCTGCCTCCGATTGTTGACCGCCGCGCCGAACGCACCAAGACTGTCATCAGGAATCGATCATCTGTGGACAATCATCAATGCACTCAAGACATGCACCCTCTCTCGAGAACGAGCACACCTTGACGCATTCGGAGCCATCAACAATATCTTATCGTGGACGAGAACAGAATGTATCCGAGCCACGCAGAAAGCTACGAGCCAGCTCCTTCGCCTTGTCAAGCAATTTTGGTCCACCAAGTCTCCAGCCCTTGGTCAAATGCTCACAACGGTTCTTTTCCTTCGACCGTACATCTCGCATGCGATGCAAGGAGAGGAACGTGTGACCATGCTACCCGAACTGACTCGCCTCCTGCACAGCCTGGAGACCGAGTATTCGATCAGACACGACAGAAATGGATTGCTACTCGAAGATTTGCGTCTCGAAATCAATAGCGGCCCTTTAAGAAAGGGACAAGTCGCTACTGCGCTCTTTTCACTGCGGCCCACCGGCGCACGAGCCGAGTTGAATTGGGTGCTTGTGAATATACTTGCTTTTCTCCGCAGAAGTTTGATCGATGCAGAGCAGCATAAGACACCCAATGCTGGCAACGAGGCGGACCGCGATGAAGACGAGGATGAGATAGATCTCCGTCCGAAGAAGCGATTGCGACTTACAGACCCGCTGAGCTCGCTTGTGGAAACGACAAGTCGAGGTACGACACAAGAGCGAATTTGTGCTCTCCAAACAATGGCCTTCCTCGCTCAGCAGCTGCGGTTCTCGAGTCAACAACTCCACAAGATCGTGGACAGCCTCTTGATTAACTGCAGCGAGGACAACACCAGCATATGCTCATGGGCATTTCTCGCGGCTGCCAGCTGTGCTGTGCAGCCTTGTGCATCAAGCTCTAATCTGACGGATGCATGGAACACAATATGGCAGTTAGGTGTGCGCGCACTGGGCAACAACTCGACTTGCCGCGCTGCGGCTTACACTCTGTCTGTATTGCTCGCCTCGCAACTCACGTCACAGGCGCAATGCTTAGACTTCGTCCACGTTATCACGCATACAATGGAATTGAGCGGCCCGAGCCAGTTGTCAGATGCAGTCACGCTTTTGCTCACCATCTTGATGAGGACATCGCAGCAACAGAACCCCACGATGGCAGCCGCTACATCCGAGAGCATCGTGAGTTGGCTGTCTCAAAACTTCAAGCCAAGCAAGCTCGAAGACAAGCCGACTACGATGAACGCCGCATCATACGAAGCTTCGGATATCCTAATTCTGACTTCGACATGCCTTGGTCAAGCCCTGCATCATTTGCATGTTGGCGGGCCACCTATTTGGGATCTCTGTGCCCGAGCGTGGTTATCTTGCATGGAGGACGAGGCGGCCATTGCGTACCTCCTGCTTGAACCAGCTACCAAGCCTATCCTGAGCGACATGATGAAGAAGTTCGCTTTGCTTCCGCTTACGTCTACCCACTCATCGCGAATATCGACCGAGTCTCTGATACTGAATCACAACATTGCGGAGTTGGGTCTGTGTCAGCAGTCGTGGAAGGACCTAGTGCACGATCGCGCTCGGCCTCCTAGTAATGATGCCGTTACCATGCTCTGCAAAGCGGCGTTGACCGCCGAGTGCGTTTCCAGGTGTATGACTTTCAGGGATACTCGAAAATTGGGACAGCTGCAGAAACTGGCGAACGACATGCTCAACACGTTGAGCGCCTTCGTTGCCTCAGATCGCTGCGAAGCGGAGCACATGGCGTCCTTCGTTTCCACTCTATCTGCAGCATGCTCGAAACTACCCGCCCATTCTATCGATGCGGCCGTCGCTGGGCAACAGCGACCTTGTGAGGGAGCAATATGCCATGCTCTCGCTACCGGGCTGAACAAGAGATATGTCACCAGCGATGACACACTTGATGAAGACGCGATGGACTTCGACGACGCGGCCGAATCCCAGCAAAGTCGTGGCAGCAATATCTTGCAGAGCAGATGTGAATTACTGAGCAATGACGACGTATCGTACAGCAGCACGGCGCTCAGGCTGAACGTGCATCTCTACTGCATTACTGTAACCACCCTGCAAGGAGGCGCGGGAGGAGTTGTCAGCATCACATCAGCCTCGCAAGCCGTTGTAGACTTCCTTCTATCTCTCAGCGACGAAGAGCTTCTCTCGTGCCGCGACATGATTGCCAACCTTCCCGGCGTAGGTGTCCCGCTGACTGCGAAAGACACCGAACGCCTTCTGGGATACTTCATGGAGAAACTGACACGCAAGTATGCCTACCGTGCTTCAGAGGTTGCGCTGGGCTGCGTGCTCGACCTCATGCAAAGCTTGATCGACACCTGGACAGACAGTGGCGAGCCCCACCTTTTCTGTCTAGGTCTTGACACCTACGATTGGTTCGCCGAATACGCGCTTACTGATGACATCTTCTCCCCTAGCGTGCAGAGGAGATTGGCGCAGTTACTTGTACAACTTTGCCAGCTCAGGTCGGATTATGGCCGTGACAGCGATGCAGGCACTCCGCGAAGCTGCTGCTTCAAACTCCTCGGTAAACTACCCATCGCGGTGCAGTACAAGCTTGCTGATCAGATCCCAACTCTGTTTGGCAGGCTAGTGCTCTCGGAGCATGCCCGCATGTTCGACGACCTAGCGGGAAATCTGCCCACCAATTTGGATTGGCCAGAAGGCATGGCCTTACGATTACTTCACTTGTCGAAACTCGGGTCAAGCTGGCGATCGCTCCTGCGATCCTGCACTTGGCTCATATTCGAGACTGCTGGGCGAGTCAATAGTTGTGTTGCCCATGCCCGCCAATGCATCCAAGAATTAGCATCCTCGCTACCTTTACAGAATCCTCAGAAGCTGTTCTCGCTCTTCGCACCTCAACTGCTACATACCTGGCTCGAGAATGGTAATGCCATCTCTGGACTTCCTTGGGAAACATTTCACTATGCCTCCCTGTACGACCTCTTGCGGCGTCATCGATCCGAGATCATGGCGCAGCTGGTGCTCAGAGGCGACGAAGCTGGGCTTGAGGTTATGCAGAAAGCCTTGAAGTTAATGCCACGTGATGCTATCAGACAATCTTACGGCAAATGCGTGGCGTACTGCCTGGCCAAAGACGTCGTGAGCAAGCCTCTGGAAGGGCAAGATCCAAATCACCTCGAACATCGTCTGCGAGATAGCATAGGTGGCAAGGATCAGCACAAGAAGCTCATCAGTCGACACCTGCCAACGATCGTTGGCTACATCCTGCTTTCCACCGAGCAGGACGCACGATCAGACAAATGGCTGGCCAAGCATGATGGTTATACTGGAACAGCGGAAGCCCTCGCCGAAATGATGAAGCATACTCGGAAAGACGAGGAATTGCCGCCCGCGCTGGAGCCATCATTCACTGGACACTATCTCTTGGACCAATTGATCAGGTTGTGTAAACGTGTCAACGCTTCTCCACTTAGTATCTGGGATGCTTCATCGTTCGTTCTCACCACTCGCATGCTGTTGGATGCCGTGGATATGTCATTGGGGTCTTTGCAGTGTTGTCGAATCCTTCGACGAGTCATGATAGCGGTCGCTCTCGCCGGAACGATTGCGCTTGATGGTTTTGGTCCGGAGATGCTGATCCATTCTCTCCGACCGTTCGTGAGTGACAGCGCTTGCGCTAATGACACAATCGGGTTGCTGCAATACTTGTTCGACAGAAGTCGCGAGTACCTTCGCTCAGCCCTTCGCTTCACCACAGGCGCTGTTATACTTCTTGTTCTGCAGATGAGGAAGCATGCTCGGAGCAGACATGATAGCACCACTCAAGAAAGCCACCATTCCGAGACTGTGAGGGTCATGGGCGAATTCCAGACGTGGCTTGTAAGCTACTTGTCACAATTGACGTGGGACACTCAGTGCAGCGCGTATTCAGGACTCACTGAAGCACTAGGGAACGTCAAGCTTCCTGGAAACGCCAACGCCGACAGCGCCGAAAGCTCCCTCCTGCTATTCCTGCTTAATCAATGGAGTGCGGACGACTCACTCTGTTCCCGCGATGACACGATTGAAGCTTTACAGATTCTTGCAGAGGATTTCATCTTGCCGCTAACAACAGCATCAGATGTTTTGGGCGATGACTCACAGGCAACACGATATTCCCAAGAGATCTGGGAGATTTTGCAGATTGAATCGCTCAGCAGATCATTCACCACGTGGGCAGCTACTTCATTGGGACGTGCTTACGCCGCAACTGGAGCACGACCTGTTCAGTCCGTCTCCGGAAAGCCGTTGATGAGAACACTGGATGCCGAGAATGCCTCGCGTGCTTCGCACACCGCCCTGGTGACAAGGGTGGCTCGCCTAGTCTATTCTCAAGACCGGTCAGAGGCTGGCCTAGCAGAGTACACCCTACGCAGAATGCGAGACACCTTTTCTCATGGCTCAGATACCGAAGGAGCCATACAGTTCCAAGAGATGACCCCTGAATCCATTTATTCTGCAATTTATGGCGGGCCATACGGGTATGAGCCGACGCTGGCTGTCATGGACCGGTTCCCCAAAAGACCGGACACCAACCTCGTGCAGAAGGCAATGGCATTGTCCCGCGAGACTAGTCTTGAGGTCTGGGCAACAGAGCTAGCGTCCGTCTTGTCCTCGTGGGCTGCTGGAGATCCGATAATTTCTTCGCTTGTGGCGCTATTCCAAAATGTTCGCGGGCTTGCGATAGAACTGCTTCCTCAGATCATACACATCTTGCTTACCAACGAGCACACAACAATTGCGCCGCTCCTCGCGCAAGCTGTGAACGACCACTTGTGTGTCGATGACGAGGACGTCTCACCTAAGCAACAATTTCTCTTGCGCGTCTTGCTATATCTGCGGAGTCAACCGTTTCCTGGAGAGACGACACGTGCAGACCGCGTTCATTGGCTGAACATAGATAACATGGTTGCTGTTCGTGCAGCAGCTAGAAGTGCCATGCCCGCAGCTGCACTACTGCTTGCTGAATCCACATGTCTTCCACCTATCCAGGACAGCCGCAGGAATTCGAGGAGGATTTCCTCATCTCAAGATCAAGCTGTATCTCGACCTCCGCCTGAACTTCTGTTGTCCGTTTACAAACAAATGGAAGAGCCTGACTCGTTTTATGGCGTCACACAGGAAGCTTCGCTGAGTGCAGTACTCGAGCGACTGGATCATGAGGGAGATGGCTTCCGAAGCATGATGCTGCGCTCCGCGCAAATGGATAGCCACATGCGTTCTACGCATCGACTGGCTGAACATGATGCCGTTGGCATGATACAGTCGCTCTCGAGCCTTAACTTTAACAGTTTAGCATTCGCCTTGGTCGCGCAAGGCGTAGGGAGCACATCAAGATGCCAAGAGGAGATGTTGAAAGCAGCGCAGAGTCTGCAGCAATGGGACATCACGCCACCCGAAGGACACAGCGAGTCCTCAGCAGCTTTTAGTGTGCTGCAGGACCTCAGCAGAGCCAGCGACGCCACACAAGTCCTCGACAGATCAAGAACTGCATTGTTCGATTTTGTGAAGCATGGCATCCGACGAGATCGAGCGTCGATTCCATCGCCTACCTGGTACGCCAACCTCGCATCCCTAACAGAGATCAGCGAAATCACAACTGCCGTTGCAGACGCAGATCTCGACGAGCGGTGGGAAGTCTTCGCCCGTCGACATGCTTGGATGCACTTAGCCAAGTTCGAAGACGTCAAGGTGTTTCTGTCGGGAAGGCACACGCTCTTCGGTGTGCTCAGCCAAAATGTGCATCTGCAACAGAGCATGCATGTCGCGTTAAAGAGATGCCGAATACTGGAAGTCGAAGCGCTACTGGCATTTTCGCGCCTCTCTCGAGAGCACTCCAAGTTACAGGAGGCACTCACCGCATCAGCGACCATGAGCGACATGATCGAGACCTGTGGAGCAGCCGGAATCAGGGTGGAAAGCGCCGTAAAAATGGAGACTGCTTCAGTTCTATGGGATGCAGGAGAAGCTACCATGTCAGTCAAAATGCTCTCAAGTCTCAGCCAGCCCGGCGTTGAGCTTGCCGGTCAAGACGTTGCTGTTGGGCGCGCCGGTCTCCTTGCGCAGCTCGCCCATGAATCTGCCGAAGCTCGTCTGGAGAAACCTGAGCAGATTTTAAGCAAATATCTCAAACCCGCGTTGAACGCTGTCTCCAGGACCAAGGATCGATCAGAAATCAGTCAAGTACATTATGAATTCGCCAAGTTCTGTGATCACGAATTGCAAAATCCCAGCACCGTCGAAAACCTGAATCGCGTCACGAAACTGCGCCAGAGCAAGGAGGAAGAGGTCGAAGCCTATAGGCAAGCTTTGCAGACAGGCAAGAAAACGCAGCCCGAGCGACATCAGATGAGCAGAAGCTTGCATCAAGCACAGACATGGCTCGAGCTTGATACTGCGGAAGAAAGGCGTTTGAGGAAAACTCAGAGCGATTATGTCAATTTGAGTCTGCAGAACTATCTGCAGGCGCTTGCGGCTTCTGAGGATCACGACATCTGCGTGTTGCGATTCTTCGCGCTCTGGCTCGAAAATACTGATGGCATCGACCAAGGTCCGGACGCCACAGTGCTTAAATACCTGCCACAGGTACCAAGCTGGAAGTTCGTCAGATTAATGAACCAGCTAATGTCACGCTTGGATGATTCGAAGACACCGTTTCAGCAAGCCCTAGCGGAACTGCTGCGACGTATCTTTGTTGAACACCCCTGGCATAGTTTGCACCATCTCTTCGCGCCTCGATCGATGCATACGGCCACAGACCCTGCGACTGCTTCTCGCTATCGTGCCGCCAAGTCAATCCACATTGAAATTAGCAAGAATGAGGAGAGCCGCAGCATCGCTGATAGACTATTTGCAGCAGACACGCGGTACAAGGCATTGGCAGAAAGTAAGCCGGAGTCGGGGGGCGGTGGCAGCAAGATCGACATCAGTCGCTTCCAGCAGGCTTTTCGCGTGCATCAGAAAATCCCGCCAATGGAGTTACCGCCTGCCACCATCACATTGCCGTTGAGACCAAGCGCGTCTTATAGTGATGTGCCCACCATCACACGGGTTGATCAGACAGTATCCATCATGAGTGGTCTCAGCGCACCAAAGATGCTGAAATTGCAAGCGACTGATGGTAAATGGTACCGCGAGCTCTACAAGAGCGGCGACGATGACCTGCGGCAGGACGCCATCATGGAACAGGTGTTCGATGAAGTCAGCAGCATGCTACGCAATCACAAGGCAACGAGACAGAGGGATCTCAAGCTTCGCACATACAAAGTGATTCCGCTCTCCAGCGGGTCCGGCATCATCGAATTCGTCCCGAATTCCATGCCCATCAATGATTTTCTGAGCCCAGCGCATAAAACGTATTATCCCAAGGACATGGCCCCGCACAAGGCCAGAGAGGCGGTCGCGCGGGCGTACGCGAATGGACAAGGCTCTACGACCGACCGCGTCGCCGCATTCCAGAAGGTCTGTGCTAACCTGAACCCCGTCATGCGGCATTTCTTCCTGGAGCGTTTCGACGACCCGGACGAATGGTTCACAAAGCGGACCGCGTATTCACGTACGACAGCAAGCATATCCATCCTTGGCCATATCATTGGTCTCGGAGACCGACACTGCAGTAACATCCTGCTCGATGAGCAGACAGGTGAAGTGGTGCACATTGACCTCGGGGTCGCGTTCGAGGCTGGGCGGGTTTTACCAATTCCAGAGCTCGTGCCTTTTCGGCTCACTCGCGACATCGTGGATGGAATGGGATCAACCGGTGTGGAGGGGGTATTCCGACGCTGCTGCGAGTTCACGTTGGATGCGGTACGCGAGGATAAGGACAGTATTATGACATTACTGAATGTGCTGCGCTACGATCCACTGCACAACTGGACGATATCCCCACTGCGAGCCAAGAGGATGCAAGACGCGCAATCAGAAGTTTCGCGCCGCAATGGTACTGTTGCGAATTCGTCGAAGAGAAAGGAGCAGGAGGCAGGAGAAGCTGATCGGGCGTTATCGATCGTGGAGAAGAAGTTGTCGAAGACGCTGAGCACTGCTGCAGCTGTCAATGAGTTGATCCAGCAAGCTACAGACGAGAAGCACTTGGCAGTACTGTTTGCAGGATGGGCAGCGTACTTTTAGTGATGGGTCGAAGTCATGCAGATATTATATAGAGCGATAGAATGGTCTGTACAATATGCACATATCAAGTGCTCAGACTAAATCCACGAGTTCCACTTGACTCACGCCTCGCCCACATCCGACCCGTGTGGGCCGTGGAAAATGAATCACTCACTTCGCGCGTCTACTTTTCTGAACACATCCCAGCCCAAGCTTGCCACAACACAGTACTGCCACCAGCAATCATCACGAACGCCACCACGAGATCATCTGCAGTCGAAAACGTTGCGGCACATATTGGACCCGATACAGGCGCTCTGCCTCGAGAAACCCCCACTATCGACGTCCACGCCCGACCGAAACATCTTAATAGATCACGTTCTTCTGTAATTGTGCAACACACAACATGGCGATCGACTGCTAGGAGCAATGGCTATCTTTGAGTCGTGCCGTCCAAAGTCCACGCGAATTTCATCGAGACTCGGCGGGCAGCATTGCACAACGTCTACATTTTCCTCGAGAGCCTTAGCCTGAGAACAGTCCCTATACATACGAGACAGCCGCTGCACCTCGCCAACATGTCCGAGCCAAAGAGACCAGACACGTCAGCCAGTCCGGGCGGTGCTCCGCCAGCTGAGGAACAGGGAGGAGAGAAGCTCTCTCCGGCAGAGCTCAAGAAGAGAGCCAAAGCCGAAAAGCAAGCGCGTCGAGCAGCTGAGAAAGAGGCCAAAGGTGCTGGCGGAGGCGGAGCACCAGCGTCCGTGAATGGTGCGGCCAGTGCCGACAGCGGTAGAGCAGCAGGTCAGCAACAACAAAAGCCGAAACAACAGCAGCAGCAGAAAGGCACGAACAAGCAAGGCACACAAGAGAGGCAGGGAGGGACACAACAGAGTCCTCTGCCGGTGCGGGCCCGCCGTGTCTCGCAGAGTGTGCCAAAAGACGTGGCAAAAAAGGTGGAAAAGAAGGTGGAGAGCAAGAACGTGGAGCTATTCAGCCATCTCTACAATCAATCGCGAAGGCATAATATCGAAGGAGCATCGAAGGACGTGCACCCAGCAGTCGTTGCGCTCGGCTTTCAGATCAGCAGCTACGAGATTGCAGGCAGCACTGCTCGCTGCGTTGGCATGCTCAATGCATTCAAGGAAGCCATCCAAGAGTACACAACACCAGGTGGGACTTCACTCGCCAGGCACATGAACTCACATCACCTCTCTCCGCAGATCGACTATTTGAAATCATGTCGGCCGATTTCAGAGTCCATGGGCAATGCCATTCGATGGCTCAAGAAGCTGATTGTCGAGATCGATCCGAGCACTCCAGAACACGAGGCGAAGGACTACTTGTGTGACTCGATCGACAAGTTCATTCAAGAGCGCATCATGGTCACTGATCAAGCCATCGCCACCTCCGCATGCCAACAGATCAAACCCGGCTCGGTAGTGCTCACATATGCCAAGAGCTCCATCGTCGAGAAGACCATACTGCGCGCTCACGCCAATGGCATAAAGTTTCGCGTCATTTGCATTGACTCACGTCCGCTCTTCGAAGGCAAAACTCTTGCCACTTCTCTCATGCACGCCGGTGTCGAAGTCGAGTACACCTCATTTCACGGTATCGCAAGAGCTGTGGCAGACGCCACAGTAGTACTCCTCGGTGCTCACAGTATGCTGTCCAATGGCTGCCTTCAGTCAAGAATTGGCACTGCAGCTGTGGCAATGGCAGCACATCGAGCTGATATTCCAGTCATTGTCTGCTGTGAGTCTGTCAAATTCAGTGGCAAAGTGGCGCTCGATAGCATCGTGTTGAACGAGGTTGCGCCAGCCGAGGAACTTTTGCCAGCAATTGGGGGCAGTCCAGGTGCCGCCATTGAAAAGGGTAATGACACCAGCGAGTCACAGCTGAAGACTTTGCGTGACTGGAAGGAGATTCCGAACCTACAGATTCTGAACCTCATGTACGACATCACTCCTGCTGAGTACATTCGCATGGTCATCTGTGAGTACGGCAGTGTCCCTCCAAGCTCCGTTCCTGTGGTACATCGGTTGGCGAATGAGGGCGAGTAGTGCTTGCCGAGAGCACAATCGCTTCGAGCTACGATATCCGGAGTGTGAAACCAGCGAGGCTTTCCGTTGATACGAATTTATCGTGTCCGAAGCGTTCCTAGTGTGAATATGGGCAAGCTCATGCATTTGAGCGTGTAGTGCCAATTTACGGACGGAGGCTGTTCAGCATTGACTGAGCTCATCTTACGAATTCTATGAGCGTATGAGCTGCTACAACGAGCCCAGAGAAATGGAACGGCTAGTCGTGGCTCATTATTGCATTACTGTTCTACCCAATTGTCTACGGTCCAAAATCCCCGGTTGCACGTGAATCGCGATGTCGTTTCAAATATTCGTAATTTCTCCAGAGAACAAAAGCATGCACCCGCCCACGCTGCCAGCAACGCCATCCCCGGGATACCCTTCTCGAAGCATCGAATCCAGAGCCACCCATATCTTCACGCGTAAGAAAGAACGCTACGTCTCCAGCACTTTGCATCGCAGCTCTTCAAGGGTGCAGCTGCAGACCATTGTCTTCTGCGCTGAATTGGGAGTCAAAGGAGCCCTGACCCGGGTCAAAGACACCAGAAAACGAGCCCACCAGACTTTGCCTGCGACTATCGGCCGTACAATCGATGCCGCTATCAGCCTTATGCAGCGTGGGGGGTCTGCTCATGGGTAGGGCGATGGATCCTGGCGCCTTTGCACGCCGAAGACCTGTTTCTCGGAAAGGCGGTATCGTTGATGTCCTACTTCCACCGATCGACTTTCCGGAATTCCCAGCAATTCGAGAAGACCGCACAGCGAGAGCCTTCCAGCACTGCGATGCTGTATCAGTCTGTAGTGAAAGCATCAACAAGAGTTCCATTGCTGCACGTCCAGCCCGCATTGCTTCAAGGACGAGGGGTACCTCAGTGCTGCCGCTTTCGACGACAAGCAGTACTACAGCAGCGTATACCAGGACGTCGATAGTCAGGAAATAGGCCTCGTGGAATTGCAATTTGTGATGCAAGAGCTCGGCAACCTGGACAGCGTGTAATGCCGCATTGACTGCCTTCATTCCAATCAAGTAGGGTTGCGAGCAAGGATCTATTCCTGGCATCGTGAGATAATGCACGAATGGAGCATACAACAGTAGTTGTGCATAATCGTATGCATATGCAAGGCAAAGTTGTGTTCTGCGGACCGTCAGCGCACGCTTCTGTAGTGCTGCACTTCGCTCGACACTCACCTCGTCATGTCAGCTGCTGCTTGCAGTAGCACAGAACAGCCTTGGGCCCAGGTCTCGAGCTCTTCACTGGCTTCCTTGATGGCATTCTGGTCAACGGCGAATGTGCCGATGCCAACAGGCTTTCTCGCCGATTTACTGCGATAGGTCTTGTCCAGAGCATGCGCTAGTATCCGCAGCATTTGCATATGAGCATCGCTTGCAACCAGCTCAGAATTGGACCCAGTGGAAAGAGGCGGGTATGAATTCTGCTCGCAAGTTTCAACGTTGGTCACACTCGGTACGCCCAGCGCTGTTGATGTATAAATGTCAAAAGCCTGTAAGGCAGACCAGACACGGCGTCGTAATGCGCTCTCGTCCTTTGGAAATCCAGCGACGTCTTCATGAAGACCAAGCCGAAGGGCTGCGCTAGATGCTGCTGCTACATAGGAGTGGACTTTCGCTGGGGCTGGAGCGGCCTTCAGGTACAGTGCGAGGCAGAGGACCGTCTGAACAGATGCGAGGTCACGATCGCAGGCACTTAGTGGAACGAGGTCTTTTGCTGCCTCGAAATACTGCAGCCCTTGTACCCTCCTGAATTCAGCTGCAGCTGGGGTAGTCGAATCGAATCGATGCCCTAATGCTAGAACAGCATGGACCAACGCAAGTTCGTCCTTGTCACTGGCTTCTTGTCCAAACAAGGTGGTGTTGTATAATCGGAATAGGGTGCGGTCCACTTGAGCTCTATCGACGAACGGCCATAGGTGAAATACCTCACTAAAGGCTACTTCAACCAGTTTCAGGGTGGTCTCCTTCTCGGGCATCAGCGGACTGCTTGTTACTAGACCATCATCGATAGCTTGGGGGTTGTCTAGCGCCTGGACCAACTTCATTGACGAGTCCTGTGACCCATATGGTGATGTAGCGATCTGGTTGCAATAGTTGAAGAGCTGGCGAAGCACATCGGTCCCGAAAGCTTTGCCTCGTGGCTCAGTAGTGAGTGTCTCGAGGTAAACCGGCGTCTCATTCGGTGGCACCCAGCCATCCGTGGGTTTAACGGAACCGGACCTAGCATTGTCGGCGTAAAAGTAACTTGGATCAGAAGACTTCGACGAAAGCGAAGGCCGCGCACTGGTATTCATCGGAGATGGGTGGCTGATGCTGGAACCCGGAGATATCTGCACAATTGGCTCTTCTAGTGATGTATCCATGTGATCCGTGCGGTTCGGCGAGCGGCGCAGCTCCTCTTGCAGAGCTTTGACCTTCTTTTCAAGATGCGCAACGTAGGCAGGGCCTGGATAAAGATCAGCAATGGCGACCATACTCTCCGCGAAGGAGTAAGCACTGACCTCTCGATTGCTTCACTTGATGACCAAATGAACATTGTAGCCTGCTCGACGTCAGTAGCTGTGTCTTCAAGGAACCAGGATCGCGGGCAGCCACACCCAATCGTCCTACAGGCGGAACAATTCATCTGGCCATCGCAACGGGACTTTCGTCGTCGACATTGGTCGCACTGCTTGTTGTCAGCGCACGGATAACTCCTTCCTCGTCCCGACATGACCTACTGCTCTGGCGGCTCTCTTACGCTGCATCTTGTCGCCCAAGGACGGTGAGGGCGCCATTGTGAGATTTTCGGCCATGCTCATGGTTTCTGTGGCTGTCAAACGGGGATGTCCGAACGATAGTGGACGTAGGTCCGTGGAATGATGTCTCCGCACCAGCTCGCCGAGCAATGGGGTCAATGCTGTGGTTGATTGCTGGGGTATGACCGTCTGTGATACTGAGAGCCTTGGCAATAACCTGCTGCTGTCTGAAAGGACTGGGCAGCTGGGCTGGAAAGACCCATCGGAAACCAGAAGATAAGTATGCCTCTGTACTGGCAGCGCATGTAGCATCGAACACGCACGTATGGCATCAATGGGCTCGTCTAGGGACTCTTCAACCCGATGTACACGCAGTGCCTAGTTAAATCGGCAGTCACTAGCAGTCCCGCTTTCCTGCGGGCCCGCGTGTACATGTTTGAGGATTTCGAAGGGCTTGTTCGTTCTCTGCTGGTCTCCCATTACGCATGTGACCTTACGATGACGGCTGAAAAGCGATTCCTGGTGCTAAGCTAGGCTGTCCATGTCGCCCTCATGTCTTCGTCGAGCACTTCTGGTCGCTGTTTCTCGCATTGTGCGGCCGCGTTCCCTGTCCGATGGCACAGAGAGTGTGTGTGCTCCGGAAGGTCCTTCGTTCGGAGCAAGCTCCTTGCACTGTCACTGTGTCTCCGGAGCAGGAAATGCATACGGAGCACCTCGAAACCCACAAAAGCTATGACCACATTCCTTCACTTCACCAACGGAAATACAGAGTTTGCTAGTGCCGTGGATCGCTCCCTGCCAGCCTCGCATGTTCACCGGAGCCTGGACCGGCCTGTGTAACGAACGAGCTTATTGCATCATCTAGCGCAAGTCTCTGTAACGCGGTTGTAATTATCCCTGCAACAGATCTGCAGCCGGGGTAGAGGTATCCATCTTCGAACGGTGATTGACAGGCCATGTGGATTCTCTTTCGCTTTTTCGTCGTAGCTCGATGTGGTTGTTCTTTAGGAAAAACCTCTGCTTCGGCGAGGTGCTCGGTTGGAGACACCGGGCCGCGGGCACTGGGGACGACAGCTAACATATCAGCGTGCGGCATGCTCAATGAGGGCAAGAGGCTGTCCGACGCAGCGATAAGAGGGCGCCAAAGACCGGGGAATCACGATGGCGCATCGTGAGAAAGCTCCAGAACATCAGACTCATGGCCGAAAGAGGGGGGGGTATTGCGATGTCTTCACAATGACGATTCGCGTATTAAGACCAGTTGCGTGAGTCGCATTTCTGATTGCTAATAGCTCAAATACCGCGTATTCGCAGTAAGATCGCGCCTTGCTCCAAGGGCTAAAACAATCGACAGAAAGCGGCGTGACCTCCGAGGCAGGATGTTGTGTGAACCAACTATTGAATGGGCGGCGCTCCAGCTCAACGTGTCTGATCGCTCGCTACGCGACACGATAAAACCGTGTAGATCGCCACGTGCTGCGTCTGTCGGCAACCACGGCAGCCATCACGTTTAAAGAAGGTGCTTATATACTTGCCGAAGCGCGCACATTCATTCAATGGCCCGTGCCAGCGCTTGCGCGTGTCAACAGCCATGCCAGACGTCGATGGGGTTGTTATTTGGGCACAGTTACGCGCTTCACCTTCGCTTGCCGGGGTCAATCAGTGGTTGCGAGCGGGCTCATCAATCAGGCTGTTCATCTCAGCATAGCGGAGGCGGTGCACGGGTCGTGCATGCGGAACAGGAACCGAGCAGTGACGTGGTGTGGAACTCGAGGGTCTCTTCGCGTCCCTGATGGCTGTCCGCCTCCGCCCAAAGCTCGCTGCATTTCATATGTACGCTCAGTGAGCAGAGGCGAACCGACGCAGAAACACATCCGGGTCGAGACCCGTGCAATACTGGAGTTCGGCAGTTACTCGAAGCTGGCGGCAGTCAGTCCTAGTGGCGATGGCGAGTTGGAGGCTGACTGAGCCATGGCGATGTTGGGGACCTGGAGGATTTATCAGCCTGTAAGCTCTTTGTATCCGCTCGTTCCGCTCTGCGAAGTGGATGGACTTGGTAGGGCATGGAAGCAACGAGCAATGGGCGCGATGCCCTTGAACCAATTCCACAACTGAACTCAAGCTATTGCAGCCAACCACCAGATCACATACACAGTATACAATCATCAACTGCGGGGAAGGCGTCTCCGGGGCGTCGTAAGCTCTCTCCACTGAAGAAGCGCTGCTATGCTTCTTGGCTGGATCCCATAATCGCCCCGTTGTCTCTGCAGGATAGCATAGCAGGCACAATTGACAGGACGCACATGTGCGCACAATGCTTGTTCGCCAAGCCTGCGCTTCAGCAGGGACAGTCGCGGACCATGTCTCCCCGCTGAACGGCGTCTTCGGGGCGGAATGGTTGTCAGGAATCTCGGGACCCTTCACAATGTTCGCGTGCTCCACAAGCTGTGATTTGGCGTGATGGTTGCATGTCGTGCATTACTCACAGCATGTATTCGGTACCGGCCGAGTTGCGCGCGACAAAGCTGACTGCCACTTCGTGCGATATGCATGCAATCAACTCCGGGCAGCGACCTCCACAGTTCTGTTCGCATGCTCCGTGCATGTTTTATTAGAGGGCTGCTGTCTCGTTCGCCACCTTAACTTCATGCTTCAACGAAACGGAAGCCACATATCCGCAGCCTTCCAGCGATGCCTCGGAGCACGGCTGATTTTTTCGATCCAGGGAAGTCAACGACTTACTCAAAACTTGAGAGATGCTCAGGCGAGACATGTAGCCGCTTGACATCATAAGCCTTCTGTCATTGCAAGACTAGTGATGTCGAAGGCAATCGGTTGCCCGGAGAATCCTCGTTAATGCGGTACTTCGACGAAGCCCATGAAGGATCAACGCACTCATGTTCAGTGGACTTTTCGCCAGTTCCAGGCGCTATCGGGGCAGACTATTGAGAGCCGAATGCGAAGAGGCTGCTGGGTGCAGCGTCTGAGAGATGCAACAATGGTGATTCTGCCAAAGGGACGCATCAAGAGGTGCTAGGTGTTCACCCTACCAACGTAGTGCTGTATGTTATGTGTATCCGCAACTTATGCCCCTCCCTGACTTTTGATGATCCCTCTATTTAGCTGCACTTGCTCGAGAATCTTGTCGGCCCCTTTTTCGACCAGCATCTTGGCGACATCGAACCCAAATTCGTGGGCCTGTTCATGCGTTGTAATCCTGCGCCGTGTTTCGACCTCGGCAGCGTCCTTGCCGTCAAGACTGACAACGATAGCACGCATAAGTAACTCGTCACTAGGCTCAACCTCGAGCTGTTTCGTGCCACCAGCAGTCGTCGCCTCACCGCTGAGCTGATTATAGTCCTCTGCTGGCTTTATGCCCACTCCAGCGTGCTGGTCGTGCATGCGGTTTTTCGCGATCCACTCGGTCTCGACTCCAATGGGCACGGAGCAGCCTCCTTCGAGAGTACGCATGAGCGAGCGTTCCACAAGCGCCTGCCGCCATGAACGATCATCACCGATTTTCGAAAGCAATTGTTTCGTGCGTTCGTCGTCAGAGCGGATTTCAATGCCCAGCGCACCTTGACCGACAGCATGAAGCATACCGCCGTTTTCCTTGGACAAGTAGCTACTGATGCGGTGGCTCAGGCCGAGCCGCTCGAGCCCAGCAACTGCAATGCAGATTGCTGAATAGTCAGAATTGGGGTCATCGAGCTTTGCCAGTCGCGTCCCAATGTTTCCACGAACATCCTGGAATTGTAATTGCGGGTAAAAGCGCTTCAATTGCGCTGTCCGCCTGAGACTCGACGTGCCAACGACTGCGCCCGCGGGCAAGTCTTTCAAGTTTTTGACCTTGTCGACAAGCCCGGGCTTGAGCACCAATGCGTCTCGCGCGTCTTCACGCTGAGTCACACAGCCGAGACTCAGGCCCACGGGCAGCTGGGTGGGCATGTCCTTTAGGCTGTGCACGATCAAGTCTAGCGAGCCATCTTCGAGCAAAACCTCGAGCTCTTGCGTCCACAATGCCTTCTCATTGAACTTGTGCAGGGCCGTCTTCTGATTGTTGTCACCCGTCGTGCTCATGGCGTGGATCTCGAAGTTGTGCTCCGGCCATGCTTCCCGCAATGCCTTGACAACCTCATCGGCCTGTTTCCGCGCGAGGATCGACCGCCGCGTGCCCACGTGGAAGGTCTGCGTGTCTGCGGTCTCGTGTCTTGCTTTGATCACAATGTGCGAGTTGTCGTCGGCAGCGGCAGGCGTCGTCGATACGGCTTCGGTGGCCATGGCGGCGTGGACGGAGGAGGTGCAACGGAGTCAGACACGATGGTTTGCCCAACTTTCCACATTGCGGCCTCGGCTGCTTTGGCTTTTTGTCCCTTGCCGCACGTCATGCCCCTCCTGCAGCACCACACGCTCGCGCATGCGATACGCGCCTGCCCGCGCGAACAGTGGTGACACTGCACATTGACCAGGTCGCTGAATACGCATAGCCACGCTGTTCCACGTCCATGCCAGACATGTCTCTCGACAAGGACATCTCTCCGGCCTCAGCCCACCCACCTTCCACTTCCGTAGCCGTCTTTGTTTCCGCTCACACCAGACACTAATCCTCCTTCATTCCATCGGATCCCACTCGAACAACCCTTTGCACGCTGCAAAATCACCACCATGGCCAATCCGCCGCAGCTTCAAGTATCAGGCGTCCCGGGCATCCAGGCCGAGGAGCAGGCGGCTACCACGTCGCCTGCTCGCGGTGCCGAAATGGCCAGCTTTCTGCGGGCTCGCCTGAACCGGAACGCAAACAGAGAGAATCGACACATCGGCGAGGCAGCCCCTCCGCCAGTTCTAGTGCATGGCTGGGACTTTTGGCACGATCGACAGGAGCGCTCAGTGGCAGATGCAAAACCGCCCGCCGAAGACGCCGCCAGCTATGAAGACCGCTTGGAGTCTCTCGCTTCCATCTCCGATGTGCGCCAGTTCTGGTCCGTGTTCAACAACTTCGATATCTCCCGCCTGGCGCTCCGCGACAGCATTCACCTCTTTCATAGAGGTGTAAAGCCAGTGTGGGAGGACGCCCGTAACGCAAAAGGAGGGAGTTGGACATTCCGCGTCCCCAAGTCGGTGGCTGCACAGTTTTGGCAAGAGATATGCATGATGGCTATTGGAGAGCAGCTACAGGAGGCTGTTCAAGCGGACCAGCAGCACAAAACTAGCTTCAGGGATGACATCTGTGGGGTCAGCCTCAGCGTGCGATTCAATAGCATGCTGATCCAGATCTGGAACCGAGATGCAGAACATCAGACTGGCATTGACAGTATACTCAGAACGGTCATGGAGGGTATCAGTCCGGCACTGAGGCCGAAGGACGGAAGTTACTACTACAAAAAGCACATTGAGCATGCTAGTTTTGGCATCGACGAGGCAAAGGTACATGGCGCGCCAGATGCGAGCAGGGACAATGCACCAACGGCAGATGTGATGGATAGTGCCGCGACGCAGTCTCTCGACACGGCTACACATGCATCATGATTCGGGCGCCTAGGCTCCAAATCACAAGCTGGACTGAGAAGAACGCGGCGTCAAACCACCATTGCTGGCGAACACTATCACAAGCTGCTCGCAGATGCCGGACAGTCCTGAACGATCAACTGCTCCTCGACCGTACAAGGCGAATGGCGGCGGTCTGGAATACCGGCACAGCTCCGTCTGTGGTATTACCGCCGGTCCAAGGAGGAAGGAGGAAGATGAGAATGAGATTATCGAGACGGTGTTCAAATGATGCTTGATGAGTGGTATGCCGCTGTGGTAGCGATGTAACTGGAATGATCAGATAGCATTAGTTCGGCATAATGTCGTTGATCAGCATTGGGCGTGTCGCGCCTAGCATTCTCCAAGTTTTATGCCTTGCACTGTTGCACTCCCCGCGTGCACAAAGTGCATAAAGTTCGAAGCTAGTGAAGCTTGGCCTTCACCTAGTAACTTAGTCGCGTCCTCGTCTGTCCCACATCAACGCGTTCCACACCACACCTGCTCCGCGCTGGCGATGGCGGCACAGAACGATCTCGGTACGCGCCAATTCTTCTGCTCGTCACGATGATACCGCGCAACACATCTCTCGCTGACATGAACGCGCCGACAGATCAACTGCCACTCCAGGGCGTGGTCCTATGTTGCACATCTCTAGCTCAAGATGTTCGGGTACGAGCGACGCTGCGAATGCTTTGATCTTCACTGTGGATGCTCGCAATGCTAACGTATAATCAAGACACATCTCGCCGACATGGCCATTCAGATGGGCGCCACCCACAAGCTGGATCTCACATCCGAAGTGACGCACCTCATTGTCGGCAGCATTACTACTCCTAAATACCGATACGTCGCGAAAGAACGTCCCGATATTAAGGTACTGGCTCCCGAATTCGTCGAAAGCGTGCGCGATGCCTGGATCGAAGGTGGCGAAGTCGAGGTGCACAAGTTTGAGGAAGAGCATAGATTGAAGACGTTCGCGGGGCTGGAACTGTGTCTCACAGGCTTCAGCGATGTGGTGCAGAGGAAAGAGCTGGAAAGAGTGTCTCAGGAGCAAGGCGCGAAATGGAGTGCAGATTTGACGAAACAAGTCACGCATCTGATTGCTGCGAAGCCCGAAGGCGCGAAATACATGCACGCAAAACAATGGGGCATCACCGTGGTGAGCTTGAAGTGGTATGAAGACAGCTTGATGCGTGGAATGGCATTGGACGAGAGTTACTACGCCTGCGAAATACCACTGGAAGACCAAGGTATTGGCGCTTTTCGAACAATGCGAAAGAGGACGAGTCTCGGCAAGAGAGAGCGTGAAGCGAGTGGCCTAACGGGCGCCAGTGACGATAAGGGAAGAAAGAGGCTGAGGAAAAGCGCCAGCATGCGCCTCGGGGAGCAGAGTCAGGACTTGTGGCAAAGCATGTCTCAGCATGAGGTGCAAGTCGACAACACAGTAGCCAATGTCTGGAACGAGATGAACGACGAGAGTCAAACGCTGCGCGACAGCATTGGACCTGGACTCAAGTCTCGACCTGGAAATGCCGTGGAGTTCATCGAACGCGAGCCTGCAGAGAGACCGAAGGGGCTATTTTCGGGCATCTTCATCCTTATTCACGGCTTTGATCCGACCAAGACAGAGAAGCTCCGTACGGTCGTGAGCGCCAATGGTGCTACCGTTGTAAGCACCGCCGAAGAACTGGGAAACGCGCCCGAAAACCAATACTTCAAATCGCAATGTCTGCTCGTCCCGCATGCGCAACCCACAGAGCTGCCTGTCTTGCCGCCCGGCACAATGCTAGTAACCGAGTGGTGGGTGGAGCGATGCCTTCACTTCAAGCAGGAGCTCAACCCAGATCAAGACTCACTTAGCCAACCGTTGCAGGACAAGCTGATCACGGACTTTGCGGGCCTCGTCATCTCATCTACCGGCTTCAACAGCGTAGATCTGCGCATGTCAGCTGAGACCATCAACTTGATGGGTGCACAGTACGAGGAACAACTGTCCTCTACTACATCTGTCCTGATATGCGCATCGGCAGCAATGAAGAAAGAAAAAGCCTTCTATGCAGCGAAGCACAACATACCCGTTGTACGTCAGGAATGGCTTTGGGATTCGTTGCAGGCGAAGACTAAGCAGTCATTTGAGCCTTACAGGCTCGACTTGTCACAGTACAATTTCAGTCAATTTTCGCAGCCCACGAACAGCTCGGCGACAAGCGACAATTTGGGACCCCGTGGCGCGCGCGACCAAGTTCGGAGGTGAGTCTGCTATCCAGAGGTTGAGAGAAGGCGGCGTGGGCTGACTGTTACAGGGGTGAAGAAATGGTACATTCAAAACGTCTGTCGAACACTCGCAAACGCCAGCCGACGCCGTCACTTGTTCTGAAGCCGACAGCCTCCAACCAAGCGAGGTCAACGAAGGCGAGCAGGTCTGCAGGACCATTTGTGCTCGAAGACAGTGACGACGACGCTGTCATAGTCGCACATGATGACCCACCCCACGCGGTGCTTACCAAGGCTGAGATGTCTCGACCTTTGCGAGAGATCTCGCCCAACAAGAGTGCTGGCCCGGTGGAACCCGTTCCTGAAGTCGAGAAACCGCAGGCTGAACCCACGCCAAAATCACCAACTCACCGTCACAGCCCTGTCAAGGATGTGCAGAAGCTAACATCCGACCTTGCGGCTCTTGTGCGACATCGTATCGGCTCAATGGGCCAAGAAGGATCGTCTGAGCCTCAGAAGCGTAAACACCGTCCTCTGGGGAGGAACTTGAGCGGCACAACCCTCAGTAACGCATCGAGTCGCGTTTTCCCGGCAGACTCCGCCATGCTATCGGAAGGTTGTGAGGCAGATGGATTCGCAGCGCATACCAACTCTGAGTCCGCACCTCCTGGAACCCAGCTAGGATATGACTCCCCAGACGCAGAAGCCGCACGCATTCAAATGAGCAAAAAGATGGGAGTGGCTGTCGAGGAGAACACGGGGGTTAGGATGGCCAGCATGGGCACTGTGAAAGACAGTGAGAGCCTGCACAGATCACACATGGGTGCTGCAGCGGCAGCTGGTGGTCGTACGAAGGCACGAAGCAGGACGAAGACATGATGGTGAACGAAGTTGAACGAGGTGTGGAGTCCTTGTGTGGTGCTTCTGGTTTGTACATTTTTGCCGCGTTCTAGCGATGCTGTTCGACCACAGCGGCGGTTATGAGAGGATACGGCTGCACCACAATGGTGCGACCTTGTGCGGCGACACATGGTATCAAATGGTACGAATGACGGCATTTCTACGTGGAATCGAATGAAAGCGATGGTAGACAGAACGATTGAAAATGCGTAACAAAAGCTTTAGTGTTCCCCAACTATACACTGCAATGTGCAAGGTCTGAGACACGTCAACCAATCGAGACCGGCGATGATAGTGGCAATACGTATTGAGACCTGTGACCAAAGGTTGACGGTTACTGTTGACGTGGTAATAGGAGGTAGCAGCTGGCACGATAACCTTGCAGCCTGCACTTTTGACAAGGATGCTATCGAACAACATGTCTTGGGCAGCAAACGCCCAAGTGATGAGGCAGGCACACGATGCAGAAGCGCCATAGCAACAGGCAACAGTATGAATTCCCTACGAGCATTCCAGGATTTCGTGTTCATAATCCAGCTTTCTTTCGTGTCTCCATTACGACGATCAACATTTGATGCGACATGCCAAGTCATTGAAACCAATCGATGATAGATTTGATATCAGCGCGGCTGTCAGTAATTCCTTCATCATCGATTGATGAGTCTCATAGGTGTCTAGCAGACAGGATGTCAAAACTTGGCAGGTTAGGACTATGTGTCGTCTGCAAGGATCATTGCTGCCCATCGCTTAATTTCCACTGACGCTCTGCTTAAGTTAGTGATTGCAAGATTGCCTTTTTGATCGCGTATCTTTTGTACTGATTGATGAGGCTGCGATAAGATTGGAAACTGGCGTGTTGAGACCTGAAACCTGTTGCATATTGTTCTATGCTTCTGGATCACATAGGAAATACCGATATGCTATATTCGAGATTTCTTCATTCCACCCGGGAGCCTTATCGCCGTGATCCTAGATACCATTATTCAATAATGATCTGTGTCGCATGCACGAAATTTGCAACAACCACGAGTCGTACATACACCGGCAGTCGTCCTGTCTTGCCCCTCAGGATCATCGCCCACCGGAGCGGAGTCCGGTCGCAGTGCCCAAAATGCTCGATTTGCAACCCACATCACGATCATAGCAAAGTATCATCAGAAACCGAGCTAACTTGAAACGGGAGTTTGCTCTTATACGGCAAAAAGCGAAGATGGCTTTTGCACCTGCACGAAACTAATCTCCGTGGCATTCTGCTCTTTGGGCAAAAGGAGACGCGTACTGTAATTGTTTGGTGTGAGCGGGTGATGTGTTCAATGGCTGCAACCTTAAGTGCGTTGACGTGTTGTGGCTTGTCTTGTGTATTGGCTTTTTGTGGTTGGTTGATTGATTGATGTGATGGTTGATTAATTCAAATACATGGCCGACATCGCGATAGGTTGTTGTTGCTGAAGCACATGCAGAATGGACCAGTCAGTGATCGGCATGAGGATGGATTTGTATTGGACATGCTCGCTCTCTGTAGTTCCATGAATCTTCGTGGGTTTGGTGGCACGCCCGTGACATATGTGGGGAAGAAAGCTTGATGGTGGACACTACACATGGAACACTTCTCATCACTGCTGCACAAATTGATGGACGCCACTGCGCGCTGCTTTCGGGCGGTGTTGTGGTTTCACGGCGGGTGCGCGCGGCAGTGGCCCAGGGTGGTGAAATGATGTGGTGCCAGCACGAACGCTGCTGATGATTACCACGAGAAACCGGGTCCTGCAGTTGCTGCGAATGGTAGGTCTCGCACGTGAGGATACGTGCGTGTCCGGAGGCACGGCAGGCGGGCAGTGCTCACCTCACACGACCTCGTGCTGAGTACTGCCAAGGGCGAGATGTTTGGAGCATCCTTGCAGCACATCCACGGCACATGCGGTATGGATGACGGATCGCCTGCAAGCCGTGAGGAAATGGGAGTTCAGGGCAGCACGCGCGGGCGTCGTTACGGACGAGACGAGGCTCGTCCACGCGAATAGGCGAGTGGTGCTTATCGCGGTGCATGCTGGATGAGAGCGCGCTGCCGGGCTCGCCGGCACGTCGTCCATCATCAGAGTCTGCAGTGCGGTGTCGTGTGGCAGCAGGTACACGACGAGTCGCAGGATCACAATGACCCAGACGCCCGCGAGTCCCGGAGCATTAGCTCAGCAATAGCGCTGCCGACGCAGCCAGCGCATGACGCGTTGGTTGTTCTGGCCGACCGCCCGCCCGCGCAATAAGACGGCCTCGTCGTCCGCCCAGCGCGGTGAGATGGAAGTCGTGATGAGCGTTGCATTATTGCATTGAGCAGTCTGGCGTCGTCGAGCTCTCCGCCCTCTGCCCTCCACCGCCCAGCGCGCAGCCACCATCGCCGTTCTTGGACGCTTGGCTCGATCCATTCGCAGCACGAATGCCAGGTTAGGCCCGCGGGAGCGGCGCTACTCCAATAAGGTCTTCTAGCACGCTGCTCGGACTCCAGGATCTGACGTGCTGCTCCACGTCGATCGCCCTGTTTGACGTCTTCGCAGAAAACAGACGATTTCTCTTCTTGCACACGCGCGCGCTGGCACGCTGCCCGGGTAAAAGTCGCCGACGCTGCACGCTCACACGCACTTGGCCAAGGTTGTGCCGGACATTGCCAGCAGAAAAGACGCTGGGATCGTGCCGGGATTGTCATCTCAGCCACTGCGTCGCAGAACAGGACGTGCGCATATCAAACAAGCCAACTTTTCCACAGAGCCCGGACAGGCCTGCGCTGCCCGCTGCCTACGAGACGTCGACATTACCTGCCTGCGAACCTCCGCGTTGGACGACGTTTTGAAACTGCCACAATTTTGCGTTACCACGTCGGCGGCACCGATCGTTTGAGACCGATCGCATTCTTTGCTATTGCGGTAAGTAACACATGTTCTCCCTGTCCGGGCCACCGACCGCCTGCATCTCCTGCGTTGGCACCCCATGACGCGCAGCGCGATCGACTTTTTTCTTCCCTCGCCTTGGTTGTTATGAGAGCCGCATGGATTATCACTGCTGTCAGGCACACCTCACGCACCGGAGCGCGCTGCATTTGATATGCTGCAGGACATGCCCGGCAGACAGGCCCATCTGCTGACGGAGAGCTCGCGTTCTCTTCCCACTACTGCACTTCCATCTCCTAGCATCAACTTTGCTGACTGGGATTTCTACCATGGCAGCTTCCTACCGCTCCTCCACATACGGCCTGCTCTACTACGATCCCGCCCAACACCGCACAGAGAACGACAAACCGCAGCGAGTATATCGACCCCGACGAGTCGGCCCTGGACGAGTGTGCATCAAGTCCGTGGACCCTAGAAAGGAGAGAGACGGTCTCCACGTCCCTTATCCCAACCCCAACAAAGAAACCACTCCGCTCAAGCGGGAGTCATTCAACCTCAAACTGGCGTCAACACGAGAAAACGCCAGACGGTTCCTCAAGTCCGTCATATCCAGTACACCGGCGAGCGAGGCACCGGCCGACCAGCAGAAGAAGGACAACGCTTGGAAGCGGCGGTCGTGGTCACCAATCCAAAGATCGAACAGCAATCGCGGGAGCGAGGCTGGTTCGTCAGTCGCTGGTTCGAGGTCGAGCAGCACGACTGACGCACCGGCGAGTGTACCTGAAGTACCGACACCGAGTATGCGTGGAAACCTTCGCCATTCGATCGCTGGCCCGATCAACGCCCATCTTCAGCGTCCACGACTGAGTAGCGTGGCACGAGATGGATCAACGCCGTCGATACAGTCCGTCGCGAGTAGCAATGGGTCTACAGGGTCTCCGCGAATCGATTCGTCCATTGTCGACAGTACTGTCATCCCGAACCTGAATCTTGATGATGAAAAGCCAATTGTTGCGGGCAATGGTGTCGCCGTAGGGATACACTTGGCGGAACCAGTTCTGTTCCTTCAAGGCTTCGAGAATTCGGACAATCAGCCCGGCAACACCGCCATGCTAAGGGGTGGCCTACATCTACGAGTTTCGAAAGGTGCAAAAATCAAAGGAATCACGCTCAAATTCAAAGGCACGGCAGTCACCAAATGGCCTGAAGGGATTCCACCCCGCAAAGTTGAATTCGAAGAACGTGACACGATCATGTCACACACCTGGCCATTTTTCAACGCCCAATTCGAGAGCGCCGAGAGGGGCACGAACGCTGACCATGTGCAGCTTTTCAAGGACGGCGTCTCCTCGACAGTAACACGACTGGATCCCCTGGGTCGATCATCAGAAACGAATTCGTCCGTCAATCTGAATTCCCGAGAGGCCAAGAAATTGGCTCTGTCGGTCAATCAGTCTCGAAGTTTTGGCAAAGGCGAGTCCACAGGCGGGCCGTCGGTGGCTGCCAAGGGCTACCGAACCTTCCTTCCAGGTGATTACGTTTACAACTTCGAAATGCCCATCGACAGTCGATTACCAGAGACCATCGACGTGGAATTAGGCTCCGTGAAATACGAACTAGAGGCCGTGATCGAGCGATCCGGAGCATTCCGATCAAACTTGGTGGGCACGAAGGAAGTCACGATTATCCGAGCGCCAGCAGAAGGTTCTTTGGAATGTGTGGAACCCATTGCAATCAGTCGCAACTGGGAAGACCAGCTGCACTACGACATCGTGATTTCGGGAAAGAGTTTTCCACTGGGCACGCAAGTACCGATAGCGTTCAAATTGACACCATTGGCGAAAGTGCAGTGCCATCGCATCAAAGTGTTGGTCACGGAGAATATCGAGTACTTCTGCTCGAACAAGCGCGTACATCGCATGGAACCCACTCGCAAGGTACAGCTGTTCGAGAAACGTGCGGACGGTGCACCGACCAGCACGTTTCCTGGCAGCACAATGCGTGTCACATCGGGTGGTGGCATTCCGCACAACCAGCGAGCTGCAGCTGCACGAGGCGAGCACGTTATACCAAGCGATACCACGAACCTGCTGGGCAACCTGGATGGAGGCGATGCACACATTGGACCCACTGAAATGGAGTTCAATGTGCAATTGCCAAGTTGCCATACCATGAAAGAACGCGATCGGACGCAGCGCCTACATTTTGACACCACATACCAAAATATACAGGTGCATCACTGGATCAAGATTGTGATGCGTTTGTCCAAACCGGACGTGAACGACCCGACTAAGCGTAGACACTTTGAAATCTCCATCGATTCACCCTTCCACATATTATCTTGCCGCGCGACGCAGCAAAATATCTCACTGCCCGCCTACACATCACCCGAGTCAGGCCCGACGAGTACGACTTTGACAGAATGTGGCTGCCCTGGCGCTGCTCTTCGACGCAATTCACCATCGAATCTGGTACCAGCACTGCAAAGATTCAATGGCCAACAGCAAGCCCGTCAAGATTCCAGTCTCCCAATGTCCCCGGGCTTGACCAGACCGCCAACTGTGCACGCACGAGATGCTCACATTGGTCGTCCGCAGTCCATTGATCGACCTATCCACCTGCTACGAGCGCCTTCTTTCAACCCACCTCCGTTTTCAGATGAAGAACCACCCCCACCACTTATCACGCCTCCGCCGCAGTATGATAGCATTGCAAGCCCGACATCTGGGCTGGCGGATTATTTCGCGCGGCTGAGTGATGCTTATGAGGACGACAGCAGTGGAGACGAGTCTCGACCAGGACGTGTCAACGTGCCTCTTACCCCCGGAGGGCGCATCAACCGATCCGTGGATCTGGGTAGAGGGTGGGCACCCTTGGCGACACAAATGCCCTTGGCATTACCGCGACGGGAGGTGTAGGCATCGTTACGATCTATTTCTGGAATCATGTCGATGATAATTTTTCGACAATTTGCAGCGTTCAAGCAAGTGTTCGGGCAATTAGTGCAGCTGGCGTAATTTGTGGGCAACTTGTGAAGTTATAGAGGTGGAAAAAATCGGGGACCGCAATATGTGATGCGTGTAGCGAAAATGCAGAGGCTCTAAAGGGCCATGGTTACCTCGCCAATTTCTGGCGCGGCTAGCGAAATATTCTACGGATCCATATGTTGTTGCACCATCGTGACAACTTTGTGAGCTCAATGATGCACAGGCCTGCTTCCGCGGGTCCTCCTCAGCCGCGAGAACACGGCCGTACTGCGTCAAGAGTATGTGACTCGACAGGACGGTGATTGCGCAAATATTCTATGCAGTAGTGAGTACTCGATGCCGATGTACTAGACCTGACCACCGTCGACGAAAGTCGTGCTAGCGTTTAGCATCTCATTATAACTTCTCCAAGCGGACACTTTTCGCGTGTCGGGAGCGGTGAGTTGCGCCGTCTCGCGGGTGATACTCCGATCAAAGGGCATAGAGTTTGCAAGCACGGCTTAAAATCTGGTCATGTGCAAGGCGCGTGTGGTGATAATGCTGGTCTTCGCGGCGCCAGACAGGGCAGATTCGGACCAATCGCCGTCGATTTGGCGACAGTGATGCAAGTCGCACGGCCAAAAGCAGCGCATATCTGTCAAAACGCTGTCAATACTGCCGTCAGTGGCCATGTTCTGGGGACGTGAGGGCCGGCTCCGAACCCACGAGCGCGACGCGCCTAGGGAGCGTGACTCGGATTGCTAGGGAGCGTGACGATACACAACATAACACGACAATTCAAATAATTCCCCGGACAAGCGAGGCGAGCTTGCGAGCGAAGTGAGTACTCGGAGCTGCGAGCCTGCGAGCAATAGCGACG